AAGAGGACTTAGAGCAATTTCAGCACAAGAATGAGGTCTATAAAGCTCAAGATACACTTTATATAGATCCAGCACTTTCTACAGTTGGGCTATGCATATGAGCCCCCCCCACAGTGTTCTAATTGTCATGTTTGAGGACATACTAGAGTTAGATGTCCTAAACCACCTAGTAATTAGTTTTTATATAGAAATTCAATTGTTTGGTTGATATAGACCCTAGAATCTCACCTAGATGTGGGATTGGAGCGGAGGTGGCTGCTTGCTTACTGCATACGTTATATAACCCTATATAAATCTTTCTTTTAAAAATAATATACAATGGAAATAACTTATCCGATAAAGTTAATATATTTAAGAAAAATAACTTATTCTCAATTACCTAGCTAAACTAGAGAAGCTTTTTTTATAATAAAATTAATATTATTAATATTATAAATATCTTATAACACAGTATTATGCTGCATTATGGTGATATATATTTGAAATTCTTTAATAATTTTAAGGTCTTTGTATTTAATATGCTGGTAATTATATATATCATTAAGAATAGTGAGATTTGATTTCACTTTAATATTCAATACAGTTAAAGACCCAATTCTCCCCTAATTAAATAAATGTAGTATTATATTCAGCAAAAAGAATATTAGCTATTATATATATAAGATAGTTAAAAAGGCTCTCTATGTTGATAATCTAATGATAGAATTCAGGATGCGAGTGATTTTTTTATAGTAAGTTTATAATTGTTGGCATGTGTCTCTACTCAAAAAATATATTTAATCTTCTTTAAAATATTATATATAAAATATTAAAATAATATACCACTTCAGCAATATTGAAGATTTCTTATTTTTTTTTTAAAGTAGAGACAATAAGTATGAATCTTCCTCTTGCTCAGTTGAATTTCTTGAATTTTGACATGCTTTTGGAGGCATGGTTGATGGTTGAATTGAGTGAGGTTTTTGACTGGGGCCAAAACGTGATGAGGTGGCCGCTTGTTTGTGGAATATGTTATCTAAAAATTTAAATAGCTTCAGATTCTTAGTGAATATAAATATTACTCTATTATCAAAGAACACTATTATAATTTATTATCTTTTATATCTATCAGATATTATACACAACCTAATACATACATACTCGTTATTCAGAGTGGAATTTATACATATAATAGCATTCTTTAGGGTACCGGATTTAGGGTGAAGATATAGAAAGCAATCTCTTCCTGACCAAACAGGCCCATATATTTAACGGTTCAAGCCCTTCAAAACTAATACCCATATCATAGTTAAAGTAAATCTTACTAAAAGCCCAAGATTAGAGAGTTAATTATATATATGTATATATACATAAATAGTTATTAAAAAATGCCAATTAATTTAACATTCTTAAAAAAGTTGCTAGCAGACTTTTCTTAGATTTTATCATATTAGAAATAAGAAATTTAGAACTGTTAGCTTTATTTTAAAAATTTAAACTAACTGACCCCTACAGCAACCTCCAAATTGGGGTCACGCATATTGCATGACCCTGACAACCACCTCAGCACTGATTTTAGAACTTCATAGAATTCCAACCCATCAACTTTATCATATAATTCAACCACCACCACCATACCCAAATTCAATAAAAATTATAAGGATCAAATGCTCAAAGCTATTAATGTATTGAACACATAAAACCCTCTAATATTGCCAAAACTGTGTGTAGACATAGAGTTAAATAACAAATCTTTTTTGCAAAGTGGAGTGATGATCTAATCTACTTGAATGACTATTAACGTAATTCCCGGGCGATCCGACCGTCCTGGGCGATCCACTCACCTCGTGGATTTCCCACACGTCAAACTCATGTAACTATTCAAACAACCATCATGCCATGAAAATCATGTCAATCTTGTCAAAACTTGGTGGAGCAGGAAGGGAGGATTCAACCTGTGATATAAGCCTTTAAAAATAGTGAAATTCCAAGTGTTCACTAAGCAAAAGCTGTTTTTAATGTACTTTATTCAACAATTTAGGATCAATTAAAAGGATACTTATCCCAACTAGAAGGCCACAACCATATGCATTAACTCTCTATAACTCAAGAGGAAGCTTTAATAAAATAGATTAAAGCAAGAGATAATTATAGAGTTGCTCCTAAGCCTATATATATATAGTAAATAGCTAATTTAATCCTCTAATAAGATTTAAAGATATCTCTTCAATTTGTTAGAAAGAACTGGGTTATATGATTTATTAAATATTATAATAGTATTAAATACTGTTTTATTTAATAATATAATTATAAGAAGGCAGGCACTCTGTAAGAATCTTAAAATTATTAAAGATTAGTTTAAATATTTAAAAAAAGATTAAGATAAGTATAGTATTTAAGATAAGGATATCTATAATTTTAATAAGATAGGCTTTGCTATAGGTCTTATTACAACTACTAAGGTAATTACATAATTAAATATACTAGGAAAGCCTTATCTTATTTAATTAGGCCAATATGAATAGGTTATCACAATTAAGTATATTAGCTTCATAGGATTCAGTGTTCCAACATATATTATTTTTAAAAGAAAGGTCCATATGGAAGTATGGTTTAAAGAACTTAATTTACCACATGATTAAAAGATTGAAGTAAGTACAAATAGATAGATATTAATTAAATAAGCCTTTAATAATTTATAAATTATTTTATTCCTACAACAATTATATAGACTAAAGGGAGATCTTAATTATTAATCTTTAATAGTTATAGAAGTCATCTTACACCTAAATTCAATATAATATTATTTATTTTATCTCTTATAACTACTAGATATTGGTTGTTTTAGTCTATTAAAGTGTGCATATGGGGGCTTTGTAAAGATAAAAATGCACTTAAAATTTAACTATATTAATAAGTTTAACTTTTTATGAGCTTATCCTGCTGCACATAAGCAAGTATTTATAATATAAAATATTTAAAGTAGCTTTAGAATAGCAGATACTTCTTTTTAATATGATTTTTAAAGAGTTAAATATTCAAATATCAACTCTAATACCTCTCCCTAGCTATAAGGCTTTAATAAGCTTTTTTGTAATTGATACACCTTATACAATGCGTCATGTACACAAGAAGATCTTCTTAATTAAGAAGATACTTGATCTAGATAATCAGATATCTTTAATTACTTCAAAATAAGCCCTTAATAAGTTTATAAATGGCTATGAATCAGCAATCTATAATACTACCTTCTTACTAAAATAACTATATAATCTTTATATAGAAGTTGAGGTTCAGCAGTAAAAAAAAAAATAATTTAAATAATAGATATTTTCTCATAATAATCTTTAAGTTTAAAGAAGCAAAGGACTTAATTATGTTAAAAATTAATAATTAAATATAGATAAAAAGGGTCCTAGTAGTTCTACTCCACCCACTTCTAGAGCCCAAAAATATACACCACCAAAGTGTATTGAATGTGGTATATAAGGCCATACTAAGACTCAATGTCCTAATCATCATCAAAACTTAGTTTAATTAAAAATATTAAGGATTGTGTTGTTGCGAATAGCTTCAAGATCAACTAGTATATATATTTTGATGGGCTGAGCGGATCGCCCGGGAATTACGTTAACCAACATCAGATTGTTAGAAGAGTAAGAAAAGGTTTATCTCACTATATATTCTAAAGCAGTATGATACTACTTATATAAATAAACCAATTAAGTGCTAATTCATTCTGAAATCAACCTATACCGACTTAGATACCCCTCCACCTACCATCAACAAGAAATGATTAAACTAATAACTAGGAATGCATCCTAAATATAAAAGATATCACTTTAGAGCCATAGAGCTTGACTATAAGTATATCAAAAATTACAAGATTATTAAGAGTGGTTTCAGAAGCTTTATCAGACTATTTAAAATTATAGCTTATTAAACGAGGATATTTATAATTTTAATAAAATTAGCTTTAATATTAATATTAATATTAATTATAATTAATAGATTAATAGATTATTACTAGAGACTTCAATACTAAGAAGTCTTATATTAGAATAAATTTAAATTATGAATATGTTATTATGATTAAAGTAGTTAATAAAAATAATTAGACCTGTCCACTACTTATTTTTATGAGTTATATACATATAAATTAATTTAAAACTCCTAATGTCCGGTAAGATTATTTATTTAAAATATTAAAAAATAATTATATAATTGATATAATTACTTTTCAATAGATTTAATCATTCTATTATTAATATATTAAAAAATATAAGAAGACTAACATACTTTTTTCATATATGATGGATATGGCTCCTATTTATTAAATAAATTTATTAAATTCTACAAAAGACTAATATTATTATATATATATATATATATATTTATTTTTATATATCAGCCATTTCTTGCAGCTATTAGATATAATAATTTTTACATATATAAAATAAAAGATTAGTTTTTAGAATCAGTTATAGATACATAAAAATTATTTAAAATATAATAATAAATTTAAAGACAATTTACAAAATAAGTGTATCATTCAATATAAACTTTAAAAGAGTAATATTATATTATTTAGTCTATTAATTATATTTAATTAAATATCTTAATAAAATAATTAATCTTTTTTATTTTTGCTATTAATAATATTAATCCCTAAAGTAGTATACTAAAAAAGCCAAACGGTTCAAGAATATTGATGATAAGATATAGGAGGTTCATAATATTAATAAAGATAAATTTAATAAAGGCCCAGAGCTGTTTATTTAGAAGAATAATATATTAGTATTATATTCAGCTGCTATTAAAGCTAAACTTAACTAATATATTAAGGCTGCTAAAGACTGTATAGCTTGATCATAAATCTTTAGATATAAGATTTATAAGAGGGGTACTTTATTAAACTCAGAATTTGAAGCTATAAAATAAAATACAGCAAATATCAATGAGCAGGCTTAAAATAAAGAGGTGGGGGGCTAAATATAAGCATTGCCTCCTGAGGCTATTGGATGTGTGTATTTAATAAGAAATCATTACAGGAAGAAGAAAGCTCCTGGTTTGATGTGTGCTCCTTGACTGATATACATGCACGACAAGACCTACAAATTGACGGCCTGAGAGAGTCTATTTCGCACGTTTTAGATTTACTGGAAAATGAGATCAGACTACTCGGCGGACAATCGAACCGTGTTTACCTTGGAGGAATCAGCCAAGGAATGGCAACAGCTTTGTGGGCATTGTTTTGTGCTACACGTCGGGTACACAGTCAGCTTGGGGGTTTTGTGGGTTTCTGTGGCTGGTTTCCATTCGCCTGGCAGGTGGAAGAGTTGGAGACAGCCAACAGTTCCAGTATGTCTGGTGAGAAAACTGAGATCCAGCAGTGTCAGTTGTTGGGTTTTTCCACGATACAATCACCTATTCCAAAACCTCACCAGCAGATGTGGTGAACAATGCATCAATTCTGTCGACACCTGTGTTTCTGAGCCACAGAATGGATGATCCGTGGGTCTCTGTAGAACTGGGTCGATAGGCATTTCGCGTCATGTGGCAGATTATGGACCATGTTGAGTGAAGCGAGTTCATGGGAGCGGAGGGAGACAGTCACTGGATCAAGGAGCCAGAGGGATTTGATTGTGTTTTGCAGTTTTTTGAGAAATGCACCCAAAGTTAAGCAGAAGGTAGCCACCCAGTGTCTGATTAGCACATGCTTCGACAGAAACTATTGGAATATGTATTTTTTTTTACTTGATGATAGTTGTATCCATCTACAGTCAAACCTTGCCAAGATGATTCCCACGTAGCTGAAAACCTCGCATAGCTGATAGTAGTAGTAGTAGTAATAAAATTTAAATTTATTGTCCTTATCAAGCCCCATTGGCTATGAAAGACAGTGCAGTTCATGAGCACAAGCTCCTACTTAGTTTCTAAATACATCTTTGATCGTTCAGTTTCCTTTTCCTCGCCCCAATCCGCTTATTTGTGTCACGGAGCATGGGTGTTCACTAAGTCACATGGTATGTTTGATTCCTTTGTTCTGTTTGGAGTAGGGCCAGGTCCCTTGCACACTAGATATTTCAGCACTGGCAGGCCCAGCGCTCTTTCATTTCCTTCCTCATGCTAGTATTTCACCAGATAGTCCACCAATAGATCTCATATTGAACGGGACCATCACAATTTGCGCAGGGCATTTGAGCAGTACTCATCACAGGGCATTGCTCTAGCGCTAGCATAACCATTACTGTAGCTGGAGGATCTGCAAATTTTGATATGCTCCTCATTTTTCGTAGCATTCTTTGCCAGCTCAAGCTGGTTGTGTGGGGAACTAGGAGTCTGGGGACCACGCTAGACAACAGAGCTACTAAAGTTCAAGCGTCTTGTGGCAAATGTCGTGTCAGTGGGAATCCAACCCGCGATCCCAGTTTTGGGGTAGAACCTCAGCAAAATCTCTCACCTGGGAGTCCACTCAGTGTGCATACCAGAGCACAGCCGCCAAACTACATAAGACTCTGTCATATAGCCTCGTGCAGCCCGGATTATCGACTCACCGATTCCCAATCCTGAGCTACCCGCTCCTTTCAGGATGCCCCCGACGCGTCGGGCATACATTTACGCGAGCCTTCATATACAAGCTCCTCCCTCTCTCCTTCTTTCTTTCTTTCCCCATCAAATCCTTTCTGTATATAGCTAAATAGTAGCTTTTGGGCTTAGCCCCTTACACCAACTGTTGAAAGAGCCTGGAACCCATTTGGACCATTTCATATATCTCGCCTCTTTCTTAAGTTTTCCTTTCACTCCCTGAAGTGCAGATATTCCTGGCATGAAGGGCGCTTAGCTCTTGAGGTGATGGGGGAAAGTTCCAAACGTCAAACAGTATTGCCAGAACATTATGGGCTGATTATCCTGTTCAACAAAAGAGCAGTGGTAAATTTCATACTGGGTGAGATAATGTGACAAGGTCCTAGGCACTCATCGATCACTCATATTGCTTTGGAATTCCAATAAAAGCTCACAGAAATGCCCCCCTCCCCTCTTTCAACTGTGAAGGGATGTTAAGGGCTAAGCCCGCAGCACTAAGAACTAGCTATCATACAAGAGGTTTTGTTGAAGAAGAGAAGAACAGATGTCTGATCAGACAGCCTTTTATATACAAAAGTATGTTATGCAGGGTAGTAGTCAAGCAGCCACTCTAATCATTCCTCCAACTAGCATATCATTTATTCTACAGGCGCAGCCTGTGACAAGGGACAACCAAAGGCCAAGTACTACCAAGTCATATAATGTTAATTAAGAAGGATATGGGATGATTGCTCTACAGGATGTTGAAGGATTTCCTGCTTTTCTGATAAAGAAACACCAAATACCTTTGTCATGGACTTTCCAAGAAGCTTCGCACAAAAATCTAGTGTCATTGATAGACTTCTACACAGAATCCAACTTGATTTGCTCTATGAGTATGTGCATCTGGCTATTCCACTAGGCGGCTTAACAGGGATTGTGGATTTCAGTAAGGCAGATATAGCCACTGTGTGCAGGGAGATTCTAGATGGTCTTATTTTATTCATTCCAAACTCAGCATATCACACAGTTCAGTTGACTGCAGCAATGTCCTCCTAAAAGAGAAAGGAGAGATACAATTGGGTAGGCAAGACCTTGCCCTAGATTTCAGTAAACAGTTAATGATAACTCTAGCAAATATTGGGGACAGTACATTAAACAGCAACATGCTGAGCAACTGAAAGTCAGATTTAGGAGCTGTTGGTTTCCTTGTCATTTGTCTTAGTGACAAAACTGCCTTGATTTCAACAGTCACTCCTTTGAAGATTGCACCATCAAGTCCAGCTTGTGGTTTTATAGAAAAGTCAAAAATGTAGTCAGCTAAAGAACTTTTGAATGTAAGATTGTCCCTTCTTTTTACAGTCAATTTTGAGAAAGGTGTTAACTTGTAAGGATGAATTATTGTATCCAGCAACACCAGGAGGGGTTGAAGCCTAAAGTGACATTATTTTGATGCACTTCCTTTGAGCCTCCGATTTGGCAGCTGAGTTTGTGAAGATAATTAAATTTCATCATGGTGCGGCAAATGTAACTAATAGGTTAATGGGAACTTATCCCTTATGTTTCATCGCTCTTAAATTACCGATAGGAGAGTACGGACAGACTAGAGAGTAGAAGCAGACGAGTTAGTTAGTAGGAACGGACTGGGGGTAGGGGTCAGAAGAAGCAATTGAAAACAGGCAGGAAAAAAAGACTCCCTAACTGGGAATCGAACCCAGGGCTGTCGTGTGAAAGACGACGATGTTAGCCACTACACCATTAGGGAATTCTTGATTTGTCAGCTGATAAAAAGCATATCAAACTTCACCTACCTACGGAAAACCCATATTGGGTATTATTGGGGTAACTTGTTTCTAGTAGGCGGTGTATTAAAAGGTAATTTTTTCATGACATCAACATTCGATGCGGGCATACAACCTCGGGACAGAGAACCACCGAAGAGTCATACGCTTTCCTTTTTGGCGAAGATACCCCATGATGGAAATGAAAGGTGCAAAGTGGCGCACGCAGAAGAATGGAGGCCCACACTTGGCGATGCCCCAATCTTTGAACTATGCATTTCCTTTCCAGTTCCTGATTCGGATTTAATTCAAGGGTTCAATAAATCATAACTGCAAGAAGGGGAAATACCCCAATTAGCAGGTCTGGTAGCTTGGCAATAATGTCACAGGCTGTTGAAACTCAAGATCGCGAACTTAAACCAGTCAGTTTTTACAAGGCATGCTTCCGGTCGATGGATTTCACCGTGAACTGACACCCTTCGGCAGCAAAGGCCAACACGATAGAGACTGATCTATCCAAGAATTTCTCGATGGGGAGGATCAAGTAAACTGGCTGAAGGGTCTAATTCGAGCCTATGGGAGCTTTGAAATCACTTTTGAGGACATACTAGACCGGATCCCAGTGTTAACTGCGTGGATACGAAATGTCTAGCCTCAGTTCAAGACATCTTCTGATTCAGAATATCTAGTATTTCGTGGTTTCTGCCCACAGTATGGCGAAAAATTTACCGGTTTCGAAGCCATATTCTGTCACTACAAATACAGGTTAATCAGAAACAGTTGGGACACTTCCCTAGTGGTGTAGTGGCTAACATCGTCGTCTTTCACACGACAGCCCTGGGTTCGATTCCCAGCTAGGGAGTAATTTTTTACTTCTCTTTTTGAGAAGTATCATCAATCTTAATGAAAGACGTGGGACCATGGATTGTCGGCTCAATCACCACTAGCCGCATTTGTTAATGGGTGTAGTCTGATGGGTATGATGCTTCAGTTAGGCGCATGCATGGTACTGATGGCATGCATATATTAGCGGTGTTGAACTGTGACTGGTGCCGGCCGGAGTTGATAGAGATTGGGATTATCAACGGCGTTGTCCAGCTTCGCTGGTTCTCCTAGTTCCCGCTATCCTCACCATAGTTGAACCCCCAATTCCATTTAGTAGGATTGATAGATAGCAAAGCAATCGTAGAGTTTCCGACTCTACTTCCAAAACGACAGACACTATTCAGGCGCGACTACCATGGCCTCAGGAGCGAACTATATTTATCTAGACTGTATGTATGTATATTGCCCGCTCCCCCCCTAGTTCGATATCCTCCCCCCCTTGGATCTTATGGTTATTTGTCAATCCAAACCTTTTTACCTCACCTACTCCCCCGTCGATGACGGTCAAATTTTACTAAGGAGGCTGTCATGGAAAAATAAACTAGGACGAAGGCAAAAGCAGAAGCAACAGTCGTATTAGGCCTATGTGTTAAGAAAACCAACCTCCCCAGAAGGTTTTCCACGTAAGGATGCCAGCAAGTCACACAACAAGCACTGAAATAACCCTTCATTGACAACTATTTACATTGTATATGCATCCATATAAGTCCCAACGCCTGATAAACGCCACTGCTATCATATTGTTTATAATCTTGTACCTTGTTATGCACCGTGTAATATCCACGAACTCTTCGAGTTTGTCTTAACAATATCCAGATACCAAGCACAGCGGTGAATCCAAAACAACAAGTTCTATCAATGTAAGTATCAGGTTGGTGACCAACGTCGCCAAAGAGCTGAGGCATTGCGCTGTAGGGGTCTTCACCGTACTAACATCAACCATTCTGTATTGGTAACAAGGACATGATAGTATTCTCACGGATAGCTCGAGGCAGAAGAGTAGATATGTGTTCAGATTTGAGATTTCGCTCGCTCCCTCTCCGTCGGATTATACCTGTGAGAATATAAGCCCCACCTGCTCTTCACCTTCACGATATATAATACCACCAACCTGAGGAGTTTCTCAATCAAATCAACATGAGTCATAATCATTCTCCGACAGCAGTATCGTTTGCAGCCCAGTTGGTCCATGGCGTCCCTTGATCACAATCGTTAGAGTTGAAATAAACATTTTTCCCAATACATACCCATCTGCAATACCCTCGTCTAACAGTTGTAAGTATCGTTCCCATAAGTCACCGACAACCTATATGCATCCCACTATTAGTGCTGAAGAACGACTGCAGGAAACATACTACTGGCTCTTACCTTCCCGCAGGAAAAACAACGAACAGGAATGATCATTTGGAGGAGCACTGCTGCCTTGCTGGGCGAATGATGTGATGGCGGTTAATTAAAACCAAAAAAATTTTAATGAAAATAGTGTTCTGACTGCCTTTTTTTTATTTGTGAAGTGAATGATGTCTTTGAACTGTACCTGCTGGGCTAAAGGTCAAGGCTTTTTTTCAGTCAGTTGGGAAAGAGGCATTATTGGATGGTAACAATATCAAACTAACTGTATATGTACTAGCTCCATTTCGTCCCGAAGAAAAAAAATTGATATGATCAAAGCCGGGGATGCAACCTAATACACCGTGAATGAAGACAAAAATATTCCACATTTCTACCAAAACCACGCGCCTTCTACAAAATATTATATGATAAGTAAGAGAGGGATGCAGCTTTGAAGATTCCAGTTTCACCTTCCAAGCACCGTTACGCCATCGCAATCAATTGATCAGCGATGCCTGCTGTCAGCCAGCCAGGTCGGCTCTCAAAGAGGTCTCTAGCTACAGATGCAGCCCCCGATAATATACTGCTCACGGATAAGGGGCGGGTGAAACGACGCCGTTTCTCATATAATGGCGAAGACGAAGCCCGGCCTATGCCTAATAGGTTGGAGAAACCTGCAGTAACCAGCCCCGAAGGAACTCCAAGGCATGAAATTCGTCCTAGGGAGAAGCTGTATTCCACGTTTTGGTCCGTTTCGCAGCCCGTTGCTGGACGATATAGTGATTTAGACCCCATATTCACAGCCGACGAAGGGTGAGTCCATCCACCGACTATGTTATCTTGGAACCACATCTGAACGGTAACCATTTAGATATGTCTTTATTGGGCTCGAGACGGCGGTTCACGTTTATTCAGTCTCAACATCCCGTTTGCTCCGTGCCTTGGAGGTAGAATCTAACCACAAAGTTGTCGGATACAGACTCTGCCCAGTTAATGAAGAGCATCTTTATGTGTTTACATCTGGCGGCATAGGCAAGTGGGAGTGGGCTACGGGTAAACGAATGGCATATTGGAACGTGTCTTGCAAGAAGATCGCCGTTGATTTGACTTCTGATGTAACTGAAGACTCTACGCGCACTATATCCTACATTGTGCGAGAACACAAGGATGGCAAGAGGCAGATATCAGCCATGTGCCTAGCCGATCAGAGGCCCCTTGAGACTATCATCTTAGATAGTACAAGGCGGTTAACAAATCTCAAGGTCTCACGACGAGGTCAAATCATCGTTGCTTGGGACAGCCATCACCTTCTTGTCGGCAATGCGAAGGTTGACATCCCGATCTCACCTGTTTCTATGCAATACACGTGGAGAGAAGTAAATTTGCCAGTCAACATAACATGCTTGGACCTTCGGCTTGGTGCATATCCAGTTAATACCGAGGTTACTGGCTCAAAGTCAAGGAAGCATTTGGATACCGTTGATCTGGTGCTGGGGGAGTCTGGGGGATCGATTCTAGTTCTTTACGATGCCCTAAATTCTCTCACCAATAATGAAATCAACTACCAAGGCAGACAGAGCTCATCTTTCAAACGTCTACACTGGCACAGAGGCCCAGTCCATGCAGTGCGTTGGTCCAAGGACGGTATGTCTATTTAACCTAGAAGGGACATATGGGGATTTAGCTGATGTTTTAAATAGGTAACTACATATTATCAGGTGGTGATGAATCAGTCATGGTACTATGGCAATTGGATACGGCTAGGAAGCAATATCTACCCCATCTATCTTCCCCAATCTGCAACATAGTCGTCTCTCCGACTGGAAACTCGTACGCTGTCAAGCTTGCCGATAATTCTATTATGATACTGTCGGCAAGAGAACTGCGGGCTCATACAACTATAACCGGCTTACAAGTATGTCCAACGCCAACCAATCAATTGAATGGACAAGGCCACTATACCGGGGGCACATACCACTCCTTTCGTGCCGCAGCTTCATTGCATCCCAAGCAGCCAGATCAACTTCTAATTGCGGTTCCGGCCTCCCAGCAAATCTCTGGAGATGCACATATATGTGTCAATTCGCCTGTTCTACAAACATATAATATTCGTACCAATAGCCATATCTCGCGCCAAGCCCTCACGCGAACCAATGCTACAACTTTGACTATGAGTCCGGAGGGGACCAGAATTACCGCACCGGATATCGAATATTTGTCTGTTGCACATGATGGAAAGTGGCTTGCCACAGTCGACAGCTGGCGTCCAAGCAAGGATGACCTTAAGGCTTGTGAACTCGGTCACATTGCCACTGATGACAACGGTGAAGATTATCAGGAGATTTTTTTAAAATTCTGGAAGTGGAATAGCTTATCCAGCTTGTGGGAGCTAGTTACTCGAGTTGACAACCCACATTTCTTGGGAAAGAGTACACTACCTGTGCTCGATCTCACTTCCCAACCGCACAATCACGGATTCGCATCTATTGGGGCTGATGCGGTGTTGCGTTTCTGGTACCCAAGCCCCAGGCAGCGGAGCGGATTGAAGGCAGTCGATGTAGAGCAGCTGCTGGAAACGTGGAAATGCCGAAGCATTGTTGACCTCAAGGGGAGTATTGGTAATATTAATGCCAACAGGCTTTGTGCAGCCAGCTTGTGCTTCTCCGGGGATGGCTCAGTTCTTGGTGTTTCTCTGCAGTCAGAATCTCTATATCACAACATTACGCTCCTCATTGACGTCTGCACACATGAGATTTGTCATACTAGGGTTGGGATTTTTTCAGGGGATCTCTGTGCGATCAAGTTCATTGGCAGGCACTTGATTATTGCTTCAAGCCGGTCATTGTCTGCTTGGGATACAGTTGGAGATACCGTAAGAACTATCGGGCCCTCAGACCTTGACAAACACATATCGACCGAAGGATCTCCACGACTATTGGCTGTGGATCCCAATGCGTTGACATTTGCGGTTACGACTCATTACAATGGGGAAAATTCCTCTGGTCGATCCAACAAGAAGCGGCGCAAGGTTAATTCTTATGTGCAGATATATGACCTGGGTTCCTTGACACTTCTTTATGAACTTCCACTGAGAACCTGTCCTCTGGCATTGCTCTTAGACCCGATCTCTGGGGACTACATTATTGTCGATGCTGCAGCTAACGTGCGGCGGCTGGGCAGCTTGGGCAATACTACTAGGGTTACAGCCGGTTCTCATGATGCATCTTCTCATCTCAAGTCCGGATTTGCAAATCTGTTCGGAGGTCACGCGGGTCATTCTAACCTAAAACTGCCAGCGAGGGCTGTTGGGGTCGAAGCTGAAGATGCGTCTCTATCAACTAAAGCATTGGCTAATGTTTTTGGAGACGCTGCTTCGTTTAGTTTGCCATCTGTCGGTGCTCTCTTCAAGGACGTGGTCAGGTACCTTAAATCGGGTTGAATGCCAGCAGACAGTTATCTTCAGCTAGTGGTTCATCTTATCTGGGGTCATATGGCACATTCTGGAACCAGTCAAGGGTGGATAATGCTTGATGATCTATATTTGTGACATCTTTCACAATGAACTTTAATAACATTCGATTCACACTGCCTGAAAGGGGCATGGTTTGAGTATTAGCAATTCTGTTATGGCGCTGTCTTCTGGACAGTATGATTTGGGTCAAACAAGCAAATTGGGCTGTAACAGTACTCTTAGAGGTTATTATTTGAGTGGTTTTGGTTGCTGCTTTTGGGTAGCCAGGGGAAAAAAACCATGAAAGAAAGGTGGGGAGGAATAGGGTGCCCAGGAGACGTGGCACTTTTATCTTTTGTGTAGGTGCATACAGATATTTCTATGGGAATCTCTTAAATCTATTATTACTTGTGTTCTAGGATATGTATTTTTATGATTTTTTTTATGCCATTGATGTGCTTTTTTTGCCCTAAGGTGCTGGAGTGTCATTGTAATCAATAATAATGGCCTGGAATATCTATATCTAGGATAGCATACTGACAATACTTAGGAGTAGCCCCCCAGTATCTTTCGCATTGTTCTAACATCACCATCAGGCTGTGGGTTCATAACTGGTATATGTTGAGGTTATATTTCGCGTGTAAGTACAGTCCTTAAACAGAGTTGGTATTCAGTGCAATGGCTGTATTTTTATTTCAGCAATATACACAATGTCCATCCATATATGCTATGGAATCCAACATAGATATATCAACACCCTCTCAAGTTTCCCAAACAACCCGAAACCATACATGTCTGATAATCAATTCCCGAGTCAAGCCTCGCCTCTAGGAGACCAACCAATAGTTGAACCTATAACAGTAGGCATACATCTATCCATGCACTGAAGCTAGGGTAGACCATAATCAACATTGTAGATGAGGGGAACCAGTGTGCGAATCATGAACCAGAAGCAACTATCTTCCAACCGGACTAATTCTACAAGACACCTCAGCCCCAGTTTAAATGACACAAAGGAGGATCCCAAGCTAATTCATACAGGGTTCAAGCAAAATAGAAATGATGCCTTCTTCCCTTGCATATGCGTTAAATACGCGTCGAGCGCACTGTCATCATCGATCAGAAAGGGAATTTCATTTCCCGAGGTGTCCTCTTCAATACCCTCAATTCTCGAGACTATAGAATCCGGAAACCTGGAAAGGACTAATTGTCGCAACTCAGTTACAGATCTGGTCACCAGTTTCTCAATCCACGTTTTGGATATCCCATGCAATTGACTCTGGGTACTAATTCCAAGGTAAACCGGTATTTGTGCTGGAATAGCAGACCCGAGCACAGGATAGACATATCCAAAATTGTTCCCCGTATTATGCTGGACACTTGCAGCGAAGGACGGATCATTGGCAGCCTGCAGAAGAGAGGGGTCTATCTGCATATCGGTCAAGTCATTAGGGACAACCGGAGCACTGGCAAGAGCTTGCGACGCGAGTGTGCTAATCCCATTACTGACGCTACCTGCAAATGCGTTCGAAGCACTATTGCTGACCGGCGCAGGATTCCGGTTGGGGTGGATAGTTGACCGCCGACGTGACGGGTCCCGTTTGGTTTGGTCGTCGCGGAGCCGCTTCATCACGTCGCGACAAAGTACTTCTAAAGCCTTCAACTTGGTGGAGTGCTGCGGGTCCGCAGAGCCGGGGGCAAGAATGCGTTGGAGAAGCTCGGAACCTTCAATCCACTTTTGTTTTAGGCCCTTCCAGTGTTCATCACCGGCCTCTAGCTTGCTTGTAAAATGGTCGGCCTTTAAAGTGTTGTAGAATGCGTTTCGAATCTGGCGGCTCTCTTCTGGATTGATTCCGAGAGCGTTTTTAGCCTCTGCAATCGTCATTCGTGTTTCTAATGTTCGCATTCGTTTGGTGACGTCTGTGCACACCACATCAAGAGCAAGTGCTTTAGCATCAAGCTGAGTTGTATCAGACTGAAAGACGTGCCGAAGGTGCTGTGATTGATCTATCAGTTTATCCTTCGCAGCCTGCCATCTTTCTGGGCCGGCGACAGTCTTCTTTATGAAGCCCGCTTCTTCGCAGATTTTTTGAAATTGATCTCTTATTTCACGGTACAAAGTATTGTCTAAGCTGAGATACTTCTTACTCTCATCAATGGTCGTTTCAGAAGGGAACCGAGGAGGCCCTGGAGGATCTGCCGGCAGTCCGGCCCAACCCCGAGTGCGACGACGACGTTTTCTTGCCGCCCAACGCTGTGCACTTTCCGCCTTCAATTGTTCAAGTCTCTCTTTGCGCTTTGCCAAGACCTCGGGAGACATGCCAGGCGAGGGCGGAGACTGCTGGACTCGCGATTGGGGCGGGAGCGTTTCACTATCGTCGAACGGGGCTTCTTCATTTTTGTACACCTCGTGCTGTAGTGCACGTAGACCCTCATCTTCCGGTTGCTGTGTTTGAGTTTGTATGACTGATTGAGATTTCATCCCATTAGGCACACGGAGCAACCAGCGGTTTCTGGCACGCACTCGCATCAACTCCCTCTCCTTGATATCGAAACCCTCCTCATTTAATATCCTTAGCATGTCCCGCTGGCTTGTATTTTTTTCCCAGAGCTGCTTGACCCGCGCAACAAGATTCACATTCTTATGTGCTGGATTCTGCTTTGATGGAAAACCCCATCGTTTGAATTGTGTTTGAAAGGCGCGTTTACTATATTGAAAAGGAAACGTATGAGTATTGTCATTTGGAAGAGATACGTGAAGGAGTATAAGGAGGGGGAAGCGTACACACGTGGAACAGACAAAACATGCAAGCATATATGTATACATATACATGAAAGGTGAGCTCACCTTGGGGCGAATTGATAGGCGGATTTCATATATTCCATAATTTCCTCCAGCGCCTTCTTATCTTTGATATACATTTGATAACATATCTCACGTTTCCCATCCCAATCGTAGACCATGGCTGGCCAGACAGATGCAGGCGCCCCTCCGGACGGAGGTGCGTCTTTGGCAGGGGAAGGGATAGAGAATGGGAAAGAAGATAGATAGGCTTAAGCACTTGTTGTCGCTGCGGTGCACCGTACAGAAATGATAAGATGATAGCACTAGTAGCGTTCTCTGGACTGCGTGCCTCTGCGCTGTCTGGTCCGCCGTAGAAGAGATGGGATGATATTTTGCATAGAGGAGTAGAGACAGTGCTTGAAAGGTTTCTGGTGTGCTGACTCCGAGATCTGCTCCTTCCAATCACGTGGGAGAGCACGTCACGGGACCTCAATCCACTGCTGGGACATTCTGCATCCAGGGCGGTTGCAAAAGACAAGAATTTTACAAAACCGAGAACTCAATCTGGTTATAGGTAGATAATTCATAGAAATCATCATTCAAGTCTATGAAGAACTTGGCTTTTGTAATGGAAAACATAGCATCTAGACAAAGGAAAATCGTTCATACTCGATGGAAAAAGTGGATAGATAATGCCCACGAGTATAAGGCCGCCGTCTTCTCAAACTAAAGATTCCGGTGGTCATCATTTGCGCCCGTATGATGAGGAATAAAACGTCAGATAAAGGGGGGGAAGGCAGATATCAATGGGGTTTCCGTAATCTCCTTCGCAGCTTGAATACTCTGGTCTGTAGCCAGGTTACAAAAAGCATCCATCTACTCTTGGACTGGGATCTCCATGATGGAGATTTGGATTGAGCGGGTGAAGATACGTCCGGCTCAGGGCTAGCTAATTTCTCTGAGAGGTCGTTTTCCGGGGCAGCATTTTCAGATGATGTCCCCACCATTTGATAGTCTGTGGAGGTTCTGTGGGAAAGTTGTTTCTCCTGGCGGCGCATTTGTCTTTCTTCTGCCTTCATTTGTTGCCTTTCGAACTTCCGTGCCTTCGCTGCTTCTTTCTCTTCGAATGCTTTGCGTGCTGCCTGAATTGTAGCAGCCCGTGATATGGGATCGGTATTTGCCCGCTGTTTTGGTCGAAACACGAAATCTAAAGATGACCGAGAATTCTGTGAAGGTGAGTCGAGGTTTCCGCTGTTATCCCTGGAGTAGCCAAAGGAATGTCGACCCGCAACACTTGTTTGCGACATCCCTGGCAACCCCGTGAATGAGTTCCTGTGGGTCTGCAAAGACAACCGAGGTCGCTGTAGGCTATGGAAACCGTCTGAACCCGACAAAGTCGTGGGCTCTCCGTCGAGGAAGAGACCTGCGTCCCCAGAGTCGTCACTTTCAGCTGAAGAAGTTTGGTAGGATTGGCTTAAGGGCGTATATACGCTAGGCGTCTGGCGGATTGGATGGATGTAGTGAGAGGTTGGCTTTGTCACACCAGAACTTCCTGCAGAGAATTGGGACGCTCTACTAGTAGATCGATGATGAAGACCAGATACCGTTCTTCTGCCCAAGCTGCCACCATAGTAATCACCTTGTAGTCCTCCCTTATCGAAATTTGTGTAGATTCCAAGACCCTCGTACTCGAGAGAGGATCGTGAAAGATCGAGTGAAGTTGACTGGGAAGCATCGCGGGACAATCTTTTGAGCAGAGGTTTGACATTGACCTTGGCTCTGACACTTTTGGTTTTCTGCAGCGAATGATTGTAGCTCCCAATGGGCGGATCTGACGTATATTGCTCGATCGGTTGGTGAACGCCAAAACTTCTCCAAGATTGTCCATATGACACTGGATCCGTGTTAGCGCGTCTTGGTTGCAGTGAAATTCGCCCTCTGTGCTCAAGGGGTGGAAATTCTGATGCATTCAATGAAGGTATGAAACCCTGGGAGTCGCTGAGTTTGAGGGGAGGGCGATTTGTAGAGCAGGAGTCGTCATGGAGAGATTCCCAACCGCTGATACCGGAGTCGTTGGGATAGATCGAATGAGCATTGCTCGCGGAATCAGACGCGCAACTCGAACTTCCAATTTGCACATGTTTCGCAACAGGCGACGTCGAATCCTGGATGAAGTTAAGGTCGGCGCGTGCCATGGGAAGGCAGAGAGAAGATATCTTCTCTCTTCAAGCATATGAGTCTGGCAGGAAGTAAGCACCTAGCAATTGCCGGTGAAACTCATCGTCGCCAAAGACGATGATAGGTCAATTATGACAGGCTTTAGTGATAATATCTGTCTTGGACGACTAATATAGTGTGTATATAAAACAGCCTTTCACCGAAAGCCTTAGTGACGATTCGGAGAACCGGAAGGGACTGTAATCCGCGAACAGGTTTCTCTTCTGTCGAATATCATCAAGTGACGCGATGAGCGGAACGGAATGACGAGAGAAGTCGAGTCAAGAACAATCTATGATAAAGTGACACGAGCTGGAGTCATGAAACGAGTTTATGAAAACGGCATATAATACCAATGAGCATAACTGATATGATCAACGGGCCAAGGTGACAAAAGTCATGCAGGTATACAATGCTACCGCGAAGGAGACGAAGCTCTTGGACGACGAATACAACACGAGCTGACGGGGAGGCAGATACTCTGTAGATAAATGACAGTCCATGAAGCCCAAGAGAAGCAGAGGGCGAGGGGGGAGGAGCACCCGAACGCGACTTTTGGTAGCGATTAGCCTGTCGGGAGTCCCGGCGCACTGCATAATGAAACACGTCCTGGATAATTTGGGCGTCTAACGGCTTAGTGGCAACCTTGGGAATATCATCTAATGACCCCAAGAACTTCTCCTGAAAGAATATATTATTATTGTTTCCCCACTGGAGCTATTATTATTACTGTTATTATTATTTTGACTGACCAGAAAATTGGCTATTGACACTGCAGCATAATAATAATACCCAATAGTATGGTAAGGAGCTCCTGCAAGGTACAGAATCTCTAACATGGACTGTGCAGTTCTAATCTAATATTCTCAAGCTGCCCGTGGATAGATACAATCCCCACAGGGTACATATCGACTTGGAAGACAGGAATAACTCAAAAAGACTGGCAGAACAAACACTGACGGCTCTCTGGCAGCTGTCTCCTGAGTTCTGAACAGAGGTGATGCACTTACAACTAGAATGAAACGTATCTTTAGGAAAGATCTACATGGTAATTGATACCGTGAATAAGGAGTATTGTACTATGGAGTATTGGATGACCATAACTAGCCTCTGTTTAATGACACCAGTGGAGCCGGGAATTAGATCGAGACTTCATCATCCACAGTTTCCACATCGGACAAAAGTACTAATAAGATGCGCAGAACCGGGAGTGGTTCTCAGCCGACCTTCAACTAGTATAAGGGGTGCCCGTACTATCTATGTTAGTGCCTTCTAGAAACACTAGAAGTACCAATACGAGTAAATTGGCGTTGGGTAAAGAGGCCATCCTGCTGTAGCTCGATACTAAAATGAGGGTGTCGGGAGAAACACTTAAGTCTCTCGCTCTGAGCCGATCGACTGACTGTATGCTGTGACTCAAAACGGCACACTAAATAGTACGGTATGATCAACAAACGAATCCAAGGGGTTTTCAAAGTTTCTACTACAAAAATAAATCGGGACCAATACTACATTATCCAATGTGCAAGAGGACGAGCACGGAAAACCCACGCTAGAAGCGGCCTTCCTGGCATCGATTCGGACTTGAAAATGTCGGTCAGGCAGAAGTATTTCAACGGGAGACAGGCATGAATACCTTGAACAGCTATTTTTCGAAGCCCCCTAAACGGCTTGTTGGTAATCACTCTAATTAATTGGAAAAAAAGAACATCTGGGTAAGTCTCACCACCACCTGCGTGGCTTAAGAATAGGTAGGATATATAGGTTTGGAGTACGGAGTACACCTACAAACCAATTAAAGATAACTGCATTGCATGGCGGAAAGAGGCATTCATACTAGTACTGCCCTTTATCTGCTTCACCCAGGAAGGTACGCATGTACTTCACCATTCCTTAATTTCCCCTGGCGCTGGGTGTTCGATTCGTACAACCTTGTCCGGGTTAAGTAATCGGAGAGGATCCAATGCCAATTTGACCTGGGATAAGAATTGATGTCAGTGCTCATGTTTATCGTCGCCATTGCTTCCAGGCTGGTACATTATCTTCCGACCAGCCTGAGGCGCAGTAAAGGTGAACTCACCCGTCTCATAGTATCCACTGTAGTCTCGCCCACTTCATGGGGCAAATAATCCCGCTTGACTAGGCCAACACCATGCTCGCCTGTCACTGTTCCTTCCAGCTCCACTGCTCGCTTTACCATTCTGTGAACTACACCCTCGGCAACCTCCCTTTGCTTTTCGCTGAACAAAATAATTGCTGTTCAAATAGGTTATTATTCTTGCTCCTGCTGCTTGAGATGAATGGAACGTTACCATGAAAGTTGCCATCACCAACATGCCCACAGATCCCTGCTAACAACCCGCTTTGAGTGAGGTCCTTCTTTGTCGCATCAATTATCTGGGCCAACTTGCTCATTGGCACGGCAACGTCAGTTGTCCAAACATGGTCGGCAGGGTCCTTCTTCATTGCTACCACGCTCCAAAGAGCCTCTTTTCGGGCGCTCCAGAGTTCTCTCATTTCATCTTGTCCACGAGCGAATTCAAAGGATTGACCTGAAGTGTTTGATACGATCTTCTGTACCATACCAATCTGCTCCTTGATCCCTCCGGGTGTGCCTGTGAACTTGAAGAACAGAGTCGGCGACTCTTTCCACCGCCGGCTAGTCGACTGACTGGCATTGATGCATTTCATTTGGACATCATCCAGGATTTCGACACCCGCAACAGGAATTCCTTCCTGGACCACGCGTGTCACACATTCTGCAGCATCATAGACATTTGGGAAGCTTGCAACTGCGACATTTTGACTCTTTGGTTGAACTGTTAGTTTCAGAGTAGCTTCAGTCACAAGTCCTAGTGTCCCTTCGCTGCCAATGAACAATTTGGTAAGATCGTATCCAGCGCTTGACTTCCTTGGTCGTTGTCTCGTTTTGATAATCGTTCCATCGGCGAGGACGACCGTCAACGACAGAACCCATTCCCGCATAGTCCCATACCTATAGGCATTGGTTCCTGAACAGCCAGTGCCCACCATGCCACCAATCATGGCACCGGGACCTGGGTCCGGAGGGAAGAATAAGCCGTCTTTTGAGAGCTCCTCATTCAGACCTTCCCATCCAAGCGCAGGTTGCACGACAACGTCGAGGTCCTCTTTATTGACATGCAATATTTGATCCATGCGGCTGAAATCAATACAGACGCCTCCCCTAGTTGAGGTAAAATGGCCCTCCAAACTTGTACCGCCGCTGTAGGCCGTCACAGGGATAACCCTTCGGTGGCAGACTTTCATTATGCGTGATACTTCCTCGGTCGACGACGGATAAACAACAAGAAAGGGCTTTTCATTCTCCTTCGGCGTATAAGAAGACCAGTCCGATATGGTGTGCACAGCCAAGTCAGACGAATTTGTCGAGACATACTCTTTCCCAAGAATCTCGACGAAATCTGCCCAGGCAGCCTGAAGATTTGATATGGAAACATTGTGTTCTAAGGGCTGCAAATCGGACAGCGGAGTAGTGGACGAGGTGGGAAGATTCGGGGGTTTTAGAGTCCCTAGGTAGTAGGCTCCAGCGGAGAAGAAAACCAATGCTGGATGTCACAATTAGCACAAGGCGATTCTTATTTATTTTCTTGAGAGGAAGAAGAGGACGTGTTGTCATAACCAAGGTCTTCAGAACTGTAAACATACCGAACGTCAAAGCTGCATAGCGACCTCCAGGTGACTGGGTCTGGAATTGTGAAAACCGCTCTTGCTCGGCGCGTTCGCGCTTCAATCTTTGCTGTGTACTTTCATACAGCTGGCTCTTGAATGACTGAGGTTTCGCGTCTTCAGCTTGTTTGCTCGACGTCCCGAATTGTCCTCTTTGGTTGGTGACATGTAGAGGAGAACTGGACGGTTTGGATCGGTGGGCACGTAAAGCCACTCTCAAGGGGAGAGAACTCCGTCTGAGCATGGTAGCTAGGGAAATATTATGAGATGCTACAAGTAGAAAAGGAAAAGGAAAAGTCAGCACTGCCTAAGGAATTGAAAGCTGGTGTAAGCGCGAACCCGGCTTAAGAAGCTTGCTGCTTAGGGTCGGTCTAGTCCGAGCTGAGTCAGGTACTAAGTAGATAACTAACTACTACCCATCCACTTGCAGGTTTTGCCTTGAGGAGTATTCGATGAGATTTGCCATAGAGAGGACGGTAATGACGCTTATCAAGGCAAATGCGGCGCGCGAGCTTCGAGTTTCCACCAGTAGTGAGACAGCACACGGTATCCAGCCACCGTAAAGGGAAATATGGGCTCTGTGTATGGCGTATTCAAGAGGACTGGCGGAAAAAATGCGGAAGTGGTTGCGGAAACAAAGGCGGATGCAGGGTTCCAGAAGGACCGTCGCAGAATGATACGGACTCGACTCCGGAGAAAGTGCCGTACTCCGTAGGTTACGGCTAGTGCGTGACCATAATTAAATATAATCATGATGGCTTCAAATTCCCAATACCTGTCGGACACGCATCTCCAATAGCAATACTCCGTAAACAGCGAGCTAATTAGTGAGGGGCGCAGAGGCACCAGTGGGTATCTTCAACACCACACAGGATTCGCGACGCATGTGCCAGCATAGCACTCGGAGCTTTGGATAGTGATCTAAAGGTACCCAGTAGCGCTGTCAATTTCTTCCAATAGGTACCTTTTGGACGCCATGCTTGTGCTAGCACATGCATATATAAAGGCCGTATAGATCAATCATTATATGCAAAATCACTTACTACTCTGTACCTAGGATTCTTCTTTGGCCGTCATACGCCATTGAATGTGGGGTTAAAAAACCTCAACATCCATTTGTCTTCATATGATTCCGTGTCCATCGGCGATATTGATAGGCAGCTGGCTCCCGTCAACATGAAGTATTCCGCCGAAACCACGGGAGTGCGCGTACTCGTCGGCTCTGGATGACAACAACAACCTTTGACATGTGGCCCTTAAAAAATGCCATCGATGAACTTCCAGAATGCGTCCAAGAAGAGCAGCGTTGAACGAGGATAAGGGGGAAGAATCTGCCTATGTTCATTGTCCTCCGATTCCCCCCGCCGGGGTTGATCTTCCCCGCCGGGACTGATCTCGGGACTGATCTAAGACATGCGTATGTTTCCCGCAGTATGCCCATGACATATGTGCGGGGGAATTGTGTGTAGTAAGTGTGGCATTATGTACCTGCACATACGTAAGGCCCACGGACAAGCACGAGAATTGACAACTCAGCCTTCTAGCCACGTCGCCGGCCTCGTGAAAGACGGTAATACGGAGTATCGTATCATCCTGCACATTCTACATACACGGAGCTGGAAGTTGTCCAGTTCATCGGTCGATCCACCAAAACTGCCGATTAGTATCGGCGGCGGAAGCTAGGTCATACGTTATCTGCAGACAACTCGCGACGAATCTTTGGTCACTTTCACCGCACGGTCTCACCGGTGACTATTTATTGCAGTTCCCTCGCCTGGGACACCGGGATTCCCATCTCTTTGTTGTTGAGACGAGATCCAGCGAGAAGAATCAGAGTTCCCCGGCCACATCAACGTACTTTGGCTATTTACCCATCCAAAGACGGTGATTCAGGAAACGAAGTAGACGAGTTTAGTGAGTTTCGTTGAAGATGAGTACCGAAACTACAACCGAAAAGGTATCTGCGTCTGGAGCTTCTCTCCCACCCTTATAATTTTCTCTCACTCTCCCTGCTCTTTTTACTTATTTTTATTCTTATAATCGCAATTCAGCATTGCTAACAAAAGATCATCTTTCAGAACCTGTCATTTGTGCTCTCGGGCATCCACCAGGTTTCCTTTGAAGACCGCCCTGTTCCCGAATTGAAAGATCCTCATGATGTTCTCATAAACGTTAAATTCACCGGTATCTGTGGCAGTGATGTGTGTAACCAGTATTCACCTCTTAAGAGGCGTATGGGTCATTCTAGTTGAATGTCATGATCGGTTGCTGACTTCTCGGGATCTTTCAATCTTCCAGGTACACTACTGGGACCATGGTGCCATTGGCAACTTTGTTCTGAAAGATCCAATGGTACTGGGACACGAATCATCAGGCGTCGTCGCTAAAGTAGGATCCGAAGTCACATCGCTGAAGGTGGGCGACCATGTCGCTATGGAGCCGGGCATTCCATGTCGCAGATGTGAGCCTTGCAAGAGTGGAAAGTATAATCTCTGCGTTGCCATGGCCTTCGCGGCGACGCCCCCCTACAATGGCACACTGGCGAGGTATTATGTCCTTCCTGAAGACTTCTGCTATAAGCTTCCTAGCACTGTGTCTTTAGAGGAGGGAGCTATCATGGAGCCCCTAGGTGTCGCTGTTCACATTGTGAAGCAAGGAGAGGTTTCTCCTGGACAGACCGTAGTGGTTTCTGGTGCTGGACCTGTTGGCTTATTATGCTGTGCTGTTGCCAGGGCTTTTGGTGCTTCCAAAGTCATTGCTGTCGATATCCAGCCTTCAAGGTTGGAATTTGCGAAGACATATGCAGCAACGTCGGTTTTTGAACCATCCAAGACAGCAACTCCAGAACAGAATGCAGACCGGTTGAAGGAAGAAAATGATATCCCGCTTGGCGCTGACGTTGTCATTGATGCTTCCGGCGCGGAACCCTCTATTGCAACTGGCATCCATGCTACCAGAAATGGTGGTGTCTATGTGCAGGGCGGAATGGGCAGAAGCGAGATTACATTCCCTATCATGGCCGCTTGCCAGAAGGAGTTGACCGTCAGGGGCAGCTTCCGGTATGGTAGTGGAGACTATAAGCTTGCGGTCGACTTTGTCTCGTCGGGTAGGGTCGATGCAAAATCGTTGATAACAGGCGTTGTCAAGTTTGAGGAGGCCGAGCAAGCTTTCAAAGAAGTTAAGGCTGGAAAGGGCATTAAAACCCTCATTGCCGGTCAGGAATAAGGGTTTTCTAGCTGCAACAAGGTGGAAATGCTTCTTGAACTTCACTTACGTTTATATTACTCTTCTCCCAGGCAGAAAAATTAATGAAAGGTCCAGGAGTCAACATCTTTCAAGGGGATGTGCATGTGGTAAGGTAGCTGAAGAAGAACCTATAAAAAAGCAGAATAAATGATGAGAAGTAGATGAAACCCACCACATAACGCGAGCACACCAATATAGTGGCAGTATCAATGACGATTGCAATTAATTAATAGTACCACAGGGATATCCTCAGAAGACCGGGAACCAGAGAGCCGACGGGTATCATATGAAATGGCGGATCCAGATCCTGAGCAAACAAGCAAAATCAAACTGGGAGACAGAAAAATGTAACATCCGTGTCACAAGTGACCCTGATTGTTTATACAAATAGAAAACCGAGAGGGAAAGGGAGTAGAACAAAAAGCACCTTGAAACAAAGAAAAAAGATCAACAACATCCTCTGTTCCTCCTTTGCTGCGAGCCACTTAATCCAAACACATCCTCCCATTCTCTCATGCCACTTTTCCAGTTTGTCGTTCCTCGCCTCGAATTTCTCCGCTGGAGCTGAACTGCGTTATCGTCGTCAAATCCAAACCCGCTTCGAGTACTCGAAGCATCACTTGTGCCATGGCCGTACAGACCGCCATCGCCGTACTGGATCCCGCTCTGGGGATCATCAGGGTCGATCTCACCTAGCTCGATCTTGGTAAGGATTATACGCGCTAGCCGTGTAAACAATTCCTCCACACCTTCACCAGTTAGGGCAGAAACCTCAACAGCAACAGGAATGTTCGATTTGGCAGCCCAATGGGACGCTTCTTCCGCGCTGACTTCTCGACCCTGAGGTGCAAATGTAGCAGTCATCCTTGTTCCGGCGCCGGGTCCACTTGCGGAGTGGATAGAATCGCCGCCTGAGTCGACCACAAAGGATGACTGCTTGCTGGAAGTACTGGACGGTGTAGGGGGAGGTCTTATGCCATCATCAGGCATCTCAGATGCTAGATCCGCTTTATTCCCAGCTAAGAGGACGGTGAGATTCGGGGATGCGAGGGCGCGCGCATCCATAAGAAACGTGGGAAGTGCGGAGAAAGAACGGTGGGACGACACGTCGTAAACAAGAACCGCCCCTGCCGCACCGCGATAATATGATCGGGAAACGGAACGGAATCGCTCAGTGCCTGCCGTGTCCCAGAGTTGAAGTTTGATCCGTTTCCGCCGCGAACCAGAGCCCAACTTCACGATTTTCGAAGAAAATTCGACACCGATCGTTTGCGACGATAGCACTCTCCCTACATGTGCATAGTACGGAGCATTAGCGAGCCGGACATCCAGCTCGAATCTCAAGAAAAGAACATCGGTATGTAATCAGGCTCAACTAGATATCGGATCAGACAGCCGTACATTCGTCCTTCACAAAGCGATGTAGCAAACAAGATCTGCGAAAATAGAGAATCGATCAGAGCGTGATGGAGAAGAGTTTATACAATCCACCGACCAATCGATTCGTCAATCAATCGAAGAGACGTACTTTCCGGCACCGCTTGGCCCAAGAAGGATGATCTTGGCAAGATAGTCGTACATACTTCCCAGTTCCTAAGTGGCCATCAAGTATTGAAGTGAGCAACAATCTCTTGCATTTAACAAGCGTATCTTTACAGCCAGGATAGAATTGGCCCGGTTTTCCTTACCTGGTGATTCCTTTCGGGATAGGAAAGGGAAGAAGTGGAAGACACATTGGAAAATCCCCTCTGACGTACCATAATGGCTGCATCAGGAATGAAAGTGCTAAGTTGCTGATAAAAGAAGGGTATAAAAGAGTACTGCGTTCCTGCAGCTACCGCATCTCTGAAGTAGACACTAGGAACTCGTCTATACCTCTATGTCGTGGATGCGATGTACACTATACAGGCGATGATAGAAGGCGACGATGGATGCCGGGTAGTCTCAACCTCCGAAGGCCGACTTCTGACGTAGGCTTGGCATTGCTCTCGAACATTGCTCGGCTGAAACAGCATGCGAGCGCACATGGTATATCGCAGCCATTAAAACCATTCCCTTCTTCATGTGGAATTTTAATTGGCAGGGGCGCTCACCACATTGGTCACAAGAGCACTACCAGCTAATGAGCATGATGTCCATGCGTACAACTACTGAACATTCCAGACATAACATCCTCAAGAACTTCGTGAGTACATAAGCGCAAAATATTATTTCTACTTTAATTTCCATTGTCAGTACACGCAGGTTACAAGAATTAGTTCGGTCATCAGGTCATGCCAACAATAAGGTTATGTTCTAGACCATCGATACGTAAAGTATCGCTGGAATATCCAAAACATAGCATCAGATCGTCAGTTGGAATACCAAGCAGAGAGCAGGCATGGATTTAAGAGACAGAGCTATAAGGATCTGAGAGAAAAGACAATACTGGTAGCCTAAACATCTAGGTATTTGGCAGTCTTTCACGCAGTTGAACGACGGTAGCCCATATGTGACAGCATGATTCAAGCATTCGATGTTCGCACCAGCAACATCGCAGGGATGTAGGGTTCGATCCCGACAGCTCTGATCCGGTTGGTCTGTGGAACAGCTGCTTCCGCTGTGGTCTGTTGGAATATCCCCGCTGGGGATCCTGGAATGATGTCCCATTCGGTCCTGCGAAACTTCGTTTTTCATGGTGTTCTTCATTTGATTCTAATCCTTGTATTCCAGAGCTGCATGGATGTGCCCTGGGCTCTTCGGGAGGATTCGTCATGGGTCTCAGTCTTGCGTACACCTCTGAGGGCATATCATGCCAAATATTGCAGTTACAACAAATCACGAAAACTTTTGTGAGAGTGTGACCCTGTTCAAGAGGCTCTGGAATGTTGCTCTTTTGAGTATTTGTAGCCCCATTAGTCGTAGGGGCTGTCCCACCAGAGCAAGAGATGGTGTCTTTGGAGGCGGAGACTCGAGGAAGACGACCGTGGGAGCTTTGATGATGTGAATGAGTTGAAGGTAGATTCTCTCGGGAGCCGGCAGTACTTCCCGCATCTTCTTCTGCTGTCTCATAGTTCTCTTCGTGGTGAGGTTCTTGGGAAGAGCATGCTGATGGTGGTCTCTCCGGTGAATGAATTGGTTGGTCCGGCGGGCTTTTGCAGAAGCTAATATCTGAAGATTGACCAGATCTGCTGCTGGATATGTTCTCTGTGAGGAGGGGGTTTAATCGTACTGGGACACCCTCCATGATAGCCGGTTTCGACTTAGGGCCGTACGAGACAGGCGATTTGCCTTTCAGAGAACGATTGTCACTTGCGTCGGTTTGCTTCACCAGCGAGTCTGCCGCTGGATCTGAGAGGGTGATAAACGAAGGCAGAAACCGCCGCCGATTACCCTTAACTTTCAATTGGTGTTTGCCGTGAATCTGGGAAGCATCGCTCTCCGTTTCTAGCTTAGTCCTAAGCGGCGAGGGGTTAATCAGTGTGGCGGTCGATGAATTCCCTTGTGCCCTGGCTTTTTCTGTTCGATGATGATCACAAGAGCTTACAGTATGTGAGCTCTCTGATTTCGAAGCTAACAGGCCGCCTGAAGCATGCGCTTCTGAAGGTAGCATCTGCGCCCTATTCTTGGACGTTCGAGACGTTGAGATGAATGTCGTACTTTTCGTTTCTACCGACAAGTCTATGCTGACACTCATTGCAGGCGCAGCTGCCAGAGGAGAGGACTTGAAAGTTGTATTATGACTGCGGGAGCTTTTATCAGAGAGGTTCCTGATCGATGAGGGTTTGGGGGAAACCCCTTGCAAGAAGGGCGAAGATGGGGTTGCACTTGGCTTCATTACATCTTGGCGAATGGATTGATAGGATAACAAAGTCGGAATATCGGACTGCAGCTTGGGAATAACGGGGTGCGTTGTCTGTGGCCTGCTTTGTGGCTGCCCATATCCTTTGGTTTGTGGGGCCACTTGCCTAGAGGGAAGGGAATGATGATTGCCGGCAGTTGAGGACGTGGTAGGCTCCTTCGGACTTGAGCCAAGGGTTCTCTTGTTTAGGTCCGAGGACAGGGCAAACGACAGGTCTGCCGAAGGGTTCAAAGCGGTCATTGTTGATGATTTCTCCGGGATTGCATGTTTAGCACGAGCCTGGTCGGATTTTGGGCCTTGTTGGGAAATAGCCTGATGTTCACACAGTGAATATCCATTTTCGTCTACCGCTTGCGAAACTTTCCTGCTGCCCCAACGGCGAAGGGCACCTGCAGCCGTCTGCAGGGATCGTTGTGGTTGGGTCATTGGCTTAGGATCTGCAAGCACAGCGGTATTTTGGTTAGCTGGTTCTCTAGACGTCGTTTGGCTAGAGCGTTCTGGTAAATCTGAATCCAGAGAAGGAGCAGTAGATGAACCATTATGTCCCTGTGAATGGTGATTTGGAAGATCAATCGACTCAGGGCAGGATGGAGCGTGGCTTCGATTTGTAGAGCTAGACCGAGAACGAGAGGAACGCCCTGACGCCGAGAAAAAGGACGCGAAAGAAGCGCGAGACGACATTGATTCCCCTGCACTCATGCTTGAATCTCTACTCGAATTGCTCGGTGGTCGCTTTTTAATAAGACGACGAGAAGCCCTCTTGTTCGACCCAGAGGACTGCGCCTCTTCAAGCTGTTTTAAACGGTTCTCAAGTTCTTTCCTTTCTGCCTCGAGACGTCTTGTAACGCGTTTTTCTTTCTTCTTGCCCTTTTTGTCATCTCCGAATAGCAAACCTTTTGGTCGGCTGTTGCTTTTCTTGCCATTTTCTGATGGGAGTTGCTCTTCGGAAACAGTATTTGTGGCAGCGGATTCTGTGTCATTCACAGGCTGGCGTACATCACCTGTAAGGCCGTCTACACTGCCTTCTCCACCCTCATTTCGAGCATTTGCTTCAACTTGCTGGTGGAGTGTGGGGGGGGAATCTGGGTCGCTTTGGGTTCTCTTTTGAAGAGTCAATAATAGGCACTCAGGTTGGCATTTGCACTTGGGGCCCAATCAAGAATCATATCTCACATTTGCTTGGTTCTCAACACGTAGTATGCGTTGGACATGTTCTGTAAACGATGACTTGCGTGATCTTCGAGTCTGATCCATATCTGTCGGTTTTGCTGAAGGCCGGGGTCCGGAGGAGATATGTGGGGTTCCTACAGCTTTAGCATGTAGCATAGATCTCCCCCATGGGCGAACAACGGCCTGTTAGGAATCTCAGATGCCTTTGATCGGGGAAGAGATGTGAGTGCAAGAGGGCAGTAGGTGTATTTTCCGGTCAATTGTGATACCCGACCAACAGAACAGCCTGCATAATTATCGGTTAATTGGTCTGGAGTGACTTGTCTACAGCTATTGTTATTATTATCCAGCCTCCGAGATTAGACACTGGTGATTTAGTGCTACTTAGATACCCATCTTCTATTCTTTATATGATTCCTCAACATGAGATACACTTCAAATTATTTTACAGTGTAAATGCTATTTTCGATTTTTGTTGTTTCTACGAAGTGTTGTTGTTGAGTTAATGAATTTTTGAGGACTTGAAATTTGTGTGGAAATAAGAGGGGATGAAAAACACACCGGTAATTTTCTATCTCAACTCAAATGTAGTTTAGCTGGAAAATAATATAGGTTGCTGTCTGCTTAGGTTCATGATGGCATGGAACCTAGCATTCGCTATTATTATTGACTTTCTGTTGAATTGACATCTCAGCACTGCCGCACTCGGAGACCTTTGTTGAAGTTCAACGGCAAGCTCTCTTGGTCTTCTATGTGATCTTTAGCTCTAGAATGTCCATATTTTCTTTCTTTAAAAAATTGTCGTAGGAACGCGTTTGTTAACTACAGGTGGATTATTTAGTTTTTCTAGCTTTCTTCTATCATCTTCCTCAAGAGTACTAGGAGCTACCTCAGGGACTATGGCAGACAATGCCAGCGTTAATTCTCGTGATCCTCCACCTCCATACTCTGCTTCCCAACCCCAGCCACTACCAGGGCTTACCGGCTACGAGTTTGGACATTACGGACAGACTGAAGTGAGTCCACCCCCATACCATAATTGGCAGGAGGCCGTGCCCGACACCCCGACGTTCTCTCCACCACCTGTGACCAGCTATTTCTGTTCTGGCACCGGCAATGCATCCAGCAACGACGCAGAGCGGGCTCATGATTACTGCGATCGTACTCCTCTATGGAGGCCAGTGAGACCCTCCGTCACGGTTTGCAGCACAGTACAGGCGCATGACCTTAGACCAGTACGGCCCAGAGAATTCCACGGAGAACTTTCTACGACCGGCCGAGGAAAATGGTGGGCGAGTACAAGGAGTAAGAATGGTGATTGCATCCTCTTAACACACTTGCCCCTCTACTTCCCCATCGTGGATTCCCCCTTGGTCACAGAGAAAATTAAAACAATATATTTCGAGATCAAACTTTGGGGTCTCCGTGTAGGGCCAGGAACCGGTGAGGACGCCAGCGGATTCTCCATCGGATTTGCAGCACAACCGTATCCTTCTTGGCGATCACCTGGTTGGGAGAGGGGAAGCCTTGGTGTGTTCTCTGATGATGGATGCCGCTTTGTGGATGATTCTTGGGGCGGCAAGGAATTCCTGGCACCATTTAATAGAGGAGATACGATCGGATTAGGCATGGTATTCAGTCCTCCGGCCTCGTTAAAAGAAACCAAACTTCCAGTGGAAGTCTTCTGTACTCGAAACGGGAAACTGGAAGGCGGATGGAACCTCTATGAGGAAACGGATGAGGAAGCTGGGGGTGTTGAAGGACTAGAAGGAGATTTTGACCTCTATGGTGCTATAGGATTCTTTGGTGGTGTTGACTTGGAGGCTTGCTTTGACCCTACGGGCTGGCTGTGGAAGCCCGAATAAGTTCATGTGGTCAGATATTTGGTTGAAATCATATCCTGCTGTTGATTAGACCAGGTGTCACATATATGTGCTCCTTTTCAAGTGGTAGATCCGATATTAATGGGTATAAAGCCCAGTCAACTTGCTATATCATCTGTCAAACAATCTGGAGGGGAAGATGAGCATCTATACACTTAAATAGCCGCAAAATCGAACTTGTTCAGCACCTTCAAAAATGGACGGACTTGGGGGACTAGAGTTCCGTTCCAGAAAGCCATAGATAGCCACTTGGAACTTGCTCTGGGTGACCCAGAAGAGAGCCATGGTGACCCTGGAGACAAGAGCTCCAATGAGAAGATGGCTAGGAAGATGGTACCTGAACAAATAACGATTAATTATGGAAGGCAATTGTGACAAGCTGCCCGAAAAGTAACTAGTTAACTATAATCTAGTTAGATAAAGTGAAGTAGGCCTCTATGTACTCTGTAGGCTGGAAGAAAAATGGCATGAAGCAGATTATTATACTTTTTCTTTTTTGGTGGCTGAGCATTAGCTGCCATGTTGTGAATAGTGCTGTCTGAAATCATCCACCCAGGCATACTGAGGACTAAATGGGCTGGCTATAAGTTCAGGAGACAGTTTAGATGGACATGCATGGCAGTGACACATGAATTCCAGGATGGTAAGAAGATGGTCTCTCGATCACGGCAGCTTACGACCTGCATGTCATTTCCCCCAAGTTACAAGTCTAACCTAGTATTATGGGGAAGCGGAGTCGCGGCCATCATGAGGTGGCTAGTTTTAACAGTCGTTCCAAGCCAATGCAGCAGCAGATCCTTGGCGAGCGCGGGACTCGTCGGCCTGAGCCATGAAGCTCAGTATCTAGGATTGCAGTCTTGTGAGCTTAGTCAATTGGGGTTCAAGAAAGTCATTTCTAGAAAGATATATGAGGAGCTGGGTAGTATGTGCATAGATATATCACCCATTGATGCTTTTCGACTGTGCACGCGCGCTCTGGGAGCAAGGAAGAACATGAAACTGAGAGCGATCATGTCTCGGCCAGTCCCGGGTGAGAGTGGACCTCGTGGAGTCTCCCGTCTGGAGTAGTGTATTTAATTAAATTAATTAATTAATCTATCAATGGAGAAGTTGAGCTTAAGTAGCCAATATCGACAGCGTATGTCGTACCTGTAGATAGTCCGTGCGAGGCTGGCTCCATCTGCGCGCAGGAGAAGCAGTTGGTTTCTTTTTCACGAACGAAACCAATCAGGAGAAAGGCTTGTGCTATCTCCGCTAGTCGGCATGCCTTTTAGCGAGGATGTATGCTATAGCTAGTTAGCTGTCCACGGTTCCCGGTACGGAGCCGTAATACTATATTAAATATAGCCGAAATCTCTGCAAGCGAAGACGGAGTATGGAGGACAAAGCAAAGGCCTAGAAGCATTATCATCTCGTCTCATTCCATCTCATCCCACCAACCCATTGTGAAAAGTCAATTGGCATTAAAGAGTTGCTGTCGCTGATAGTGGTGAATTAATTCCCTGTCAATTGATGCTTGTAATAATTCTCTGCCTAGTAATATTGTCAATTATTACTAGTATTATTGTCACTTCGTACTCCATGTCGACATGACTCCATAGAATCATAGATATCTTGGAGGGACCTCTTGCAGGCTGTAACCGGAATTGCCGTTTAGGGCGACCTACATAAAATAATTCTGCTGCATGCGATGCCGAGACCACATCGGACGACGATAAAGTGGGCGACCTGCATAAGTTGTGCAAAAGGAAGAATTCTAGCCCTTAGCAGGTCTGGATTTTCACATAGGCCCCAACATGATGAACGGTAAAGATCTGCGTATCGTTGAAGTGTAATTAGAGGCGCTCAGGGATTTAATTTGTACAATGTGACATTGGTCTTTGTGGTTGGGCCAATTGACTGAGACAACCATCCGTCCAGCTGTCTGTGTCCACCTCATTTACTATTAAAAAACAGAAAAAGATCAATGCTGTTTGTCTGTCTCTTCAGTAGTCAGCCCACGTCAAGAAGAGCATCTCACTCGAAACCCGGAGGAATCTGCTGTTCTCACGCCAGTCCCACCTAACCTATAGGAGGTTTGTCACTTGCATGCTGACTAGCTAGTACTACTTCCTGGTAGCTCGAAGTATGTATAGTGCTCTACAGCGTGGGACTCGGCCGGAGCAATACAGATGTCGGAGGTTTGGCAACTTCCAACACCGGCCTTTCAAAAGCGTACAGTTCCCTTTTTTATCTGCGCTCATTTCATTTTTATTCCTCCTCTAGTATTTTGCTTGTCCCTTTCTCCTCTCTTTCTCTTCGTTTTATTTCCCACCGTCCGTTGTTGCTTGACCTTCAGTCTCTTTCTGCAGGGCCCCTCTCTTGCAGCACCGGAACGGCATTACTCCACAGGAGGGGCTTGCAGCATTGCCAGAAAGCCAATGATGGATATTTCATCCCACTAGTTCTGGGTTCTGACGTACATCCACAGGCATATGCAGGTCATTATGTGGCATTCCCGATGTGCATGCATGATTACGGAGCGCTTAGGATCATAGACATGGATAGATGATGGCTTGGTAATATTGTCACACCGAATTGCCCACATCGCAGAGGAATCGAATCAGCAGTCAGTCAGACGATCATCGCCTTGACATCAGGCCGGTTGTCTGACCCGCAAACGAAGACGGCAGGTGGTCGTTCTCAGCCGCCCCGATTCTATCTATGGATGCTCAGACACGGCCTAGTGACGCACTCAAAAAGTCTAGCACCCCCATAGTCATCATCCACAGGCTAGGCACGCCAGCGGGCGGCGCCACTATGGCAGGTGCAGTCTGTGCTTGAGCTCCTCCACCAACTGCGCCATGTAACCCTGATTGCATGGGCCGCTGTTAATCCTGTTAACCGACCCCTACGGTAACCTTCGGGGTCGCGCGTATTGCGCGACCCTGACAACCACCCGAGCACCGATTTTAGAACTTCGTAGAATTCCAACCCATCAACTTTATCATATAATTCAACCACCACCACCATGCCCAAATTCAATAAAAATTATGAAGATCGAATGCTCAAAGCTATTGACGCGTTAAGCACACAAAATCCCCCAAATATCTGTTAGTACACGTGAGGTTCTGCCGTCCTAGACCGCCCTCGCTACCTATCTCACGGCACAGGCAGGCCTACCTAGTAATACGACCATACATGCGCCTATCCATTAATATCGCCAAAACTGCACGTGAATATGGAGTTAAACGGCAAACCCTCTCCGCAAGGTGGAAGGGACGGTCCAATCTATGTGAACGACCACCAACCAACACCAGATTATCAGAAGAGCAAGAAAAGGCTCTGTGTCACTATGTTGATACTCTAGAGCAATTAAATATAAAGCCACTTGCACAAATGATCCAATCAAGTGCCAATTCTATTCTGAGATCAACCCATACCAGCCTAGACACCCCTCCACCTACTGTCAGCGAGAAATGGTTAAACTGATGGCTAGGAAGGCATCCTGAATATAAAAGACGTCGCTCTAGAGCTATAGAGCTTGACCACAAGCGTGCAGAGGATCATGAGGTTATTCAGGAGTGGTTTCAGAAGCTCCATCAGACCATCCAGAACCATGGGATATTAAAGGAGGATATCTACAATTTTGATGAGACTGGCTTCAATATCAGTGTTGGTTGTGATCAATGGATTATTACCAGGGACTTCAATATTAATAAGCCTCATATTGGGATGAATTCAAACTGTGAATATGTTACTGTGGTTGAAGCAGTCAATGCAGATGGCTGGACCTGCCCACCACTTATTCTCATGAGTGGTAGCTGTATACTTACAAATTGGTTTGAAGCTGCTGATATTCAACAAGACTATTCAATTGGAGTATCAGAAAATGGCTATATGACTGATACAATTGCCTTCCAATGGATTCAGTCATTCTATCGGCATACTAAAAGATATAGGAAGGGTCAATATACCCTTCTTATATGTGATGGATACGGCTCCCATCTAACACATGAATTTGTTGAATTCTGTGAGAAGACCAATATCATCACCTTCTTCTTACCTCCATATACAAGTCATTTCTTGCAGCCATTGGATGTTGGTGTTTTTCATGCATATAAGCACTGGCATTCAGAAGCAGTTGCAGATGCAACCTACTCAGAATACAGTAAATTTACTAAGGTTGAATTCCTTCATGCCTTAGGGGCAATTCGCAAGAAGACATTCAAAAAGCGTACTATTCGGCATGGATTCCAAAAGACTGGCATCATACCATTCAATCCATCAATTGTACTCAATCAAATGCCTCAACCACATCATCCATCCTCTTCATCCACCAATACCAATGATGTTGATTCCTGGGGCAGTACGCCAAAAAAAGCTGAATGATTTAGGGAGATTGGTGATAGGATATGGGAGATTCATGATATCAACAAGGATCAATTTAATGAGGGCCTAGAGCTGCTTATTCATGGTGGTAGTATGCTAGCATCATATTCAGCTGCTATCGAAGCTGAGCTTGACCGGTGGTTGTCAGGGTCGCGCAATACGCGCGACCCCGAAGGTTACCGTAGGGGTCGGTTAATCCTCATATCCTTCCTTTCCTTCTCTTTCCACGCTGTAGGTCGAGGGTCGTCTCTGATGCACGCACTACCACCATCTGCGCGACACTCGAAATGAAAAATGACGCGAGGCCTTAATTTTATTTATTACTATTTTTTATTTATCTTTTTATTTTTTAATTCTTCTCTTCCCCCTCTTTCTGTTCTGGCCCTTGCATGATACGGAGTCTTCGGTTTCGAACATGTGTCTCTTAGCTGATCTCCGCCCTAAGAACTTTACAAAGTACGAAATGCAAAATAAAATAAGAACCCTCCAATGCTGCCGGCTGTAATAATGTTTGTACATGGAAAGCCATCGTCTGGCCTTGCTCCTGGGTCTGTGGTCAACGATTATTTCTCTTCCACATCCACTCTCTTCATTGTCCTTCATCTGCTCAGTCTCTTCAGTTTCACGGTCCTGTCATTCTTTCACCTCGCCTGTTCACTCATTCATTGTCATCATTTTCTTTCCCCTAGCTCAAAGGTGCTTCTATGATAAGGGCATTCACTATATTTCTCTTTTTGCCTGTTCATGTAAAGCCAGCATCTAGAACTCTACCACCTGCTCATTTCTGAGTAACACAAGTAACGATACTGCAAAAGTCCCAGTGGAGTATCTGTCTAAGACCATGGCGTTTCCTTACATGAAAGCGTTTATTTCTCTTTTGTGAGTACTTGATATATCCCAATTATCTTTGAAGTGAAAATGCTCAACTAAGTCTAACAATTTTATATTCTAGCTTCTACCGTTATTTTCGCCTTGTGGTGAATTGTTTCTCCTTTTGGACTTTCAAGCCAATTCTTCCTCCAGAGAATCCCAAGTTGACTGCCCAGGATGTCTCTGTTATCATCCCCACACTTGAGGGGTGCGGCGATGAGTTGGTAGAAACAATTCGGTCAATTCTTGCCAACCATCCATTTGAACTCCTCCTGGTGACTATAGAAGCAAATCGGAAGAAAGCCGAGAAGATGCTGGAAACCATGCCTGCTTCGAAGTCTCGAATCCGCCTTTTCACAGTTTTGCACCCTAACAAACGCCACCAGATGGTGCGTGCTCTTCCAGAAGTTCGCACGGCCATTACCATCTTCTCCGATGACGATGTAAGCTGGCCGCCCACTGTGCTTTCTTGGATCCTGGCGCCGTTTGAGAAAGACGAGATGTTCGGAGGCGTAGGCACCTGTCAGCGATTGCGCCGTGCTACTGCACCAACCTTTTCTCAACGCATCTGGGGTTTCCTTGGAGCTCTCTACCTAGAGCGTAGAAACTTCGATTGTGCTGCCACTACCCACATAGACGGTGGACTGCCTTGTCTTTCAGGCCGAACGGTTGCCTATAGGACTAAAATCCTCCAAGACCCTGTCTTCGCCCATGGTTTCACCAACGAGGACTGGTGGGGCAGATATCACCTCAATGCAGACGATGACAACTTTATTACCCGTTGGATGGTATCACATGGCTGGGAGACGTACATCCAATATCACCCCGAGGCTGAAATTCAGACCACCTTGGAGGACAATGTCAAGTTCCTGAAGCAGTGCGCGCGATGGTCTCGAAGCAACTGGCGGAGCAACCTCACGAGCATGTTCCGTGACAAAGATATTTGGTAGTAAGTATTTCCCCTTTATTTCATCCTTTCTTGGTCTTTCAATGAAAGCATGCTAAAGCAGTTCTGGCAGTCGTCAACCTTGGAGCACATATGCTGTGCATTTAACAACCTTGTCACCACCGGCCCTTCTTGGTGACATGATCCTTGTTTTCCTTTGCAATAAAGCCACGGAGTCCTGGGACCATGACTCACATGTCCTTGCAATGCGTGCTCTTTTCATGTGGATGTTCGTCAGCAAATTTATTAAGCTTCTCGGACACTATATTCGCTATCCAGTCGATGTCTTGCTTCTCCCGGTATCCATCCTTTTCGGGTACTTTCACGGTGCTATCAAGATGTATGCAGCGGTCACTCTCAATGTGGTAAGCGATAATTATTTTTTCTTTTCAACTCAACTCGTCAAAACAATATCTAACATTTATGCAGACTGCTTGGGGTAGTCGAGAGGGCGCCGACGATTTCGATGAAGAGCGCATGAAGAAGAAACGCATTGCCAGCATCTAACCTATACGAACCTCATGATCTTCCTGCAAAGTTATCATATGCGCCCATTCTACGTGGTGCACGGACATTGTTTTCAATTACGACAAAAACGCCACTTATGACCCCTTGTCAAGTTTCGTATCCAGTATCTTCCGTTATGCTTCTATTTTTCCTTTCTAACTTTGTCGTTTTATTTACCCTTTCTTCAAATATGCGATCTTTCCTCGATGTCAACGAAGCGAAAAAAAAAAAAAAAAAACTTACCAGCTCCTTCCGCCGTGCGTCAGCGGAAGAATAACGAGTTCCAGAGACGATTGTAAAATAGCGAGGGAAAACCAAAGAAAAAATAGGGCGGTTTTCTGTCTTCTCATGTTTTCTTTTCTAATTCAAAAGCAGCTAGAAATAGTGGTGGAAGGAGGCGTTCTGCTTGTTCATCATACTCTGGTTTTCATGGTATTCTACCTAATCAGCTATTGCTTAAATGACGATTCCAGTCAGTATTAAATTGAAATACATTTGATTTACCGGAAGGAAGATTATCTGATAACTATATCCAGTGAATAGTCACACCCACATGTATCCATGCATTTTCCTGGCTATATACGGTAGTTATCTATCCATGTTTGTATGTGAATGCGGAAGATGCGGCGGTGCTTTGGCCTGAATTAGTATGTAATATAGTAAGTATATCACACCTAGTTACCTACAGGACATAACTGATAACCAGTCATGATGATAACCTCATGCTGGATGGCTAAAATACATGAGACTTCGAGCCGTGACAGTAAACCATAGATAGTAGGTATCTTGATAGTTTGGGGACAGAGGATTTTTTGGCAATGTGGAGTGCATTGGGACCTGAGCAACTTCTTTATCCATAGTGATTCAATGAAGGCACCTGTTCAGCTGCTCATTGATAGGAGTATTTTCATTACTTCCTTCCTGTATTGTGAAAATGATGCAGTAGCCACCATTATTGTCTCCTCAGAAACAGATTCATCTCCAAACTCCAGTCAATGTCCCAGAATGCCTGAATCACTTCGCCAACAATGTAAGATTAGCGGAAAGCACCTTACAAAAATATTCCATTTGCCATGCTTCAAAAATGGAGACGGAAACATAGATGCACATACACTTGCTTGAATCTCTGATGTATTTCACTGAGACTGAGAAGGTTCTTGACTTAGGTAGGGGCTGTTACAAAACATTCACAGGATCATATCTATCAGGTAACTACCTAGCCTGTGATCTTATAAGAACAGCATTTCATTTAACATTCACTATAGGTTGGATCGTGACTGAAGCAGAGAAGGATACACCTCTGGACGAAATTGTTGTCAGACATTATCCCCAAGGGCCATCCTGTGAGCGTGGGGCTGGATGATGACGTGTGGACAAGGAGTCTCCTTTGAGGGCTCTGCAAGGCCCAATTTCTCGAGATCTGGAATCCGTTATCTGAGAAGGCAATTGCCAGATCTGATGCACTGGAGGCTCTGGAGAAGAACTTTCCAATTTCACCAACAATGCAAAGGTTTTCATCCAGGATCTCAAATTTTTTGGCAGCAAACAAGATTCAAGGTCTAGACTCCTGTCTACGAATCACACTTTTTTCTTAGGAGGACCCTACTTCATTGGCTTCCCGTGCCTCCTTCAACTTTGGAGAGCCATTTAAGTAGTCTAATGCGGACGAAGGCAGAGAGGGGGCAAGATGAAGAACTCTGCGCATCCCATAATCTCGCCCATCTTCCTCCGCGCATTCGGTTTGGACTGGGCCAAAATCAAAAAGGACACTCCCTCTTCAGCGCACAAAGGAGACCTTGCGAAGCCGCGCTACCATGAGCACCCTCGGAAAAGCCTTCTTGAAATTGACGCCAAAGGACCGCTCTGAAGGTGGCATGAAGGGTTAAGTATTACTGGTTGACAGATTGGCTATTTCTTGCATTGTCTCTCTACCTGTGGCATCAACGAGTCTATTCTGCATCCCTTTCCGCCCAAGGTTTCATAATCGGGTAGACGGGGTAATCGCGGCGTGTATGAAATGCCATTCCCCAATGCCACGTTTACGGAAAGTATACTAATATCCTAAGGGGTCATTTGGGGTATCACGTGATAGAATCAAATTGCGAGCAAAAAATGCTTGTAGATTTGCGAATAAAGATGGTGTTAATACCTGGCTGGAAAAAAAATGAAGCAATCACTGATCCACATTTTACCTAGGTTGTGATGTGTGGAAGCGAGCTGACATAATTGATCAATATGGCCAATGCCTAGTATTAATGCCTGACTATATATAGTCTTTGTTCAAGAATTATTGACTCTTAGACCCTGGACTACATACTACTCATCATTTGGATCAGCACTCACCCAACGCTCAGAGAGTAGCCTGAGCTGAGCATGGGGTGCGAACGGAAAGGTAGAAATCTACCTAATCTTTAGGCTACTAGAAAAGAGACAAAGACGGTTCCCTGCTAACTAATCAAACTCCGGGTTGAGAGTACCGTCTCCGCACGCAAGGTGCATGTTAATTATCCAACGATTATTCCCATCTGTTCAAACAATGAAGAACTTTCGATCCTCTGCTCAGCTACTCTCCCAGCTGTTTTCATCCGCTTCGGGACGCACCATATCAGCACCTCGTTTTTTCCGGACGGCCTCTCTGAACTCAGCTGTTGCCCATCCAATTACTGCCCACGGACCTCCTCCCAAGGCTCCTTCACCGGCACCGGGATTTGAGGAGCACACAGCACAATGTGGAATAAACGAATCCAACAAACGAGAGAGCGCTGCCGGGTGGCAACTGTCAAAGAGGACCGCAGCACTTAACAAAAGGTTTTGGAAAGATGTGAATGTCGCGAAGAAATCAGGTATTTAATATCCAGGGCTTCCACTGACCCATACACACAACGTGCTGTAGTACACATGCTGATCACATGCTTTGACCTTAGATGGGGAATATCATGTTCTGTTAGACACTCGGCCAGTTCGCACACCGATGAAAGGTGTCCTTTCGATTCCTGCGACTAAACCTCATCTCGCGCATGCGATCGCATTGGAGTGGGATGTCATGAAGTCTGCACGGGAAGCATTAAAAAGCCATTTAATCCCATTAACGTCTCTCGCTGCGCGGGCAGCGGATATTGCTCGAGAAGACGCGAACGGCGATACATCCACGAGAGAGCAGATACTGAGGACCACGCTGGGCTACCTAGATACCGACACGCTGCTTTGCTGGGTACCGGAGCAGGATGTTTACAAAACCGACACAGAGAATGCGCCAACCGAGACTCTTCGAACAATACAAATGAGGGTGGCCAGAGATATCACCAGTTATTTGACTACAAAAGTCTGGCCTGGGATCGAGATCACGCCCATGCCAGACGAAAACAATATATTGCCCACGTCTCAACCCCAGGCGACGAAGGATATAATCCGTAAATGGATATCCGACTTGCTACCTCATGACTTGGCTGCTTTTGAAAGAGGAGTGCTTGCGTCCAAAAGCTTGCTAGTAGCCACCAGGCTGCTCGTGGAATGGAGTGAAAATTTCCGTCCCCTGCAACAACCAGGACAGAAGAGATTCGGCATTGAAGAGGCGGCAGAGGCCTCTAGTCTCGAGGTCAGGTGGCAGACCGAGATGTGGGGTGAAGTCGAGGATACTCACGACGTCGACAAGGAAGACCTGAGAAGGCAACTCGGTAGTGTCATCGTCCTTGTAAGTGGGCAGACTCGGTAGGTACTACCCAAAAAAGCAATACCTACGTTCGATGAACAATGGCATCTTGGGACGTGTGCTGTAGATACAGGAGAATCGGCACTATCATGGGGCGGGCAAATGGGAATGCATAGACGGCTGTACTAGTATAATATGTACAATGCTCATACAAACAATTTTCGGACAAGGTGATTAGATGATAGCCACGGGACATGCATTTCTAGACAATTCTCTGGCGTATTAACTATTGCTAACATATAATCCTGACGCCATCTTATATATGATCCGGCTTGACTCCATTTCCCCCAAAAATGGCTCTCAACCCGCCAAGACAAGCGCTGGAGAGCCGCTCAGTCTTTGTATTAGCGGCCACCCCGTCATCGGATAGGTTGGGTCGCATTGAGTTCGTTTATCTACTACCTGGGTGCTCCCTTGCTATGCTCTGCTAATCTAAAATCATGATACTTGATGTCTCCAGTTCTCTCCTTTGTCACCATCCCTTCCACTCTCCTTGTTGCTTTGGCCGTTTCTCCAATCACCGGTTGATTGCGACAAACGTAGTCTTGATTCGTCTGAGCGCAGGTGGCAAGTCGTGAAATGGCGGAAAGGGGCGAAAGGTGAGTCTGCTACACACAGCCACAGCGATCCCTGCCGTCCTCATTACCGTGGACGTGGACCGCCGCTTGAGGTTGCGCCCGAGTATCTGTCTGTTCGCGAGGCGGGTGACTGTAACTACTTGGTACCATGTGTTTTTCTCGGCATTCGCTATAACCTGCCCATGTACATGTAGGGAGCTTCTTGAGTTCAATCCCTAGTGCAAGGCGTGTTCTTACCGCGATCGACGCACACCAAGATCTCCCTCTTTAGTATTCACTTCTTTTTTTTTTTTCTCTTTCTTTTTTTTCCCAGGATATCTCTCTGCTTGATCTATTTATTACCATTGGTTGTTTTCTAAAACATATGTATACCCCTTCTGATTTGCTATCACGGGGACTTTTTGTTACCATCCTCCGCGCCAGGAGGGAGCTCGGGTTTGCCGACTGGCAACATTGCTGACATCCCAAGGTTACCTAGTCATAAACGCTCAAAGAGTTCTTTGGCGCTTGCTTTTCTGCGCCGTGAGAGAGTTCGAGGGGAGGACAACGAAATCCCAAGTCGCGAAGTCTATCCTCCCAAATCCGCCATGTCTTCCCATTCAATGAGCTCGTCCCTTCCTTCGTTGCCTAGGTCACATACTTGGAGTACCGCCACCCATCGCAAGGAAAGCCAAGATGCCAATTTCCCACCAATTTCGTCTAGGAACACTCAGGGGTCTACCAGCACGTCCAACCGCAGCGTCGAAGCTTCAGAGAAATCGCCACCAGCCACACGCGCGAAGAGTGGAAACATATCGATTGAGCAATCAGTAAGAACGTTTCGCATTTTCGAAATTCTACGGAGCGGAGATACCACTGCAATATCAAAGGCCCTCAAGGATTCCCAGTGCTCCCCAGAAGCTGGCGACCTATCCGGAACCACCATCCTACATCTTGCTGTGCAATGTGCTGAACCGACGGTGTTTGAGTATATTCTGTCAACAGGGGAAAATGTCGACATAAATGCGCGTGACCGAGATGGCAATACACCTTTGCATCTTGCCGCCCAGCTTGGAAGGCAGACGCTGGTGCGGGACCTGCTGAACCAACCCAACATCAATGACTCGATCGTCAACTATCGTGGTGAGACAGCTCTCGATGTTGCGAGCACACCAGATATTTTTCAACAGCTTCAGCTTGCACGATCAATTTTTATTGATAACAAGATACAGGAAATCCAGTCCCTTGTGTCCCAGGGTGGTTATGAGGCATTGGAGAAGCTGTTGGAAGAGCCGCGAGTTGAAGGAATCTTGGATGTGAATAGTTTGGATTTCGTTACTGATCGAGTCACGGTACAAACTGGTGGTACTCTGCTACATGAAGGGGCGAGGAAAAAGGACACAAAACTCATTCAACTATTATTAATGCACGGGGCAGACCCTTTCCTCCGTGACAGGAAGGGCAAACTGCCACAGGATGTCACCAAAGATGACAAGACGCGAGCGATACTGAAGAAGTCACCTGCTGCGGTTATGGCTCAACGTGGAGTCCAAGAGAAGGCTATTCTCGGGAATACTGGAGGTCAAGGAGCTGGCAGGATTTCTACTGGTGACCCGCATCTTGCGGCAAGGGAAACTCGTGAGATGAAAGGTTATTTGAAAAAATGGACCAATTACACGAGCGGCTACAAGCTACGATGGTTCGTACTCGAGGATGGTGTCTTAAGTTACTATAAGCATCAAGGTAAAGGACCAATTTCCATTTTGAATTCTTGTGCGAGACTGATTAGTCCTTTTTCATAGATGACGCTGGATCCGCATGTCGAGGTGCTATCAATATGAAAATTGCCAGACTCAGCATGGACTCCCAGGATAAGACGCGTTTCGAGATCCACGGCAAATCATCAGTGAAATATCATCTGAAAGCTAATCATGTTGCTGAGGCGAAACGCTGGTTTTGGACTTTGAACAATGCCATTCGATGGGCGAAAGATGAAGCAGAAGAGGAAGAGAGGCGCCAAACAAAGAACGCTGAAGTTCTTCGCCAGGCAAAGATCGATCAGATTGAAGGACGGACTCCGGACACTCTATCCGATTCAGCGCCAATTTGCATCGCGAAGACTAGTAGCAAAGGCCTGGCGCCTCCATCTCTCAGTAAGACGGAGAGTAACGCCACGAAATTTAGCGCACATCCATCGCGCACGACATTGGAGAGCATGCCTGGAGACGACGATCCTTCAATACACGGTTCATATGACCCGAGTGCTGCTCAAAGTGATGTGAATAGGGCTGTCAGTGCTAATTTTGAAGCTGATGATGATGATGAAGAATATGGAGACTACGCATCCAGTCGTGAGGCGCACCCAATAGATAAGGACGCTCTGGATATCACAGCCCAGGCCGTCAAACTCCAACTTGAACTCCTCGGCAACGTTGCTTCCTCGTTGCAAGCAGAGAAATCGAAGAACCCGAACACACCTTTGTCCGATTCAAGGATCGAAAACGCTATAGCTACTTACGCTGAAGCCGTGGACAGTCTCAAGAGTCTAATACACAACCTATTCCAATTATCCCGAGATAGAGATGCCTACTGGCATTCCCGATTAAATCGGGAGGAATATTTACGTAAAATGTGGGAGGAGAGTATGGCAAAAGTAGCACAGGAGCATGAAGAATTGCAGTCCAAGATCGCCGAATCCGAAGAAAAGCGAAGACGTACAAAACGCGCATTGAAAGAAGCGTTGGAAAATACATCAGGAGTTACAAGCCGCCCAGTCAGCTACATTGCCCCTGAAAGAGCCATTGGCTCACCGGGACCGAAAGTCGATGTCACAGGCGCGGAAACATTAAGTGAACAAGCAGACGAAGAAGAGATCACAGGCGCTTCTACTCCGAAGAAGTCGGCCCTCTCTCAATTCAACGGCATCTACGACCCTGAATCAGATGAGGACGAATTTTTCGATGCTATCGACACGGGAGACATTCAAGTGGAGGACCGGACGACTGCGGCTGAAGTTCATCGTGAGAAGGTGTCCGAAGATGAAGGTTCTGAACTCAGGGTTATAAAACGCAATGAAATAGCACCGTCCTTCATGGGATACGAGGACCCTGTGAGGAAAAAACTTGGTATGGATTACGATAACAGACCAAGAATCTCCTTATGGGTAAGTTCCTTTTTTTTCCTCGCTTGAATTCATCTGAATGTTCCAAAGGTTCTTGCGGCTGATATCGACTAGGGTATCCTCAAATCTATGATTGGCAAGGATATGACTAGGATGACTCTTCCGGTTTCTTTCAACGAGCCGACTTCACTACTTCAAAGGGTTGCGGAAGACTTGGAGTACACGGACCTCCTTGATATTGCTGCTGATCGACACGATTCATTGGAACGTCTCGTTTATGTAGCTGCGTTTGCTGCTAGTGAATATGCTTCGACAATCGGCCGTGTCGCAAAGCCATTTAATCCTCTTCTCGGCGAGACATTCGAATATGTCAGACCAGACAAGGGGTACCGCTTCTTTATCGAACAGGTTAGCCACCATCCCCCGATTGGTGCAGCCTGGGCTGAATCGACCAAGTGGGATTATTATGTAGGGCACTATCTGTTGTTGGTTGTTATTTTCAGGGAACTGACATCTTTTCTGTAGGGGGAATCGGCTCTTAAGTCGAAGTTTTATGGTAAATCTTTCGACATTAATCTCCTTGGGACGTGGTTCTTGAAGATGCGTCCTATCTCAGGGGGAGAAGAACTTTACACCTGGAAGAAAGTTACGTCATCAGTTATCGGCATTATCACGGGAAATCCCACAGTTGATAACTACGGATTGATGGAGATCAAGAACTGGACAACGGGCGAGGTTTGTTATCTTGACTTCAAACCGAGGGGTTGGAAAGCATCCTCGGCCTACCAAGTGACCGGGAAGGTTGTAGATCGGGATGGCACTCCGAGATGGAGTATTGGTGGTCGATGGAACGACAAAATATACGCTCGTCATACTCCTGGTTTCGAAGCACAGGTAACTGGCCAAGAACCAGAATCGGCGAAGACATTCTTGGTATGGCAATGTAGCAATCGCCCGAGTGGGGTTCCATTTAACTTGACACCCTTTGTTATCACGCTGAACGCGCTCCCGGCGAATCTCAAAGGGTATCTACCTCCTACCGACACAAGGCTTCGTCCTGATCAACGCGCAATGGAGGAGGGCAAGTATGATTTTGCTGCCGATGAGAAACACCGGGTCGAAGAGAAACAACGTGCTAAGAGAAGGGAAAGGGAGCAAAAAGGAGAAGAATATTCTCCTAAATGGTTCAGTCGAGGAAAATGTCCCATCACAGGCGAAGAGTTTTGGAATCACACTGGCAACTACTGGAAATGCAGAGAGGAGCAGGACTGGAGCCGTTGCGAGGATATCTTTTAGCTCCATAATTACCAAATCCGATTATTTGACTAGTTCTGCGCGGCATTCTCTCAAAGATGTTGGTCTTCATTGTGTCTGTCGAGTCTCTTCTGATTTCTGTTCCGGCAGAGAGCTTGTTTCTGCGTATAGCCTTATGTCCTCTTTTGGCCATCTAGATGTTCTTCTCCCTCTTTGTTTTATTTTCCTCTAGTTAGTCTAACGATATACGAAGCGGATTCTTTCTAAGTAATCTTTTGAATGTACTGGGAGTGAACTGAGTTGATCTGGTTGCAGTAGCAATGTATTCGGTGGGTTTAACCCACGTAGGAACCCAGTTGTCCTCTACCATTATCCCAGACTCAGCCCGGCCATCTTTGCTATCCTCCTTTCTTTCCAGGTGGGTATAATATTTGCAACTATTTGCCTTCACACAGAGTATCCGGTTGCCAGAGCCGTGTACACTGAAGGCACAAAACGGAACTGGTTAGATTCACGCAACACGTGATATCCCGCGGAAACGGTCGAAATCCGCCATGCAAAAAGCTCGGTTTCGATCGAGACAAACCGAACGTCCCTGTATCCAGCAAACATCCGCGACACAATGACAGGCGAGTATACATGCGGCCGCTGTCTCCAGGTACTTCAGCAGGGAGTCAGAGCTCGTGGCTCTGGGATTCGGTCCCAACGCTTCTTCAGTTCGAAAAGGGGATGTAACTCTTCAGTTGTTCGCTGCCGCAATGATCATTTACTGCTGAAGAGGTTACCAGAGCACCCTAGGCAGGCGTCATCCTCGGCACCAAGTCCCCAGGTTGCGTCACGTAATGCTCAATCCTTCATCCGGACAGCGCCGTCAGATCCCTCAGCTGAGACTCGGGTTCTGCTCAAACCAAACAATTTATTCCATCCCTTCACCAAATCCCCTTCGCCGGACATTCGGAGTCGCGCTGCATTCATACGGCAAAACGCATTTTGTCCTCATCCCAGCCATCAACAAACTCGCATCCCTGTTTCGCCCCATGACCCGGAATCGAAGAAGGGCCAGGGTGCCTCGGACCTTCCACCAGCTCATGCCCACTTTGAATGTCCCGACTGTGGTATCCCCGTTTACTGCTCCGAAGATCATTGGATGGATGACTTCGAGTCGCATCTGGAGGTTTGCGAGACCCTGAGACAGATTAATGAAGACGACCACGATCTTCACTCAGGACGCTTTTTCCCAGAATTCTCATACCCTGGCCCGCAGGATGAGAATTGTGTCATCAACATGACTAACTGGGACACTTTCCTTTACACGCGGGAATTCGATGCGATCAATAGTGACAGGAGTATGAGACAGGTTACTAGGATGCTCACTTATCCTCTTACCATTGGAAGCGTATTACACGAATTGAGCCCTTACAGCCTTCGAAAGGGGGGAAGATTCACGGCAGAAGGCCTCAAGAGCGTGAGCGGTAAGATGTATTCCTAATTCCCTCTCTTTATATTGATCCTTCCTCGCGGGGAAACTAAACAGTGTACTTAGCTCTTCGGTATACCTTGCATCCCCCCAAGACTGGAGAGGGAGTTGACATTCAAGGGTTACGTCTCAAAGCTCCTCCTGTTCGTTTGTTTATACTCGGCGCTCGCGCTGAATCTTCCCTTCCCCGCCAAGTCTGGCTTCAGCTTTCTTACATGTTTCCGCGATCCTTAATGCACATAATTTTCATCGGACCGGAAAGTATGGCCAATCGGGATGACGAATTCCCTCTTCCTGAACGGATACCAGAGAACCCGTTCGGGGGAATAGTAGAAGATCGACTCGGTGGACAGTTGAAAATCACGACCTATGTTGACTACTTCCATACCATGTATCAAGCTCAATACTTCCAACCATTCGACCCCTACTTTGATTGCTTTGTACTCTTCCACCCTGGCCTTGGCCACCCCGCCAGCTCACACGAATGGGAAGAGACACTCCCACAGCTCCTGGAGACGAAAGTACCAATAATTTGCACCGGGTATACGCAATGGGATATGGAAAGAGATATCAAATGGGTCAATGACAAGTGTGCTGGAGAGTTTGATATGCTACTGGAACCGGGCGAGAATATCTTCCGCAGTCTGCGCTGGGACCTCAACGATCTAGATCCTCATGACATATCCTGTGGAAACTGGGGTCTGTGGGCTTTCAGAGGAAAAAGGTACGTCGCAGCAGCACTATGCTAATTACATATAACCGCACGCCCTTCTCCCGCCACTATTGTCAATGGTAGACAGTTAGCTAACCATTACAATCTTACTAGATACGAAGCTTTATACAAAGGATCTTAGAGTGTGCTTTTCTTTTGACCTTTCTACGCGGATTATACCAATGGGCTTTTTGGTCATCGGGACAGGGAAATACTACCATTCCTTGTCTATATGTCTTAAATACTTGACGTTTGAATCTTGTCACATATGTTGTCATTATGTACTTGTATTAAAGACTATTAAAGGCCTCATCTAACAATGGAAATCGGCCGCTCTAAATCGACATGTGCGACAACTGTAGTCCTAGGTTCTTTTCAATAAGATAGAAGGCAGATAGACGTGCTTACGCAGAAGGACATCCGCCACATAACGTGTGTTTATGCCATTTGCTGACGACCCTTGCAGCTTCTAGCTGCAATTGTTATGAATCAGTGTTAAGTGATAGGAAGGTTATGCAGCAGCAGCAATGGGAATATCGATATAGTCTCTAGAAGGCAAAGGTATTTTCTCGACTTTGTTTTTTCCATCGCCAAAGAACACCTAAAAGCAGAAGCAGAGACCGTATACTAGCTAGTTAGGAGTATCAGAACCATGAGGGATGATTTCTTCATCCAACCAAAGATCGAAACTAGTATTGAAATCAATATCAGCCTCAAAAAGACATAGAGCCAGGCCCCTTCCGTAATCACATACCAAGAAATAAAAGTAAGCACATAAGCAAGGATGGGACGTAAGACGGAAAAATAAAAGTCATCAGAGGAGCCAAACAACACCCGAAGCAAGAGCCACTATAGGCCAATATCCCAGCAGATGCTGCGGGTTCACAGTCGATGCAGCAGAATCAGTAGCGGACGCATTGGCTGCAGTTGTACCGTTTGGCAAAGTTCCGTTGATATAGATCTTCTCTGTCCCATTGACATTTACAACCCTTGTAATGCTCGAATTGATAGGCTCACTGCCATTGAAGAGGGAATTGTAGAATTTAGAGTCATTGTTGTCGTCGCATCCACAAACCTCATACTCTTGACATAGACAGACAACGGGCACTGACTCATTATGATGGGTGGCATTATTCATGTAGGAGTACGCATGATTGTATGGGTAGGCGTATGCACCAAATAGCCAGAGACCGGGGAAGAAGGCCAGGGCTGCAACTGGTAAGAAGAAAGGTGTCAGGCCAAGAGGCGACATACGGCCAGCGGCATATGGAACTGCGGTGCCTCCAGCATAGTAATTTCCGCTGCCATAAGTAGGACGAGGCCCTGAACCACTGCGCGTTGTGCCTCCTCGATTGCCGGTTCGGCTGTGCGTGTGGAATGCACGGTCAGTGGCATTGCTAGCAGTAAAACTCCTTAGGCAGAAACTCCTCACCTTGAAGAACCACTGCTCCCTCCACGTCCACCGCCGCCGCCGCCGCCGCCGCCTCCTCGTCCACTACTGCCACCTCCACGTCCACCCCCACCTCTCCGTTTCTCAAGAACGGGGGAATCAGAGATGGGTTCATCTATGAGAGCATCCGAGGCCACACCCGCATTTCGTACTGCTAGTTCGCTCACAGATGGGATCCAGGAGGACGTAACGACATTTGACTGAAAGAGAAGGATTACCGCAATGGCTAGCACCATCACCTTCATTGCTTCGCTATTTTCTCAAGTGAAGTGTTGTTCATTGAAAAGACAGGAAGGTTGTAGATAGAGATGTCAAGGGGTAGTGGTAAAGACTGCCCGGTCGAATTGTGGTGTAATGACGGGGAAGTTCAATCAAGCTGGACGATTACTACCACAAGGAATAAATAGATAAAAATAGAGAATGGAAACCGCTATGCCAAATGGCGGAGTGGCTGCATCATGGCAGGCTTAAAAGGAGAATAGTGGAAAATCAACCTCGAGTAACGGACGGTCCTGGGCTCATTACAGCCACTGGAAGTATATGAATGACGAAATTAGGGTACTGCTGAGGATGGACTGTCTTCTTGAATATACCACGATTCCTTCAAACTATCACAGGATATGCCTCAGTTCATTTAACTGATGATAATCCCACAGATGTATACACTAATACGAAGTAATTTCAACAATCATCCCTGCAAACTTCAAAGCCCTGCAGGCTCACAGGCCGTCTGATTTGCAACCCTACTTTGCAGGTAATTTCAATGAGCGTCAACAACCCCATATCTGTCTGTTCATTGCCAGGATCAATTGTGTCGGGCAACTTATGGCCCTGACTGCTATAGATGTGGCAATTCCTATTTCCCTCCCACATTGACCAGTGGTCGATACTTTGCTTCCCACATTTGTACGCGAACCCACTGTTCTAACTCCTGATCGCTTGCGGGAATCCCCTCCTCCTGCGCTAGTCCTTCTCTCACCGCACACTTGATAACTCCCTTGGCAACTTCGACGCTAATGCCACGCACATCCTCAACATCAGGAAGGATTGGCCGTTTAGGATCTTCGAGGGCGGGCGCCCGAGATGCTAGCGCCATGACTGCGGCTACCAGCATCTTGTCTGAGAGGAGGCGGGCGCGGGACAGTACAACGCCAAGCCCGATCCCTGGAAAGGCTGTAGAGTTGTTGCACTCCGCTGAAAGGAGTTAGCGGACGCTGTACCTTCAAATTCGGGGCACTGCGCCAGTAACGGATGCTTAACTCCACTTCGCAATAACCTACCAATTTCGTATTTCTCGCCGTTCCGTTCAACGGGAGGAAATGGACTGCCAGTAGCTATCAATGCTCGGCCTCCTGTCCAGTCGCTGATATCCTGAGGCTGAGCCTCATGCAGACGACTGGGGTTGCTTAGTGGCATGATAATGGGGCGTTCGACATGCTGAGCCATTTCCCTGACGACATTCTCCGTAAAAGCATTGGGCTTCGTTGACATTCCGATCAGGACATGCGGCTTGACTTCTTTTACGACAGAAAATAAATCTCGTCCCTCTGCTTCCCGGAATTCGGCGTCTTCTCGCGCATATGGGACTTGCTCCGGGGTTAATTGATCCCCAAGCGATTTGACGAGCAGCCCTGGTTTATCCAGGCACCTGAGAAATTTTGAACGAGCGTTAGTGGCTGCCTAAAGAGAAGGGCTGAATGACATGTACCAAATGTGTCTGCGTGATTCCGAGGGTGATTTGTGTGTTTCTATGGCGATTATATCTGAAATTCGATCGGCAACCCCAATTCCAGCAGACCCAGCGCCGAAGATAAGTACTCGGGCATCTTCTAACTTGACGCGGCTAATGTGAAGTGCTGCCATAATTGCAGCCAGGGTCACGCATCCCGTGCCCTGGATGTCATCGTTGAAACAGGGAATATGCGATCGGAATCTATCCAAGATCCTTTTGGCATTATGCCGACCAAAGTCCTCACTGAAAGTTGATCGATCAGAGTCCGTAATGAGACTTGTCAACCGAGCAGAGGATCAAGCAAATAGCCAGAGGAAACTAACAAGTGGATATATGCCTTGGGAAATCTTTTTCGAGCAGCTTTTACAAATCTCTCCACGAATCGGTCATATTCTTCTCCTCGAACTCGTGGCTGTTTGAGGCCCAAGTACAGCTTATCCTTGAGCAATTTCTCATTCTGTATTTCATTTTAGCTTTGATATCCCCATACAGCATGGCTTTCATATGTAGACAGCATACATTTGTGCCGCAATCCAATGCCACCGGAAGTTGCCTTGACGGATGAATACCTGCACACAGAGTAGTTAAGACTAACTTAGCAACAGAAATAAGAATTGCGCCTACACCCTGATCCCCGATTCCTAGAATCTGGGATTTGAGAGACGTTAGAACCAGACGAATGGGAGTAGAGACCGGCTAGTTTACCTCCTCACCATCACTGACGACTATATAATCGACATCTTTCCCAGGATCGAAGCTGGATAGAGTCTCCTCAATCCTATCCTGATCTCTGATGTTCAAGAAACAGCCTTCCGGTCGTCTAAATAGTCGAGAGTAGTTTTGAATCGCGTCACCTTCAGTTGGGGTGTATATTACGCTAAACATCTCCTTAAGATGTGTTTGCAGGAGCTGTTAAACCCCAATAAAGAAGGCAGTTAGTAAAGAAATTCTTTGTCGAGAGGATGCAATTTGACTGCGCAACCTTATAGTATAGCACTTCATCCTGCGCTTTGACGGTCGCCATGAATGTATTTTTTGCCAGATCATCTTTATGAGAGCTATATTGTTCATATGCTCTTTGTACTTGTTCATCTAAGGTCTGTTCGTTTGGTGGTAAAAGGCCGTGCAGTTTGAATGTTGTCCGCTCCTCCTCGGAGAACGCTGGGCCTTTATTGAAATAGGAATTATGCAGGATGGCCATGCCCTGGCAAGTCAAGGTCACCTACTTCTTGCACATAATGCAAAAAGCTAGACGATACAGCATGATCGCACCCACAACTCACCTCGTAGGGGCATTCCAAAGGTCCAGAAGCTGCTCGCGGCAAACTGCTAAACTTCGCTTGGATCTGGGAGGCTGACATTTTTGCTAGGATGAGAGGAACACAACCACTGGCTAATTATAACAACAAAGTGGCTCTAGATCTAGGGGCAATTGATTCCTTTTTATAAGAGAACATCTGCGGCGAGCTGACGGGCAAGTGACGTCGAAGCCAACAAATGTCGCCTGCAAGCCATCTTCGCCGATAGCTGCTGCTGCTGCTGCTGCAAATATAGGATTCTATTATAGACGCTGAAGCAGCTGCATGCTGCTTTATGCCTGCTAGCAGTAACAGTGCGTTCTGCAGAGTACAGAGCTGTGTATGTGCCTTAGGCGGATAGTTCGACGCCAAGTATGTACTATGCAGATATACCGTAGTTGATCACCTGACGCCCGGTCCCACCTGACGCCCGATTTGTTAGATTCGGCAACGATAGTATCGATTTTTAAACCCCCATAACTCATTCAATGTGGCTCCAATCGATGAAGCAATTGCAGAATTAGAATCCTTGAAGCCAGGCGATTCAATCAATTACACTGAAGTTGCAAAACAATATGGTGTTGACCATTCAACACTCTCAAGGCGATTCTGGGGGGTTCAGCACCCAAAAGAGGACCAGTATGAGAACCAGCAAGTGCTCAACAACTGCCAGGCTAGGGACCTCATTATTTATATAAATAAGCTTACTGACTGTGGCTTATATCCTTCACATGAGATGCTACAGAATTTTGCTGCAGAAATTACTGGGAAGAGGCCTGGAAAGCACTGGCCCAGCTGATTTGTGAACTGATATAGTGATGACCTTCTTTCTCAATACACCACCAGTATAGACTCCTCTCGCAAGTGGGCTGATTCAGCATATAAATATGCTCTATACTTTGAGCTTCTTTATTGCAAAATACATGAATACAATATACAACTGGAAGATATCTATAATATGGATGAGAAGGGGTTTCTTATTGGGGTTCTTGCCAAAGGCAAGAGAATCTTCTCAAAGCAACAATATAAGAAGGAGGGGCTCAAGCAACACTTGCAGGATGGTAATCAGGAGTGGATTACTACAATTGCTTGCATTTGTGCTGATGGGACCTTGCTGTCTTCAGGCCTAATTTATCAGGCTGTGTCATCAAAGCTTCAAGATTCCTAGCTTCAGTATTTCAAAGCTATAGACCACCAGTGTTTTTTTGCCTCTTCACCTTCTGGTTGGACCAATGACGAGCTGGGATATGCATGGCTTTGAGATATTTTTGATCAAGAGACTAGGGATAAGGCAAGACGGAGATGGCGCCTCCTAATCCTTGATGGTCATGGATCCCATATTAATATGAAGTTCATCAACTACTGCGAAGAGCATAAGATCCATTTAATGACTTATCCACCTCATTCCACGCATTCCTTGCAGCCACTTGATGTTGGGATCTTTGGGCCTTTATCAATGGCATATAGCAATGAATTAGAGCAATTCTTGCATGCCAGCCAAGGCCTAAGCCATATTACTAAACGGGATTTCTTCCACCTATTTTGGCCAGCTTGGAAAAAGGCTTTATCTTCAAAAAATATTATATCTTCATGGAAATCAGTTGGGATCAGCCCATGGGACCCAGAGATCGTTCTGACTCGATTCACCAAAGAAAATGATGACTGGCCATCATCTAGTGAGTCCTCTCGCTCAATACTAGGTGCTGAAGACTAGTGGAAGATTGAGAGGCTTCTTAAGGCTGTTGTTACTGATGTTTATGACCAAAATACCAAGAAATTGAGTTCTACGATGCATCACCTTTCTACAGAAAATTTACTGCTTAAGCTACGCTGCCAGGGCCTTGAGACAGCTCTCCTAAATGAGCAGAAGAAGCGCCAGCATGGTAAGCCACTTCTTTTTGAATTATGGGCTCCAGAGGATGGCCATGCAGTATTTTACTCCCCAAAAAAGATCCAGCAAGCACGGGATCTTCAAGCTGAAAAGGACCAAGCTATACAGCTCACTAAGGCTTCAAAAGAGGAAGAGAAGCTCCACCGGCAGCAAGAGAAGGAAAGGAAGAGGCAGTTAGTTGAAGAAAGGAAGAGAATCCAGGCATCTAATAGAGAAATACGTCTTCGTGAAGCAGAGGAAAAGAAGCGCCAAAAGGAGGAGATGCGGCTTGCTAAGGAGGCTAGTTTACAGCTTCAAAATGACTTTAATATTGCCAAAAAGGGCAAGAAGAAGCTATCGGCAACCTCAAAAGCAAAGAACCCAGGAAATCTAGTGCCTCCAGAGGTTGAGACTGCTGGTGAAGCCCCTACAGGACTAAATCATCGAGGCAGACCAATCTGCCTACCACAATGCTTCCGCGAATAAAAAATCCTGTATATAGCTTCATTAGAGCTTCAATATCAAAACACCAAAAGATTTCTATATAATATCATCTGTATGTGGTTGAATAGCTTCAAATTCGATGTTGGTGTGGTGGTCGAATTCGGGCGTCAGGTGATCAACTACGGTAATTGCTCACCGCCGGCACTTCTTAGTTTTCTGCCTTTCCACATATTTTTCTCCGTTTTTTTCCATCTCCTCCCATGAATGAGGGCGGCTCACCTAACCATGCTGTTAACACCTCACTTTTGCTGTTTCCGTGCTTAGTCCATTATGGGGGACTATGCAGACTGAAAGATCACAGGGATCAAAATGCTGCCCGGTGTCTCAAAAGCAGATTGCCGAAGAACCTTCGCTCGAGGATATTGAGCTGTCTATTCCCAACTCGCTTATTGCCAGCAACCCCTGCCTCGGAAGTATGGGTGGCACCATTTTAACAATCTGCAACACCGCAATCCAGCTGTCCCTGTCCATTTCCGATCCAGTCTCCTTGGAACGATAGGAGTCTGGGTGGACGGATGCCCAATACGGACTCTTCATTTCGAAGGACAGTCGCCACAGTTCACGTCTTGTGTTTGTGATCAACTGGAGCTGGGTTGCGTGAGATTCGTCTCGTACTATTGGATTGTGTTGCTAGAGCAAGCCTACCAACAGGGCCTTCATAGTTCATGCTCGCCTTCTTTTTTTTTTTCTACGAGAGCATGACTCCTTGCGCACCTACAATTCTCCAGATGTCAGAATTAGCTTAGTGGTAGAGGCTAAATCAAATACTGTGAATAATTGAGCAGTGTTACTATCCTCACCTACGCTCACTGGTTCAATTCCAATGCGATTCTGTAAAATCGCTTCTGTAGACATAAAACATATATATATATCCTAGAGTGCAGGTCCTTCACAGCTTGCTCTTTGTAGGCTCATCATCGAGGACCTTCACAACAACCTTGCCCCAAGTCTCTCTACCTCCAAGTGCCTGTAGCGCTCTAGGCACGCTCTCCAACCCAGTGAAATTCTCATCTATAAAAGACGTGCCCTTGAATTTCCCCTGGGCCACGAGGTCGAAGATCCCCTTCCAGACTGTGACGACCGTATTCCTTTCGAATCTGGCGTACTGCCCCCAGTGCAGACCAATAAGGCTCACATTCTTCAGCAGCACTCTGTTTAGCGCGACTTTCTCGATCTTTCCAGCCGCAAACCCGATAATAAGTAGTCGGGCATTCCACGCCACACACTTGAGACTCTGCTCAATCATCCCCACAGGATCATATACGATATCAACACCGGCCTCGCCATTTCCCTTCCTATTTGCTGAGCACAGGCGCTTCACTTCCTCCGGCCAGTTCTTATCCCGGTAGTCGACGACGTAATCGGCGCCAAATTCCCGCGCAACCTGTCTCTTCTTCTTCGTTCCCGCAGTCGCAATGACGGTCGCCCCCTTGGCCTTTGCAATCTGAACAGCCGCCAGACCGACTCCACCCGCAGCAGCATGAACAAGAACCCATTCCCCGGGCTGGATATTGGCTCGGTGCACTAGCCCACTGTACGAGGTGGGCGCGGTGACAAAGAGACCCGCTGCGTCCTGGAAACTCCAGCCCACCGGGACAGGGAAGAGCTGTTCCTCTGGGGCTAGAATGTGTGTTGCATATGCACCTTGCGCGGCGCCAAAGACTCTATCGCCGATTTTGAAGCGTGGGTTCTTATTCGACATCGGCACGGCCAGGACAATCCCAGCAAATTCCATGCCCCCGATCCATGGTAAAGGGGGTTGGTGTTGGTATTTGCCTTGGATCTGGAGAATATCGAAGAAATTCGTTGCGGCCGAATGCACCTCTATGAGGTACTTGTCTGGTGCAGGTGAAGGGGTGGGGAGATCAGACACTTTGAGGTCGAGAGGTCCCTATTTAATTTCAGATGTCCGTGTTGTGGTTAGTGCTTGTTTCGCTTAAGATGAAACTCGTATACGCTGTAGATTCTCAGGAAAAAAGGGAGACGCACCTTGACATATTCGCTGACCTGAATGGCCCTCATCACGAGAAGAAGAGGTTATGGCCGTTCGCTAGGAGTATGCTCACCCACGCAATTGGGATTGGGATTAGATACACGAGATTATCAATCCTAGATCCTGTTCAGATATTGTCTCAAGATGACAGGAAAGGAAACCCCCTGAGATGCCATGGTAGATATGCGATGTATATGAATGAGATTGCAATATATTACAGAGCACACTCGGCATAGGTAATGAGCCGAGGTTGGTTTGATTGCCGAATGCGGCATACATTCATACCACATATCACTTATCCTGTTCGTCTTTTTTTTTAAAGACTGAAGCTTTTATATAGGGACATTTGGTATCTTGGTGGGAATCACAACAATATATCCACATTGGAGTTTTGGCCTCTTTTCAGTTCATCACAGCAGAAAAGGACATTTGTCCCAACTTCCAGGCTGCCATCAGGACCTGCAGATTGAGAACCCGTGCAAGGATTTCTAATGATACTGCTAGGATATAAGGATGCCGTTGCAACCCGACTGTCTCTAGTTACAGAATAAGGACAGATCAAAATGTCAACCAATTACTCCGCTCCCACCAAACTCTTGCTCAATTTCTATAGCTCCTCCTTTCTCTGGTCGAAGGCCCAGCTTGCATGTCCATATTCTATTGTGTCCTATCCGGAGGGCAGGAAATCACTGCAACCGATGCGCCCTCAGGTATAGATCGCCCTTTCCCTCAAGTTCGCTTGAAACAGCGGCATATACGCTGGTAGCACAGGCTTGTTCCAGACTCGAAAGGTACTTTTGCATCCCAGTGTCTTCCATGACTGATTGCATCTCCTTCTGGGAATACTTCTGCAGGTTAAGGCTTGCAAAGGCCCCCGGGTGTACACTGTTCCCATGAAGCCCTTGGGGACCATAGAGCCGCCCAATCTGATTCGCCATGTGAACGTTTGCAGTCTTGACCCATAGGTAAGCCGGACGTTGTATATTCCGTCGAAGCTGATATTATCCAGGCGGACAGGTCCATAGCGACGGGCTGCTGAGGCGACATTGACTACTCGCGAATAAAAATCTGGTGGTGAGCTTTTCAAAAGCAGGTCTTTCAACTGATAGAAAAGCAAGAAATGGGATAGGTGATTCGTTCCGAATTGAAGTTCATAGCCGTCCTTAGTGAGGCTCTCACGAGTATTCATAACCTGAATAAAAGTAGGTGCGTCAGTCTGAGCGACCAAGAGGAGAGGAGAGTCTTAACATTTCTCAACTCACAGCTGCATTATTTACAATGATATTAAGCTTGCTGCTCTTCCTGCGGAACTCTGCAGCGCAAGTCCTAACACTTGACAGGTCTGTCTGTCTGGTCTATGAAGAGAATATGTACACGACCGCTATCAAGTAAAGAACCGAGGGTTTCCCGAACTTTGTCGAGATTTCGGACAGCGCCGAAGACAGTCGCGCCAGTCGATGCTATTGCTCGCACAGTCTCAACGCCAATACCGGAGGAGACTCCGGTGATGAGGACAACCTTGTCACCCCATGCATTAGCCAGATTCTCATCATCGACTACTTGACAGCCCGTGACTCGCGAGTCGCCGGGCCCATTCAAAATTTCCCACCTGTTTCGCTCGGCATACCGGCCAGCGAGTCGGAAAGGAGCGTATTGGGCCTCGGACATGATGAGCTGTGAGAGGGGTAGGGTAGATAATATTTCGAACGGCCGGGATTAAAGTCTGGAAATCCTTATGAGACCAAGAAGGTCAAGGAGCATGAAAGATGCATGGCTCAGTATATATAACATTGTTTTCACCGAATGACATGTCTTTATTATCTCTGCGTAAATCCATTCTTTCATCAAGATGGTCCAGCAAGAAGCTCAAAGATGGAGAAATAGACGTCCGCCTCAGCACGTCGGAAGTTGCACTGGTTGACTGCGTTGCCGTTGCTAATCCCCGAGTAACCCCATTCCTCCGGCTTCTCATTACCATTAATAATAATAGAGCGAGCAGGAGATACCGCATTAAGCAGCACTAAAGCCGTTACACCGGGACATTCTCTGGCTGCAGTTTTACGTTATCAAAAACAGTATTGTCAATATAATGCATAACGCGCGCAAATGGAGCAATTGATTCTCTAAGTTTCAAGGTCGGTCGAGTTGCAATGCCAACGTAGGGTGGTGTTTTCTCTGGAGGACCGGGACTCTCTCACAGTGTAGCTGACTAGGTAAGGTTTTCAATCTGCATGGGACCATACTAAATTGGAGAGAATAGCTGTCCTATGCTGGTTGAGAATAGGGATACTTTATTCGAGGCGATGGGTTTCACCTGTCCACTGGGAGGGAGACGTTTATTGACTTGGGAGACGTAGAAATTTGAGGCCAAAATGGCTACAGCACCGTCGTGTCAAAGTCATAGCAAATCAAGACGCTTAAAAATCTTTGAATTTAGGCTTCTGTTTTCTCTTAATATCTAGATACATTGTGCGTAAAGAGTTGACATCCATTCTGCATGGACAAACATGCTATTATTACACTTACATATTACCAATAATTCTATATATAGTATGCACCATTAGAACAACAGACAACGGATGTAACAGAAAGGGAAAAAAAGGGGGTGGAAATATCAAGAAAAAAGAACAACTTCCAATAGTTCCTATGCGCGCCGAACCGATACAACCAATACGCCTCTAAGCATCTCCAAAGAACATGCTGCCAAACCAAACCAATCCAATCCGTACTCCCCTTTGAAAAGTTTTTTAGTTATGGAACACGCCATCAAGTGCGTTAATATGATGACATAAATAGTCACCAGTCCAGAAGCATAGTGGATTAACAGCCGAGGGGAAAGCATTTTATGCTGGATAAATCGCCATCAATATGGAGGGAATTGCGGTGTAAAATAGGCGACGAGAAAGGACGAAGAGAAGGGAGCGGTGATCCGAATCGATGACCCTTCTCTTTTGGCGTGGGGGAGATAGAGCGGGAGAAACTATCATGCTGCATGTAGTAAAGTTTTCGACAGGTGAAACACGTCGATCCCTCAGGAATTTCTGGAAAAAGAATGGAAGAGCCAGGGTGAACTAGGGCACATAGTAAAGGACCATTAAACCAGTGGAAAGGCGCCGTGGTTCCAGAGACATCCGTTGAACATCATAGTTCCAGAAGTGGGTTTCTCGGCCTGCCGCTCGTTCCCGTGGATCCGTAATAATCTCTCCTGATGTTCCACTCTGAAATCGCCGCCTTCGAGGTCTAGTAAGTCATGATAGGTCGACTTGGCTTCCTCCCATGGCTTCGCCTCATCCGTATCTTCTCGCCACAAGCAAGCATATTCCGGCGACTGAGGCGAATACATTGAACCAGGTGTCTGCGGCAGCCCTGACTGTACGTACTCCTCATAGCAAGTTGTAGAATGCTGTGTTGGTGTGATGGCGTAGTATGGCATTGGTAGAGGCTGGCTCGTCGGATCGGAAGTCACGGAATACCATTGAGGAACTGGGATCATGGATGAACTGACCCCAAAGTTACCATGGTCAGAGACTACCGGCCATCGAACTGGACATGCCGTTGTTGCTGTCGGCAAGGGGCTTTGCAAGCGCGACACGGGTGAAATGGGATATGTGGTATTAGGGTAAGTCGGTATCATAGCCGGTGTTACATTATTCATCAAGACATTTCCGACAGCTGGAGATGAATATAATTCGTCGTAGGAATTGGGGTCTGTAATGGCATTTGTAAATTCTTGGATATCGTGCGGACCGCCGGGGTTTTCTTCGCCATTTGGGGAGTCCTTGGACTGCGGCTGCCGTTGTGCCTCTGGCAGACATAATTTTGCAGTGTCTTCTTTCTTGAAAGGAGCTGCAGTAGGTAGATAATGGTCTTGAGGTGAATATAGTCCATTGACTATGTGCCATCCTGGGTTTGCGGTAGACACCTCCTTTTTCTCTTCCTTCTGCTTGGGAGAAGTCTGCTCTGCATCCCCGCAGGTCTCTTGCTCGCTATGCTGGGCTTTCTTCCGAGTTTGGCGGGAAGGCTTGGTGACGCGCCATTTCTTCAGTCTGCTTCGCAGTTGGGTTTCACTGGCGAGAATTAGATGTCAATCTCCCGGATATCTTGGAGTGCAGCATGGGTATATAACAGGAAAATAGCTGCAAGGGATAACTTTGTATGGAAGCGGAAGCTCACCTTGGATCGAAATCCTCCGTTCGGATTTGCTTAATGACTTGTTTGAGCGGCCATTCCTCGTCTTTATACAGCTTTGCAATAAGCTCCTTCTTCGCCTCCCAAACATCTGATGGAATCGGATTCTTCATTGTATGCCAAATGATGAAGATATCTGATTCTCGTTGATTGAGGCACGGAGTAGGTTAAAAATATAAACCAGAAATAAAGAGCAAGGAAATAAGATGTATCACAGAAAGATGAAACCTCGCGGGCGACTCCTGTACTTAATAACAGCGCCCTGGCAAAGCATACGACCACACACGGAGTAATTATAATAATTATTATAATAATATAGAGAGCACTAACAGAGTTCTATCCGTGCGGGGGAGCGTGAGGGACAATTGTAATTGTGTGCGCGTGAGGAGAATAAGTGGCCCATGGCCAAGTACTTTTCAGAGCCACCCATTTGGGCGAAACGCCTGAAGGCCGTTTTATCGTGCTGTAGGGACTGATCGCCTAGAGCTGACTCCGTAGGAGACAGTCGGCCCCGTTTCCGCCTAGGAGCCGAACCGGCACATCCTCAACGGAGACGGTCTCTTCACTAGTCACCTGCGGAGTCTCCGTGGCCCTCTTTATCATATTGCCACTTACAGTGGAAAGGTAGAAGATGCAAGGAGAATGGATGATCGCGCTGGAAACCATCCCATCAGGGCCCCAGCAGCCGTCATTGACTGATGAGCAATGGATACACCGCCACTGTTTCCAAACACGACGCCGGGTTGCAGATTGGATTGGATCTTATCCACTTCCCCTACGCGTTCCGTGCCAAGCTGCGGGCTGTAGATAGCGCATAACGTCGGGCTCCAGCACTCTGGGGCCGGGATATGCATCTGCTTCACCGACTAGTAAGCTTCTGGCTGCATCGAGTCATGGTAGAGGAAGGGTTATGTCTATTCCAACGCATCAGATCAATCTGCTTTGCTCACTCGAGATGATATTGGGAATACAGGGAGTGAGTACCTGGGGCCTTTGCCGATGCATCTAGATACCTCCTGGATGGGACTCCCTGAGCAGCGAATACGACTTTGGAGGGAGCCATGGCAAGCGGTCGAGCTTGGATAGCGTTGTTGAAGTGACGAAGCATGTGGGCACTGAGCACTGAGAGGTAATTACCAAGCTGGGTTTAGGCGGTGGTCCCGCGGTACGGTACCGTATCGGATCTAAGCCGACGATTCGCGTGTTGTTACGGTGCGTTACGGAACCCAGTGATCATCCATCTGCACCAGCGCTAGTATATTTCCGGCATAGGTTGTCCTTGGAGCATTGCTGTTTTGGTATAGCTCTCCAGAGCGGGAGGTTTGTTTAATTTGGCCTCCTGTTCCTTTCCATTGCCCCGGGAGAGAAGGATTAAGGAGAAGCCGCGGCGCCGTTTCACCGTCAATAATAGCAGCATTCCTGATTACTATATAGATTCTGCGGATGGAGCACAGTAAATTGCCAGTACGAAGCAAGATGAGTGCTAATATCCGTATCCGTACATGTGTATCGCGCCATACCGCATACCTATAAATACCTCCTGCAACCGCATGGCCGGCGGCGTGGTCTCGCCTCACTATTGGACATGCCAATTATTATCGCACATGAAACATCGAGTGGACAGCACTATGAGCACTATGAGGCACTACGACAGCGGTAGTGTGGTTGGAAGCCACAGGGAGAGCACGGTGTTTAAAATGACACCTTCACATCCTAGCCCGAGCGTCAGAATTATTGGATTATGGGAGACCCTCACGCTGAAATAGTCACGAGCTATTATATTATATCACAATTTATCCCTGCCTAGGCATGCAGTATCCACATGCATATCACAGAAAGAGCAATTCTCCTGCCTAGTGTCCGTAGTGTTTACTAGGGAGTCCGCGGGCTTACTTTGCGCAGATCCAAGTCTTTGGGAACATGTAGATTAGGGCAAATCAGACAATGATGTACATGTTTCACATACTACTCTTCTAGCAGTAGTAGCACATTCATCTATCTACATACCTATCTAGATATAGTATATACCCGCACCTTGTTGCCACTCGGATCCGATTCAGGCTTGGAACCATGCCAAACGGTGCGTTGGTGTATGTACGTAAGTGCAGTAGTCAGGAGCCAAGCCTCATGGTATTATGGCTGAATACGTACTAAGCACATACTCTTGAGCATCGTCCTCGGTGTTCACTAGCCACCTACATCAATCACATAGGAGCCTAAGTCTGGCAAGAAGATATGAAGTTTTGCTCCTGGCAAGTTCCCGTGCTCATGACCTGGACGATCTCAGATATATGTAATAAACTAATATAACTTTCCTGGGTCCCCATTACAAGAAAGTACGTACGTATTTTGGACCATGAACTCCCAAGGAGCCAAGCTCCCCCTATAGTGGTCCAGATGGTGTGATTCAAGAACTACTACAGTGTATCTATACAGCTATTCTAGACCAAGTGAGAGATCCAATAATTAACATGCTAAGCGAATTCTTCCTTTGCATGCAGAGAGACATACAAAAGTATATATATACATATGAATTTGAATTCCCATCAAGCGCCAACGTTATCAACAACACAGGAACCCTCTCAGACCAGGTATACCAATGGAACACACACAGACACACATACACAGAGACACATACGCACACACATTGTAAACTAACACAGACATAGAGAAGAGAAAATGTGGGCAAAGGGATCATAAGGAACAAAAAAGAATAAGAAGAATTAAAAGAGCCCAACTCCATCCAAAGCACCATGTTAATATATTTAAAACGGCGGGCGAGCTGCATGTGCGGGCCGAAACTCACTCAAGTGGCAAACCAAAATAATGTATGTTGTTCATGCCCCTTCTGGCCAGACTGTGTGACTTAACGTCGTCTTTTGCCGACACGGTGCTCCTTGCCCTTTTTGGACTTCTTATTCTTGTCGGTTGGCAACACAAGCGGCTCGTCTTTTGTTAACCACTCCATAAATCGTAATAGATAATTGTCGATGTGACCAGGTCCTGGTTCCACATCAACTTCGTCGTCCGCGCCGTGAACATCAGGTGATGCAATCAGACGTGCACCAGGGGCGTCTTCTTCGTCAGGCCCAGTCTCCAGTGGCGTACCAGCTTGGCTTGGGCCGATTCGGGCCGGCGTGCCGTAAGAAACGCTCCGATCCTCAAAATCACCATCATCTGCGTGCTCGAGTTCCCTTTGCGCATTCTTGGCGGCATCTCGGTCTTCCTTGTCTTCGGCTTGCTCAAAGACGCGACTCACGCCGGCGCCTCTCGTATCGAGTACTCTATCTATTGCAGCGCTGGCCTCGTCATGTTCTTCCAAGACACACTCATCAATCATATCGTGAACGTCTAGCTTGGTGAAGTAATCTGTGGTGAATTCGCCCTCTTGGATCACAACGTCGTCAAGCATCCTTTTTTGGTTGGCTTTGCGCAGGATGTTCGATTCTATGGTATACTCCGAGACGAACCGATAGATATGGACATCTCGTGTCTGGCCGATACGGTGGCAGCGGTCCTGGCACTGTTTGTCCATCGCCGGATTCCAGTCCAGGTCATAGAAGATAACGGTATCTGCACCCGTGAGATTGATGCCCAATCCACCAGATCGCGTGGACAGGATAAAGGCCAAAATGCGATCGTCATTATTGAACCGATCCGTTAGCAGTTGTCGTTGCTCCACTCTGGTAGTCCCATCAAGTCGAAGGTATCGATGCCCATGAATATTGAGGAACTGTTCGAGGATATCGAGCATCTTAGTCATCTGCGTAAAAATCAATGCCCGATGACCGCCTGCCTTTAGGTCCCGAAGCAGCTTGTCGAGTCTCTGCAATTTTCCACAGTCATATTGCAAAAGCCGCCTATCCGGAAAAGCAATGGAAAGCCGCATTTGCACCTCATGAAACGGGTCATAAGGCGGAACCCTCTGTGCTTCCGTAAAGTATCGACTCTTGATGGGAGTAAGAGCAGCTTCAGTTACGCTAGTAGCGACCGCGGCCGGGGTAACGCAGGCGAATCGTTGAATGTAGCCATCCATGCTGCGAGATCTTTCTTCAATTGACAAAATCATCGAGGCGAGAACCGACGATTGACTTGACAACTGATCGGCCAGTGACCGTTTCTGCGAACGCGCGTTGCCTGCCCGGTGCTTGCTATCAGTCGTAAGAAATTCGATAAGCGTGCTGCCGTATATGGGTCGACGGCCGTGACGCTTCGATTCGAAATATAGACACCTCTCTAGCTCTTGCATTCTCGTTATTCTGCTGACGTTCTCCAAGGAGTCCAACGTGGACTGTATTGTAGAGCCATCGAATTCCATTTCCCAATTTGTCCTATTATACTGGCGTTCACGGAGCGCCTTAAACGGGCCATAGGCCATGATTTTTGTGCTGTCGTCGGCCAGTCTCCGCGAAAGATTTTCTCGAGAAATTGGGGCCAGATTGAGAAAGTCCAAATCCAGCTTCGAAAGTGGATTCTCGTATAAAAGTCGACGTCTGATGAGACGCTCATAGACCTCATATTCAGTGACCACTGACTTTGGCATCGCAAACGATGTAGAGATGGGTCGGGTTTCAAAGAGATCTGGGTGATTGCAGACCTTGCGGAGTTGCATAAGACAGTTTATGATAGATAAGTAGTTTCCAGATGCAAGCGTTTCCTTCGTTTGAGCTCTGGACATAAAACCGTCATAAAGATACCTTTGACGTTTGGAAAGCCTGCAGTAGACCACATGCTCGTATTTTGCTGGCATCTGCTTTTCAACGTCCGCCTTGAGTCGTCGCAGAATGTAGGGCCGCAGGACAGTATGGAGTTTGGTGACAACTTGCTTTGCCTCCTCATCCATCGTTTCCCGGCCGTGTTCCAGGATTTGTTCTACAGGGCGTCGAAACCATTCAGAGAAGTTTCGCAGATCAGCAAAGCCCTCGATTCCTGTCCCATCGCTGTCAGAAGGCATGAGGAAAAACAGAAGAGACCATAGCTCTGTCAAATTGTTCTGAAGAGGAGTGCCTGTAAGTAAAAGCCTGGCTCTAGTTTTGAATGTGAGGAGCGCCTGCCATCTTTGAGAGCGGAAATTTTTGATATTGTGAGCTTCGTCAAGGATCATATAATGCCAATTCCTCCGTTTGAGAACTTGTTGGTCCTGAAGTACAAGCTGATACGAGGTGATCAAGACATTCCAGCTCGTATCATCCATCCAGCCCTTTCGTTTCTGTCTGCGCTCTTCTTGAGTACCGTAGTATGCCATTATCTTGAATCCGGGACACCACTTCTTGAACTCCATTTCCCAATTTAAGATGACACTTGTAGGAACAACAACTAAATGCGGTCCCCAAACATGATGCTCCACAGCAAGGTGCGCAAGTAGGGCTATTGTCTGTATGGTCTTACCGAGACCCATCTCATCCGCGAGGATACCATTGATGTGATTTGTGTAAAGGCCAGCCAGCCAATCCAACCCAAAGTGCTGATATTCTCGCAGAGTTCCGCGAAGTAATTGCGGTATTGGTGTCTTCAATCCGGGAGCAGCCGGGGATTCGTTTGGCGGTGGCTTCTCCATCGGAGCTTCATAAGACGAGATAGACTCAGGTTCAGAAGGCTTCGTGGCAAGCGTACCCGGCGAGGCCTCGCTAGACGCCTCACCACTTTGCCGATCGTCGTGTTTGTCATGATTTACGTTGATGGAATATTGGTCATCACCGGCTTCATCAGACGCAACGACTGTGCCTTCAGTGGTTTGATGGTCTTCATACTGGGGACGCTCTAGGCCCACAGTGAGCTCCCTGGAAGTCAAATCGTCTTCTAATAGACCAGTGGCGTCAGAAGCATTCGCAGCAGCCGTTTCAGGCTTGGGTGACCCGTTGGTAACAGAAGAATGATCAATAGTGGGAGAAGTTGCATGGATTATATCACGATGTTTATCTTCCCGACTCGTGGGTCCATTAGGAACAAGTGAGACTTCATCTGGTTCTTCAGGCTCTTCATCCTCGTCCTCATCCTCGTCCTCTGAAGCAGAGTCGACATCTTGAGTAACGGCATGTTTACCATAACGGTCACTTGCGAGACGTATATCATTGGAAGAGAAAAACCCAAGCAGGCCAGGTCCATCATCACTCTCCTCTCCAGAAAAAGCTTCGGAATCTTCATCTTCATCTTCATCGCTATCGCCCATGTCGTCATCCATGTCCGTTGATTGATCACTCTCATCCAAAAGCATTGGGTCAACTTTGTCTAGCTTTATGTTCTCAGGTACCATCGTAGGAGAGCCCAGCGAGCCATCGGCACAAAATTTAGGATGCGAGGTATTACTACCTCCAGACGATTTTGTATCTGTAGAGGTAACAGACGCCCGGTCTGAGATATTATTTGCTCCAAGGAGATTGGCATACTTCAACTGAAGTTCCTCTGCTGTCAAAGCTTCATCGTCATCAACGATTGCCGAATAATCCGACTCAAGATCAGTGGTCGACATGTTGCTTTCATCCCCTGATTCGGATGAGGGGTCGGTTTCGGCCTTTTCGCCTTCACTGGATTCAGCAATGTCGCTTGCAGTCTCGCCCAGGATCTCTAGTCGCCTTTTCTCGAAGAGCATGGTGGATTGTTTGATGGCACGATCCAACGCTTGCTGATCTTCCATTTTCCGCTCCTCTTCCCAACGCGCCAAGCGGATTCTATCAATTTCTGCGCGTGCTAAATCGAACATTTTCTGAAGATCCTTAACTACTTGTCTTCGTTTCGTGCGCGTTTGTTCTTGTTGCTCTCTGAGGATGTCTTCTGGGCGCTTGTGGCGTTTCCTCCACGCATCGGCGCACCACTGTGCGCAGAGTTTCGCGGTATTGCGGTGCCGCTTATGCTCCTGGTCAAGAAGCTTCTTAAAATACAATGCATGCGAGACAAGGTGATCTTGATGTGAGTACTGCTGTGCTGGCTCTTCTTGCGGTTCTGGTATGAAAGCAGAACACGTGTCTGGACTTAGGAGGCCACCAGACTCAGCAGCATCTTCTATCCTCAGTCTTGTCCTAGCCTCTTTCAGCGCATCGATAGAAGTGCGCATGACATCGTCTTTATTTTGCCCGCCTTCGTTCTCTAGCCACTCTCTGAACGATGTATACTTCCGGGGGGGAAGTCCGTGAGAAGGATGTTGAATGCTGATCGAAGGCTTCTTGACCTTGAACCGCAGTCGAGGAAGCTTCTGTGTATTTTCTCCATTATCACGCTCTTCGTCTTCAGATGTCTTCTCGGATCCGTCCAGAAAAGAGACTTTCGTGGCTTGGTATAATCGACCGGTAACTGAATTGGCATCGCTAGGGCTCGCGTGTAATGGGATAAGACGCTGCGATCTTATATTGGTATTACCCGGCTTCGGCGACTGCGGGATACGCCCTCGCCTGCCTGTAGATCTTCTTGCGCCCATGTTGCCCGGCGATCCATTTGCCTTCACTTTGCGACCGTTTAACTTCCCCGATACCTCCGAACTTGACGGTGTGACCGCTAGCGGTGAGAGTGTAGATTTCGGGGAGATGACCGAGGAACTCCGGCTCTTATGCTGCCTCTGATTTGTTCCCGTATGTTGATGGTCTGACTGCAGCCCAACAGGGAGTACGTTAGTTCTTGTAGACCTGCGCTTGCCATCCTGGATGAATGACGTTGGGCCATCCACTCCAGCTTTCTTCCACGGAGGGGACGCTGCTCGAGGGGTCGACCGTCGCGAGGTATTAGATTCTGCAAGTTTCCGTCTCTTTGATGGAGGCCCGTGAACAGGGTCGGTTGCAGCATCTTCCTTCGATTCAGAAGCTATCGGGGCCGGATCCGTCAAGTTCGGAAGATTCTCGAGTATGGGATGATCACAAATGGGAATATTTATGTCAGGAGTCACGCGTTCATGTTGCTGTGATAGTTCATTCAAGCCGCCGTTTTGCATGTCTCGTTACGATAAACGACAGGGGCCCTCTTACACGGCTGACCCCAGTTTTCCCAACGAAGACGCGGTCAAATCGGGAAATTTTGGCATCAACAGATAGGTCTGATTAAGTCAAGTTGACACACGTTGTTTGGCATAGTTATCAGCACGGTGGCGTGACTGGTAAAAGGAAAACCAGTTGAGATGAGAAAATTGGGAGAAAAGGTGTTTTTTTCCTGTTGTGACGAGGAGTACGGGGTGCGACGTGGAGCGGCCGCGCCTTCTCTAATGCCTCAGGCCATAAGGCCCGCAAAGGCCAACCAGTCAAATCACTCGCAACTCAATACGTCTGCGCATTGCCAGACCGAGCATTCAACGTCAGCTTCTGCTACAAGGTCCGGCTACTGAGTTCTCTGGCAAAGGTCAATTTTTCCTATTCAGCCAATCTTTTTCTATCTGGATGTTCCATTGATACTGATAGCTAAAACAGATGCTGCCTCAACGGATCCTAGCCCGGCGCCTGCCACTGGGTGCTGTCCACCGTACCGTCCCTCGTGCCTCTTTCTCTCAAGTGAGGGCTCTCGCTGCTGCTGAAGCCAATGATTCTCTAGAGGTATTATACATTCGTGTTATTTCCATCCGTTTCCAAGTCTACTGACGTGACCCGTATGGTAGACCGGCCCCTACGAGAATCCCCCTCCGATCAAGCGTTCGTTCAGAGATCCCTATGGCGATTGGTGGGATAAGCAGGAAAGACGGAACTTTGGGGAACCGGTTCACGAAGATAATGACCTCCTGGGGGTTTTTAGCGTCGAGCAGTACACGCATGCTACGCCTGGCAAAGCTTTTGCCGCACTTGGTGTTTTCGTTGCGACCTTCCTAGGCTTCTGTGGGGTTACCAGCCTGTTCTATCCAGACAAGGCGAGTGCCCCGCGGACATTTCCAGACGGTCTAGAGAAGGAGCTCGGAGGTCCGAGTGCATTGAGGGTGAGTCCAGCTCAGTCGCTACGTAGGGATTTAGACAAGCTGACATTCCACTGAAGGCCCGGAAAGATGGTGAGGACACTTGGTGATCTGGCTTCTATTCTGTCCTGTTTATTGTGTAAATACGACCATTGCACTTTCCAAAGGAGACTGCCTTTCCTGTTTAGCCCACCTGCACTGCGACAGGTTATGATGGCTGTGAGCAATCTCGACCAGATTCATATATGCTTCATGGGCAGCACATATCCACGGGCGTACGAATAAGCTACCACTGGTATGAAGATTACCGACAACCTAGTATTGGGCATTCACAGAAATGACAGCAGGTTTTTCAATTGCCTACCGCATGCTCGTCGAATGGGGTTCAGAAGTGTAGTCAAGATACCTTAAAGAAACAGACAGACACAACAAACATTCCTTGGCAGTTGCTCTATCTCGAGTTTAGTCGTTAATGTTCTGACATTTGGGTCTCTATAGATGATCATTTGCATATCCCACCCAGATCTAGTAACGAGAATCATGTCCCGGCCGCGCTCAAGAGTTCCAACAGGTCAAGTTCGAACATCATGGCTGTCCATTGCTGCCGTATTGCAACTAGCCAAACAATAACTAGAGGTCAACTGACACAGCTTATATAATCTGGGGCAGTTCTAACTAATAAGAGCGCCTGGGATTAAGCAATATATTGTCTTTTAACATCTATACCATGCCGGGATTGCATTGATACAAATAATTACGCCATGAGGCCGGGCCAGTTTAGTTTACAAAATGCCCCCCCAAGCCCTTGCAGCTCGATGGTAGAGCCCACCTTTGCAGTATATCATAGCTACATCGCATTAGGACTGACTTTCAAGGAAAGGTTAGGTTCCTGGTGGCGTTCGAACATGCGGGGACGAAAGTAATCCCGTCCTGAAATCCCTGCCTTTAATTAGATAGCAGTGGTAATTAGTACGCATGCATGTACGAATGGATAATAATAAGAAGAATATCTAAATAGATATATGACGGAAGAAACAAAACCAACAAATAAACAGTCCTAAGAAAGTAATCAATCTAAGTCACGGCGGATGAGCAGATGGTGATCCATGGGGTGACTTTATTTTTATTTTGGGACTACCGCAGCTTTGTTTCAGCGGTTTCAGAGCTCTCTCACATCCGCCCCTTTGCCGCCCTTTTGTCCACCCAAGCAACCAGGCGCGCGTTGGAATCGAGCTGCTTATTTTGCTAACATCCCTTTTCGCTGTCGAACTAGGAAGGAATACTGCGCTATAGAGAACCTCGTTTTTCCTTCGTCCGAACCAATCACCCAGGTGCTGGCTGGCCCCTGGTATCTCAGTCTTACCTCCATGGTCCGCATGTTCCTCGTCCTCTCAAGCGCTGTACGGTTCGGATAGAATAAAATTGCATATGTCGACAGCATCCAGACAGTCTCGAGGCATCAGCCGTCGGCTCGACAGCCTTCAACGTGAAAGACACTCACGCAACCTCTCTTCTCTCTCTGTCTCCTATGGCCGACCGGTGAACTCAAACGTTGCCTACAGTTATGCTCTCCGTGTAGCCTATCTCACCTACCTCCTTCAACCTCGCTCTCGTCGCATTCAAAATGTACCGAATCGACCACAGCGCCCCAAGCGGTCCTCCACCTTCCACGATCTCATGAGTGACTTCTCGCTGGTCAAAGATTCGAAGAGCACCAAGTTCCCTCATGGGTTCATATCTGTGCTGGAAAAGCGGCTAACTGGGATATTGGTGCACACAGAGAAGAGGAAAGAATACCAAGATCCATTGGTAGTGAGGTCGTTTGCGGTGTTCCTAAATGCCCTGAAGGAGCAGTCTTTTAGGAAGAGAATGGAAAAGGATCGGCGCGCCGAGGATCTCGTTCTCATATTCTACTCGAACGCAACAAAGGAACTGGGCAAGGGCAAAGACCTGGACGACGATAACTGGAAATTTATGGTAGATAGACATGTTGCCCTGTTTGTTCGGCTGTTCGCGCTCATTCTGAAAGATAACGACTGGGCGAAAGATCGACCTGAATTAGCAAATCGACTAGCTGTTCTGGAGAGCAAGCTCCTCTCCCAGGACCAGGATCTTGTGCAGACAGGCGACCCCGCGACGACAACTGAAGTCGTTGTACCATTGAGTTATGATGTGAAAGACATGCCACTTGTACAGCATGTGGCAAAGATATTCGGAATCAGCACAGCACAGGCACAGTCTGATATCGACGCGTACAAGTCGACTTGGACTGAGAAGGCAGCTCTTCGAGATCTGAAGTCATACCAGGCTCAGCTAAACCTTAAAACTGGGCGGACACTGTCGACGGAGGATTTTGAAAGCGAGGAAGCATATGAATTTTGGAAGAAAAGCGAAGGCCCAGAACTCTCGCAGATGATGCTTACGATTGTACAATCGAACCCAGACCTTGCTAAAAGCACACCAGAAGAGCAGGCCAACGCCGAGTTAGAATTATCTAGGACTATCTCTAACAGGGCCTCTCGCGTGATTGATCAGCTGCCAGATATCCGATCATTGTCTTTAGCGGATGACAGTAACGGTACTTCAGATGAATCTGATGTTTACACCTTCATTCCCGCAGATCCGAGGTCTTGTTACAGATTTATCTTGTCTCAAACTTGGCGCTATGACATGAAGGATCATGAAACTGAGCAGGCGTCCAAGCTATTCTCTAAACAATCTGCCGAACTTCTTCATGAAATATGCGCTCGCTGGCGACTCCCCAGTTGTTCCAAAGTTGCCTTACTCCTGGATGTTGCTCGTGAGAAATTCGTGGATAACGAGATTGACCTCGACACTCTTGACACTGCATTTATTTCCGCGAAGGAGACCCCTGTTCAGGAAGGGAAGAGACGCAATAGCCTTGTACAGCACGTCTTCTTGGACAGGCAAAAATGGACGATTCATGACCTTCATTTGATGCGACAGCTGCTCTCGTCTCTTCATGAGGCTTTGTTACGGGAGCTCTACGATGTTATGATGGATTGCTACGAGACGAAGCCGCGCCCAATCGGTCCGGTGATGTTCGTCTTGGAAAATCACATTGAGCTTGATCCAGACTATACTGAAGATTCAGAAGATATCAATCGATTCCGTTCGTATGTTTTTGATGGACTCTCACAGAAGGCGAGAGAAAAATATCAAGATCTTCTTAGAGAGGAAATCCCGGCAGAGCCTGAGCTTTGGCATATAGAACATATTATTCAACTTGCTCAAGCTATCACGAAATTGGCGCAGAAAATTCAGAAACGTTACAGAAATAATCCCGAGATCATGGGGTAAGTGCCTACTCCTTCCATTCTTCATGACAGCTTTTATACTAACAGACATAGGGTAAACCCCCATCAGATATTGCTCGTCAATGTCCTTCCATTGTACGCGGAAGATGCGCAAGAAATGGTGGTCAGAGTAATTGAACAGGTAAACGAGCGAGGGGAGGAAATTGACCTGGAAGACGGATTCGACCTTTATAAGAAACTCACAGGAATCCGGCACCTTTTTGTGGATGCACTGCCTGAGTATGACTTCCCCTCCCCCCTCGGTAGCTATTTAATGTTCGCGGCACACTAATAAGATGCAGCGTCCCTTTCCCATTTCACATCGAAGACAAACTGAAAGACTTTGTCTGGCGTTGGCTACGTCTGACAGATCAAAGGATAGTGGAATGGGTTGAACAAGCTCTCAGACAAGATGCATTTGCCATCCGGGCGAATGAGTCTATTGAGTTTGCCCCCGATGAACTCAAGCACAGCGTATCCGTGATCGACATCTTTAGGTCGTTTAATCAAGTAGCAGAGCAACTAATACAGCTTGGGTGGGATGATGATTTCCAGTACGCAAAGTTTATGACCGCTCTGTCCAAGTCGATAGGGAAAGGAGTAGCGATTTATTGCGAGTCGCTGGAGCAACTGTTCACCAAAGAAATGGATCGTCTTTCTCCCGAACAAGAAGCGGCTTTGCACAAGACGACACAAGAGAAATGGATGCAAATGGCCAAGGACGCTTGGACGAACAAGGAGAAAATGGAACCCTTTCAGTTTCTGCCCGAGGTCTGAGTGGAAGTGTACCCATATACCTTTCCATATGATTTGCTAATGGTGACATATAGTCTCTTGTCAAACTCAACAATATCGAACATGCGCTTACCCAGCTCGACAGACTTGAACATGATGTCAATGTTGATGGATGCGCTGAAGCGATTGCGAGACATACTCCCCCACAGACGCAGAGGACACGCAGGTCGGTAACGTATGTCTTCACGATCAAGATCGTGGAGGCAGAGGATTTGAAGGCCTGCGATATGAATGGAGGCAGCGACCCTTATGTTGTCTTGGCGGACGAGTACCAGCGGCGTATTGCGAAAACTCGTATCATTTACAATAACCTTAACCCCAGATGGGATGATGCGGTTGACATCACAACTCAAGGACCTCTGAATATTATTGCAACGATTTGGGATTGGGATGCGGTCGGCGATCACGACTATGTTGGACGGACATCCATCAAACTGGACCCTGTGCACTTCAGCGACTTCATGCCAAAAGAATATTGGCTCGATTTGGACACGCAAGGCCGGCTCTTGCTCCGTGTGAACATGGAGGGAGAGCGAGATGACATCCAATTCTACTTTGGCAAGGCTTTTCGCGTGCTGAAGCGTACCGAAAGAGATATGACTCGCAAAATAACGGAGAAGGTAAGTCAATGCCTTAAGTCCTATCCTTCGTAACAATCATTGCCGTCACTGACGCCAGATAGCTCTCTGCATACATCAGTGACTGTCTGTCTCGTCGAACCCTCAAATCCTTGTTGTCTCGAGGCCTTAGTATCTCCACCGTGTCAAATTTCCTTAATAGAAACCGAGCACAAAGCACAACAACAGCACCGTCACCGGCGGACGTGGAGAATGCATTGACACCTCTTTTCAATTACTTTAATGACAATTTCGCGATAATGAACAAGACGCTTACATCTGAAGCAATGAAAATGGTCATGGCACGTCTGTGGAAAGAAGTGCTTGCAACCATCGAAAGCCTGCTCGTTCCTCCCTTGTCGGATAAGCCCTCCCACCAGAAGCCCCTTACAATGCAAGAACTCGACATCGTCTCACGATGGCTCGACCTACTTTTGAACTTCTTTAATGCTGTCGACGAAGAGACTGGAGATGCAAATGGCGTGCCCATAGATATTCTGAAGTCTCCCAAATACCATGAAATACGAAGCGTGAACTTCTTTTATTTCGACCCAACGGATATTCTCATTCGCACATCAGAGCGCATGGCAGCTGCAACAGCCTCGCGTGCACAACAGTTAGCCAAAAATCGGGCATCGGCGCCAGCGGGATCATTTGGGGCTACCCTTGGTGTTCCTGGTGCAAGGCGCGCAAAAAGCATAATGCTTTCTCGCAATCTAGGCACTATGAAAAAGGCGAAAGAAGAGAAGCGACGCGAAGCCCAGGCCGAGCCTAATGATGATATGATTTTGCGTATTCTCCGTATGCGGCCGGAAGCAGCTGGCTACTTACGCGATCGCAGCCGGCAGAAAGAGAGACTTGCAGCAGCAGCGGCAGCGGATGCCATCGTTAAACAGAGTCTCATGGCCGGTGCTGGTAGTAGGATGATTGGCACCCTTCCGCGGCGATGATATCTCGGATATTGCACTCTGCCATAGCCTTATGGTTCTCTTCCTAATACGTATACGGGAAGAGGTACAATGGGACGTTTCCCGGGCAGTTATGTTTTAGTTACGACAGCTGGTCTTGGGATTTTGCCTATTCTTGTTTCCTTTTGCAATAACGACTCTATGATTCCCGGTTCTAGCTGGATATTTGTTTTTCCTTTTTTTAGCATTATTTTTTATTAGTCTTTCGGATTATGGTTCTTGTAATAAAGCATCTACTGAGCAAACATGGTTTAATATGGGAGATACCACTTGTAGTGCTCGACTCTTCTATCCTAAGCCGAGGAGGAAAGTAGGGTTCTTATCACTGTAACCAGTTGCTTAAATTTAATTCTATATTCTTTTTTATCTAGCCACTAGATAACTGGCCTGAACTCGACACATGGTGTATCATACCTTGGCCAAGGCAATGCACTCGATCTCAACCGGCACGCCCTTGGGCAATTGAGCAACAGCAACGCAGCTTCGAGCGGGCTTGGAGATGAAGAACTTCTCATAGGCGGCATTCATCTCCGCAAAATCAGCCATGTTGGTGAGGAAAACCTAAGAAGTAATCAGTAAGATGAGAACGAAATGAGACACCACATCCCCTCCCGTGCAATTGCACCACGCAGTGTGAACATAACATGAATGAATGGGTTGGGTACTCAGAGTATGTACATACATTGACCTTGATAATTCTATCAACGCTAGACCCGGCAGCGTCCAGGATAGCCTTGATGTTTTTGCAGATCTGCTCCGTTTTCTCACCGATAGTTCCCTCGACCAAGTTCCCGGCGGTGTCGGCGGGGATCTGGCCGGACACGAAGATCTGGCCGTTTGCACTGACAGCATGGGACTGTTATAGAGGTATTGGGGGAATCAGTAAGTATTGAATCAATCGATTAATTGGATAGAGGTCGTTTCCTATTATATTATGTATTGGGAGGGAGCCGGAGAGGAGGTGTGAGGGTGAAAAGGAAAAAAAGAAACATACGTATGGGCCCGCAGCTATTGTAATTCAATTGAACATGTCCGTCAGCAAATACTTCAGGTACTCTTAAACAGGCGAGAAAATTAAAGCAGTGGATAAGAACTAGTCGTGGACTTACGAGGGGCAGCGTCCTTCGAGAAGATGTGTGTTAGACCGGACATGGTGGGGGTGGTAGTTGAGAAAGGCCGAAGACTAGATGAGGAACAGGAGAATGATATCGGAGCACGTAGGGAGGATAGAGATGTAACTCGAGCAAGGAGGGAGAGTTTCAAACTGCTTCTCAGCATGAGTCGAAATGCGCCGTGGAGGTGTTGATAGCGGTGGTGATGGTTGGGGTTTTGTAGTCGAGGACACAGACCGCCCGAAATCGGTGATGTGTATAATTACATAGTGGATATTTGCCCGGTCTACGCATTAATAATGCCTCTATCGCAAGTTGAAGTTGACACCCTACGCTGTACACAGCATTGTCTAAAGCAGAGAAAGCCATATTTGTCATTAATCGTAAATGCACTCCCCAATGGACTCAGTTGTATTTGACATAACAACGCTCAAAGACATACATCACGCATTAGTGTAAAGGTGAATATCGAGAAACATATAAAACAAAAAGTGAACAGTATCGCCAATAGCATCTAACTTCGTCTTGGTCACGATTTATTGCACAAAGCGCTTAGCTCTTGCAAAAAGGCAGCGGCCTGTTCTGCTGAGTAGCCGAAGAAGACCGGGCCATTGAAGACGATGTCGGCAGGTGAGGCCGGATTAGTGTCGATGGCCTTGTCCTCTGGAGCAACACGACCAGAAATATTCCAGTCTGCAATGCCTGCGGTATCTCCATGACCCCGAATCTTTTCGGTTCCTGGCAGGTTTGTCTTTCGCTGAGCGGCTCCTTGGCCAAAAGGGCAGCGCCCTGTTGGGGCCGTCCCGGGCGGCCGCATAGTAGAAGCGCCCGCTGGGATTTGTTCACTCAACTTATTCGATGGTTGATCGATTCGAGAGGGAGCAGTCGGAGAATGGGGAGCAGACGGGGCAGGTTGGTAATCAAGGGGCACATGGATCCCCCAAGGCCTACTTGGAGATTCACCCACACGAATCTCACGCAATGGACGATCAAAATGGCCTTTTCTATCATTGGTATCATCATTCTCGGCGATGGGAGTTGCTTGCTGTGTTGAACTGACATCCTCAGCCCATTTCTCAACGCGTTCAGTGGACGAAGCACGCGGAGCCTGATGATCACTTTCAGCATGACCTGGCAGGAAAGCCTGATGTTTCTCCCCAAGACCTCGAATCATATTGGCGAGATTCCCGTACTTCGCATCCAATTTCCGCATGCTTTGAGAGTCTCTTTGATATCGCCTAACGCAAATAGTATGGCTTCGGGGTAGTTCATTTTTATGCTTCTCGACATATTCCGCAATTTCCTCAGGTGTATGTTGTTTCATATATCTAATAGGACACCGCGGAATGGGACAAGACGATGTTGCAGATGCTGCTTGACTGGAACGCCTGTCACTCAATTCAGCTTTTATAGGATCTAGAATTTCGTGTCCACAGATACCACCATTCTGTAACCTTGACGGTTCTTGCGCCCCAGTAGATGTTTCATCATTGGGGGGCATATTATTCGGCTTCGCAAATGGGCAACGTAAACCGCCTTGCGTTCCGTTTGTGGTGAAGTCATGCTCTAAAACCCCGGCATTTGCTGCAACGGAGCAAGGATTGGACAGAAGCTGTAAGGTATTATTGTCAAGTGGGGCCACAGACTGGAAGCTTTCTAGTCCCTCCGTTATGGAATTGAGAATATGACCTCCTACGTAACCCGATTGTTTTAGTGATTTGACTACATCTTTGGGATTCGGCTGTTGTTCTGGCATAGAACCGAGTTTTTCATGTCCGAGAATATTCCTCGAGACAGTATTGACGTTGTCATCAGGTCCGCCAGGAAGTCGACCAGCTAACTTCAAGTACTATCGATAGGGCAAACTGTTAGCGTATGATTCCAGAGACATTCTTATAGAAAAGACCAACAATAAACTATGTCCCGTCAGGTAATACATGCTTTATCCGTCACCGCCGCAAGTGCAGCTCCTGATCTAGAGCTAATCAAAAAGAATATCTCATCATTCGAGACAATAAAACTCGACCCCCCCTCAAAGAGGGAAAAAAAAAAAAAAGAAAAGGAAAAAATTTTTTTTGAATATACCACATACCTCTTCATGTGCATATTTGACCTGTTGCTGCAGTTCTTTCTCTTTGCAGCTAAGTCGCTGGGTCGTTATGAGGAGAGCCGCAAAGGCTCTCGCCAGCGACTGCAGATGCTGATCCTGTGATTTTTGGATAACGGCTGCAGGAGACATATTTCCATAAGCAAGGGAATTACTGAAGTATGGCTTCCATTGACCATGGGCCACACCTCTGCCCCAGCAGAAGCGCGATAGCAGAAGTGCTGATGGAAAGATGGAAAAAGGGGGAAGTGAGAACTGTTGGAAGTTGGAAGAAGTAAAGCAGAACATTTACGTAATAAGCGAGAGACATCACATGATCTCAGAGCATCGCGGGGATATTGATGAGGATGTACTATTTCGGATTATCTAATAATCCAGCCCCGGTACCAGGAATATATATGTTTCGGGAGGAAAGGTGCCTACTCCCGGGTTCCCCAAATCCCACATATATAGAAGCGAGCAAGCGATTGAGCATTAAGCATGCCAATTAGGAGCTTCACAATGTACTAGAGACAGCAGTATATCGGTATAGAGCGTTTGCCACGAATCATACGAATCTTATGGTATCCTTTTAGTATTTTGATATCCGGACGCCGCACCCCTGATCCACATCACATATGATATATCACGTGATCCAACAAAAGTGTACATGTCGAACATCGTATAGTTAACTAGTTAGTGTTAGAGGTCACGTGTATTCTGCCATATTAGACCGCCCTCGCTTGGCCTGACACACTAAAATAGCTAGACCAACCTAGATAGATACAAGACAAGCAAGTTGATCCAACAGTTAGTAGAGCCGTATTACCAACAGCACTCAGTCACGTGACATGGAAAGAACAATATTCCAGATTACTAAGCTGTTCACGATGAAAACACCTCACCCCTGAAGGCCGTATGGAGGGTTGCGATCAAGAGATATATGCTAGAACCTCAATTATTTTTCCTTATGAGATATCAGGTCTAGATATCAATCAATTATTTCTCTCCCCCACCTATCACGGGCTCCGTAATTACTAGCCGATACCGTTCTGGTCTCATAGTACAGCATCCGGTGCTGTGCAGCGTACGGAGTAATTAGATAAATTTACGGAGGCTACAGGTAGACAGAAAGCTGGGTATGGCCCACAAAGAGATCGATGGCTCTGCCGCTCATTTGTTTCATCTTTCGGCTCTGGGGTATTCCCGTCGAGAAATGAGATACCTCAATTGGCCATTTCAACAGTGCGGCAGACTGACAACGATTGCAGTATGTCTTGGCTGCAGGACATGTCAGCGGTTGATAAGGGAAAAGCATGGATGCCTAGTTGTCCAGACTTCGTTCTCCAGGAACGAACCTGGAAGACTAGCCAGCTCATAGCCTCCTTTTTTTAACAGCAAATGCGGTTCAGAGTTCGGACATCCACACCAAGAAAATGACTGTACTCTATATTGGTCAACAAACTGTTGGGCGAGAGCCATGGGAGCCTGAACTCTCCACCCAGCAAACGGAACACCTCACTGGCTGGTCCCAGACATTAAACATATTCAACGTTACCTGAGTATCGACTCGATCATCCCGGCATTTTACGATAGATACATCTATCTATACCTGTGAGAGATAGCAACAATGCTCACAGATTTTGTCGGGTGCCTGCGCAGCCTTTTCAGAGGTGCCGTTGCAAAAGATAGACGGCGAATCGGCATCGAGAACGAGCAGAATTACAGCGTATATTAATTTAATACGCTGGTTTACAGGCAAATAATGATGGATAATAATAATAATAATAATATCTAATGAGCACCGAGGCAATCCGGTAAATAGGGGCCAGAATACTGTACAGCGTAAATGAGACCCTGATCAAACCGTACTATAGGAAGAGCAATATCAAAAGAGAGAGATAGATGTACAACGTAGGTACATCATGAGATGCCTGGTGCAACAACAATAATGAAAAAGAAGAATAATGACGATTCTAGACGAATCTTCCCACCACGTCTCCCAAACAAGACGTGCATTGATCGTCGATGAAGACTGGCTGGGATCGACAAGGACAACGTGGACGACGGTATGCAACGTCGGGGAACGACAAGAGACGGAGACCTCATCTCATGCCTGTCATTCATTAAAACTCTCTCCGTATTCCGTGGAGTAGGGATATGGAACTTAATTCTCAGCCCAGTCTAGGCATGAATGAATTCATCCCGTCGGGAGTTGGGTGGTTGACTCATAGTCGTAGATAGTTACCAGGTTCTCTCATCACACCACTGACCTTCCCGGTCCGCGATAGTCCGATAGAGATATTTGGTTTTCTCTATTTTTATTCTTCAGGCCCGGGAGTATTATTGTTAACGTATCTAGCCAGGGCGTGGCAGCGCCGTACGCTGTAGGGGGGCGGTTGGCGGCATGGACCGCAGTAAAGCTAGATGCATGCATATGCGATCGTCGATACCCTGCGGCCGGAAACGGGTATCCTGTGGATAGTCATAATCGCATCGAATACTAGACTGTTCTGAAACAGTAATAATTAATATGCTGAGAAGATAGCCATGGCATGGCGTGCTAGAAGGGCGCTGCGTGGGTAAGTTTGCCGGGTAAAAGCGATTATTATTATTGTCTTAATGATGATGATGATGATGGCAGGTAATAATAATAGTAAGCAGGGAATGTATCTATCCAATGAGCAAGAAGACGAATAGCCGTAGATAGCATGCGATGATGGAATAAAGATAGAATATAAGAAGAACAGAAATAGAAGTTATCCACCGGCTGACGAGGCTCTGGAAGCATTCTATGAATGCTGGCCGTGTTCCGAGCACGCGCGGTGATCGAGGCTTATCGCCCGTTGCGGTAATATTTTTATAATTTTCGTTTTATTTTTGATTTTTTTTTACTCTCTAATCCCACTCTTAGCTCCCCCTTCCCTGGCCCTTTTTCTTCCCTATTGGCCTTTTTATTTCTCTCCCTCTTCTCCCTTTTCCTCCTCCTCTTTTTTCTCCCTCTCTTCGCCATGTCCCATTCAACGCCAGTCGATCGTCCTGCATCAGAATCTCCCGATGCCGCTCCCACCCAGGTCGCCGGACAGCCCTCCGCCCATCCCTCCCGCACCACCGAACTCGCCAGTCTTAAGATAAGACTTCGCGCTGCTTTGCGCCAGTTCCCGGACTTCCCTTCGCCTGGCATTCTGTTCGAAGATATCCTGCCCATTTTCATCGACCCCACCTTGCACGAAGCCCTCATCCGTTCTCTCGAGCTCCACGTTCTCCAAAGCGGCAATGGCCAGAAACCCGATGTCATCGTTGGCCTGGAGGCGCGGGGTTTTCTCATCGGTCCCAGTCTGGCTCTGAGATTGGGCGCCAGCTTTGTTCCTGTTAGAAAACAGGGCAAGTTGCCAGGTCCCTGCGAAACTCAGGCATACGACAAGGAATATGGCCAGGATTTCTTCCAAATGCAGTGCGGTTCCATCAAGCCAGGCCAGAAGGTAGTCATTGTGGACGACATCATTGCAACTGGTAAGTTGCGCTTCACGGTCGAGGTCTTTTAGACATAAGAAACTGACATGACTTGTCCAGGCGGGTCAGCAGCTGCGGCAGGCGAACTCGTTAAGAAGATGGGTGGCTCTTTGCTAGGTTATGTTTTCATTCTCGAGCTGGAATTCCTCAAGGGCCGCGATAAGCTTCAGGCCCCTGTCTTCACCCTCCTAGCCGGCCAGGAGGGAAAGACAACATGACGCATCGATATCACTTCTCGCCGTCGTCTTGACCTTTCAATTTCGCGTTTTCTTACGGGTTTCTCACTTTGACAGGCTATTGTTTATAAAAGTCTATGCTCTTTCTTATTCCATTCTCATCATGCGCCAGTGTCCGTCCAAGCCCGGTTGCCATTCGTCACCGGGGATTAGGGCTTCTTTCAATCGCCCCAATGTTGAGATGCAATGGAATATCTCGCGGCCGGATTAATTATGATACTGTGTGTTACCACAGAGGTTTCTTAAAATGATATCGACAGCAATCGCATCGAGAATGTCTCCCCCAAAAAAAAAAATTAAATAAAACTCAAATCCATTGCCACGGCATACGTGAAATCAATCCGGAGGCCGTCGTTTGTCTACCATTCCAGTTTCCATCTATCTCGCCTTGTCTAGCTGGAGCGGTGATCTGGTCAAAAAGAAAAGCCCCCATATATAACCACGCGACTCAATGTTAATAATGCCTTGGGGTTTTGTGGGGTTCAGACAATCCTCAACTTGATTGATTTCTTCTGGGAACTTTTTTTCCGGGGGAAGGGCCATGAGCGATTATGCATCCCAAATGTTGTCTATTTCCCTTGATATCTTCCCCCCTTAATTTTCTTGTTCTTTTCCGATCATATCCTCCCTATTTTGTCTGCATAGAGATATAGAGTTCATTCATATACCTATTTGAGTGTTGGAAACGGGCGACGAACGGTTTTTGTTTATGTCTTTTCCCCCAGTGATCTTGTTCTTCCACCGTGTTGGATAAATTTTAGATTTATTGTCCCGGTCCTTTTTGCACCATTCGAACTTACGCTGATAAATTGATATCGTTCATGGCCTAGTTATGCAGTGCACCATGGTGACTACTCCTCTTCTATCCTTAACGATGTCGAAGGTATCCAACGAGTTCATATGCTTATTTACCATAAACCAGTTCCCAACATATAACAATATACATCATGCCCTTTTGTTCATTCACCAAGGGCAGAGCGAAAAGGAAATTCTTCCTAGCCAAAGAAATAAAAAGATACTCTGCCCTTCCTCATGCCAAGAACATCTAAACAATATACATATTACTGATTGGAATGCCTTGGGAACGGATAGTATACCGTCGCTTCAAGCCTATTGAAGTCGCCTGGCGGAGGAGCTGGTACGTTTCCTCCCCGCCTCCTACCATGACCAGGTTAATTAAATGGCGCCGCGGAATTCCTCCAGTTGTCATCTGAGTTTCATCAAGATGCGGCCGGACAAGATATGGTTCCGCGTGGACGGCAGCTAGCTGACGAGACGGGGAAGGAAAGGCTGATAAATAGTTGGAAGCAGGGTAGTTAGTGGTCGGTTGCGCTGATATTTCCTCCGCATATGAGACAACGATGACTAGCTTAAGCGCAGACCGGGAAGGCGGATATGCGGCTATATTTCTCAGCTTCTGGGAGAAGCTGCAGCCACCGCGCTTGATGACGAGAACTTGGTGAGTCTGGGCAACTTCGCGCGGAACGCGACGGTCACATATTTCATCTGCGAAATAGACACTCGACCAGGGAAGACGACTCCTAAGTTGATTGCCTGAAGTAGGTACGGTGGAGGCATCCTCGACGTCCGGGATCGGGGCAGAGCCTAGTCCAGTTGAGAGGCTGGCCGGTAAGGTTAGGCGAATGGCCGTGGCTCTACGCTGGGACGCCTCCTGGAATTCGTCCCTGATAAGCGAGGACAGCTGGTTCATCAACGACAACAGCACGCTTCTCATGCTGGAGGCGGCTGGGTTGACGCCTTCGATCTTACTGCCATCGGGGGATGTAGCGGACTGGCGGATGACATGGCGATCATGTTCATCCACAACTTGCTCTCGATGATCATCCGAGTCATTTCGTCGCTGGGGAATTTCTGGAATAACATCAATGACGATGTCAATCATTGTTGGATCTCGGACCCGTGTGAAATTTGGATCCGTAGGATCCAGGACATCAAGGGTGACTTCACGCGATAGGTATACCTTCTCGTCTTTTCCGAGTGGTATGTTATTGATCACCTGGATTCGAAAGGCTTCCATTGGAGAACCATCTGTCGTGCCTTGTATGGGAACATCCTGAACCATGCTTAATCGAAGCCCTCCAATGGTCTTGATGAGGACTCCATCTCGGACGCGTTCCAGAGCCCCAGGCCCCATAACCAGACCCGGGATAGCAGGGAAAGATATGTCAAGTGTAGGACGGACCGCCATCGGTGAGCTTGTTGCGTTGAATGGCACTAGCTCGGGAGGTAAAGTCCAAGGATAAAACATGCTATTTGTTGACAAGGGACCAGACGACACGCTGGGTTTGTCGCTGGTATATCCCGAAAGTGTATTAGCACTAACATCCCGCCCATTAGGTACGTGTTGTAATCTTGCCAAACTAGCCGCATGGAATAGGTCACGACGCGCTGCTGTTGATGATATACCGAATGTCGGAGGTAGGGGGGCTGTTTGACAAATTCCATCGCCAATAACCCTCAAAAGTGAGTGCTTGCCCTTCGTGCTTGTGCTCTCGGGGATAATGAGAGGGTGGCCTTCCGTAGAAAAGACGAACGGTGCATCCATGTTGTTCAGAGGATGCGTTGGATCATAGAGTAAGAACATATACTTCGTGGTTTCTCCAAGAAAAAAGCTCTCCATCCGGTCATTGAGCTCTCCACTCCGGACATCCTGAAGGCCAGCCCAGCCGCATTTGGTCCAACATCTCCGTTTGATATCCCGGAGTACCATCTCACCAACATGGAGGTACCATGGGTCCTTGGTAGCCTGATAGAGATAGTATGTGGATTCGACAAATTCAGGACGGCCGCCCCACCATGACAGACCACCTTCTATATTTCCCGTGGCGACATTCCATCTTTCAGGAAGGCCAGAGAAACGAGTCCAGATTGCTGTCGTCAGCAGATGGATCTCTACGGCATCATCAATCTCTCCAGCCAATGTAAGAAGGCCTGGATAATAAGCGCTGAGGCTGTCAATCCAGAAAGCCCTTGTCGCTCCAGTAAACACGTCTCCTTGGACAAAGTGCGGATGTTGGTATCCTTCTCCTCGGTATAAGTGGCGTTTAATCGAAGCCTCTGATTCATGCCAGACTCGCAAGAAGGACTCTGGCAAATGTTCGTATTCTTCCAATGGGGGGTAATAATCGTCAAGAACGTGCCAAGGGCTTCTGGGGTCCGCAGCAGGATGTTCACCAGAGGACAGTAATATATAGGATTTAAATGCGTACTCAAAAAAGCTATCGATCCCTGCACCAATCTGCACGAACAGAATTGTTAGTTCTCACACGTTTGCTTGCTTTCATTTCTCAAGAATCTGGATAGCATATTGATACCTACCCCTGTATAGGAATGAACCCATCTTCCTGATTCTGCATCGATGCCAGCACCGATCAGACCAATTTGGCTTCTTCTCGCCCAGACTGCCCAAAATGCTCTTTTCGCTAATTCTTCATATCTACCATCCCCAGTGAGCCGGCTCAGAACTGTAAATTCGAGAACTAAACTGCCCGCGCCTGCGCTGCAAGTTTCTGTGATCTCGAAGTTCGGCTGCCGCATCTTACCGCAGGAGCCATCGCCAGTCTTCTCGCAAGCGGTAACCTTGTTTAGTGGTGAATTTTGATAGAATGGGACACCGAACCGCAGATTCACACGAGGATAGGGAAGACCGGTATCCGTGTAAAAGGCAGGTAGAATACGGTTTGCTAAATCCGAAGCAAGTCTCAAAAGTTGGCCATCGTAAACAAAGCCATTTTCCCATTGGATACCATGCGCATCTTTAGGAAATTTCGTTTTATCCCATGCCCTTGCAAAGGCACCTTCTTCCTTTGGTGGAGAGTAACCTCTGATCGGAAGCTCACCAACAGCGAAAAGATGGGCGCTGAGAAGTCCACCTAGATATATAGTAACCGACAGTGAGTTATTGGAAAACTAAGCTCCATGCAAATCGAATACCAACGTACCTAGACCCCTGATGACTGTTTCAAATACCTGAACTTTGCTGTCCACGTTGAATCCCCGACTCCTCTCACCCTGACCAGCGGGGCCCTCAGAACCATCACCGTACAGCCTAACTAGACTTTCCACTCCATCCCGGAAGTGGGCCCAGGCCTTACTGCCTCCTTCAGGGCTCGACGAAAGTATGGCTAGAGTAGACAGGCTGTCAATCAAAGTAAGGCTGTAATTTCCCAAAACGTCGTTGAGCTCGAAGTGCGCAGGGTTGTCCCGGTCGCGAACCAACGGGCTGCAGGTAAGGGGACGAAGCTCATCTTCCGGAAAGGCATATTTCATATAATTTTCGAAGCCATGATAGAACATCTGCTCTGTCTCCTTCCTAAAAGGTTGAAAGAGACATGTACATTAGCACTCCAAATTCTCGATTTACAGTGCGCTAAAGCAATAATAATAATAATAATAACAATAATAAATAAATAAATAAAAATTAACGAAGGGAAAACATCAATTTGGAAATACCTAAGCTCTTTTATTTGAGTTGCCCTCATACCCTGGGCCATGGCGAGCCATAGCGACAGCAGCAAGACCCAGGTTATCCATGCTGAACGGAGGTTGGACATATGTGAGCTCCAACATCGCGCGCGCATCAGGAGAGAAGTAGGACAGCCGCTGGGGGCATGAGAACGAGCGAACGGCCAGTCGTTCAGAGGATCACTTGCAGGGAAATAACTGCTAGGTACCTGCAGGTCCCAGGTCTGTCAGGGCACCTTTGTGTTTAGCTGTCGATTAATAGCGTTGCACGTGAGAAGCGGCAGATACGCCCGCCGGGGAATTACATCAGCTACTAGCTTGAAGGCTCCATGATCGAATTGCAAATAGACACCAGTTAATTGGCACAGATATCCAAGGACTTCAAATGCAGCTATTTACAAAATTTGCAAAACCATCAATGATGCGATTGGACATGCGTGCCAGCGCATGGCTATTCTCAAGGATAGTAAGTATCAAGCATCATATGTATGCATTTACTCCGCATCCGCCGCTCCACATATAGACACGAAGAAAAGAATAGTTTACAGCCGGACTGGAATCCCTGGAAGGACAACTTCCTAGGGTGTCTCCGCTAAGAAAAATCACATCCAATTCTGGCATGCATGGACAGGTCTGATCACGGGCGACTACAGGCGTCAATTGGCCCAGTTGGTATAAGAGACCGTGGTTGTGCATGAATAACATAATCGACACCATCGTCCGAAACATAACTCGGAGGGCGATGTTCACCTGGATCCTCATTGATGGTGTCTCTGGCTAACGGTGAGCCACTGACACGCCTCCAGTAAAGCAGGTCAGGGTTTATTCTCTGGAATAATACATGTTAACAAGGCATACTTCTCGGGGGGTTGCCCTCGCAGATGAGATTCAGAATGGTATTTGATCAGAAAAGCCGAAGAATTAGCACTCACCACACTACTCCTCCAGAGTCCGTAAGCCGGAGGGGGAGCTGCAGGCTTCTCCCCTATCAAGCTCTCTTCATCCCCTGGGACAATAACAGGTATCGGATGTTCCAGCTGAGCGTATCCAACTGGCCCTTCCCTGCTTGGTATGCGGTTCTCGGCAACAGAGGACCGTGGTCGCTGTAAGGCCACCATGCAGAAGCGAATGAGGGAGTGACCGAAGAGGACCACGAGTATCATAACCATAAATATTAATAGAATATGAAGCTCACGGTCTAATGTGGCTTTGGATACAGAAAGTGCACAATCTGCAATTGCCATGCCATTGCTTCAGTTAGCATTGACCGGTGCTGATATTCTCGACAAGGGTGGGTCTTACAAACAGCCACAACTGCAGCGAGGAAGACTCCGGATATAACCAAGATAATCAGTTTCTTCCTGCAGTCTTGCTTGCTCAGAATAGAGTTAAAGGATCTGTTCGCATTTCCTCTCCGTATTGTTCCGGCACATCTTTGGCGAGGTTGATGTCGCCTTCGCCTTCCGACGCTCTCGGACGATGAAACAGGATCAGATGGCCGTCGGCGGTGCCGCGTCATAGCAGCTTGTAACTTTGGTAGGAATTCGGGTTTGTTCGAAGCATCCTGTGCTGGAATGGAGTCTATAGCCGAGTCTGGTGGTGAAGGGACCCCTGATGGTGATCCGTGGTGTCCAACATGATTTCCAAAGATTCGCAGGCCAAGTCGACGACTGCAGTTTTGCAACAGAAGACGCCGCGCATGAATCCCTTTGTTGGTCTCACGGCGACTGGTGGTTGATGTGTACTGGCTACCCGGAACCGAAAGAGTTGGATGTAACGGATCTAGATCGGAGGGCAGGACATGTTCCATCTTGAAATACCATCATTCGAAGGATGTCATATGGGCGGCGATAGAAGATCTTGCGTACAGGACAATGTCGAACGGGATATCTCGAAATGAAAGGGATGGCTCTGTCTGCAAAATGTTCAAATTCTGACTAGATGAAGTTATTATGTATAGAGATTGGATATCGGTATGCGATGGGATTGTAGAGAAAAACGATGATGAAGCTAGAAAAGAACTGTCAAATGAAAGAGCGAAGGCGTGCCAAGGAGAGGCGCGAAAGCAGGCTGTCCAGCAGTCTTATGGAGAATCCGAGCTAGAGACAAGAAACGGTAGAAAGCGAGTGTATTCAGTTTCTCGTATTATGCTCGAGAGGACAAAGGAGAGAGAAATGTGCCACATCAGGAGGGAAGAATAGGCGTTCCTGCATAGCGGACGGACAGAAGAGCCGAGACGCAGCACCAGACATGGACCCATGGCCCTAATCATAGTTTTTCTAATAATAGCAGCGATAGAGTTTGGAATTAGAATCGGGATCGGAACTGTCACCACGTATATGTACAGCTCTCTATGCCCAGCATCAACATAGGCATGATCAAGGTTCAGGGTCGTTACCGGCGGAGTTGATTCGCGCTGAGAAGGCCTCCTTCAGTTCCTCGAGAGCCGGCAAATAATGCTCCAAAGAATCCAAAAATCAGAAGAAAATATGGAGCCGTCAAGCTTTCGGATTTACAGCCGAACCCCGGAATTGCGGTTAGGGATCCATTGAGCCCTTAATCTTCCCTGCTTCAATCATTACGCGCCTACAGGTGAAGGAGATGGACCCTGTCAATAGAGGTGAGCCTCGATTTATTATCATTATGCACTGATACCAATTACTCCTCCCAGGTTATTTTCGGTTTTTTTTTAAAAAAAAAAACACCCTTCTCCATAACTCCATAGTATATGCTCCAGCCATGACCGAGTTCATATATAAACATAAGTGCCGTTACCTTTCTTTTTAATAACAGTTTAAACCATGAGACGCCTCGCCATTAGAACAGCTAAGTGGACAATGAATCAACACTTTTCACACCAAAGGAAACGAACTCCTTGCGCAAACCCTAGACGTTCATGAGCGAACGAGCATGGTTTCACAGTTATCACTTTCCGAGTTCACCGAGCATTACGGAGCAGTCCGTCGAAGCAGAGGCGACTGTAATAAAAAAGACAGCAATTAGCAGCCAGAAATGTTGAAGGGGGGGGTTATAAAGTGGGCTAACTTACTGATAGGTTCACCGACGGGAGAGAACCTCACGTCGTTAACGGTTCCCTTGTGTCCCGGAAGCTTGTAGAGGATCCTCCCGGACTTCGCATCCCAGATGATAACATTGTCGTCACCACTCCCGGCCACAATCCTCTCGCCACTGGGATCCCAGCTTGTGCGTATAAGATTCTGCTCCACCGGGCAGACGGCACCATAAAAGGTCTTAAGTTGACGATTTGCCGGCGCAAAAGGGCGGATGTCCCACGTGCGCACGGTCTCATCATGAGAGTTTGAAACCAAGGTCTGAGAGTCGGGAGAGATCTCGAGCGACACAACCTTATCTGTATGACCGGTCATGGTGTAAACGATTTCCTTCTTGCGGGGATCCCAAACTTGGATAGTCTCATCCACGCCCGCGCTGTAAATTTCATTCCCCGATTCCGAAAATGCGACGGCGAGAACGGGAAGGTCAAGCTTTGATTCCAAGTAGCCGACACCCTGCTTGATACGCGGGTCGAATATTCCCACGTAGCCATCATCGCTCCCAGTCAGCAGAAGCTCCTGGCCTCTCTTAGTAACATCGAGGGAGTTAATGACCCCTTCATGCCCAATGTGGGTGCGGACCTTTTGGCCAGTCTCCACATCCCAGTTGCCGATTGTCATGTCCGCCGACGCAGAATATAGGGTTTTCGAGTCGCGCGACCATTTTAGGTCTATAATAGGACCACTGTGGCCAGTCAGAACGCCATAGTTCTTACACCCGTCGTACGCATTCCAAAGGACTATATAGGAGCATCGGGTGGTCAGCAAATATGCATTTGCAGGAACGAGATATCGAGGGAGAAAACGTACGGATAGTTCTATCAAATGATCCAGAAGCAATATGTTGACCCGTGGGGTCAAATTGCACGCTATAAACTTCCGCAGAGTGTCCTGTCAAATCATTGTCAGTTTGTGATCTCAGACCAGATTTCATGTGCATCTTACCAGTCAATTGCATGATCGGAGCATCAAGTCGACTCGTACGGGGAACCTGCAACAATGGTCAACAGCTAGAGCTACGTGAATGCTTTTCCTGTATGTGCGCTTCAAGACATACAGCATTGACAAGAGCCGTGTTGGCGTTGGAATTGGGATTCTGTCTTATAATGAGCTGACTGGACGCTCCCATGGAGGCGTGATTCTCTCCAGACATCCTGCCAAAAAAGAATTATTGGACTCCTAGCTTGAATATTTGCAGTGGAAATGAGAAGAAAGCGTGAGCCAGGAAAGATTCTTGTCTGCGATAAGCTCTGAACGAAGTAAACAGTAGCACGTGCCAAGATCATTGTCTGCACGTGATGGGATCTGTCTCCCCGCAAGGGGAAGACTGCACTTTGTTCTCTATTCCTACGTCAATCTACAACGCTGTCGGCTCCTAATATTCCCTCTTGTCTATTCCTTGTGAGCCCATCACATCCTCTCCTTTGCTATCGGGGGATATCCTTCAAGGCACTCAAACAATCATGTCGTCGACAACAAAAGCTGCGCGGATAGGGGAAGAGTGAGTTCCTTCCCCTCTATCGTGTTCTGGTTGTGGTATCTTGGTTGACGTTTTTGATACAGGCTCTGGAAGTCAGTAAGCTACTAGTTATCTTTCAGTTCAAGTCGTTGAACGGTCTCTGGAATCACGATAAGTGTTCCAACTGACCATGCATGAGATTCCAGAACGAGAGTCGATAAGGTCAATGCGGAGTTGGTCACATTGACCTACGGAACTATCGTCGCACAATTATGCCAGGACTTCGATAGCGACTATCATGAAGTCAATAGGCAGCTTGACAAGATGGGCTACAATATCGGAATGCGGCTCATCGAAGACTTCCTGGCAAAGTCGACACTCGGCCGCTGCGCCAATTTTCGGGAGACAGCAGACATGATCGCGAAGGTACGTCTAGGATTCGAAGAATATAGAAATGCATTATTCATGAACTGGGGGACGTTGTTGACTGATGTCGACGGTTGAACAGGTTGGCTTCAAGATCTTCCTTAATATTACCCCCACGGTAACGAATTGGACGAGCGACAACAATCAATTCTCCCTCATCTTCGATGAGAATCCGTTGGCCGATTTTGTTGAACTGCCCGATGATGGCAGGGCTCAGGATGAGCTCTGGTTCTCGAATATCCTGTGCGGGGTGTTGCGGGGAGCACTGGAGATGGTGAGAATCAGAATGGAAAACTACTATGATTACCTGAATCGTCTGACTTGGTTTACAGGTGCAAATGCAAATTGAAGCCCATTTTGTGAGTGACGTTTTGCGAGGAGACGATACAACGGAGATGCGAGTTTCACTCATCAGATTTATCGAGGATGAGATGCCACCAGATGATGAATAATGGCGTATGGTGGATGGGCTCTCATTTTTTTTTTCAGTCTTTTCTTTTTGTCTTTTTGAGGAAGGGGACAATTTAGGCGTTCGGTGTTTATAAGGCAATCCTTTTTAAGTCCCTCTCGTAACCTGATCTTTTGACCTTGCAGTGTGTTTGTAGCAGTTAGAATCTGCTGCTTTTCCAATGACGAACCGTCAATAGCAATCTCTCATTGTGGAGACTTCCAGTACAGAAGAAATGCTCTTTTGTCCAGTTGGCTATCTCTTGATTGCATTTCTCATCTTGACCATGTTCATTGTTGCCGGAGATGCCAACTTGTTTCTTTTCCTTTTCCAGTTGCAAATCCCACCTTCCTTCCATCTCCCAACCCAAACATCAATCCATGTTCATGCTCACATTATCTTCAAGAATCTTTCACATCTCATTCTAAACTTGTTTGGAACAAGGACAATATCACAATGTACAATTAGTCCTATTTTTCCAACGTGCCAGTCTTTGGACAGCCGTCCTTGTCAGCGACTCAGAACTATAACTATGTCCCTGGACAGTTAGATCGGAACACCAGGCCTCCTGTCATGGGGCATAGTGGATAGGCAGCCCAGGCGAACTTCAGAAGCTGCCAGATGATGGACGCATCCTTCGCAAGTCAGTCCAATACCGATGCCGGCGTCAACGACCAGGACACCTCCATGATTACAGCGTCTTTTTCTTCGACTGTCGCTATAGAGTGTGAGACATCTGCATCTGGTCAGCGACAGCATGCGCCTTTTGGCTTTTCCCAATGGACACAATGGCCCGGTTACGCTCTCATTTCCGAAACGATGACTGGTCCTTCAGATGCCTGTAATCCTTGGAGGAGCAGGGCTGTTCCTGGAGATGCCAAGAGTCGGTCCTTGCTTGATGATGACACGGAGAGAGACCAGCATCGTTCTGGTGCCCCGTCTCCTCATACGGTTGGGGTTGGGTCTGATACTCAAAGAAACCGTTGGGTTCTACACTTACTAGATTCACAAGACCGGGTATATGAACTGCCCCTGTCTTCTGCCACTACCCCAGCTTTTCCGGTGAAGGAAGAGTAGCAGGAGCAGGATCGAAGAGAGGTCCTGGAGTGTTCGAATTATTCCATGGTAAATATGTCCTGTGCTCCTTCATTGCCGTCACCGACCTGGGAAAGGTAAGTAGAGACTTCTTCTGAGTTCTGCTACATATTTCAGATGATTATATCTAAGGACATACTTTTAGTTCAGGGAGTATGGCCACAAGCTTGGGCTTCTCGACCTAGGGACGTTGAGCGCTAATCAGGTCCTTTTCTCTTTCGGTGTACTAGCAATACAGACTCATTCTTCCGCGATTTGAATTTACTAAGAATTTGGAAGATACTTGGAATACTGATCCAAAATGGGGCGTCAAGTTGACTGTGTACGGACACACATTCCGAAGGAAGCAGTTTCCCCTCAGCAATGGAGGCCAAAGTAGCAGTGTGCCGGGATGCACTGGCGATGCTGAAACGTCAACTGCCACTACTGACGATACCAGATGAGCCTACAGATTACCCGACAGCTGCAGCATCAGGTTGGGATTGGGTGGAACTCCTGCATGGTTAGTTCACCGTAGCCGTATGAGAAGTGAATGCCATGGAAGTTCATTTACATTGATCCCATACTGATGCAACTACTATCTTTAGGCTACTGCATTCAAAACAGCATTCCCCATCCCAAATATACAACTTACATTCACAATAATGGATACCGGCACGAGGTTGAGGTATCTGGGTCCTCATACTTTAGCAGAATGAAGTGGTATCCCACCGAATGGGATTCATGCAAAGCTGCAGCGCATACAGCCCTCTACATAATTCTTGTGTTTGGGAATGATGCATCTCGTAGCTCCTCGGGTCCATTTGCATTGAAGAGGGCTGATGAGAGTCTGCTGGCTCATGTTCCCAGAATTCCGAGTCATAGAAGCCACGTTCCTATAAACACTACTCTTTCAGCTATGAATCAGCAGATGCAGAGTTCATATGGTGACGACCTGTGTACTGCACCACACTCCGCACCTAAGACCAGCTGAGACCAATAGTGCTGGAGCTGTGACAGAAGCCTCTGTTAATTCCAAGAAGGCCAAAACCGAAACACCCCCGAATGCCAATTTGCAGCCCCTGGAAAGCAGAGACTGCCGCAAATAAAAGTACCTAAAACAAGCAGTGTTAACAGGAAGTGGAAATTGACGGATGAGGATATGCGACGCCAGATTGGAAACCTGAAAAGCCCTAGCGCACAACTTGAAAGTAATGTTTCCCTTTGCTCTTTATTTTGATTTTTGTCATCCTAGTCCTATTTAAAATACTGTCTCTCTATCTATTTATTTCTCTCTGCATTTTGGCTGTCTGTGCTGCGGTTGCAGGTCATTGGCATCAATCCTAACCCACTGTTCTCAACTAGCACCTTCCTTTCGGAAGGAGCCTCTAGTCCGTCTCTTGTCACCAACAGAAATCTGCACTCTTCTCTCACTCGAACCCCCTGAACTGCGTGTAACCAGATTAGACTCCTACAGACATCTTGTCAATTCGACCTATATCTCAACCTCATCCGGCGAATACTACTACAAAGCAGCTGCGTATTTCAGAGACATCCTTTTCTGACTCGTGCCGGCGCTGTCGGCGAGATTAAGTCCATGAGAACAAGCGATCCGAATACGGCCTTGGAAGCCTGTGCAAAGGAAGTCGTTACTTACTTGATCAACATTGTTAGAGAAGATACTTTATTGGAAGAAGATGCCGAGCTTCAGAGGAATAAGGTCGAGAATCTTTACAGGAGGTTTGGTGTCAGGGTTGGGGAAGAAAGAGATGGTAATGATATGGTTATGGGAGAATCGGAATCTAAAATGTCTGATTGATTGAGCGGTTATTACGGGTTGGGACTTTTTTTGCTATCATCCTTCCATCTTGTGCTCTTCGTTCTGCAGGATTGAGAGTGGAAGGGGGACAGAAGGGTTGAGAGAAAGATGTATGTCGTTCGAAGAGCCACAAACAAATAAAAAATAAGTAGAATGTTACGTGCTCTATTCCGGGATTACTATTGATTTTGAATTACATATCTTGACTAGCAACCCCATAACCAATAGTTGAATCAAGCAACATGGAAAGGGAAACTGGAACGATGTAGGAGTAACCATGTCGAGAAAAGACATTACATTGCCGCCGCTTTTGATTCAACAGAACCCGGGAATTATTAGCCCCATCGAATATAATCGAAACATGGAATTGACGATAGGGAAATGAGATGAATAAAACTAAAGAGAATGACTTGCCAGAATCACAATAAGATAAGATGCGTCCAAGGCACAGAATGGAGTATGGAATATCATAATAGACAGTAAATAAATGATCATACATGAAAGCATTGCAAAAAAGCAAAGAAATAATTAAAAAATCGTACATGTACATGATCATGATAATAGTTTACATAGCATATTATGTTGCCAGTACTAAACCCGTCGCTGTACGTTGCGCCATCATTCATTAACATACCCAATGCATAGCAATGATAAAACTAAACAAACCTAATCTGAGAAAACTACTCAGTAGCGCTGTGTTCCCGGCGTATTATGTGTGCCCATGTGTGTGCCCATGGCATAAAAGACATTAAAGGAAAAGGGAATGTAGGATGGAATAAATCAAATAGACATCACCCCTATTCATTTTCACCCAATTCGCACATACCTATTTCCAGGAGCCCAATAAATACCGGATTAATGCACTGGTAGCATCGTACAGGCATCAGGCATCGTATTGAGAAGAAAGAAAAAAGGACGGAAAGAAGCCACGTCCTGAGATAACCCCAAGTATTAAACGATAGAAAGCCTAAGTACTGCTGAGCCAAAAGAGTAACTTGATCGAGAAAAAACAGAACCATAGCAGTGATGGCACTGCGGCAACAGACATGTAGCAAAACAAACTTGTTCGCTAGCTCGCAACGGGTGGCGGGAAAGAGATATGCAAGGACGCACCAACGCCAATTTCACAACACGACACTTATCCAACCAGTCGTTGACGCACCAAATGGGAAGAGAGAAAACAAGAGGAAAGCGGGAAAAGAATATCAATAATAGTTAAATGGTACCAAAAAAGTCCACAGAGAAGGAAGGAGAGGGGGAAGAAGTGAAATGAAGAGAAACAGAGGAGCAAACTGAGGAAATAGGAAGCTGAGAGGCCAAAGTGTAATAAGAAATATATGAAACAAGGACTAGGGTATAATATAATGTTTAAAAATGAAGAAAGGTAAGTGAACAATGATCAAGGAAAAGATTTGATTACAGGCCTTCTCCTGCGCCAGTTTCAACACCATCTGCGGAATAAGTAAGGCTTGGATCGAATCCAAACGAAGTGGTATCATCAGTATTTAGGAAGGTATCGAAGTCGAAGTTTTCCAGAATATCCGAGTTCTCTAGAGTGCTGAAATCAAGATTGAAAGACGATGTCTGCACGTACGATTAGCCAGGTTTTATTTTGGGAAATAATTTGACAGAGGCAATGATATCTTACATCAGGGAGGTTAAGGTCATTGAATGCTGGTTGGTTCTGGTCAGGCTGTTGCACCAACGATTGCGGAGCAGGCGCAGAGGTTGGCTGCTGAGGGGCACTTGTCGCGTTACCGGCGGTTTTGTTGAACGAGTTGGGATTCTGAGAAGTAATCGGGGTCGAAGGTGTCGGGGTTGGAGGAGGTTCTGCTTCGGAGGAGGGAGTGGCCGCGGTATTCGCGTTAGCCGCAGCAGTTGCCTTCTTTGAAGGCCGCTAGAATCGCGTTCAATCAGAAATGACAACGATGTAGGGGACGGAGTCAGAAGACATACCTTTCTACTGTCTTTGGTTTCCTTCTTCTTTGGCGCGGGTTTGTTTGCCTGCTGTGGCGTGGGAGGCGCGGCAGCTCCCGTTTGGGGAGATGCTCGGCCTGCACCGGCTCCTGCCGCCGTCGGAGCCTGGGGAGGGGGCATAGCAGCCCGCTCTTGTGTACCTGTGGGTTGCTGATGATTCACCGGCGACTGCTGCGGTGGCATCGCCTGGCCCTGAGGGCCTTGCTGCTGTGCCTGCCAATTGGCACCGGGCATCCGATTACCAGGTGCCGGGATCGGTTGATTCATCTGAGGACCACTATAACCGCCCGGAGGATTTGAACTTGGTGGTCGCATACCATTCGGACCTACCATGCCCTCGGGGCCTTTTACAAAGAAGGCAGGAGCAGACATTTCGGGAGGCATTTGTGTACCATTAAAATTCATAGCGGCAGGAGAACCACGGTTCTGTGTAAGAGGCTCCCCAGCACTTGGAGAACCAGGAAGACCCGCCTGAGGCATCTTCGGCGTGCCGCGTTTGATCTGATCGCCCGGATTAGGAGAAGTGCCGGTTCTGTTGCCCTGCATGGCTCCTGGCGGCATAGGCTGTCCAGGAACTGGCGGCTGACCGTCCCGTGTGATGCTGTCCTGCTCCTGTCGTGCCATCATCAAGCGCCGTTTATTTTGTTGTTCGAGAAGCATGAGCTGCATTTGGTAATCCTGGAGAGCGTGATTGCCGTGTTGACCCCCCGGTGTTTGCACTCCGGCCCGAAGCTGGGCCAGCTGCTGTCCGTTCGCGCCATAATAATCCCCCATCGGGTACATACCCTGGCCGTCTGGCATAGGGACCAGATCGGCCTGGTTCGGCATGACACCGGGATTCATCAGACCATTTGGCATGCCCTGGTTATTCAACGCTGAGCGGGAGTGATGGAGAGCCAGGTTCTGAGCATATACCTGAATGGATTTCTGCTGTGCAGCCGGATTTGACTGCTGGAATGCTTGGAACTGAGCGGGATTCATTGCTCGAGGATCTATGCCACTCCGCATCAGCAGTGCCTGTTGCGGGTTTGGCTGACCGGGAACAGTTTGTCCCTGGCCGCGTCCGTTAGGCGCCAATTGCTGTCCATTCATATGAGCACCTTCTAGTCGAGGTCGTTTCGATGGAGACGGGGCAGTTTCAGCGGACGCAGGTGATTGTGGGCGATGACCATTCATATCCATATCCGAATGTTCTCTTTGCATTTGCTGCATCATGACTTGGTTTTTCTGGAACTGCGCAAGTTGTTGCTGGGAGCTGGAAGGAAAAGAAAGAAAATAGAAAGTTAGCACCACTTTTAAAGCCCGAGGGCGGGTAATAATGTTCTAGTGAATAAAGCAAAAAGGTGTGTCCTACAAGCCAGGCGTATTATTTTGCAGCACAGTCTTCTGCAAGTTAGGAACCATGTTCCGACGCATGGGGAGTTGGCCCATCTGCGCAGGCATCATAGGTTGTTGGCGGAATAGGTTATTGTGCTGCTGTTCTTTGAGGCGCATCAAGTTCTGCATAGGAAACCACAAGCGTCAGCCCGAGTGCCCAACAAAGGTGGGAAAGAAAATATTGCTTTTGGGAGGGAGTATATACCTGGGTGTGTTGGAGGTACTGTCTAACATCGTTACTGTTTCCCTTCTTCCGCTGGGCCCAGAAGAAATCCCAGAAAAGACTAAACCAGTCCAGGAGGAAGGATGACTGTTGACTTTCACTGGAAAGGCTCGGCCGTGGGAGATCATCTGGAATTTTCGGTTTGTCTCCGTCCTTAGCGTCAGTCATCATCGCGTCGTTATCAACGCCGTTCACTTCACCATCGCGACGATGACCAGGACTCGTCTTATGATTGGGTTCTGTGTTGAGCTTGATCGACTCATCTTGCACAAGAGCCCTGGCACAGTCGTAATAGCCTCGTTTCAAAAAGTAGTCGTAAATATATGTATTCAGGTTGTTAATCACACTTTCGGGGCCGTTATTCGGGTTCCCATCATTGCGAGGAAGCATCGAGCCGTTACTCATCATGGGGACACCACCGACGGGGCCTCCTGCTCCGGGGTTCATCCCAACTACATTCATGTGGTTCATAGTGGCGACTAGATGCCCAGCCACCGTTTCTTATGCTTGTCGTCAGAGTAGAACGCGGAAAAAGAAAAGCTGACAATTCCAACGCTCATCCACCGTACAGCGGTAACGAGAGCCCACCTTAGAAGGGGAATAGCGAAACGCGCTGGACGGAGGGGAGGGAAGGTTGGGCTTGAAGGAGAAAAAGGCGTGACCCGATGATCGGGATCGGGGTCGTGGAGCCTTTTTCAAACCAAAAGAACACGACGGGCACGCCGCCGATAAGGCAAAGACCGAGCTCTCTAAAGGTGTCGCAGCAGAGCGGCCAAATGAGAGAAAAAAAAGAAAGTGTATCACCAGAAGAGAGAGCTAGAAACTGGAGAGTCGCGAAAGTGACTCGCAGGGAGGAAAGGCCGAAAGTTAGTCCGTTCGGAAGGACCCGCCTCACTTCACGTTGGCGTAGGACAGCGGTCGGGGAGACACAGAGGCGGATGAGGAGGAAAAGGAGTAGGAGGACGAAAGCCAGCAAAAGGCGAAGGAGGAAAAAAAAGGCGAAGGATATGCGCCAGGTACAAGATGTGAAAATGCGCAATAGGCCGGACCGGGGTGGAAGGATCAGCACGACAAAGAGGCGCGCACGATGCAGACGGGAATGGTGCTTGGGAATTGCCAGCCACGCCCAAGTCGGCACAACACGGGGGGCGGGATGAGTAAGAAGAGGGAGGCGATGCCACACTCGACAGAACACAGAGGCCAGAAGGGCGAGACGAGACGGACGAGGGAAAGACGGCCGCAACAACAGCAATACAAACAGGACAGACGGGATTAGGGAGGAGGGGAAAGGATTTAAGGACGGCGAGGTTAAAGTTGGCGCAGAGTCGCACTGCCCGTCCCTGCGCAGTCCTGGGTCTGCCGCAGTCCTCATCATGATCACGTGATAACATATGCCCACGCAACGCTGGCCCGCGTATTCCTGGGAATGCCAGCCCTAACATGGAACATGTCTACAGCACTGAGCATACAAACACGTCGAGTAGGACTAACATCGTTATTAATGGAGGTGTATTGTTGGTTGGTTACTAGCTAGATAGGCCTACGTGGTGAAAAGGGTCAGCGAGGGCGGACCTATGCGGCAGAATCCCACGTGATCCAACACCCCCCCACGCACGAGCTGGCCTAAAGACTAATCTAAAGAATTTAAATACAAAAATCGGCCTCTATTCAGGCCTCCAAATGAGAGAGTAAAAGCAAAATTAAGCAGAGAAGTGAGAGGTTCCGCTTTGGCCAATCAGAAGCCGTAAATCAGAATAGAAAGTATAACCAAAATGGGGGAACAAGCGCCGCTTAATGTATGCCGGTGAGTTCCAGGAAATGATTGAATCGTTCAGTTTGGAGAGGTTTTGTCAGGCCATCTGCTGCCTGTTCTTTGGTAGGGCAGGTCTGAAGTTTAACAATGCCGTCTCGGACCTTCTCCCGAACGTAATGGTAGCGTATGTCAATGTGTTTGGATCTCTTGGTGGTGAGCTCGGCTTCAGCCATGGCGTGAGCACCTTGATTATCGATATGAAGAGATATTGGTGGGCATTCAGTTGGGAGCACATTAAGCTCGTTGATGAGATTCCGGAGCCAGAGGGCATCACGGCTGGCTTCGCTTAGAGCCATATACTCAGCTTCGTTGGAGCTAAGGGCAACGGATGTTTGCTTGCGGCTTTTCCAGGCAATTGGGGCTCCGGCAAGCAGAAATATGTATCCAGAAACTGACCGGCGGTTGCCTGTCAGTTGGCCACCCCAATCAGAGTCGGTATAACATTTTGGCATGAGGAGGTCAGATGTAATGGACTCCGTGGGTTTATGATAGGTAATTTGCCGATTGATGGAGCCTTTAAGATAGCGTATGGCGTGTATAAGGGCACGCCATGCTTTTTGGGTGGGTTTGGCGTTATATTGGGATAGTATGCCAACCGTCTGGCTAAGATCTGGCCGGGTTTTGGTGGCTAGCCAGGTAAGGCAGCCTACACCACGTTGATATTCTTTGGTGTTGACTGTAGGGTCTGGTTCATCATCAATTATTAGGCTAGGATCCATTGGAATCCTAACAGGATGTGCTTGGGCTTGACCAAAAGAGGCAACAACATCTTCAGTGTAGTCGGCTTGAGATAAAGAAGATGAAGTCTCAGACTGGGAGATGGTCATGCCAAGGTATTTGGTAGAGTTTCCAACTTCTTTTATGTCAAATTTGGCGGAGAGAGTCTCCATAAACCAGATGGCATCATTTTCATGTTTAGCATAGACTTTGAAGTCATCCACATGGGTGGTCACATAGAGTTGGGTCCGGGTAGTGTGGATCCATAGACCAGAGTCATATTCAGAGCATTTGAAGCTGATTTGGCGTAGAAAAGCACCCAGAGTATCATACCAGATGCGGGCAGATGGGACCAATCCATAGAGGGATTGAAGGAGTTCACAGACAAGATCTCCAGAACCTTCTTTGAATCCCTGAACTTGGGTCATAAAGACACGTTTGTCCGTGGGCATTTTCCCATTTAGGAAAGCAAGGGTGGCATCAGCTTTTCGGGTATGCCAGCCAAGCAGGGTGGCCAGTGCCGTGAGGGTTCTGGTAGTATTTTCATTTACCACTGGTGCGTAGGATTCCATGAAGTCTTTATCAAGTAGATTGCCACGAATGACCCAGCGGGCTTTAGCCTGATAATCCTCTGAGATAGGTATGCCGGGGATTTCTTTCTTTTTGTATACCCACCGGCCAGGGATGACTTTGGCCCCTGGTGGTAGGTCAGAACGGCGAATGAGTTGCCAGCAGCCTTTCTCTTTGAGTTGGTTGACTTCCTTTTGCATGGCAGCTTGCCATTTAGCAGCATCAGGATGGGATATGGCCTGCTTATAAGAAGTAGGCGTGTTGTCTTCTGATGAAGGAATGGTTGAAGTGGCAAAGTAAGCTAGGGACATGCCTTTGGCAGGTCGGAGCCATATATCTTGGTCATTGAGAGGTTCATCTTCAACTAATTGAGTTGGGTTTTCTTCGGTAGGGGTGCTGGGACCTTTGGGAGTGGTAGTTGTAGGATCTTTGTAATCCTCATCAAATATAACATCATTGGTGACAAAGACGGTGTCAGTTTTAGGGTCCCAAACACGATATTGATGGCTACTAATTTGGCCAATGAGGAAACAGCAGTGAGAACGTGAATCAAGCTTATTTCCAGGTTTATCTGGTCCATGCCGATGGACCCAGGCTGGACACCCCCAACGGCGATATCCGGGGAGTGAAGAAATGGATGAATTAGTCCACGCTGCCAACGGAGCGCGATAAGGGCTGGGGTGTATGTCCTTGTTGATATTCACCCCCCCAGGAATTTGGGAATTGTATAAGATGGTAGATGTAGGGAGCCGATTTGTAAGATCTGTGGCATATTGGAGAGCATCTACCCAAAAGCGTTCTGGTATATATGGGGCATCAAGCATCATAGCTCGGGCCCGTTCAAAAGGATCCGGATGCCACGTTCACTAACGGCATTTTGCCATGGTGAATATGGCGAGCTTAGTTGCCATTCTATGCCTTCCTGACGGTAGGTTTCCATCCATTCAGTGGAGCGGAATTCATTATCAGAGACTAGGTAGGCAGGAGCAGTGAAGCCATGGTTCTTCATATTTTGAAGCCAGTTCTTGAAGGCGGTAATGGCTGCACTTTTTGTCTCAAGGAAGAGGATCCATCGATAATGTGTGGCATCGTCGGTAATAAGTAAGACATATTTTGCCCCAATTCGGCCAGTGACAACATCATTAGGGTTGTCAAAATCAAGAGTTTGTCCACCGCCGGCGATATCTAGATGGACTCGGGCAAGGGGTTTGGTAACTCTGGACCTAGGGACCTTGCTATAATAGCGTGTCTGTCTAGCCTGTATACAGACTTCACAAAATGGGAGTTCTTTAGAGCCTTTGATTTCGATGCAAGACTCAGGATCTCGGGCGAGGCGGAGGAGATCGGCTTGATTGAGATGGCATAGGCGTCGGTGCCAGGCCATGATAGGTAGGGATATCTTAGTAGTTCGCGGCTTCCCTAGAACCGGGGTCTCTTTTGGAGTAGGAGCCTCAGCTGGTGTCTTAATTGTGGGAGCCTTTGCAGGTGGCTCTTCTGGGCGGTTAACTTCTTTGCCAGACCGGGTGGTGACAAAGGCATAGGAATTTTCTTCTTCTCCAGGAGATAGACAGTCTTCAAGGAGGTAAACATTGTTTTTGAACAATCGGGCTTGGAATTCAGCTCCAGATGGTGTGGTAATCAGCTTGACTTCACAATCTAGTGTATATTGAAGCCTAAAGCCTTGTCGTACAAGCATGCCTTCTGAAATGAGGTTGGAAGTAAAGGAAGGAACATGGCGGACGTCTCTTAGGATCAGAGATCCGTAACCAATATCTATAATCACGGTGCCAATGCCTTGAGGCATAGAGATATGGCCTTGAGCACCTTCCATATAATCTGTCTCCACCAGATCATGCTTCTGCAAGGCCTTATAGGTTGCAAAAAGTGAACGGTCAGGTGTAGAATGGAAAGAGGCACAGCTGTCAACAAACCATTGATTGGAAAATGAGAGAGTCTTTGCAGACTTCACAATGGCAGATTTGGCATTGGAGAGTTTCTTATGCAAGACAAGTTCCTGTGAAGCAGGGTGATCCTGGTTTGATTGTGGGTTTGCTTCAGATTGTTGCTGAACACGGAGAGCATTAGCCATAGTAGTATAGAACTTGCGTCTATACTCTGGTGCTTTCTCAGGATGTTTAAAATAGCATATAAGTCCATGGCGATTTCCGCAGTGATCACAGTCTATAAGTGTATGACGAGATCTATCTTGGTTATTGGAACGTTGAGGAATTGTGTATTTGGTTCCAGATGCTTGTTTTGAATAACTGCGGTTCTGGGAGTTCTCTTTCTGTTGGTTTGACCGGTCTTGAGAATGAGTATCACGGAATTTAGTGCCGGTTCGAGTAGATAATTGGGTCTGGATAACCTTAAGATCCAGGTTGGTAACCGGAGCACGGCCAGTAGAGTAGACATCATCTAGTTTACTCTTGATAAAGGCGCGGTTCCAGTCCCGGAGACCTATAAAGAAGAGGTCATGTTTGAGATTTTCAAGAGATTCTTCTCCAATAGCGTGTAGGCGGTCAAAGATTCGATTAAAGGATGACTGGTAGGTGAGATAATCGTTATCCTTTATATAGAGCTCTTTGAGCTCCATGGTAAGGGCCATTCGCTCTTCACCGGTGGATTTGCCAAAAAGTGTGGCAGCTCGGTCCCAAAGACCATGGGCAGAGAGGTCATATACGGTGCCTAGTTTATCGGAAGCAGGGGTTGTCATGGCATTGAGCATACGGGCTCTCATGACAATGGCTTTTCTGTGCCAAACTGCAGCATCAAGTGGAGATGATCCAGCAGGAGGAGAGTCCTGGTGAAGAGTTGTAATAGCATTGAGAATACCAGCTTCTTTTTGTATGGCAGAGCTCCATGCATCGTAATTATCCAGTGTCAAGATGACACGGCATCAGTCAGGCAGTAGCGTATCGACATCGGCTTGGACAAGGGCAATAGCATTGCTGATATTTGTGTCTGAGGCATCACGCAGAGGCGGTTGGATATCCATTGGTGTAGTATCTTGGGTTGTATTTGAAGGCAAGGAAGCTTGTGGAGTATTAGACTGGATGATAGATGCCAGTTTTAGCTCCATTCTAGCTTCACGGTCTCGCATATCTTGTTCCATCTGATTCTGGCGAGCAAGCATTTGTCGCATCATATCAGCAAGATCAGGGGTAAGTTCGTTTGTGGAAGCCATGTTGGCGGTATTGGTAGAGCTCAGATTGGCTCCGGAAGGCGTTGGGGTCTCTATCTCTTCAGAGACAACTGATGAGGAGGTCTCGTCTATATTCGAGGACCTGTTTTGGAGATTTCGGCGACGTGATCGTCGTATAGCAGTAGCAGGAGGCGTAGTAGGTTCTCCTGACATGCTCAGGTTCGGACCGTATCTGGGATCCTGGAATTTTTGGAATCTGGGGTATGGAATTTTGGTTCAGCCAATCAGAGGGCTTAAATTGACCACTTATACGGGCCTAAAATAGCTCATATTTCCGAGCAAGAAACGGGCTCATAACCTAATGGAGGTGTATTGTTGGTTGGTTACTAGCTAGATAGGCCTACGTGGTGAAAAGGGTCAGCGAGGGCGGACCTATGCGGCAGAATCCCACGTGATCCAACAGTTATGCTGTCTACCACTAACCCATATCCCCACTAGCACCTGCAGTAAAAATAGCACATGTCTGCTAACGAGTGTGATAATGTGCGTAGCTATGAATGGACTCCTGATACCGAACGAGAACCTTGCGCCATCGCCAATGGGCTCGTCCCAACTTCTCAATCTGCCTCTCCAATCTCGATAGCAGCCGTTGCTCCAAGCCGCATCCTGGAGTCCAGGAAGTCTTCAAAGTCGTTTTGCTGGACGTGATCCTCAACTGCCAGCGGCGACACCGCTTTAACCGGTGATATCAATGAGATCTCCTCCTTGGACGTATTCGCCAGTTCCTGCACAAGATCGCCAAGAATCGAAACCGAGGATCGTGACCGTCTCGAGCTTCTAGGAACATCAATACTTCCACTCGTACGTACAACAACCTTTGGCTGAGAATTGCTCGTCTTCTCCGCGTCTTTGCGTGGTGTCTCCACGTCAGTTTCGTTTTCCTTATTCTCCACGCCCATCGCTTCTTTCTTCCCCTTGACGTTCGGACTTGGGCTGGCATGCACCCTGCGCATTGCCACCGGTTCTATACTAATTTCCGCGGGCATGTTTGATTTAGCGCTGGACTCCGAGACATCTCTCGTCCCGGGTTGCGAGATCTCCTTGAGCGCCACTGCTGGGCCCGATGTGCGGCTCGCACTCCTGGTATAGGACGCGGAGCGGGCCTCTGCAGCGGCAGAGGGCCTCAGACTCGTGGGTGGTGCAGCTGGAATGGTACTGTTGTGTACTTTTAGAGGGCTCATGGTCTCAATGAGTTGGCTGTAGCGTTCCTCGTCCGTTGGCGCAACAACGCTTGGCTGCTTGCTGTGTTCATAGCTGACCCCAGTCATGCTAGAAATAGCACGGCTGCTCGCGGAGCTCGAACCGGCATAATCTGGCATAGGAACATCTTCCAACGATGACCTCGTGCCTCCGCGCGAAGGACGTTCAATCATGTAGGGGTCTATGAAAGCATCTGTCGCATACGGCTCCTGGACCAACCACCTCGGCTCCCTTTGGTAGCTTGGCCACTGAGTCGGGGGGGTTGGAAAATTCCTATAGGTCCAGGCATTGTACAGAGCCTGACTGCTTGGCTGACTGGCAACTGTCCCGGCCCTTCGAATACCATGTCTAGTAGGAGAATGAGCATGGGCATCTTCCGGTTCTTTCAAGTCACTATATCCACTGCCCGAGTTGTACTTGAAGAGCGTCTGTGGCGCTGGTGACCACATTGCAGCGTTTGGCCAGGCGATGTTGGAATATTCCAGAATATCTATGTCTCTTCATCAATGAAACTGCCAATGCTTTTTGGTGCTCAACCAGGCAACTTACGCAAGGGAGCATGCTGGAAAGAGAATGCAATGATATCCTTGACTCGCTCAAAGGGAGGCGTACGATGCGGGCGAGAAAACCCCTCAGATATTACGGTTCGGATTCTACCATGAAGCTCTCCTGCATCCCAATGCATTTGTTCCAATATCTCCTGGTGGAATGCTGGAAAGCGGAGATTGTCCTGGTTACCGTTCTTGTCGATATCTGCGAACCTGTTAAAAATTCTGGCTATCTACATCGTGACAATAACCGGGAGTGGGACATGCATACGAGAACTGTAGTCTAGTTGAAAGTTAGCATTTTCCATATGAAAAATATAGGATGAAAGAAAAAAAAAAAAAAAAAAAGATAATTAACGCACCTATAACATGGGGCCAAGTGGTTCTCGGGCTAAAGATACTGCCTCTATTGAGACGAGGGGAAGTTAGCACACAGAAATCGTGCGTATACTGCTTCGAGAATAATTGGGAAAACGTACGAGACACAAATTCCATCAATGAAGACTCGAACCTCGTAAAGCAGAGTGTCATCGGGCTGCATGAGACTCTCTATGGTCCGACTGGGCCGGGGCTTCTCCCAGCTATGCACCGACACCCGGAAAGCGGTGCTTTGAGGTAGACTTGGGATGAAGGTAGTCAGAACCGGGAGCTGGCCGAAGTTCCCATGAGGCAAGCCGTAGACAGAGGGATTGATGATAGAAGGACTACGGAGGTAGGGTGACTCTGCCGGAAGGACGTACGTCAACGATTGCCAACCCGTAGACAGGTCCCTAGGCAGAAGCTTGAAAGCTCAATCCGGTCGAACTGCAAATACGAACCTTCATCTTTGGTTACAAAGCATTGCGTCTTGAACTCTTGAATTGGCACCTTGGAGTTCTCTGGGAAAAGGAGTACGTCCCAGTTCTCGTAACGCATGGCGATTGGCTTTGCCGAAATGCCTCTGTGGGATAAAAAGAGAAGAGAAGCTTTTGAAACTAAAACTGATAGAGAATAGTGAAGAAACAAAACGACATCCACGAAGTGATCGAGGAAAGTAGACGTCAAGGGACTGAAGGGCGTGGAGTGTATGAAGAAAGAAAAGCCTGAAGGCCAAAAGCAGCCGGGAAGGATGGTTTACAGAGCAGGCGGCGTCCCTGGCGTGACAGTCAAGAATGCTCCTGCCCGATGAAGATGGTGTTGTTAGGCAGGCTTGAAGAGGAAGGAGAGGGATAGACTGCCTGAAGTCGATATTGGTGTTTAACCTGATCTAAAACGGCCATCAATGTAAAGACAAACTAGGAAAAATTCTATTTCATTTCGAATGTTAAGTAAATCATAGGAACAGAAAAATAAAGCTGTAGAGGCTCACCGCCCAGCTCAGGGGGAATCATCCATGAAAGGAACATGCACGCCCAACCAACATCCAAAGAAAAAGACCCCTGCGAAGCCACAACGACACATCCAGACTTACGAAAGACCACGAGACGCTGGAACGCCTGAATCGACCGCAACCTCTTAGCAAGGCCAGTTTCAAGTCTGCGAATAGAAAAAAAGGATAAAAAGGAAAAGAAAGACACGGTTGAACAAAACCCCCAATGGGCACTGCAAATGGAAGCGATCTTATTATCGCCCATAGTGGCTACAAGAACAAGGTCTGAACAGGTGAAACCAGTCCTTCATAATATCACTTTCATGGCCAACTGTGTGGAGCGGAAAAAACAACTGGAATCCAAGCGCACAAGGATTAGGAGCCACACTTAAATCGATTGAAATCGAACGCCAGGAAATTGATAAGATGAAAAAAGGGGAAGCGAGTTTTCGGGAAAGAACCATGTTTCATAATAAGAGAGATAAAAAGAAATAAAAGAACAGCTGAATTTGAGAAACGAGAAGGCGACAGCAAAGTGGTGCGTGTTGTACAGTTCATCAGTCTAGCAGAAAGCATGACATGACATCCTCAAAACATAATTCAATTTGGCTGCTTTCATGAAGAGGAATTTGGCAAATGAACTTTTCGCAGAATGCCTGCCCAAGGTGTAGTGGGAATAGAAGTCAACCAATTTGCTTGCTGTTACACACGAGGAAAAGCAAACCCGGGCTAGAAACGCAAAGTGAACCACATCGGAAGTAGAAAAATGCGGACATAAATCAATCGGGTAAAGGGAGAAAGGAAGAAAACAGCAGGCACAGGTCTGAAAAGAAAAGAAAAAAAAAAGACGAAAAAGGCCAGGATAAGAGCCCCCAGATCTTGCTAAAATGAAAGCGCTCACATACAATGAAATACGTAGCACAGGAGAAAAGACGCCCATCAAGAGCTATAGAGAACAGCCTTCAGAAAGAACGAATAATTGCAAGCTCGTTATGACACAAAGTACCCATCATTGAAAATGACGCAAAACTCCTGTAGGTGCTTTCAATTAAAAGGGCACGCCCTTACTAGCCGCAAGAATTTATCAGCGGGGGGCACATTCTTAGTAGAGTTAGGGCTAGGGAGGCAACGAACCTTCATGGGTGCAAAACCACCATACTGGTGTGCCGGGGGAATGCCCATAGACGGGTACATTGGGGGAGGCGGAGGAGCAGGGCGGTATGGGCTACCGGCAGGGCCGGAGTTGTTTTGTGACCGACCCCAGCTCAGGCGCACACGGGAGTTTCCAATGGGGTATCCCTGCATCTGGTTGATGGCCATTTCGGCAGCGTGGCGCTGAACAAACTGAACGAAGCCACAGCCCTTGCCAGGAGGGATTTTGACGTAGGTAATCTCGCCAAAGCCCTGGAAGAAAGAGCGAAGCTCATCCTCGGTGACATAGCCAGACAGGCCACCAACGAACACAGTGGTATTGTTGGGATCAGTGAACTGATTCATGGGTTGCTGCGGTGCACCGTAGAACCCCATGGGAGGAGCACCCATCGGAGGATACATGCCTGCTGGACCGGGCATACCCATGGCACCGAGAGCAGCAGCCGGGCCCTTGTTCTTGGGAGTCGCCGTAGAGATGCGCATGGGCCGGTTACCGCAGTAGACACCTTGCATCTCGGTCAGAGCACGCTGCTGGTCGGTCTCGTCGGAGAAGCGGACAAAGCCGTAACCGCGCGACATTCCACTAATGGGGTCCGTCATGATTTTGGCGGACTTGCAAGACGGGAACCGATTCTGGAAGAGGGAAACTAGAACGTATTCATTGACCTCAGGGCCCAGGTCGCCAACAAAGATCGAATACTCAGGACCACGGTCATCACGGCTAGATTGACGCCAAGTGAGCTTGGGCGCTGAAAAACTAGAGCACGAGGAGCATGCTTACCTTCGATCGGCAAGACCTCCACCAGTGGCCCAGTTGAGCTTGAAGACGCGGTTGGTATTGGGCATGGGAGTGCCGTTCAAAGACAACGCCTTTGCAGCGGCCGCTGGGGAGGTGAAGTCGACGAAGCAGTATCCGGCGTTGCTCCTACTACCATCATTAGGTTTGCGTCCAAAGCCACAGAGAAATACGAATACTCACCCAGAGAACTTGTCACGGATCATCTTGACGTTGACCTGTTCGCCCATCTGGAACCAGAGATTGCGGATGAAGTTCTCGTCGATCCAAGGTTCAAGTTCACCCATCCTAAAAAGCAAAACTGTGTCAGTGGGAACCGGGAGTGACAACCATGAAACCAAGGGGGGCAGGAGATTTGCCGTACCAGAGGGTGGTCTTCCCTTCGTTGGCCTGCTGGGGAACCGCAGCGGTAGGCTCACCGGGAGCAGAGCCCTGGAATGCGGCGGTGGTAGGATCAGCCTGGCCGGTCATGGTTGTGTCCGCCGTTGCGGCAGCCACAGGCGTAGCTGCCGCGACATCAGCGGCAGGGTGCTGGTTCTGGAAAGGCTCAAAGTTCTGGAAAGACATTTCGGCAAGTTTGAAAAATGACGTAACGCAACTACGGTATCGGTATCTGCACAGCACGGATCCTTGTCAGCTAAGCAGAAAAGAAAACTATGGCCTAGATTTCAAGGTAATGAACTGTGGGATACCACGTGACGGGCTATGTGGCTGTATTGAGGGAGGATAAAAGGCTAAATACCTGTAAACTGAAAGAAGCTCGTGAAAGAACCAGAAACCCGAATTTAAACACCTTTTTCTTTACCCCGAAAACGGCCGGTGCAATTTGAACTTCGTAGGGGTCGTTAAAGAGAGGCGCGTACAATCGTAGCACACTCAGTCAGGGAAAGGAAAACCTGGAAAGAGAAGAAATGGGTATTTCAATTCCTATACAAAGGGGAGAAAGAACGGAATTAGTCAGCGAGAAGACGGGGTGATGGACAGAATAAAAGGAAAAAGACAGGTAGTGTTTCCCAGGTATGGAGAATGCTAGAGAGCGAATGGGAGTAAAACAACTTGCGATGTGACGAGAAAGGCTTTTTAGGACCAAATTCAGTGGCAGATCGAGTGCGCGAATTAGGGAGACACGATGTTCGGTTCCACTACCGCTGGCAACGGGAAAACCGGAACAGTGACACTTGGGAAATGACGGGGCCATCCCATTGCAGAATGCATCGCATTTTACTGCACTTTGCCGCTTCCATTGACCTTGCTTCCATTTACGTTCAAGTGGTGCCATCCGCCATTTCTCCCAATTCCCGGTATTCCCGTGACTTTGCACGCATGCCGAAACGGCTGTTTGAACAGACGCACTTCTCCAATGATCCCAATGAGATAACATAGCGGTGACCATTCAACTTTTAGTGACGGCACAGGTATCCACTGTGTGGTCGGAAAGTATCGCAGTTTGTCGCATTGACGTGTTGTAAAAAGCTTCCATCATCCAAATGCGAATGCCAGCGGGAATACCGGGTTGAGACGAGCGTAATGGGAGCATGGACAATCAGGACGTTGAAGTTGGACGTTTTGACGTTTTGACCTTTGAAGGTACAAGAGGGTAGGAGAAGGGGAAGGAAAGGGGAGTAGTAAGCTGCGTCTCACGGGTGGCTTGGATTTTTTTTTTCTTGGTCCGGCAGATAAAAAAATTTCCAGGACGGGTGGAGAGGGGAGGGGCACAAAGAAGACAGTGAACCTGGGATGCGTGTAATGGCACATGGGATAGAGACGAAGAAGCAAACTTACCAGGAAAATAATGCCAAACAGAAGAAAGGACCTTGAAAAGTGCCTTGTCGCAGGAAGCAGGATAAGTGGAAGAAGATGTGAGCGAAAAGCGAGGCGTAGGGCGACCGAAGAAGAGAACTCCGCAACGTAAGAGCCACGCAAGAAACAGAATTCGAAGACTACCCACCAACGGGATCCGTTTCTATCCGGATAGGGCGAAGGAACGGAAGGGTAGAAGGTAGAAGAAGGAGCAAAAAGACAGGAAGCACGAAAGAACAAGCAGAAAACGGGGAGACGGAACGCGGAAATGGAGGGAAGAAGAGGTGCTAGTGGGAGGAAGGGAGGAAGAAGAAGAGGAAGAGGCGAAGAGAGAGAGAAAAGAGGGAACGTGAAAGTTAAAAATTTAAAAAAGCAGTCAAACTGCAACGATAATAATAATAATGAAAAATATAATTAATACAACTTGAACAATAATGGAACGCAGGCTACAGAGTAATTTAGTCATGCCCAATTAAGACGATCCTCGACGAGCAAACAAGAATGAGGGGCGCAGCTTTTTCTTCGTGTGGGACGAGAACTTTGCCGAGTATTGCATTACACTCTGTAATATACTTAAATTACATTACATTACTGCACTGCATTAGGTACCTAACTGATCCCAGCAGTTCGGGAAGCCCGGCAGAAGCCCCAGAGAAGCTCAAGCTATGAACGGATGCCACAGCATTTCGATGACAACGAAATGTTCCCCATGAATATATGTATAACTAGGTAGTAAACTGCAAGAACATGTAACACGATTACAGGTCGAGCAATATACGCGTTGACGCCGCGTGTGACTCGTCCAGTTCTATGGATCACGGCGTCGCGTCCATGGCACTTAGCGTCATAGAGGGGCCTTGCTTGCACGGGAATTTGCTGAGATTATGTGCAGATCGCTTGATGGAGTATACACCAGTCATCCAGAACATCTTTTTCTTCTGTTTATAATTTATGACGGTCGAAAAACAACATTAATAATACGATTTCCTGTCTTGTTCGGCTGAGAGACTGAACCCCACCATCAGCCATGGTACGTCGTCTGCAATGTAATAAGTATTGTATTGCATTCCCAGAATTCCTGGCTAAGGTAGCATCCACGCGCACGCAACTCCCTGTAGGGCTTTATTTCCTTTTCGATGTTCCTCCTGAGACACGACGTGTGCTTCCAGCGTGACAGTGAAACTTGGCCTTGCAGCTGGTGGCGGCCCTACAGCATGGAAGGCAATCTAAGGTTCAATCTTAAATGGCCCAAGCGTACTTTACCTTACCTGTAACCATCGTATCTTGTTACGCCCGTGCCTTACAGAAATAGTACAGTCAGAGCACGGAGCATCTCTCCCCGTTGATCTGTCTCGTTAAGTGCATCGGCTTATTCACCTAGTCGTACAGTTGCATGGACTAATTAGTACCAGAAGACACATCCTTGCTCACAGCCCTGAAGGATCAACAGCCTACTGAAATGCCTAAGTGCCTTTCTCGGTGAGCTAATGCCCGGGCTGTTCTATACAGTCTCCAGATAGTCGTCTATCCATTCCAGCCCTAAACCCAGGTCGGGTTTTTGCGGGCTGATGACATCGGCATTGACAAAATAGCCCGTGGAAGTCAAGACGTTGCGGACTACTATCCCGCAAAAGACGGTGTAATCTTAATCCATTCCCTCCATGCACAAAGCCATTAGAGAAGTAGAATAGCAGCGGCCATCCTGAACAAATTTTACGCCGGCCCAGAAGGGATGCTACTGCCGCACACCTCCCCCTGCCGTCCCAGCTCATCTCCTAGCAGCTGAATTGTTCTTTCATATACCCTGGCTGCTTCCATTTGCCATTGGCTCGGACCCTCGTCCAAATCCCTCGAGGGATAGTTATCATCATCAGTCATTTCATCTCCATCATCATCATCGTCCTCGTCCTTGTCTCCATCGGGATCATCTTCCCGTTCCAGCGCTTCCACAACAGTAACACGACATGACTCTGCAATACTCTTAATACGGACCTTCTCTGTCATCGAGACGATATTATGTCTAGTATCAAAGCCAGACAGCGGGGCTCCAGTTTCCGCATCATGTCCAAGCAGCAAAGATGCAAACACAAAGTCCAGCTTCTTGAGCAAACTGAACGTTTGTTTGGGGGAAAATGGGAAATCGGGAATATATGAATTTACCATCACTGCCAGGGAAATGAGATATGGGATTTGGAGAGATGCTGTGATAGGAGATTAGAATGCTTTTCATTGTCACTGAGTACACTAACTCTGCCTTAAGGGGAGCTCAAAACATACGTGTTCCGGTAACCCAAAGAAGGTCAATGATTGTTTCAATGTCTTTAGCGACTTCATCGAAGCCCTCATAACCCCTTTCTGACGCTGGTTGATCCACCACATAATATGAGCTGCTGAATTTCTTAGCATGCCGGCGGTTGATAGAAAGAATGCTCTCGTCAATATGATTGATTACTGCAGTTTCTTTCATCGAACCTGGCCGAAGTGGATAAGTTCTCTGCTCGGGGAGAAGTGAAGTTGTAGCTGCAGGCCTAGGGCCTGGAGAAGATTGAACTGGCGGTGGTAGAAAGGCTCCATTGGCTTCTGTTGAAGAATGAGATGCCATTTTTTTTTTTTTCGGGAGTAAAAGGGCCCTTGATGTTCAATACGAATGCAACAAAGGCTTTGGAGATATAACGCCTCGTATATGCAGAGTCAGTCGAATGAAAATAATAGAAACAGAACAGAATAAACACAATAAAAACAGCCTAGTACGGCTATTTGAAATAAAGACTAGAAAAGCATCTGCATGGAAATCGTTGGAAAGGAAATCCACGTTGATTGACGGTGGTGGGAAAGTGATGACGCCGGACAAGGCGTTTAACGGAGGTCATCTGACTTCTGCAAGCGGTTAGCTGATCTGCTCTCGCTCTACATTCAACTTCCAACAACTCAGGTGTCGCATACTTCCATGGCAATTGCGCTGATCCTGTCGCTTTTCTAGCACTACAATCATACCGGTTGTCAATGGATTTAAGCCTATTCAGAGAAAGAACCTCACATCATCACTCTTCAAGTTCTATCCAATATAAGGCTATACAATCTCCCTGGACAAGATTACCCATTTACTGGGGCCGCTCTATTCGGCAAATCAGTAAGGGATTGTCTATGAGACATTGTTGCTATCCAGTTTTAATCCAAGTATGAAAGAGACTCTCTTCCGCACGATGTATCCATTTCCTAGAGTACTCTATCTTTTTTTTTTTTTGCTGTGCATTTTGGTACCTGTACATCTTCACTAGGGAGTTCATGAAGTGAGGACTGTATGATGGAGTCATGCAATGGTGAATGCATCAGAGCGTACAGAGGTTAGATGAAGCCGCTTGTCTGCTAGTAAGACTAATTTTATATTAACCTTGCTAACTAGTGATCCTGTACTCAAGGAGACAAACCTAGAATAGAACTTAGCATGAAAGGCCAGAGAATGAAGGCAACGAAAACAATTGTAAAAAGGAGAAGTTGGAAAGAAAAATGCCTCCATTTCAGAAATGTGAGAAGATGTAAAGAGACGCTGGTTTTTGTAGACATGGCATGACATCGAACAATGCAAGTCTTGCTACTCTGGCCCCAGCGGGCTCATCATGGAAGCGAACAAAGAGAATTTTTATACGCTGTTAAATTCAAACTTACACTATTCCGAAATATCCTGCAATGAAAGACTTTTGTATCGGCCACGAACTCCCCAAACGCCTCGCTAAGACAACCACAAACCCAGGATTCTGGTAGACATCGTGACTGAGTATGTTCATTCAGGCTGTAGACTACAGTTAGTCTCGCTCCTCAGTTAATAGCAAACATGCCGGGTAATGTGAAGGATGACGAGAACTCACCCTAATCTTTCCTCTGCGCTTCTTCATCTCCTCGAGCTTCTTCTTGTCCTCATTAAACTTTCTCAGCAATTCATTCTGCCTCTCCTTCCTCTTCTCCCGAGACTGAAACCGGTAGAAGTCTTCCAAGCCAGCGGACTTCTTCGCCTGCTTCTCAACCAGCTCTTTCAATTCCTCCTCGTGGGCAGTGGAGTTCAGCTTCGGTCCATGAGTGACGGTGACGAACCCATCATCGTCAGGTTCCTGTGCCTTCCGCGCCTGCTCGCGCTTGCGAGCTTCCGCAACCTGCGTGAAGACAGTCATATAGTCGTTGACGGTACGAAGCAGCTCCGCCCGATCAGGATACCGAAGACGCTCGTGCGCGAGATATCTCTCCAGTCCTAATGGGGGTAGCCGGTCTTCAATCCCCTCGCCCCAGACAATAGTTATATTTTTCTTCGCGGCCTTGTACACTGCCTTCAGACTTGCTTCCTTGCTCGCTTTATCGACGAAGACCACTACCGCATGGGCACCGCTCTTCTGCAGCTGTCTGCCCCATGTAGATGGCAGCTCTACCTGATCTAGTTGATTTTGAAGATCGTCTGCCGTGACTCTCTTCCTCTTCTTGCTGTTCAAGATATTCCCCGGTGCTGCTGTGGGAGCGCTGCTGCGTTTCTTCGTCGGTACATCTTCGAATCGCACTTGTTCAACCCGACCTGCTGACAATTGCGTTCCGAATAGATGTCGCAGGTGGTTACTAGTTGTGTCTATAGGAAGATTGACGACAAAAAGCGAACGAGCCGAGTCAGGGTCAGGAATTCGGGGTTCATGCGGTCGAAGGTAGAGGTAATGTGTCGCTGGCGGGTCAGGGAGCTGCAGGGGCAAGACTGCGTAGCCTGCTATCTCCAAAGACTCTTTCTTCATGTTGACGATGAAATAGAATTATCCCCACGAAGAAGCCCCCAATCTCGATAGTTGTGTGGTGAGGATTGTACTGAATAGTTGTTTGGTAGCTTAAGGAATTTTACATTGGTTAGGGGAAATTTTATCGCCTTGAAGACGGAGATACGCTAATCGCCGAACGCCCATGAATATTAGACAGAACTAACGCTTCGAACAGCAACCGTGAACATGGATGACATTTCTCAAATCACTCAAACATGACAGCAAATTTGTGGCTTTTGTAGATGCATTGAAGGCGCTCCTAAATAACCCGCATTTTGAATTATTATCGCTGGACTTAGCTTCCCATTTCAACCTATCCACCTAGATCTTGTCAGGATCATTGATCCCACCATTGGTGATCACGTATGTCGCCTCACGTTCTGGGCAGTCTGAAGGAGTTATCAGAGGGTCAGTATTTACAATAGTTATGGGCAGTGTGGACTAACCCGGCGAATCTTGAATCTTTGCCACACGCTCATCACCACGACCCTTTCGAAGCAGAACACGAGTCGTGGATGCGTGCGCAAGAACATGTCCACCGACAGGCTTGCGACCATCTGCGCCCGCAAACAGAGCTGCTCCAGGGTCGCTTTGGACTTGGTTTGTCTGTGAGACATATGTGCATGAGAATGTGTACTCGCGAAGAGCTAACATATAATAGGGGCCTCACCATTAAAACGCAGACATTGAATTCTGTAAGGGCAGAGTACTGGCATCAGCCTTCGAAGTCAATTGAAGGATATTTCTTTCTCTTACCTTCAGCCATGTGCGCCAGCTTCATCAGAAATTGATTTAGTTTCTGCTGGCGGTCCGCAAGTTCTCCGCGCCCACAGTAATCGACACGGAAGCAGTTCATAATACTGTCGATGACCAACAGTCTATACTCACCTCCAGCGAACTCTCTCGTGAGTGTATTCAGGAGTTCAAGCTGGTGCTCACTGTTGAGAGCCCGAGCATAGGCAATATTCTCCTGGGCAGACTCAGGGTCAACGCCAAAGCGTTCCGCTATCTGGGCAATACGTTCTGGTCGAAAGGTGCCTTCAGTGTCAATGTAGGCGACCTTGCCATCTGCCCCGCCCATCTCTCTAGGCAACTGCGCAATAACGGACATAGTGTGCGACAGCTGTGTTTTACCGCAACGAAACTCGCCGAAGACCTCACTAATGCTCATACTCTGGAATCCACTGTACACCGAGATGAGAAGATGGACGGGTTGGGCAATTGTCCGGAACCAGCTTACCCTCCAAGAATGGAATCGAATTGCTTGCTTCCAGTCGAAATTCGCACTACTCTCTTTCGCTGATGGCACAATTCCATAGCAGTAATGAACCCAGAAGCGGACGGCTAAGTTGCATCGATTAGCCAAGTATAACATCGTCAGAAAAAGTCCAGGAACAGATATCAAGTCAATAAAGATCTCATACCAGGCATTTCTGAACTGCTTCTTTGACCTTCTCTACCTTGATCTCACTGAATCCCTTGATTTTCAAGAGAGTTTTGCGCGTGGCACCGTGGACAGACTGGGGGAGGCATATAATTATAAGAATCAAGCAAGTCAGGTAGTAGAATCGCGCCAGCGGGTCCATACAGCAACGGTATAGTAGCCATTCGCCTTCAGTTTTGTAATATCCGCAGCCCCAATTCCTTTTACGCGTTCCAAGTCAGATATTAGATACGAAAGGAAGAGAATCATGGGAGGGTTTTGGCACAAGCCTACCGTGAGCTTGAATACTATCAATGTCAACAATGAAACCCTGCGAAGTACTCAGCCAACCCGAATACCAAATGAAAATAGCCAGGTAAGCAATCCCAGGGCCCTGGGAGTATTGGGAACAGTAGAACAAGACGTACATCATCGTTGAACTCGTCGTTTGCTTCCGACTCGGGCATGTCTTATCTCCTCAAGGAGGGACTAAGCAGCGAAATTGAAGAACCGATGAAAATACAACTGTCCTGGATGACTTGGGATACGGAGAACTCTTGGTTGAATGGAAAGTCTAGGAGCATTGTAAGAGGAAATGGAGCAGCGTCACGGGGCCAGTCCAGGCTCAATTAGGAAAGGACAGGAAATCAGGGCTGCTGGAGTAGTGGACTGGATATAAGCATCTAACAAGCGGCAAGTTAACAAGGTACGAATCTACTAGAAAGCATCCTGTGACGAATATCGAACGGGATCTCCAACGTCGTGATTTGTACCAGTCAAGAAGAGCTCATGGAAAATATAACAGTCGAACTGGCAAATGACGTTGAAGAATCAACTACGAAGACAAGGGACCGGAAAAGTAGAGTGGAAGTTCTTGAAAATTGAGACGTTTTTCTTTTCACTATTTCCCATTCAACGAGTATATGCGAGGGGTATAGCATGAGAGAGAGTACAAGGAAGAAGTCCACCGCGCCACTCTTTTGAAGGGTCTGCCCTTCGGCTCAGATAATCCGCTCATACCATCTTGAAGCCATGCCCGCACATCCCACTGCCTTGCTTCGGTCCACAAACAAAGACTTCACTCAATTAGCCCTTCGATTTGCTTCATCTCCTTTTCCTTGATGTTCCCTGGCCGAAACCACAACTCAACAGAGAAAACCCGTGGTAGAACCATAGACGCCAATCGTGAGACTCGATCCATTCGTGGAATCAAAGTCATATAAGATCCTGGGACTTCGTGGAACTTTTTGTTCGTCGTATACATGATAAATAAAAAACAAAGCCGGTACCGAAACCCGAAACAGGGTAATATATGCAAAGGAGGAAAATGGTAAGGCAGGAAATAAAAAAAGGGTAACGTGAGAGGCCGGTAACGGCAAACCTAAAACAGAAGGAAGAATGAGGTAGGCTCCCGCGTCAAAAGTGGGATTGATTAATCAAAAAGGCATTCATGCAACAGCGGTGGTCGGGGCAGCAGGGGCAACAGAGACGGCCTCCGTGCTGGTTTCAGCGGCCGTGTTAGCGGCAGTGGTGGCAGGAGCAGCGGCTGCATCGACAGCCGGCTGAGCAGTCGTGGTTTCATTGTTGGGGCAGTCCCGAGAGATGTGGCCGGCCTGGGAGCACTTGTAGCAGACCTTTCCGGCAGAGCTCAATGGGCCACCATTGGGGGCAGTACAGTCACGAGAGATATGGCCCTGTAGACAACGTTAGCTAACTCAAAATCCGTTATTTTATCCAAAAGCTATATAACTCACAAGCTTGCCGCAGGCGTAGCACTTCATAGCCTGAGCCTGGCAATCACGGGCAAAGTGGTTGGGGCCACCGCACTTGTAGCAGGTGGCAGCACGGGGATAACCACCATATCCGCCACGGAATCCACCGTTAAAATTACCACGAGGAGCACCAGCACCACGGCCACCAGCTTGGACAGCGGGAGCCGGGCAGTTACGCTGCGACAAGACACGCCAATCGGTTATTCTTCATCCATGAACAGAAAGATCAGATCAACATACAGCTAGATGGCCAGGCTGGTTGCAGTTGTAGCAACGTCCGCCAGAACCGCCATTGAGTCGCAAAGTGGGACAGTCGGCCTGAACATGACCCAATCCCTGGCAGTTATAACATTGCTTGGCTAGAAACAGGTTAATATTACGGCCGACTATTCCCTTGTATTCAGTGATCGGGTAGGATTCTTACTCTCCGTGGTACGAGGACGGGGACAGCTGCTAGACTCGTGTCCTGCTAAAAGCATCAGAAAGGTTGTTCGAGAAACATAAGAGGAACGGTTCATACCAGGCTGCTTGCCTATATTTGTAGAAAGGTATCAGTAAAGGTCACTCAAGAAGGCATGTCGCAAGGCTGCACTAACAGTTGTAGCAAAGGCGCTCGGACGAGGAGCAGACCTCTATTGCACATCAGCATACCGCACAATGCCCCGTGTTCCTTTTCTCCTATGATCACTGACCAGCATAGTGGCCGATATTGCCACACTTGTAGCAAGCACGTCGAGAGAGCAACATCCTGTTGGCAGACTAAATATGAACTCCTGATCAGCCTGTGATCCATCTGGTACGATTCGCATGGCTGGCAAGTGCGTAGCCGCGTCCGGGCTTTCCTGCGCCCATCTCTTGAGAATGTCTGAAGGGTAAAAAGCGAAGAAAAAAAAAGAGCGGCAAATTTGCACATTCTGAGAGACAATACACGGGGAATATCCAAGAGCGAAGAGATATTGAAAAGGAAACCCCTGATCGATGATTGGGGATGGGCTCGCTGAGGAAGCACCGAATTGACAAGGCGACAGAGGAATATGGCGAGCACTCACTCTTTAAGACGAAAATAGACAGACAACTAACTTCAAGACACCTCGTCAATAGATCTGTTGGTCGTGAGTATGAGAACCTTGGAGGAGGAATAATCTCAACAGCCCACTCAAGAGACCTGGAGAAAAAAAAAAAAAAAAAAATAAAAAATAAAAAATAAAAAAGAGGAAGAAAAAAAGGCCAAGAAAAAAAACCTAAAATAAAATTCAACAGAATATTTTTAAAAAAGTGCACTCACCACACAGCACTCCAGATTAAACCCTCGCAAACACACCAAGCCCACCAGAATCACAGGCGAGAAATCTTTAGTAGCCCACAGACGGAGAAAAATAATTAGGAGTCAATGATCATGCAAGGAGAGAAGAAGTCTCTGCAGGCTTAGGGTAAGGGAGAAAAAGGTTTACCTAAGCTCCCGGACTTTCCCGTATTGCGTAAGGCTTGTCAGCTCCCCGGACTGCCTTTGGATCTCATTTTCTCCGAATATGCGAGCATAATAGGACCTTACGCTGTGCTACTGCGCGGCAGATGATGGCAGTGCCTAGATTGATTGTACATTTACTTCAGGAGCAAGAAGATGCTGCAAGGAATCTCCAATTATTTATTAACCGACCCCTACGGTAACCTTCGGGGTCGCGCGTATTGCGCGACCCTGACAACCACCCGAGCACCCCAGCCACCCGAGCACCAATTTTAGACCCCCCTTCTAGCTTCAATATCTCAACGAATTCTATAGTATTTAACTTCAAAATATATTTAAACTAAAGCTCTACTCTTCAGCTTGGGCCCTAGCATGTCGTTGCCTTCGTATAATAATTCCTCGTCGAATGCATACATCCAGCAGCTCTGGTAGGCAACGCTTATACTTAGTCCTCCACCTCTTTATTTCAGCCTGCTCATTAATATTCGCAGTATTTCGATTTATAGCTTCAAGCTCTGAGCTTGATACTATGCCTCCCTTGCGAATCCTGCGCCTAGAGGCCTGTGATCGAGCTGCGCGGTCCCTAGCAGCTTTAATATACCGGTCAAGCTCAGCTTCGATAGCAGCTGAATATGATGCTAGCATACTACCACCACGAATAAGCAGCTCTAGGCCCTCATTAAATTGATCCTTGTTGATATCATGAATCTCCCATATCCTATCACCAATCTCCCTAAATCGTTCAGCTTTTTTTTGGCGTACTGCCCCAGGAATCAACATCATTGGTATTGGTGGATGAAGAGGATGGACGATGTGGTTGAGGCATTTGATTGAGTACAATTGATGGATTGAATGGTATGATGCCAGTCTTTTGGAATCCATGCCGAATAGTACGCTTTTTGAATGTCTTCTTGCGAATTGCCCCTAAGGCATGAAGGAATTCAACCTTAGTAAATTTACTGTATTCTGAGTAGGTTGCATCTGCAACTGCTTCTGAATGCCAGTGCTTATATGCATGAAAAACACCAACATCCAATGGCTGCAAGAAATGACTTGTATATGGAGGTAAGAAGAAGGTGATGATATTGGTCTTCTCACAGAATTCAACAAATTCATGTGTTAGATGGGAGCCGTATCCATCACATATAAGAAGGGTATATTGACCCTTCCTATATCTTTTAGTATGCCGATAGAATGACTGAATCCATTGGAAGGCAATTGTATCAGTCATATAGCCATTTTCTGATACTCCAATTGAATAGTCTTGTTGAATATCAGCAGCTTCAAACCAATTTGTAAGTATACAGCTACCACTCATGAGAATAAGTGGTGGGCAGGTCCAGCCATCTGCATTGACTGCTTCAACCACAGTAACATATTCACAGTTTGAATTCATCCCAATATGAGGCTTATTAATATTGAAGTCCCTGGTAATAATCCATTGATCACAACCAACACTGATATTGAAGCCAGTCTCATCAAAATTGTAGATATCCTCCTTTAATATCCCATGGTTCTGGATGGTCTGATGGAGCTTCTGAAACCACTCCTGAATAACCTCATGATCCTCTGCACGCTTGTGGTCAAGCTCTATAGCTCTAGAGCGACGTCTTTTATATTCAGGATGCCTTCCTAGCCATCAGTTTAACCATTTCTCGCTGACAGTAGGTGGAGGGGTGTCTAGGCTGGTATGGGTTGATCTCAGAATAGAATTGGCACTTGATTGGATCATTTGTGCAAGTGGCTTTATATTTAATTGCTCTAGAGTATCAACATAGTGACACAGAGCCTTTTCTTGCTCTTCTGATAATCTGGTGTTGGTTGGTGGTCGTTCACATAGATTGGACCGTCCCTTCCACCTTGCGGAGAGGGTTTGCCGTTTAACTCCATATTCACGTGCAGTTTTGGCGATATTTGGGGGATTTTGTGTGCTTAACGCGTCAATAGCTTTGAGCATTCGATCTTCATAATTTTTATTGAATTTGGGCATGGTGGTGGTGGTTGAATTATATGATAAAGTTGATGGGTTGGAATTCTACGAAGTTCTAAAATCGGTGCTCGGGTGGCTGGGGTGCTCGGGTGGTTGTCAGGGTCGCGCAATACGCGCGACCCCGAAGGTTACCGTAGGGGTCGGTTAAGGCCTTTTGTCTTATCGTTTTCTTTTTTTTCCGTATCCGGGCGCTCTCACTCCTCCTTCTCAATGACAGCAGGTGCTTTGATCTCGCGACCCTTAAGGAATTGAAGTCCTTCACCTCCCTGTTACGAATGTGACGTTAGTTGGGAGAAGATAAGAGAGAATAAATCCAAATTATAACAGGCAACACTTACGTAGCTAATCAACGGAGACACCTCCACACCGACAGCGCCATCCTCAGTAACAACAACCCCGCCAGCACTTTCAACCCAACGCTGTCCTTGCTTCATGATATCCAATTTGCTGGTATCAGGATCATCTTCCCCAGTACCGCGTGCGTTTTTCAGGGGAGAAAACTCATCCTCACGTCGAACCTCGATGCAGGCGAATTTCTCCAGAGGAATGAATGGGAAGACATCAAAGACAAACTGCTCCAGCTTGATACCATTTGGTTTCTCCGGTTTGAATGCCTCGCCGGTCTCCGGCTTGATGCAAGGAATCTTCTTTCTCGCGACGTGATGGGGCAGTTTGTGAGCCCAGTCCTGGATGGATTCGAAGAAACGGAACGAGTAGTAGTGGTTGACAATATTTGCCGCACGGAATTTCAACACACTAGGCTGCTTAGGATCCTTGGCCTCGGCTGTTTCCTTGTCAATCTCAGAGTACTCGACGACATCTGGCTTGCCGTTCTTCTGTAAGATCAAGCCCACCGACTCGGTAGCATTACGCTTCCGTACCACTTTAGTGGCGATGTCTACATCCTTAGAAGCAGAAAAGCCAATAAAGACGGGATCTGCGACCCTGACGAGACAATTGTCAACGCAGTAGGTATGGATGTGCTGGATCCCACGTCGCCGCATATCCTCGCGCACACCAGACGTCACAATAGCCTGGTAAATACCACCGTTGCCATCAGGCGCAACAGCAACCTAAGTATCAAGCGGTTAACAAATCGCAATACTCCCAGAACTAAATGTGTATGAAACAGGAACACATACCTTGGACTTGCTCTCCATCATTATCTTGCCGTCATTGGAGATACAAGGCAAGACGCCCTGTTCAAAAATAATCACGTTGTCCTTGCTCAACCCGAAGTATTGGTATTGTTGGAAGAACTCCTCCGTAGGCTTTCGAGTAGGTCCGCTGGTCATGACATACCAAGGGATAACCACATTCGCCTTCCCGGTGGCCTTTTGAGCCAGGATTTGAAGCTTCGCAATCCTCTCCGCCTGGATCTGGAAAAGCGACTTGTGACTAGGAAGCCCGATATCGAAGCAGCCCTTGGGCGCGGAACTACCCAGACGTGTGCCTTGTCCACCAGCCATCAAGACCACCGCCACCTTGTTCTCCGCGACCTGTTTGAGACCCTCATCATACCATCGCTGGATGTCCTTGGGATCTGAGTCGAGGATCGAAGCCGTGGCCACCTCCGGAAGTGGCTCGAGGGAGACAGGTTCGTTTTGGGCCGCTGGGGAGTTTAGGGCCTTTTCGGCGAGCTCGTTGATGCGAGAAGGATCAAATTTTGATAGTTGGTCGTAAAGTCGAGCCTTTTCAGCGGGCAGTAACTCATCTAAGAAAGCGAATACCTGACCTTGGCCCGCGCTGGTGTACTTCTGCTTTAGCTGCTCGAACTCCTCCGGTGACAGTTGGCGAAAGCTGTATTCCGAATGGCCATATATTTTATCGACGATGTTGGAAACTACCTCCTTAACCGCAGAAGCCATTTTGAAACGTGTGGGGATTCTTTCAGAAAGTAAGCACGGTGGTTAGAAGTGCTGGTGGGGAAAGGATAAGGTGAAGGCGTAGAGGCTTTCCGGAGACGTGCAAAAAGATTAATATCTTCAACTGATGATTCCGTAGGGATTATGACGAGGATATGCATCCCATCTTATATGCAGACCATCGGCTTTATTTTTAGTAGGAATGCCTCCGGGTGATCATCTTATTATTAGAATCGCCCCTAATAATAATCCTGGCGGGGCTCTGCGCCGTATTTCTGCAAGGCCCGCAAACTTGGCATCATTTGATCGTACAGGTTTTGCTGTTAGGCCACGGTGTACTGTTCGCCTGAGGCTGATTTTTTTTTATTATTACTGTGCCAAAATATATATACGCTGTATCCCTGCCGGAAACAAGACGCTGCGTCTCCCTTTTTTGTCGGATGAGACCGACTAACGGTACATTATAACTATTTACACTATTTATGGCTTTCTCCTTGGCGCACCCCTTAACTCCCGGGCTGTCGCCAGGCTGAGCGAAGGCTTCGATTTTGAGGTCTCATCCTGGTGAGGCATCTCCCATTTTAGTGGTGCCTTGATCGATATCGATCTTCTGCGTTGCGTCGACCGCGTTCTGCTCGGCGTTCATCATCACAGTACCTGTCCCGATCATTGCGCCGATAGGAATCGCCCCGTCTAGGACTCCGGCTGAACGATCGATCACGGTATCGGCTGCGGGAGGGACCTCCTTGCCTTGGACCTCGACTAAGCGATCGGTCGCGTCGCGACTCGTTTCGTCTTGGGCTCCGACTATACGACCTTTCCCGTCGTGTTGGCTTAGAGGCCCTAGGCTGACCCTTAATCTCCTTGTCAAAAACCATTCCGTAGTCATCTCTTTGGCGAGTGTTGTCCGATGCTCTGTACTGGCGTTTCTTTTCAAGACCGGCTATGCCACCGAAGCCACCTCGTTGGCTACGCTTCATGATAGTGGCATTCCGCCAGCTTTCCGATAGTTTTGACACCTATTCTTCGTGTTAGATGTACTGGATGTAGAAACGATGCAGTGCACTCACGCTTTGAGAGAAGTCGACATGTATACGATGGTCGTCAATCAAGACACCCTGCATCTTGAAGTAGGCTTGCTCGCAATCCTTCTGATTCTCGAATTCGATGAATGCATATTGCAAGCTATCGCCAGTGCGCTTGTCTCTAATGACCTCGCAGGATAGAATTGGCCCGAAACGGCTGAATATTAGGTTTAGATCCTCATCTATAAATTTCTCATCAGCGCTGGAACAGGGGAAGGAAAAGTCGGTCTTGTTTCCAAACCTTGGGTTATCGGGTTCAGCTTGCAGACGAATAAGACATTCTCGGGCGGTTTGACTTCTGCGAAAGGAAGATCTCCAACCATTTCCAATGTCAGAGCCTGCGCTTGCGCCTCCCGTTCCCGCCGAAGCTTCTCCATCGCTTCTTCATCCATATTGTCGTCTAGTTCCTCATCGTCCGCAATCCTGACGGTAGCTAGCTGCGCCTTTGACGGGAGAGGACTCTCCGGGGTTTCCACCAGGCCTGGAGGATCTGGGAAAGGGTCATCGAGGATTACGGTGTGACGGATGCGAATGTCCTTGAGAGGCCGGCCCCTGTCATCAATAAAGGAGTCATTTATCTTCTCCAGAACATCGAAACCCTCGACGACTTTCCCGAATATGGCTGCTTTTCCATCTAGATAGTCAAGATTGTCCCCCAATGTAACGATGAATTGGCTAGCGGCGAGACGCTCTTCGGGATCGCGGGAGGAAGGTACTGTCGCCATGCTCACTGTGCCCCGTTCTGTATGTTTTGACTTTGGGGGAAGTTGAACCGGAAATGTCCTTTTCGAAGGACCCTCCAACACACCCCATATCGAAGATCCACCATCACTCTCTGGAGAATCGGGCCCAAGGGGATCACCGGTCTGAAAGGAGAAGTTCTTCTGGACACTATGCACTGGAGAGAAATTATAATATTTGATTTTGCATAGCTTCAGGAAGCTGCAGGGGAGTAAGACGCGGATCTTAGTTATTTCCTCCTTTCAGCTACGCGACAAAAAAAAAAAAAGGAAAACCATTATTTGGGAGAGAGACACATACTTTTCACATGCTTTAGGCGACTCATCAACCAAAAGATCTATGACAATGTCACCCAGAGAGGTTTCCAGTAGAGCACTCATTGTGCGCGACAATCGGTAGCGCGTTCCAAATGGACGTAGCAGTTTATTCAGCTCTGGCCAGACAGCAAGGTCGCTGACACACCTGAGACACACTATTTTGTGACCCTGTCAATGCGCATGCGAGAGCACACGGCGCGAAAAGCTGCGGAGGATGTTTCAGTCTACCAAAGAAGATGCGGAGGAACGTTCCTCTATGACGCCGCCAATCGGTCTGCTTCAAGACTCTAATGGACGCGGGAACTGCCTGAGGCCACCAATATGCAGGGGAAGACACGAGGAATGCCTGGTTAACATTCAACACAAACGTATGATGTGCACAAGTATAATGCAGATAGGTATACCGGTGTAGTTCCACAGCAGACATAGCAGGAAGATATTGACGGTGTTTTTCTGCAGGATCATCAACCACCATCGCATCCCGGAAGTAATCCAACTTGAAGACTGCACATATTTATGCAACCATAAAAAAATGCACGTGGAGATTTTGAAACATCGAGCCTTTTGTCCAATGGAGAGAAATGAGGCTCCCAAAATGTCTCCTCTACAGCTGAGACTGCTTTGCTGAATTGGGGATTTTGAGCGAGAGCCACTTCTACGAACTGTGGACCTGTCCAGTGGAAGGTGAGCACGTCGATTTGAAATACACTACTATCTGTGCTCTGTAATTACTGCTATTTTCTTTCAATAGTTATGCTGACTTGGGTATGTAGAAGGGGATCTTTCAGGGAAATGCTCCTAGACTTCTGCAGCTGCATAGTGCAAGGTGCACAGAACCAAATCCTAGATAGTATGGGAGGCTCCACGTCCATCGCTTCTGCAAGCTGCAAGCTGGACCCTCTAGCAGCAGTTATCTCTGGTTTGCTACTTGGGGACGCTCACTTGCCGCATTTCCTTTCCTTTCTGCGGCGTTTGCTGTGGCGGAAAAAAGTACTAATGAGGCAAACAAAGGTACCAATCTGCCTCCGCAACTTACGATATACACAGGTACTCCTTTTCTATACTAGCTATTATTCTTTCTGAAACCTTGGATATTCCCTCCGCCGAGTTTTGATTCTGACTATTGGGATTAAAGGAAACAAAGGTCACTCAAAATCTCGCGCCTGATGAGAAACGTTCCAGGACACCAAGCTATTAATCATGACACGGCTCAAATCTCAGCCTATTTGCTTGAAAAAGGCTCCCTTTGAGCCGCTTTTCTGTCCTTGTCATGTGGTTACATACCACCGGAGTCCCTGTCGGCCATGCCATGAAGGGTGCACTGTGTTCCAGAGTGACCATCGAAGTTGGCCTGCTGGAGAAGGGCCGTTTGACGCGAGAAATTACGAGAGCCAGGTCAATCAGCTTCACCAATGACAGCTCTTTCAAGACAGCAAACATTCAATTTCAATTTTCCGCCCTCCAGGCAATAGCGCATGCGATTTTTTTGCCAGTTCATACAAACGTAGATCGATTGCCTTCCTTCAAGACCCTGCCTGGTATTTACCAGTCATATTACTGTTTTCAACACTATCAGTGCTTGCTATTTTCTATGTGCAATGATGCTATCAATTTGTGAAGTGAGAGTAGAGGTCAGCGTGGCCAAAAGATGAAAAAGAAGCACGTATCTTGAATCCTCTCTATTGTCCTCTCTCGCTTTTTACGCCTCATAGTTGTCTGTTGAAACAACCCAGAGAAGTACTTAATTTCTCAGTGTCGATCTATTGGTTTTCAATCGTTACTGCCTGGTTGTATCGAATCTGTGCGACGTTGCTTCTGTGAAACCAGACCTCTTAAAACACCGGGGTATTTTGGCAATTCTGATACTGTCTCGGCAGCCCTGTGCTGACACTGCTGAGGTTATCTTCCATGAATGGCGAATTTGATGCAACACGGAAGTGTGCATACGTCTCCCCTAGTATGACAGGAGAGGGATGTATCAAACTACGCGCCATCTTATACTGGAGAATTGAATACAGTATGTTCCTACCTCTGAGCCCGTTCTAGACAACTTATGATGGATCTAAAAATTCCTATAGACCAGGCTCTTGTATCCGAAAGAGAGGTATAGCAATCGGTCAAATTGGGGTTACCAACTCGTGGCTTAAAGTCGAATAAATCCCTACTTCAGGCTATACTTCATCTCATCTTTGTTCCAACTTTCTTCGCGATACCTGATGTCAGACCGAGCACGGTGGTTGCATCCAGTTTGAGGCCATTAAATCCATTATATTCACGGGCTCTTTTGTTTTTAAGCAATATTCCTTTTTACTTGAAAGATTATTTCGATCCCTCAGTAAGTGTCGGGATCGCTTCCTCGAATTCCATTTATCACTCTTATGTACTAACGCGTCTTAAGTAATGGTGCACCTTAACCTTCCCATCGATGGGGAGGGCAGCTTTGACTCAAAGGCAAAGCGAGATACTTCTTCACCGACTTCCCGCAGTGTTAGAGGTAATAAACGACGGGAAGTTGGAAGTGGGAGAGGCATCGGCCGCGGCCAGGATGCAGCGTTGAGCAGCAAGAATCACCCATTGTCAACGAGACGTCGGACCCAGGTTGCGGTGAGGTAACTTGTCTTCCCTTGTGGGCTAGTGCTTATACCTGTATGCAGTGTAAACGCTGTCGAAAAAGGAAGATCAAATGTAGCGGCGATTCAGGGGATGGCCAGTCATGTTTGAATTGCAGGAACTCAGGAACACAGAACTGCGAATTCTTGCGGGTAAGTTTCACTGAGGCGAGAAAAGGAGAGAGTATTGGGGCTGATATGTGAAAAGGTCAAATGCTCGCTAGTACACACAAAGATGAACTGCGATGGATGGCCATATCCATCAATAAGCTCCACGAGTTCTTTATCCTCTAGGCCAGACATTTATTGTCATATGGCATCGAAACCAACAATGCCACCTATGGGTTCCCCGGCACTCCGAGCTCCTTCATTCTCGCGGCCAGACAGCTACGACATGAACGCTTTCGACCCTCAGCGTATACTTCCAAGACAGTTATTCAACATTGAACAGGGTGTGAATTACGAGGCCGATTCTACCGTGGCATATTATACCAATTCACCGCCATATATCTCACCCGGCGCTGCTTCAGGAGTATTAATTGATGATTTCGGCCCCCCGTGGAACCCTAGGGCATGGAATCAGACCCTTCCCCTCGACAAACTCCCAACCGGGGTATATACTGACCTAGATATGCACTGTCGTTCGACGCAGCCGAGTTACTTTTACGGGGTATCTACACATGGACCAACACCAAGCGATATTCCGCCGTTTTTCTCTGCGTCGACCTCTGTGTCGTCAGACGGACAAGGAACCGACCGGACTCTACCCAGTCCGGCAGTGCAAAATCAGGTCCAAAGCTGCCCTTCTATTTTTCCCACGATACCAGAAGCTATGCCGAGCTTGAATTTCTCTCAAAACTTTAAAGTTGAGAGCGGCTGGGATGCGAAAAGCTCCACAACAATCGGTGATAGCTACACAACAATGCCCATTACATCCACAGGAACTTTTACTTCAAGTCCAGTGAACCGGACAAGGCCAAGTCCCTCGAACACACAAGAGTCTCTCTTTGACTTCTTGCCGATGCCATCAAATAGTGTATCTCCGCATTCGATGGCTTCGAGTGCCACGTTCACCGAGTTGGATTCGATTGATTCACCGGGTGACTTTCTAACAGGGACTGATACTCGCTACACTCGCTCTACTAAGTTATTTCCCCGAGATAATGGACTTACAGATTACTCGCCAATCTATAGTCATAGCAACAGTGGGAACCGCAAAAATCGCAGGGATCAAGCCGGTGATTCAGTACCCACATTGATCACTGGCTTTCCATACACTCCTGTAAGGAATACTGCTCCAGGAAATGTCTCTGCTTTCAACCCTCTTCAGCCGGATCCTCCGATGCAGTATCGAGACCAGATAGAGGAACATCGAACACCCGTTACTGCTCTGAGAAACGTTGGCTGTTAATGCCCTCCGCCGCTTGTCTTTCTTGGGGAAGATGTTTTAGTTCAAAGGCAGCATTTACAACATGATCCTGCACGTTGCAATGCTTTTATATCTCTATCTATTACAGTCTCGCGGAGAAAGAGAATCATGTTGATGCCTAGTTCGTCTGAACTATACTCTAATTTTGGGGATTCCAGTTCCCTTGGCTTGCTTTTGCTTATTCAGCAAAAGGATAATTTTTTTTTTAAAAAAAAGACAAAAAAAGAAAAAAAGAAAAAGAAAAAAAGAGGGGAGGTTTCTGCTCGTATTGGGTGGGAGAAATGATTTTACAGGATTGCCTATTATTATCTTTTAATTTTTGCAAGTTGGACAGGGTGGCAACCCAGTGTGTATTCGTTTTTGGTTTTTGTCTATTTCTCTTTGCTGTGAAAGGAACAAGCACTTGTGAGGTAGTCATATTATTAACAATCCTCCGTTTGGAAGGCAATATAGTAACTACACATGGTATAGGAACACAAGCCACACAGAGATGTCAGATTATAGACTTGGGGTTCATCTGCATATTTCCTTATATTCATTATGTCTGTGTGGTTCCTTGCATCATTTCACACACGGCATGCTGTACATCAAACAGGCGGCTACGGGTCAGCCTATGGTACAGGTAGATAGACAAGACGTAGCTTGAATAGCTACAACAGGATAAAAAAAGTACAGTATCGTCCATCATGTTATGCACTCTCCATAGATGTCAGAATCCAGCCATATACCGGGTATTCGATGAAATTGTCTAACATCCTGAAATGACTACAAATATTCTGTACATATATGCTGCAATAGTTGATGGCAGCAGTAGTCCACATATGCATGTGCATGACTAACCACTGCGCTGCACATCATGCATCAAGCAAAGTTCCTATGCATTGACCGATCTACTCCCCCTCACGATATAAGGGATGGGGATACAGTGCCGTTCTCATTGTGGTCTTGTTCAGCACATGGCAAGACACCATGTCTGCCAGCAGGGAAAAGTTTAGAACGAAGCAGAACTTCAATTTCGGTTCATTATAACAGCACATGGAACGCTACCCGACCCCATCTGACTGGACGGTTGACAACGCGAGAGGGGAATACTGCGATGAAAATGGAAATATCTTTTTGTGGGATACTGTCGAGAAAACACAAAGACATAATAGGTGATAAAAATTTCATCCCGGAGATCCCCAAGTCTCTCGTATTCTCCCTGTTATCGTCATGTTCATGATAATGGGCGTAACAGTATGCGCCACCGATACCACCGCTATTATCAGATCCAGCAGAGTCAGCCCCCGGCCGCGTCCATTCCCCCCTCCACACCAATTTTTCACCAGAATCAGTCCTTGCTCGCTTAGTTCTTGCTCTTCTTGGGACCCTTGGTCTTGGCGGTTCCGCGGAACTTCTTGGAGCGGTTCTTCCGTTGCTTGCCTGTATGTGGAAAAGAGATACGTTAGCCAGCTGTTCAGTGTGTCCGACGCCTCTATCCGCTGTATTTCTTCCTTCTAGAAAGGCCATCTCATAGGGGGCTAATCGTGTCAACATACGCTGCTGTCGGCTGGGCTTCTCAATCTTGTTGGCAGCACCGATGCGGACGAGGCGGTAATGAGGCTCGAATTTCTTCAAGGCCTCGTGGGAATCGTAAACGAGGGCGAAGCCAGTGCTCTTGCCACCACCGTATTGAGTGCGGAAACCGAAAACGGAGACCTGGTCCTTGTTGGACTTGTAGAGGTCGGCAAGCTTATCACGGAGCTCATCCTTGGAGACATTGGCGCGGTTGGGGTGGAGGACATCCCTATATTGATAAAAAGAAACTTATTAGACGAATGCTTTTTATTCCTTTCCATCATATCGCTGCAGATTTTGTAATCGAAATGGTCCTCCATCTGAACTTTTTTTCCCGGTGATTTTTTTTTTCTTTTAAAAGACCAGCAAACTGCTCCGCTCCTCCTATATTTTCCAGTAGCATAGCCGCAGGGAGGGATTCTCTTACACGACCATCTGCTTTCTGCCGAGCAGGGGGTTGCGGATGAACTTGCGTGTCCGCAGGGTGATGGGAGTATCGGCCATGATTGCGATCAGATGTGACGACGGGAGAATGAACGACCAACGGCGAGAATCTGCGTCGAGAAAGGCAGATACTCGAAAGGGACGGTAGGAGAGAGTTGGGGGGTTGTCGAAGTCGCTGTCGTCGATGCCGGGGCTCGAGACCTTCAAGACGGATTTTTGATGGTGTTCCGTTGTGCAATTCCCTGTGGGCTCGGCTAGGACTTGGCGCTAGCCACTATTGGTATAGCTCCATGTCACCTGCCTGACCCCGTCGAACTTCCGACTTGGGGAATAATTCATGTTCTCCATTCCTCCACTTCCAGAAAAAGCAGAACTATCCTGATGGCTTACTCTGCACTCGGTGAGTCTCCCATCGACAAGCTGGTCTCCCAGTACTTTCAGCAGGTTGATCCCCGCGATCTGGATCTCCCACATGGAAATGCTATCGTTCAGCCGGCAGTACAGAGGGCTGTCTACGAGCGCATGTTTAATGAGACTGCTCTATGGCCCCTGCCCCCAGTGGGCTATCGTGCTCGTGTCTTGAAGATTATTTTGACTCGAATTGAAGAGTCCATATCGAATCCAGAGGAGGATGTATGAACACCCTCAATATGCTACTTTTGTCTTTTTGGTGTGTTCTATGATGTCCAGGGCTGCATTGCCCATCTTGTGGTACAATTATATGAATGAATATATAAAAAAAGCGCAGATTCAATTTATGATTCACCTACGTCATTCATTTCGCCTTCTCTGACTATCCTTTTTCTTATTCTTTTAGGAGATCTTGGATGATCTCATGGAATGCTGGAGTGACCTCCTGGCCCAACCAAAGCCCTCCTCCCTGCAGCAGGCCCAACAATTGGCATACATCAAGTACACAGCTCCCCAACTCCATTCCCAGGTGGACCAGGAATGTCGCACCATTATCACATCAGAATCACGAGGCTTGATTCTCTCGTCCGGCACGACGGGGTTCCGCACGTGGGAGGCTGCTTTACATCTGGGAACCTTCCTTTCTACTCCCTCTGGCGAGGCTCTTGTGCGCGGGAAGAAAGTTCTCGAGCTTGGGGCCGGCACCGGTTTTTTGTCCATGTTCTGCGCCAAGTACCTTGGTGTACATCGCATAGTGGTTACAGACCGCGAACAAGCCTTGATAGATAGCATCCAAGACTGCGTGGTTCGCAATGAGCTGGATCAGACCACCATTACTCCTGCTACCTGGGAATGGGGAACTCCACTTGAATGCTGTCCTCCGGGCTCTGAGAGTTTTGATGTCGCGCTAGGCGCTGATCTGGTATGATAAAACATGCACGCGTTGAGACCTAGCATTCGACAATCGCAGAATAGATGCGGGTGAAATGGGGGAGACGTTTCATTGACCTTGGCTTTTAGATTTACGACGTTGACCTCGTCCCTCTTCTCATATCTACATTGCACGACCTTTTCGACAATTACCATGTCAAGGAATTCATCATATCCGCCACGCTTCGAAATCAGGATACTTTCAAGGTTTTTCTCGACAGTTGTTGTGGGTTCTACTTTTCCTCTCCAGTTTGGCTGACAGGGCTAAGTATTGTTCTCCGTATGCTGACGAATCTCTGCAGATACTAATGGTTTCAAAGTCGAATGTGTCCCCTTTGAATCTCCTTCGCAGGACTTACAGACTGGCTTCTTCCATTCTAACTCCATTCCCATCCAGACGTACAGAATATCGTCACAGAAGGGCTTGTCATGACTGAGATTTGGCTCTGGAAAGACGGGAGAGAGGCCAGTTCTTCGAAATACAATGAAGAGCATATTGGATGCACAATTATTTGCATTATCAGCGTCAAACACGAGTGGATAATGGATAATATAATATTCAGAAAAAAAAAAAAAAGCGGGCGATGGATCTGATCCACTGATCCATCCAACCTATCCAGAGGTTAATAATCAATCCCACATATAACACAAAGTATTAGATCTCATATTAAATGAACGACCGACCAACTCCGGTAATATGCATGTTGTGTATGAGAACGCACAGGCATAGGGTATCATCACATGACAGAAACGACCAGCGGAAGCAAATGGGAAAACAAGGGAAACAAATGCAATTTCGCTCGCTCCACCAAAGATGCTACTTGACAAAGGGGAAAAGAACTATCGCCAGAGTATATTCCAATGTTGCCGTCCCCGAAAAAGGAGGGTATACAATAAAAAGCAAAAAAAAGTCAAAGCCCAGATAGAAGTCAAATAATGAAAAATCAAAATATTGAAACACCAAGATATGCAAATGCAATAGATGATGAAAGATGCCGTCTATAACGAGGAAGGAAAAGAAAATAAGCGAGAGACCCTCAAAAAAGAAGGAAAGAAGGAAATCGTTATATACGCAGGATCCATCTAAGTCTCAATTGAATCCTGAAACACACCGGTTATCAGTAGACAAGCCAGAATGCCATATTTTGGCCTCTCTTGGATCTACTCGGCCAGACTCTCCCTCAACAAATCCTTATCAACCGTCTCCGGTTGAACAGAAACAGGGGCGCGAGGGGGTGGCCGCAGTCCCAGTATGGGTCCCTTCTGATTAACACCAGGCGACCTGAACTTGAAGGCAAGAGGAGACGGAAAAGAAGGAGAGGTGGTTGTGCTCGCCGCAGACCGGGACGTCGGATTCGCGCTTGAGGAAACAGGAGTCGTGCCCCAACGGCCGCGAACCCAGCCGCCGACGCGGCTGCTTAGAGTAGATGACTTCCGAGGAGTATGATTCGCAGTGGAAGTGTCCGTTGTGGCGCTTTCTTCTGACACGACGGATAAAGCATCGGAATGTGAACTGTTACTCGCCGCAACAGACGCAAGGAGTGAGCGGGAGGACCGATTGGAAGTTGAGGGAAGGGGCCCTATATCGGCCGTTACGTTGGTAGTTGATATGATGGGTGGGGTGGAGAGTTCTTCCGCAGTAGGGGAAACGATACGATGAGGGGCGAGGAGCGGAGGAAGCAAATTGGACTGCCAATGCCAATTGCCCAGTCGCGAATTTCGGTCGACCGGAGTATGGATGTCCATTCCCGAGACGGAAAGGAGGCTATCGTGGGAGCTAGCTTTCCTGATCGAACGAGACGGTATATTGTCACGGTAACTACTTGGTCCTTGCTCTGTCTTCCCCAAATCCGGACTGGGCATATCTTCCGACTCTTCTGGAATGACAGGTGGCCCAGCATAATTTTCTTGGTAACTTAGATCTTTGTTCTCCAAGTTCTCGAGACACCCATCCGTAGACCAAGGAACTCCTGAGCGGGTGAGGGTGTCCACAGAATCTGTCCTATGCCGGACGGACCGCAGTAGAGGGGAGGAAGGGAAGACGGAGCTTTCAGGGCTCGTAGGTTGAGAGGATTCGAATCCACGGTCCATCCTGTCGAAGAGCGAGGAGGCCCTGTACGCGGACTGCGGAGAGCTTGCCATTGAAGAGTCAGCCTCTGGCGGGATGGATGCAGAGGTTTGAGACAAAATGGTCGAAGCAGAAGAAGTAGAACCATGAGCATGGTGGACCGATCTGCGCACTAGGTGCGCCCCTGAGGCGGAATGTAATGCAGATTGACTAAATGATAATGCTGGCAGCCTCCTCTTTGCACGGCGACTGGGTATCCTCGCCTTCGGGGCGGGTGCCGGTGACGGTGCGTGGTAATGGTGATGGATATGGACCTCTTGCGATACCCTACCAGACTCCATCGACCGAAGTTCATCGCTCAAAGTTGTTGCTGGTCGGTCCTGCTGCATATCGTCCAGGGCAGTTGCAGTAGCAGCTGTTTCCATACCTAGGGGCTGATGCGACGTGATCTGGTCTCGGAGTTTCTCGACCTCCTGGTTGGAGTTCTCCAGCATCTCCCGCAACTCCATGATCCCCATCTGCAGATGGGTATTGTCTTGCAGAATATCACGGACGAAGCTCGATACCACGGAAGAACTAGCCTGATTCCTGCGAAGCCCCGAAGCAGCAGCGGCACCCTTGAGTCGGCCCGCAGCATTATCAAGTTCGCGTTCCACTTTCCTTCTCCGTTCCATGCGCTGGATTAGCTCCGTATGTCGCTCCCTTTCTTCGCGCGCCTCCTTCTCAATTCTATCCACCTGGTCATGGAGATCCCGAAGGGTAGTCTCAGCATGCTTCCACCGCTGCATTGCAGTCCTTTCGTCATCCCTCGCGGACAGCAGCTTTGCGTGCAACTTGATCTGCTCAGCTTCCATCTCATTCAATTGCATTTCCAGCTCGGCAGCACGATTAGCCGACACAGTCAGCTTACGCAGTTCAAGCGTTGCGCTGTCCAGCGCCAACGATAACTCCTTCACCTGCGCATCAGACTCTGTGACAGCCTTATTTAGACCCTCCAACTGTGCCAGCAGCGTGCGGTTCTCCTCGACAATATGTGCATTTTCCGCCTGGGCCTGGAGTCTCTCGCACTCTAAACTGTCGATACTAGCGACTAAGCGCTGACGATCCTCTTCCGCCTCAGCCATGTAGGATTCATGACGATGAAGGAGGGCCTGACCCAACTTAGCTGCCGTGTCAAGATCCCTCTCCAACCCCTCAAGCGCGGCATTATTGTACTCCAAAACTGCACAATCCGTCCTTCCACAGCAACATTTGAGTTCCACAGGTACCGTCGACGAGAGACGCTGAGGAACAGGGAAAGGAATAGTAACCGTCGCATTTCGACTAGGGGTGTCATGGTCTGTACGAATGGCGACAATACCGATATCGTTACGGTATGCATTGGCACCAGGATCAACGTCGGGGTTCTTGAACTTCTTCCCTTTCTCATCCTTGCTCTCCTTATCGCCAGGATCAGGGTCAGGATGATCGTGCAGGGAATCCATGTTCACCGTTTCGGGACGATTAATAAACGGTAATAGCGTTGAACAGTAGAGGGACTAACGCCGGTCGCGGTGATACCGTATGAAAGTGTTGCTTTTGCTTGTGGGTGCTGGCAGTGACACCCTTGAGCTGTTTTTGACGGTGAGAACCATCGAGTTTCTCGTCGAACCACGTCAGGACTGGGGCTTAATTAGTATTATTGGATTAGACGATGGAGGGGAGACTAGGTATTATGGCACAGAAACAAAAAAAAAAAAAAAAAAAAGACAGAATAAAATAGACAGACGAATGCACAGAGCCGGTGATAGCGACTAATTAATTATTGGCGATGACGAAGAACTCAAGTTCGGCCTAAAACGGCGAACACGTGGAGATCCATGTCACCAGCCATTTCAGCAGCTTCACTCTGTGTCTATATTGAACTGTCAATTCCATTCATGTTACATACAGATGCCTGTGTATATGACCAGATGGATGATGGCAATTTCAGAGGGACAACGTATAAATAAGTAAGAACGTGCCAGACTCCTTTGCCGACGCCGAAAAGAAACGAATGGAGTGATCCCAGTCTCTCGTACTTCAAATGCATGTACATACCCGCAGTCAACCAGTCAATAGATGGATAAAAAACAAAGATAATAACAATAATAGTAATAACCCGTCAATCTTGGCTGGGAAATTCAAAGCAGGAAATCATCACTGATATTGACAAACGCCCCAGCGCCTCCCTCTTCACTGATTTCATTGACCAACGCCTCCGTCTGCTGGTATAGCCGTTCCAGAGCGGCTGATGATGATTTACCAAGCGACACTAGAAGGGAAAACACACGAGCATTGTCAGTGACATGGGGGAGAAAGAACACACGCAGCACGGTGCTCACCTAATATAGCCGAGTTTAACTCCTCTGCAACGGCAACCCGTCCAGCTGGATCCAAATAATGGCCATGAACCGACTTCTTCGGGTCTGGGTATGCAACTAGCGAGAAAATATCATCCAGAAACTTCTTGTCGCCTCCGTTTTCATCCGACGGGTAATCCATCCGTAACTGTTGGCCATACTGCACAGCCTCCGTGATAAGCTGATGGAATCTGGCTGTTGCGTCGAGTTCCTCCGTATTCATCCCATCCCCATTTCCCTCCCAGTCATGGCCATCGCCGTCGTGCATCTGCTCGTCCAACTCCATTTCTTGGTCAAATACCGCACTTTCCTCAGTTATCCCATTCGAAGACTTCCCTTGTTTAGACGCCGCCACCGACAGATCGTTGCATTGTCGCATCATCTCGAGGAATTTCCGGCATCGGAGCTTGAACTGTATCTGAGGGTTGTCTTGTAACACGTTTGCGTAATATGCGTTAGTGTACTTGAAGGCTTTGTCAATATCACCTTCCAGTATAGCCGCCCGTATTTCTGTTCAATAACTCCTTAGCATTTGAGAGCCGAAGCGTTGAAAATGTTGTGAAAGTAGTAAATATACTGGATCTACTTACTCTGTCTGTTAATTGCATCCACATCCTCCTCCACTTCATATCTCTTCAGCGGCTCCTCGCCACCCTTTTTCAATGCCACAGACTCCATAGCTACCTCTTCAGCAAATGCTCGTGCGGTTTCAACATAGCCATCGTGGGCTAGAAACTGCGCAACCAATTCATGTAGTAGTGTGCTCTCATCTAACGGTGGCTGTAAATTTGCTGCGCTTGATGCATTTATCTCGCGGCGAATGATATGCTTCTCATTCTATAAAACAGGTTAGCATTCGATCACTGTTATTTTGAGTAGATTGGAGATGATAGAAGACACAAATGAAACACACCCTGACCATGCCGTCTATATCGAAGATGAACGGCCGCTGTCCAAAATTCGCAATCAAATGCACACCGGGCTGTTTCTTAACTCCTATTGACGGGAACAGCTTCACGTTCTTCAAATCCCGAAAAGCGTTTCCTAGTTGGTTTTAACAGACGCCGGATCAGCTCGCGCTCCCTCTGACAGTTCAAAAAATACAGTCTTACCCAGAAGGTCACCATTCTTCGTGAAGAAGGCAGATCCTGTGGAGAAGTTCACTCCGCATCCGATGGTATCATGCACACCAAATGTCTGTCCGTACGCACGACCTTGCCCCGGGCTCTCGCCGGAGAAAGTCTTGCCATCGTCACCATGATAGGCCCATGATTCTTGCTCCCATCCGGGGAGTCTCTCAAGGGACGCTTTGTTGCTGGCGAATCCAACGGCAATCATTCTAGTCCTGGAGTCAGCATCTCATGGAGCGAAGAGAAAGAGAGGGAAGAGGGAGATAGAGAGGAAGGAAGGCTGCGATTTAAGTGACATCTTCCAGCCTCTGTGTATAAACGTACCCTTCCTTTGGTTTAGACAGAATAGTAATTTCAAAATAGTATATTCCGCACTGAGGGGGCATTGGATGGTCGGCCCGGACAGCTGCAGCTTCCTGGTCACTTTTGTTGACCGGACCCATGTACCGGACCTCAAGACCCGCATTTGCCAACTCAAGCCCATGATGTTTCTCCGTCTCACTCCAACACGAGGGCAGTGGCATTGGGTGACGGTGGTGATGCTCATCGTCGTCGCTGGGAGGGGGTTTCTCTATGATATCATAGGTCATCCCGCGGTGGGAGGGTGCGATGCGGTGCGTAGCCGAGGAGGGAAACGGAGGATTCGGTGATGGAGAGGAAACAGCATCTCGCTGAGCGGCTAGTTTTGCTCGGTGGGAGGCTTCCAGCCGCGCGATATACCGGGAGTTGCGTAGGTATGAAGGGGTCAGGAAAGTATCGGGGTCGGAAGCTGGGCCATGAAAGAAATCATCGTAACGGGGGAGACTGGTGAACTTGCGGGAATAAGAAGGGAGAGGATCCCTAGCAGGCGTCCTCCAGGGTGAGTTCACCTGCATGTCTGCATCAATGCCGGATGAAGGCCTACGTAGGCGGCTGTCGGAGCTGAGGGGCGGGGGATACGAGGAAGAAGAGGCGAGAAGATGTGAGAGGGCGCTGTTAGTGCTGGCGTTATTGTTGCTGCTGTTGCTTTGCGATAACAAGGCGGTCCCAGACAGGACCGAAGCGTACGAGGAGCGACGTGGAACAGACGAGATGCTTGGACCAGGATACGAGGTTGTCGGAGTAGCTCCCCCTCGAGCTCCACCAGGGACGTTGGTCATGCTGGCGTCGTTGTCGTCGTCACTGATAGGAGGGAGCCGTCCAGGCGCCGTGAATCCCAGCTGGGCGTGTGATACCTTGACACGCGGCTTGCACCAGCTGTAGGCTACTCTCGTATAGTCAGGTCAGTCGGTGGATGTCTCGTTACCCTCGCTACCTGGGGGATTGAATTCGATGGGCGTGGGCGTCAAAAGGACGGGCGGGAGGTGCTGGAGCAGACAGGTTTCACGGCTGGAAGTGCCCGCAATGCACGCGGAATCCCAACACAAGAAACATGAAAAAGAGGAAAATATAACTCAGCTCCACGAGCGAAGAAAGGTCATTAGGATTGATGTTCCCGAGCGCGCAAAGACGTGTCAGTGCCAGGATCCGGACGACGGCTCTGCGGGGAAGAACAGCTAGACGGAGGGGAGACGTTCGACCACCGTTTGCGTCCAACTGCAGCAGCGGCCTGGGGACGATTCCGGTTGTCTGTCCTGTTTCTTGTCGATGCTGGTGTTCGCCGTCTCTGTTGTGAATTCCTCTTCTGTCCCTTGGTCGCCTGACACAGGGGATATGCTAACTACTAGTAGTGATGGACAGTGCTCTCTTCTTCCATCGAATCCATCCATTTGTACGGAGAATTCTGTCTCTTTTCCCCACGCCTTTTTTGAACTTTCAACTGGTCTTAAATGCAAGAAGTCCTGCTATCATTTCAGCAGTGTCTACGGATGTTACTTGTGTGCCACTCGAAGCCTGAACAGCCACTGGCATGCAGCCGTAATCCTCTACTCGTTGTACAGCTGAACCACCCAGGACCATAACTATGCCATCTGACGTGATTTGACGGTAGAGATTGTAGAAAAAGGGCCAAGGATTCAATGGCCAAGCTTCGACAGTTATCCCGAGAGACTGATGCCCGAAAAATGCTGAATTCAAGAGAATCTGCCATGACCAAAGATGTTCTTCCTTCAGTTTCCCACACGTGTGTAAAAGCCAATCCAGTCCTAACCGTACAAGTAGAAGATACCTCCCAAACGTTAACAGGAGAAGAAAAAAGAAAGAAAAAGGAAAAGAAAAAAGAGACCAGCAATAGCTGCAAAAAGCAAGAGATCACGGAGAAAGAAATCCTCAAGGACAACAGTCTTAGGGTATTGTATCACATATGCAGCGTCGCAGAAAGCAGACGCTTTTTTCTTTTGCTCCTCCTAGTCCAGCCTCGGCGTGGGACTTGATACCCCGAAAGAGCAGAACCAACAAAACATTTAATCCATGAGAAATCAGACGCCGGAAACCAGGACCCAGCAGAAACAATGAGGAACAGAGAGTAATAATGTACATGATAGAAAATCGACAGCACCGGACCCGACTCTCGCGCAATCGGTCGAATTGACCGAGTTAAAGAGTTGATAGCATATGCATTCGAACAAGTCAAGCACCGATTGAAATAGCAGGAGGAGATGACTCCATGTTTGAGGGAAATGGCGTGACGTCACCATCGCCCGAGTTACTCTTCTCGCTGGGGATTGCACTGGGGACTGCACTAGGAATAGCACTGAGAATGACGCTCTCCGTATTGTTATTGGCTTTGCTGTCAACACCAGCCTCAACGACGACTTCTTTGTTTTCGTTATTCTCATCTAGCTTCTCTGCTTTGGGAGTCCGCCACGTCGGGAGCTGCCAGACGACACCGGTGAAACTTTTCAGCTGCAGAGGTTTGCGCTCCCACCTACGGCAGGGAGCGCCAGAACGGTCGAGAGCACGTAGACCAGCGTTTATAGCGCCAGTGTTGGCTTTGGGGCCCAGTTTATGAGATGAATGTGGTATTCTGGGGGGATGGTCATATGTCCCGTCGTCGCTGTTGGATAAAAAAAATAAAATGTCAGCGTCTGCAAACCAAAAGAGAACAACACGAGGGGAATGCGATGAAAAGATATAGGACAAAAACAGATGGTCGGAACGTACAGTTTAGACTTCTTCTTTGGACCTGGCTTCCCTCTCGGCTTGGGCATCACATCGCTGCCTCTCTTAGCTCCAGGTTTCGGGCCAGGAACACCCCTCCGGCGAGGAGTCTCGGAATTTGCGCCGGGAGCCGGGGTGGAGGCCGTATCAGAGGCGTTGTCGGCTGACAATGGTAGCACCGCAGGGTCGGCAGAAGATGAGGCAGGAGAGGAGCGTTCCTTATCCTTGCTGGGAGTGCTGGGATTGCTCTCCTTGATGCCGGGAACGGTAACAGGAAAGCGACGGAGTAGGTTCGATGGCACCTTGAGGACGAGCACCAGGCTCTTGGGAGTTGTGCCCCCAGACCGGCTGGAGCGGCCGTTGGCGGCCGTTGTTGCGGAAGTAGAGGCTGGCATTGTGTTCGTGTCGACGCGAAGATGGTGGTCGACGATGGGAAAGAGAATTATATAGGATCCTCTAGATCCTCTCCGTTCCTTTTCTCTTTTTGTGGTTTATTCTATCTTTAAGTCTTTGTCCCTGACAGTTTGGCGTCGAACGCGTTTGTGGTAAGTAACCAGCAGCAGTGGTGGTAAGTGAATGATGAAATAGGCAGCGAAGTCGAGTTGTTGATATGAAGTGCGTCAATGACTCGTCAGGTTTGGTGGTTCGCACGACGTCAAAGCGGCGGGAGAGTCTGGTTCAGGGCGAGGCAAAAGTCCTGCTGGGCGACTGGAGACTAGAACTGGCCAGGGGAGGATATGACATAGTCCGGATAGCTGGTGAGGCTGGACAGAGAAATGGCGGGTGGAAAGGAGGAGAGGAGGGAAGGAGGAGACGGAAGAAAGGGGAAGGGGAAGCGAAGGACGGTGAAGTGTTCCCTGGGGACATTATTATGGGGGGCGTAATAATAATCTTATTATTGATTGTGGTGGTGTTTTCTCGTCTATTCTTCTTGGATGGAAGAGAAGTCAAGGGACGCTGCAGGACGGCGAGCTCTGCCTGCCCCCGGCGCGGCGTCACGTACCGTCCTGACGCGCCATTACACCGCCTTTCTGCTGCGTTTCATACCGCGACATACACGCTGCGTACTGTCAGTGACCGTATCTGACAGTACGTGACAGAACGCTTGCTCTGGCAGTGATTACGTAGTCATGTGATCTGCCCTTCTTTCTTTGGCCTCTTCTTTTCTTCATCTCACAATTCTATCCAGGAACGCGCTTCATCCTGCTGCATCCTCTGCCATCGCAGGCTCTGATGCGCTACTGTCATGCTGGTGGTACCAGCACACGTCGACGTGCAGCTGTTGCCCCCCTTTCCATCTGGACGTATCGATCATCCTATGTATGGATCGCCCGTCCCGCCGGTCAACCGCAATCATTAGATAGACTTTTCTCTGTCTTGCTTCCACAGTTTCCGGGCCTCTGCTGCTTCGTGTGTTTGATTACGGCGAATACACGGAGTATTACGGAATACATGCAGGTTGCATCATCAGCCTTAACAGTAAGAAATATATATAGATGCAAGGGGATTACGATTATCATCACAGACAAAGGAAAGAGGGTATAGAAAAAAAAAATTAATCAAAAGACAAGAAAAGAAACGTATCAGCCGGCGGATCCGTCAATCACGATTTACCTCCATGCTTCATTATTGATCAATTCCTCCGTACCGTTCCACGGCTTGGCTCTATTCGTCCGTGACGCCAGCTCAACCTGTGGATGAAGAAAGGCCTCGTCCGGTTCCGACGAAAATTTCGGATAGGTTTCCCTTGTTACCCGTCCATCGTCATAAGACGGGTGTCTCTTGACTCTGCCAATCCTATAGAATGTACGATCTCTTGCCGAAAACACATGTACGTTTCCAAGGTTGATACACACTCGGTGAATGTGATGCATAGTGATGCATAGAAAGCATCGCAAATCATCAGTCTACATGTGGTATTATCCAGCAAAAGGACCAAAACAGACCTGTCCTTGGCAAACTACGACTTCACTGGACATTGTCATTGATCAACAAGGAAAGGAAATAGACACAAGCCCGCGACCTCAGATTAGGGCTTACTACTTCCAAAGCTGGCGGACTTGTCAGGGATATACAAAAATTGTTTAGTCCGCCTCGCCATTCTTCTTTTTCCCATGTTCAACCACTTGCGCTACAGCCCGTTGCACTTCAGGGCTCGCCTTTACACTGCTTAGGACTAAGCCCTCCTTCATCCCCTTGCGGAGCGCGTTAACACTCTGTCGATCTCCCCGGAACGGTGCAAACCCCAGTTGCACCAGCCGTGTTGCTTCGGCATCCGTAGCTCGGGCCAGTTGCATCAGCTGTCCCAGGCACTGAACCGTTTGTGGGGATAGTTGTTCCATCGAAGTCTTTGAAGCCCCGGTGGGCGCTATCTGCGAAATGAATATGTGCAATGTGACCGAAACGCGGCGAGCGAGAGCTGAAATCTGAAATGGCAGAAGATAGAAGCTGGGTTGATCGACAGAGATATGAAGTAGGTTTCGCAGTCCCTCCGGAAGAAGAGCATCTGGAACAAACAGTGCCCGTGGATGAGTGATTAAGAAGAGCTCGAGCGTTATAAGAGCAAAAAAGGTGTAGAACCGCCACTGGAGGAATTTGTTCAGAAGGTCAGCCACGGTCACAGGTTCTTCAAAAAGGTGGAAAAAACAGGCACACATACATAGCGACCCCAATCTGACCACCAGACGAAATTTAGGATAACCATGGTCAAGAAGCCTCCAATGTACTGCACGGCCAAAGTCTTTAGCGACCCATACACGAAGTCCTGCATTGTTTTCCGATCATTCCAACCAACAATATCAGGACCAAATCTATCGTATGCAAATCTCTTTGTAGGGTCCAGAATCGTATCTTGCGCCATCTTCAAGAACACAAAGTACTGGTCTGCCCCCTCAGCACTATCAGTGTGTGCTAGCTTATCTGGGTGATGCATTGTTGCAAGCAGCCGAAAGCGAGACTTGACTGTTCTGTTGTCTGAAAGGGGGGAGACTCCAAGAACACGGTAGAAGTCGCCCCTTAGTTGGATCTGGTAGAAGGCATCGTAAAGTGTATAAAGGAGGTAGCTCGTTATGACCAGGATGAAGATGCGCCGACGATGTCGGTAGTATCGGGGAGAAGGAGGCTGGGGTCGAGGATCCCCTGCACGGATTGTAATCCCATAGTAAATGTTCTGAAGGATAGAAGTCGCATACTAGATGTAGATAGAGAGTGCCATGTCAACGTAACTTCTTGCCCATGCGAAACGACCCTTTGTCGCATTGTTGGCACGTAGCTTGCAGCTCACGCAATACTTACATTTGGGAGGACTGCCCACCCTATATAAGAGAGAATCGACGACATGGCACCGTCCAGACTCGCTCGCCGAATATCCAGCACTGCATCGAAAGACGAATGGCAGAATGAATGAATCGCTAGTCTTTTCTTCTTTCAAAGAAGAGCGACCTCCGCGCGTTGTTTTCGGGCATAATTCTGTGTCCTTTCACCGCCTTCGTCACCGCCATCTTATTCCGCCAACCGCAAAAAAATGCTTCGTAAAGAAAAAGTTTCTCGAAAGGTGAAGCTGTTGATGTGCTGCAAAGACGAGGAGAATTCCGTCTCCAATTATACACACTATGGACATTAACTCAATTCCGAACGATACATCAGTCAGCGGGCTGGACAGGAAACGCAAACACAAGCATAAGGACCCCTCTTCACCGTCGAAGAAGCGAAAACACATCGAGTCCAGTTTGATCGCGGATCAAGCCAGTCCGCAGGACAAGAAGAGCAAGAAATCATCCAAGGAGAAAAGGAAGAGCAAACATGGAACATCCTCTGAGATTGCATCGTCGAATTCAATCTCGTGTTCACCGTTCAGCCTGACCACAGCAACGCTCTATCTCCCTCTGCCACCTATTTCTCTCTCCCCTACACATGCCCTGGCATCGCTTCTGGCGGAACACCTATCCCCGCTCCTCCTCACTTACTATCCCCCCTTGAAGGGGATTGTTCTAGCATACTCGAATGCATCGATATCGGAAACCCCGCCGACGAGACCACCATCTGATGCCCATGACCAAAGTGATAACCCCCAGCCCTTGACTCTCGCAACCGCCGCAAACGAGTATGGCGTTCTCTACATCTACCTGACTGCAACCTTCCTGGTGTTTCGCCCACAACGTGGCCAAGTGTTGGAGGGACTAGTTAATGTGCAATCGGAAGGATTTTTGGGCGCAGTTGTCTTCAATCTCTTCTCCGTCGGCATAGAACGGAAAAGACTCCCAGCAAACTGGAAATGGATCCCTCCAGGCGAGGAAGACAGTGGGAAGAAGAAAAATAATTCGACAGAGGACGGAAATGATGACTCCAACTCCTCTTCTCCATCGTCCAACTTCGACCCTGAAAAGGAATACTTCAATCTTTCTGCCTCCCCGGATTCGGATGGCGTCGATACTCTCGGTCAAGACCCATCCTCTGAAGGCCCCGACGAGTCTGCTGCGGGATACTTCCAGTCAGTGTCTGGCCACCGCGTCCGCGGTACGGTTCGATTCCGCGTCGTCGATATAGATGTTATCCCTGGTTCTGAACGGGATCGCGGATTCATCAGCATTGAAGGCACAATGCTATCACCCGAGGAAGAAATGGATGTTGTCAGTGATGAGCGCAATGGAGTCCGGTCATCTTCTGTTACCCCAGGACGTCGTGAACGGTCCAGCTCCGTGACGGGTTCCTTGGCCGAGTCAGCATCGACCCATCAAGACCATGCAACTGGAGAATCACAATCACCAAGCAAGAAAGGATCCAAGGATTCTAAGGTCGGCGATGAAAAGGACAAGGAAAAGAAGCGCAAATCCAAGAAGAAGGAGAAGGGGAAGGAGAAATAATGTCGCATGTATTTTGAGTTAAGAAGAAATTTCCCTTTATTATCGATTGACAATTAGCTTCACAATCTGTTTCGGAATTTTATTTACGCTTGTTGATTACTTGCATGCTTCAGTCAATGTCTATGCTTTCTCTTTTCCTGCATGAATCGTCTTATCTGGGGTTAAAATATGGGTATTAAAAATTTAGTGGAAATTATTTCCTTATTACTGGTGCAGAATTGCAGTATACCTTGGGCTATTGAATGTATGCATATGTACTGGTAGTTGTGCGGGAATGAAAAAGCTCATGAAACCAGTGGCTTCTATGAGCAATATATAAATGCACCATTACATAGTGAGTATACACTAAATAATTCAGAACAAGAAATTATATCTAGCCGACGATATTGTCCCAATAAAATTAAATCAAAATCAATTCGCCATATTCTCAAGCAATATTCTACCCAAAAGGGTGTTTCTAGTTGTGAGCCAACTCGTAGGATAAATGCTTCAGATTCTGTTCTCAACAAACTGCCATACTACTTATTCCTTGCCACCTAGTTGCATATGCAAAGTGACCATTGATATATTAGATCTTCACAGAACCAGGCACATCAACTGTCAAAAGATCAATACCCGACTCAATTTGCGACCTAGTCGGCATATTCCCCCTCCTCATCAACTCCGCCGACTTAGCCATCAGAGGATCCATACCCATAGTAGCGACTGCAACGACGGTATCACCTTTGCAATAGAAGGCGGAGAACTTGGCATTCTCCGGCTCACCTTTCAGCACGAGTTTGTCCCAGCCGTTAGATGGGTTACCGCAGTAACGCAGCTGAGCACCCAGAGCAGACCAGAAGATGGGGACAAAGGCCTTGTATTTCAGGGGCTGGGAGGACTTGGAGGACAAGCTGTGGACGATAGTGCGGGCGACGCCACGGCCGGCATTCTGGGCCACGTTCCAGTGTTCGATGCGCACGGGGGTGCCCTTCCCCGGCTCCGCGCCAGGGCCGTGGTAAGGGTACGTTGCGATGTCGCCGATGGCGAAGACATCGTTGTTCAGACCTGGGACGGCGAAATACTCGTCTGTTCTGACAGATCCGTCCTTTTCAAGGGATATTTTGCCCTTGAGGAAATCCGTGGCGGGACGGATTCCAGTGCCCAGAATGACCAGGTCGGCAGGGAGGACGCTGCCGTCCTTCAGGTGAACAGCGCCGACATTGCTGGGGTCGGACTCGGAGGGTGTAACTTTGGCTACGCTGGTACTCAATTTGAACTTGATACCGGCCTTCTCCAAATTTCGCTGGAAGATGCGGCCGACTTCTGCTCCCATAATGCGTTCCATAGGGGCGCTCTCCATGCCGACGATGGTTACATCGTGGTCGCTGCCGAGTTTATTGCCAATCTCCATACCGATGAACGAACTGCCAATGATGACGACCTTCTTCCTCTGCCCTTGTCCCAGAGCCTTGACTATGTTCTGCGCATCCGGGATGGCACGGAGCAGGAAGATTTTCCCGAGTTCTTTCAGTCCCTCGACAGGAATCGTCAGTGGTATACCGCCGGTGGCGAGAACGAGCTTTGAGTACGGGAATGTCTTGCCGGACTTTGTAGAAACGCTCCTCTGGTCGAAGTCAACTGAAGTTACCTCATCGAAGACCGTATCGATGGATGCCGACTCATACCAATCCTTAGGCCGCCAGAGAAGCTGGTCGACATTCGTGATCAGCGCCTTGGACAGCTTGGTTCTGTCTATGATGAGGTTTGGTTCCTTCGAGATCACAGTGACGGAGCCTCTGAAATTCAGCTCGCGGATAGCCTGGATGAGGCCGAGTGTACCACTTCCACTGCAGCCAAGCGTTAGCCATCATCAATCTAGAAGAGAAACATGAAGAAAATAATGGACCATACGAACCCTCCGACTATAACCACTTTATGAGGATCCGAGACACTGCATTTCAGAACAGGGTCCCTCTGACCGAACCGAATAGCTTTCTCTTCACCGCGAATATAGACACCGTCATTTTTCTCGATGACCTCGAACTTATTCAGCGCATTCGGAGCAGGCGCATCTTCAACATCACCGCTATCGATACTGAAACAAGCTAGAGGCATACGAGAAACGTCAATATACGCCCCCTCACTCTCCGGAATAGACATAGAAAAAAAAAAAAAAAAAAAAACATACCTCCATGCCAAGGACAAGTGATCCTTCCATCTGGTGCCACCACACCTAACTTCAAGGGGGCTCCATAGTGCGTACACTTGGGACTCATAACATGCACCTGGCCATTGAAACGAAGGACGAGGACCTTGCCGCCCTCAACGCCTTCCACCTCAGACTCTATCTTGTCAAACGGCTTAATGTCTGACAGGGACGAAATGCCCTTTAGCTTATACTCTTGCACCGCAGCCATTGCTGCAATTGTGGGAGACAAGAGACGAGATCTTGTTGTGGAAAACGCGCGGGTTGCGATGGGCGTCGTTGTCCTTGGATACGTGCGCTTCGTGAAGTGGGACAATGACGGATGGACACAGCACGAACACGAACAGGTACTGGAGTTGCGACAGCCACAGCGGCACGAAGACCGGCTACTAGTGCTACGAGGGTGCAGTATGGAGGGGTAGCAGAAGCTGTTGACGTGGACAGGGAGCGCGCGGGGATGGGGCCGTAGCATAATTGTTCGGCCAGTCCGATCAGAAGTCCCTTGCAACTTGCAGCGTAGCCAGAAGAGCCCAACTCCCCGATTCTCTCGACAATAATAACTGCGATTCGCCCGGTTCAGCTATCAATAAATGATGTCATGTTGAGCGCATCCGCAGCGCCCAATCCGCCATGAATGTTTTGTCATATTCCGTCGGTTGAAGCTTATAATATACACTGTGGAGAATGAGATGCATGTCGCAACGCGAAAAGCAAGGAAAGCCGATAAATGCCGGCCAGAGCAAGGGATGAACAAGGCAATCCGAATAGAAGTAAGCAAGCAATAGAGCAAGGGTTGGAACTTGGTCAAGGATCATGCACGACTCTGGCCAATATAAGTAAAAACAAATCAAGTTCAACCCTAATGTCCCTTCTCACGCATGCGCTTCCGCAGTGAACTCCTCTTTTGCGGTGGACTAATACTCACCTCCTTCAGGGTCTGCACGCGTCGCATAGACGGCCTGGGATGTTGGCGACTAGCCGGTTTGCTCTTCTGCACCCAACCCGGTCCATTAGGAAGTCGGGGGGACTCGGTATATTCAGGATCACACTCTATTTCTAATGCAGGAGACGCCGGTGGGCTCGGCCCAGTAAGGTGCACGACTTCAGAGGTTTGGGTTGGGTTCAGTAGTGCGCTGCCTGACCTCCGGCTTTCTGTGCGGTCGCGCCTATCCGGTTGAGATCCGATTCCGATCATCTCCAGATTCGAGCCAGACGGAGAAGAACCCGCCTCAGAGGGAGACTGTGAACCGTCAGAGCCGTGACTCTCTCCATTCAATGACTGAGGAGAGCTTGTGACGGAGCGCTCGACATTGAATATTCCCAGCATGCGTTCGAACTGACTCAGGTTTCGTTCGGGGCTAGAGTCTCTCTGCCGGTTCTGGTCGGCGTCTTCCTCAGATGGCATAGGAGAATGGGGCGAGCTCTGCGCTGCGTCAACGGCGTTAGGTTTAAGGGAAGAAGAGCCAGATATTTCCCTGCTATCTTCTTTCGCATCGCCTGGGGAAGATGTGTTGTTGAGTATACCGCCTTGTTGGCCTTTGTCCACGCCTAACGTTGTATCTGGCGCTGGAGATGATTCGAATCCTACAAACTCTGGGGACCTGATTGCAACGGAATCGGAGCCTTGTTCGCTATCATCATGGGTGTTCCTCCGGCCATTATTGGAAACGAGTTCTATCCTATCGAGAACTTGTGCTGATCGGCCTGTATCCTGTATCTCTTGAACGGTAGACATGTTGTGACTATCGACTCTAGAATCAACTGTTGGCAGATTTCCCGCAGAATCTTGCGCATCGCAGGACCTTTTGTCCGGGTAAGCCCAAGAACACTACGTAAAAACGAAAACAAGAAATGAATAGAGAAAAGGAAATTAGTTTACCGACATGTCGACTCCTTGAGCATCTTCTGGCTCCGCAGCATCAGGGTCAGTACGAGCTGCAGGCCGTAAGAGTTTCGGCTCAATCAATTCTCCAAATGAAACTTCCCGGAAACCATCGTCCTCAGTCTCATTATCTTCATATCCCGGCATCTCAAATCCACTGTATTCACGGGGCCCATCCTCGTCAGCATTATCCACCGGCTTCATCCGGTCGCGCTTCGCAAGCCGGACCTTAGCCACACCATCCTCCAGAACCTCGTGGACCTCCGCGACTCGGTAATCGGATACCTTGGGTTGCCAATTCGTGGCTTTGGACATATCGAGTTGCTTATACGCAATGATTGACCCTAGTTTAATCTCGCTTTCCACAAGATCGGGGACCGAGCTCAGATCATCTGAAAGGACAGGAAGATCTTCCGAAGGAGATTTTGGAGGTTTACTATTCTGCTCAACTTCGATCGCATTGCCTGAATTTTCATCATCGTTCGTCTGCTCAGTGTCATCGTAGTTGAGTTGCACATCGCCATTCTCGTAGCCATTAAAGCCGTTTTCATAGTCTTCTTCCCAACTTTCTTCCTCGTAAATCCGAGCCCTGCGTCTCCGCTTTTTCCCCTTCCCCCGACCCTTGCGCTGTCTTATGATGCCATGCGCTTCAGAATCCCACCGTTGCTCAAATGGGAAGGGAGGCGCTGTCAATTCAATGTCATCGAAGATACACTCCGTGGCTTTGATAACCAACTTATCCTGCCAGTTGACCTCCAAGTCACCTTCGGCTTCGGGGGCGGAATCTGGTACAGACGATCGCCTCCTGGACTGGAAGTGGTTCGCTTTCCCTGCAAGCTTCTTCCGAGTAACCTCTTCCTCTTCCTTGGATCGAGGGGCCCTCACACCGAGTGACCCAAACAGTAATCGTTTGGAGCTTGCTAGGTCCAGCGTACGCCGTTTCGAAAGCTCAGATTCTAATCGAGCTTCTGCTTCATTGACTGGCTGAGCACCGACTTCTTCGGCAGTTTCGGTAGTCATTTGGGTATCCTCTTCAAGAGCAGGGGGTGAAACACGGTCTTCTTCAGAAATCCCATCCATGTCAATGCCGCCAGACTCCAATTGACGTAATAGTTTCTGTCTCTTTTCTTCAAATTCCTCCTGCTCTTTCTTTTTGGCTGAAGCTTCCGCGTACGTATCTTCGGTCCCAGGTGGCTTAGTTTCTGGTGGCTCATACCATCTCCCATTGGCAGATTCCCAAGCTCGCAACGCAGCGAAGTCTGCATTGGGAGGCAGAGCACCCAACTCCTTCAACTTCGACAATCTGCGCCGAAGTTTACAGCGTCTATTGTTTTTCTTCGTTCTCAATGAACCATTCCCAGGTGCGCTCGTTTCAGGACGTGGTTTTCCTTTTGAAACAACTGTAGGAACTGCTTCATCCTCTGATACTTCCGATTCAGACATTTCCTCATCCTCTGATTTAGATACTGCTTCCAACTCAGAAGTTGAGTCGTCATCAGTTTCGGACATCGAGTCTTCTTCTTCTGTTTCAGTTGCTTCTTCTATCTCGGACTCTAATTCCGAGTCATCTTCATTAGAGGACGTGTCGCTCGACACGCTCGTGGAAGACGTGGAATCGCTAAGCGTAGGTTCAACTTCATCACCAGGAACAACAGCCCTTGCGAGCAATGGCTGTCCTGACGCATAAGCCCCCTTCTTCAGAGACGTTGGAGGCAAAGGCTCTTTATTCTCATTCCGAAACCTGACCAGTTTAGACCCCTTTGGCGAATAATCTGTTCTAGAGGAACGAGCGGCGCTTGACACTATAGAAGGAGGATTCGCTGCGGGGCTCTTGCTCAAAGCTTTCGGCCTAGAGCTCGATCTCAAGCGTAATGCTCTGGGTCTGAAGTCCATTCCAGGCTGTTTTTCGGCGACACTAAGGGTGGTTGCAGGCGACGCACTCTGCGCGGGAACCTCATCTGATGGTTCCTCACCCGAGCTGGACCTCAAGCGTAAAGCGTATCCGGCACTGGCTCGTTGCTCATCCTCTTCAATATCTCCACGAAGACCGGAAGTTTCCATATCTTCCTTTAAACCTGACAACTCTTCTTGTAAATTTTCTTCCTCATCTTCAGCGTAGTCGGCATCACTTTCAGAAAGCTGGGAATCTTCATCCGCTTCCACGTTGTGCCTAATAACCGTTCCTTCATCAACATATTCATCGTTCGCTAATGATCTATCCGTGTCTTCGTGTCCCAGAGGAGCACAGTCTTCACCCTCCGCCCCGTAGGTATCGGGGAGTTGCCAATTGGAGAGAGTAGTCCTTCTCCTTTTCCTTGGAGGAATTGCGATTGCGGGTCTTGAAGATGTTGACCTTTTCAAGAACGATCTTCCAAATGGCACTCCGTCGATGAGATGTCTACCGTCAACCGAAATCTGGTGGCGCCCGGAAAGTCGTCTGGCTCGTAAATCCGATGTCTGGAGAGCGCGGATCCTAAAGAATGACAACACGTTAGTCAGAAATAAAGCACTTAAAAGTAATAACAGCAGACAAATCGCCTAATAGCGAGACAGCAAAATCAACACAGACAAGACATACACAACCTCATCACCATCCCTAAGTAATCCTTCCACCTCCATGAAGTGTAGACACTCAAACCCACCAACTTCTACAACGTAATCTTCAAGTCCCCAAACACCACTGTGTCCATCGCCCCCAAGATCTACACCTGTCTCAAGCGGGACAACTTCATTCACGTCTTCCAAAAGCTGCGCAATCGTGTACCCATTCGCGTATGCCGCATTAGGGGCCCGTGATGAAGCAATAACCGACGATGATGCAGGTACGTATGATGACCCCAACGCACTTCCTCCAAGAAAAGACGGCAACGATGTTGTCCAGAGAATACGCGTAATCGGGAGGCCGTGTCGCTGGATAACGAGGTTGAGGCGCATGGTAGCTATAGTGGTGTCTGTCGCACACCGACTCCCCGGTTGCTTCAGCCTTGGTAACGTTGACACCTGGTTTGCTAAAAACAATACATGGGAAATTATGAAAAAAAACCTGCAGTCAAATTGCAGGGATAGATCTGTTCGAGTGGATGCAAATAGCGCGTTGGGTGCAGAGGTGCCTAGGAGAAAATGAGCGGGAGGAAAAGATGAAATTGAGGCCGCAAGTTGCTAAAAGGGTCAGAGTAATTCTTGCATATCTGTAAAAGTCTGAAAGCACACGAGAGGTAAAATGGACGACACTGAAGGGTAGATGTGCCAACACAAGATCTCTCAGGGAGGTTGAAATCCACGCATCACTTTTCCCAAGGTCGAAAATCTATTCCCGAGAATGGTATATTGATGCCTGAGGAAGTAGAAGACTGAACTACTAGAGTCAACTCCAGGACAATGAATCATCATGCTACATATTTAAAAGAGAACTGAAATTCTTTTTGAGAATCCCTAATATGGACTCCTATGAATGAACCATCCTGCTAATGATAACTATTAAAATACTATGATTAATGACAGCCCAACATGGTGGGCATCCTTCACACTTTGTACAAATCAAAAGGGTAACTGCACACCAGAACATGTCTCCTAACGTGTGTATTTTTGCCAACATGCTCAAGAAATCCAGTAGGGGTGTTACAAAGAAAATTTTTCGCAGAGAGTTGTTTGGTACCTTAGGTCAAATGTTGACATCACCCCAGAAGGCATGGATAAGGAGTCTCCTAAAATGCTGGCTCGGCTTAGTAGATACAGATCGATACCATAAGCAGGTTAATTGGTATTCATCGTTTTGACTAGGCTAGGAAAATCTCCTGTTCGGACTTTGCGGTACGGGCTTCCTGTTTGGAACCCCTAGGTTAATGGGGCGAGACTCAGGCGCAGACTGTTGGCGCCCAGTGGTCTGCTGATAGGCACTTGTTGTGTTTTCCGATATTGCTTGATATTGTGGTGGATTATTATCCGGAGGATTCACGGGAAACTTGGTCGTGCTCAAGGGGCGCTCAGTTGCGGACAGCGGCGGTGAATCCAAGTGGCTCTCAGGAGAGGAGGAAAGTATATTAACAGTTTCCGTTGAGGATGCTGCCGAGATATTCCCATAAGCTGTCCGCAGCACATGATCATTGTGTAAATCCACTAGGGACTTCGAATCAGCTCCAGTTTCAGGTGGCCTTCGTGCAGAAGAGGCAGCTGGTGGGTTATACTCTCGGCGTGGACCATCCACGGGACTCAAGGACTCAGCCATAGCATCTTCATAACTTGGAGGAGCATCATCATAACCATCATCGGAAGCATTAGGCACCGGCGGTGCAGCCGGTCGTGGAGGCATCGGCGGGCGTTTGTCCTCGTCATCAGAAGCCCGGCTGGGATGATGGGGAAGGCTAGGTTTGACTTTGTGTTGTGCAGAGGCAGCAACTGCATCCAAGAGAGCCTGTGGCGGGGCGATTCCAGAGTATACTTTGACCGCCATTCTCAATGGTAGCACAATAAGCTGAGGCTTTGAAGATGTCAGTCAGACACGCTGAAAAGGAAATGAGAGAAAGAAAAGACATACCCTCATAACTCCATGGCTACCATGTGTGAATCCAATTCGCACCTCCAGTTCATAGGTTCTTGAGATGTTGCAGGTCTCGAAACACGGCGCGACTGTATTCGGTAAAGGTATGCGGTCCCAGATTCCAGGCTGTATTGTCCATTCAGTGCCAGCAGGATCAGACGGGCTTCCCAGAGGCATTGACATGTTGCTGGTGCTCACGATGACCCAACTCCCCGCTTGTGTCCGCCGGAGATCGTGGGCGCGAATATGAGTGTACGCAATTAACTCGATCTGCAGCATTTGTAAGAAAACAGTTTCTGGAGTATCATTCAGCCTTTTGACTAAGATGCGCAAAGGAATGGGTTCATTGCAAGTCAGGATGGGTGGATTTGGTAACCTCGTATCCACGGACAAGGCAGGAGGTTCCTCAACATCTGGGAATGAAGGGACCGAATGTTTCTGGAATAAGCTCCTCTTCTTCTGTGGCCTCGCCTGCTTATTGGAAAACTGATGCTGGCGTCTTGCATACATCTCTTCACTTGGATTGCCAGTTCTCGGTGGCTCAATTGGGAGGAAGTTGATGGGGACAAACTAGGACCAACCGATTAGAGTTTCGATTAGATCTTAATAGCGAGCCGTGATACACCACTTACAGCCCGAATGTTTTCTTTATAGAACTGCGGCCGAATCACTGTCGCCTTGACATAATACCTGATTTCTGCTTCGCCTGCGAAGCCGGCCAATGATGGAGGAAGGGCTTTCTTGACATGTTGGTTCGAATCACGAGCCATTTCCACCTTCAATCCGGTTATTGTCAAGTTGGTGAGCATGCTGTTATGAGGGTTGCAGGCATTGTTGAACGGAATCTGCGAGATTGGCAATTAGTCCGACAAAGCAACAAACCGGAGGTATACACAGCCCGGGTGGAATATATGCTCACTTTGAATTGAAACGGATACTCGTATGTCCCAGATGCGAATGTCCACGACGAAGGTCCGGGACCGGTCTGGCAGAGATCAGGGGTGGGAAAGACGTTGACCACTTTGTACAATATCTGTGTGCACCAGTCAATCACTGCGACAACAGAAATCAAATGGTACGCTCAAAGTCTGCCTGTTTTCATCTCTCACCTTATGAATTTCGGCTTCCGTCCGCTTTCTTTCTGAATTATCTGGAAGACGTGTACGACTCTCCCCTTCTAGCTTCACCTGAATCCCCGATATCGAAGCCTCAGAGTGCAGAACAAGTACGACCTTCCCCGTCAGGGAATCGAGGTTGGTAAAATATGCATGTTGCTTGTCCAAGTAGATAGTTGCGGACATCTTGATGAGGCCCAGAGGCTTTCTTCTCTATGTACAAAGGGCCAGCCACGTCGGGCGATTCTTTGACTGTGCCAGAGTTCGGGAACGACTGACGCCGGCAAGTCTAGATTCTACTACGCATTAACAATTATAACGGTGTAAGCCAACGGTCTCGAAGAGCTTATAAGCAGCGAAATGAATTGTTTGATGCTGACAGCGTTCAAAGAAAAATAGGCATCCAAATTCGCGCAGACTATCTGTGCGGGGCCTTTAAGCTTTGAAACCTCTCCTGTCTCGCGTAAGAGACGGGAGAATAATAAGACTCACAATGCAGCGTTTAACTCAGGTTCCTTGCTCCTTATTGTGCTCTTCGAGTGAGCTGAATGTCAACGAGTATGTTGAAGACTGGAAGGATCAGGTTGTTGTTGCATTCTTGAGAACTGCGAACCATTGCACAGCCACACATTGGATCATGCATGCGCCCTGTGGCGCAAACTATGTAGTTAACTAAATTTATCCCGATGATATCATTCCTGTCCATCACATACTTCGATGCCCAGTCAGAGACCTTCCTTGGCCAGCGTATCTATACAGAGTCTCAGATACGGGCAGTCGGATATACAGAAATACAAGTGGGTAAAATCGTACCTGCAATGTCCAGATAGAATGCTATGGCATTGAATCTGGACAAGATGATCCGGTTAGCTGGCTGAGATCATGCAATTGACGGAGATTCGAACATTGCAAGGTGGGATGTCTGCGCACTTTTGTTTGTTGCCGGTGAGCTCTCCAGCCAGCCACTTCAGTCGGTTTGTCCAGTTGATAAGGTCCAAGTGGCTTACACCCAGGAGGGTACCCTCGTACGTCCCCCATTTACTGCTGGCGACACTGACAAGTCCATCGTTTGGACCTTCTATATGTTGGAGAATCCGTTGAGATAGACGGAAGAGCGACCACATTCCCGGTTGTACGACTGCCCCGTATGAAAAGTAGCTGCGGAAGAACCGAGTGAGACCTACCTGTCCCTTTTCCGTTAAGAAGCAGACGAATTGAATTCAAAACTTACCGGACATCCTCAACGTCGGGGATTTGGGGATTAAATTGTCCCACCATGTACTTTTGTGTCAATTGTGCAAAAGCTCCAGTTTCAATGTTGATCCGGTTGAGAAAGTAGTAAACCTGAGGAAGACGCTCATCTACGCATGGAGAGTTAAGTCATACAGAATCACAATTCCGTCTAAAGGGAGAGCTCTGTAGACAGACCTCCAATATGGTCCAAAACATAATCCGCGATGGCAGAGCCTGTATGATTTAGCGAAATTCCTTACAGGCTTGCGAAGGCTATACCGAACCTCGATGCGGAGTCGCAATCGTAGTGAGCGACAAGACCTTGAATCCCGTTGGCCGTAGACGGCTGATCATATATCGAGCGTCAAGTCCTCTTGTTACCTTGAGTTATCTTGCTGCTCAAACAGATTTGCAGTCCCTGGGTTGTATTTCATCTTACCCCTTGAAACGATTGTGAGCAAGTTCCCTAGCAACACAAGCAAGAGAATGCATCTTACCATGCTATGACTGTATACTGTCAGATCGAAAGTCATATTCAGCATATTGAAGCGGAGAAGTGACAGCAAAGCAACATACGCAATTATATTCACATTCTTCCCACAAGCACCGGTGGTAATACACCTCTCCAATTCCTTTGCTCGTTGTTGAATGGTTCCAGAGGGAGGCACCGAGGCCGTGACGACGTCAATCCCTTTTACTTTAAGCGCCTCTCGTATACCGCGCCAGTATTGGACCGCAGGGAAATAGGGACCGGCAGGGCGCAATTCGTCGAATCCCAAGAGACCGTGAGCGAGGACAATAGGGTGCTTAGGGGAGGCTGATATTTTGGACGCAACGTGAGTTAGTATCATGCAAGGTTCGCGAAAAGAGAAGAGGGCCCGTGAGTACTGTATTTCTCCCGAATTACTGCATATTCATCTTCAATCACCTGTCCCAGGTCTTCTAAGCGCGGGTCGCGACCGTGTTCTGGAGGACCGTGTCTGTGAGAAAACAGACGGCAGCCTTGAAGATGACAGCTGTAAAACCCGAGTCGCGGTGACCGGAAAATATAGCTGAACGACCCTATCCGCCCGAACTTCTTTAATTGACCTACTGTACATGTCATCATCCTCAGTTGTAGAAACATTGGTTCATGGCTCCATGGTTGCGATCTGCGCCGTGCCTGATGACGCAACTTGCAGCTCACGTTCTGAGACCGTAAGCTCGGATTCAAGGCATCAGTATGGAGTACAAACGATTCCTTACTTCTGAACTGGACAAGTCTATAATCACATCCCTATCTATCAATTACGTATGACTTGCAGAACGGGCTAGATATTATCTAGCAGTCCAAACCGATTGACGGTCATATATAATAAATCAGGAAAACATAATCAACTCCCGACAGCAACAGGAAAGTAATGCTGAAATGATACGAAGCATGGGCACATTCAGACCGAAAATATGCTCTTCCCACTTTGTGCCCTTTTATCAAGAACAGGTAAGTGAACCCCCGTTCGCTTCCTTGCCAAATCTATGCTGAGGCCACGATTTTCTCAGGCACTTCAGGTTTCACATTGATCACAGCTTGAATAAGACCATCCACGACACTCTCGCCCTTACTATCGCCGATACTCTTGATTTCCTGTAGTTTTGTTTCCGCTTCCTTGTTCGCATCTTCCTCGGCTTTCTTGTATCCGCTCGAATGCTGTGATCAAGAATGAAGATGTCAACCTTTGGCACGTCCGTAAATAGAACTATGAAACGACTTGTACGCCAGGGTAGCGGCGTGCAAAAGATAAATCTGACCTCAGCCTCGAACTTCTTGAATTCCCCCTCCTTTTGCTGCCTGTATTCGTCTATTTCTTTCTGGGCCTCTGTCTTGGCATCTCTTATCCGCTTTGTGCGGTCTGCGTAGAACCGGGGTTTAGAAGGGACAGCGCATATATAGCTGGAAAGGGGGTGATCATACATTCTCTGGCTAGACGCAATTGTAAGAAAGACGATCCTTGAACAGGCCGAAGGTATTCTGAGAGCACTCACCTTGTTGAACGATTTTCTGAGCCTCTCGTTCGGCCTACAAGCACAACCATCAGTTATTCACACCGCGGTAATAGCCTGCGATCAGCATGGATGTCCTACATCGAGGAGGGTCTGGATGCCTGCGGAGTTCTGAGCTGACTGTTGACTCAGTATTAGTATCCGCCGTAGCCCCACGAGTTAGATTGGGGCAAGACTTACCATTTTCGGGTCGTGAATCTCTCCAAGTTATCTGCACGATCTTCTAGGAAGTGTCAAGATTCCAATATAAAGAAAGCGGAGTGCCACAGCCTGCAGCTTGACCTCCACGGAGTCACGAAGCTCCGCCGCGCCTCTGGCGGTGAGTGTTCTGCCGGCTCCTACCGCCACGACTGATACCGAAAGACCATCGGCCCGGCATCATTTCATCAGGTCCTCAGGCGTTCAACGCTCACATTCGAAGGGAGAGAGCGTTACCAGTTGCTCGATTGATTTGTATATATCCTTTTTGAATTTTATCTCTGAACATGTCTACGGCATCCAAGTTTACTTTAGCCGCTACGGCCATTGGAACAGCGGGGATCGTCTATTTTGTGCACTGGGCACAAGAAAAAGAGAGAGCAGTACGTTGAGCATTGCTATCTGGCTACTAATTATATGGTCTCACTATGCCGTGCGTTGTATTGACAGCTGCTATCTCTTCTTAGGAAATGCACAAAGGCGTGGAAAGAGATATGGAGAAGCAGCGCATTCGACAAGAACGCCAAGCTGAATTCGAAATGCAGAGGAGGCTCGAGGAGGAATATAGAAAGCTCCAAACCGTTTCAGAAAATAAAGCTAGCACGAGTGGATAAGACAAACCTGTGGGATAAAGGTCATGATCCATGAGGAAAACGACCGAGCCCGCTTGCGATGTATGAAATTGGCTAACAGCTGATCATCATTGAATGACCCCATGTAAGTGCCAATCCGGATCCCACATAGCTTGCCATTAAATTCGCGCTCCAGAGAAAAAGTCGCTGACGAAAGGGGTTCTTTCAGAATACACACGAGATACACAACCCATGACCACGAGGTCCTTCTGTCCTTGTACACTGTACACCACCTGAAGAATGTCTTACTACTTATACCCAAATGCCATTTGAGAAAAAAAAAGTATTTTTATGTCTGTACATATTGCTTGTTCATTCACGTATTGTTAGTGCTTGTACTTGATACTAAGATGCATTGATCACTGTTCTATACTTGGATATTTATCTTCTCTTTCAACAGAAGGATTGATATGACTGCGGGTCACTGTTCCAACTAGCCCTACAGCTTCCAATGAAATACGGGGCAATTAAGCATAGCCTGGAGCAGACAAACCAAGTGTATATACATCCATAGTTGTACGGCCAGGCAAAAATGCCGGATCGGCTATTATCGGGGGCCTCAGGCCGGGCCAATTCCGGCCTCTTGGCACGCTAACTCGATCTAATCAAACAGACCCACTACAATTATGACCAATCACAACGCTGATATCCTACCTTATTTCTCCTGGTAAGGAGACCTTTGAAGGCACGAATTGAATATCCAGCATTTATATGCGTATATAATTGCGGAGAAAGGAGCATACGGATCCTAGGCCATAAAATATGATACAGGAATATGAAAAGTCACTAAAAAAGATCTGGATGGTGGAAAAAAAGTAATCATGACTGTCCATTTTCTGTGCCGGATCGGGTTTAGCGTGGTCCCATGATATGACATGCCCTGAAATAGACGCCGAAAGAGGGAGACACTTTTTATAGCTTCATAGTACTCATAGAGGCGAGGAAGGACTTAGGGGTGATGTAATACAAGTATTTAACCCTGTTAGAGATCAATATACTGCATACCAACCATACTGGCATGTAGCATGTTAATCTACGCAGGATTTACGCCACCTTCTTGTCGTTTTGGTAGTAGTTTCCCTGAGGCCGGAATTGATACCGGCCCTCGAAGGATTATAAGAATCGCTGTCACCCCCCGGCCAAAAGTCTCATTTTCACTTTCTTTCTGTGCGCTTTTCCCTTCTGTATCCCCTATAGCCTCCCAGGATTTTTCATCCGCTTTTTGCGCGCGCTCTGTTTGCTCCCTCCGGCCCTGTCATACTTTCTATACCTCCCATACACCCATACACCAATCCGGCTTATTTGGGCTTCCTGTCTTACAATTGTAGAACCATGTCGTCCCAGCCTACTACCCTGGAGCGTTTCCCACACATCAATGATGACCCTGCCACCCTGTCCCATGCCTTGGATCCATTTACTATTACTACCTCGACGGGGTTCATGCCCTATGCTACGGCCCCTAGCACACTACCTGATGTCTTCAAGCCTCTTTTGTCTCTTCTTGATCGCTTCCCTGTTGTTAGGGCTGATGGCTCACCAGGTCTCCTGGCCAAGTATGAACTAGGCCCTGCTGTCCTGGCCGAGCTCCCTGACCTGACGGCTGAAGTGGACAAGATTGTTACCGCTGATGGCTCTCCTGACTTGTTCACTATCACTGCCCTTTTTAGGGACTACTCCTTCCTTGCTTCCGCCTATCTGTTGGAGCCATGCTGGGAGAACTGGTGTAAGAACCCTGACAGGGGGTATGGCTTGGGGAGAGACCGGTTGCCGAAGAGTGTGGCTGGCCCTATGTACCGTTGCGCTCAGCTGTATGTTTTCTTCCCTTTTTTTTTTTCTTTTTTTTTTTTTTTCTTTTATCCCTTCTAGAGTGATGACCAGGTATTCTCGCCTTCCTGTCTAAGAATATTGCTGACCCCATACTAGCCTGGACATACCCCCTTTTATGTCCTATGCTGGAGCATACGCTCTCTTTAACTATACACTTGAAGACCCCTCCAAAGGCCTTCAGTACTCCAACCTACGTCTTGTCCGTGCCTTTGAGAGGGGCCTTGACCCCAAGAGCTCCGAGGCAGGTTTCATCCTGACTCATGTCGACATGGTCAAAGAGTCTTCAACCCTTGTCGCCGGTGCTCTCAAAGTGATTAGCACCCTTGAACAAGGTGGCTCTCGCGATGAAGTCAACGATGGTTTCCGAGAAATCCTACGCGCAATGGAAAAGATCGAGGCCAGTATGGAAGGTAAGCGATGGCCAGTCAATTCCGTTTTACTTGCAGAAGCTAAAGGAGATGTGACTTGCTAACCCGAATTCTTACGCAGAGATGTGGTCTCAATCAAAACCAGCCGACTATCTGTCTTTTCGTGTCTTCATCTTCGGAATTACTTCGCAATCGATGTTCCCTAACGGAGTCATCTATGAAGGCATCGAGGACAATAAGCCCCTTTACTTCCGTGGAGAAAGTGGCGCCAACGATAGCATGGTATAGTATATCCAAGGTCCCTTCATTACCATACCTTTGAGATTACCTTTTTAATTTGGTTGCTTGTTCTATAGATTCCCCTTCTTGACCATCTCTTACAAATCCCCATGCCATCGACCCCCCTGACAAAGATTCTTCACGAATTCCGTGCCTACCGCCCCTTGCCGCACAGAGAATTCCTGGCACATATCAATTGCAAATCAGCCGAACTCGGTGTGCGCGACTACGCCGTACAGGATACCGAGACTACCGTTCTACTACTAAAGACGCTGGACCATGTGAGAAGTTTTCGGTGGCGGCACTGGTTGTTCGCGAGAGAATACATCATCCGTAGGACTCCTCACCCAACTGCTACGGGTGGAAGCCCGATTGTCACGGTGAGTTCTGGAATCAGTTCGGTGCTTACTCAAGATATATGACTGATGCGAAGATATAATCTAGTGGCTCCCTAATCAATTGTCCGCGGTTATGGATTTGATGATCTCGGTCTACGATACTTACCTGTGCCCTAAGGAAGGCCAGAATGGATCCAGCAATGTGTTATCGTCGTATCAAAATCAGGTGGCACCCATCATGGAACTGGTCCGCGATCAAAGAGAGAAGCTGGCAAAAGAAGTTGACCGGTGGTGCAAAGAGAGGGGGGTATAATACTGATTCTCATATACCTGCCCTGATGTAAGGCATGCATCTTTCCCAGAAGATAGAAATATTGGTTGGCTTTTTCTTTTCATGTGCCATCTCAGCTTGTCGTTATTGCTTCGGCGTACTATTCTTCTGTTCACTGTGGTCTATTCATAGGCAATACTAAGATATCGGTTGTTCGTCAAATTATCGGTAGTTACAAAACACCAGGCTTGAACTATTGTTTACGTCGCACCCTTTTATAAGAAGCAGGTTGGGTACTAATATTTGCAGTGATTATCAAATTGACCGAGTCAATGGATTAAATCTATTTAGTGTATAATTAAAAATACTAATCAGGTTTTGTTCCTGGGCGTCGCGATTGGAAAAATATGACTGCGTCAACGAACCGTATACCAGCATTGTTGTTTGAAAAGGGAGCAGAAGAAATTAAAAAGTCGACATGCTGATTAATTAATCGTAATGCATTATCATAAATCGTAGTTCGAAGCAAACCCAGACAGCCAAAGGCAGACTGGCTAGATTAATCCTGCAGGATCAAGTGAAGATTTTAATCCCCTTGGCTCGGCCATAGGCGATTGCATCGGACGACACATCCTCACAGTCTTTCATGTAGAGACGTTCAATCTTCGGTTTATCATTCCCATCATACGTGCGCAGGTCTGCTAGCAGTTTGACGGTGCAGCCTGTGATGCGAGTTTGAGAAAGATGGAGGACTTTCAGTTTGGACATATTCCCAATGAGAGAGGAAACTAAGCTGTCATCAACCCTCCACAGACAGTTGATGTTGAGTTCGGTTAATGTACTGAAGCTGCCAATTCCCTTCAACGAAAGAAGGTCAGGACCCTGCAACTTGAAACAGCTGTCAAGATGCAGAACCCGTAATGGCGCTTGGCCCTCTCCCAGAACCAAAGATATTGTGCGAGCCGTTGCCCAGGGAATGTCATTCAGCACCAAGGTCCGAAGATTCGGAAGCTCGACGGGAGCATCAATGGCGAAAGGGAACTCGCTGACACCTAAGCCCCCGCGAACGCGGATGTGTTCGAGGGTTGGAGGTAAACCGTGGCCCCTACCAATGCATAGGCCATTTAGATCCAATAGACGTAGTCGTGGAAATATGTCCGGCCTAAAAATAAAGGGGAGCGCCTCGAAAGATTCCGTGTCGCTGTCAAGTCGTAATTCTTCCAGGTTAGGAATCGAGCAGGAACCCGTAGGCTGCCAAGCAGTTCGTTAAGTGAAATTGCATACACAGTCAAGAACGGGAGAAAATATTAAATCTTTGACATACATTTGAGACGCCGGGGATATATAGCCCAGGAACATGCGTGATAGGCGCCGGGGATCCTTTCGAGCAGAAGGTAAGGCGCTTCAGGTTCGGTAGATTCTCAGGCCATTGTGATCTGGCTAACGGAGCATGTTCGGTACTATAGAATTCAGCGCGTTCCAATAGAGGTAAACTCGAAAACAGTTTTGAAATATGTTCCTGGGTCAAACTGATATTTGCCGATGTTACGAGGGTTCTGAGCCGCTTCGAGCTCTTTAAAAGACCATAGAGAATTCCTGCGTCGCATGAGTCCCAGATCTCAAGGTATTCGAGATTTGGACATCTACTCAAAAGCTCCAATGTCTTTTGAACAGAACGGCTGGCGACGTTCTTCACAATAGCATGGCTCAACATGGCATTTGATCGCTTGATGTAAGTCCGTACGGAAGACCAAGGGACCTTCCCACGGGCTCCAGTTAGGTCGATACGCATCCACAGCTTCCTTAAAGAAATGATGAATTGCTCCCATTTCTTGGAAACTCGTAATATCGCCCTGGGACCTATTAGAAACTAGTCGCATTGAATGGGTTTCCAAACATACACGATCTGCCTGAAGTCGAGGTATTGCAAAACCATATCAGCTATTTCTAGTGGTAGAACGCTGAAAGGATCGAGACATTTATCCATCCTGGCACAGAGTTTATCGTGGAGCCGCTGCACTAGCTGGAAGACGGTTAGAACAACGAAATCATCGTAGACGAGTCAGAATAGTCGCGCAATAAAGAATGCAATACAGCATTAAATAAATAATAGATGGAAAGAAGCAACAAACCTGACGTTTCGAATTTTCTCTGGGTATGGTCTTCAGCCCGTACGCGTACACGTCAAGAGCCTTCTCTAATTTCTTATCCAAAATGAGAATTTTGGCGCAGCGCAGGTATCCCTAGTCTATTTCAGTGAATATTCACTGGGAAGAATAGATGCCCAATTACCCTTTCATCAAGCTTATCCCTTTTAATCATATGCCTGGCATCTCGCAAGGCTAGATCATACTGCGCCAATTTGCTATAAGTCGCTGCCCGATTGTCTAGAATACCGACATAGTCGGCATCTTTCTTACTCAGTGCCTGCAATTGCAGCTTTAGAGAAGTCCTGACCATTGGATACTAGGAAAATTACCTCTGTAAAAGCCTCAACGGCCGTGCTGAAGTCTCCCTGCTGGTACAGTTTCTGGCCATGCTGCTGTAAAGCTGCGGAGTTACTCCGTAACAAGCCTGTTGGATACTTTTCTCAGCCGTGGAATGCAGCCACTTGCAGCAGTAATAAACACAACTACAAACTTTTATTGGAGCCACATACCTGGGGATATCATACTGCGCTCCTAGAACCGTGAACCTTGTGAAATGGATAGATCGTGGACTGTACAGCGAAAGCCGCAAAACTGGATATGGAAATGCCAAGAGCGCACGTGCGCCGGGCAACGGCGGCTGCGTGTTTAGTCTTTGCAGCTTACCCTATGGATCGTTGTTTACTTTCTTCCCATTTCGGGAATATATTGTCTTTTAGACCTAATCATCAACTACATTTTCCACAAGCCTCCAAGTTGCCGGACAAAGGCGTGGCTGGACCAGTTTCGCTTTTGTCGAGCTTCTATTGATCAGAGATATGGAAGCATATAATCTACAAACGGCATCGACCTACATCAACAATGTTCTTCTTGCTCGAGGATTGCTCAAGGGCGGCAAGCCAATTGATTTCGCTCAGCCGGAAAACGATGAAGGGGGAACCAGCACCACGATGGCCAGAATTATCAATCTTGTGAATGACCTCGTTCTGAGGAGAGATGTATGTTTGGAAAGCCCCAGCAGGGTAATTGGCTCGCCAGAATCTAACAAGAAATGCAGCGTGAAGCTGAGCACAGAGAGAATCTGGCCACGACGATTCGGACGCTGCGCGGAAATGAATCACAACAAACACTTGAGATTGTATGTGGATATAGCCTTTTTTTAACATAACTACAGAGAGCTTATACTGCAGTATAGGGGAGACTGAAAACCAAGATGTCCGATTTAACCCGTTCTTTGACCATGGCAGAGGCGCAGGAACGTAACCTGAAAACCAATCTATCAGTTGCAGAGGTGACAATCAGAGGCCTAAGAGAACAAGTACAGCGAATGAAAAATACCGCCCAGCAAGTTCGAGCTCAATGCGCCAATGACATCCGGAAGCGTGACCTGGAGATGCAGAAATTGAAGTCGCACTTGGCTGACCGACAGAGGGGAAAGCGAGACGGATTGGGGGTTACGACAATAAATATTAATCCTGCAGTTGAACGGGAATTGAAGACGAGGTTCCTAACAGGTGGTGAAGGTGTCAACGATCCCGGCTACAGCTTAAGGCAAGAGACGACTGAGTTTCTAACGGAGTTGTGTCAGAATCTCAGTGATGAGAATGACACGTTGATTACACTTGCTCGAGACACTGTACAGACTTTGAAAGAGCTTCAAGGATTGGCTCATGAAGGAGAAGAAGACTGGCGTGCGAGTAAAAGTACGAGTGTCGGACCCCAACGGTCTTCCCAGGGTTCCGTAACGGCACTCCCTGCCTCATACGAAGACTTATCTGCTGAAATGAATATGGTCCTAGAACACTTGCGAACATTGCTCACAAATCCTTCTTTCGTACCTCTGGAAGAGGTCGAGGTCCGAGATAAGGAGATCAAACGGCTCCGGGAAAGCTGGGAGAAAATGGAGAACAGATGGAAACAAGCAGTTAGCATGATGGATGGATGGCATCAACGGCTGTCTGATGGGGGGAGTTCGGTGCAAGCCGACGAGTTGCAAATGGGATTGAACCTCCATCTCGGTATCGATCTTACGCATAGTCAAGGCTTGGAAAGTGGAACTCGGGCAAACACGGCGTCTATCTTCGATGACCACGAGCAAACAGAAGACACGGAAAGCGATACTAGTGAGCACGCCCAGAGTTCAAGTTCAAATGGTCTTCAGCCACGGACTAAAGAGAGAAAAGTGACAAAAGTGTTGGACCACGCACTCAAAGAACGGAACGACAATGCCAGGCCAGTTAGGTCACCACGCAAAGTCTCCTTTACTCCTGGGTTACAGGACTCTTCTTGTAACGAAGACAATGGAGGAGACGAGACCATACCAGTAAAAGCCCACAAGTCTAGCTGTGTCACTCGGCGTCCTTCGAAGAAGAAGACGGAATCAAAGACATCACAAGCGGTAAGTCAAAACCACCGAATGCGCTAATTGATACGAAGGCAGTGTGTGAGACTGACATTCGCAAATTAGGACACCACGGCACACCAAATGAGCGTGTCAGAGAAACTCGCGGCCATCGAGAACGAAGCTCGAGATGCAGAACAAGCACGAAAAGAAACCGAGAACCGGAAAAGAGCCCGGGGGGTGAAATCAAATAAATCAGTGCACAGTCGACGAAGAAGTACCTTGACCAATGCTGAACTCGATCAATTGATGGGAGTTCGATCAAAATGATGCCGGTCAGCAAAGCCATGATTACGCTTAGGATTCGCCTTTTAGATGCACTGTTTAATATGTACTGTACATATATGGCTGTTCTGAATTAGTCCCTGTACGCTGTATATATAGAACTCCTCCAACTATTGTCTAATTCATTTAAATCGCTTTGGATTGACGCCATGCCATTAAATCCAGTAGGGCAGTAAGGAGCATATCTCATGTTCCTCTAATATCTCTGCTCTGCCGAGGTTGTAAACCCCCACAATCCATTCCGCACGGACTTGTGGAATGTATATCCAGGGATTTGACCGCGCTGAAGTAAGGTATCCAGGTCCCTGAGAAAACATTGTCTCCCAGGAATTGTCAAGGTAAACAGTATATCATATCATCGATGAAAATTCTGGAAGCTTATGAACTGAAATGCCAACAGATTTGTTCAGGAGAATGTCTTCCCCAACATCACCTCCGCCGAAGACCTTTTATGGTTGGGTCGCGCATAGTGCTACCAGTCCTTTAACTTTCACCACCTTCGAGCCCAAGCCGTTCACGGACAATGATATCGAAATCAAGATATCCCATTGCGGTATCTGTGGGTCGGATATTCATACCCTCCGCTCTGGTTGGGGCCCTACAGACTACCCCTGTGTTGCTGGGCATGAGATTGTTGGAACGGTCGTTCGAATCGGGCCTGGAGTTGCGACACTTGCATCCTCGCCAGCAGCCCGCGAAATCAAAATCGGTGATCGAGTAGGAGTTGGTGCCCAGTGTATGTCTTGTCTGCGACCCGACTGCGAGGCTTGCGCAGACGGTAAAGAGAACTACTGTACGCGGATGGTTGGGACGTACAACGGGCGCTATGCAGACAAAAGCAAGTCCTACGGAGGGTATGCTACATACTGGCGCGGTCCTGCGCATTTCGTTTTCAAAATTCCAGACCAGCTCTCGTCAGCGGAGGCTGCGCCATTGCTTTGCGGCGGTGTTACGGTATTCGCGCCTCTCTTTAAATATGGAGCCGGGCCAGGGAAAACAGTCGGTATTGTTGGGGTGGGAGGTTTGGGACATATGGGGATCCTGTTTGCCAAAGCTCTGAATTGCGATCGTGTAACTGCGATCTCTCGCACGTCTAGCAAGAGAAATGACGCCCTGCAAGGCTTGGGAGCAGATACTTTCATCGCAACAGATGAAGAACCAAATTGGCATAAAACGCACTCGCGCTCATTAGACTTGATAATCTGCACGGTGTCATCTCCAAAAATGCCATTGACGCAATATTTGCGCTTGCTCAAATTGGACGGAACATTCGTGCAGGTCGGGGCTCCTGAACAGCCGCTACCGGCTCTCCGCGCATTTTCTTTGATCCAGAAAAGAATCAAGGTGACGGGTTCTAATATTGGATCTCCTGGCGATATCAGGCGCATGCTCCAGTTGGCTGCTGAGAAGCGTGTTCTGCCGTGGATTCAGGAGCGGCCGATGGGAGATGTCAATGCTGCCCTGGCCGATATGGATAATGGGAAAGCAAGGTTTCGGTACGTGCTGGTCAATAAGACAGAAGCGCAGTCACATCTGTAGATATTCCTCCTGGTAGACATGGAAGATGTTGGCGACTGATCCGTACTCCGGGCTATCTATTTATTAATGGAGGTGTTGGTAACTAGCTAGATAGGCCTACGTGGTGAAAAGGGTCAGCGAGGGCGGACCTATGCGGCAGAATCCCACGTGATCCAACATTCATTCCGCACGATCACGTGTGGTCACATGATAACGCATCTCGAAGCTCCAACAGCGCGTCACCAAAGAAATTCAGACTGAAATTAAGACGGGAAGGAAAACCGCGACGGCGAACTCAAGATAATGCTGCTTCTTCTTTTCTAGGCTTGTCATGATGGTTTGAGAGCATTTGAATGAGTTCTATTGCTATAGTCCTCCCCACTTAATCAGTTGTTTCTCCTTACTGTCTGTCGTCGTCGAGTCCGACTCCGTTTACCGCGAACGCAAACGCCTTTTCTTAGCTGACTCGACCCTTGATATTTCTCAAGATGACCTTTCAAGCATCCTTCGGGTCAAGTTCACCTTCGACCCCAGACAAAAGGCGAAGCTTCCTGACCGATGTCTCCACCACCCCTGCGGGCCCTCCGCCGTCAACTACAAGTTCCTTCGTCTCACAGAACCCTGCCCGGTCTTCTAATTTTGGGGGCTTTGAAAGCAGCACCAGGTCCGATCTGAGTAATTCCAATTCTTTATTTACCAGATCGGGAAACCTTAATCTCAATGACAGTATTTTCGGGTCTTCCGTTGGATCCACTGACTTTGCGCTGCCGCGGAAGAATCAAGGGGCTGGTACGAAGTCATTCAACCCGTCGCGGCCCTTTTTTAGTTCGACAAACAGCAGCCAGTTTGGCGAATCGACAAACTTTGGGGTTTCAAATACCTCCACTGCATCACAGATCAACGGGAATTCGGGAGAGGACGATATGGAAGAAGATACAGAGGTACAGAACGAGGATGCAGATGATGACAATATGGATGCGGAGCAGGCGAATCGGTCTTCGATAAACCTCATGGATTTCAAGGACTCACATCTAGGCAATTCATTTGCTCCTCATCCTACATCTCTTGGTCAACGAAAGTCAGTATTTTCGAACCTTAGCAGTCCTAAACGGCCGAAACTCGACGAAGGTCGGGCCGCTCGAGCGTCTGTGACCAAACTACAGTCATCGCCTACTAAAGTTTCTCCAATACCATCTATTGTGCGTGACTTGGCTTCCAGATCACGCGTCGTGTCAGTTGATGAGCCAGGCGACTTGATTATCAACACCGAAGATGAAATTAGTCGAATATATGATGGGGTGAAGCAAGCAGAACTCGGGAATGCTGACTTCAGGGCCACCCTTTCAGAGGTTTCGGGTAACCTAGTAGCTATTTGGGGGTCTTTCACTCGTCAAAATAGACTCCCTAGGTCGTATGGCGCGGGATCTGCCATCGGTCCCGGGGACGGAGCCTCTAACATTGACAAAGCCGCCTTCTTAAGTTCTCTGCTAATGCAGCTTCGTCACCCTCCTCTTTCTACAGTCACATCTAATAGTCTCTTCAGCCGTGGAGCTCTCCTGGCGCCTCGGAGTCTTATACCTGATAGCAGGAGAGAGCCCACGTTTGTTCCGATTCCCAGATTTCTTCTGGACTGGCTTAATACAAGCCATGTACCCCAAGCAGACGGCTTACAAAACCTGAGAGACGTGCAACCTAATCCTGTTGCATCTCCAGAATTTTGGGATATTGTTAACGCTGCCGTCTTGCGCGGGCATCTTTCGGAGGTAGCCGGAGTTCTGCGATCGGCGGATTTCAGCTACGCCAGATCTGCTTTGGAAGATGGACTGCCGCAGACTGGCTACCGCGGAGCACAATTACAGAATATCCAGAGATGTGTTAATAAGGCCCTACAGATATTGGAAGCATGTCCCGGTATTCATCAGAATGACTGGGATATCAAGAGCACCCAGTGGGCGCTGTATAGGAAGCGAGTTATGACGGCCATAACCGACTTGGAAGAATTTGCCGAAGGGGATGAGAAACAAACTCTTGAGCCACCCACTAAGACGCCCTCATTCCAGGCCGCTAACTTCGGCTTAACCTCGAAGGCTCCCCAGAGTAACTTCTCGTTCACAGAATCTTCGCGTATGGCGGAAAGTCGTGTGCCTTGGACAATTTACCAGAGCCTGAGATCACTTTATCTGATACTTCTTGGTGATACCGCCGCTATTGCGACTCACTCGCAGGACTGGGTCGAGGCGACTGTTGCCCTGACGGTATGGTGGGACGGTGACGACGAGAGCGAGACTTCTCGGGATAGCAATAGCGTATCTGTCGCTGGCAGTAGGACCGACAGAAGCCCTGCGATGCCACGAGCTGTTGACGATGATCCCGTGGGTGCATATCTCCAACGTCTCGACTTGAGTTTCGGTAGTGTGACTGGTGAATCGTCAACCAATGCCAGCTTCCGTGTCAACACCCTTAACAGTCTAGAAGTGGGACTAGCATCTGTATTTGAGGGCAATATTGAAGGCGTTGTTGAGCTTCTACAGACCTGGTCGCTTTGCATCGCATCTGCTGTGGCAGAAGTTGCATCCGCAGGTGGTTGGCTGGAGACGGATTTCCGGGAAAAGCAGCCATCTGGTCTTAACGAAAGCGACTTGATGGTCCTCTCATACGGGCAAGATGATGGTTTGCCTGCCAGTCGTATCCGGAAAGACGATGTTCTTAGCGCCTATGCATGGGGATTGTACGAGCGCACTTCGGTTCAGACTAAATCTGTTGTCAAAGATGGATGGGAGATTGCGTTGGAAATTCTGAGCCGCTTGGATGACACGGATAAGATGCAGAAAAGCGTAACGGAGCTAGTAGACAAACTCCCTCTTGACACCTCAGAGCAGATGGATAAAGTGGTGTTGCTGTGCAGTGACCTTGGGCTAGATAAGGAGGGAAGGCGAGTGTCTGAAGTAAGTCTTTCCTTCCCCGTGGATAACCTAACACTGCTGACTGCTATCTAGCGTTATGGTGATCTGACTGTATCGAAATCTGACGAGTACGGACTGGCACTTGTATGTTACGCTCGTGCACATAACAGACGTAAGGTCAAGTCCGTCGTCGACCTGCTCATTTCGTACAGCCTAGTGCAGTCTCGGGCATACCCAGCAGATTCTGAGCTTGACGAGCAACTCCGGTCGTTAATCCGGGAACCGAAGGCGTGCCTTTCGGCGATTGCAGAGGCAGACGACGAAGCGGCCCGCATCTTACAGTTTTACTTTAGTGGCTATGCGACTCTGCGTCGATTCTATGAGGTCCGAGATGAGGCTGTGACATTGAAGGATGGACAGAAACCACGTTTCAGACCTCTGGCCAGGCGACGGGCTGCGGCCCGAGCGCTGGTTGCAGTGATCAGTAGCGCTGCAGACGGCATCTATGGAGGACTCTATGATCCAGATCGGGATGCTGCAGTTCAGGTGGATGGGCTGCTGGCACTTCTCGGAGAAGCTTTGGTCTTTCTCGAACGTGAGTATAATCCTCTTGCCGCAGCGGGCTGGCGCATGCAGTATACCATTAGTTTGAATGGGAGCGACTAACCTGCGTATGCAGAGCCCTCGCCCGTCCTTTCCGTATCCCAGTTATTTACGATTCTATCCGCTGTCGAAGACCTGGAGACGGTAACACCTCGGGTCTATGCGCAGTGCGAGGAATGCTTCCGGTCCACTCTCATCGAATACCACCAGTCGCGGCGCGCCACGAGGGCGGACCGTTCCGCATCGCTTGTTCTCCCGCCGTCCCCACGAGCGCTTCTTAAGAAATCAGTTTCGTCTGCTACAGCGTCCAGCTCCTTTTCGCTTATCGGTAGCGACATGATCGAATCCGCCTGTGGCCAGTCGGGGCCTGGATCTATAGGAGGTTCCACCGTACTGGTCTCCCATCCAGACGATGGTGAGAGGGAGCAGGGAGGCTTCGAACGAGGGTGGGACTGGCGTGCGGGGTTTTCAGCAGATGCCAGTGGACAGGACGTTCTTCGTATCCTGAGGTTGGGGCTGGCGAAGGGATTGAGTCTGCGCGCTCTTGGCTCGGTTTGAATTCAAGATGGTGCGCCCTATGGATGCTGAGCCACGATCCCAATTTGTGGCTGTGTTCCAGAGCCGGCTACTCCGTCGCGGACATGTGACTGACCAGTGGCCACATAAGCACTCCCACATGTGACATGGGCCCTGTAGCTGAGCCAAATCAACAGAAGCGTCGTTATAGGACTGTAGGTCGTTCCTAATGTGAAGAATGTACGATGCAAGGCGTGCATGTTGCATATATGGTAGCCCGGAATGTGGAGGTAACCAAGCTGTTTCGGACGGTTACCGGTGGAGGACGTTGGAGAGTTATTTTTGGAGCATTGTTTTATTCTTTGGGTACGGGACTACGGAGTAGTGGAACAATACCATAGCCAGCCATTGGATCCGGCAACAACTGCAGCCGATGGTAATCCGAATAGCCCCTAGAGTAAGAGTATAATCATCTCAGTAAAAAATAGCCATAATCTTTGCCACTTGAAGCCGGAAAACCCTCACCGCGAGTCGCCAATCCCGCGCTGCTCATTGGCAGAGCGCGTTTTAGTCAGCATAATGATAGACAGCTACGATAGGCCAGACCTATGTAAGCTAAACCAGATGAAGGAAAGTGCGGGTGGGCCGTAGGGCTGAGCCTCGTGACCGAGCGGCGCTGACCGCCTTCTTGCAGTCGCGTCTGCGCTAGAAGGGAAATGCTGCTCCTGCATCCGTCTGCAGCCCTGCTGGCTTCTGCATCTCCATCTCCATCTCCAGCACGGTGATCCGTTCATTGTCATCTCATGCTCCACAAGGCGACTCCTGCCGGCACTTTCTGACTCTCAACCGCGGTTGCCATTCCACAGGCTGACTGCCAAGGCACCCATCTAACTGCCAATTACTTTCTATACACTAGTTCTAAACTTAACCGTCGGAGTACGCGGTGCGTACCCACTGTTCCCCCGATGATTGCAGTCGAATATGACGCCCGCTAAACCAGTGTTGTCAGAGGCTCAGAGCCCCCTCGCGCATGGTTGGTTTCGGTTCTCGTACACGCTAATGTCCCCCTTCTCATTAATAATATTATTAGAACTGCCACCAACAGCATCTGCAGCTAAGGACAATAATGCGTTTGGAAGTGGGATCAACAGCAACACCGCTACCGTTATTAATTGCTGGCTCCACTGGACGCCAAGGTCCCCTCTTTCAGCTGCTCACTGCTCAGTGATCTGAACTCCTGAATGGATAGACCTGGAGATGTCAAAGTCACTACAGTACAAGTCCACCGATGTGGCAAATTTCTCCCTCCAGGGATCATCCAAAATGTGCTACGCCGTTGCAATGGTTGTAATTGATGACGATTCCCGCGCAGTCCGCGGGCTTTTCTGAAAAAATTGACCCGTCTGGGCGCGCATAGAGCTGTAGTCCCCGGCAGTACGTGATGAGGCATGACTCACAGGCTATTATTATCATTATTACTTAGGTGAGGTGAGCCATTAATGGATCCATGCATTTTCGTCGCCGGTCTGACTTTGATGAGTTTAGCCAAGCTTTTAGTGTCGAGGAGATTAAATTGGTGGGAGCCTGTGCTTCCAGCGCCTTTTACTTAGAAGTTACTCGTGCTCTCACTCTCAGGTGCTGTCAGATTCGGTCCCGACGCTGTGGGTTTCCTCTTTGGCCCCGTCGATCCCTGATCGATCGAGCTGAAATCTGCATATGTTCTCGGCTATGATTCATGGTTGGATTTCCATGATATTCTCGGCCCCCTGCCGCCGTTCTAGCGGATCCCTCCCGGCATACGGGACTGGATGCCTTGCCATCCGTCAGCTCTGTTACCTCTTCTTCACGCCCCAGTATGGCGCATTAATACATCCTGAAACTTACCCGGACCCCGGTCGTTTGCTGACCTTACCGTGCTAGCGCTGCTTCAATTGTCAGGACACCAGGGAGCCTTTTTCCTTTCCCTGTTCGAATGCTGTCCGGCGTCTTATCTCTCTACCTCGACAGTTGTACCTTCTTCAAGTCTTCTTATATAGCCATGCTTGCCTCGTTGGAGCTCGCATGTTCGTTTACTTGATCATTCTCAACTTCATCTTTCCGCTGGATCGACTGCACATTTTTCGAAGCAAAAGGCTCATTTCCTTCATTACTATTTATTGTTTGCTTCTCTTCGCCTACCGTTATACATCCTCGTCGCCTTGACGGTTTCGATTCAACGTCCCGCTGTGCGCTAATTGTCTTTCCATTTTATCGGACGAGGACAATCACGACTACAGTTGCCGACACTCGCGTTTCTGGAAAGTAACAATCTTCCTTAATAATTTGTTTTACCGCCTTCAGTTCGAGAGTTTTGTGGAACAACTTGTCGCCATGTGTTATCAGGTCATCGAGCGGTACTCCGTGTGCGGATGTCTCTACTTCAAACATGCAGTCGATCCCTGCCAAGCCCTCGGACAACGAGGACACACGGTCCAGGAAAAGACTGTCTTGGTGGGATACGCCTGTCCCAGACACTCCGTCAGAAGGGGTAACGGTCCTTTGACGAATCATCCTTCCAAGGGCTCTTACCGGTAGACAACTGTCGATATGCGCCAAGCGAATATATTAAGAAGCGAGAGAAACTTCATGAGTTTCCGTTATTTGAAGGAGTATTCCCACTCTGGAAGCATTGCGCCGAAGTGTTTTTTTTTTTTTTTTTTTGTTTTTGGGACTGTTCGCCGTGGGCTGAGGCTTTGCGCTGGACGCGCCGCACGAGCTAGATGCCATGAAAGGGCTATCGCTCAGGGAGATGTCCTCTTTTTCTTCGGTTGTTAGACCATTCTGGGGTTGTCTTTTGTCTTCTATGGAGACATTATTATCCTCGTGGGTATCCCTGGATGCTGTCCAACAATTTCCATGCCCGGATACAGTTGCTTGTGCAATCACTCCGGGAGAGTAGCATTGTGATTGAGAGCAGGAAAAGGATTTCAATGGCGAAATCTATTGCATTAACCCCAGACCGGGTGTCTGGGGAGAAAGGAGGCTGAGGGAGTTAAAGAGTTTCTACTTTCGATCTTTCCCTGATTCTACCAAACATGTTGAACATGGAGCACTTGGTATGGTTGCAGGTGTCATTTTCTATCGAATGGCCTTGAGATGGTATAAATGTCGGACATGACACGATGAGCAATGACTGGCCTGCTTTGTTGATGCATACATGGAGTTGTTTAGAATGGATTCTATTGTTCTTGATTCCATCATTTGGCGCTGTCTTTTCCATTCTTTATTTGTCTTTCCGTGTCTATTTCATACTGTTAATTTCCAATTTTGATCTCTCATTTGTATTATTATTTTATCCTTATTGCGGAGATCCTGCTCATTAAGCAGGAGTCAGCCAGAGATTCCAGATACATCGTACACCAGACGGTCTACATGGGCAAAACCAAATAAACGAACACCCACAGAATCATAGAGTACTACCATTGTCATGCATGATCGTATTCGATTCTAGGACTTCCTTAACCCGAACATTGTCGAGGTGCAATCGATGTACAAACAACGAAGATTAACCTTGGCCCAGAGTAGTCCTGTCTGCCCTCCATACATCGAAGTCCTCCCTCTTTCTTCTTTCTTGCTTTGTCCGGATATTCAAAAAAAAAAAAAAAAAAAAAGAACCAGAAACAAAACGATACATGACCTTGTCTTAATTCTTTCGACGTCTGTTTTCCTTCTTTTCCTCGTTCCGTTCCACCTGGTTGTATATATACCTCCTATTTCTATTTCCTTGAAGGACTGTGTAAGAAATGAAGGAGATGGTAATAACAATTGTGGATATTGTCGGTTTTGCCCATCAATCCATTAAATTAATATTTAAGAAACAAAACGCGGACAGGGGTGGCGATGGGGCTTTTGACGATGTTTTCCCCATGATAGGATGGCATCGGATTGGATTGACGTGACTTGGCTTGAGTTGATTATGTAGATAGACAATTAAGCCTTCTTTTCCATCCGATGGAAACGAAATGAGACTGGCTCGCTTCATTCGTTCTCTTATCTTGTCTTGACATATTGGTCGTTATTGTAGGCTGGGCTGTCCGGTTTCTGTATATGTATGTAGGCCTTTTTTTTCATATATTTTCAACTTTTTTTGGGATATTTTTGTTTTATTACTCCGGTTCGTTTCTTTGTCTCACTCGCTCGGACGAGAAAAGAATGTTAGGGGAATGGAATAGAATCTCCCCCGTGTAAGTGGAAGGATTGAGTAAGATTTCTTCAAAAATGGCCTGAACCTTGCGCAACGAGCGACTCGATAGTTATCTGGTCCGAATCGATAGCAGTCAAAGATGAAGAGCTTGCGCATTTCAGCGGTTCGTCGAGAAATGAAACGTTTGATCATTGTTCCCACTGATTTCAAGCAGCTAGAAACAACTGCAGCCGGCGATACGGTAGCAATGACAGCATGGAACCATATCCTAATAATTAGCTATCCTATGTGCGGATGACGAGGCCCCGACGGCCAAAACCACGCCTACTCTGGTAGTAGTCTTCGTCACTCTCAGACTCGTAGTAGCCGCCACGGGAGGACGGGGATACGCAATCCGAGCCGTATCCGCATCTGCTGCCATTGCAGTCGAGCTTGATTCTGTCGCCCTTGTGAGTAATTCCATAGCGTTCACAGCAGCACGTGGGAGTAGGCGGGTCGGTGAGCGACGATACGGACGAGGGCGAACTGCTCCTCGAGGAGCCCGAAGACAGGGACGGACTGGTCGAATAGGACGAAGAGGACTGGTTGGACAATTGAGAGCGAGAACCTCCGTACTTTTTGGTCAGCTCGGCCATGGTTGGCGGGTCATAGCTGTCTGGGATGCGCAGCAAGGGGCACGGTCTTGAGGGACGAGGGTGCTGGATGTTTGAAGGAGACGGGGCACGTCCCCTGACAACTTCGTTGGTGCGGTTAGGAATGCGCTGGCTGCCCCTGTCCCTGTTGGAGGAGCCGGAGGACTTGACGCTGGGGACGTCAAGGATGTTCAGTTTCCGGCCGGTCGTGGGCTCGACGGTGTATGGGACTGCTGGGTCGTGGGAGACGTGGTATCCATCCATGATATACTGTTCAATCGTCAGTATGCGTTATTCTCTCTCCCTTTCTTCCCCTGTCTTTTTTCTTCCAGAAAACTCACATAATACCAGTACCGTCCACCAGACTTCAGCATGGAGGACTGGAAACGAAACTTGCCCGTCCAAGCACCAGGCTTCGAGTGATCACAAGAGAGAGGAGCCTCGCGACTATAATTATCCCAGGACCCGACCAGATGGACGGTCTTGACGTTGGGCGATGTGCGAAGGTGAAACTTGAGTTGAATAGCGGCCATTTTTGTCGATTCTCAGAACCGGAATAAAAAGAACAGAAATAACTGATAATAGATGTTTCTGAGCAAGTTCTCTGAAGGAGCTGCGAGCACGTAGTTGATGTGTAAACTCTGCCGAACCAGCGACAGAAGAGCAACCACCACGCACTAGGAACGTTGACAATTATGAAGTATCCCAGAAATGAAAAATATGGGGGAATATTTCCCACAGAGAGCACAGCTCGTCTCAGGAAATAGTATAGTGAATTAAGGTAAAAAATAGAGTATTAAAAATAAGACAATAACGGGGGAGCAGAGAAAGTACTGACAGTGCAACCGGTGCAACTGTTTCAGAAATAAAAAGAGAATAAGAAAAGAAAAGAAAAAGGGACACTCCAAACAGCTTCGAGAAACAAGGGACACCTTGCTGGGGAGAGGAAGGGAAGAAAGCGCCGGAGGATGCGACAGGAGGACATGCTTAAGTAGCCCGTCGACGAGGACCCCTCGCTGCTGCTGCGATTCTGCAACCGGCGATACACGGCATGTCGTGCATGGCAGACGCAGTCAGCAATGAGCAGACCAGGGCTGATTGCCAATAGACTCTGTCGCTGGCACCGACATCTCAGCCGGGCGCGTAACGGACAGGCTCGATTGGGCTGGAGACGCGGCAGAGAAGCAGAGGTCATGCAGATGCAGAGGCTTCTTCTGGCAAGAGACGCTGCCGTGCGCCAATCCGGCGCCTGCGTTTGCCGCTGGCACATCCTGATCAAGTGTCTTGTCATTGCATTGGTCTAGGGAATATCTGGTGTTGACATACTTTACATCCTGCAGAGCAGACCGAGGAGACTAAAAGGAAACGAAAAGTAACATGAAGCATGGAAAACACCAGTCCCGTCGGCGAATCAATAGAAAACAACACTGGCCTGCATGCGTCTCAATTTCCCTTCGTGTATGGAGTAGACAGTGGAAGAATCGAAGAAAAGCCGCAATCGCTGGTACGCCGTGAACAGAAAAAAGAAACCAAACACAGTGTCAAACTGAACTGTCTATTTCCCCTCCGTTTTCAGATTGTCCGCATTAAATAGGATATAGTAGCCGTGGCATGAATCACAATATTGACAGACGCCCAGTCAAATAGCAACTACCGAACAGACACGCCAGACCGGTTGGTGAACATACGGGCAGCTATATTCATCGCCGCCAGCTCCTGGAAGAGCAGCTTGGCCGCATACGGAATATGAACCTGCGATATCCTATGCTTGTTATTGCACAACCGGCACTCGAAAAGACCCTTCTTCAATTTGCTGCGCAGATTGTATTAGCGTCCGAGTGCACCATGCATGCAGTAAACGGGAATGCTACTTACGCAATAGGGGTCATCAGTCCACAGTCATCGCAGATGTGGACGCGGAAAGGATCAGAAACGTCAAACAGACGCTCTTTCAAGAAGGCACTGGCTCCGTGGGCGATCATACAGTCACGTTCCATCTCTCCGAAACGCAGACCACCATCGCGGGCTCTACCTTCCACTGGCTGTCGAGTCAGAATCTGCGTCGGTCCGCGCGCGCGTGCGTGGATCTTATCGTCCACCATATGCCGCAACCTCTGATAGTAGGTCGGGCCAAGGAAGATCTGCGCTACGAGCTTGCGGCCAGTATGCCCATTGTACATCACCTCAAACCCACGGGACTGATAGCCGTGTTCGCGTAGAAGCCGAGAGACCGAATCAACCGTAACGTCCGTAAACGGCGTGGCATCGCCTTCAAATCCGCGCAGGGCCGACACTTTACTGAGCTGACACTCAATCAAGTGAGCAATGGTCATACGTGACGGAATGGCGTGTGGGTTGATGATCAAGTCGGGAGTCAGACCCTCCCGTGTAAAGGGCATATCCTCTTGCCGGTACGTGATACCAATGGTACCCTTCTGCCCGTGACGGGAAGCGAACTTGTCACCAATCTGTGGGATCTTCGTAGTCCTCATCCGGACCTTGACGAACTTCAGGTCGTCATTGCTGGTGGAAACAAGCACCTGATCCACAATGCCACTTTCTGTACTTCGGAGAGGGGTTGACGCATCCAATTTGGTGTGCGCCTTGGTTCTCTGCCCAAGCTCCTCCGCTTCAGGTGCCAAGGGCGCCGTCTTGCCAATAATAATATCCTCTCCCGATACGCGCACACCGGGCGCAATGATACCGTCGTCATCGAGCTTGTCATACGTACCTTTCCTCATACCGAGGGTATCTGTGCGCATCGGCTTCTCAAAACGCTCAACCACCGTCAAGCCAATCATCTTCTCCGAGTCTGTATAGGTCCGGTAGAAGAGACTGCGGAACAGACCACGATCTATGCTGCTCTGATTCATAATCACCGAATCTTCCTGGTTGTACCCGGAGTAACAGGCGATGGCGACAATTGCATTCTGCCCAGCAGGCAGTTCACGGAATCGAAGGAATTCCATCGACCGGGTTGTGGCAAGAGGTTTCTGCGGGTAGTACAAGATGTTGGCCATCGTCTCCATCCGCTGGTCGAAATTTGTCAAGAATACACCCATGGCTTGTTTACCCATAGCCGATTGATAGGTGTTACGCGGCGATTGGTTGTGGTCGGGGAAGGGGATAATGCTGGCACAGACACCAAGGATCATACTAGGATGGATCTCGCAATGTGTCCAGGTATGTGCCCTTTGGCTTAGAATAGAACGCACACGTTTATTGGGATCGTTTTCATCGGGAAGTGTGTAGCCAGCTTGAAGTTGTTTGGAGATCTCGAGGTCCTCCGGGGTCATAACGATCATGATAGTCTCCTCTTCCTCAGCATCTACGTATTCGACGACTCCCGATTTCACGAGACCATCCCACCCAAAGTACCGTTCTCGACGCTCTTCCGGATCCAGATCCGGAGGCAATTCCTTATCTTGCTCCAGCTTGCGGATATGCTCTTTGTTCAAGACTAGCGAACCACAGTTCTCGCTTTTCGGGTCATTATCAACGACGAACAGAGGCCGGCAAACACGACCAGCGTCCGTGAAGATCTTGAATTCTCTCTCCCGAATGTCTCTGATTAAGCTGACCTCGTGGGAAATCATGCCGCGCCGCCGCAGAGAAAGCATTGTGTTGACAAGATGAGCAGGATCACGATGAATTCCAACCCAAACTCCGTTGACAAAGACCTTTGTCGCGTTTGGCGTCCCCAGCGGCTCGAATTCCTCAAGGACCTCCATATTGCGCTGAATCATGAACTCGATAATAGGCTCGCTAGGTGTACCGACGCTGATGTAGCACATGAGTGCCAAGTTCTTGACCAATCCACAAGCTTGACCTTCTGGCGTCTCTGCTGGGCATACCAGACCCCAATGAGTATTGTGAAGCTGGCGAGGCTTCGCAATTTTCCCATCACGACCGATGGGCGTATTGGTGCGCCGAAGATGCGAAAGAGTGGAAGAGTATGTATAACGGCTGAGCACCTGCGAAACACCAGCTTTGGAACTAGCTGCTTTCTTCTGTTCGCCCCAATTGCCCGTAGCCAATGCATACTTTAGACCTCCAGTCAATGTGCTGGCCTTGATACCGATATTCAGGTAGATTTCTCGGTTAGTCTCCACGCATCTCTGCACGTAGCGTTGGAGATCTCGGGTGACTCGTGTAAACAAGACCCTGAAGAGATTGGCAAGAAGAGGACCAGCGAGGTCAAGTCTCTTTTTGCCGAAGTGGTCACGATCGTCAGGATCCCGCCGTCCCAGTGCGCACTGTAACAGTTTATGCACCATGTACCCCAAGAAAAACGCCTTCCGAGTTTCGCTACCTTCGGCCTGGGAAATATGAGGAAGTAACTCCTTCTGCATAATTTCTCGCGCGTATCTCACACGTCTTTCGTGGTTCATGCTCGACTGTGAAGACCCTCTCTTGGCGATGAAATCCAAGGCGACTTCGCGGTCTTGAATAACAAAGCCTTCCTCAATACAAGGCTTCAGCATTTCCAACATAGGGATATCATTCCGATCATAGCAGACATGGTTAAGGATATCTTCATCCGATACCACACCAAGAGCCCGGAAAACAACCACGATTGGGATATCAGTCTTTACGTAAGGTAGGGTCGACCGAATCGTAGGACCAAATCCTCCCTTGGCACTATCACCTTTGGAGAAGAGTTTGATTGACAGCTGAGAAAGAAGCCTCGAGCCTTTCTCTACGGCGCTTCGAATTTCGGCAACATATGGAGTCGGGCTCGGAGGCGCCTTCTTAAACACCTGGACGATGTTACCAGCACTCCGTTCCTGTGCGATCAGAACCTTTTCACTGCCGTTAATAATAAAATAACCACCGGAATCGTAGGGACATTCGTTCCAGTTGTAGAGCGCCTGTTCGCTCAGGTCCTTCAGGATGCAGTATTTAGATTTCAGCATAATCGGCATCTTTCCAATAAAGACGGTCTCCTCCTTGGCCTGGTCAGATGGAAGTTCCTTCTGCTCCCAGTGCAGGTAAGTGCCGCGAGCTTTTCGTTCCTCTTCATCAACCAGCCCTTCTTCATCACCGACCACGCGTTCTCGTCCTTCCATAATCCTCTTCGTGATTCCCAGGTAGAGCGGACTGGCGTAGGTCAGATTTCGCAGACGAGCCTCCTGAGGAAGCATGATCGTGGTCGCACCGTCGCCCTCAGTGACCGACGGTCTTGAAAGCATAACCGTCCCGAATTTCAACTCGTAGCGACGCACGACGACAGGATCGATTTCGTCATCGGAGGGCGGCAGAGTCTGATCGAGAGTCACTTGTCCCTGCTCTTCCACCAGCTCTTGCATCGTTGACGAGATAAACTCATCGAACGAATCCAATTGCTGCGATACCAGACCCTTGGAGTCGAAGAAAGATGAGATAACCGTCCAGCAATCCTCCGACGTGATGCCCTCCTCCACATCATCGTCGTAGAACTCCTCCTCATAGGCATCACCGTACTCGGCCATTTTCTCGGGGATTTCGCAAAACCAAGAATACAGAGGTGAAGGGGAAGGCAACAGTCAGGATGTATGGGGGGCGCAGGGAGAGCGCGTCGGCTCGAGAAAGCTTTTGATACTTTTCACTTGAGTTGCTGATCAAGGATTACCCAGAAAACCTCAGACTTCAACACAAAAAGGAAACTGCTAGCTGTGAATCTCCCTTAAAAAAGATGGTGAGATGTCACAGACCAGCATGAGGGATGGGGGAAAGGAGAGAAGAGTGAGACTGGAGAGTCCTTTATCCTCCAGCTCTGGTGCTTGGGCGGAAGTCCCCAGAAGCCGCCACTGGCTGCAGTCACTTGATCTGTGGCTCTAACCGAGTTCGGAAATAATATCACGTGATTTATATGCTATTTAATGAGATGATCTACTCAAGGATGCTCCCTTACAAACATTTAAAATGAAATCGTGATAGTGTATATTTATTTTACATAAATGGAGCTTGCCATCTAACCCACAGTTTCCTGTTCAAAGGAACTGTAAAAGCGTCTCAAGCATATCCTTCAAGTCTTTTTGCCCAGGCTCCTCCTCCGTCAAGCCCTCCATTTGCTCTGCAAAAGGTCAGCATATGAAAAGATTGAAGCATGATCAATAAAGCCATCAGTAGAAGAGAGGATTTACCTTGCAGTGTCTTGCGTACAAGGGACAAATCTTCATCGCGATCTGCAAATAGCGATTGGATCTTTTTCTTCGCGCCGTCATCTTCAGCTACGAGCCATGCCAATATAACATCGATCAGCTGTAGCATTGTCAAGTCAATAAATTAACATAGTGCGTTTGGGTATAGCATTGGTAAACAGACCTGAAGGGAGAAAAGACCCGCATCAAAACGTCTTGATAGCCATTCGCCCACCATAATTTCTTGCTCTTCCTGGGTGAGACGTTTTCGCTCCTTATCAATGACTTGCTCCACAGGCGATACCCTAGAAGCATATTCGCGTCGGAGCTTTATCAGTTTCTCGATCTTTTCATAGTCTTTCTCCATGAACTTTGCAAGTGTTCGAATGCGCGCTGCAGAGCCTCCGGGAAGTAGGCGTAAGAGAGACGCAAAAATGCCAAGCAGATGCTCGATATTTTGCAACTCTTGCTGTTGCACATTAGCCACGAGACATTCACGTGAATGGATGAAGCCTGACCTTTTTCATAAACATTCCAAATACAGTTCGCAGGCCTGCGGCTTCGACTAATCGTTCACATGCGGGAGCACCTCCTGGCCCGCCTAGGGCATGGTCGAGAACCCGCAAAGCACGCGGTTTACTAAACTTCCCTTCCTTGAGCATTATCTGCGCAAGTTCAATGCCCTCACCTTCCATGAACTTGTCTTTTCCAGCGTCCTCATCAACGAGACATATCAGAGCATCGAACAGATTCTCTGCGTATTCTTCCTCATCTGAATCCTTTTCAGGGTCAAGCTTGCGGTATTGGCTAAGGAGTTGAAGAAGAGAATCAATGCCATCGAGACCAATGAACTTTCCTCTATTTTTGGGAGAAGATTGCAAGAGAATAGCCAGTATTTCCGCCGCGTATTGTTTGTTTTGAGTGATAGGTGCTTCCTTTCGCTGTGCGCGAGATAGGAGCCATTCCAGGACTGTAGAGTCTTGTCCGATCTTTTCCGCGATCGATGTTTGAGATGCCAGATTCTCCACAACGTCTGCCGAGAAACAATCTTAGCATTCCCTCTAATATCCAGTCTGCTGCTGGGAAGACTCACTTAAAATATAGTATATCCCAGTCCTATCAGCTTCGGATTCTTCATCTAGTCGGGCGAGATTTTGTACTAGGAGTTCAATGAGATCTGCGTCGAGCTAATTTGTTTGTTTTTTTTTTTGTGTTAGAAGCCGCAACGATGCCAGAGACCAGGGAACTTACCATTGCATTTACTAGGCTATCCCATTGTTCCTGCTCAGCGGAGACATCTTCGTCCGTCAATTCGCTGATAGTCTGGATTGCATCAATGGCGATATCTGCGTTCTCATGCGCTAACAGTGAAACCAAAGAACCAGCGCAGCCTAGTTTCGCAAATTCACCATACAAGTCCGGGTGTTCTGATAGTATCGAGACATTTTTTATCTCCGTGTCTAAATCGGCTTCGGAACTCATGAATCTGGATAGGAGTGTCAGAACTGCCATGTCGCTAGCCGGGGGAAACCTCGCAATCTGGGCCAGCCACATACTTCTGCGGATCATTCTCAAACTTGGCTCGCAGTTCAGCGTTTTTGGTTATTTTCCTCTCGAAACTGAGTGCAAACCGTCGCACCCAGGCAGTATCAAACTTCTCGGGCTGGAAAAACGGTAAGTATATGGAACTGGAACTGTAGTCCAACACGATGTGAGAATGGTCATACTGCTGTCTGCCCTTCATCGTGTTCATCAATGTACTCCATTGCCTGCACAGTCTGACGCTCCATTCCCCCACCGAAAAAGCGCCCTTCTTCATCGTCTGGTATGTCTTCTTTCTCGGGGTTAAAATCCGGGGGCAGTTCGGGACCGGCTTCACTGTCGTCTTCCTCTTCATCTTGTACCATAGGAGCCTTTCCTTTGGACTTAACATCGCCATTTAACTCTAGTTTTGCTGCCTTGTAAAGCTCATCTGCCCACTGCGAATCAGCAACGAGGATCGCTAAGGGTATGTAGGAAGGGAACGTCAACTGTACTTGGGTCTCGGGTGGGCTCTAGCTTGCGCTTTCCACTTGCCATGGAGAGAGGTTTCTTTTCATGTCAGTTCAGATTTAGCAAGTAATAACTGCACCCAACGTACCTTGAAGAGCTCGTCGACGTTTGTCATGGCTGCGGATTGCGCACTGTATAAACAGCGCGGTCTCGGTATGCAGTCGCCTGCCCAACAATAGCAAACGCTTTCCAAAATCGATCGAATAACTGGCTGATCGTAAATTCTGATTCGTAATCTAGAAATAATTCGCATCGAATTGCTCTGTCGCGTCCAGCCAGACCTTGCTTTGTTCGTGCACCTCGTCCGCAGAATATACGGGGGCCGCGTAGAGCTAGAAGCGCAAGTAATGACGCCGAGCCTCCGGCGAAGATTTCTCATACTTTCCTGCTCTACTCTTCCACCTACGTTTGCCCCAAGACATCCCAGACACGCATACATCGCGGAACTTTGCTGTTTATTACGATCCATAACGCATAATAAAACCATGGCCCCCAGACAGCGTATCGTCGTCTCTCGCGGTCCTCAGAAGAGCTTTTTCCAGACCGCATGGGATGAAATCAGGGCATCCGAGAACAGAACTATCGTCCGGAGCATTGCCGTATTCGGCGTAAGTGCTTTCCCAAGCGCAAAAGTGTGCCCTGCTATTCGACTGGAGCAGAAGATGAACTAACTGACGGTTTCCTCTAGGCCGGTGTTGCTCTCCTCCACGCTGGCTTCGGCGAATTCCTTCTTCCCCCGTAAGTCGAATGGCCTTCCTGAGTCAAACATGGTTTGACTCGACCTTGTATCTCGAGAATTTTCAGAACAATACTGATTTCGAGAAGTATGTAAATCGGCGTCCGTCCGGTTATTGATCCTTCGGTGATCGAGATGGTATGAGCTTTCCGGGGCTTCTTTCCGGGAACAGTTCGGAGTTTTTTCATTCGGGTGTCGATGAAAAGAGCACGCGATGCTTGGGCATACTGGTTTTCTTCGAATAGATTTAATATACACATGTATTATACAGTGACCAGATGGGTATACATTTTCTTGGGTGGTTCTTCATGAGATAGCATCTCCAGTTTCAGTCTGCAATCCCAATCTTCCAGGTCGGCGAGTCTCCTTGCTCTGTTAAGCGGTAGCGTTTACTACAGCCAGTCAGGAAACTTGTGTTCGTTGTGAATGGTGACTAGGTCCTGAAATTCTGTACTATAGCGCTACCACCCGACTGCCCCTGAACGCCCATCGATGAGTTCATGGAAGACACTGTCTACATCCCCTTAGATGTTATCTCAACCCATCTCCATGATGTTAAAAGAACGTCGTATGGCCAAGAAGAACACTGTTACTCAACACAAAGAAATCCGGCACTGCCTCTCAACGCCTGCGCTCGGGACAATAGTTCGCCTCGGATCAAACACAGAGCCAACATGTTCTATGGGAGAGCAGCAGCATTGAAGCAGAACAATATAGTAGCCCATTTCTCCAGATGTATTATCGTTATATGGGCACATTTCTGCGCGGTCTATTGCCGCGATTTAGTAATTTCCCCGGACCTGGAGAAACCCCGCAAAAACTCCCGGAGCGCGGATCTCCTCAGTGGGGATAGTATAAGCATAGCGAGGTTCTCCCTGCTCTCTGTTTTACCTCTTCTCTACTCACTGTTGTCTCTTGAGTCCATATCTGTGCTAACTGCTAGCTCACTATACCAAACCAATGTCTACCAAACGCAAACTGCAGGTTGCGGGCTTCCAAGATGAACCGTTCGCCAAGAGGAGCCACACCTGGGAACCAGAGACACACACAGACTGGTTAAACAGCAGCGAGCTGAAAGGTGAATCGCAAGCATCAGGATATCCAGATGGCAAGTGCTCACTGCCACCGTCCTCGCTGCCACCGTCGAATATGGTCTCCGCCATCCGGGAACTGATCGACCCCGACTTTGACCCGATACCAGCCATTCTGAATGAAAAGCCACGATTCTTAAAGTCGTTGCCGCCTCGGATATCAGCGAACGATGTTGACTTTTTGCGCTCGCGAGGTGCCCTTAGCATTCCGGAGCCTGGATTGCGGAATGAGTTGCTGAGGTGTTACGTGAAATGGGTGCATAGCTTCATGCCTGTATTGGACTTGCATGAGTTCCTGCGATGTATTGCTCAGAACGACCCCAACGGAAACATTAGCTTGTTACTTTTCCAGGCTGTTATGTTTGTAGGAACTGCATTTGTTGATTTAAAATATCTACAAGCAGCTGGATATGAAAAAAGGAAGAGTGCACGAGACGTTTATTTCAGTCGAATCAAGGTATGTGGACAGGCTTAACTCTCATTTAAACAGCAATTTCAGATACTGACTTGGTAAAATGAAAATAGCTCCTGTATTCATTTGAATGTGAGGAAGACAGGATTGCGATTCTTCAAACTGTCCTTCTCATGACATACTGGTTCGAGTACGACCAAGAAAGCAACGCCGGAGGAGATATCTGGGACTGGATTGGGATTTGCAACACACATAGCCATTCCATCGGACTGAATAAGGATCCGACAAATTCCGATATGGATCCTCGGACGAAACGGCTGAGGGTACGACTATGGTGGAGTCTTTACGCTCGCGATCGCTTGATCGCCATGGGTTTGAGGCGCCCTACTCATATCAACGAAGGAACGAGCGACGTTCCATTGCTGACGCTGGATGACTTTAATTTTGAGTCATTTCACCCTTCTGTGCTTGAAATGCTTAAATGCCGTCTCCTCGTGAATATCTCGGACCAGAAGCGCCTGGCGGTCATGTTCATCGAAAAGGTGAAACTCTGCCAATGCGTCGGCCGGGTCCTGTTCGCACAGTACTCTGCTTCACACCGTCACTTCGGAACCACGAACAGGACCACGATCACTCTGGTCCCCAGGGAGGCCTCGGAGTCAGAGCTTACTCGGTGCAGTCGAAAGCTCGAATCGTGGCTCGGCGGATTGCCAAAGGATATTGATTTCAATCACTCTCCTACAAGAAATTCGACCGAAGACGAAGATGTCCTGTTTCTTCATGGTGCCATGTTACGCATGCTATATCATGCTACCAGCAGCGCACTTCATCGGCCGTGGGCTTCCAAGTCCCCCAAGAACAAGGACCATCCCAAGACCCGTTCGCAGTGTCAAAGTACAGCACGGGAGAAGATGGACGACGCAACGACAGGCATCACACGCATCGTTCAAGGCCTTAACCGGAAAGATCTCACAAGATTCCTGCCACAATCTGGTGTAACGGTCATCATACCCGCGGCTGTATCGCACTTGGCCAATTCCACCTCTGCCGATCCTATAATCCAAGACATCAGTATCCACGGCTTCTACAAATGCGTCCAGGCCCTCCACCTACTCCAAGACATGTACCCTGCAGCCGACTTCGAAGTGGCTAACCTTGAAGCTGCGGTCAAGACACAATGCGAAAGCTACGGTTCTTTTCTGAAACTCATGCAGGGCATCAGTCTCTGTTTGCCCAGACCTCGTTGTCAAACGGACTCGCCCAGGATAGCATTTATGGAAGATAAATCGGATGATAGAGACGATGACTACCAATGCCTGATGGAGCCGAATGATTCCCTTTCGCTTTCTCCATATATCCAGACTCAGAATCATAATAATAATACCCCGAGTCCGTATTCTCCTACCTGTTCTATACGCCCAGTTCTACTCAATGTCGATCAAACCCCGAGCCACTTGCCAGAAATCCCACCTCTCTTCCCCGATAACGATGAAATAGACATGGATTTGGACGTGAACGTCGATATGGACATGAGCTGGTCCAATGGATTTGTAGCAGAGAATGAATCCAACCGCGACTCTTCTTCCCTTGGTGTTCGTCTGGATACGCAGATGTCTCCTCACGGGAACGACTTTCTGGCATTATCCCAAAAGGCGTTACAGCCGACGGTCTGGGCGGGTGAGCTGCGTGGTATTACAGGGGATCTGGACAGAGATCTGGGGTTATCCGAATCTGGTGACGATCTGTATTAAGTGGTCGGTTAATGAATGCATATCGTTTTGTTCACTGTCTCTTCTTTATCTGTTATCCTATATAGTGTGCTCAGTAATTTAGGTCTCAAAATTGTAGTAAAGTTTGAATGTTTTAGCCTGGATATATTTATTCTAAAGAGGCGAAAATAATCACCACTAAAGCACCTAAGAGCCGCTTCGTCTATAGATCTATGGTTCATGGATGCTGTCAGTTAATGCCAATGTACTTTCTGCGTAAGAAAGAAAGTTTTATGGACATCGTCTAGAAACGAAAGAGCCAACTCATATTTACGCTCTCGTACTCCCGGCTTTTTTACTTCCACCGGGCATTCTCATCACCCTCCTGCCATTGATGCTCGATGTATCCCAGCATCTTCTTCACGTCTTGAACGGTCGCCTTGTCGCCTGTGTTCTTGCCCATGTTGTCACTAAGCTTGACAGCAGGGTGTCCGTTGGCGCTAGAGATCTTGATGACGATATTGAGTGGTTTTGACTTTCTGCCATCTGACTTGTTGCTGAAATCATCTATGAAAGGGAAGATGCAATGATTAGAATCACAGTGCCTATTCTGCCGAAAAGACAATGCCGGGTGCTGGAACTCACTAGTCAAGAACGTTCCAACGCCGAAAACAGGATTGAAGCCAGCCTCCTCCGCTATCAGCTTGTAATCGAGACAATGTTGTATATTCAACGAATCCGAGAAGACAATAGTCTTCCGGTCTTTGATTCCCTCCTTGTCGTAGAAATCTCGCACCATTTTGACGAAATACTCAGGGTCGCCAGAATCCTGGCGAACGCCTGAATAAACCTGGGCATACGTCTTAATGGGGTGAGTGGTAGTCCCATTGTGAAGCGGCGCTGCGATTGGAGGCTCTATGTCCGATTCACTCTGTGTTGTCGACTCGGCTGTCGTTCCAGGTCCCGATGGTGCGACGGCGACGGAACCCATAGCTGCAACTGTATGTGCTGGAATTGGCTTTCGGAAGGAATCAAGAAAAGCTGGCGTACCAAAAGTGTCCGTCAATGCAATACAAAGGACCTTTTATGGGTTAGTCTAAGTACCAACAACAACAACAAAAAAAAAAAAAAAAAAACAACTTCTTCTGGAGAACATACCCCTTCTCCGAAACAACCCAGCCAGTACCTCAGTGCTAGCTCGTTTGCATTCTCGTAGTCTTGAGTAATGGCAGCAATAGCCATAAACCATTCGTGGGCAACCGTGCCGACAGGGTTGACCCCGTATTTCATGGCAAAATGAACATTACTTGTCCCGGAAAATTTTCCTTTCCATCCCTGCTGTTCTCCTTCCTTTGCAGCTCGGCAAAGACCCTCCATAACGAGGTCTTGCGTATGATAATCCCGACGGCGTCTCGATCCGAACTCCGAGAATATACAGCCATTCTTTAGTAGTTCACACCCTTTGCGGCATGCCCTTTCCTCTTGGCTGTGGTAATCCCAATCCTTGTCAATAAACATGAAGTATGCCTGGCTAGTCAAGGCGAGGAGAGGAATCTCGTAGAGTATTGTCTCGACCCAAAGACCCTTGATGGTGTATTCCAGATTACCCCTATCATCATCGCTGCCGGTATCCTGTACGGGGGTGAACTTGATATCGATCTGTTTAGAGGGCGTGAGCTTGAACTCGGATAGGTACTGAAGATAGGCCTCGTTGAAGTAGGGGCATTGTTTCTTCAGGAACTCAATCTCTTCATGAGTCACTCGGATGTTATCAAGTTCTGATAGAGAGCACATTTGACTATCAGTATCTACCATTTCCAGACAGCAAAAATATTACCTGTACTCACTCTCTATCTGCTCCAGAAGCCATTTGTATGCCCCTCGGGACAGCTTCATCTGTGGCGTGCGGTTCGTGAAGCCATACGTGACGTCTGTCAATGACTGTCAGAAGAGATGGCCTCCTCCCAACACAGGATAATTGACTCACAAACATCAGGGAAGTATTTCAGAACCGCGCATTGCATCGTCAATTTGTACAAATCCGTATCGAGGAGTGAGAACACTCCATTCGGCATGGAAGGCGAATCCTCTTGGCCCATTTTGGAGGGGCTATCTGCTGGACTTTGCCGTTACGAAGGACGCCAATTGGTTTGAGTAGCAGAAGAGCACTGTAGGAGATCTATACTGTACTCATGAACTTAGAAAGTTTTTAGAAAGAAGAAAGGGTCTTGGGCGTTATTCCTTATCAACTATCCATTAATTTTCACCGCGGGGAACATACAAGCAAGCGTGCAATTTGCATTGTTTGCATGATACATGCAATGCAGCATTAGATCTAAGCGACGTCATAAAAGCAGAGCAATACAGAGAGCCCCGTATACTCCTATAAACAGATATCAGTTCACTTTCGGCCGACGGGAAATTCCTTCTACCCACCCTATACTTGAGAAAACCAGAAAGAAATTCCATTTGAGTGAGCCGTCCCAACCAAGTGTGCCCTATGCCACCGAAGTTGTCTAAGATGACTGCGGCTGGTGATGTGGCGCATGAAATGCGGTGCTGATATAATCAACATCACATGATCAGCAGTTCTGCTCCGCAAATGACCCTCCGACAACTTCCTTCTCATCTCCAAGTTTATCGTTAGTTGCATCCACGCGACGTGGCCGCGTTACTCGATTTATCCAGGAAGAGCCGGAATTCAGCTTGACTGATACTTCTCTCATATTTTATTCAGGCCGACAACTACCAAACTTGTGATTAAAGGCTAAGGATGGCGCATGGTGCAGAGGATTGCGCTTCCGTATTGGAACAGTTCGTTCACGATGTGGCAAATCTCCCGGCAGAGATCAACCACTTGATGGAGGAGATACAGGCGAAAGATAAGACCGTCCAAGAGTGTCGTGCAACTATCAACTCCAGGGACAGCAGTTTGCAGAAATTTATCAGACTTAACGGTAGTCTGGCACCGAATTCAAAAGAAGAGCAGTACAACAAAACAATCTTGCAGAATATCGATATTTGCCAGCAATTACAGGATGAGAAGATCCAATTGAGTGAGAAGGCTTGCATCCTGCTTGACCGTCAGATCAAGAAGTTAGATATCAAGATTCGTGACCTGCAGAATGATGGCGTGCTTCCTAAGGACCCCCCTATTCCATCTCTGTTTAATTCGAAAGACCAATATCGGGATCCTCCAAAGGTTTTCTTTCCCGATTCGAACCCATCCGACTCAACGTCTTACTCTTCTCCTCTTAACCCCACATCTGGGAATGCCAACATTGCATTAAATGTTTCCCAGAGGCTCAATCAAACACTGCGCCGTTCAACAAGTGCCGCTGCCTTGGCCACGCAAAATATCGTGCGGAACTCCGCCCCGGCGACTCCTGCGTCAGCTGCGGCTCATCTTCAGCAAAGACAACGTGAATCGTCCGCTGGGGCGGTAGATAGTAAGCGTCGTCGTCTTAATACCTCTGTAGGGAGTCTTCCTACAACGTCTTCAAACCTCCGGCAATCTTCTATTGGCCCTGGCACACCCAAAGCCGGCACGCCTGTATCTAACCGCGCAGGCAGTGCCGGACCTCGTGCAGCGAGTACGACAAAAAAAGCCCTGACTAAGAAAGTTGCACCTCACCAACAGGTTAAGAAAATTAAGGCATCCACCCATGGCAGGCCACCAAAGCGGTCTTCAAGTGCAAGTGGCCGTTTGAAGATCACAGCCGGACTAAAGAAATCTCCCTCTACAGCCGGTGACGAGGAGGATGACGAATCCGTTCTGAGCAGTGCGGATATATCTGACTCGGAGGACACGAGCGTATCAAGGCACGCTGATGAAGAAATGAATGAAGATGAGGAGGATGAAGGCAATGAGGATTCAAAAGTTTATTGTACATGTCGCAGTGTTAGTCATGGCGACATGGTTGCCTGTGACAATGATAGTTGCCCCTATGAATGGTTCCACTGGAAGTGTGTAGGCTTGACGAGAGAACCGGTGGGGACATGGTACTGCGATGAGTGTCGGAAGACACTGGGGAAGTAACATGTCTTCGGCGCTGGTCATGTGCCGCCTATTGCTGTTTTGTTCACATCACTGAACACTGTAACTATACCCAATATGTTGTTTCTGTTACTCTCAAGGCTCTCTGGACAGAGGATTTAATGGTATGTCATGATGTCTCTGTTTTGATTCTAAGATGACCTCGTGCTTTGTCGAACACATTGAAAGCAACAGAACCCTCAACCGTAACCAATGCCAGACCATACAAATTTCTAACGCCATCGCTATGCGAATATTGATCGATGTAATTTTGCTCTTTTCTTTTTCTTCCCCGACAACTTGCGCGTCATTAAGCATGCGGCAATAACATGGAATATAGTGCCGAACGGATGAAGTAGAATCTCACTTCGAAATTTAAAACCCAAGGGCCGCTTCAAGCCAAGGGTCAAAGTATTCACAAGTCTCGGGACTGACCGCACCATTAGAAGCACAGAGCTTAAAAACAGGGCACTGGCCGCAAGGCGCCTCTGTCATACCATTTTGGGCCAGCCTCCGCTTTGCTTCTGTCTCATCAATCGGTTTTCGAGACTGCCTCGCCTTAATAGCATCGGGGTTCTTGACAGCTTTGTAGAATTTGCCGTTCTCCAATGCGACCAATTTGTTGTCATAGCAGAGCATCTCAAGGAGCTGGACAATGCTATCCTCCCCTAGGCGGACAGGAGTGATGCCACTCTCATTCACGGCTGCGGTAATCATCGAAGCGGTCGCATAGCCTTTGTAGTCGTAGGGGAAAGGTAGGTAAGTCTTCTCGGACGTCTCTGATTTCACAGCGAAACCTCCATCACTTGTTTTGATGCGTTTGTTGCGATGTCCTGCATCAGCCGGAACTTCATACCAGCTTTTCCGACTCACGGTGTATTCGATGAACCCAGCAACACTGTTTATGAAGTTTTCATCCAGGACTCCATCCGTGAACCACGCGCCACCGGTCACGTCCTCGCTCGGGGCGAGGCCGGCGAGCATGTACATTTTCCGCGTGGGGAACTTAACATTGTGAACGCTCTTGATGTAGTTCTTTCCCTCGAGAGACTTGAGGCAGCGATCAAGAATAGATTTGTGTAACCCAGTTCGCTTTCCGATGGCGCGGACCCATATACCGGAGCGGGCTGTAGAATGAATAACGCTATATACGAGACTTTCGTCGGGGCTGAGATTCTGGAGTCTGAATTTTGACGATTAAGAGGGAACGAGTCAGCAAACCAGAGTTTCAAAGAATAACAACCATAATAAAAAAATTACTTTTCAGCATCTTCCCGCGCTATCACCTTCCACGCTAAGCGGTCATTTTTGCCCTGAAGGAGACGGAACAATTTCTGATCGACGAGCGACTGGGCGCATTGCAGAAGAAGCGCTAAGTCATTTTTAGGGATAACACCCAAGCCCATCAGGTCTTGCTGATAGAATAATTGATCAGGAGGGAAGCCTTTGACGCATTTGTCGTAGAGCTGAGAGGCGAGCTCAGCAACTGAGCTGCCAGATGGCCCCGCGGAGGCCATTGCGAGATGAAGATTTCGAGGTACAATTCAGAATCGCAGTCACCGAAAAGGCTTATGAAAGGTCATATTCGAACAAACGCAAGTAAGGACAACAAAATCTGGCAACTATAAAAAGTCAAAAAAGACAGAGCCAACACGAGGGGAAAGGAAAGGCTTGCTATGCCTGATATTATGCGGCGCTGGATGACCAGAGATACTCTTTTTTTCCCACAGACCTTAAGCGCTAGTCCACAGAAGGCTTAGTTGGAGGAAGCTTGTTTAGTGCGTTGTGCCTGAGGCTGAAATGTTCTGCCTGACTGTTCAGTGTTGATGCCTGAGGCATAAAGAGTCCCGGGGAAATTTCGAGAAGCTCCGGGTAGAAGCTCATATTGGAGAGTTCTGGATCTTCCCACCCGAATCCCTTCACCGTTTCACTATCTGGTCATATCTTCTTACTTTTCCTTGAGAGAGAAAAGGCACTCCAACAGTATGGCTGACGCATTGAAGGCAGAAGGCAACAAGGCTTTCTCTGCCAAAGACTACCCTACCGCGATGTATGTATCTACCCCGCGTCTAGCAGCAGATGGATCAGACGGTCCATGGAGACGGGCTGGTGAGCTAATTCGTTCACAGTGAGAAATTCACCCAGGCTATTGGACTTGATGCGAGCAACCACATCCTCTATTCCAACCGTTCTGCGGTGTACGCCGCCCAATCGGAATACCAAAAGGCGCTCGACGATGCCAACAAGGCGATTGAACTCAAGTCTGACTGGTCCAAGGGCTATCTCCGTAAAGGCGCAGCTTGCCGTGGTCTGGGGGATCTACGTGAGTGATACTTTGATTTACTGTCGGCTATAATGGAGTTGCTAACTGAACGCGAAGTCGCTGCACACGATGCCTACGAGGAGGCTCTGAAGCTCGAACCCAACAACGAACAAGCAAAGAATGGGTTTAATGCAGTGAAGCGAGCAATCGAAGCCGAAGCTGCGGCTGATGGCGCTTCTGGAGACCCACTAGGTGGTCTTGGAGGCATTTTCAACGACCCTCAACTATTCCAGAAGTTGGCCAGCAACCCGAAGACCTCTGGGCTCCTTGCGGACGGGGAGTTCATGGCGAAGCTGCAGCGTATCCGGCAAAATCCGAATAGCATCGGAGAGGAGATCAGAGACCCGCGTTTCTTGCAGGTCATGAGTGTGCTCATGGGATTTGACCTGAGCTACGGAGCTCCTCCAGAAGGTGCCCAGCCCGCTAGCTCCGCAGCTGCTGAGGAGGATGTGCCGATGAAAGAAGCGCCTCGCCCCGCTGAGACGAAGAGGGAGCCAGAACCCGAACCCGAACCGGAAGATGAGGAAGTCATTGCAAAGAAGAAGGCGAAGGAAGCTGCCGATGCGGAGAAGAAGATTGGAAATGACTTCTACAAGAAGAAACAGTTTGACGAGGCCATAGAGCACTACAACAAGGCCTGGGAGCTGAACAAGGACATTACATATCTGAACAACATTGGGGCTGCTAAATTCGAGAAGGGTGACCTTCCAGGAGCCATTGACATCTGTCAAAAGGCCGTCGAAGAAGGTCACGAGCTTCGGGCGGACTTCAAAGTCATTGCGAAGTAAGTTGTATTATTGCGAGTGTGGCTCTTTCAGCGGCTAACAAAATGAAAAGGTCCTTCGCTAGAATAGGTACTGCCTATGAGAAACAGGGAGAGCTCACCCAGGCGATCGAATTCTACCACAAGTCGCTTACCGAACACCGGACTCCTGATGTCCTTACGAAGCTTCGAAATGCGGAGAAGGCCAAGCTTAAGGCGGAGAGGGATGCTTACATTGACCCAGTTGAGGCTGAGAAAGCTCGTGAGCTTGGCCAGAAGAAGTTCCAGGAGGCCGACTGGCCCGGCGCCGTTGAGGCTTTCACTGAGATGACTAAAAGGGCACCCGATGATGCTCGGGGATTCTCCAACCGTGCTGCCGCTCTCATTAAACTCATGGCTTTCCCCCAAGCCGTGCAAGACTGTGATGAGGCTATCCGCCGCGATCCCAAGTTCATCCGTGCTTACCTCCGCAAGGCGCAGGCTTTGATGGCAATGAAGGAAAATAACAAAGCGTTAGATGTCTGCGCAGAAGCGTCTGAAAACGACGTGGAAGGAAGACACACACGGGAAATAGAGCAACAACAACAGAAGTGTTTGGATGCTCAGTTTAGCGCGCGCGCTGGAGAGACCGAGCAGCAGACCATGGAGAGGATCCAGAATGACCCAGATGTGAGTGGTGGCATTTTTGATCGCATATTTTGAAGAGATGCTAATTAGTGAATTTGACAGATTATGGCCATCTTGCAGGATCCAGTCATGCAGAGTATTCTTCAGCAGGCCAAGAGCGACCCTGCAGCGTTACAAGAACACATGAAAAACGCTCAGGTCCGGATGAAGATCCAGAAACTGATTGCGGCCGGTGTCATCCGCCTGGGACGGTGAACAACAAACTGAGGTCACGTATGAGATAGGATATCTATTTTCAGAGAACGAGACTGTCTTTTCATGGAATGTTGGGGGTATTGTGTGTTTCGACAGGAAAAGCATGATTAATCGGCAGTTGAAGATGAGACTTGAGGTATAAGTTGTCTTGCATGGAAGCACGATGTATCTTTGTATTCTACAGTTATTTTTCCCCCCCCCTTATGATATGACAATGAGAAAATCACCATTCCATCATTGGTTTTCAATGCACTCAGTGGGGCTGGCAGTTGAAGTAGATTGGGATGTCCGTGCCAGTCTGAAGGGCAGTGTAGGTAGAATGTACACGCGGCATAAGCATTGTTACCCCACTAAGCTGGACCTTCATGATATAATGATAATGATATGCGGACCAACAAACAAGAGGTTTCAGCTTCGGCTTCAGCTCAGCCCAGCCCAGCCCATGCCGATCTAAATGCAGCAGTGGAGTAGATAAAAGTAATATATATCCGTGGTGGTGGGTGACACTTGTGTGTCCATTGCCCACGCACTGCACACTGTCTGCCGGCAATATGGGAGACAAGAGTCGTACAAATTGTCCAGAGATTCCATCTGGACAATGGATTCTGTACTGGTAAATGCCAGCTAGTCAATTGCAAAGAAAGCTGTCCGTCTAATTAGTTATCAAATGACCAGACTGTGTGTTCTATAGCATGCACATTATTTCCACCATGGACAATGGAATATACACGACACGCAAGACGATCCGATCAGCATCTGCATGACAGGATGAGCATTGAGATCTGGGCAGATGGATGATAGATAGATATGAACGTGCTACAAAGGCAGTTCTTAAGCCGGACTGAGATCTACGAATCGGCAATGAGAGCCACGTGTACTCTGTGTATGATTGGTCGATCTGGATTTTTTTTTTTTTTTTTTCTCTCTGCGAGTGATAAGCGAAGTGGAAATCCTCTTTCACAGTGGAGTGTCACAGCTATTCCTGGTGATGTCTGGAAATTAAAGAGAGACAATAATTAATGACAATCCACCGCTAATAATACGAGTGGTGCGCATAGCCTCAGATGGTACGTGTAATGTGGCTGTTCCCTAACAGTAATATTTGTACGGAGTATGTAACAATACAACACTACAACACATGAATGTGGCGCAGGTTTTGTGGCTGGGAAAGGGTCCAATGGACGGCAGCAGAGTTATATAGATCTGGCGCCGGCAAAGTCTAAGCGCGTCGCATCTCCACCGAAGCATCTGATAGATGCTCGTTCATCCGGTGTCTCTTGTTAGTATTATGATAATAAAATAAATTATTTTTCCCGAGGTTCCATTCCCCACGTCTCTTCGGTTCCTGGTACGTCACTGACTCGAACCTGTGCTTCTGCTTTTCGATTCTTTTTTATCGCCTGCAATCCATCTCCATCTCCATCTTCTTTCTTCCTCTCTCACTAAAGTCACTCTCTTCCTTCACTCGTGCGGGTGAAGTATATACAGTCGTCTGGCCAGTGGTGTCACCAGCCACCACTACTTTTACATTGCGAATCCTCGTGCATTGACCATTCCTGTTTGGGTAAGTCTGTCGGATCACCTCTTAGTACTTACGGGGCATTATTATTATTATCATTCCATTTATTCTATTTCCGGATTCCCAGCTCTTCTCAATTCCAAATCCCCCCATCTCAAATCCTCCTATCCTTGCAATTTATTATTTAGTATCACCATCTGTTCTGCCATACTCAATCCCCCTTCCTCCCCTTCACTTCCGTACTTGACTGGTTTCTGGCGGACTAACCCGTTCTCTCCCCACCGCTTCCAGATCCTTGCCTGTTATCCGCCGTGGAGACAGCTGAGCTCGGGACGCACCCAACTAGTCGTCTGTCCGCCCACTCTTCGCGAACCTCCTTCACCCTGCGCTCGAAACTTCTTTCTTTCCAACCTCTCTGTTTCTTATTCTTTGTTCCTTGTCCTCTTTTCTCGCCGGGGTTTTTGCATTTGCAGCTTCGAGTCTCAATTCTTCCCATGCGGTTCTAATCGACCTCTCCCCTTGACCGCACTGCGTTGAAGGTGTCTCCGGTATCCAAATCCACCTCCATCATAGCCTCAGGCGTGCGCCATGTCGCTCAATAACGGCAACGTCAACGTGAACGTCAACGGCAGGGAGAACCATCAGGCTCCAGCTAATGGTCCTAAGGCTCCCGTGAACGGCGTTCGGGCTCCCGCCCTTGACCTTTCTCCCGACAAGGTTGAAGAGTCCTTGGTGGAAGAGTCTAGGAAAGCGGGCGTTCCTGCCTTCAAATTCGATCCAGATGCACCTCCTGAAGCTAAAGCATCGGCGGCGAAATCAGTATGTTCCCCATTGCGGGTCTTCAACGCTCCCGCTGCGCATCGCTGACTGACACCGTTCTTTCTCGCGTAGGAAGAACCCTCAATGCCAATCCCTGAAAAGAAACCCAAGGCAGTCGCTGTTGTTACGGATAAGGTATCGTCCCCGTCGGTTTCGCAGCAAGAATTGGTTAAGTAGCGCTATTCGCTAACTTTGGAATGATTTCCGTAAAGACTCAGGATGTTACCGTCCAGGAGGACTTACCTCCCCCAGAATCAGCGGACTCCCTGGAGAAACTAAAAGTTCCCGGAGAATTTACCGAGGATCTGCGATTTGCACGCGACAGAACCGGTTGGGCGCCACGATTTGAGATTGTGAAAACCGAAGAGGAAGAGAATGAAGGTACCCTATTAGACCACCAGACTTTCCTGGAGTCTAAGTTGGATGATAAATTCTTTGGAGGTGTGTAGATGATACAGCGGCCCTGCCTCCTGAATTGGAAGCTAATCAATGCACCACCTTGCGAATGACAGACTGGTATCACAATGCGGGTGTGATTGTTTTCGCCTGTCTGAGTTCCTGGCTTGTTGCAGTCCTAGGCGGAGGCATTGCGTGGATCATGCTTATCATGGCAACCTGTGGCACATACTACCGGACCTCAGTTCGGCGCGTGCGTCGCAATTTCCGAGACGATGTCAACCGAGAAATGGCGAAGCAACGCCTCGATACCGACACAGAAAGCCTGGAGTGGATTAACAGTTTCCTAGTCAAATTTTGGCCTATCTTTGCACCGGTCCTGTACGACGGCGTGATCAACTCGGTCGATCAGGTTCTCAGCACGGTGACCCCTCCGATGGTCGACAGCATGAGGCTGAAGACCTTCACACTTGGAACGAAGCCTCCGCGGCTAGAATATGTCAAGACCTATCCGAAGACGGATCCGGACAGCATCGTCATGGATTGGAAATTCAGTTTCACCCCGAATGATATCATGGACTTGACGGCACGGCAGCTGAAGGACAAGATAAATCCCAAGGTTGTCTTGGAGGTCAGAATTGGCAAGGGCGTCTTGAGCAAGGGCCTTGATGTCATCGTCCAGGATATGGCTTGTTCCGGATTGATCAGGGTGAAGATCAAGCTGCAGATTGACTTCCCGCACGTCGAGCGAATCGATGTATGCTTCTTGGAGCGACCTGAAATTGATTACGTCTGCAAGCCTCTTGGTGGAGACACTCTAGGTTTCGACGTCAACTTCATACCCGGATTGGAAAGCTTCATCAAAGAGCAAATTCACAGCAATCTAGCACCGATGATGTATGCTCCTAATGTTTTCCCCGTTGAGGTTGCCAAAATACTGTCCGGCAACGCAGTGGATCAAGCCATCGGTGTCGTCGCCGTAACCATTTATGGAGCCAGGAACCTGAAGAACCCCGACGCATTCGCCGGGACGCCTGATCCGTATGCAACGGTATCTATCAACGACCGACATGAGCTGGGTCGCACCAAGACTATCCTTGATACGGACAGCCCAACCTGGAATGAGACTCTCTACGTCATCATCACCTCCTTCGCAGATTCGCTTACAATTGCAGTCTATGACTGGAATGAATTCCGAAAGGACAAGAAACTTGGCACGGCCACCTTCGCGATGGACCAACTTGAAGAGAATCCGGATCATGAAAATCTTTTCCTCGAGGTCCTTTCCAGCGGCAGGTCTCGTGGCGGTTTGAGGACTGATATCAGGTTCTTCCCTGTTCTGGAGGGCAGAACACTGGAGACTGGAGAAATTGAACCCCCACCAGAGTCCAACTCCGGTATTGCAAGGTTCACTGTCGAGCAGGCAAAAGAGCTTGACTCCGGGAAGAGCATGGTTGGCGCCCTGAACCCATACGCGGTACTTCTACTGAACGGGAAGGAAATCCATACGACGAAGACGCTCAAGCGCAACAATAACCCTATCTTCCCAGATTCTTCTACGGAGATCCTGATCACTGACCGCAGAAGAGCCCGCCTCGGCGTTGCCATTAAGGACGAAAGGGACCTTATGTCACACCAAGTTGTCGGTAGTTATCAGATCAAGCTAAATGACATGCTGAGGATGATGGATAAAGGCCAGGAATGGTTCCAGCTCCGCGGTACGAAATCAGGAAAAGCCAAATTGACATTGCAGTGGAAACCAGTTGCGCTTGGAGGCATCGCTGGAGGCATGGGCTATGTTGATCCCATTGGCATCTTGCGCATACACTTCAAGTCTGCGTCAGATCTTCGCAACCTGGAAACTGTGGGTAAGTCTGATCCATATGCGCGGGCTTTGCTGTCTGGTATCGTCCAAGGTCGGACCGTCACTTTCAGGAGCAACCTCAATCCAGAGTGGGATGAGGTTGTCTACGTCCCGATTCACAGCTCCCGTGAGAAGTTATCTTTGGAAGTTATGGACGAGGAGAGTACAGGCAGCGACAGGTCACTTGGCGCGGTCGAAGTCAGTGTTGCAGACTTCGTTCGGGAGGGCGAGAACGGGGAGTATGAAATAGACGATGAAAAGCAGCTCATAACTAGTGGACTACGGCTCGGAAGAAATGCCCCTAAGGGTCATCTGAACTATACTATCGCATTCTATCCTGCTGTGCCAGTAGTCAATCCGGAAGAGGAAGAGAAGGAGGAAGCAGAGGAAGAGAACGAGGCGCCTGGCGATATCTCATCAGTTGCGGCGTCGAGGAAGAGAAGCGATTCCACAAAGACTTCACTTTCCACGAAGACATCGCACTCCAGGAAAAGCTCTTCTGGGAGAATTTCCAATGGGACAACACCGAATAGCACGCAGACCAAAGGCACACCAGACGCTGAGCCCACTCCCAGGACATCGGAAGCTCGATCGGAGGAACGGCCGAAGGCAGTTCCCAAGATCCTCATTAATACCGAAAACCTTACTGAATACGGTAAATTCCCCGTTGATGATCTACGTAACATCGGCCGAGGTTTCGTTTTTGTCGTATATTGTCTGTTGGTATCTGACTTCTACGGGCAGAATCCGGGTTTATCGTGTTTAAGATTCACGACGTTAAACTGTTGCATTCCAATGTGTACATTCAAATTCTAATGGATGACTATATGTTTCCGAGCTACATTTCCGCCAAGATTCCATCGAAGACAGCCAAGTTCTCTGATGGTACGTGTTGCCATCCTTTGCATATTTTCTTTTCTTTTTGATGTCGTTCCTACTGTATCTGGAGTACTGACTTGACTTGGGTATAGTCGGAGATGCATTCGTTCGTGAACTCGAATGGTCGAAAATGACCGTCCGACTTGTTGACAAGATTGATGCCAAGGACGATGCTGATGATCATACACTTGCCAAATTGACTGGTGAAACATTACGTACTTTGTACAAGTGCTTGGTATGGAAGCTCCAGTACCTAAAATCGCGGCTGGAAATGTCACTAACCCTGCCATAGTACAATCCAATGCCGCTTGTACTCCGGTCGAAGGAGGGCGAGAATGTAATTACGGTTAGCGCTAGGTACATTCCTGTCACGATGAAGCTGGATCCCACTGAGAGTGTCCACAACATGGGTACATTGCGAGTAAAAGTTTTGGATGCGGCAGATCTCCCGTCAGCGGACCGGAACGGCTTCAGTGATCCATTCTGCAAGTTCGTGCTGGGAGATAAGGAAGTCTTCAAAACCAAAGTGCAGAAGAAGACGCTTCATCCTGTGTGGAACGAAGAGTTCGTGACTGAGATCAAATCCAGGATCGGCGCCAACTTCCGAGTGGATGTGTATGACTGGGACTTTGGCGAACGCGCGGACTTCTTGGGCAGTTCTCCGATTGACCTGGAAACGTTGGATCCAGGTCAGAGCAAGGACGTGACTCTGAGACTCGATGGGAAGTCGGGAACTTTGACGCTGCGGCTTCTCTTCAACTCGTCGTATGTGCAGCGGTCCAGACAGGGGACTTCAGCCTTCCACGGCACTTTTGCTGCGCCGGTGAAGATTGTCGGTGCTCCCGTCAAGGGAGTCGGGCTTATCGGCGGCGGTGTGGTTAGGGGAGCATCATTCCTGAAGTACGGCCTGCTAGGACGCAAGAAGGACGGTGATTCTGCGGAAGAAACCATGAGCGTCGCGGAGGAGGCAACCACAGATGGAGTAGTGCCTCCCCCAGCGATAGTCGAGGAGCCGGCACCTCCTACCTCGAGTAGTGTCAATTCCTCTGGCCTCCAGCACGCACGCAGCCGAAGTAGCGTCTCACAGGTAACAAGTTTGGTACCTGGAAAGGCGGAGTCTGGAGTCGCAACAATCGCTATTGTCTCTGCCAGCGGGTTCCCAACGTCCACGCACCTGCGGGTACACGTGCGGATGGTTGGGCCTAAGGGATCGAAGGACGTGCATAAAACTAAAGCCATCAAGGATGGCGGCAGTGGCAGGGTGCAATACGACGCCAACCACGAGACCTTCAGGGTGCATGCGACTGCGGACACGCGGTACCAGCTGCGAGTGGTGAACCATGCGACGTTTGGCTCGGATACCGTCCTTGGTGACGGCGTTTTCTTCGTGGACGACCAAGGATCGGTATCCGGGCAGGACAAGACAGTCAACGTAGGTGAAGGCGTCGTCGTGGTGCGCAGCAGCTTTGCCCCGTCTGACCAGCCGAGACCGTCAACTTCTCAACGGCGGCCGTCGACATCACGCTCGGTGAGGGGTGACGGGGCCTCTGAACTATTGGAAAGCCCGGACTCCCACAAGACTCGGAGGAGCATCCTTGGGCGGCGAAATGTTAGTGGGGCTTAGGGCAGGACACTAGAGACTGCAGGAAGTCGAGTGATGTCTGCGTTACTCCTTTTCATTCTCTGGATGGACCTTGTTTTGTCCGTCGCGGTGTCGCGATTGCTGTTTTCCGGTCATTCATTATGTAGTATTCTCTCTTCTTTCTATGGCTCGGATACGATGCAAGCTTTGTCAAATTGCCTTTTTTCCCTTGTTCTTTTTGGTGTATATATCTACTATCTAACTACCCCATGGAGCGTTGCTTGCCTTCGATGACCGAACAATGACTATTTACAGCCCGGTGGAACCGGCGTATGAAACACAGCGACGACGGCATGGTGATGCGAGGTGCCGGAGTTCGCCAGCAGCGGGCACGGCGAATCATAGCGAGCACCGTGGCCGCGGGCTGTCTCTATATAATAATAATCGACATTATACGAGGCAGCTGAACGGACCGGGTTTCTGGCTGTTCTATATATAAACCCGGGCAGTCTTGGCCGAAGCAATGCCGGTGTAGGGATCGAGCGAGGTGCATCCATTCTAGACCGACGGCAGGCTATCTCTCTCCGTGTTTTAAAATTGGGTGTTGGCTACGAGGACTTAGATTAATGTAATATTAGCAGATGCAATAATTAGATCTGCGAGAAATTGGGCAAAGCCGCTGCGGATCTTTTAATATAACATCCTACATGCACGGCATCGCAGTCTCGGAGACAGGATCCGCTGCATGCAGGCCGTAGACCGTCGCGGGTAAATAGAGCAGAGCAAGTAAACAGCCAGGATCAGATCGGATTGGACTATTAGCTGCAGAGCCTGACGTGGAGGAATCGAAGCAGGTGGAAGAGAAGAAGCGACGCCGGGGATACGTCGCATCAGAGCCAGGGAGTTGCTGAAGATCGCATGTCCATCCTAGCTCCTCTGGCGCTCCCCACCAGCTATTAGACCTCCTATTATTTCTTCTCACCCTTCTCCTCTCTCTTTCTCTCTCCCTCTCTCCTCTCTTCCATCGATCTCATCTCCTCCCTCCCATCCCTCTGCTGGCCATTGCCATCCGCCCTCCTCCAGGTGAGTCCCAATCCCGTTCTGCATACCCGATGACGGCAACCTGTCGACATGGCTACACCGCTGTGGCAATTCCCCCCTGGCAGCACTGTCTTTCTCTCCAGCCTGGCTTCATCCTAATGCCCCCCCTTATTCTGCTGAATCCTGATAAGATCGTTGATCTCCCCCTCCATCCAAAGTCGTAAATCTAGCTGACGGAATCCTGTTTCTGTAGTAAAACAAACCCAGCTCATCTCTGAAGCAAAGCACTGCTTGCTCGACTCGGTTATTCGCCCCCATTTCATTCTACACATATCTGCATAATGGCCGCCAAGGCTCTCCCTACTCATCTCAAAGCCCCCGCGAATGATTTCTCCTCTGGTGGTTTCGGGGGAAGCACCATGGGAAGTCCCAGTCTCATATGGTAAGTTGCACTATGTTCTGGCCTGTTTAATTGGGAATGGGGAAGAAGGAGGTTCAAAAAGAGAAACAGTGAAGAGGGAGAGTGAGTGAGGAGTGAGAGAGAGAAAGAGAGACGCACGGGAGATTGGGGAAGCTACTTGCCAACAGGACCAGTAGTCGCGTTTAGATGCGTGGATGTGTGAATGCTTCCTTCTGTATTCACTGTCTGGTCTCAGACCTCACCCAGCTTGTCTTACTCATTGGCAGGAGATTCTCTCCCCTCCTCTCTCTCCTCTTCATCCTCCACCGCCCCCCATTCCAACAGCTTGCATCGATACACTCCTTATCATCCTTGCATTGCCCCACATTCGTTTTGTCTACAGCTTAATTTGTGTCTATTTTCTATTATCGTCTAATCTTTTCCCTACGATCGCATCATGTCTCCTCTACTGACTTCTGGTGCCCCCAAACAGGCGTTCGAGAATGCCTCCACCAGCGTTGCTGCGTCTCAGATGCGAAATGCTCTGAATGCTCTCGCGGAGACCGTTCCTGACTCTTCGGAGAAGAAGCGTTTCGAGGCTGAGATGGACAACTTCTTCGCCCTCTTCCGTCGATTCCTCAATGACAAGGCCAAGGGCAATGTGGTCAATTGGGATCGGATTGCCCCTCCCCAGCCCCAGCAGGTCGTCAGCTACGAGGATTTGGGTAACGAGGCGTCTGTTGAGTTCCTTAAGAAGCTGGCTGTTGTGAAGCTGAACGGTGGTCTTGGTACATCCATGGGTTGCGTTGGCCCCAAGTCCGTCATTGAGGTCCGTGAAGGCATGTCCTTCCTCGATCTCTCTGTGCGTCAGATTGAGCATCTGAACCGCACCTACAACGTGAACGTGCCCTTCGTCCTGATGAACTCCTTCAACACCGACCAGGACACTCAATCTATCATCAAGAAGTACCAGGGACACAACGTTGACATCATCACCTTCAACCAATCCCGTTACCCTCGCATTATCAAGGACTCCCTTCTGCCTGCTCCTAAGAGCTTCGACGCACCTCTACAGGACTGGTATCCCCCCGGTCACGGTGACGTCTTCGAATCGCTGTACAACTCGGGAACGCTCGACCTGCTTCTGGAGCGTGGCGTCGAGATCATCTTCCTATCTAATGCCGACAACTTGGGTGCCGTTGTCGATCTGCGTATCCTGCAGCACATGGTTGACACCCAGGCCGAGTACATCATGGAATTAACGGACAAGACCAAGGCCGACGTCAAGGGTGGTACCATCATCGACTACGATGGCAAGGTTCGTCTTCTGGAAATCGCCCAGGTGCCCAAGGAGCACGTCAACGAGTTCAAGTCCATCAAGAAGTTCAAGTACTTCAACACCAACAACATCTGGATGAACCTGCGTGCCATCAAGCGTGTGGTCGAGGAGAACGAGCTGGAGATGGAGATTATCGCCAATGAAAAGTCCATCCCCGCTGACAAGAAGGGCGAGGCCGACCAGGCTATCTACCAGCTGGAGACGGCTGTTGGCGCGGCCATCCGCCACTTCCGCAATGCCCACGGTGTCAACGTTCCGCGCCGTAGGTTCCTTCCCGTCAAAACCTGCTCTGACCTGCTGCTCGTCAAATCCGACCTGTACCGCCTCGAGCACGGCCAGCTGGTCATGGACCCCAACCGTTTCGGTGGTGTTCCCGTCATCAAGCTAGGATCGGACTTCAAGAAGGTGTCGGACTTCCAGAAGCGCATTCCTAGCATCCCGAGGATCGTCGAACTGGATCATCTCACCATCACCGGTGCCGTCAACCTAGGTCGCAATGTGACGTTGAAGGGCACTGTGATCATTGTGGCCACGGAAGGCAGCACCATCGACATCCCGCCAGGCTCTATTCTCGAGAACTGCGTTGTCCAGGGCAGTCTGAGGATCCTCGAGCACTAATCTGGACCAGGGTCCACTAATTCTTCTATTGCCTTCAATTCAGTTTCCGTTTTCTTCTTTTTGAGTTCCTGCTCTCTTCTGGAGGCCAGTGCATATTTCTATTAACCTCGAACGTGACTAGATAGTACATGCTGGGGGGAGAACTGCGCCGGCCTGGTAGATAGATCGATTTTGTTTTCGGTTGATTGTCTGGGAGGCGCACGCACGGCAAGGGAAATTGCGCGGGGAGACTTATGCAAGGCGACCCGTGATTTTTTGCAAGGGATCCTGTTCATTGTTTTATATGCATCTTTTAAATTACAAAATAGGAGATTTTAATTCTGCACCGTGGTAATTCCTGCAGTGTATCCTCCGTACTCTGTATGCAGTGTTATGTGTCTATACAAGCGTAGGCAGGGAACATACAACCTGATGTATCACGTGACTAATGGGCCTCGGCCAAGTCTTCTGCACATTGTCTTGGCTCCTCGGCGAGACCTGGCAAACGCGCGACCTATCGAGTTCTCCGCGACCATGGCTGGGTTTTCGGTCCTCTGCAATGGCATTCTCTGGATAGCTTGCGTCTCGAACGTGATCACAGCCCGGCAGAGTGGAACAGGGCGTCAACGGCAGGTGGGCAACTGGTAATTCGCTGCAAGTCACCCAGTCACCTGAACACGTTTCTCGGCCTTCGCAGACCGGTGGAGAACATGGTTCTTGACTTTCTGGGTCCAGCCGGCTCTCTGGGAAGGGGGCCCGAATGGGGGGATGGAGACGATATACGACGCTTAAAAAGAGCTCGGCCCGAATGGGGAAACGGTACGAGGGACGAAAATAAAATGGACAACGGAAGGACGGAGCGGAGAGGAAGAAAGCCACCGATAAGCATCTAAAAGAGAAGATCATCAAGGGCAAAAGGGACTGAAAAGAATGAAGCTCAGACGCTGAGACAATTATCTCATCCGAACGCCCATCTCCTGGCGCGGAGTTTGGTTCCTTATGACCTCAGCGGCCGTCATGGCCTCACTCTGGACGATGTTCGCCCAGCATTCTTGGATCAATTGGCTGGCATACGGGCCCCTGACTAGAACCATCCAGTCAGCAGCATGGGCTGCAGGTTTCTTGCGAACCTACTCCAGTTCATCGACTATTCTTTCTGTCTGTGCAGAGCTAGCCTCTCCCGCCTAATGCATGCTCGTATTGCCTTTCATATTGCGCTGCGTCCGTGACTACACACTATATTATTATATGATTATTATAACACGCTGGAGGTGAAAATCTGGGAGTGGCCCTCTGTTTTATTGATCTTTTGAGTTTTGGGGGATATCTGTTTCTATTTTTTCCCCCGTCACGTATAAATTTTACTTTCCCCCCTCTCCTGTTGGGATAACTTATTATTGGAGTTGGTTCCGAGGACATATGTAAGGCCTGCATACATATCTGTGTCGGTTCTGACTGTTTGGATTTAACTGTTCTTCGTCTTCTATCTCGGTCGTCACTTCTCTGGTATCGTTTCATCCACGACACTGCCAACTCGACAGGAGTTGTACATCTGCTTTTCTGGGCGTCTGCTCTTTGCACGCCCTTCTCATATTTCCTAGATTCACTTTGCTGCACCGTTCCCATGTCTCAGCATGGAAGACTCGACGCAATATCGCCATATCGTGCCAGGGCCCTCTCCGACATCTGAGGGTAGTCCACCTCGAGACACCGCGGTGGCCTCATCCAGCCAGTGGAAGAAAAGGGTTTCAACGGCTTGTTTGGCCTGTAAGAAGTCGAAACGGAAGGCAAGTCCTGGTGTATTTGGCGTTGTTGCTGCCGCTTCCTGCTGTGACTATGTGACCTGTTGAAGGCGCATATTTATCCGTAAGAGAATAGTATTGAAGTGTTGACCACTGGTGATATCAAACAGTGCTCCGGTGTACCACCATGTGATAACTGTCGTGCTTTCAATCGTGTCTGTATCTTCGACGAATCCCTTGATCAACGGCGTCGCGTTGCCGCGAAACGAACCGTCGACGAGCTTAACTACCATCGGAATCTGCTCAATGATTTATTCAAAGTAATCCGCTCTGCGGATGAGTCGCAAGCACTTCGACTCCTTGATCTCATCCGTAGCGAGGCTTCCTCCGAGCAGATCAGATCGTATATCGACGACACGTTAACGGCCATGGAGGGTACCGACAAAGGCACGCGCGACGCCGTCGACAAACTCCAGGATATCCGACAGCGGATTAGTATCGAAGGCGTGAACCCTTCGTTCCGGAGGAAAGTTATGGATGTTCATTACCTATGCGATGACGCCCCCTTCAAGGTCCCGGCGAGACCCTGGACCAGTGTCACCGAGGACGATGATCTCGTGTCGCATTTAGTGTCTCTATATTTCACCTGGGACTACCCTTTCTATTCATTTTTAGACTGTGATGTTTTCATCAAGCATATGGCAGCAGGAAAATTGGGCTCGGAGTTTTGCAATCCATTTCTTGTGAATGCTATTCTTGCAAATGCATGTGTATGTTTTCACGTTGTTACTCGTATCAAGACTTCTCTTATTACTTTTTTTTTTGGGTCCCCTTTTAGCTCGTTGTATTCTCCCAGTGCCGTTGGTGTCATATATTCCTTGGACATATGGATCGACTAATTTGATCCCTTTTGACCAGCATTTTTCGGAATTCTCAGAAGCATACGTCGTTCCCGGAGATATTATGACCAAAGGCGTCGACTTCCTCGCCGAGGCCGAGAGGCTACGAGATGCCGAAGAAGGTGGAGCTGTCAGCTTGGCCACTTTGCAAGGGACACTTCTTTTATATGAGAGGTTTGTACCCGTGTGCTTCGGTTTGCAGTGTGATTCCTGCTTTATCCGTGCATTATGCCTATTGTCTATATACCTGCTCCTAACACGCTTGAATTGTGGGAATAACCAAAAAGGTACTCCATGTCTGAGAATGACGACCTTGGCTATACCATGCTCCATCGTGCAATTAAGATAGGCGAGTCGCTGGGGCTTGTCGGCGATCAGTCGTCTCCGCTCAATCCTAAGGATATGCCTAAGGACAGGGCCGTTTCTCTGCAACGGACAGCTTGGGGGTTATTCCAGATCGATACGTAGGTGTTTCCCTTTCTTTCTGTGGCCCCATTTTATTTCTCTTCGCTCGTTGATGAGAAAGGGGTTCTAACCTCCTACAGGTTGGTCCATACAGGTTTCCGGCGGCCAAGTCTTGTCAGTCGTGTCAATGTTAGTCGACTAGATAGGGACACGTTTACGCAAGACGAGCTCTGGGTACCATATCCTAGTCACCGTGCAGCCAGACCGGCGTATATCAGTCAGTATTTCGACGAGTCGTGCACGCTCTGTGACCTGGCAAGGGAGGTGTCTCGAACCTTTTTCGCAGGCAATCCAGCCATGATGGGCCCCGGATTCCGTCGGCGTGAGACGAGAGAGGATCTGTACGAACAACTGAAGGATTGGCATGATCGATTACCAGACATCTTCGATCCCAGTCGAAAACCACCGCCGCATATTATTCTTCTTAGGTGCGTCTGATGTTCCCCTTTGAAAGGTTTATATATATCGTCTTATTATACTACATGCTCAACACTCTTGAAATATAACCTAGAATGCACTACCATACTATAGTGATCAACCTTTGGAGCTCATCTACCGTCGAAGATGACGAAACCCCAACGGCCGGCCCCTCCGCAGGACCCCAAACACCCGAAAGCGAATCCTCCACAGGGAAATACAATCCGTCCGAAGTCACTCTAGCCTCAGCCCGGGCAATATCACGGCTAACTCGCCTCCACCGACGCGAGTTTGGGATGAGCCGAGCACACCACTTCGCGCTATACGCCATCAACCTCGCCCTATTTGCGATGCTTGAAGACTCCTCCTTCGACGTCCTCGACCATGACTTCCTCTCCCTCTCCAGCGCATTCAGCATTGTCGGCTCCCGCTCCCCACTCGGAAGAAATCTGTTTCATATTTTCCGACAGTCCGTCCGCGCCAAACACCAGGGCCACCGCGTGCGCTCGTCGAGCACCGTCCCCGAGGACCTGCGCGAACTGTTCGACGAGGAGGCCTCCACGCGGACCCGATGGGACGAGTATGCGGAGGGACTGCAGAAGCTCGACTCTGATGAACGGTATCGTGGGAGGATGACGGATGGTGAGCAGGGTCGTACGCGAAGTCCGCGGAATTTTCCAGGGCTGAGTCTGTTTGATATGTTGGATCGATATGAGAGTTTGAGTTTGGGGAAAGATGAGATGTTGCTTGAGCGGGCTAAGATGGATACTGGGTAAAAACTACAATAGGAGTACGGGCAGGTATTTGGGAATTATTATTGTATATATTATAGACAGAGTATATTTATTAAGTATGAATATCATTCAACCTGTTATTATATACTTCTATGTAAGCCGTTGGTTCTTGAGGCAGTGACTATTTATACCCATTACTTCAAGTCACAATACATTATTATTGCATTGGCAACTTATTTAACCATACAATGCTGTACAAATAGATAACCCAAACTAGCTTCATTGACACCAACATAAAATGCTGCGAGGAGCCCTGAATCTTGCTTTTGCTTCGCTATACAGCGCCTATAATAGGATATCATTCATACACTTGACAATTGATATCCGAGCTAGATAGATAGACAGAACTGGAGTCGAGAAGTAAAGGAAACAACAAGGGAAGACAAGGAAAAGTAACAGAGATTAACAGAGATATGAACAATACATGACAACAACAAAAACGATAACACCGACAGTACAAAAGGATTATATTAGTAAGGATAGATATGAACTGGGGTTAGTAGGTATCAACATCGAGATAATAGTTGAATTAGCATATGTATGATATATGAAATGCTTAAAAAGAAAAAAAAAAAAAAGTGACAAATGAAATGGGCATATGGATGCAGACTGAGACAGATTGAAAATGAAAACGAAAGGAATCGAAATTAAAGGAAAGGAAAGGAAAGAAAAGAAACACAGATTGCCAACAGCAGATTCACAATTACCACCCCTTTTTTATCCTAGTCCATTCCATTCCTTCCATCTGTTATGATATGATAGGTGTGCATGCCACTTATTCGCAGTTTGTATTACTTGACTTTTTTTTTTTTTTTTTTTTTTTTTTTTTTTTTCAAAAATACCCTCAGGCAGCTACTGCATAGGCGCCCGATAAGATGGTCCCCTGGGATCGGTATACATCGACAACGGACGTTTCTGGGGCGGATTCAAACCCATGAAGCTGGATGAAAGGGCTTGGAATTGTGGTGGAACAGGACCGCCCTGGGTATTATGGACGGATCCATGCGGTTGCATCTGATTCTGCGGCTGGACTTGGGTCTGGGGCTGCTGCTGTTGTGTATGTGGTTGGATATGTCCGTAGGGTTGAAGGTGAGGCATTTGCGGCTGGAGTTGGCTATACTGAGGGACTTGGGGAGCCATTTGTTGTTGTACTTGTGGTTGCTGTTGCGTTTTCGGTTGTCCTGACTGTCCATGTTGTCCTGCATGTCCCTGGACTTGTCCCGGTTGTACTTGAAGATGTCCTGGTTGTTGTCCCTGGAGCTGTGCGTGTTGTCCTTGGAATTGTACGGGTTGGACGGGTTGGATTTGATATTGCCCCTGTGCTTGCCCTTGAGATTGTCCTAGAACTGATCCCTGGGAAGCTTGACCAGGAGTCTGACTCGTTTGAGTCTGTCCCTGTGCCTGTGCTTGTGTTTGTACCTGACTTTGACTTTGGCCGTCCTGAGTCCCCGGGGGTGGATCCCTAATCTTCCTAGGCCGTCCGCGAGGTCTTCCAGTACCCCCCGGTGGTCGAGGGGCTGCAGGTTTCCGTGGCTTGGACGTAGACGGAATCCCAGACGTCTCTGATTTCCGAGGACGTCCGCGACGTCGCTTAGGTGTTGTGCCATCCGGTGCAACCATAGTAGGAGTGGACGTCATAGAAGTCGACGCCAGTTCCGATGGATTTGTTGTCGCTGTTATTGTCGTAAGATCCGTGACGCTCGGCATGGGAGCCGGCTGACCATTATTATTCCCATTCGCTGTAGCACTTGACTTCTTAGGACGTCCGCGAGGACGTGGAGGGGCGTTGGGATCTTTGCGGGGTCTGCCAGGCCGTCTCTTCTGGACCGTGCCGTTTCCTGGAGTCTGAGAAGCTTCTGTGGGTTGACTGGGTTGGGCTGTTCTCTCCGTGGAAGAGAATGTGGGTTGGGGTACCGAGGGCTGTTGCTGTTGTGGCTGTGAAGATTCATGCTGCAATTGTTTTTGGGGTTGCTGATGTGGCTGTTGCGGCGTCTGTGGCTGTAGCTGCCTTATCTGCTGCTGGTTTTGATAAAGGTGCTGTTGGAGCTGTGGACTGGGATAGTACTGTGGCTGTGGCTGCTGCGACTGCTGCTGCTGCTGTCGTTGTTGTTGCTGCTGTGCCGGACTGTAACTCGGCTGTGCCTGGTGCAGCTGCGGGCTTTGCTGATAATTGAGTTGCTGCTGGTTGAAACGAGGACTTGGCTGGTAGCTGGGCTGCTGTTGACGCAGCTGTGGGTTTTCGTGATAATTAAGTGATTGCTGCTGTTGACGCAGCTGGGGACTCTGCTGATACAACGGGCGTTGCTGGTGCAACTGCTGATTTTGCGGGAAATGCGGTTGACGCTGATCCTGACCGGCTGCTGCAATGGCAGGGCTGCTTCTAGCACTGACACTGGTTACACCAGGGTTAGAGTTCTCGCGAGAATGCAAATGCTGCTGCTGCTGTTGCTGCTGCACGCGATCCATCTGCGGCGACGACAAGCTGACGGTGTGGGCATGAGACAGGCCCGTCTGGGGATTGTTCATCATGAAATGCGGACGAAAGTTGGACATGGGATTGACACTCCTGTTCAACGTCTGCATGGACAGGTACGGATCTTTCAACTGACCCGCAGTCTCAGCGTTCCTGCCGACGAGATTCGAGGATGCCTGCGATGGATACTGGCCCGAAAAGGCACCAAAGTTGGCTCCGCCCGCAAATATACCCGGCCCAGCGGTCATGGACAGTCTGGGAGAGGGCGAAGAGGTGGTCTTCTGTGAGGCTGGATTGGAAGATCTCGCTGAGAAGTCGAGTTGGGGGCGACCGCGGATGAGGGGGTTGGGCACGGCACCGGCGGCGATAGCAGGAGCGGCGCCAGTGGAGGGGGACTGGTGAGGATGGCCATGATGTTGATGTTGATGTTGTTGCTGTTGCTGCTGCGGAGGTTGTTGATGCTGAGGATGATAGGGATTGCCTCCGTACCCCATCATTTTTTATTCTTTTTCCCCCTTTAATAATTTTAGATTTCGAATAAAACAAGTGGGGTATCCGGGGTATTTCCTTTGTCTTTTTTATTTTATTTCTTATTTTTTAATAAATAAAAAATAAAAAAAAAGACAACACGTGTTTCTAGCAAGTCGACAAGTAACAAAATATATAAAATATTAGGTAAGCACCGCGTCTACGGTAGCCCACTCGCGCCCGCGCGCAATGTTGGGATCCGAATCAAGACGCCAGCACAACCGCCCGCGCGCGTTCCAGGGCGCGCGGCGCTGCTCGACAAGAGAACAGAGAGCGCTGTTCGATGCAGCTGGTCTGGAGAGGACAACCTGGATCTGCAGAGGGAGACAGATGGACGACAGACGGGCAACGGCGACTGGGGCAAGTGAGGGATGGCTGCTGCTGTTCGGCCCTGGAATCGACGGTATTTTATTTAGCTTTTTAATTTTTTATTTTAACTAAAGAGAAAATAAAAAATAAAAAATTAAAATTAAAAACCTTATGCACGTGACTTTCCCGTCGGGTCTGACCCCCGGTACGGTCACGGTACGGTACCGTACGGGCGGCGATGCCAACTCATCAATTACATCAGTTCTCGTTGTCCACAGGGCTTGTTCAGTATTTAATTCATCAAATGGAAGACCACCTGGAGGTTCTATCGGGTATAATATCTATTATTATGAAGTATGTTGCCAGTTAGAATAGTGCTGATCATCGATATTGCTATGATCATTGGGGCTGGCGGTGGATCGTGATGGAGAAAAAATAATAGCGATAAATTAAATAAAAAAAAAAGAATAAAAATAAAACCCCATACTTAATCCCCACATATCCATAAATCCAGGGAAAGCCAAAACCGAAACCAAAAAAAAGGCTTTCTACTCGAAATGTGAGAAACATGCGTCATGCTGTTACACCTCCTATGATCCTATGATGTGATGAACAATATGTCCACACATACAAGTAGCATGCTATACCAAGCAGGAGCAGCATTACTAAACCATCACAAGACGTACTTTGTCTTATTGTCTAGTATTATTATTATAGATAGCCTTCCTAAGCATGTTATAACTATGCTGAGACACCGCTACTTCTGGATTCATTCTTCTCCCGCCTCCATCCCAGCCCAAACCACATAATCAACCATAGGCTCAACGAAGATACAAACATAATCAACCCCAGCGTCGTATACGCCAAACCAGTTCCCATCGCCTTGCGCATCGGCTCGATCGCTGCTGATGCAGCTGCGCCCAGCTCACATCGGAATAGGTTGTTCGCCGCCGTTGCTGCTGCTGACCGTCCTGGCCAGAGGTCGACCATGAGCGCATTCAATACCTGTGATGTGCCATTCAACACGAATCCCGAGACGAACATGAGAATGATCGGTCCCGCCAGGCTGACTTTCTTATGCATCACCCACCCATAAACGATGATGCAGGCATTGCCAATGTAGAACATAGGAAGCGCAATTTCGAGCCGTGCACGCTCAACCGGAAAGTTGCTCAGGTCCTGTCGGACGTTCTTCACGACTGTCAGCCCTGCTCGGTGCGCATGGCGACGGAAGTTCCAGTCCACAATCTTCCCCGTCGTAAAGGCAGATAGGATCCCACCCGCTCCCAGGGGGATGTACATTAGTGCCACTTGAATATTGCTGAATTTGTAGTCTTCCTGAAACGAAGTCGTGGCGCCCGTCATGATAGCGTAGAAGCAAGAATACCCTGTTCCCGTCGCGAGGAGAAGTAACGCCGTTTCCTTGTCCAGGGCAACCATCAACGTGGGTAGAGGGTTAGGGATCTGGAACTTGTAGTTCTTGCGCAATTCTGCCATTTTCTCTTCGTCGACCCTTATACCGTATTTCCTCCGTCGTCTGTGCCGGATGTAGTCAGAGACAGACCAGTTCAGTAGCGGAGGCGGCACCGAGCCATCCCCTACCACCTTCCGACAAGTCTCTGGCAGAAACAAAAACAAGAGTACAAAGAATACGCCTCCAAAGATGAATAGGAACCAGAATAGCCAGTGCCAGTTAAGATATTGGCTGAGCAGGCCCCCAAGGATAGGTGACAGGGACGGTCCCAGCATGCTTCCCAGCGAGGCGAAAGCAATATATGTTCCTCGTTCAGCAGAGGTAACCGTATCCCCCACAAGCCCATTTGCCAGTGCGACAGTACCGCTGCTCCCTCCGCTCTGGAGACATCGAAGAACCAGAAGCGCGGCGTAGCTGTTCTGCAGGCCCAGCCCTAAATTTGCAGCAAGATAAATCGTGAAGCAGATAATATACGCAGGTCTCCGGCCCATACTATCTGAGAAACCGGCGATCATCATGGGAGCGACACCTTGCATGATCTATAAAGTCAGTATCCTAGGTATATATGAACATTTTCATGTATTCTTGAAAGAAGACAAGGGAGAAGGGAAAGAATGAGAAAAAGAACCCTACTAAGTAAGTCGTAACCGTCAGATCAATCTTAGTGACCGATACATTCAACTCCCTCGCAATCGTCCCCAGAGCAGGAAAATAGATACTCGACGACAACGGAGAAAAGAAGCTCGCCAAAGACCCTGTAGCTATCATAGCTTGTTTCTGATTCACCGTGAAGACAGAATATAGTTCATGCCCCTGGTTCTCTTTATGCTCAGATTGGACGACCTGCTCCACTTCCTTCTCTCCCTGATTTCCATCCTTCTCATCGTGTCCAGGAGCGATCTTCTTGTCCGAGGTCTCACGGTATACTCTGAGAGGGATGCCATCTGTATCCGTACTTGTATCTCCGTAGTTGGCATTGGCACCCTCGATGTCCATCGATGAAGACATCTTCCAGCGCAATTCCAGCGTTAGATGAAAGGTCCCACACTGGATCAAGAGGTATGTGCTAAAAATTAGTATGTCCTTCTTTTGCAGGAGGCCATGCCGGTGCCGGCGGCGTCTGCCTGTGCCGGGCCTGTCCTTGGCACGGACATGATACCCGGATGAGCGCATCAGGCAAACATCGTGCTACTCGTTTCGGCTTATTATGGCTCTGGATCCTGATATAAACGCAATTATGAGCATGATACGGCTACATTTCCATGGTTCAGTTGTTTCTATTACCACCCCAACGAGGGAGGCGTCCTGAGGACAGTAATGTTGTGTGGTCAGAAGTGCTTGATGTCTCTGAGAGGTACTGTGTACTAAATAGAGACTTGGATGGGATGCCAGTTTTCAATCCTGAATAAAGATGACTATAAACTCGAGAAATAATTTATTGGGATGAATGGAGTCTCATAAATGCACAGACCATCATGTTCTATTCAATCCAACCTGCTAGCAAGGCTTTCATATACAGTCTGCGCAGAATTCCAACTAGAGATACTGCCATTGTCATATGAAGGGGGCACAAATGAGACCCTGCATGTGAAATTCTTGTCAAAGACTCTCTGGCCATATATGTCTGTGGATTGTATCTTTTATAATGTCCACATAACTAAGACTCTTGCTGCAAGGACAGCTGATAACAAGGCTATTCATCATGACTGTGATAATTGCAAAGATTCAGCGACACTGGACCAGAAGATAGATGCCTAAAAAATCTCTCGAAAGATCAAAAAAGAAATATTTCGATATCGTCTTCTGGACTTTCGTGTCCACCATCCAATCATCCCTGCCGTGCTACGCAAAGATGCCGACAAGAAGCCGGTGAACTGGAGACTTCTATGAGGTTTCAGGAGTATATAAAGCTGACCGCTGGGAAGCTGAGAAGTGAATAAGAGCCATTTGATGCCTTGATCACTGATTTCTGGAGAATAGCATCCGCAATCGTATCCTTGAAGTTGCAATCCTTCAACATATCCCCAAACAATACGCTTTCGCCAGGGATATGTACTCCCCGTGCTCATCAAACTCTATTGGACTGGTAGCATAGTATAACCAATGCATATAGACTTCAAAGATATCCGGCTGCCGTATGCAGCTTGACTGCGCTGTGCTGATGGGTCTCCCTGGTTCCCTGTTAGAACCTCTTAAGGAACTCGGATGACGGAGAAATCGCTTAATGAACGTGAAATGTCACTGGGCTTCTTTGTCCAACGACAACTGCAATTGTTCCCCCGCGGAAACTAGGAGTTAGCTATGATATGGCAGCAAATGGGAAAGGAGGCATACTTCATGCTAGAGCCTCTCATCACAGACTCTTTACTGTTACCAGGTGGCATTGCAAACAAGGCCAGAAGGCAAAAAAAGTAAATTCGCTGTATGCTCTCTGATGAGCTTCAAACCATGTCTAAGACCGCAACGTACCTGACTCACTGAATTGATCGTGTTTGAAAAAGAGACTGAATAATGCTCATATGGATTTGATGAGTTGAAGACGAGAGGGAAGTCCATCGCCATCAGAGACATGTTTCTACTTCACAGTATCCCACGTGGGTCCACATGACTTGTCAAATGTCTTCAAGCCTGGCAAGTTTCTCAAAGACTTCCATCACTAGTCGCTGGTGGCTAAATGAGTTCCTAAATACCTATCTGTATTGAATCTGGTGAGTCAAAATCCGCCAGCAATCTACCTTGAATGCTGTCTCACCAAATACCTGTCTCGAAGGATAATGATGTAAGGACTGACCGTCGTTTCAGCTTAGGAAAAGAACCTTGAAGTATCATGTCTAAGCTACCATTCATATGCGACTTGTGAGATAGATACATAATATTGCATCGCTGAATCCTGGTTTATTATTGATAACCCAAACAAGGCGTCTCAACCAACTCTAGCTACTTTACAACAGCATGGGTGGTATTCCATTTCTCAAAGACTAGCCTTGCCTCTCGGCTCATAAGGAATTATAATAACCAGAAGTCCAGCAACGATGAACAAAGCCCCACTTACGTATACCGGAGCCGATGTCTGAAGGTTTGCAAACATTGCAATGATTGGAGCCACAATACCCAAGATGCGATTCGCAGATGCAGTCAGGGCGTTTCCCGTGCCACGGTCCTTGGTCAAGAAAATTTCTGGCGTATAAGCGTATAGAACAGCATACATCATGCTGCTCATGAAGTTGTAGGCGCAGTTCCAACCAAGCAATGCGTCTGATGTTGTTGCAGTTGTGGAAGCCAGCAGAAACGCACCCGTCGCTACTGTGGATAGCGCAAGGGTTCCCTTTCTCCCAAATCGAGGTAGTTCAACTAAGAATCCCCCGATGATACAACCTGGGACGCCTAGGACGGCAATTATAACGGAGTTTCGATAGGTAATGTATATGGACCCATCCCTGAACTCTGCGCCCTTCATCTGCTGGATGTAAGGGAGAAAGGCATTGTACAAAGGGAAGCCCAGCCCAATCAATGCCCACACAAGGACAATTGACGACGTCGCAAATGCGCGTTTTGGCGATTCGAATAGTGCCCTTATGTGTGCAAGGTTCACTTTTTCGAGTCTCTCACGGAGGATCCCGACATTGCTAAGTCCCTGTGACTCATGCTCGTTGCCGCGGCTACACTCCTCCAGGTCTTCAATCGTCAAGGTTGATGTCTTCCCGTTAATTCTAGCCACCTCATGCACGACTCTCACGGCCTCTTCATCTCTCCCCTTCCCCATGAGATACTTGGGCGATTCGAATATGTTGAAAAATACAAAGCGGATCACGAACATAATCATTGCAACACCTCCCATGACAATCATGAAATATCTCCACCCCATATTGTGGGATTTCGTACATCCCAGGTCATCGTTGCAAGTCAAGTTTCCTATAAGCGGCCAGGCAATAAGCGAAGCGAAGAGCTGAGCAAGGGCCCAGTCGATGGACAGAACAGTCAATAACCACTGATGCGACGCTGGCAGAAATTCCAAGAAGATAGCTGAGTCAACGGGCAAATTACCCCCGACCCCGACAGACCAAAGCGCCGCAAAAGTCCCGACAGCCCCGAAGTTAGGGGAGCCAGCAGCGATCAACCCAAACACACCCGTGATACCGATCGTGAGATTGAAAGCCCATCGTCTCCCGAACAGGTCACATCCGAACCCCCAAAACATCGCCCCGATGAGGAGCCCTATATTCTGGGCAAGGGTCAGATAGGGGGGTCTGGAAACATGAAATTCATACGACACGGGCGTGAGAATCAGAGAGGTGACGATGGGCCAGAGGTTATCGCTTGCCCAACCGAAGCCGATTATGATAAACAGCAGCCACTGGTAACGGCCCATACCAATCTCTTGGATGGCGCGGTTGAGGACGACCGCTTTTGCTTTGTACGGGGTATTGATCTCGTCGACTGCGATGGCATCTTGATCAGAAGGGGTGGATAATGGAGCAGGGGCCTCTGTTGGAATAGGGCCCAGTTTTCTGAGTGACATCTGCATTTCCTTTCTCCTGACGGTGTATATGAAGAAGCGGGGATGTCTAGGTAAAGGTGCCGCTGCAGCAGGATCAGTAGTTATATTAATTTAGAAATCCTGGGATGCTGCAGAGATCCTTCCCCTCTGTGTTGTTTCATAACAACGAATAATGTCCAGGCCTTATTCCTTCTGCAATGTAACTGCAGGGATTATCCGCTTCGGATGGTGTGATAGACGTAGCCTTTTGCATCAGTCGTGAGGTTGCATTCAGGAATGCCGACAAGATCCAGCTCATATGATAATCAGTATCCAAAGAAATGATGATTTATCAAATAATGGCAGCTTTCGATGATCAGCTTGGAAGAATGGATTACTTTACAGAGTAATAATAGTTAATAGGCTAATAGTAGGTAACTAGAAACCTCTCATCGATGACTAATATATGCCACGTGACATAGGGCAAGGCTGGATCTGTGGGGCTGATCAGATCAGATTAGATCTTCTTTCTCCACTATTCTTGGATATATACAGTGTGGTTATAGAGAGTATCTCAGAGTCAGCCGACGTTTTGACTTTCCTTGACAAAAGTCGACTTCATCAATTAGTAAGGAAAACACTAGACGCCGTCTCTTGTTGCAAGAGGCTCCTGGTTCACTCTGTTCTTCGGCGACATGCACGCTCTGTCCACTTCGACCACAATTATCTGGGCACTAGACGGGAGAAGAGGGAATACGATAGTCGGTGTGAGCCCTCGAAGATGATGACAAGGCTCTTGTTATGGAAGCTACCCGTGTCTTCGTCCAGGGCATCTACTTACCGTCGATGTCGTTGACTATCTTCCATCAACGGTTGGACTCCGGGACCAAGGACGACTCGTAACTGTATATACCTGATCTTGGGAGTTTACTCAAAGAGTTGAAGTAAGCTCGTCTCAGTTGTCAGATTCCGAAATGTCGTGCTGCCCAAGATACTTAAGCTTTTGCCTTTTTGCCTTCTGAAATGGTGAAATGCCTGCAGCGCGCTGTTATGCCATGGGTGATGTGCAATGACAGCATCAACCAACTTCATTGAACGCATTCAACCACTAACCCTCGAGCTCTATCGACGAGACACGATTAACGCACCCGAGTCACCCTCCTTTGAAAAATGTACCCTCCCTGGCCCCTGTGGTTGTGTACTCCATAGTGCCCGGTCTAGTAGGATTCTGTCTGTTGCCGATTCAATCACATAAATTTCCAGCGGAACCGCTGAACTCGGCCGAAAGATATGGTGCGACCTTCTGCATGTCGAAGGCATAAAATTCAACATGCTCCCACATGGTCCAAGCTGACTGGGTAGCACATATGTTCACATCGCCATCCCGTTTGACGAGATGTATCATGGTCACTAGTGGCCTGGTCTTCACCACGAATATGGCTAGATTGATACCACCGCATTGGATAAGCAGCTGTATGGGTTCAAGGAGTACCATGACAAGGGTTCCAGTGGGACTCGGCATTTGATTCTCTCGCAGGGAGCTCAGATGGTTCAAACAATGCCTAGTTGTTTGGTGTGCGGTGGAATGTTCTCTTTCTTGGCTTGCAGGTTCATGACGGCGGCCACATGGTATTCAGCATTGAATGAAACGTGTCTGTGCACCCTGATAGACTCCCTAGTCCGTGGCCAGTTCCTTCAGAGGACGCCGATTTGGACACCGATTTTTGGGCGGGACAACAAGTTACCTGTCCCAGAGGTGGATTAGTACCACTGATTACTCTATCTCAATTCCCTTAGAAGTAATTACGGGCAAAGCAGAACAAGCACTCGAGCAGATCTGGTTGCGTGCTGCGGAGGAGACAGAACGGGACAGAGCCAGAGAGCAATAGCAATGGAAACAAGCCGTAGACGAGCAACGAAAGTTAAAGAAACCCAATCAATCCAATTCCAAAGGGGTCATATCAGTTTCGATAATCTCGCAGATTAGACAAAAGTCCCTATAAAACCCAACACCAAGTCTCTCCTCCAAGAGCCGCAGCGATGATTGTCATGGGCTACGCCCAGGCATATGGCAACTCAAGGCCAACGCCTGAGTACTGTGCTTGCCCTATTTGTTCCATTTGTTGTTGGCTCGCTTCCTTCCTTGGGCACAGAACTGTTGTCTCCCTTCTTCCTCCCAAGGAATTCTTCGTGCATCTAGCACCAAAATGAATTCCATATTCAAACCGTTACAGTGATGCCAAAGATACTGGAATCAAATCCACTCATGCTTAACCAGGCCGTACACAAGGAAATTGGTTCGTGAGCAGATTGTTTTGCCCAGTAGAGGGCATTGTACTCGGGTATGGTGTAGTTTGTAGCGGAAGGATACTTGAGATGTGCCTCCTTCTAGGTAGTTTCGAAGAACCAAGTATACTTTTCGTTTTCGAGTTCGCTTCATTAGTATCGTCGCTGTCGTCTTTCTTTTGTTGGTTTGTTTCCTTGCTAATTCGTTTCACGACGCGGTTATTGTTTAATTACAATCCCCCAGGGAAGAGACTTGCCCCTGGGTCAGGCATTTCCCGGCAGATGGTCCTCATCAATTCCTTCCAGTGCCTTCAGGTCGCGTGCAGCCTCTTTCCTTGGGCAATCCCTAGACCGATGGCCTTGTTCCTGACAAGTGAAGCATCGTCCTTCCTTCATCAACCGTTCCCGCTGGATATCCGCTGGCGCCAGAGCCGCCTCCGCAGGTTTGAGGGCGGTGCCTGGTTCCTGATTATCCTTATGATTACCGCCAGTAGCAGTTTCGGTACGATGCCTGGTGCTGGCTGTGTGGCTTGTTGCGAAATTCCGATTCCTCTGGGTCCGGTAGTTGATTGATTATAGGTGGCTTGCGGTCTGGGAGCAATAGTCAGAGAACCCCTTAAAGGTTCCATCCCGCAGCTTCTCATTCATCGTCATTTTCTGCAGTTCAGTGGTGATTCGGTGATAGAGCTCATCTTTCCAGCTGTCCTCTGCAGTTCCAGCTTCTGCAGCCAGGTATAGGAATTCAGAGAGGAAGTCATGGAACTTGTCACCACTCTTCATGTACAACTGGCGGAATTGATTCTTCGCGTTAACCAAACTGTTCTGCTTCAATTCCTTCATCCCTAAAATCCCTCGACCACGACCCGGTTCTTTCGCAGGGAACATCGCACGTATGCCCCCCTTTACAGTGGTATGGGTCTTGGCCCTTCCACTGGGTTTTACCATGGGAGACAAGGAGGATGAGAAATGCTCACATAAATGTATGGAATTCCAAAAATCCTCAATTTGCTTTTGCGTTCCGTGCGGCATTCGCATCCAAATAAAGACAAGCATCTGCCACTTCTTGCGGGATATCGAGGGGTCTGGAAAGTTAATACAGGTTTCCAGCTCTTTTTTCAACTATATTCAGAGTGATGACTGGCTCACAAAGCGAGGAAGTATATACCCTATCTCTCAGTCTCGGAACTGAAATACGGAAAAGATATCAGCAAATATCTGACATGGTCCATTCGTTGGGCAGTGATGTTGAATCATGCAGTTTAGGGCATAATTGTCCTGTAGACAGAGATACTGTAAGCCAAATTAGTAACATATCGCTTAACATTCAATTTGATCGAAAGCGTATGAAAATCCGTGGATTGGGGGAGATTTTACTGTAGATATCCTCAACAAACCAGTTTCTTCCTTCTGGTGTCTGGGTATACCAAAGCATCTAGCGAACGAAAGGTGTGCCAATAAATCAAGGAACTGTTCCTGAAAGCCTCAGCTGTCACGGCCTTGCGCCTAGGGTTCCAGGTGCTAAACCGCTGCGTCAGGAGCAAAAGACTAGGATTCTAGGACGGAGGTCCTTTGCTCTCACTTATATAGTATAGTCAGTCAGTAGATTTAGCACCGTCACATCAGCTGCACCAACACCCAGGTTGGGTTGCCTGTCTTTAGGATGTTAGTAACAGTGATAATATTCAAATGAATAGATGGATTCACTCACAACAGGTTCTATTATAGTGTAGAAACTGTCAGGGCCCTTGCCATGTAGACCAGGACGAGCCCGTGACTTTCCTTATTTGGATTAGCGTGGTGCGTGGATAGGAATACGCCGTCCAGCTTCACGTAGATCTCTTCCTTTTTCCCTCCTCTCCATGCTTGAAGTTCTCGTCGATAGCTGCCTAGATAGTTGAATAGCATCCCATTCATCGTCTAGTTGAGTTCCGTGACAGAAACCAGGTGAACTAACGAGCGCTTCACGATATCCGTCAAAGTGAGCTGGTATGCATCTCGTCTTCGGCGATTCCATTAAGATCAATGTGATGTATATATATATTCTGTCTCGCAAATAACGGACGGAATGTAAACTGAAAAATCAATATATAAAGTATTATATGCGAGGCATTCTTGAGCATGATGAGAAGTCCCGAAAAGCCCAGGACTCCCAGCGTCCCATATAAAGAACGTTCCAAGATCAAGCCAGATCAGCAAGAGAAGAAGAAAATAAGGAACTGGATATTTAGCCTGGCCGTTTGCTGCTTTCTCTGGCCACCGGATGCAGGCTAGCTGCAGGTGTAGGCAACCGTTTGCCATCCACTCTCCGTGATATTCACTGGGATATCCTGTCTGCTAGCCTGCTATTAGACAAGGATGCTTGCATTGGATAGATATTCCCAAGACATTCCCAAAATAGAGCCAGAGGGCGGTCAGAATATTCCATTTCCGGTATTAAAAGAGCAGATCTCCAGAGAGTTCTTAAACCATCTCGCTGGCTGTGACGATCAGCTATAATAGGATGAGAAGAGAAAAGCAACTCGCTATTTGGCCGTACTGTCTAGGAATATCGTACACGAGGAGAAGAAGAAGGAAAGAGGCGAGGGCAGCTGCCTGCCCTCAGCCCTAGCCCTGTGCCCTACTTGCTCAATCTGCTGGCACCTTCTAAGACGTGCCAGTGCCAGGGTCACATGCTGACGGTCATACCTCAGGTATGGTAGTCACACTGGCTTCTGTATGTCGTTGTCATGCACCGCAACTATTAAAATCTCCAAGCCGCCTTTGGCATTAAACTGGCTACCTAGGCACTTTGGCCCAAAGAACGTGACAATAATCATGTATGTGTAGAAACAGCCCATGAAGATACAGATCACATCGCTGTACTCCTAGTGGTTGCAAGGCTGCGAAGACAGCGGCCTCAGGCCACACAAGATCATGTGTTGAACTTAGCAACACCTATAGCAAAGTCAGCAATGAGTTCTTGATCAGGACCCTACGTTTCCTCCCCTACCATCGTACTTAGTAATCTCCGTATATTGAGCACCTCTTCGCGCCGTCACCGCCATCCAGCCCCTTACATAATGACATGATGACTCCAGAGCCTGAACATGTGGCATTTGGTAACCATTGTAATAAAATGAGTTTTGTCGCTTATGTATATAGAACCGCTGTACTCATATTACTTTTTCCTTGTCTTATCTGCATTTGGTTGCAGCAACGGCGTGTTCTTTTATTCCATGACCGTAAAGCGTCCAATTCTCCATAGACTTGGGCTTTGACAGTGTGACATCATGAAGACCAAAACAACGCCACGAAGACACACAGGTACAAGCTGTCAATTCCAAGCAGAAAATAATTAATTATATCCATCGAATTTTATTTGAGGCTGCTTCAGGAAGTCCTCCTTCCAGCGTCACCATGATGTAACTGGGGAACTCATCTATGAACAAAAGCAACGTCCTGCCACGCTTGTAAGCCAGGTTCAACAGTATCATTGATATTTTCACCAACAGTAATAGCAAAGCAAAAAAGTAACCAAAGAGACGAACAAATGGCTACGAAACACAAGCATTGGACACCCCGATTTTCCAAGTACGCCGCCCGTCCGTCCATCATATACATAACATGCATACATGGCGAGAGGACACAACTAACAAGCAGAAAGAGAAGGAAAATGGATGCCCCAAAACCCCGAAGTCTACCACGACTGGCTGAAAAAGGTCATCATAAAAACCGACCAAACCCCCGAAGACCTACACCCGGTCCTCGAAGAATTCCGTAACCTCCTCGACACAAACGCACGAGCCTACATGCTCATTACATCCATGTTCCAGGAAGTGCCCCGGAAGGCCCCCTACTGCGACGATCCGATGAGACACCCCATGATCCGTGATCCGGAGCATATGCTGCAGGTGTTCAACCATTTGATCAGCTCCGCGCCGACGTTTAACGAGACGCCCGGCAAATTCGGGCTGATTGGGCTTCCGATTAACGCGGTATTGGACTATCCCATGGGCACGGCGAGCGGGTATGCAGCGTTTCTGGACCCAGATATTAATGCTGTTCTGCAGAGAATATTGGATGCCTGGGGTGACTTTTTGCGTTCCCCTGCGTCTGCGAGCGTGCTTGACCCGTCCAGCGGTGCTGGGTCATGGTTCGGGGAGTCGGCGTTGGACGATCTCACCACCGTCGCGAACGCAGGAAGGTCTTCGTATGCGTTCGATGAGATGTTCATCTGTGATCCCACGGACAAGCATCACGGATTCAAGTCGTGGGACGATTTCTTCACGAGACAATTCCGCGAGGGAGTGAGGCCCGTCGCGGCACCGGACGATGATAGGGTGATTGCCAATGCGTGCGAGAGCCAGCCATTTCGCCTCGAGAGGGATGTGAAAGCCCGCGATCAGTTCTGGGCCAAGAGTCAGCCATATTCTGTCCTGGACATACTGCATCGTGATGAATATTCTCCCGAGTTCGTCGGGGGCACAATCTACCAGGCCTTTCTCAGCGCCTTGAGCTATCACCGGTGGCATTCGCCTGTGACAGGCAAGATTGTCAAAGCCTATGTCGTCCCCGGTACATACTACTCAGAGCCGCTGTTTGAGAGTCTTGCGGATCCACAAGGACCCCATGATATCGACGTTGCGTCCGAAGTGACAAGTCAGGGCTATCTCTCTGCTGCAGCGACCCGGGCTTTGATCTTCATCGAAGCTGATAACCCTGCCATTGGACTCATGGTATTTGTAGGCATTGGCATGGCTGAGGTCTCAACGTGTGATATCACCGTCAGACAAGGACAGAAGGTGAAGAAAGGTGATCAACTAGGCATGTTTCATTTCGGCGGTTCCACACATTGTCTGCTGTTCCGAAAAGGAGTCAATGTCGATGGGTTTCCAGAGATGGGAAAGACGGGGAATATCCCAGTGAGGAGCTGTTTAGCCGTTGTGACATGATTTTAAGGTTGTTCACATTGCGTGTTATAAATACTTGTGTTGACTATGATCAAGAAATGACGGTTAAACAAAAGTTCTGCATGATGTACTTAAGACGATATATACCCAGACCAGAAAGAAAAAAAAAAAAAAAAAGATAAAGCCATTCTTGACGGCTCAATGGAAGATCCATTCGACAGCCATATGTCAGGCTGGTCAATAAAACACTCCTAAGAGCTTAAGGGGACTTCCCGTACCACAGAGCCACCTCATCAGCGGCATCATCGTCGTCCTCGTCTCCGTACCACATGCGCCGGTGGCGCACTCGCTCATAGGCCTGGTCAACAACCTGCATCGAAGCCAATCGTTTCGCTACCTCATTTACCTCATATAAACTGACCAGCTTCCTCTTCAGATCCGGTCTAGTATTGGCCCTCTGACGGCATAAATCACAAATCTTGGTTCTCTCGCTCCTCTCTTCGTCGACAGATGAATTTTTTTGCACAAAAAGTGAAGGCGCACGTCTGACAATGCCTGTATTCATCTCGGGAGCATGATGCATATCGGACCCTGGGAGGTTGGGAGGGTTGCATGTGCCCTCGTTGATCCATGCATCCACTGCAAGTTCCAGCGGGGTACATCCTGTCGCATTCTCGCGGTGTAGCAAATCCGGCCGGCGGTCAAGAGCCAGTTCCAGCGATTTTGGAAGCTGATAGCGGATGATATCATGCACAGGAGTATTTCCTGCAGCATCCAGGAGCTCCAGATGTTTTTGTCCTGTAGGTTCAGCGAAATCTATAATAAGCCGTAAAACGGCCACTTTATTGTCCGTCTCCAAGTATCTATCATGCCTGGAAAAGTATCTATGGGTACGAACACGGTAGTTCATGTTGGAATTTGCCTTATGTATCCAACGGGAAAGTGGCGTCAAAGAACCCGGTTCGTCCGAGGAGCGCTCAGTTAAGAGAGAAGGCATGAGCAGCGGGTCAATGAGGTCAAGGAGTCTTTGCAGATACTTTGTCTCCATACAAGCTTGACCGTTGATATCACACAGGAGCAAGTGAAGAATGTTATTCCCTTTCAAGTCACGAACAGTCTGGTTGGCACCGGAGTCGACTAAAATCCTGGCAAACATCGGGCGTTGCAGGGAGAAAGCAAGTGCTAGGGGAGTATATCCTTCAGCCGACCTGGTCTCTAGGCATTCCGGAGCATGCTTTACAAGATATCTGATGAGGTGTCCGCATTCTTCCGTTTCCGTTGAGAGTACGGCACAGTGGAGCACGAGGTTCTCTATAGACATTCCAGGTTAATCAGATTGGCCTTTGTTTTCAACAGACAGAGACATCCGAAGACCCTGCGAAAACTTACCTCGCAAATGAAGCCAGCTCGTAATACATCTTTCGATGCCCTGTTTGGACTGAGAAAGCCTTTCTACTCGCTTGTCGTTCTTGTGAGTCTCGACAAATTCCATGTAATGTCTTTCTGGTGCAGTGCCAAGGAACCATTCAACGCTGCTAATATTGCCTTGAAAAGCGGAGATCAGGAGGGGAGGATAAGATTTAACATTCCGTGGTTTTTGCTCATGGCGACCAGCAGCAGCCCAGTCTGCTCGCTTCCTTCCGCGAATTGAAAGTCCTTGGTAGTACTTTGGCTTCTCCTTAACCACGACGCCACTCGATTCTACCAGTTCGTCAAGGGGAAGACCCGCCGCGGACCGTTTGATGATCTCTGAAAGACAACCCAAACGCCCTAGCTTGATAGCTAGTTTGAATGCATGATGTGGTACTTGATAAACAGTCGGTGTTCGAGTTTTGGCATCCTTCATGACAACATCCTGTCCCAGGTCCAGCAAGAACGAGAGCAGATCGACATCATCCGCGGCTATTGCATATGTTAAGAGATAACTTGCGTCCTTCTTACCCGTTTCTCTATCAGCAAAGAGATATGCTGGACACCACCATCCGAAGTAGTCGAGCGCTGAGACGTCGCTTTCGACCTTCGTGGCTATTTCACCGATGTTCTCGATGGTAAATTTATCGTCGACAATTTCACTGTAAAGCTGGACGTCATTGTCATCATCAATGTCTTCCATCATCACAAATCTTTGCTCAGGAGTCTTGGGCTTGTGTTGAGCCCGAGCAATATCAAGGATCACCTTTGCCGCGGCCCTATGCCCACGCAGGACTGCCACGGCAAATGGGGACAGGTGCAGGCCATCCCTTATGGCAATTTTGAGTGGAGTTTGGTCATTCTCTGGACCCCATACTGCCAGAGTAAGTTCCTTGATGGTATCAATGTCACCGCTCCATGCTGCCTCAAACCTTTTAAAGTATTAGTGCTGGATCGTAGAGAAAAGTGCCCAGGAGGGATGCCAGGAGGATAACTCACAATCTCAAATATCCATTCTCTTGTTCCTCCGTAAGACTCAGCTGTCCAAAGTTGAACGGTATCTTAAAGGGTTTCGGCTTCGGCTCCTGGGAATTCCCACTTGACGCTTGAGGGATGGGAGGCATGGCAGCTTTTGACTCGGGAAAGAGTTCCTCGAACGTCTTCGCACCCCTTTCCACCAATGCGGCCTCGAGTTTCTCGAAGTCAAGAAGAAGAGCATCAATGGCAGCCTGTTTTTCAACCAAGCCCTCCCGCTTTTCCAAAGCTGCGACGTTTTCATCATCCCCCCTTTTGGTGCTCTCATACTGCTTCCGTTTCTGGGTCAATTGCTCTTTCACGTAGAAGTATTTATATGACCCCTCCTTGCAGCCACCAAGATAAAGGCCGTCATCCAATTCCAGGCGTTCAGGATGGTTTAAGTGGACTTCCTGTCCATCATATTTGCGTAATTTATCGATCTTCGATCGGACTTTGTCCAAAAGAGACGCCTTAAATTCTCCAGTCCAGGAGCCCTCCTGTACAGCCAAGGTGTTTGGATCTGCGCCCTTGTCGAGAAGTTGCAGGGCTACCAATGGCAGCTCCATACTCACTGCAAAGATAACAGGCTGGGGAACATTTTTCCGGAACTTTTGTTCCTTGTTCTCCGCTGACAGTGGGTACCAGTATCGGTGTCGGCTGTCAGTTGGTAGTGAGAGAGACTTTATGTAGTCGGCCAAGCTAATCTCTGTATTTGCGCCAAAGTCAAGGAGCTTGGAGGCACCGGTACTGTTCCCCACGTAAATTGCTATTGTCAACGCAGAATAAAAAGTTGAATTCCAAGAATAGACATCTCCTGCTAGATGGTTAATTGCCCTCTTGACAGCAGCTTTGTCATGATTCAAGAGGATGTCAAAAATTTCCGTATGAGCAGTGGAGCCAGAGAGATAGTGCAATGGTGTGTACATTTTCAGATCCGCTTGGGCGGCGGAGGCTCCGAGCTGTAGCAGTTTCGCAGTCATCGCCTTGGCCGTTTCGAGTGGTGGCCGGAGCGCTAGAACGAGTGTAAGAATAGCAGCACGGGGGGAACTATTATAGTTATTAACGAGCTTGATTGGAAGCAATGGATCGGCACCAAACGAAGATACAAGTTCTTCAACTACATCCACATGGCCGTTGAGGATGGCAAGATGCAAGGGGGATGCGCGACTGTCCCACGCCAGAACATTGATATCGTATATATCTGGATCGAGTTCGTTGCTTTCTTCGGTGTCATGATTGCTCGAATCCTTATTTGGCTCATTCCGGACGTTGACAAAAGACCCGGTGGCATAAGAACCCTGCTCAGCTTCGCTAGAAGGATAGCTTAGCATCTCCACATCTTCCCCATCTTCCCCATTTCCCTTGTTATCTAGTTTGGGGAATCTTCGCCTTGCAGCCTCAGCTTCCTTTTTCTTCTCTTCTTCTGCTTCATTCTCTCCGCTTTTCGTGAGCAGTATTCTCACGATTTCAACGTTGCCATTGGCCGCAGCAATATGAAGCGCAGTCCTCCCATCTGCCAGGCGAGCAATTAAGCGAGCACCATGATCGACAAGGCACTGGACAATCTCGGGAGTTGAGGCCATCACTGCCAAATGTAGCGGGGTTCTTCCGGTATAGTCTCGACGGTTGGGATCTGCATCTTCCCTGTTGAGCCAGTCCCTCACTGTCTGGAGATCATGCTCAACAATAGCTTGGCAAAGGCGTTCAGTGTTTCCAACGTAGGCCATTTCTATACCAGTGGTTTAGTGAAGTTCGTGTAGCTAAGCCGAGCATAGGAGATTTGGACTGACCTGTCCAATCAGTTTCTGTGATCGGATTGAAACTGCCAATTGCCTGGCGGCCGGGGTTATCCTTTATGAAGGAGACGTCGCCCGAGACATATATCTTAGACTCTTCCTCGGCGATTTGTATCTCGTCTTCAGCAACGGGCTGGGGACACTGGCCACAGCAATCATCAATGATGTCTTCCACGTCCCCAAAGAATGCAGGGTGTCGATGAAGATTGACTTCCCGATCTTTGGGCTTATTCCATTCGGCGTTTAGCAAAAGATCCTTCGTATACATGAGCTTTTCTATCTTTTTCGCATGAAATCTCGGTCCATATGGAATGGTCTGGATTCGAATTAATACCGTGATGAAATTTTTCTCCGTTCGACCACAAACATAAAAGGACTCACAAAGGTGTGATAATCAGAGATATCGTCCTCCAGCCAATCGGGAACTTCATCATCCCAATCATTCTTAATATTTCCACGGAGGAGCCTTGAACGTTCACGCCACGGCTTAGCCGGCCGGCCACGCTCTGTCCGCCTCTTCTCGAGGTACAAATCGCGATCGGCAGGGCGTGGCAATCTTTCAAGAATTAAAAGACGGGCCAGTCCAACCACCCGTGTGAAACTGCGCTCAAATATGGTCTGCAATCGCGTAAGCAACGTACGATGGGGCGTCAAGTATCCGAGGAAGGACTGACCGGATCAATTTTGGAACGATCAAGCTGCGGCCAGAAGACCTCGAACCCACGATGGGAGTACTTGGAAAGGCGATTCTCATATGACGGAGAACGCCTAGACAAATCGATGCGGTTAACCTGCGTGATATACGACGCCAACGCGCGAGGCGCGGCGTAGACCTGGCGACCGTCGTACGCCGCGCAGGAGCAATCGACATCGAAACCAGTCAGGATCTCCGCAATGGATCTGTAGATGCGGAGGACGATCTGCACATGGCGCGTGGGATACTGTGACACGATGGTAATAGCATTCTTGGTACGCACAGAAGTCGTCTCTGCGAGGATAGAACCCTTCATTTTCGTCTCAATCTGTTTGATCTTCTCCACGGCCTGCTCCTCGGTCAAGCCGTAGAGAAACAGATCAACGTCGGACGCAGGAGCAAACTTCTCGTGGTAGTATTGGCGGAGTCCACGCTTGGAGCCATTGTATTCCTCCGGAACAGGCATGAGAGAAGTCACGACGGCACTGCCAGCGGCAACAACATTGTTCCAGTCAAGATCAATCAGGGACGTTTCAGAGAACAGGTTGAAGTTCGTCTGGAACTCCTTAATGGTAGAAACCACAGCGGGGGAGCCATTGGGTCTGCGCTGGTCATCCTTCAACTGCATGATATACTTCTCTTTAAGCTCCGGTGGTTCCGACTCCAAGTCCCTTGCGCGAACACGAACATCCGCTGAGCCCGTCTCATCGAAGAGAGGCACGACGTTGAGAAGACCGTCTTCCAGAGCAGGATGACACGGTTCCTGAGCAAACACCTTCCGCAGGACGGAGTCGTATCTATTGTAGGGTTCCAGGAGCTGTTCGACTGGGGTATCGGGATGAGATTGAACATGGTTCAAGAAATGCTTGTGTTTCGCAGGAACCTGGGGAAGGGAGAATTGGCTAGCCATGGTAAATAGAAGCTTAATTTAACGAAGTAATTAAGCAAACAAAACACGAAGGACAGAACAGAGGCAATGAGACTAATACTTCCACATTCAGACAAAAATCAGAAAGTTAGTCGACTAGTTGGTGTTGGTTGAAGAAAAACATCGATCACAACGAGGAATATCAAGCTCTTAAATCCTTTCGTAGACGAGCTTCATTGTCTACAGCTTCTCAGGTCCATCGCCTGTCTGGGGGAGATATTAGCTTAGGCGACAGGGGCGCCAGGATGAGGCAACAGTGCCACTTGCTCTTTCTGATAGACCTCGTATTCAGTGGATCTCCCAAATAGGATACTAATCTCCCGCGGCGGTGGTGACACGCCGCGGTCACAGGGGCAGAATCCACAAAAAAGACGTGTGCTGTGCTGTAAATATGCAACAGTTGTGCATTCATTGCATAAGATGGATCTCAGACAGTTCAATTGGCAGCGTGCAAAGTTGATACCTGTAGCAGTGACTCATTCAATATGGTCGAGAATGCGCCATGGAGGCATAGCTAGTGCATGGACCAACTGCCAAGCTAGGCAACTACGCACTACGAGAACCCACTTGCTGCATCCACTGAAGATAATTTATCCAAATCATCATCATCATTAACCTTAAAACTTTGCTCTCTGCTGCCTATGACTTGGAACAAAAATGCCGTGGATGCCGGTATCATATGTACAGCCGGCTTTTCGAAATGAAGTAACTTTCCAAGTACATCCTTCCGGGACCCAGATTCATAAACATATGTAGACACAAAAGACTTGAGCACATTCCACCATTTCCAGCCGAAGTCTGTTGCCTGTGTGAGCTGAGCAGACTTCGCAGTATTTATATTATGTGGCAGGTATGTTTCATTTCCATACTCCTGTCCCATTCAGAACCGAACATATGAGTTCCCATCTTGCTGTCATTCAATTGTCTGTGTCCCTCGTGGGCTGAAGAGGGTATCAAAGTTGATGAAGAGTTAAAAGGACGACTATTGTTGCATCCAGACCCAACTCTTGTGCTTAAAAAACCAAGATGTCGTAAATGTGCGACCTGTAATATCTTAATGGAAATAAAGGGGGTCATAAAAGTGTATTCGCGACTCAGCCGAATAGGGCATTTGTAAAGACCGAATATATCTGATCAATTAGGGTCGTGTGGCGCCGTTCACGACCATAAAGGTTGCCTCGGGCCGTTTCCCCTCAATATATAGTCGGTTTATCTTCCGATTTGGTTTCTAATAGCCAACGCTGCAAGGAAAATAGAAACAGTCCCCCCAATAATAGAAGTCACTGGGTTGGCGTTTGCCCAGAGGTAACCATGTGCCCTGCTACAATCCTGTAGCCAGTCCTATCACCATGATTCCCCCAGGGGGATGAACTGATAATTGGTCATATGAAACTGATTTCCTAAGTGGCTTACGCTTCGTCACTTAGTCCACATGATCGAGAAGAACTCTTTGCCAATAAGTATCCTCGACGTCGGAATCGGTTATCAATGAGCCAGTACTTGCTTCCCCGGTCCGAAACGGGGCGCACGGACCCGGTCCGAATGCCAAGAACAATCATGAGGATGACACTTATAAGATCCCATTTCCACCAGCAGCGCAATTCAGGAGATATTCAATCTCGTTGATCCTCACGCCAGGTGGGATCTCACTGAAGAGATCTGAATCTGTTCCGAGCCTTGGCGGCGTTCCAACATCTGTGCTCAAAGCCCAGGGTGGTGTTGATGGCATGGTCGAAACGGGAGGAGCTGACTCCGGCACTTTTGTGTGAGCTGGAGTTCCCAATACCCCATAATCGAGCATGGATAACATTATATCCTCGGAGCCGGGTTCCAGCTCCTCAGTGAGACAATCGGGATTGAGAAGATTGGCAAATCTGCACGATAACGCATGAAAGGTTTGGAGCCGGGAAGCCTAATACTCCGTCAGATGGCATGTTCGACGTTTAGGGGGCAGTTACCATTGGAAGGGAATACCACATACAATATTTGAAGCATGATCCCATATGCCAGCTAGCGTGTTCAGCATGTCCATGCTTTGCTGAAAATACTTCAGAGCCTCGGAAGATCCACTACTAACATTCTGACTTTCAAAGTGGAAAATCAAAGAATGGATCCCACCCGCGATGGCTAAACAGTATGCATAAAACGAAGATTCAATAAGACAGCCGGATCGAGTCGAGTCGATCAGAAGATCCAACAGCTGCTTTGCATGCTCTCGACACACCTGAAGTGCACGAGAAGGAAAGCTACGGGGAATCTTGCGTCCAAACCTCTTGAGTCGATGACGAAGGCAAAATGGATGGTTGAGAAGACAGTAGCACAAGTGAAATAGGGTATGGGCAAATACAAGATGTCCGACCTGTTGGCGATCGATGCTTCCGTCAGGCCGCGAATTTTCAAGAAGGACAACAGAAATTGGTCTGCTGCCGATCTTTGAATAGGACTCGAGCAGCAGGAGAGAAGAATTAAGGGACGAAAATTCGGAATTCGTGTCCCAGGGCGGAACGTTGTCAACACCGGATTTCCGGTTCACGTATCTCGTGCAACGCCCGAATATCGACGCCATCAGAATGGTCAAGGCAAATGGGCTCGGTGGTTCGGTCACATGAGTGTCCCAACTGAGCAGCTGATCCAGGGTATAGGTTTTCTTCCATTCACCTTTCCGAAATGTCTCTTCGTCGCAGGGAAGCTGGACATTACAGTCCTCATCCAGGATAGCCAGAGGGCGAGATCGACCGCATGAAATTAGTTTGTCTACAAGATATGTCGACCAGAATGCCCGACGGTGTTCCTCCTGGTCAACATACGAAAGCCACTTGTTAGGCTCGGACATGAGGTTAAGGTTTTGGGAAATCCGGGCAGCAAGACCAATTTTCACCCAGGTCGAACTAGCACGGCTTGCTGAAGAAGGAAAGTTAGCAATGGCCAATAGCCAGCAATGGATTATGAAATATGCAAAACCATACCTGCATTGTCGAGAACGGAAAGCAAGTCCACGGCTTGCACCACATGGACGTTTAAACCGCCCTCCACAGTCATGTGCTCCGCGAGGACCCCCAGCCACGACTCTCGTGCATATGCTTCTGATGCCTCGCGGACGTTTCCGCCGAAATATTCGTGGGTTGAGAATCGAACAGCAGCCGCTAATACGGCAAAGACGAGACACTTAGGAAGAAGACCGCTCTCCAATTTCTGTCGGAAGGAAGCTTCCCGGAAGTATCCATAGGGTTGGTTATGGGCATGTACGAAGTATGTGTCGACGAGAGACCAGAGTACAGGGGGAGGTGGCAAACCATCGCATAACCTAGAGTTGCTGGATCAGTACATGCATCAAGAGAGGTCGAAATAAACAGGAGCAATGAGCATCAGACAACATACATTGAAGCTTTTAATGGTATGAATGGTTGTGGAGGTGAGGGGACGATGCCTGTGATATTTTGCGACGTGGCAATGGCCTCTGGGCTAGGCGAACCCGAAAAAACACTGCTGTATAGGAGTTGGCACGTCCATTACAACGAAACTTGAATTGAAATGGAGGGAACGGGACGAACCTTGCCCGATTTAGTGATCTACCACTGAGCTCCGCAAGTCGGGACTCAATCATAGCGATCCTCTGTAAAAGCTCCGTCTACCGCGACATCAGCCCCTATGTTCAATGGCAGAGATTCCTTGTTCTTCTTACGCTGTTTTCTTCTGGTGTCACCTTTGAGGTTGTCGATGGAGAGGACGCTGAGTTATCGGCGATAGTTGCCGAGTATGGCTCGTAGACACAAGGGCGATTGCTACGGCGGCAATAGAAGCACGCGGGTCTTTCCCCGGAACACTTTGTCTTCTTCCGCCTAGAGACGTAATGGAATGTTCTGTTAGCTAATGTATATGGTCTGTAGAGATGAATATATGATTTGTGTACCTGCAGCTAGCGCAGGCTTGTCGAATGCGCTTGATGTTCCCCGTGTGTATCGGCGACTCGGCCGGGCCCTCCATCCTCGCAGCTGGGAGGGAGAGAAAGTGTGCGACTAGATTTCGGAATCTCCAGGCAACCAAGACACCCCCGCAGTCCGCAAGATCAACAAACACGATGAGAGCGTTGCAAGCATGGACAGAGAGAATGGCAGGGCAGATCGGACGGAAGGGGATGAGGGACTGGAGGGACGCACTGCTTATTTTGCTGCTTGGGCAAATGCGCTTATGTAATTATGGGCGAGTCTGGGGAAGAGGACTGGCCCGCGACATGCGGAGTAGCCATATTTCCTGTATACGTATTACCCCCCGCCGTATTTCCGTATAGGGTAATTCAATGATCGCCCTTCGCCGTTCTATGCGGTATCTGCATTACATACACGATCCCGTACAGTACCGTACAATACCATACACTGGGAACCTAAACGTCAGGTGACGCCATCCCCCGCACTGAAATCAGCTGTTCTCGGCTTCTTTCTCTGTCCACTGTACGCTGTAGGCTGACAATACTGGACGATATACTGTCCGGTGCAAGGGAATCCTCTACGCTTCTCACGGTCCACTTCCCAGAGCTTATGTGGACAATAGCTCTCAGTATCCGTCCAAGTGATCGGACAGTCCTGTCACTTAGTGCCAGGGATTGACACTGCCACTGACAGTGCTGTATTCCTGACTTTCGCACACGAATGGCGGTTATTCCAGGCTAATGTCTCCAGAAATACGGGCTAGGCTTGGCTATCCGTGGCTTTCACGATCCTCCCGTGCGGGGTTGCCGTATCGGGAAATTTGGGCTACTGATAATGATAACAAGCCGAGCTAACTAATTAACTTCTTCATGATCCTGGAATGGCCAATACGTTTCTTTCCACGGAGACAATGTCTTCCATTGTCTTCGGCTTCACCCAACCATTCCTTCTTCAGCTGTCGATTTATTCCTGAGACCTTTTCGTGTGATCCGATTTATATCTGGCAGCATGAAGGAAAGCTTCAGAGGAAACTCACCTGGGTGACGCAAAGTAGGTTTCTTCAAAGGGCTTCCACGACCTTCGGGAAGGATATAAGGCGATGTAGAGAGGTACTTTTCTAGTAAATCGATACACAAGGAAGGTAAAATTTCCCCCTTGAGCATGTTGTTATAGGGAAGGTCATTCTATAGCGACTTGCCCAATTTGCGCGTTCATTCCAATCCCCGTATACCGACGGAACGGACATAGTCGCATTAGTCCCTCCCTGTAGGCAGTTGAATTCTAGCGAAGAAGAAGAGAGTGCAGCAGACCTGAAGGTATTTACAAAGCCATTCCAGTACGAACCAGGACCAAGTCACCCTGCTCAGTATCCAGTAGAGCATATCAACCGTCGTTATATTCAAGTGGCATCATATCGTATAATATCATATCATGTCATGTCAAAGTAAGAGCCCGTGAGTCATAAATAGAGATTCATAGGGACGAAATCAGAGCCGTAAATCATTCCAGATGAAAAACAATGAAATTCCGCACCAATGCAAGAAAGTGGAGATGGCCCAGAGTAGACAAAAAAATCGTATAAAGCAATGAAAATCACAGCCTCAGACTGGATCACTATAGCGAAGCATATAACGTATAATCAATTATACATAGCGGCCCTCTTCGCGCGTCTAGCGTAATAAGGGTCCTCCGGGGGCACATACACCTTCGGAGCCCTGGAACGGTCCAAACTGGTCCATCTTTCTAGCCGCGGTCGAAGACTGGCATAATTGACAGACTCCGCACGATCATGACGGGTCCGGCCGTGTTTATTTGCCTCTATATATCGGTCCGAAGGCAGGTACCGGCGATCCCCCACAGATACTACGTATCGATGGTGTCGGCCGCGAGGAGTCTCAGAACCGGATCCGGAGCTGGGCATATCATGGGCCACATACTCCCGGGGCCCGGGTTCAAGTCGTCGCGGGCTCTTTAGTGGAGCAGTTCCATTCGAATGAGCAGTCGATGCCGAAGAGTTTGACGACACATGCGACGACCGTCGGCTTTCATGTCTCGACGGATATACAGCGTCGTCATCGTATCGACCAGGATGGCCAGGAGACATGTGCCGTCTCCGTGTGCTAGTATATAGTGGATCATGGGAATGACTGCGTCCGGGACTTCTGTGGTGCGGCGAGTGTCTGCGAGCACGATCATAACGCACATCGCTAAAAGACGGTCTGCCTGGTTGATCACCTTGTGATTCTTCAGAAGTATCAGAATCATCTGACGGTGACTCCTCCCGCAGGCTAAAATGGCGGCCTCGCAATTTAGCAGAACGTTCTTGTCGTGGAGATAGAGAGAACGATCGAGTCGGTGCCACGGGGCGTGGTCTTCGTGAGCGACTTCGTGAGCGACTTCGTGGTCGATATTTATAGTCTGCTGCGTGATGCCCACGATGTCTACTTCGCGGCGGATGATCGCTGCCCGTGTCTGTGTCACTCGAATGATGCGACGATCTGTGATGGTGGTGATGAGGACGATGCGAAAAGTAGTTGTCTTCCGGCGACTGGGGTTTTCGATGGTGATGGTGATGATAGTGATGGTGGAGTGGAGAATATTGTGGGGTAGTGGCCTTCACATAATCGTGTTCCAATCGTCGACAAACCCCTTGGTGCCATTCGACCATGTCTGGGTCAGGCTCAGATGGGAACGCGTCTCTGGGAATCTCCTTGGGGAAAACTTTCCCGTTGATATCTGCGATGTCCCATTGCGCAACAGCCTTTTGTAGATACTGACAATGCTCATCAGGGTCAAGCAGAATCTGGATCGTCAACCATCGCAGGAAGCCGTTAGGGAGTAGCGCAGGAATCGAGGGGCGCTCAAAGGCGTTGGTGGTTGGCTGGAGGCTGTGAAAGCATCCCAGAGACTGGTAGATGAAGGAGAGCGCAGAACTGCTAGTTTCGAGAAACAGCGAGTCGTAATTCCCGCCTACTTGTCGATAGAAGGCAGCTAGTCGGTCGGGAGTCAGGTCTGTGGTTCCGAAGGATGAATCGAGGGTAGACTGCGGGGCACGAAAGAACGGTCAGAGCTGATGTCTCTCCAGCTGGGGAGCTTGTCACGGCTAGACTCACCACTACTTTCGCGATCCCGAAACAGAGCTGCTCCAGAACGGGAGAAGGGCTCTTGTCAGGGTTGATCAACTTTCTCCAGTAATTGGTAGCCATGGCGCTGCGGAATCCACGGATAACTTGCAGTACCGCGTGGGAATGTAAGGGAGGCAGCTCAGCTGCGGTAACATGAAAGCAACCGGGGAGATCGGATGCATGTGCAGCAGCGACTGATGCAGTTATTATATAAGGCTGAGGATGCAAGGGACACCAGGGATGCTCAGTGAGATCAGAGTCACAGGCAACAGGCGAGGCAGAAAACAGGGAGCGGTGCTCGAAAGCGGTGCACAAAGAGTATCAAGCCACGCGGACTCCCCATTCGGGGATACAAACGAATGGGAAGAGGCCTGTGGCTGAGCACGAAGATGGTCGAAGCATCAGGATGCAGGGTCTGGGATATGAAGCCATCCAGCTGCAATCCCTGCACTGTGGACGCTGCGGTCCAGGTGGTGAGGTGGCAATCATGTGACGGCATGACAAGGCTTTGGGCATTTCTTCCATCAGGATCGATAATGAATATTACCCTGGAGATACAATTTATCGATACAATTTATCCTGTCACTCGTCCAGATGCGGAACTCCGCTGATCACCGTCCGCGAGATCTTCGACCATCGGATCAGAGAACATGGCTGTACCTGATGCTAAGGGCACACGGTGATGTCATGAGCGGATGAACCATGCACACCACTCATTCGCACCGACGCGAATCTTCCATGTCGAATAATAACATCAACAGCGTACCATGTACCGCGCTGTATGGATGCCTTCGAGTCGTGGACTGCATGGGACAGACATTGTTGCATCATTGGCAGGAGTCGTACCAGTGCCACACAAACAGTGATAGGAAAAAACCTGTCTCACGTCATACACACAATGTACCTGATCAACCACAGGTTCAGGGAAAACAAGTGCAGTTTATGCCTATGGGTATATGTTCCTATTTTTATCAAACCGTTGTTCCGCTGTCCGTCTCTCCGGGACATAATGCCTGTCAATTATTATCATGTCGCAGCCTTCTCATTGGCCCAACCAGAACAACAAAAGACTCATTTTTGCAGAATATCGAAGATTCATCCATGGATCCATTGCAGTCTCCTAAAGGCAGTTCGATGTTCGTTCTAGATGCTCCACCAGCCCGATAGTATGGCTGTCGAAACGGTCTATTGCTCCTTGCCGACCCACAGTCATAATATTTGGCACACGGTGAAAGTTTCGACGCAAGCTGGGAGCTCTTAGACTTTGAACCCCTGTCGCTTCCGTCAACAGACACCTCGCTCGTTGTTTTCAAATTGCCGCCCTGAACGGGATTAATCTCGGCTCTCAAAGCTTGCTTTGTGAGAGGCCTCCTCAGGGGCCCTTCCTGTGATACCATCGAACCAACTTCAATCGCCATCTCCAGCGTCTCTTTCCCCAAGGCACTTCTACTCGACTTCGATACAGCATCTACGTATCAACAGGCGAATCGGTCAATTTTAGCATGGAACAGCCATGAGATAAAGGACAGAACAAAGAAACCCCACAGCTTCTCCTTCCCACCCTCCCGAAACGCGCGCATGTTTCAACCGTAATCCCGCATTCAAACCCGAGATGGCAGCACCAAAGGATTCAGCATTTTGGCGGCATTTTGCCAAGGCCATTGAGAACGACGAAAAGGCCAAAGCCTTATCCGAGGGCAATAGGAAATCCGTCTCACCGTACGTCAGAATATCCCTTCAACCAGCGCCGTGGATAAACTACTGATTAGTTTCTTGAAAAAATGAAGTGACTCGTGGCTTGAGCATCAACGGTACAAAAAGAGATGGACCTTTATCTGGGGATTTGTCCTCCTCTTCATGGCATCTCTTGCCATAGCCGCCGTGGTGGTCGTTATCTGGTGGTTCGCGTCGCACAATTGGTTGAGGGGATAACAAAACTCACCGATTCTCCTCGTTCTAGTCGGCCATCTCAGTCGGGGAATCGGAATCATCGGCGATGTGTATATCTATGTTCGGTTGAGAGCTGATGTGTGATTTGATTGCGTCTGCTGGTCGTGAAGAATTTATTCGGGGTTAATATTAAAATGGACATATTCTTGGCATGCCAATTATTCAGTCAGTGTGCTGAAACCCCACGGCCTCTCTCTATCAGCTATATACAGTCCACTCAATCCCGGCCGGTTATGAGACTGTACTTTCTGTCTAGCAACTTCAAAGCTAGATCATATTTGATACCAAAGTGATCCATCAGATAAGAAACGCGTCCATCTAGACCGTAATATAAGACAGGGCATCGGAATAGCTCCCGAAAGGTTCCCACCTGGAATCACCCTTGTCCTGCTAACTACACCTCGTAATCCCAGCATACTACTATGAGACAGGCGTAAAATGGCAGATCACGATCTCTAAAGCCTCAAATACTTTGAGCGAATGATGTTCTTATCTGATCGGCCCTTCGGAATAAAACCGAAAGCCTCAACGGCTCCACAAGAGGCCGAGCAAAAAATACCCCGCCATCACAAATCCATCTCCTGCATTAAAGAACATATTCAGGAATAATTGCAAATGGCATCGATTGATACTGCAGTCCTCGAGGCTCTCAAGAGTCGCCTGACGACCACTGCTGCGCTCTACACGCCCGGATCGGAAGGGTACAAGGAGAGCCTAGTCCGCTGGTCGGATACTGGGTCGAAACCTGCGGTATGAATGAGGAACATGTCAACAACCAACAAGATGTCAACTGTGCTAATTCCAACCGTAGGGAGTTGTACTTCAGCCAATTGATGCGGCTGATATTAGCACCGCGTTGTTATGGGCGCAAGAACATCGTATTGATATCGCTGTGAAGGGTGGAGGGCATTCTGCTGCTGGTACTAGCTCCAGTGATGGGGGATTGGTCATTGATCTGTCGCGTATGAAGCAGGTTACAGTTGATACAGCCAAGAATACAATTACAGCACAGGGTGGTGCGACATGGAAGGAGGTTGATGAGGCCGGTGCAGTCCATGGATTGGTAGCTGTTGGAGGAACGGTGAACCACACTGGTGTTGGGGGACTGACACTCGGAGGAGGATATGGATGGTTAAGCGGGCAGTATGGCCTCACCATTGACAATCTTCTGTCTGCCCAAGTGGTACTAGCAGATGGTAGTCTTGTTACCGCATCTGCAACTGAGCACCCGGACTTATTCTGGGGCCTGCGCGGCGCAGGATACAACTTTGGGGTTGTGGTGAATTTCACCTACCAGGCATACGACCAGAAGGATCCCGTGTACGCTGGACTTCTTGGATTCACCCCCGACAAGCTGGAGGACATCATGGAACAGCTCAACCGTAGCCTGGCAAATCCCGACCCTCGATCCGGCGCGATGTGCATCTTCGCCCAGGCGCCCGATGGCTCAGGACCGATAATAATCGTCATCTGCTTCTACAATGGCACCCTCAAACAAGGCGAGACGCGGTTCTCCGGATTTCTGGCTCTCCAACCCGTGCTCAATACGGTGGATATGATCCCATATTCGCTGGTAAACACTCTGCAAAACCCACAAGCCACATACGGCGGCCGCAAGGCTTTCAAGGGCATCTTCTACAACCCACCATTAGATCCGAAATTCGCACGAACCATCTTCAACGACTTCATGGCCAAGATCAAGGCGGAGCCGGATCTTACTCCGTCCGCCATCATCCTCGAGTTCACTGACATGCGTAAGATCTGCGAAGTGGCCGTAACTGAGACGGCACTGGCGAGCCGCAACTCGACCCAGAATGGCATCATCTATCTGCGCTGGACCGATCCTTCTCGGGACCTGGAACACCGACAATGGGCGCGTGAGATCCAGGCGAAGTGGAAAGCAGAGCTGGATGCGAAATCCAAACACGATGGGGCGGAGGGAGAGGTTCCTCAATATATAAACTATGCCGAGCGTGAGTTTGAATCTCTTCCCTTTCTACTGCAACATATGCTGACGGTTCTCCAGCCGGTGATTCGGTGGTGTCGAATATCTACGGCGAGAATCTCGGTCGGCTGCGGGGCATCAAAGCCAAGTATGATCCAAAGAACGTCTTCCATAAGATGCATCCGATTCCACTGGACCAGTAAGGAACATTAATTCAACGAATATATTAAACATATAGCTCTTATCTACGGCAGTGTCACCGTTCTATAGACATGAAATCGAAGTACGGCGTATCTGTTATTCTAATCCGGCAAGTCGACGCCTGGGGTACACCAATCTCCGTATCATCACGTGTGCGCGCATGGACATTCCAAAGATGGTTAGCGCACCCCGGATGTTCTGACATGACAGGTACCTGCCATGGTTGAACACAGCACTTCAACAGGCCAAACGGCAGACGTAATGGCAGGATACAGGGAATAGAGACAGTGGTAAATGGGAATGACTCCTTTCTTAATGTTTCAGAGTATTCCGAGCAAGATACCGACCCCGGTGCCTGCTATGTTGAGGAGAAGAAGGTTATAACCGGCTTATCGGCCACTCCACACCCCCGCAGAACAATCATCGGCATGGTTCGAATCCTGGCTTAAGAGGCCCGTGGCATTTCCCTCTCGGGCTTGTTCTTTTCTCTCTTGTTCTCTATCTTGAACAGGACTTCGTCTGTGGTACCAGAACCATGTTTCCCCCATTTGATTATTTCACGTATCTCCGCGTCAGGTACGAACTATCTTCAGCTTGCCAATGGCATATTCCCGATAACTAACAATATCTCCGCAGAGACTCCAAGAGAAGACAACGGGCTGACCGTTTCGCGGCCCTAAGTCCAGAATACCATGCCCCATTCTCGACATATGATAAGATCATCATCAACAAGCCCATTGAGGAGCTGGTGGAGGAGATCCAAAAGGGTTTAATATCGCCAGTCGAAGTGCTCCGAGCATACGGCAAGGTAGCCGTGAAGGCGCATGAGAAAACAAACTGCGTCACAGAGCTGCTGTTACCGGAAGCGGAGACCTGGGTAGAATCGGAGGTGAATCTGAAAGGGCCTCTGGCTGGTCTGCCGGTTTCCCTGAAGGATTCGGTTCAGGTCAAGGGGTTTGATATCACTGTTGGGTATGCGCGGTTTGCAGGGAAGCCATATAAGGATGATGGGCCGATGGTGAAGCTGTTGAAAGATGCTGGTTCGTTGATTCGTTGATTGTTACTGTCTTGTCCCTTGTGTTTCGGGAAGCTCAACAGTTCATTACTGTAGGTGCCGTTCCATACGCCAAGACAGCGTTACCCATCACCCTTTTGTCGTTTGAGTCGACTAATGGTCTTTGGGGTCGCTGTCTTAACCCGCATGTTCCTGAGTATTCCCCTGGCGGTTCCACTGGTGGAGAGGGAGCCCTGCTGGCTTTGGGCGGTCGCATTGGTATCGGCTCCGATGTTGCTGGTTCTGTCCGCGTGCCTGCTGCATGGAGTGGGATCTATGCGCTCCGTTGCAGCACTGGTCGCTGGCCGAAAGTTGGCATGAATACCAGCATGGCTGGTCAAGAGGGTGTTGCAAGTGTCTTCAGCCCTATGGCCCGTACATTGAACGACCTTGCCTATTTCACTCGCTCCATTATCCAAATGCAGCCGTGGAAATATGACTATACTGTCCATCCCATCTCATGGCGGACAGATTTGGAAAACGAGCCGATGGGGAAGAAACTGAAAATCGGTCTGATGTTGAGTGATGGTATGGTGTATTCTGGTTTTCTCTCATGGTAATCATAACCAGATCTAATTTCAACATTCGCAGGCGTCGTGCCTCCTTCTCCAGCCATTGAACGTGCCCTTTCGACAACGGTGGCAGCTCTAACAGCCGCCGGCCACACAGTCACCGAGATCACCCCTCCAGCGGGAGCTGATCCCTTCAGCGGTCTTGACCTAGCCTCCCAGCTCCTGAACTCGGACGGCTGCAAGACATTCAACTCGCATTTCTACAGCTTTGAACCGTCCGATCCCGGTGCTGCCCAACTGACGGCCGTGGCGAACCTCCCCCGTTGCCTCCGCTACCTTTACTATCTGTACGTCAGATACATCAAACGAGACGTCAAATGGGCGATACTACTCCGTAACTTCGGCCCGAAGTTCGCAGCCGATCAGTGGAAACTGGTCTCCCGACGTGAATCCTTCCGCGCAATCTGGCATGAATGGTGGGACGCCGAGTCCCAGCAATACGACTTCATTCTGTGTCCTGCGAACGCGACCCCCGCTCTCCCGCACAATGCGATGCACGATGCTGTTTCATCGTGCGGGTACACGTTCTTGTGGAATTTGCTTGACTACCCGGCGGGCGTCATGCCAGTGTCGCATGTCGATGCCGCCCGGGATGCGCTCGATGCACCGTACAAGACTGTTTTGAAGAGACTGGGATGCGATAACGGGGTGGCCCGTGGAGGTTGGAAGCATTACGACGCGGCAAAGATGGCTGGGCTTCCGACAGCCATCCAGATTGTGGGGAGACGGTGGCAGGAGGAGAAGGTATTGGGTTGTATGGCGGTTGTAGAGAAGGCATTGGAGGATCGGGGAGAGAAGTATGCGTTAATTGAACTTGATTAAATATCATATACATTCATGAATGTGATATTCATGGGCATCTTACATATCATCTTTCCAGACCATCCAGTCGACCAACTCTCCCTTCCGGACATAACCTTCATGAGCACTCAGCCCTATGACACAGTGGTGACGAACAAGCATCACAGTTCCACCCAATCGTACATTGCTGTCATCCCTTTCATGGTGATGTCGTAGATATATCAAAACACAGCGGGTAGGACCATACACTGGATGAACGATAACAATTCGTGTCCCTGTCGGCTCTATTGTTAAACATTTCTACAGCGTAGACCCAGTCTATAAACTCATTCGGACCGTTTAATCCAAGCCTAGACAAGTCCCATATCTTTCCTGAACCCTTACAAGAACAAACAATCCTATCAAACCCGGCTCTTAAGTCCCCCAGTATGGCCCCTCGCGTGCTCGACGCCATCAAGCAAGACCACCGCGACCTAGAAATGCTCTACAACGAAATTGTCAACGGCAAAGATACAGGCGCGAGAACCCGTTTCCAGAATATGTTCGCCTGGGAACTCGCCCGGCATTCCGTCGCGGAGGACCTGGTCCTTTACCCTGCCTTTGAGAAATACCTAAGTAATGGACGACAAATGGCGGATAGGGATAGGGAGGAGAATCATGTTGTGCGTAAACAGGCATAATAATCATGCTGGTATGGTCCATAATGCTAACAGGGGTCAATGAAACAGATAAAAGAACACCTAAAAAACTTCCAAAACCTGGACGCCGCATCCCCCGATTTCTTCCCCGTCCTAGACAGCCTCATGCGCGATCTGAAAAAACACATCCACGCCGAAGAGACCGTCGACATCCCCCAGCTCGAGGATGCGGTCTCCCAGAATGAGAGCGAGGGACTGGCGAAATCGTTCGAGAGGACTAAGATATTTGCGCCGTCTCGTGCGCATCCGCATGCACCGAGTAAGCCGCCGTTTGAGACGGCTGTGAACTTGATTACGGCACCGATTGATCAGGTTGCAGATATGTTTCGGCGGTGGCCGAGTAAGAAGGATATCAGCATTAAGTAGATTGTACAGGGGTATATCATATGCTTTGTTGGATGGTTCAATGATTCCGTCTATTGAACATCTAAATATATCCTGCAATTTATATACACATCAAGCTAGGATATATCCCGGTTATTTCTTCTCCAACGTCCTCGGGTTATTCGCAACACGATGTCCATGACGATCACGGAATATAACCTACAGTCATAAGACACCAATCCTTCAATATCAAAGTCCAGACGAGGAATAAACAACACTCACCCTCGGGGGATGATTAACCCCCTCGTGCTCAGCTTGGCTCTTATCCTTGGCGATGGCCTCGACCTAATAGCAAGTAAGAACAAACGAGAATGGCCAGCTGGAATATGTCTAATGGACAAGATATACCTCCCCCTGCCGACTTCCTCGAGGAAACTGGGTCGCTACCCAGTCGCCTTCCCTGATATTCTGGCCGTGCCGGTCTTTGATATCCTCTGTTGGCATGTTGGTGATGTACAGCGTATCTCGGACTTGTGTATCATGCACTTGTTGGTTTGAGTAGTTGGTTTCTTTGGTTTTAGCTGGCGAGAGTAACTGGATCTATATGCAGTGCCCGCTGACGTGGATGTTTACATTGCTTCCGGCAGAGTGGCTGTTCAGTGCCACAATGACGTATCTCTATTTATGTAGTCTGATAGAATTAGATTCACAGAGTTGTAGATGTGCAGGAAATAGTCTTTAGAAAGCTATATGTTGACTTTGTACAGTCTCGATATCAGCCCTACAATACCTACTTGCTATACCGATATCCCTGCTAACCATCAGGACATCGATATCAACTCTCGTTCTTCTTGCATCTCACGCATCTATGATCCATAAATTACCTCCTGCTTTCGTCAGAGTGATGTAAAACCGGTTCTATATCTACTATACCCGACAGCCACCCTAATCCCTACCCCCGTATGTCCCCTAATAGTATCATACAGATACAGTAATACAGTCCCAGCAACAAAATGCAGGCAGTACTTCACTATTTTCGGGGTTACAAGAGAGAACAGCAGGACCTGTCGGGACGGGTTGCTATGGTTGTCGGAGGGTCAAAGGGGATCGGGTGAGTTCATCGTATTTCCTGCGTGGAGACATGGTGTATATGCCTGCCATATATCTTCATAATCCGAAAAAAAAAAAATAAAAAATAAAAAAATAACAAACCCAGATTCGAAATAGCCCGATACTTCCTGCAATCAAACATCAGCAGACTCATGATCTCCAGCGTGAACCCGAAGAACGGACCCCAAGCCATCGAGAAGCTGAAGAATGAGTTCGGCCAGGATACGAACGTGGAATGGTGCCCGTGTAATGTTGGCTGTCTCAAGAACATCCAGCAAGTCTTCTCGGGGATAGCAGAGAGAGAAGAGAGACTCGATATTGTACTCTAGACTCCAGCCTCTCCATCCCGTTGTTCTCGTTGTTCATCCTGTTGCTGTTAAAAAGGTTGTGTACTGATAACTGCAGCTCATCCTCTCAGCGGGCATAAACTCCTCTCCCTTCGAGCTGAGCGTTGACGGAATTGAGCGCCTCTTCGGCTGCAACTGGATCGGACAATCCTACATAATCAACTTGCTATACCCGCTGATGCGAAAGACATCGAAGCTCCCCAATGCCCCCGCACCGCGAATCGTCCTCGAAGCATCCGACATGCACAAAATGGCGCCGGCAGACGTCAAGTTCCAGTCGTTGGAGGAGATCAACAATGACAAGCTGAGTCCGATACAGCTCTATGCGCGGTCCAAGCTGGCCATGATCCTGGGTGTTAGATATGGCATTCACAAGAAGATTATCAAGGCTAATAAGGACAATATTTATGTGATTGCTGTTCATCCGGGGGCTGTATGCATTGCCAAAGCATGGGATTCTTTTTGAACGTATACTCACCATGCGCAGGTCATGACAGATATGCAATACCAATACCAAGAAGCATACCCCGGGCTTTTTGGGAAGATCCTCACACTCATCAATCTGGGTATTTCTAAGACCCCCGAACAGGGAGCTACAAGCGCCCTGTTCGCAGCGATGAGTCCGGACATTGAGAAGAAAGACTTGAATGGGGCATATATTGATGACTGGGTATGCATAATGTTAACACTATCGATGGTCCATTTGGAGCATATCGCTATCTGTGCTAACGGTGACATATTATAGAGCGAGTTAGCATCTCCAAGTGAGATGGCCATGAATGAGGAGCTAGGGAATAATCTCTGGGACTTGAGTGAGAGTCTGATTAAACGCTCCGTTGGGCCTAATGCACTGCAAAACTGGAATCAGATAATAACTGCGTGATCTGTGGATGGCTGTTATGCTCCGGAAGACGCATGATTCTTCATGATTGTTGCAGTTTCGGACAGTAGAATGTTTTGAAGTTATGAGATAAGTTATAGAACACACATATGTAACAACCAGGCTGTCAAACCAATAAACATCAGCATAGCAACATCATCAATATGGACATCATACCAATATATACGATTCATAAACGAACTGCCGAGACCACCTCTAATTCCTGCCCGTACCACCAACGCCACCATATCCAGACGATCCTTCGTGTCTATCGCTACCACCAGGACGTCCCCTGGGAAGCAACGGCTCCGTTTCCAAATCCCTCCTCGCAACACCATCACCACTGGATCCAGCCTCAACCTCGCCATAACTCCCACTAGCCGTGGCTTTAGCAATAGCCATGGCCTTCCAAGAGACAAATCCCACCAACCAACCTCCAACAACGAGCCCGGAAATAGTCAAAAAAGCATTGACCGGTATAGGGTTTTTGTCGAACATCTTGAATGTAACTGCGTCCAAACCTGCCTGCAGAAAGTTACCAAGACCCGCGGTGCAGATTATGAGTCCATATACCTTTCCGAAGGTTTGGAATCCGAAGACCTTGGCCGCGTAGTCGCTAACGGCCGTGTAGTAGAATGGTCTGTAAAGAACGAAAACGGCGATTTTTCCGTAGGCTGCGATCATACTATGGGGTATGCATCCCAGAATTCCGATGAGGGTCGCAGTTGCGACCAGAATGAGTAGTACGAGCGGTGTAGCGACATTATCCAAGATAATCCCTATGAATGGGACTGATGCCAGGCCACCGAGTGGGAGAAGGAAGTCAAAGAGCTGATTGATTTCCTTTGCCTTGCGGGAGGAGGAGAGCAGATACGTGTACTGCTGATTTATGGAGGCAACAAAGTAATTTATTCGGAGCATCTGCAAAACTGTAAAGGCCGTAATTAGGAAGAACCAAAGAGTCAGGATCTGGTATACAGCTGAGTAACCATGCAGCACGCCCCAGATGCCGCCTGAGGTGTATGTAACGGCTTTCTGTTGTTGCCTTGGTTGTGGCGGAGGCCCGTCCCCCGATTCACCGAAACCAGTAGCAGCGTTGGTGGTTTTGCCATTTTCGCCGCGGAATAGATACCCTTTGACCTTGTTGTAGTAGTCGATATTCTCATTGCCATTGTCTTCGTTATCAGTACCACGGTCGTCAAGAAGGTCTTGAATCTGGCTCACGATGGAATGTCTCTGAAGTCGACGGTCGTTACGCTGGCGTTCGCCTTCTCTTGGATCAGCGATAGATTCATCAACTCTATCATTAGCTTCGTCAGCAATGGTGGCCTCGGCTTCCTGGACCAGTTCACCGGCAGTCTTGTAAGATGTTGTAGGCATGACAAGTACCTGCGCAACGAAAATGAACAGCGGAACTACTAGATAGAGCATGAAAAATGTCCTGGTCGAAAAAGCCCCTCTTGTCTTCTCGTTGGCAAGACGAAAAATAAGAAAAATTGCACTAGACGCATCGAAGGCCCCTGTTAACGTTGACAGGATCAACCCCGAGCGGGTCGGGAAAGTGTTCGACAGATGGAATGACGAGATGAACACGAACGGTCCACCCAGAGACAAAAAGAGGTAGCCAAGGATGTATGCATCAAAGCGCAATGAATTTGCAAATCCAACCAGAATGGCGCCCGTTGCGAGACAAATACTACCAATTATCCCGCACACCCGAGGGCCGTAGTTATCAAGGATTGTGCCGATGGGGAGTGCAGAAATATTTGTCGCAACAGCAGCAATGGTAAACATTAAATTGAGGCTGGATCATGGATCAGCTTAGTGAGCGAAAACATCAGAAGTAGACATGGTACGTACCGAATCTCTTGGCCGTAACAGACGTTTACACCGTCATTGATCTCCTCATCCGAACAGAGATGGCGATACACGCCTTCCTGAATTAAGATGGGTTTGATAGCCGCAAACCCAAATACAATCCCAGCCCCTAGGAAACAGTAGACCACGGCAATGCATACTTGGGCTTTCGGACTTCATCAACACCTTACCGCGCATGTGACCGGGAATATCACGAACGTACCGATCCTCTTCCCCCTCGAAACCTCAAAAGCGCCCGTTGTCAATGGCACATCCCAGTCGGGCTCCTTCAACAAAGCTGCTGGCGGCTCTAGTTCCTCTGTTCTGACCCCATCGTCATGCCGATCGCCACTTGAGCGCTCGACGGACCCCTCTCTCCACCCAGGCCCGGAATACGGATTGAAGCTTAGTCGTCGGCTATAGGTCGATGGAAATGAGGATGACAAAACAGATTCGGGGAGGTCATTCACAAAGCTGCTGAGGTTGTCAATTGAGTCGTCTCCGTCCGTGTCTGTTCGCGACGGAGGGAGTCGCGCGCGGGGGCGGTTTGGATCGAACTCCCACGACTCCAGATATGAAGCGCGCGGGAGAGACATGGCAGATTAAGTGAGTAGAGGTAGATCAAAGTCAGCAATACTCTTCTTATTGCCCCGTCCTGCGTTCTGGGAAGAGGAGAAGAGGAGAAGAGGAAGTTGCTTCGTATCTGCAAGAGGGGAGCATCTTGGTCACATGATAGCTCAGCACGGGCGATAAGATAAGCAGTTGGTGGTTCCCAATTATTCACTCCTTCCTAGTTAGCATAGCGTAGATAACTACCTCTACTAGTGAACTCCTAGCTAGAACCAACTCAGCAAGTTCGGCCCCCATCAACATTATGTAATGCGCTTATGCAGATCATTTTTTAGGGCTGAGGGCTACTCGGAGATTTAATTTATTCCGAGCTGCAGTAGTACGTACAGAGGATAATCTCTCCGCTGGGAGCAGACGTCCATGCATCCTCGTGCTCTGCCCATTCCCGCCAGGCCGTAGCGATCTTCTCGAGATCCCCAGTACTCGCCAACTGAGCATCAACAGCCGTCTTGGCCGTCGATGACACCAGCGTCCCCTTAACCCACGAATTGCCACCAACCACCTCGTCCCTCTGGCTGAAGCACCACGAACCAAAACTGCACTTGATATCGGTGAAACCAGCCTGCTTCGCCAATACATGAAGAGCATTAATCCGGAATTTGGTTCGCCCCCGTTATACTGGGCAATTTCGAATAGAGAGATCGCCAATACTCCAGTCCAGCCATATTCTCAGGGTACCAACAAAAGGCACCAAAGTCGCCCTCACGAGCAGCTACAATGCAACCCGGTTTGGTGACGCGTTTCATTTCTTTCGGGATACCCACCAGGTCGGCAGCGTGCTCTAGAACTGATGGCAGAAAACGACAGCAAGGCTGCTGTTGGCAAATACGAGTCCGGTCGCATCTCCTTCAATGAAGTCTACGTTCATGATGTCTTTCGCGTCAGCCAGGACACGTGCTTGCGCGAGTGCCCCTTTCTGGCACATTCGAGGCCGGTGATGTGTCCCTGGGGACGTGGTTTGCGAGATCAACTGTAATCGTTCCCGTGCCATATCCGATGTCGAGGATTTTCATATCTAGTTTCAGATATTGGAGGAGATAGCCGGCTGAGTTGACGGCTGTTCGCCAGCCATGGGCGCGGAGGACTGGTGGATGGTAGCCATGGATGTAGGTGGCAGACTCCTTTTTGCCACTCATAGTATCCGCTGGAGATGACTCCCCAGTGAAATTTGATATTCATACACTGGATTGACGAGTCTGTGATATTGCGGGTGAGATGCAAGAATCAAAAGAGGCCTGTTGACAACTTTTCACCTTTGACACATTCATTCCGTGTTCCACTCTCGGCCGGTACGGGGAACCAGTTCGTTATATTTCAATCGCCGATTCATTCTCCAACATGAACCTCAGGCATATAAAACTCCAACTCCCCACAAAGGTTTTGAATTCAATTCAAGCCCGATGATCATTCTATCTGATACCTCACTCAATTCATGGATCCAGTAGGAAGCTCCAGCTGCTCCGAGCCAGCGCGCAATGTCGAGGAACTGGAACAGGCTCTCCATCGGAAGAACCAGAAGGGATTGCGGAGGGTAATACTTAATTTTACCCCATCGTGAGTTTAACCTCCAACCTCCAACGGCTGTTATACGTGAACTGACAGATATGAGATAGTTGGGTAGGTGGAACGTTCCATCGTGACCATACGGTGCTGACATTGGCATTGACATTGCTGTAGCTCAGTGTTACCATGGGCACCGGTATCGTGTCTATTCTCCTCCACAATCTTCCGTACAATGGGAGATGGCTGTATTGGATATCGGTCGTGATATTCTGCTTCAATATTCTCCTGTTCGTTGTCTTCCTCCTCATCTCCTTGGCCCGTTACTCTCTGTTCAAGGGAATCTGGAATGCAATGATCAGACATCCCGTGCAATCTCTGTTCCTTGGTGAGTACCTATTCCTGCGCAGTTTATTCAGTGTTACACTATCTAATACAACTATTGCTAGGTACTTTTCCGATGGGTTTTGCAACGATTATCAACATGATATGTCTTGTTTGTGTTCCTCCTTGGGGCCAATGGGCAGCTATCATGGCCTGGGCATTCTGGTGGATTGACGTTGTTTTGGCATTGGCTACGAATATGTACCTGCCTTTCATGATGTCTGTTGTCTGTTCAGTTACACTAGTGCTTCTTCCTTGCTGACCTTGACAGTATGCACAAACACGACCAGTCCCTCTCAAACATGACTGCGGTCTGGCTTTTGCCTATTGTTGCCACCATCGTCGCCGCAGCCTCTGGCGGAATCGTCGCGTCGGTATTGGAAAATAATCAGCATGCTCTTTGGACCATCATCGTCAGCTACATTCTCTGGGGATGCGGTGTGCCCCTGGCCATGTTCGTTCTGGTGATGTACTTTCATCGGCTCACCATCCACAAGCTCCCTCCTCGAGAACTGATCGTATCGGTCTTCCTCCCCCTGGGACCGCTAGGTCAGGGGGCATTCGGTATCATGCAACTCGGTAAAGAGGCAATGAGAGTCTTCCCACTCACAACCTCTTTGCCAGCACTTGAAGTTCCTTCCGGCGCGGTACTGTACATTCTCGGGTTTATCCTTGCGTTGATTATGTGGGGTTTTGGACTGGTTTGGCTATTCTTTGCGCTTTGTTCTATTACTCGATCCCGGTTTCCCTTTAACATGGGATGGTGGGGATTTACGTTCCCACTGGGTGTTTACACGGTGGCCACTACGACCATTGCGCAAGAGCTGCCGTCTCTTTTCTTCAAGGTTCTGGGGACGGTAAGCTTCTGATATATAAGGTCTTATGCTGTCACTAACTTCTTGGTAGATATTTTCGATAGCAGTAGTCCTGCTCTGGATCATTGTTAGTGGGCGGACGTTAGAGAAGATCTGGAAGGGCGAGATGTTCTTCGCACCCTGTCTCAAGGAATGGGAAAGGGCTGCTGTGCAGAAGGCATTGAACAGTGAGGATGGAGCTGGGTGTCAAGTGTAGAGCTGCATTCTAAAAAGTGATGCATATAATATACCGATTAATGATCGAACAGATCTCAATACTTATGCATGCCGGTTAAGCTTGATACTTCATATGTCCACGTCAATTGCCGACAATCCTCTTCGGTATGTAATAGCCCGACCCCCGACGTCCCCTCCTCCACCGGGGATAGTTGAAGTTGCCGCAGAACCCCATGGGGAGAAGGGAAGAGAAGGAAGAACATATCTGCAACATAACACGGCACACATGGTATCACCAGAGGAACAAAAGGTCAGTCCGCGAAACACCACATATCCTCCTGAGCACAACACTCTGAATAACTAACCACTCCGAAGACTATCAACGAACTCCAAGCAAACTGGATCTGGACCCCCAACTGGGTCGATTCCTCCAACACCAACACAGCCGGACGGATTGTCCATTTCACTCGAGAGGTGAATCTCTTGTCGTGTCCGTCTCGGGCTGTGTTGCATTTCTCCGCCGACACGAGATATAAACTGTATGTGAACGGAGCCAGAATCGCCGTTGGACCGTCCCGGGGCAGTCCATTGATCTGGTATTACGATACACTGGATATCGCACCCTATCTTATCAATGGGCGCAATCAGGTCCGATTTGTCGTGGTGAGGTATTTTGCGGCCTCGAGGGGCGCGATGCCGTTTGAGCGGACGTCGACGCCGGGTTTGACGGTTGTGGGATGCGTCGAGACAGATAGTCAAACGGTAGATCTCAGCTCGCGACACGGTTGGCAGGCACAGGTAGATGAGAGTATTTGGTTTCCGACGGGGTTGGTTGACGACGTGTTTCTTCATGTAGGACTTGCATCTCTATTGTTGGCATCTGGGATATACTCGTTCTGATAGCGACTGGATAGATCTACGAGCGCATCAACGCAGCCACTCCGAACTCTCCGGTCACGCCAATCGTCTACGGCATCAAAGCGTTGAACGGAGAGCTTGCGCCCTGGAGATTGCGTCCGCGCGCTATACCCATGCCCGAGGCGAGTAGGGCCACGCTCAGTATCATCCGACGATGCCAGAGTACGGCGTCTGCAGACGACTAGACAGCGTACTTCGATGGAAATCGACCGTTGACTCTCGATGCAAATTCGAAGCATACAATCGAGGTACAAGCGGACGTCCATTCTACTGCCTTTCTCCGATGGGTCTTCAAGACGGTCGGAGACAAGTCACAGATCCAGCTACGCGTAACATATTCAGAAGGATACGAGCTCGAGCCACGCTCATACCCTTTCTTCCGGTCCAAGGCTGATCGGTTAGACGCGACGGTTGGTCAAATTGTAGGCCCTTACGACGAGGTGACGCTGCATCTCACCAGGAGGCAGGGCAAGGGAGGGGCTCACAAAAACCCCGTCTTAACACCCCATTTCGTAACAGTCCCATTGATCATCAACGGCGTACAGAAGCTGAACATGGTAGCGATGCCGTTCGACAGAGCGAGCGCCAGGCCCGCCGTCTGGGCGCGGAGGCGCTGCTGTGGGACTTCTGCGGCGTAAGCGTAGCCGATTGCTGAGGCGCCGGTGGTCGAGAAGGTTGCCAGGCAGGCGAAGAAGATCTATCAAGACCGGTTAGGGGTTGTTTAGGGGTAAAACGGTAGAGGGACGGGGCTATACCAAGAGTGAGCTTAGACTCTTCGACGTGTAGTCGAAGCAGCCGATTACACCCAGCCATAGCACCGAGAGGACCGTCACCGCGTAAGGATAGATAGTTAGGGGTCGACGACCAAGACGGTCCGTCAGAGTAGCCGTAAGGATCATGGAGATGAGTTGGACACATGAAGTGATGATGGTTACTTGGAAGGGGTTTGCATTTCCGGCGTTTTGGACTGAGGATATACATGTCAGTGGGGAGAAGGCATGGTTATAGCATGCAGTCACTTACAGAAGTAAGTAACATACGTGTTAAACACAGACAACCCGACAAACTGCTGCGCAATCTTCGGCCATCCGGCGATGATGAAGCGGATGAGGTTGCGTCCACGGAAGGCAGCCCAAAGCCCTAGTTCGGAGTTGCGTTCGGCGATGATGCGCTCTTCTGCAACGGTGGCATTCATGACTTCCTGCGGAAATCGTAAGTCAGGGCTGCTGGCAGACATACAGAAGGAAGGATAGGAAGCGTACAATCTGCTCCTGGACATTGTAGTCCTGAACACGCCCGTTGCAGATCCATACGACCTTCGTGGCGTGCTCGATCTTTCCCTTACTGACGAGCCACCACGGCGATTCGGGGAGAAAGACGAAAATAATGGCTATGGAGCCCACCATAGCCCATTGCGAAGGGTCAGCCAGGCCGAAGACAAGGACTTGTCACCGGCTCCAACCCACCTGCGTATAAATCGGAGTGCGGAAGTCGTACGGATCCGTAGCACTGAGTCTGTTTAGGGCAACGGAGGCGAAGATTTGGCCCAGGACGAACCAGCTGGGAGAGCCTCCATTAGCAATGCATCCACAGACGAAGCTCGAGCCAGCTTACAAACTGTATGCCCGGTCGTCCCTAGGATCGTAGCACTCTCAACAACTCGGCTCTTAATGGAGGGGAGGCCATCTTATCCGCTTTCCGTGGAGGTTTAGGGCCCAAGCCCTACTAGTGCAAGACCTTGATGCGCCAGGCGGTCCATAGGCAGTCCCTTTTTCGGTGCAATTCAGGCCGATTGTCCTGGCTATATGGACCCGGGGCAAATGCCTCGCTGTGCTATATCCCGAATATCCCGAATAAGCGTGGAGTTGGGGGGAGTTTGAGAGGCAGGGGATATGGCCTGATGGACTGTTATTTCAACCACAAACCGGGGAACATTGGTGTAGTCGCAGCAGCCATGGTAGTTGATACGTCGTTCAAACGGCGATTAGACCCAAGATCACATCGCCACCGTAGCTTGCAAGGGAAATGAACGATGTTTCGACGCTGCGTCGTACGTGGCCCGGTCCCTGTCACCGTCAACAACCGGTCATTTTCCCACGAAGAAAATCAAACGTCGTTCTCGGAATGTTGCCTGGGGTCCTTTTCGCCCGGCTTGTTCAACTCCAGAAGCTCAAGCCTGCAGGCGCTCGCTCGGAGGCGCTCCCGAGGGTGTGTTGATAAAAGATGCCTGGTACCCATGCCGGGTGCCCTGCTCCACGCTTCATGCGATCTAACTTCATTCGATCCAATATAGAGCTTCGGGAGGAGATCGGGAAGGGGGAGCATGAAGAATACAAGTCCTATCGGCACTCTGATCGGAAGTGCATACCACGTAGGCTGGCCCGCTGTTATCTTTCTTTCGGCTTCAATCCCGCGTGAAGCGGGGAAGGCCAGCGTCGCTATCAAAAACGTCCAGCTCGTTTCTTCCACTCTGCCATCCACGCATATTCCCAAATCACTGGAGCAATAAGCGTCCATCATGGCGGCTCAGGAGGTTATTATGCTCATCACACCGTGGAAGCCCCCAGCGGCGTGGGTTTCCGCTTTGGAGCAAAAGCTCCCCCATGTCCGCATCGAGCACTGCGAAGTCACCATGTACGCGACGGAGATCCCGAAGGAGATTCCCGAGGAGACGTGGAGGAGCGTCACGGCGCTTTTCACGTGGAAATTGTTTCCTCCCAGGGAATCAGTGCCGAACTTGCAGTACGTCCAGCTCCTCAGCGCTGGCGCCAACCAGCTTCACGGGCTGCCGCTGTTTGAGGAAACGGAGATTGCTTTTTGCACTGCGAACGGCGTCCATCCGTAGGTTATTTATGAATCCGAACGGGTCAGTGGGAAGCGAAACGACTAACTGGGGTCCAGTCCTCAAATCACGGAATGGGTGTTTGCAACGTTCCTCGCTTTCCAGCATCAAAGTCAGCCCAGCCCTTTTCAGCCCAGCCCTTTCACCAGACAGGGAGTAGATACTGACTGCCATAGTCCCGGAGCATCTTGAGAATCAGAAGCTCTGTAAATGGGTGTATCCCGAGTCTGACGAAGACGTGGAGGATGCCGTCGGCCTCAGAGTGTACGGACATTCCTCATCTTTATTCCACATGTGGCCCAACATTTACTAACATCGTATAAGCGGCATCCTCGGCTACGGCTGCATCGGCCGACAGTGCGCCAGAGTCGCCAAGGCATTCGGCATGGACGTCTACGCATACACCCTGCACGAACGAGCAACCCCCGAGTCCCGCAAGGCCGACACCTTCACCGAGCCCGGACTCGGCGATCCAGCGGGGGAATTCCCCTCGAAATGGTTCTGGGGCAAAGACCAGTTGAACGCCTTCCTGGGGTCGAACCTGGACTTGCTCGTAATCACCCTCCCGTTGACACAGGAGACCCGCGGGATGATTGCCCGGGAACAGTTCGAGCTCCTGGGTAAGAAGAAGGCGTACATCAGCAATGTCGGCCGGGGACCGGTTATCAACACCGATGCCCTTATTGCTGCTCTGGACCAGAACCAGATCCGCGGTGCTGCGCTGGACGTTACCGATCCGGAACCGCTGCCGGCTGATCATAAGTTATGGGGGTATAAGAATGTGATCATTACGCCGCATTGCAGTGGGGATTCGAATCACTATAATGAGCGGTGTCTGAATATCTTTGCGTATAATTTGGAGAGATGGTCACAGGGTAAGGGCCTTGTCAATAGGGTTCGCAAGCATTTGGGATACTAGACAGCAAGATATAGATTTTAGACATGGGCGAATTGCTTATGGAACGCAAGTTCTGCTTGCATATGAGATTTCCGTGCCTATATAGCAGTGCCTCGCTGGTATGTATTGGAGTAAGTTGACGTAGAAAGAAGTTCCATATACACTGGTTCTATAACAGTGGAGTCCAAGGAGCCTCAACAGCAATCTTCTTCGCAGAAATACCGTTCCTCAGCCGATCCAACGCCTCCTGAATGCCATCGACACCCTTCTTATTCACCATCTCCGGAGGCGGCGCAACCTTGTACATGTCCTTCGCCAACGCCTCGAGCAAATATCCACCAAAAGTAGCGGGAAGCGCAGCCTTCAAGCCATCGGTACCGCTCGTATCATAGGCCATCTTCGCCTCAACGCCCTCCGGGGCATCACCAGGCATGACGGGGTTGGAGGATGACACGAACAGCTTCTGCATCGACTTGGCAGATACCTGGCATGCTGCTGCTACCTTCCCAGTGGCGAGGTAGATACCAACACAAGGGCCCTTGTCCAATTCCACAGCCACATCGTCTGTAACAGTCGGGCTGTTGTAGTCGCATACCTTATTGGAACCGAGACTCTTGACATACTCGGCACTATGCGGAGAACACGTGATAACTTTGAGTCCGGATCCCTTGGCTAGTTCAATTGCATTGCTTCTCACTGCAGACTGCCACCCCAGATCAGGATTGATTCACCGGTACTGGGGGCGTCGAGATCTGGAGACCTGATATTTCACGTCTCAAATATTCCCCGTACGAATGGAACTTCGCATCTCCAATGCTAGGATCTCCCGGATGCACACAACCGAGATCAGGGGATCCGCATGGTACATACATCCACAATGTGTTCAGTAGTGGAAACCTGAGCAAGGTCCCACGGGCGGGTTCATTTGATCCAGTTGCGAAGAAGGCGGCGTTACTGGGTACTGGGGAGGAACAGATTAGTCTTACGATCATGTCTGAGCATAATCTCCATCATTTTTGTTATACTTGAATGAATCTTGACGCATCCCAGAAACGCGCGTTAAAGGTGAACTCGTTCACAACGACCCCAAAGCAGATTCTTGCCGAGTGTCAACGGCAGACTGTGATAGGTGGCATATACGTCTCTCGTCAGGCTGAAGGAGCTCGAGCACAAGGCCTGGGAGCGGAAAGATCCGCTTGCGTCGCTATTTAGCCGCGGCGGATCTATACAGAGGGTGGTACGTTGTATGAAAGGACAGACAATGAGGTTATTGACGCTGCAGCGACCTTGAAGCAAGCAGTGAGAAAGGCCACTTCGGCTGCGGAATAGGGCTTCTGTGCGTCTTATGCAGCTATGACACTAGTCCCAATTAGGAACTATTGCTCGAATTCCACATCGCCGACAAGAGACGTAATACACAAGAGATGGGAAATGATATTGACTCTATACTTTTCCTTTCGACTCTATATCCCGCCATTTTTTGTTAGACTGGGCTCATGTAAAAACATCAACAGAAATCAGAACCAACGTATCCTCGTGCAAACTGGCATTGCCCGCTTTAGGCTTGAAGCTCCTTCTCAACCAGCTCCTTGATCAGCTCTCTCACTGCCTTCCAATCGTTGGAAACGTCGGTAACACGCTTGTCCTTCTTGTCAAGGCCGACAAATTCCTGTGGCAACACATCTTTATCAAAGTTAAATCCTTCCTTGCCCTTAAGAGCAAGCTCGACAGCATCAGCGAACTTGGCCGGATGCGCTGTCGAAAGAGAAATATGCGGGATATCCTTTCCTACCCGCTGCTCCGACCGAAGGGCAGCCGTGATACCGACGGCAGAGTGAGGATCCAAGACGTATCCGTCCTTATTATAGATAGTCTCGATGGTTTCCAGAGTCTGTGGATTGCTAACTCTCTCGCTCTCGAAGGACTTGCGTGCGTTATCGAGAACAGCATCAGGGACGGGGCCAAAGCCACCCTTTTGCTTCAGGTCGTTGAGCCACGTAGTAACTGCCTGGTTTGCCTTTTCCCGGTTGGCCTTATCGTCTGTACCGCTGGTGGCTGCGTATTGGTACGATAGGAACCAGAGGAGTCGCTCGAAGTTGCTCGATACCAAGATGTCCATTGCGGGACTGTATGTTTCCCGCACGCCGCCGTCTTCTGCTTTCTTCTCGTATCGGCCCGTCTTCCAGAACCGATCAAGGATATCGTTCTCGTTAGTTGAAACGACAAGTTTGTCCACGGGAAGACCCATTCGATATGCAAAATAGCCTGCGAGAATATCTCCCTACATGAATTCCATTAGGTTAAGCCCTGGTGAGTGGAAACAGGGGTGACTGACAAAGTTTCCAGTTGGCACTACGAAGCGCACTTTGTCGCCGAGCTTGACGTTGGGAGACTTCTTCAGCAGAGTGAAGTACGAATAGAAGTAATATACGGTTTGGGCGAGGATCCGGGCGAAGTTGATTGAGTTGACAGCGCCCAGCTTCAACGCCTGGTTTGTATCAGGGTCTCCGAAGAGAACCTTGACAATATCCTGTTGCGCTGTTAGTCAATAGTCCCATATTTCGGACTTGACCAATGCCTACTTGACAGTCGTCGAAGGTACCGGTGACAGCAAGATTATGGACATTCGGGTCTAAGCAGGTTGTCATCTGTGCCTCTTGGATAGGGCTGACACGGCCCTTCGGGTGCAAGATGACTATCGATACATCTTTCTTGCCTCTGAGACCGTAAATTGCCGCGGAGCCGGTCTACTAACATGTCAGTGTCTTCACTAGATCAGTGGTCCCCAGAGAGAGGAATTTACATCACCACTAGTGGCTCCGACAACCGTCAAATGATGTCTGTCTGCTAGCCGTCAGTTCGAATAGCCTTGAATCCAGTGGCTATACGCATCCGTGGCCCACCTTTGCCTTCCTTCCCTTTATTTTTCCGCGTAAGGAAATATTCAAAAAGATTACCGAGGAATTGCAAGGCGCCTAGTAGCCTGTCAGTCTGATGACGTCGCCATCGCCGGCTATGACTCACAATCTTTGAAGGAGTAGCTGGGACCGTGGAATAGCTCGAGAAGGTATAGATTGTCCTGCAGATGCACCAAGGGTGTAACATCCTTTGCACGGAATGTCGAGTAGCTGCGATTGATGATGGCTTTCAGGTCGTCGGCAGGGATCTCAGATCTTGATATGTACAGGCTGAAGATCTGGAAGGCTAACTCGGTGTATGAGAGGTCTTTCCAATTCCGCTGTGGTTGCGTTAGTCGTGCGTTCGGTGGTCCATTCCAACTAAATTATCAAGCATACCCAGTCCACCGCAATTGGGATCTCCTGGGGCAGGAAAAGACCGCCATCCGCAGCGAGTCCTTTCAGAACAACGGTCTCGAAGGAGAGCTGGAAGCAATTAGTAGGCTATCAATCCACAACATGCATTCGGAAAACTCACGCCATGGTCACCCCCTCGGGTAGAGAAGTATCTCTGGGACTCAGTATGATCGCTAGCCATGTTATACTTGTTGCGCAGGAAAAGCAAAGGCAAAGCTGTGCCCCTCGCCGGAAGAGAAGGTTTGGAGATTTGGAGTCATCGGAAGATCGATCGGCCGATGCCCCGCCGACTTCGGACGTCATACGGTATTAGTCATTAACCCTATCTTCACCGGGAGTTATTATTAGGGTTTAGCCAGGGAATGGCGTGCGTGCACAGAGTACAGAATAAAATATAAGCAAAGCAACATTGAACTCAATCGTTTCTGCAGTGTTTCCGATGCTTGGAGCGGCGCAATAAATTCACGAATTTTTCGAAGGACCTGACACCAATGCCAGTCAGTGTTCTTGCCAATCCAGTTGCTCTATCAGCAATATGTAGGATTAACAAATGAGAAATTCTGGGTACCTCAAAGAAACTTAATATACAGGCAGAAAGCAAGCTTTCTATAAAGCTATCCGTGTGTATGGCGTTGTCCAACTGGGTCCAGACTCGTTTCCGAATCCTCTAGAATGACAGGTACAAATGCTGCTGCTGTTAACAGGAATGGGATGCGATCCCTTATGATGTGCGATGTAAGTCCACTCGGCCAGCGAGATGATATCCCGAACCAGCGCCCTGCTATGAAAGGACCCAATGAACTCGAAGCAGAACATGCGCATCAAACAGTGGTATCGATGAACAGGAGGCATGGTAAACATCCAACTACCAGGGATAGCACTTATGGGGTCACATATGTCGGGCATTTCTTGTCTGGGTGTAGAACGAAGGCAACTGTCCCAGACGTGTCTGGTGGAGATAGAAACTTCGCTGCTTTCAGAAGTATGCACGCTGGCCATCGCACTGTAATAAGTAAAAATAATCCGATTCAGCTCAAACGGTAGAAGTAATATGAAAGAAGTGACATACCTTTCTATGCTCCTCTGCAGCGGATGCACTTGTGTCATCTACGGCGCCGATATTTGAATCTGCATGGCATTATCACAGCCGTATAGTTGCCAAATATTATGGATACATTATAGAAGATTCAATTTCAAGTTCTTAGAGAAGAACAATACCGCAATGCCGGACGAACAAGAGGAAGAGTGTCATTTCAAGTTGAGCACAAGATTCTAAGTATATCACGTGTTGCTATCTGTCATGGCCGATTTCCGGAGCGTCAATTTTATTGGCTTATAGCTCTCCATCTAGCCCCATAGCCCCGCAAACTGGGCTTAGCCCCGCGATATTATTTCCTATCTAGGTTAGGACTGCCCGCGCACTACTGTGCCCTAAGCCCTAACCCCATTTTCTAGCTGCAACACGTTCAGCTTTGCTTGAACACATGATTACTTCGTTATGGTTCCATTTTCGCAGGCTGGTAGGAACTAGCACTAGTCATATGTCTTACATTTAATTTTTTGATATATTATAGAGTCTTCTAGACATTGGCGTTGCTCAGCACTCTTCTCCATCAGCATACTTGTCCTTTTAAGCCGAATATCGGAATCTTTCCAACCTCGGACGTCGGCATTCAGAACGCAATATTGCGTGAAAATGATTCAGCAAGAGAGCATTAAGTGAGGTTCTTATCATCTGGGGATTCTAGCCGGGGATCGTCCACGTAATCCACCGGAAATAATGGCATGTGCCGATGACATTTTATGCTTGGTAGCTGGGGAGATATAAACAAAGCATAATACCACTACTCGTGTTGATGCAGCCACTATCGAAGCCATATCTCTAAAAAACGATATTCCAATTTTCGTCATTTTCAATAGAACACACCATGTCATGTCAAGAAACCCTCGAACTCAAGGCTCATCGCGCGCCAGCGAAGAGCTCGATATCCTCCTGCACCATGCCGAAGCCTTCCGGTATGCGAGTCTTCTGCATCTGTACCGGTTTCTCTGCCGGTTCTCCACCGAAACATACCAGCCCAAGATGGCCGAATGCGTGGAATCCATCATGGCGCATGTGTCTTGCATTCCGCTCAACTTCCACTGCGAACTGGGTCTCGTATTCCCGCTGTTTATGATCGGCATCGCTGACCATAGGCCCGAGACTACGGGTTACGTCTGGAACCGTCTGGATAATATCTTCAACTGGACCAAGTTCGAGCATGTCCTTCGCGCAAGGAGCCTTCTAGAGACGCTCTGGGATACGGGGAGGACGGATTGGGAACAGGTGCTGCAGGAATTGGGGTGGCAGATTTCCATTGCATGAATCTTACGATGAACAGGGCTGTTTTAACGCTAGTATCCACAGAGAACCCTGATGCATTTCAGCGTGCAGTTAATATATGTCGTATATAATAGGCCGCTAGACACGCCCGAAGCGCCGATATACACTAATGCAGGCCGAGTAGCAATGGGGTAGCGTGCATATGCACCTCTCTTCGTGCTGTGCCCGGTCTACGCCCGGTCTATAAGCAGCGTGTAGGATTTAATCTAGTTTATGGCTACTCAACCATCAGGTCAACCCTGCAGACTCCCAGAGCAAACTCACCATGTCAACGACGGTGACAGAAGCCACGCAAACGCCCACCGCCATCGCGGTAGGAAGCCCTATCCAACCACCCCTAGCGAGCAGCGACAAAACCTTCCAGGCTCTCGCCCGCGGCAACCGCAAGGGAACCCTCAAGCTGCGCGGAATCCCAACCTTCACGGATCCCTATGAGCAGCGGAAATGGATGAAAGAGCACATGGCAGCTGCGTTCCGATTCTTCGGTAAACGGGGTTACGGCGAGGGCGTTTCGGGGCATATTTCCATGCGAGGTATGTGCAGGGCATTATTATTTTCTCTGGCTACGCTTAGCAGTTAATGATTTTGTGAAGACCCCGTCTTAAAGGACCACTTTTGGATGAACCCCTTCGCTCAGCACTTCTCAACCATCAAAGCCTCGGATCTGGTCCTGGTTGACAGCGAGGGATACGTAGCTGACGGGGGCAACCAGGCCCCCATCAACGAAGCCGGGTTCATGATCCATTCGGAAATCCACAAGGCTAGACCGGATGTTGTGGCTGCGGCGCATACACATGGTATTTATGGGAAGACGTGGAGCGCATTCGGGAAAACCGTTGAGATGTTGTCTCAGGGTTAGTATCATCTAACTTCGGTGTGTGGGATGTGATATGCTGATAATCCGAAGATGCATGCAACTTTTACGGGAAGCAGGGCGTGTATGATGACCATGGGGGCATTGCTCTTGCGCAGGAAGAGGGCGCTGCTATTGCAAAGGCTCTTGGGAAGAATAACAGCGTGTGTCTGCTGCAGAATCATGGGTTCGTTGCATGCCATTTACTATCCAATTTCCCGGTGAATTCAAAACTAAAAGGACATGAAATTTGATACAGCATCCTAACCACCGGAGCCACCGTCGACGAAGCGGCCTTCCTCTTCTACAGCCTTGACCAAGCATGCCACTCTCAACTGCTTGCCGAAGCCGCAGCTGCAAATGGGGTTCCTAAGAGGGTTATCCCCCATACCGTTGCACAGTATACGGCTGATTCGGTGCAGAATCCGGTAAGTCATGCTCTCTTATAAAAACAAAAAATAAGAACTGGCCAGCTGATATGAGTAGCATAACTTTTACACTGAGTTCCAGCCTGAGTTTGATCTGATTGTGGAGGAATCGGGTGGGAAGGTGCTTGAATAAAGTATGCTTTTAATGCTCATAGAGAGGTCAGAAATGAGGGAAGCCGGTAGTTAAAATAGGCAGTTTATTTCCTGCATTTTCCTGTACACGGTGTGTCTGAAATTCATGGTCATCTCTACCACGGCGGACCGTAGCTACTTGGCCGGATAAAGCTCGATATTGAGGCCGTAAGGACTGCCTGATTAGGCAACTACCGGGCTATGTAAGGCGGTTAACCAGATTACTCGTAGCAATATATAGATAAAGAGAAGGCTTTACAGGAGAGAATCCAAGACTGCACGCAGGTAGCAGTCAGGGTGCTTAAGAGTTCCTTCCACGGAAGTTTTCGTTCATCATGGATGATATGCCTTCGAATATTCCATGGGGGAATCTTTCCAACCTCACACTCGTACATCCATCCAGTCTTGAACAAGACGTACATTGAGACGACATCAATCCGGCATTCGTTTCTATTCAACAAAATCCATGGCTACTCCATAAACAACCCTCATCAAGCACATTACAACTCATCCTTCCTCCCCGTAGCCCTTTTCAACCCGCCCCGTCCAGCATGCGTGGTCCTCCCCACATACCCTTCAACAGGATACAAAGGATTCCCAACCATCAACCCGAAAATCTCGTACGCAAGATCAGCAGCGGCCCAAGCAGTCGACTCACCACGATCATCATACGGCGGCGCGACCTCGACTACATCCGCACCGACGATATTCAACGAAGTCAGCTGGCGCAGGATAGCCTTCAGCTCCCGCGTGGTCCAGCCGCCTGGTTCGGGACATCCTGTCCCTGGGGCGAGGCCGGGTTCTACATGGCGTTAGACAATCTTTTAATTTTCATTTGGTAGGCGGGCGTATACGTACCGAGCACGTCGATGTCGATGCTGAGATAGACGTATCCATCACCGATTACTTCTTTGATGCGGTTCGCGATGCCTTCAATGCCGATTTCGTCCAGTTCTGAAAGGAAACAAAAGCCTCGTCAGATCGTACCGTTCGTCCATTATGTGTAGATTTGTGGACATACCCTCTGTCTCAATGTACTGGAAATTCTGCTTCGCGTCTTCATCATAATCGCCGTAATCGTTGCCGAAGATCCTCGTGCGCAGACCGGCGTGGAGGTTTGCCTCGTCTGAGATGAGGCCTTCATTCTTTGCGATCCAGAGCTGTAGTCGATTTATGTCAGTATCCATCACCCTTATTTAACCCATTTTGGAGGGCATTTCCTACCATTGAACCGTGGTTATAGTCCGATTGCTCCGAAGCCCATTCACCGGCCAACGACAACGGATTCCACCTAGAAGTCCTCTCAGCAACATTTACAATACTCAGTACGGGAATATACCCTGTAGGCAAGTCCTCACGTATCCAGATGACTGTCAAAATGCAACACGCTAACAGGCCCGTAGATCTCATGCAAGCTGCGCAGAGCCGGCAGGAGAATAGAATGATCTCCTCCCAAACTCAGCACGCGAGGATGATACACACCGTCTTTCCCAAGAGCCCTTGCTGTTGCGGTCGTTGGCTGTGTTTTTGCCGGTCGACGAAGGAGGTCCCGATATGCCTCTGTCATTTGTTTGAAAGCAACAGCATTATCGCTGCTGTCGTTAGATCATGCCTAAATCCGAAACAGAAGAAGGGGCCGAATATAGTACCACTTACAATGGCGTTACTGGAATATCACCACAATCGACAAACGTAGCCCAATTCTGATACGGGTTGATTCCCTGTGCATGATTGAATCCTCTCGATGGAACCTGTCGTTGACTGGCGGTTCGGATAGCCCGTGGACCGAATCTGGCGCCTATATATGTGAATCATCCAGCCATGAGTATACAGCACTCCGATGAGCGGCGGCAATTCATAGGGAAATGATATCTACCTGGCCGATATCCCACAGCTGTGTCAAACGGCACTCCGATCACCGCTAGATCGAAAGGAGCATCCTGCTCGACCAAACATTGCACATGCGGTAAATGCGCAAATGTCTGGATCCCGCTGAAGGTGTACCCTGATTGCCATCGAGAGGATCTGTCGATATCCCCACTTAGAGGGTCTTGCTTCTGGGATGCTTTGTTATGGCCGAGGACAAGTGCCGGCCATATTGCTGCGGCGAGGAGGGTTCGAGCAAGCATTGTACTGTTGTCTAGTGAAAGAACAGACGATGGTAAAGAGCATCCGGCTTTTATTATGGACGGACTGCAAAGCTTGAAGCAGACGATAATACCGCATCTCGAGGTGCTTTTATAGAATCAAATGGCAAACAAAGCATTCGTCTCGGAAATCAAGAGGATTCTGTCTTCGACGATCCACCGGGCGTATCAGGCGGGATTCATGGAGCTGCAATAAGATCTCCCATCCCCGCAGCGTAGAGCTGATGGGGCTGATAACGCCGGATGTATCTATCGGCTTCATATACCTGGATATAGCGGTCCAGGTGTTTAGGATTTTCTGCATCCATGGGCTCTGGAGGCAGGGGAATGTGCTCCACTGGCCCTCTACATTTTAAGACGCATCAACATTGACAGCATGTCCCATTCCTTCCGGGCGTTCTTATACGTGGTCTATATCGTAACCCTGATTTTACAGCTAGTTTCGAGACAGTGTGGTTGGTCTATGGCCCATAGCTGATAGAAACGATCAAGCGATACAATATTCCTGTGAAAAGTATCATTTCATGGAAACAAGGATAATTGAGGAATACCTCCACCATGAACCAAACCCCGGAAACGTCAAAATGCTATTTCAAGGTGTCACAGAGTTACCCAATAGCCTTCCTATTTCCTCTGCAATCGCCAATGTCCGTTCCTCACTCAACTTCCTCCCGATAATCTGCACCGCTACGGGGGCGCCATGGTACGCCTCCGCATCATACTCCTTGTTGACCAGCGCATCCAGCTCGTTCAACGGCTTATACTCCTCATTCTTCACATCGATAGTCTTGTCCGCAAACGTCACAGGAACCACGACGCTGGTGAAGTCCAGCAAGTTGATCACCGAAGCGTAGCCATAGTACCGGAACTGGTTGTGTCTAATAGCAGCAGTCGGGGTGATGGGCGCTATGATGGCATCGAGCTCCTTGCCGAGCTCTTCCTCTAGCACACGCCATTTGTCGAGATACTCGCACTGATACTTCCATTTCTGGAGTTGCACATCCCAGACATCGTTTAGGTCGGCTTTCCTGACGCTCGGGTTGAGGAGATCTTTGATGTTTGGAATAGCGGGCTCTCCAGAGGCGTTGATGTCTCGTAGTACGTCCTGAGTAGCACCTATCAGTCTCCGGTATTCCACTAAACAAGATAAAAATAACATACCGTGCTTCCATCAGCAGAATAAATTCCGTAGATCAGGTCAACGGCAAAGTCATGTTTGTATGGTGTCCAGGGAACAATGCTGTGCCCATTCTTCTTCAGCACCGAGACAACCGTATCAAGGCCTCGTAGAACTGGTGGATGGGGAAGAACCTGTAGGATTGTTAAAAGGGATGTTTGCCAGTACTTCATGCTATCTTACGTTTCCGTCGCAATTAAAGAACCCCAATGTAAGACCCCCGGACTGCAGTTTAGTGCGAATGGCCTCTTCTTCATGAGACCTCCACGGTAGCGGAACTACTTTCGAGTCATACTTCCATGGTTCCTCGCTGAGAACCGACGTCAAGAAAAGTCTCAGATCTAGAATCTGTTAGAGAATACAAGCCCGAATAAGGCTACCCAGCTTACCCGAAGCAGAATGCGCAATGGGACCAACAACGCTATGGACGGTCTCCTGTCCCTCCATACTGTTCGCCATGTAGCCATACGGCATCCTACCATGGCTCGGTCGAATCCCGTAGAGGAAATTGAACGCAGAGGGAACCCGAATAGAGCCGCCTAGAACAGAAATCACAGTCAGCTGCAAGGCTGACGTTGCGAAATGGTAGCATTCTGACCAATATCAGTGCCAACTCCAATAATACTGCCACGGATGCCAACCATGGCGCCCTCGCCTCCAGAGCTGCCACCACACGACCAATTCTTGTTCCGCGGGTTAAGAGTTCGACCGGTGATGTTGTTGATTGTCTCGCATACCATCAGAGTTTGAGGGACGCTTGTCTTCACGTAGAAAACCGCGCCGGCTTTGCGCAGGAGGGCCGTGAGTATGGAATCACGGGTTTCATATTTTCCCAGCCAGGAGACGTATCCCATGGATGTTTCAAGGCCCTGGACCACGTTAGAATGTAACCATTCCAAGTCCTGCGATAATCACACGATCGCACCTTGATTCGCAACTGGTCCTTTAGGGAAATAGGAAGCCCATGGAGCGGCCCAACAGGCTTCTTGTGCTCCTCAAAATATGCATCGAGCCCTTTCGCCTGCGCCAGGGCGGCTTCCGGGAAGAATTCAAGAACACAGTTGACCTGCCTTGTCCATCAGCAGAGTCCATTTCTGCTGATATATGATTCCGTCAGGGAGAGCCGGAAGACCTACCAATTGATGCGCCAAAGCAGCCCTCTTACAAAACGCCAAAGTAACATCCACCGACTTCAGTTCTCCCTTCGCCAGCTTCGCCACGAGATCCGTCGCAGAAGACTGTGTGATTTCCCGTTCCTTCTCGGATAACAGCCCCGACTTCTCCGGAAAATCGAAAACAGAGTCTGCAGTGGGAAGGGACTTGACCTTCCATTCCGCCGGAATCGACTGCTCGATCCGGTGTCTCTTATCGGCAGCCCGTTCCTCCCAGGTGGCGGTCATTGCTGTGCTATTCTCGTTTGAGAAAGCCGAACTATGATTGTACGCTGTAGTAGAAGTGCTGTCGATTGAACCGTCTACACGGCGTTTATGTTAATGCTTTTCGGGTTTCAGGGGCAGTTAAAGCTGCAGGGTAGAATGTTAGAAGAGGGGCCATGCGGGGCGTATCGGGCGGCATGATAAGCTTCAGAAACATTTGTCATGGATGTTCTTCTGTTCTTGTCCGCGCATTAATAATTATTATCTCCTGTTGCTGCTCGGCAGGGCGTCGGATCGTTGAGGTTGATGAGCGCCGGTAGCGCTGTGATACGCATTGCATGGTCTATACTCCAGGATGCATGCATCTATAATTAAGAGTAGCCCTCTTGGGAGCCGGGGAAAAAAAGAGAGAAACAGCTTAGACATATCCGGGATCCTTGACTGAAATCACTTCCATCATGGGTTCCGTTTCCCCCAAACCGACCATCCTCTACGTCGGCCCGCCCATCGTCTTCGCCCACGATGCCTGGGCCGCATTCACCAAGAACTTCAACGTCCTCTTCTACGACCTCCACTCGAAAGAAGAGGTAATCACCGCCTTCTCGGAAGGAGGGAAATACTCCAAAATTGGCGGCATCGTTCGACCGAACATCGGTCCCCATCTCCTACCCTCAATGGACAAAGAGCTGATCAGCCACCTGCCCGCCTCCTGCAAGATCATCTCATACTGCAACCACGGCTACGACGGGGAAGATACAAAGGAATTAGAGCGGAAGGGGATCTGGTACTGCAATGGTGCAGGAGGTGCCACGAACGCAACGGCGGATATGGCTTTGTTCCTTATCCTGGCGGCGTACCGATACACGACTTTCTGCGAGCATCAGCTCCGGACGATCGGGTCGGCGGACTATTCCGCCGTCGAAGATGTCTGTAACGGATCCTACGATCCTAATGGTGGTATTCTCGGGGTGATCGGTCTGGGAGAGATCGGTACCGCTGCTGCAACGCGAGCTCGTGTGCTTGGCATGTCGATTCACTACTTCAACCGGACGAGGAAGCCAGAAGCTGAGAAGGCACTGGGTGGTGCTGAATATCACAAGGATCTGGAGTCCTTGTTGAGGATATCTGACTGCGTACTTGTTGCCTGCCCTCATTCGCAAGAGACGCATCATCTTCTGAACAAGGAGACGTTCAAGCTGATGAAGAAGGGGTCCCGGGTCGTCAATATTGCTCGCGGAAAGGTCATCGACGAGGAAGCCCTGGTGGATGCGTTGGAGGATGGGACGATTTCCAGCGTTGGACTGGATGTATTCCACGATGAGTATGTACTTGGGCCTCTGGTTTCCATTCAACTGTTTTAACTTATTTCCCAGACCGGCCATCCACCCGAAGCTGGTGAGCAATTGGAAAGTTACCTTGGTGCCCCATATTGGTGGAAGCACGGTAGGCACACTACAGGTAAGCTATAGCCAATCCATGCATGCCAGATACCGGCTAACTGGAACAGAAATTCGAGGAAATCGCCCTGAAAAATATTGAGGCTTTCTTCCTGGGAGACGGCAAGCCTTTGACGCCGATAAACAACGTGTGTAAGAACATAGAGGCGAAGTTCTAGTAGGTTTGGATAGATTGACTATAGACAAGAAGAAAATATACCAATTTTTTACATATTGTGAATCCATAGTTCTGGTCTCGCAGCATAGAGAGCATGATTTAATCTTGTACATTTGGTCTAATAAATGAACCATAATGACTACATCCAATGGAATACACACAACATCATACAATAATGAAACTGCGGCACATCTCGGAGAGATCCAAGACGAGCAGGATCTCAAGTGACGCATAAAGAGCGTATTTTTCATCTCCATCTGGGGGATAAAGTTCCATCCTTCAGCGGACAAGTCCCGAAGGCCGAGAGATCCTCGAGATAAGGGTTATTCATAAGCCGCCATACACGCGCGGTTGTGATATGGGAATCTTTCATTGCGAGGGCAGACGACTGGAATATTTCTGGCCTTCTCGGGGCGTTGAGATAAGCAGTGCAGCGAAAGGACATATATAGACGGTTATGGACTGATTATATCAACCTCTTACGCCTTTATGTCACTAGAGGACATATATGTTACAGGACGTTAACTTTTCTTTCTTTCGACACTGAGATACCAAACGAATACTAAGCCATGGCCCCAGCAGCAGAACCAGCAGCTCAAGCATCGGTCCCAGCCCTCGAATACCGTGGACCATCCAAGGTCAAATTCGACCCCAAGATACACCTGAACTATATCCCACCACCAAAGATACATAAAATGTCCGAACTGGGCATGGCACACGTCGGAACCAGCGACCTAGCCGCCACGGAACCCTTCCAGCTCGCCACGGAAGCCGCCATCGTCGAACTACGCCGCGAGCTCCTCCAGCCGAATACCCTGAAAAGGCGGATTCACTGGTGGCCCCGATCACCCGCATGTCTTCGCGGCTTTACAAAGGAAGAGGCACCCTTCACGCACGCTTTCTGGACATCTCCCGAAGTGCTCCGGATTATATCCAGCTTGTCGACGATCGACATGGAACCCGCCCTCCCTTACGAAATCGGACACACCAATGCGCAACTCGGAGCGAAGGGGCGAGAGGGTCTGAAAGACCTCCCACTGTACCCTGTTCCCGTACCGCCGGGATGGGAAGAGGAGAAGGGCGAATTCGACGATGTCCCCGTTGACAACTGGCACACGGATTCGTTCGCGTACTCGGTTGTGATGATGCTAAGCAACACCGAGAAAATGCTAGGAGGGGAAACGGCACTGCGGATGCCAGACGGAACAGTGAAAAAGCTCCGCGGTACGGAGATGGGATCCTGTATTTTCATCCAGGGTAGAAACATGCCTCATGCTGCGTTGAGAGCTCGGAATACCGGTGAACGCATCACGATGGTATGTCCATATCGTCCTGCGCATCCGGCTATTCGGGACGAGACAGAGATTACGAACTCACTCGAGCTGAGCTATCTTAATGAACTATATGGGCAGTTTAGCATGGAGCGGTTCAAGGTTGTTAAGAAGAAGTGCGATTATATGATTCGGAGACTGGAGGAGGACAAGAAGGCGGCGTTGGAGAGGGAGCCGGAGAATTATAACGCGGTTATTATGGATCGGAAGGAGGTCAAGACTATGATGGAGGATATTATTTGGTACCTGGAGGTTGCGCTGAAGCAGATGGGCATGGATAAGGATGAATGAGCATATACTGTGCCGTTGTATTTGATCTTAATATGGATAGTTCGCATTTTGTTTATTATGTACTTGCTTCGGCTTTAGTTCGCTGCATCCGCATGTTATCAAGTAGAGAGAACATAGGATTCCTTAAGCCTAGTCCCAGCAATGCAGTCCGCTGTGAGATAGTCGGGGACCCAAGCTCAGGCTCCTTTTGCATCCACACCTTCACCAGTTTCAGTCCCGATTCGTGTAGTAATCTCTCAAACTGAGCCCTCGTACGTTCCATGGACAAATTCACTATCATCGCCAAGTCCGCAAAAGCTGCCTGAAGGCAGATATTGGAGTCTGGCAATAAACCCTCATTGATCAACAAAAGAGAATCATGAGCCATGGCTTCACGAATGTGCATGAGGATTTGTCTAGCCTGTTTATCTGGCCAGTCATGCAATATAGTGCGCAGGTAATGAGCCTTTGCGCCTTTCACCGGCTGTTCATGGAAGAAGTCATGACTCTGGATTTGAGGCCGGTTGACCTAACTATCAGGCGAGATGACTTGCACTAGCACGCCCTAGGTCAGTCGAACTGTAAATTCTTAATAAGCCCTAAGTTGTTTTGGTCCGTATACGGCGGATTATAGCGGCACAATAAAATTTCCGATTAACGGCAATTTCAGTTATTGCAGTTGTGCCACTACAATCCGCCGTAGTCGGACCCACTATATTTAAGCTTATTCCATCGGAGCCTAACCCGATGGGGTTGATTTCCGGATTTGGATGCTCCTACTATTCCTCATTTACATACATTCACCTCGCTTCATCCTACTATCATCTAAGAGTATAGATCTCTATACAGATATTGGAGGTAAATAGGATGGCATGTAGCATTTGGATCAAAATTTGCTCCCAGCAGACTTCGCACAACTTGATCTCTTTTATCGTAGTACCCCAGATAGCTTGATTCAGGCTCTCCGTCTAGGGGTAATTAGGCAGAATAGCCTATCTTTTCCAAATCAAGTCTTCTGGGACATCTCAAGGTTTCCCATCTACATTCAAATTTAACACCACATCAGAATTATTCTGTGGATGACATAATTTGTGACCAAACACTGCCACATTATTCTATCTTGAAGAAGTTCTCTACCTATATATCGAGTCTAGGGCCAGGGGGGAAATAGCTCTACCTCGGCATACAGAGCAAATGGTTATTCCTGTAGGCGCCTCGGATTACATCTTAGTTAACTAGTTACTTACTAGTTAACTAACTACTTGTGCATGTTAATGACTGATTAGTTTAGTTAACTAACTAGTTATGCACAAAATAGATGATGTCATCTCTCCGCATTCCCGAAGTCAGACACCCGCAACATTCCACCACGTCCACTTTTTCCCAACTCCCCTACCTCGCTACCATTACCATTGATCTCCAATCACACCAAACCCACATTTGTACATAATCACCATGTCCGAGTCCCTCGCCGTTCTCCGCCGCCGTCGCACGGACGAACTCGCGCGCCTCGCGGACGAGCACGAAAAGCACGATCTCCTTCCCGAAGACCGCGAGATCCTGAAAAATGCCGCATCAAGAACGCGGTTTTGGACGGCTATTGGGTCGGGAATCGGCATGGGAATCGGTCTATCTATGGCCTTTAGACTGCGCGGTGCTCGTCGGGCGTTCTTTCAGGCGTTCCGCGCTGCCGAGAAGCCGACGCGGGTTGTGTTTGCTGATGGGCGGACTGGTATGCCATGTTATCTGCGTAATTCTATGGGGTTCCGCTACGTGGCTAATTGCGATTGCATCCAGAGTCTATTCCCGATCTCACACCGTTACTGAAGCCGACTACGCTTGGGGATATCGCAACGTATTTCTTTTCCTCGTTTGGTGGATTGTTTTTGGGTGGTGAACTCGGTATGGATACTCTCTTATTTTCCGTCACCGGAATACTCTGAAATATATCCAAAATGCCGCGGATGTACTAATGGATGTGACTGTCATAGGATTTTGGGCCGGTGCAGCGAGCGGTAGTCGGAGTGTCACTTCGGATCCGGAGAGGCAGAAGAGAATCGAGACTGCTTTCAAGAAGTTCAGGGCTGATGTCCTCCGGAAGGAGGCGGATGAATTGGATCTCAGGCACGACGTGACTGATGAGATGTTCTAGTTAGGAAAGCAAGCCTTGTCTCCAGGTTGGAAGTTGGTCTGGACTCATTATATATATACATCGGCGGTGGCGTATGTCTATCTCCATCCTTGCATCATTCGTCTTGGGTTTGCAATGTAAAATAGCTAGCAATTTTTACCATATTTTTCAATGGTGCCGTCTTTTGATATATATATATGTATATCCCATTGACCGTGCAACACCTCTATGCAAGCATCTAGAACATAAAATTCCATGATAATTGATATATAGATCACCCAGTAAGAATACCATACATTATCAACATCGCACAATCACCATAGTTCAGCAAACCCATCACAGCTGCAAAGCAGCACCAGCAACAATCCCCCCATCACCATCATCGGTGCCGTCGTCTTGACAGCAAAGTTACCACTGACTGTAGTACTTTGTATAGCAGTAGCGGAATCAGGACCAGTACCAGAACTTGCAGTCACCTCCGCTGTCGCTGCTGAATGCGTGGCAGACAACGGTTAAACTGACGGAGTATATGTTCCAGGACTTCTCATTGACCGGGACAGCAAATGTTACATCCTCTGTCACACTGGTACGGCCAATATGGTACGACCGCAAATACGAACATGTTGCTGTGGTGGTCAAGCAAATTCCCAGGAAGAGACTCCTGTATGTCTATCGCCCCTTTTGCTCTTCTTCCATCGTTCGTTTCGCCCTGTAGTCCTCCCTCACAATCAACAATCTCCCCCTGGCCACCTCCCAGATGGTGAAGGCCAGATTAACGAAAAAGACAATCAGGAGGAAAACAAGCAGAACCCCCGTCATGACCTTGAAGAAAGGATTAGTTCATCGCAACACCAAACAGCAGGAACGACGTCGTCAGCGTTCCCGTTGGGAAGATAATACTATTCCACTCGGGGCTCCATCTGAGTTCTCTTCGAAGCATTTCACGGATGAAGGCGCAGAAAGCAAGGACGACCCATCCAACTGCCATGCCGGACATCAGCATTGCCATCAGGACGCATGCCACGTTAAGCGGTGCTGCGGCGATCTCTGTAAGAAAGCTTCCTCTGTGGTATTCAGCGAACCGGCCGAATGTCATAGCAGCAGATCCTAGTGTTTGCAGCGCGGCCGAGGACTGGCCCATGGGGCCAATGTATAAGAATATAATGACGGATTTACCGGGTGGCGGCCAGCCCAATGTAAGCTGCTGGTGGAGCAAGTATGTATAGAGAAATATCGCCATGAAGATTCCCATGCCAACACCAAAGAAAGAAAAGATGATAACGGGAACCGCCAATCGACCCGAAATGCCGCTGGAGTAACTACATATAAGACCACCGATCGCTCCTAGGGTGGCGACAGCAACGGCGGGGATGACTATCAAGGTCGGCAATGGGTTCTGGGCCAGTAGGCGTCGCGAGATCAATACGCAGAAAACGAAGAATAGAGTCGCGAGCGTCCAGCCGGCGCCTATCCACCACATCACGTATGCGACGATGGTGAACGCATGCCCGCCCCAGTATGCGTCGCTGACTGTCAGCGAGACAAAGCCGACCAGCGTCATCCACGAGATCGGCCAACATGCAAGCATGGCCAGGGTCGACATGTCGTTGGTTAGTTCTTCGTATGCTTCTCGACGAAACCACGCGAGACGCAAGAGAAATATAAGTGAGGCGATGATGAACCAGACAAAATCAACCATCCATGCAATCGTTGACAGGACTGGCAGGCCGGGAAATTGATACGGGAACTGGTGCATCAGCATCGCGATGATTCCCGCATTCATGGACCAGGTGAACCTGCTCTTGGAAGTTATATGAAGATGCTTCAACACCGGCTCGAGTGCCTTACCATACTGGCCCAAAATCCTGAACCAATGCCCGAAAGGGGCTCCGTTTCAAAGACCTGCCGGTAGAGCCGTATTTACCCCATTCGCTATCATGATTGTTGCCTCTGTTTTCCCTTGTCGACATTGTTCTACCGGGCATCTGGCTTCAGAAGAGTAATGCCCGAGATACAGGCAGTCTCCCCTTATTATTAAGTTGGCGGGATCCAAGAATCACCGTGGCTTCAGCCACGGACAAGGCAACTCGTTAAGCCTTGAAGGCATCACCATGATGTAAGCCCTAATTCCAGCCATGCGAGAGTGCAGCTTATCGTACCAAAATGGATATTCTAGAACCGACGTGACTTGAGTAACATACTAGACACTGCCAGGATAATGATCTGACAATGGTATGACGGATTCCTTGGCTCTCTGGAATCCAAAAATACGAAGAATGTCCTGAAAACTGCAGAAATCCACCTCACTGGGAATCCGGTGATAGTATCAGTCCTTCTAGGAGCATCCCCTTTTGCTCAACGCATGACCGTAGCGATAAACTGCATTCACTGCATACTAATCGACCGGAATATCTGCCAATGGGTTGCTGTACGAGTACCAAGACCCATCCAGGCAGCAACTCCGTCTGTCTGTTACTGACGTTTCTTGGGGTGGAAGGTATTATCTTCTAGCACTCATTGCGTGGTTGCATTCAATCAAGGACACGAAGAACAGCGAGATAGAGGTCGCCAAATTCCGCGAGGGATAGCACCCATCAACATCCCTCTTCGAGATCTGAATAGCTGGAAGTCAGATTAGAAAGTAGCTATGTCACTTCTTGACTGCGAGAGTTGCCCGCATGAAAGAGAACATTGAGAGAGCCACTCCCGTCAAGAGTTGGTCTACATGGAGGTTGAGTCTTGAGTGGGCTAATGATGGATCGGATATGTTGGAGGAAGAGTACGAAGGAAGGAATTCAAGGCATCCAAGGTAACTCGTCTCCTCCCACCCGGCGAATGCTGTTCGAACAGTATGTCTTCCCCGGACGCAATCAAGATGGCATTCTGCCTCTTACAGTAATGGACGGTATCCGGCGGGTGGCAGCTAACCAGATGCATGGAATCGGACTCACTCCAGCTTGGAGTGCATGGTGCCATATCTATGAAAACCAAAAACACAAACGTGCCACCAAACAGAGCCTGGGTGCTCCATGATTGAGGAACCGAGACAGTCAATTGTCAACTTTCCGCAAGGCTGGGAGTACAACAACGGGAGTACAACAACATTTATGGGCCCGGAAAGAGACGTCAAACGGCCTGTCACCTTCGCCGAAGAACTCGATTCAACCTCTCTCCCCCGGGAGGATGGAGGATGGAGGACCGACAGTGGTGATGGGCGCATAGCTAAGTTTAAATGTTGTCACCCATCCAGCTACTAGCCGGCTGGTGAGTCAGTCAATGACCCTCCGGGGAGCAACTTCAGATTGGAATAAATGATGTTACAGTTGACTCAATCGCCAGCCTTGCGGAAAGTGATAATGTATCCAGGGCAAGATTTAGGAACTACCTTTGAACGAGGTGTAGCGTAGCCCTTCTAAAGTAATAATGAGGTATGCCTTTAGATACGTCAATGTGATTTGCGGCAGCCACTTCCACATATCCCCCTGCATACAAAGTTAAATAAACCCAATATTCAGCCTGTATAACAGAAACGCGGGATCTGAAGCCGGTATTCTAGAGACCAACATGGAGGAAATGGCATGCATTATCCCCTACTTGCTACTGCTAGCATCCCCCTACTTGCTACTGCTAGCATCCGACGGACAGTGGCGTCCGATCATGCATTCCGTGGCGTGTAACATCCCAGCCAGTCCTAAAGAAACAATACACATCCCCATGCATGCCAACCCTAGGGACAGAGAAAACGTCACGTCATCTTGATGATAGCCGACGGTGCTGGAATGAATATCTAGGAGAAATTATCCCACGAGGGTCAGACGTAGTACTCACTCCCACGTTCGCAACAGGTACCTAAACTTCAGCCCTACTCAGCCCTACTCAGCCCTACTCATTTCTGTACAAGTGACGATCCAATTCGTATCCAAAATGGCCTTTCAAGCAGCCCAAGATAGCAATACAGCGTTCAAACTGGAGAATCTTTTCAATGTCAAGGACAGAGGTACGATTCCAAACCCCATACACCATGTCTCTATCCTCGCATCTGACATTCTGCACAGTTGCCATTGTGACAGGCGCCGGCACTGGCATCGGTCTAATGCAAGCCCAAGCCCTCGCAGTAAACGGCGCCAAAGTCTACATCGTCGGGCGAACCGGCGAAAAGCTCGACCAAGTCGCCCAGCTGTACGGAAAAAATATCGAGGGACAGATCATCCCCCTGACGGCCGATATCACCGACAAGCAATCCATCGACAACCTAGTCAAAGAGTTCTCCAAGCGTGAGGATCACCTGGACATCCTGCTAAACACGCCGGCATAGCAGGACAGTCGCAATCGCCAAACTTCCGAAACCCCGAAGAGCTCCGCAAGAGCCTATTCGAGAGTGATAATGCCACTTTTGCAGACTGGGATGCTATCTACCGGACTAACGTCGGAAGCCTGTATTTCATGACGACCGCGTTTCTCCCGCTGCTGCAGAAGGGAAGCGAGAAGCGGTACACGTGGAGCAGCACGGTGATCAACACGAGCTCGATTTCGGGTATCGTGAAGGTGTCGCAGGATCATTTCGCGTATAATACGTCCAAGGCGGCTGCGGTGCATTTGACGAAGATGCTGGCTTACGAGATCACCAAGGCTGGTCTGAAGATCCGCATTAATCAGATCGCCCCTGGCGTGTTTCCGAGTGAGATGACGGCTATGAGTAGCGATGACAAGCATAAGAGTCATCTGCCCAAGGAGATGATGGAGGGCATGGTGCCTGCTGCGAGACCTGGACATGATCGTGATATGGCCAGTGCTGTCATCTATGCTTCTACGAATCAGTATCTGAATGGCGCTGTCATTGTGGTGGATGGCGGTTATATTGTAGCTACTGGCGCGATAACTGTTTAGGGCTTGAATGGTCTGAAAAGAAAACTTCGAAATAAGCTTTGAAGTTCGATTTTAATGATTCTCAAGGCTAGTTGCTCAATGAAGACTTCCATTACTCGGACATGCTCTAATGCTCTGCGTTGTAGCTACTTGTAAAGCGTCCGTCTATCATCGTGTTTTTCCCCCACCGTCGTTTTTATCTTTCTTCGCTCATGCTGCTTCTTCGCTCTTACTCGGCTGCAACACGATACCCTCGACAGCCTCATCGCGAGGATTGGTCTCCTCGTCCGTCATTCTCTCTGGTACACGGTTCTCCCGGGTCGGCGCAAACCTGCTTCGGATCCTGATCTGCCGTCCGTACTTGTAGAAGAGGAAAGGAATAACCGACAGCAAGGTACCCACGCCGGCGACCAAACTACCTCCCCCTCCCACACCCAGTGCCGTGAACATCTGGTGCGTGAAAAGCGGCGCCGCAGCACCGCAGGCAGAGCGAGCGATCGTATTCGCGGCAATGGCAGAGGCTGCGTACATCAGGTAGACGTCCACAAGGTAGTTCAAGTATGCGACGAAAATGAGCACCAACGCGGCAGAGAGGATGCATCCTGCGATGGTAGGGACGATCCAGTGGACCGAACTGCGACTGGTCAGTCTTGGACTATTTCTTATTGGGTATCTTGAGAGCGATGGTCACGGCTCACTTGAATTCAGCGGTCCATGCAAACCAGAACATGGATGCGGCAAAGCCAACGCCACCGATCATGGCTAGGGGCAATCGATCTTCAGGAGTCGCATCTTCCATTTTCATCTCGCCCCTCTGGATCTTCCGTTGACGGATCTGTGTGTCGATGAGAACGATCCCACCACCGAGGATCGCCCCGACCACAGTGCCAAGCAAGGGCAACTCGCCCACACCTGAATTCCACCCGCGTTTCTCCTGGAAGACAATTGGATAGATGGTGAAGAGCATGTAAAGCAGGGTATAAACGACCGCCATATATATGGCCACCAGCAAAGAAATAGGATCGAAAAGGATGATCCAAGGCCGTGTCAGCGCGATTTTGTAGATGCCAAGGAGGGTCCGGTCACTGTCCTCGACCGCAGCCTTGACATGCTCGTACCCGGGAATCTTGGCCCGCCGGATCCGTTTCGCCTTTGTATGCAGAATCGTCGGTGCGTATGTCTCAGGGATAGTCAGCATCACGATCGCTGTGCCCCCGCCGAGCCAGAGTAGCACGTAGAAACTCCATCGCCAATCCTCTTTGAGCTCGAGGAAGCCTGCCACGAGAGGTCCAAGGGCCGGTCCGATCCACACCATCACCGAGAATCCAGCCATGGCGTTGGCGCGCTGCAGCGGATCCCACACATCAGCGAGGACTCCCGGTCCATTTCTCAAGGGGGCCGAGACGAAGGTTCCCGTCAGGAATCTACCGACTAGCAGGGCCCCCAAGTTTGGCGCAAAGGCGCACAGGAAGTTGAAAGCGACGTACAGCGAGAAGGTGATGTAAAAAATCCACCGGCGGCCATAGAATTCGCTGAGCGGCGCAAAGATCAGAGGACCGGCGCAGTAACCCAGCAAGAAAAGCGTGATGGTGAGACCGGCGACCTCGGATGAAACGCCAAAATGCTTCGAGATGGATAGGAAACATCCGCTGGGAGAGCTTGAAGCGAACGTCGCATTCACTACGAGCAAGACGGCGCTCATGGTGATCGTAGCCCGGCGCAACAGCGACCAATTCCGAGGGTTTTCGATGTCGCCCGGCGCGAAGTCGACATAGCCATCGTCGTTGAGGTAAGGAGCTTCTTCGTGTTTGATGTCTTTTGTTCGATAGGGTTTATTGCCCGCGAAGGACAGGACACGCGCGATGGTTGACATCGCAAATCAGCCGGTGATGGACGATGAACTGTCATGTCCTGGCAGGGCCGCCAGAGGTTTTTCATTTCGCAAACAGCCCGTGAAGGGAGCTTGTCTTTAAATTTTGATAAGGAAACATGGGTCCGCACGTGATCCGATAGGTCATGGAACCCCTGAGTCTCTGAGCATTCCACAACAAATTTAAATCCGAAATTATCTCCGCACGCTCGATCCTTACGGGCATGCCGAATACCCGATATTAGCTTATTCCTGCTTCGAAATGAGCCCGGTTGGAGATCATGGTGTCCGTGCATTATTACTTTCGTAGATCCATCTTTCTTCCCGGTGTCGTGCGCTGTAGTGATCACTACTAGTTAATCACCGGAAATAGGGCAGATGTGGCCGGACGTATTAACCCCACTCATTCAAACGAAGCAGGAGTTTATGGCCGTCGTCCGGAACCTGCAGCTCCACCACCCAATCTTATGGTAATCTCCACAATCTCCGTGGTGTATCGACCGTCTGGTGTTCGGACGGACGCATGGAGACCTGCTTCTCGCCGTGGTCATCACTGTCATTGGTCCCAGGTACAGATGTCATACCTTTATATAAACGGCGGCGTATTGTTTGCATAATCACTTTCCTAGGAACGAATTATCCCAACTGGCCACTGGCTATACTTCTTTGCTTGGCACTGGAGGGGATAATACCTAGGGTGGAAAAATCAACATGGAGGATGCCCTGATATTGGCCCGAGGGAATCGGCACAGCAATAACGTCCATTTCCCTTACCCCGTCGGCTGGCAGGGATATCCCAGCAGATATGAATTTCATTCAAACGGAAGTGCGACCCAAGTTGTTTGGACTCGGGTTGACGGGTAAATCCTCGATGGTTTACCGTCCTCTGTCGCTTCCAAATTCTCAAGAATATGCTGATATTCTCCGGATTTGCCATCAGAGCGCTTGATATTCGATTTGACGTTAGTGCTGCAAGCGCCTCGTCGATGAATGCACTGGATTTGATGTGCAAGCCGACAAACAGTACCATTGTCCAAATTGCGAGCTCCAGATATCCTCCGTAGCCGGTCACATGTTCACTTAAATTGGTGGCACGACTCCTTGACAAAAGCGAATGTGTTGGCTCAACGTCTGCCATAACTACCGTGGACAACGCTGGGTCATCCAACCAGGCAGGAAAAAAAGACACTCATTGCGTGGTTGTCTGCAAAGTAAATGTCCCCAAGTTCGAGTAGAGGTCTCTGTAGTGAATGAAGTAAAGCCACCTGACAATATGGGAAATAAATGGCCGTCACATCAATTGATAGGACAGCTTTGGCTGTACAGAAAGATCTGTTTTACTGACAAAAGAAATTTACAATGAAAAAAGTGCAAAAAGGAAATGACAAGGGTGGGATTCGAACCCACGCCCCTTTCGAGACACGGATACTACATGCACTTGCGCGCATTAGCATTATTGGATCAGTATACCTGAACCGTGCGCCTTGGACCGCTCGGCCACCTTGCCTATGTTCTTGCAGAGTGGCTTGGAAAAATACAATATCAGTAGAGCACAGAGACGAAAGCCGCATTAGCATTACGATATTGATGAATTACTTTTATTTTGCGCTGTTTAATTTTCTATAATGTATTCTCTATAGCCTCCTGCTGTTGCATGTTTCCCTGGTCGGAGGAATGATTTTATCAACAAAAGAGAGGTGATCGACACAGTATTAGAGAGCATTACATGTGGGATTTAAGGAGCTAGAGGGAAGATCTATGTCCGTGAGGAAGTGAGGTATCCCCTGACCTTCCCCCTTACTGTAGAAAGCGTTTCCCCGGGCTCCAACGTAATCAAGAACACTGGTGTCCATATATGGGACAGGCTTCAAACCCTGCTTTGCGGATTCTGTTGAAATAAAAATACAGCCACTGCACCAAAAGCCAACTCCGTTTATGGACAGGGCTCACATGCCAAATATAATCTCAACAAATTCCTCGGCACCTGGCAGCCATTCGAAAGGGGAAAAGAAGCATACGACTATATCGTTTCAGAAGGAGGCAGATACCGTTTCATGAATTTTATGAGGTTAAGTCTGCCAGTCAAAGTTGGCCTTGACGAGAATACAATAACTCTAAGATCCCTTTCAACAATGTTCTTGACGCGGTGATGTGCCTTTCAGTTGCTCCCTTACTCAAACCTCCAACGATCCTTTGGAAAGGAATCTTTCAACCCCACTGGTTTAGATATTCTGACACCTCTGCCTATTGTGTTGGAGGTCCAGAGGAAACCCAAACAAATTGATAATTGCCTGAACTCAGACGAACACAGATTCGACAGTGGCCCGGCGACCAGCAGAAGCAGCGCAAGCCCTCGAAGAATATGCTGGAAAGACCCAAGATCCAAAGGTAATTTCAAGGAGACATTGGCGTCCGGCAGATTATAAGGATGCTTCATGCCAAACTGTCAAGGCTGCAGAGAGGTTCAAGTAGTTCGCAGAAAGGCTTAACAGGGGTGAAGGTATCAAGGGTTTCGCGACAATTGAAATTCGGACTTCTGGTTGAGCTGACACACCATTAGTTACTACATGTCAAGAAATAACCGGCCTGGCTAAGTAGTTCTTTGACAAGAACTCAAATATAACAACTGGCAAGGTGGCCGAGCGGTCCAAGGCGCACGGTTCAGGTATACTGATCCAATAATGCTAATGCGCGCAAGTGCATGTAGTATCCGTGTCTCGAAAGGGGCGTGGGTTCGAATCCCACCCTTGTCAATCTCTCTTTTGCACTTTTTTTTGGTTGCAAACGTCATTTAAATAGCTCCTCTTATCTGGTCTGTGTTAACTTTCAATAATACTTTCAGCAACAGTCAAACAGAGATACTAAACTGACAGCTCAACGACGGGTCTTTCTTTATGCAGAGTCGTCTGATGTTGAAACGTCTGCCGAGGCATCTCCAGAAATTGACCATACTAGGAGAAATCGCCATTGCTAATGTTCCACGGCGATGTATCTATGTGGCAGACAACGATTAGTCTTTGCATATACTACACCCGGAGAATTTTATCAGAGGGGGATTCACTACTGGCAGTTTGTCTGAGGAACAGGTTCAAATGTGGGAAAATGAGAGGTCTACGATCAGACGACCTAGAAACTTGATATGTCCCAAGACAGTCACTCCTCGAGCACAGTATGAAGAATCAGTCGGACCCGTGCTAAATGAACCAACGTCCGTGTTGCTTGCATTTTACTGAGGTTGGTAAACGAACCTTTATAGCTAGGCATTCAGGCGCCGCCACCGGCAGTGATGCATCGCTGGTTTGCGTGTGCGTATAAGGAGATCATGTTGAAATAGGCCCTGTGATCGGCATATGGGTTCAGCTGCTGCATGAGGCCCGTCCACATTGACTGCTAGTATTTATTGTACGTATTTGCTTTCTTTATGGTCTATAATGCACTGGAATTGACGCATATATTCGCGAATTTCTGCTGATCTGCATATATTTACAACAACAACTATTCCTCATCATTCTCATCATGAGTTCACTTGATATTCATCGTCATCATCATCACCATTCCAACACAATTATCCCAGTCTTCTAGTGGCTATGGTCGTTACAGTTGTAACCAAGTTCGCGACGAACCAACTTCGCCCGACTCAGTTGCCTAGGAGCCGGCAGCAGGTCCCGGCCAGAGAGATCGGGCAACGGCTTCCTAGAGACAAGACCAGCAGCCTCATCACGCTTCCTCTTCGAGTCTGACTGCACAATCATGTTAAGCCAGTTCGCAAGACGGTAACCGCCCTTGGCGATCTGCAGCTCCACGGTGTCGATGACAGAGTTGTAGTAGTCAGGATACAGGTCACCCTTTTGAAGAGCAGCCTCACCGTCTGGCATAACGACGGAGCAAACATAGGCATTGGCATCCGAAGCCCATTTTACAGCAGATGTCTGGATATCATCGATGTTGTCGCCATCGATCCAGCTCGACGCCTGTGACTTGTAACTGCCAGAGTTGATCTCGTCGATCAGAGAGTCGGCCCAGCTTTTAGCATCTGAAAGTGAGCTGCCGCCCACCTTCTTCTCGGGGATATACGTGTCCCAGTCGCTATGAAGATTGTCGCTGTACCCGTTGAATTTCACTTTTATCTCATTGCCGCCTACTTTATATGCCTCATCATGCAGCGGCTGCGTGATGTCCCCCAGCAGATGCACGATGAATTTCAGCGCGATGGCCTTGTTCTCCGCCGTCAGACGGCCGTCCGTCACACGCTGCGTGTAGTTCGCAATGGCTGAAATGCTGCAGCCTTCGCTTCCGCAGTCGCGGTCGAAATCAACATTGCATGAGCTTGGGGGGTTGTCCTCTGCATCGATGAAATGGAAGGGGGCGGAGAACTTCCCGGCCGTTGTGGCTCTGTATTGATCGGCCCATGAGGCAATGCTGGCGAGATAGTCGTCCGAGGTGTTACCAAGGATGTCTTGGGCCCTGTTGGAAAGTATCAGTTTCCATTATCTCAAAGATGAATCACCACTTGTACCATGATGCGGTGGCATCGGAGACGTAGTTCTGCGCAATATAGGCGACGGTTGCATGACCTAGGGTTCCCCAGGCATGAACGCCCTGGAGAAACGCCAGCGGGGCGAGAATAAGCCTGGAGGATACCATGATATTGTCCTCCGTTGGATCCTTACTCAAAAAGACTTTTTAAAGATTTCCGCATGACTTCCTCGCGGGTAGGCGTGGATTAAATATCGGATACAACTCCCTTGGCACCCCTGATGGTGATCGGCGAAACCCGCTCTCTGCCAGGGATATCTCATATCAGCGACACGAAGTTGCAGCAGGCTAATCTACGGTAAATCCAATGTCTCTGTACTATGATTCTCGTCTTTCTGGCCCAGCAGGCCGGAGGACACCGTCTTCGGTAGTCCGCCGGCGTCCCTTCTGACTCGTCCAATTGGGACGGTCAAAGCCACCCTGCCAAGTCCACGGGTTGAGGAAGATTGAGCGTATGGAATCGACGGGGTTTCTCCTGGTGTTTATAGCGCTGTAGATCTTCTTCAGACGTGGTGATGTCTGCCGATGAGATCGGCAACGTAACATCTGACTAGATGGCCAATCTGATGTCGGTGTTGGCATGCAGTATACAAATGGCAGATTTCGCTTTTGGTTTCACTGCAGTATCGTTTCTGAAATACTGTAGCGATCTTTTGGTCGGCATACTTCATATCATAAAGACTATCAGTCGCCTGAACCTGGACCGGCAGGCCGACAGCGTTTATCGACCCATTTCCAGGCGACGCAGTCCCATTGACGAACAAGTTCACGTTACATTTCGAGATCCTCGTCAGGCATTGCAGGGCCATGTGTCTACAGGAGGTCGTCCTACAATAACAGAGCTTTAGGTTTCTAGAACCAGCGATATCAGTAAGCTTGATTATCAGATGCTATTTTCAACACTACTTACGCCTATTGATTTTATAGGCCGCGGCCTTACGGCGTTCTGAGATCGGAAATATGAGAGATCCAGGGTTTTGCAGTGCCCCCAGCACATCATAGCCCGCTTAGGAGTATATGAGATTGATAAATAGAAGTTCTTATACTAACTATTGGATTCCCAATAGAATACCTTCAAATATCGTACAATCAAATCCAGCTTTAAAGAATGAGGGATGTAGCTATTTGAACCTGATACTGTGCTTCAATCACTATGTGAACAACATCTAAGGAAGTTCATGATATTATGAATGACCACCTTTGCCATTGTGTATTTGTAATCAAGACTGATTTCACTCCTCATTTTCATTTTCGTGGCCCAGAAACATGTCGAAGTGCTTCTCCGTCGTCGGAGCTGCGAGCTTAACTCCGGATTTATCAGCAAGCGCGTCTTCAGGCCAACAGGACTATAAACAATGTGGATGAATGTGGTCTTGCAGTGGCTATGGATCTCTTCCACTGCTTCTGTGCAATCCCCAATTGAATAGATACTATATTCCACATTTGACCCATATAGCCCTTTCCTCCCAGGATAACCGACAAGTATGGCTAATATACCAGCAGTCAAAGTTGTCTTCGGCGGCTACGTGACAGGTTATTCCTTGAAACAGATCGAGGAGTACCTGGCCGTGCTGGAAGAAGCAGGCGTGCAGAACATTGATACGGCCCAGATGTATGGCGACAGCGAGAAGCTCCTGGGCCAGGTTCATGCGGCATCGCGCTTTATCATTGACACCAAGCACGTTGGTGGAGGCATTCCCGGGGAGTCATCCAAGGACAAAGTAATTGCCCGGGCCAAGCAGAGCCTCGAGGATCTGCAGACCGACGCTGTAAGTTGCCCGCGCGACTTCCTGCCACTCGGGGGGAGGGGCAGGGAACGGTTTTCATGGAGAATAACACGTCACGCTGACAAGAAAAGGTTGACATCTTCTACATCCACGTGCCGGACCGAAAACATCCCCTCGAGGACACGCTGGCCGGAATCAATGAGCTGTATAAAGCCGGCAAATTCAAACGGCTCGGCCTCTCCAACTTTTACGCTAGCGAAGTCGAGGACGTTATCCGCATCAGCAAGGAAAACAACTTCGTCCTCCCCACGGTGTACCAAGGGAACTACTCAGCCATAGCCCGGAAGCAGGAGCAGGAGCTTTTCCCAACGCTGCGCAAGCACAACATTGCCTTCTATGCTTACAGCCCAATTGCAGGTGGCTTCCTTGCCAAGACAAAAGAGCAGATTGTCGACCCGAAGGTGGCAGGGCGATGGGATCGCAACACCTTCATAGGGGGGTTGTACCATACGTTATACAATAAGCCCACACTGCTGGCTGCGCTAGACACATGGGGTCAGATCTCCAAGGACTCAGGTATCCCCCGTGCTGAACTGGCCTATCGATGGGTGGCGTACCATTCAGCTATTCGGGCAGAGTTAGGTGACGCTGTTGTTGTGGGGGCTAGTCGGGTTGAGCAGCTGCAGCAGACGCTGGATGGGCTGAGTCATGGGCCATTGGATGAGGATGTTGTTGAGAGGATCAATGGGATCTGGAAGGATATTGAGCATGAATCGCCATTGGACAACATGGAGGTTCTCCTGAATGCACAAGTTTGATGTACACAAGTGGACGCGCCTGTATGTACCACTATCATGGATCTATGGCTTCACGGAAGCCCTAACCGGTACTCATGGACGTGAGATGCCGCCCCTTCTCCGTATCCAATGGCAGGTGGACTATCCTGTTGGTTCGAACATTAGATGGAGCAGCTGTTGATTGCAATGGAATATAACAGAGTATGGCCATATTACTGACCACTACCTAATGATGTGCCATGTAACAACCATGTACGCCATGTACGACATGAGAACCTTGTACAATTGAGTGTATAGGGTTCACCCACGTTGACTGTACAGAAGCTTCCCAAACCCCACCAGAAGGGATCTGCTTCAAATTTGTCCATACCAACCACCAGGATACAGTTGAGTGTACCCCTGCAAAAGGGGGTCCTGTACCGGGTCTTTGCGCCAAGGTGCTTATTAATATTATATAAACCGACCCCATTAGTTACCATTTTTGGATTAGCCACTACAGTAATTAATAGCTGTTTTCTTTTCCCCACATAGTTACTCTTCTTCTAATTACACACACTAAGAACTAGTTTAGCTTGCTGTCATAGCTGACTCTGACATCAAAATTCTACAATCATTACATGGCTATATTTCTTCTAATAATTCTGCTACTTAATCTAACACTGATAATGGAAAGGGGGGCGTACGTGCGTTGTTCCCTGCGACAGGAATCGGGTTGTGATCGAGGGATCTTGGGGATGGACACACTGAACAATCTAGCAAAACGATATAACGAAAGAAGAAGCACAACGACGACGAAAACGATACCAGTGAAGCAACTTCGAAACCAAAAGTATGCTCCATTTCTCGTAACTATCTGGGAGGAAACCCTCCTTAAGTACTCTCCGGCCGCGGGCTCCACCATACATTAGTATGTCGGAGTCTGCGGTCGTACGGAGTTCCAGGATAGGAAATACGAGAGATCCGGGGTTTCGTAGTGCCCCCGGCACAACGCAAGCATGTATATAAATATTGTTGGTGGTCCCTACAGTTAAGATCCTTCCTATTTAGGCCTAGCTCGTGTTAGTCAGCATAAGTGTAGATAGTTTGCCTGACAATTCTGGACTCTCCAGGCCTCCCTAGCTAGATCAACCAACTCAGTAAGTTTGACCCTCCGACATATATTAGTCAGCAATGGTACAGATCACGTGACATAACGAGCGTACTTATAGCAGCGCAGGGCTCCGAGACTTGGAGCACCAGCGATTAGTTCTCATATAATAAGACCCCTAAGGGCTGTGCCACAAGTTCCTGACCTTAGCACGCTACTCGTATAATCCCTAGACCCGCCTACGCTCCGTAGCGCAGGTCTAACAACACCCTATATCCATACATAGGAAGGTCAGAGGCTGCTAGCACTCCCTGGTGCAGGCATGACATGTCCTTTGTATGTGAATTCCTTACTCATACGATTCTGAGGAATGTGTCTTAGCCAGCCTTGTACAAGGTGCTGCACTGTACAAGATACAAGGCTGTTCACTGAATGTCGTCATATACCAGGTGCATTCAGCAGAGCATGTGCCAACTGCAATGGCCTGACCAGGCACGTCAGTGCTCTAGCTTTGGCAAGGCTTGGGGCAAGAGTGCTTGGTAGGCCCTAATAGGCCACAGGGTAGTTGTCCTGCCCCCTGTACTGTCCTCACCATTGAGGATGGTACAGCCGAAAATCTGATCAAGCTGGAGCCAGAGGAGGGGGACTGTGGCAACCCAATTGTTTTGGATGGGGAGGAGGGGTCTGTTTACAATCCAATAGTCCTCTAGATTGTCTCCAGAAGGTTAGTACAAGCATTTCCTTTAGTTTGGCATTGTACTGCACTGCACTTCCCAGTCATACAGCCCTGTGCACAACACATGAGCAAGACTTGCACCTCTACGTGGTCTTAGGACCAGTAGCCAAACGGTGAAGCTAAGCAGTCAAGTGGTGTACACAAAGTGATTTATGTATGGGACTAAAAATAGTGTTCAATATAATCTAACCACGCTTGCTGATGCTGCCGGTTCTTAATCGGAAATTTTAGCAAATTCTAGTTATTGCAATTGGGCTGTTATAATCTGCCCTACTAGGCGTGTGGCTTAAGTACGTCCGAGCGGACGGGAAGCCCTGTTTTCCACACTCTGTGGGCGCATGTACTATTTCGTTTATTGCAACGGGTATAAGGGATTGTCACTACTCATTCCCAGTGGCCCCTGACTATTATGCATGCAAGGCACCCTGAGGTCCAAACCAGCTTCCAATTCCAGTGGGATCCGACTCCCCCCACAGGGCCTTGAAGCAGTCGCAAAGGAACGCAAGGGAACTCCCCGTTGCTACATGCCGAGAGGGTGATTCCCTTGAAGTTGTCTGATCGGTTGCAGCGTTCGTTCTGTTCACAGTCTCTGGCTTTCAACTGCCGAGTGATGGCCCTTTGCAGACACATCTGGGCATTCAATTTATGTGACCTATTCCCAGTTGCCTGGCTGTACAAGAAAACGGTTGCCAACCATTTCCGCTTTAGTAACTGCCTTGGCAGTAGCTACTAGGCCCATTGCAAACCCACTTCAATTCTCCGCCGATCCAAATCTGTTCCCATATGAGTCTTGCCAATTTCACGACAGGCTCTTCCAGAACGCAATACTGAGAAAGTTGAAGCTTGTGTGGATGTGGTTGACAAGATTTATATACTGTAAAGGATTTTTCTTCCATTTACTTGTCTAGTCCTCTATACATGGCTTAACCATGCCCGAGACACTGGCGTGACATGGAAATGGGCTATGGTAGGATCACCATCGCTGAAGATAGTTCCACTGAGGGATAGCATCACAACGGCATTTGTGGATCAAGAACAGCTCGGCCCCCAGCGAACAGACCCCCTGGGAACCAGTCAAAGTAGGATCAAACTGATTCAGCCTGAGCCTATAAGTCTGCCATGGGCTGTGCAAAAGGAAATGATGAACTGCAAATCCAAAGAGTGGCAGTTTAAACTGGGTTGTCTTCGTTGTCTTCGAGGATGGAGTTGAATGGGTCTTTCGGTCAGGTCCAACGCCTGAGCGCCCGCTTGTCCTATTTGTATCATTTGTTCTGTCTGTCTCTTTTGCTTCATTTGTCCTGTTTGTTCTATTTCTTCTGTTTGTTGCTGGCATGCCGTTGTCTCTCTTCTTCTTCGTGTATCTAGTACGAAAATGAATTTTATATTCGAACCCTTACAGCTAACTGACGATATATATAGCCCAGATCACGTACAATAGCGGGTTACCTTCTGTCCCAGTCAGGTCTGTGGAAGACTGTAGAGTAGATATCAATGGATTATTCTTAGTACTACAAAATGTCTTGTCTTCTATATCTTCCCAGACGCCCTTGTTGACTCCTGACTGACTCCATTCGTAGATGATACCCAAACAGGAAAGAGGGCTTACCCTACTTTAATCATGTGAGACCACGTGAATACCGACACTTGTTACCGCCTCAGCTTTTGCTTACTGAAATCATCATCTCCCTTTTTCCATCTCATTTCGATCCATTCTCATCACGGATTCTATTATTATCGTGTCACGGATGGCACCGTTAATCATATATAACTGCCTAGCGCAGTCACTCGACCCCGTTCGCCATTTTGATTGAGCGCGTTCCCGCTTGGCCTGGCCAATTTGTGGCAAGTGGAATCGCCAAGAGCTTGCCAAGAGAGAGGACACGCGCAACGGACCACTTCGACCAGATGATAACTTATCAGAGAGGCTCTACGCCCATTGCCCACGTCAGGCCGTGGCTGTCCCCGGTGGAGCGCACATCCAGGCATTCCAATCACGGCGAATGCCGGCCCAGTGGCTGACAGGCGCGAGCCGCGAGCTCCGTCGCAAAGGGAAAGTGATCGCATGCCATCTTGAATGATGAAGGACATCGTCCGATGTAACACCAGGTCAGGACGTTTGCAGTAATGCCACCCATTTGTCGTGTCTCACCTGTACAGTCTTGGGTGTAATCCTTGGGCAATGCTGTCAGCGCTCCCTAGTCATCCCATTTAGGGGAGCGCCAAAAACAAGCCTTGTCGAGGGTCTGGCTCAGGGGCAATAATAATCGAACCCGCAAAGATTCTGCAGTTTGATTATATGGGGTAATAGTTATATTAATGCTGCCATAAGCATTTATATTAGATCAGGCTGTGCCGATCTTGTCATTTTTCCTTGATTTCTGGACTCCAATGGGCTCCGCTGCAGCATTGTGATGATGTTTTCCCATCATTACACATTCTCCGGTGGCTGTTGTCTCCATTTTCTTGTGTCTCACTGACCGGCTTTTATTCCTTTCCTTTCCTTATTCCTACTATTTTCTCAAGGAAACCCATTTTTCTGTTTCGCCTTTTATTTCTATTTTCTTTTCTCCATTTTTTGGGTTGTCGACGTCCCGTGGCTTCTCTCCTCTGAGCCTCTTCCCATGTCGGCTTGTCTGCTGTAGTTCTGTCGCAATTACAGCATACAGCGCTGTATGCTCTTCTTGGATCAGAAGTTGCATTTCATTCTTAGCTGTGCCTAAAATAGTCCCTCTTGATTTTTACCATGCCGTGATCCATAGGACGCGAGATTGTCACCATGAAACTCGCCAAAGCCATCCGTTCTATCCTGTGGTGGTGGATTTCCGTCATCCAGCGCGTTCGCTTTTCACCTGCTGAGTCTTTCGATATCTTTTGGGAGTTTGCCCGGCGGTATTTCTTCACCCTCGCTTTTCTCTCCCTGTTCAGCGCCAAACTTCTGCATCTCTACGCCCACCTCCATTCGCTTCCGACGGGCAAATTGCTCCTGTGGGGGGTCACATTCTTCTTCCAGGATGTCATGGTTCTCCTGTTTTCCCGCATATTTGCGCAGAAGATCCCATGGCGACCCGTTTCCGTTCTGGCCGCGCTTATTATCATACCATTTAGGTGAGTGAGTCACTTTTCCGTCTCCTCGGTTGAACTAATTCCAATGCTGTCGGATATAGCCTGATCATGTCCTGTATGGCTGCCACGGGCATCTCCTTCTATGTCACAACTGGAGCTGAAATCCACTGGCTGCAAGCCAAATCCTTCCAAACCGATGCCGCCGCTATTCGGACTCTTCTCACAGGGTTGACCGGTTTCCTAATCGTCGAAGGCATCCTGTTGACCACGTCGTGGTTTGCCTCTCACCAAATCCATCGTGTAACGGGTGGGATCTTACATGTGTGGGCCTGGCCCTTCCGATGGCTGGCGGACCACGTGCGGCCATGTTCGCGACGACTATATGCCCGACATCGACCGCTCCCCAGCCAGGAACGCTACGAGCAAATACCGGTTGCCGACTTGGAGGATAATAAAAGTGAGGATGGAGGCTCGGTGGACCTATTTGATTCTCCCAGCGATATGTTGCCCGAGAGAAGCGGAACGGATACGGTTCTTCGCAGAGTAATCGTCCTGGGGCTATTTTGCCTGTTCCTGTTGCTCCGCTTTCTCCGACCACAGCATCCGGTGTATGGATTTCTTTCTGGTTCCTTATCATTGACTCTATTGTTGGAAGGCCACCGAGTATCGCCCGTAGATACATCAGGCATGCCCGGTCATTACGCGTTCCTGGAAGGACAGTCAGCATTGTGTCCGACGCCAGACTGGGATTGGATGCCGCAGGTGCCGCTCCCGGGGTTTGAGGACTGGGATAGAACTGACCGACATGGCGTCCACTATCTATCACAAGCAGACCCATTACATATCTCTAACCTTCAAAATCCGGTGCTGGACTCGATCCGAGAAGCGGTGGAACAGGGCAGCATCAAGATCAAGCACGTGATTTTCATGAAGCTTGAGAGCACTCGAGCGGATGTCTTTCCGTTGCGAAAGGACTCATTCATGTGGAATCGCATTGCCGAGTCGTACAGCGACAAGAAGATCCCGGATGACGTTCAGGATCGCCTAGCCAACTTGACGCGCACGGCAGAGTTCTTGACTGGTTTTTCCACCGGATTCGAGCATCATGATAATCTCCATCCTGGTCTGAAGTCATACGGTAGTATTAGCGCGCGGAATGCCTTTACAACAGGCACCTACACCCTGAAAAGTTTGGTAGGCAGCTTATGTGGCGTGACGCCGCTCGTTGCTGACTTTAATGCTGAGTACAAACACCATATTTATCAGCCTTGTTTGGCCCATGTTTTCAATGCAATCAACCACCAATTGCCCGACACTGACGACCGAACTGATGACTTTACCACATGGCCCTGGCATTCGGTATGGATGCAGTCCGTAACCGAGACGTATGACAACCAGGACAAATTGACCCCGCTCTTGGGGTATCATGACAAGCAGACTAAGGAGACAATCGAAGACCCTGACGCGAAACACTATCCAGTGAAGTGGAAGGAGATCAACTACTATGGGTATCCAGATACGGCGCTTCGCGAGTATATTCATGATGCCATTGATGATGCGGAGCGCAACCGCACTCGTCTTTTTCTTACCCATCTGACGGGGACTACACACCATGACTGGGGAATGCCTAACAATACATACGAGCAGATCGTCGGCTCGTCTTGGGGTGGACACAATGATGAGTTGAACCGATACCTAAATACCATTGGATTTGCCGATCGATGGATAGCGGAGATTATCGGGATTTTGGAAGAGAAAGGAGTGGCAAATGAGACCCTGCTAGTGATGGCTGGCGACCAGTACGTTATGATCCAAATTGAAATTTGCTTAAATGCCGTTTGATCAGATTTGCTCACAAGTTTCCAGTGGCTTGTCTCTTCCCAATGATGGTGGTATCACTCCATATGACAACCCGCATATTGGCAGTTTCCAAGTTCCCATTGTACTTGCTCATCCAAAACTGCCTCCCGTCGAAATCACCAGCCCGGTGACCAACCAGCAGATCGTTCCAACGATCCTAGACCTACTGATTGAGTCGTTATCTCTCAGCGAGAGTGGCACGCATGCAGCGCGCGACATCCTATCCTTGTACGAAGGGCAATCATTGATCCGACCGTTGATTCAGGAGCAAGACGGAAAGCAGGATTGGCAGTTCACAGTTATGAATACTGGAGGTTCCTGGCTGGCTGTACGGTCAGCAGCACGACCGGCTTATCGTCTGGTTATCCCACTTGTTAATGAACTGGGCTGGCGGTTTACGAATCTTGAGCAAGATCCGAACGAAATTCATCCCATCGAACGCTTCAGTTCTGCAGATTTGGCCGCCATCCTCGACAAGGAATACGGTAAGGATGCGGTTAATTGGCTTCGCGATGCTGCGCACGTCACCGAGTGGTGGGTGTTGGAGAACTGGCGTCGCTACGGATATGTCCCCAAGGCCAAAGGTTGATTGCGACGCGGATTCTGTCGTGTATATTTCATCCATGACTATGATTCTGATATTCTGCATGCCGCTGTAGCGCATCATTCACCACGCCATCCCGCCCAGAATCCAAGGAAGTCGGTTCCTTGAGCGTTATGAAGCGCGGGGGTAAATGGATGGGGGAATTGTGGATATTGATCCCCCACTTTCTCGGACGAGAGGCGTTCTATTTTGGAGTTCCCGCATAACCTGCATCTACTGGATTCTTATGTATATAGCGGACAAGGATATTATTTATTATTAATCGATATGCATGATGACTGGTCAATCCCAACTGTTGTATGATGATTAACTGGCCCATCTGATGGATTCCATCTGCCGGCCCAGCCATCGGCAAATTTTACGGAGGCCATCAACTGCGGCTCCGCTCCTGCGCTCCTCTACCTGGGCCATGGAACGGGAGTACAATTCCAGATCACATCCTGCGAAAGCAAAGAAACCATCCGGAGCGGCGAATTCTCTCCACTTGTATCTTACATCGATACTAATTTCATCGGGGATTTTATGGGAGATATTTGAGGTCTCCAGCTGGGGAGATGCAGGCAGTGATGATGACTGCGACTCGTGTTCAGAATCATCCACTACGACTACAAGATATCAGTACCAGGAATCCTGGCAGAGGGCTCTCTTTAGCGAAACCTACGTCTCATGGTTTCCCTAGACGAGCTGTCTGGATCATCTGAGGGTCTCTTGCCCCCAGTCATATACGAAAACCGCTGGTCGCCATCAACATCTGCTCCAGGGAGCCGGCGAGAGACAGGCTGACTCGTAAGCTCCTTGAATTCGCCTCCGACCAGACTTGGCAGGCAGGAAAGGACCTTTGTCAAAGGGATGATGATGGAATTTGATTTTGATTTGATTACTATTTAACGTCACTCGGCGGATCACGTGGCACACGTGACCCGCGGCCTCCCAAGGGGCATCCGGACGTGCTACCTAAGCAAAGACTCACTAAAATAAATACATGCTTGAAGCAACAAAGCTGGACACTATGTGTTGGAAAAGAGTGGAAGAAGCACCAGGCGCTACCCTGGCCTGGACTTCTAAAGGTGAGGAACCTGCTTTGGCTACCTTCAGTCGAGCAGGGGTGCCTTTCCCGTTTGTCCAGGTAGAAGCGTAGACTGTTGCACTATTCAGTGCTTGAGCAGGCCCAATTTGGGCATATATCCTTGAAAAAGGATGAATCTTGCACAATGTGGCTGAACTCTTCCGCCCCAGCAGCTGTACCTAGTAGCCAGTCAATTGTACTTGACAGGCTGCCTCTCTTGCATTTCCATCTATCCTTCCAGTGCTTCCTGGTGGGTGGGCAGAAGAAGAAATGGACAGGGGACTTCTGTCTCTTGCAGGAGCAGGTTGCTAGGTAGTCTACATGTTGAAATCTTTCATGATATGCTGCAAAATCCCCGTGACCTGTATGGGCAGCTATGAGCCTGCCCAGGACCCAGCGGGGGAGCTTATGTTCTTGGTCACAACTGCTTTTTGTATGAGGTCTGATGCCCAGGTCACGGTAGGCCTGAGGTGCGCCTCTAAAATATGCCTCGTGTGTATCTGCGTGGATCCGCTGTTTTGCCTCCTGTCTGAGGAATGAGGGAGAAGGGGGGATATCAGGACTGGCTAATGAAGCTCCCTTCTTTGCCAGCTTATCTGCAAGCTCATTCCCTATGACCCCAGAGTGGCCTGGAACCCAACAGACCCTTACAGGTTTGTGAGGTAGAGATAAAAGTGAAGGCAAGCTGTCCCACTGAGTGGAGAGTTGGTGGAAAGTATCAGTAAGTCTTTGTCTATGGGGGGCTGGCCTGCTATCTGCTAGCAGGCTGGCTGTGGCTAGATTATCAAGGAGGATATTGATTTGGGTAGTGAACTTGGTGCAGTCTTGGCTAACTGCAGCACAGAGCCCTTCTACTGCACCCATAATTTCTACATTATAAACCTCTGTCTGCGTGCCAGCAGGGCTGAATCCCTGGGTAAGCAGGATAGGGCCATAGTATATTGCATAGCCATACCCAGTGCCCTGGTCTGTACAGGAGCCATCTGAATAGACTGTTACTTCCAATGGGGAAGGAAGGTGCTTACCCCAGTCAGTGGGGAGCATGCGCAGTGATGGGAGGGGTGGTTCTATATGCATGTGTTCCAGCGCTGGTCCAGGGACAAGTTGGAGGATCCTGGTAAGTCTGGTCCTGTTCTTACAGCTCTGGGCTGTAGTGGTAGTTATGCGAGTAATCAGGTGCTTTGCGTCAAGGCTTGCATATCTGATTGCCGCCTTCTGGAGGGTACCATTGAGCAGGGCTTCAGGGTCAGGTAGGTCTGCCTCCCGGAGGAGTACTGTAGTAGGGGTTGTTTTATATGCAGGAAGAATGGCCAGGGCGGCCAGGTGGAGCAGGGATTGAAGGGAGCTGATAACCCCTTGTTGCCTGTAGCCAGTATAAAAGACTTCTGCGCCATAGAGAGCTGTTGGCAGGATGCACTGCATGACCACTGCATGCATGGAGGCTACTGGGCACCCATGCTGGGTATTGCTAAGCCTCTGGAGATGTTGAGCGAGCTGCTTGCCGCGGCTGAATGTCCAATTAATATGTGACCTGAAGGTGAGCTTAGTGTCAAGCAGGACCCCTAACCATTGGGTATATGGAGATGGTTTGATCTTGCCTACACCTAGTAGAAAGACTGTGGGGATAGACTGCCTCTGCTGCCTAGAGAAATGCTGTATTTCTGTCTTCTCAAAGGAGAATGGAAGGCCTGATGCAGCCCCAAGTGCCGTGATTGATTTATAGGCTTCCAATAGTTGCCGTGAGGTCTCTTCCAGGTTGTTCTCAATAAATAGCAGTCCCAGGTTGTCTGCATAATAGAAAGAGCCCTTATGAGTAGAAACTACTATTGCCGCGTACAGCAGGAAGAGAATTGGGGATAGAGGGGACCCCTGAGGGAGACTACCCTTGATTAGGGCTGTTGCAATAGCCTCTCTAATATAGACTAAGGTAGTGCGGCCAGTCAGCCAATCTTGGATTAACTGGATTAGGCCTTCGTCCCATCCCTGCAGGTGTAGGTGTGAGAGAAGCTGCTGATGGATTACAGCATTGAAGGCCCCCTTTATATCCAGTAATAGTAGTGAAGCCACCATCTTCCTTCCAAAGGCCTTCTCTATCCTATGGACCAGGATCTGGACAAGATCAATCACAGAGTGGCCAGGAAGAGCACCAAAATAGTAAGGGGCCAGTAGCCCTACCTGGATTGCTCATGCAGCTATGCGCTATGCCAGAAAGCACTCTAGGCCTTTTCCTAAGGTGGAGAGTAGGCTGATAGGTTGCCAGGAGCTGAGCTGTGTGAGGTCCCTTTTTCCTGACTTTAGTATTATTACCACCTTTGCAGACTTAAAACACTGTGGGAAGTGACCTTCCTCTAAGCAGCAGTGATATAGAAGTGTGATTATGTTACCTAAGGTAGGCTAGAGCTCTCTCCAAACTGTGGTAGCAAGCCCATCCCTACCTAAGGCAGATAGGGCAGGGGCACAAAGGGCAGTCCAGCAGTCCTCCTTAGTTGGCAATCTTAGTGAATCCAGAGGTTTTGCTGGAGGGCCCTCCTCTAGTTGATCTGGAAGGGAGGCTCCCTTCTCCAGTAAATGTGAAAGAAAAGCATCTGCTTTATCTTGTGGAGTACTAACCTGATTTCTTTGGATGTTTAGAGGGGGTGCTGTGAGCTAATCTGAGCACTTATGCCATTTAGCAAGTAGGAAGGCATCTGTGGGAGACACTGCTTGCTCAATTTACCTCTTCCAGTAATTAGCCTTTGCACAGGATATTGCCTTCTGGAGTGGTAGGTAGTCTGGGTCCTGCTGCTGTCATGTTTGGTGGAGTAGGTCTGTGAGCTCCAGTGTCCACCAAGGGGTGTGTGGGAGCTTGCAAGAGTTATGTTTTGATGCACCACAGATGGCTAGCTGTACATTATCAACTAGTTCTTCTGCTAGGGTGTTGATGGGGAGGTACGCAGGTGGGGGGGTTAGCAGAGATCTAGCCTTCTCTCAGTCTGTAGAGCCTATCCTTGGACAGGAGATAGGCTCTGTCCAGTCTGTTATAATCAGAATGGTTGCATGATCACTTGAGGTATTAAGGTAGTCTTCAACTACTGCCTCTATCAATATGTTGGAGAAGACCAGGTTAAGGGTGTTGGGCCTATGAGTAGAAGTGCCTGGCTCCATACAGAGCACTAGTTCATAGGCTTCTAGCCACTCTATAAGTGCTGTTGTGCCTGCTGTTACTTGGTGCAGTTCTGTCCCCAGTTGCCAGAGGGGGTGGTGGGTATTAAAGTCCCCCGTGATAATAGTGTTCTGCGGAGGGGAGAATTGCAATAGGGTATGTAGGGTAGATAGGGTTGAACTGGATCCTGCTGACACAACAGGGTCATTTGGGGGGCAGTAGATGTTTATGATGGTTAGGCTAGCTGTACAGATAGCTGCGATATCTGGTGAGATAGGCTGAGGGAGAGAGAATGCTGGAAGATCCCAGCAAACATATATCAAAGCTCTAGGCCTAGTTTCCCACCAAGTGACAGGGCTGAAGAGCTGGTATTGTGGGTGTGTTTTTGTGAGTTATTTTGCCATGTCTGTCCAGGGCTCCTGGACTAGGATAATGTCTGCCTTGAATGTTAGCAATAGGTTGTGGGCAGGGCTGCCCCTTCCAACATTAGCCTGCAATATCTTCATAGTTCTGGTAATAGGAGGGTTTGATTTGCAAGCTCCTGGGCAAGCTGGCTTGAGGACTGGTGGGGGGTGTGTGGACTGCTAGCTTGGTGGCTAGAGGCTGTCTTAGCTAGTTGCTGTTGAAAGGCAAGTTGGCCAGCCTTATAAACAGCAGCCAAGGTGTCCTTTGTAAGGCAGATAATAGAATCCTTTTGTGTATATGGTCTAGCAGGGTACTTTTGGTAGTCTGCTGCATGTGGACTGCAGCAGTTCATGCACTGCACATAGCAGGTATGCTTTTGTTTAGAGGATCTATAGAAGATGCAGCACTTACTAGAGCAGCAGGCTCATGTATCATGAAAGCAGTGGCAGCAGGTACACTGTAGTGGTCTTTTCTTAGGGTGGGTAGGCTATGATAGGCCAGAGGAGCCAAAGAGTTGCAAGGCATGTTGTGGCTTCTTTGGAAAGGCTATGACTGCTGTGATAGAGCCCTCCTCTATAAGATGCTTAGAGAGCTTAGTCATAAGTGGCTTCATACCAGTTATACGCTCTGCTTCTGTACTGATATCTCTGATTGTGGTGGGTGCCCATCCCTCTTAGGTCCAGAGCTGCTGAGGGATCCTAGGGACTACTACCTGATAGAAACCTGTTGCAGCCTCAAAGTTGCTATCTCCTGCTAGCCTACTTGCCTGTGGGGAGAGTAGGAAAGCCCTACCTTCTTTGGTGGCTGAGATTGCATATCCTGTAGCCACAGCCTGAACTTGTGCAATTCCACCAGGAATTTTTTCTGCTAGGGTGACCCAGATGCCATGCAGCCCAATAGCTCATAGGCTGGAGGAGACTGGCAGCCAGAGAAAGATATGGGAGTCAGTTTTGCTTTCCTGCTGGGGTTGCTGCTGGGCTGGCTTTTGTGTCTGCTGCTGAGAGGCTTGCACACTATGTTCTTGAGTATCAGATTGCCAGTTGTCCTAGCTAGCTTTTAGGGCGGCAACTGAGGCCCAGGTTGAGGTCTGTAAGGTCTTTTTAGCTTGATATGCCTGCGCCATCTGGGGGGGTACTATGTCAGGCTTTGCCCCTTGCTGTGGGGTGTTGAGGTTTGCCAGAGTAATAAACTTAGCTATAAGCCCTTGAGCAAGCTCTTTGGGACAGCCCTGTAGAGAGGAGACAGTTGTCTCAAGTGCCTCTGCAAGGGAGGTTAGCGCCAGCTTCCAGTCACCTAGGAGCAGGAGCTGGTCATTTGCAGCTGCGGTAGCCTGCTGGCAAATTGATCCAGCAGCCTGCGTGTTGGATATAGGAGCTATTAGCGCCGTAGGCATCCTATAGGGGGAGGGTGGCGCCCTCTATTTCAGGGAGATGCGGGGGAGGGGGGTAGGGGTGGGAGGTCCTGATAACGGATCAGAGTTTTCGAACAGGCGCGGAGTCCCTGGGCGAGCTTCGTCCGCAGGAGGATCGTCTACCTCCATGTCTAGAGGGGGAGAGCGATCAGTATAGATGGTATAAATAGTGATAAACAATGTATAGTCGTTGATTGATATTGATGTCCAGGTGTACATACAATCAGGGGCTCGGATTCTCAGGGGTTGGAGAGGGAGCCAAGCCGCCATACCACGTGACCTTTTCCATATCAACTATCTCGTAGCTATCGACGAGAACTTTAAGCATGGACAGGAAGGAAGAGAAATGAAAATAATGCATTAATCGAACGAGTTGAAATGTTTCTTGGCGCTTGGTGATACTACACCAATGCGCGGCTATTTAGGGAACATCGAGCTCAGCTCCTCGTACCTTTCCTGGTACTTGATCATCTCCAGAGCATTCCAATAAAGCTTGGATGGCCTAATGTCACCAGCGGCTTACCTTGACATTGCGACGTACGATGTTCTCCTTCGCGAAAAAGTCGCTCTGGCAGTTACCGCCCGACTCAGGGCCTCCAATTCCCCAGCAGGAACTTGTCGACGAGGAGGTTTGCCCTGGCTACAATTCGGCGGCTTTCTACCCAGCAAAGCCCGGGGAAGTACTAGCCAAGAAATGTCAACTACTTGTCAAAATCGGCTGGGGATCACAATCAACTGTGTGGCTCGCCCGAGACATTTCAAGGTACCCTACTCGCACCTGTAACCGCGCTTGCCTGCTTCATGTTGACTACCAAGAAACTGACCCTGGCCCTCACAATTCAGACTCAAGTGGCAGTCTGAACAAATAGTGGCCCTGAAAATAGTCAACAGCAACAATGCCGACAATGCTTGGCATGAGAAGGAGATTGAAAGCCATATCACACAGCAAAATCCAGAGCATCGTGGCCACGTGATTCTACGGACATGTCTGGATGACTTCGAGGTAACTGGTCCGGGAGGAAAGCACATGTGCCTTGTGTACGAACCCATGAGAGAGCCTCTCTGGATTTTACAGAGACGTTTCATTGATCGCAAGCTTCCTCTGCCCATTGTGAAGGCCTATATCTACTTCCTCCTCGTTGGCCTTGATTGTCTTCATTCAGAATGCAAAGTTGTCCACACGGGTGAGTGCTTGTCGCGATTCTCCTGTACATATTCTGGAATATGAAGACCTAACCTACCTGTCAGATCTAAAGCTGGGGAATATCCTCATGAGCTTTGAAAACGAAAATATTCTTACCAACTTCATCAAACAACAACAACCGATGCAATGCAAGGTTGATGGCGAGAGTGGCCGGACTCTCTACCGCTGCCATAATGACTTCGGTGCTCTTGATGGGAGAGAAATCAAGAACATGGTTCCCAAAATAGCCGATTTCGGGCTCGCAACCAGACTCGACAAGCTGTCTACTCGAAACGGAATGGTAGGAGAGCAGCTTGGCATTTACCCTATCCAACCAGACTATTACCGTGCTCCAGAGGTAATCCTTGGCTGCGGTTGGGATTTTAAGGCGGATATTTGGAACTTTGGTGTGCTGGTAAGACCCCCTGTAACTGTTTTCTGGAGGTTAGGTGTACAATATAACAGGCTTTTGTTTCCCTTTCTTTTGGTTACAATCGCTGGCTTGGGCTTTATGCTAATAATCCTGTTCGGCAAGTTGTGGAATATTCTTGGAAGCATGGAATTGTTCCAGCAGGTACATGATACAAATGGCCAATACAATGCAAAGTCACACCTTGCGGAAATGATTGCCCTACTCGGGCCGCCCCCCAGGGCATTGCTCGCGAAATCAAAGGCCATGTCAACACACGACTGGCCCCAGCCTGTGACGAACGACACTGGCAAACTTTGCAATAATGCTCAAGAATTCTTCGATGGCCCTTTCTTTAACGCAGAAGGTGGGTTGACAGGTATCTCGTACGTCAATACCTGACATACTGACTGTTCAAGATAAATTCCGCCATAATGAATTGATCCCGTCCCGAAGCTTAGAGGACACAACCCCATTCCTTGAAGAGAAGGATCGAGAGGCATTTTTATCATTTGTTCGACAAATGCTCACCTGGCTCCCGGAGAAGAGGAAGACAGCTGGCGAACTGATGGATCATCCGTTTCTCAAACTTGGGAATTGATCAACAGCCCAGTTACTTTCGGAAACGAAGCGATCCCCTAGGAGCATAAGTTTCTGCATCATTGTATGGTCACCGCGTACGTAGATTTGGGCTTTAAGCCTCTTGACGAGCTGTTATCATCAAATTTGTAGGCAAAACACCTACTGTAGGGGAATGGCTGCTTTATTCGTCAGCCACAGTCTGTCTTTTGGTCTCCAGTTTTTTCCAGCCAGTGATAATTTATGGAGACAGTTCTACGGCCCTCACATTGATGATGCTGAGGATGCATATCTGTTGTTCTACCAGTAAACGGGCTCATGGAGCCATCAACTTCTGTGTTTGGCTTGATTAGTACTCGTCTATGTCACATCTTTTGTCGCGTTCACTGAGACTCCTAACTTTGCCCTCGAAAGACGACAGTTGAAATCGAATGAAGGAAAATGTGTGGATTGAATGGGGGTGTAACTATTCGTTTTTTAGGAGGGCCCCGACCTGCCGTTGGGCAAAAGACCTCATTCGCGCTTAGGAATTTGCTTTCTATCTGAGAGAGGTATATATATATATATATAGATGCGTATGACATCTCATCCTCGGGTTCTTGTCCTGCAAACTCAGTCATGTTTCTCTACATCCTTCTGCTATTTCTCCTCCCAAAGTCCAATTTTGTAGGTATCGGGCCAGCTTGAAGGGATTCGATTTACCAACACTACCAGCCGCCTATCTCGGAGGATTTTGAAAACACCAAGCTTTGGTTGGTATCCTCATGAGCACATAGCCAGACACTGATGCTGACGCTGCAGAGGCTAGGGCTTCGATCGGTCTCTCTAAGCTCCGTTCTCAATGGGTCTGTCCCCTTTTGCCAGTATCCACCGCGTAGCTTTGATGTATCGGTAGGCTCGCGGGTCCTTCCCTCTTATTAAAACAACACACATCGCGAAGGGGTTATCTACTGGTTTGGAGGCAGCAGACGGCGGAAGGCCCGAACAGTTTCTGATGTACTGAGCTTGCCAGGTCAGCCGAACGGCCAGCGTAAGCTTTCCAATCGACAAATATGCGCATATCATACACTTCACTGCTAACGATGGCGATAGTTCTGGCAGCTTACTCCTACAGCAGCATCATCGACAGTAATGAAGATGGGTTATTTGACATCCCTAGTAGTATTGGTGTTGGCAGCGCACACACACTGTACTGGATGTGGAATACAGCAGAACTAGTCAACGGAGAGTATCTGGTAAGGTCAACATGATGTCTAAGGAATAAGGCTGATAGAGATGTAGCTATACACATCATGCATTGACATCCAAGTCACACCTGTCAACTTGCCATCATCTGGCCACTCTTTACAGTCACCCAGGATACCTCACAAATCACCTACTGCTGCTTCTGATGTGATGAAGAGTCATGTGTCTAGTGTGGCTTCAACAGTTCAAGCTGCACCCTTAGAAAGTCAATCTGTGCCCTGTAAAACACAGCAGCACACCTCAACTTCACATACCAAGCACACAGGTGGATTCCACTGAATTGAAGAAGAGTGTTAGCCCTGTGGTAAGTAGTCCAGGCACGGGCGGCTGCATCAAAGTGAGGAGAGACAATCCAAGGCCCATGAGGCACTCTAAACCGTACTCACAACCGGCCAGCTCATCATTGTATAAGATCCATCGTTCCACTGGGTATGTATATTTTTTTATGATCACCGGTGCTAAAGGCAAAGCAAACTGACAGGCTACCCAGCAAGGCCGGATGGCCCACACGGAGAGCTCGTGTCGCAAAAGCTTCCAGGGTCGTATCTTCTTTCTCGCCCCAGGCTAGGCCGAATGAATTCCGCCAGCTGGGCCACCAGCTGCTTCTAATATTGAATATGTCTCCCATTTCTTCTTCTGATGGCAACACCGAGAACAGCGCCTTGACAGCGTCGGCATGTCGTTCAGTCGCTGTATCCCCAAAAAGGAACCCTGACTCTTCCACTCGGTCGCCATCTGAATTCGCCGCACCAAGCTTAGAGTTTGGTCCAATCTTCAAACTGTTAATGTCTAATCATCATTCATTGTCCTGATTAGCTTCCTAACGTACGAGTCCATTGTAGAATAGCTTTACTAGAGGTGCCCGGTTTGTCTGGACCGATTCAGGCACGGTAACATCTTCTCTGGCAGCACTTGGCTGCTGATTGGATAAAAAGTGAAGGTCCCTTTTCTCATACGTTTAGGTCCGTTTCCATTAAGCAATGACCCAGAAGCTGTTGATTGATTTTCTGGCATTGAAATAGCCCCACAGTGCACTTCCGAAGGAAACAGCAGGAGTTTCTTTTTGCAACGTCGAAGTGCTCGATGTCTTGGTGAGGTAATGTGGTCGGCTCCTTCCCAGATTGGGTTAGTGTATGAGTCAGCATTGAGTGCGTGTTAAAGGTCACGAGTTAGCTCCTTGCTCGCCAAGCAGTCTTAGTTAGAATCGAATTCGGGGCTATGGCGAAGTTGGGATCGCGTTCGACTGAAGGACCATCAATCCCCCTTCAGATTATCGGAAGATCGCCGGTTCGATCCCGGCTGGCCCCATTTCTTTTTTATTTCAGATGCATAAATAATGCAATCAATCAACCAATCACTAGAGCAGAGCGAGGCTCCTTCATCATTGTGTTTTCTTTTATCATTATATCATTTTCTTGCTAAGATCGTTCAGTGCCGTGTGGTATAGCAGCATTGTAAAGGGGGGCGGGCGTACGTGCGTTGTTCCCTGCGACAGGAACCGGGTCGTGATCGAGGGATCTCAGGAATGGACGGACACACTGAACAATCTAGCAAAACGATATAACGATAAAAGGAAACACAACGACGAAGGAGCCTCGCTCCGCTCTATACAATGACGACGATACTAGTGAAGCAACCTAGAAACCAAAAGAATGCTCTGTTTCTCGTAACTATCTGGGAGGGAACCCTCCATTAAGTACTCCGGCCGCGGGATCCACCATACATTAGTATGTCGGAGTTGTCAGGGCCCTTGCCATGTAGACCAGGACGAGCACGTGAGTTTCCTTATTTGGATTAGCGTGGTGCGTGGATAGGAATACGTCGTCCAGCTTCACGTAGATCTCTCCCTTTTTCCTTCCTCTCCATGCTTGAAGTTCTCGTCGATAGCTGCCTAGATAGTCGAATAGCATCCTATTCATCGTCTAGTTGAGTTCCGTGACAATCTATTATAATATATCCAGCATGCTCAGCAATACTATTTTGATTATAAAAATATTCTGATAAGTTTTTAAACTTAATGCCAGCTTTCTCTAGCTGTATTTTAGTTGCAATTTTAAGGTATTCTATATCTGTAAACTTCCCGTCCCTGGGGCCAAAGTAAGTCACCTTACAATATCATCACAGCGATCAATGGTGTTCATTTTTCTATGATTGTGACCTAGGCTATGTCCTGTTGACTGAAAGTGAAGTCTCAAAATTCTCAAATGCCAAAGACCTTGGAAGGCAAACGTAAAAATAATTCACTGCTAGATCCAGAGATCATTAGCAATAAATGTAGACACACAAGAATTACTGCTCATTCAAGATCTAAGCTCAAACCAAGTGAGGTCTGACTTGCGGGACGGACAAGGGGAAAAATTATCGGGGTTAATCCAAGCCATTCCAGGACCCCTGTCACCAAGCCGCTGCAACACTGGATATGTCGTTGCGCCTCACTAACCAATTATACTAAGTTTAGGCCGATGCTCCATGTCGGTTACGCGTCTTTGTTCCTTTGCTCCTTAGGACGTACATAAGCACAACCCAGTGCGCAAGTATTCGCAAAACCTTGACGCTTTATCCTAAATTTGTACTTTGGCAACAGTATGAAGGGCGCGTGCAGTTGAGTAGTTTAACCTGCAAGTGCTACGCGCTCACCCCTAACTAATTGAGAAGGCAAAATTAGTACTAATTTTGCAACCCTAGATCGGGCGCTATGCATATCTTGACCTGGAAGCGCGCGTAACCGCTACAAAGCAGTGTATGCAATCGTGATATCCCAAAGATTTAATTTGCAATAACTACTGAATACGAAGGCCGATCCACCCTGAGCAACCCAAGACGCCCCCGCATGTTCGTCTTATGCATGCGACCCATTCCTCTGTACCCACCCGCTGTCCTAGTGCTAACCCCTATCGTCCACGAAGGATGACGGCGGAAGAGGCGGGTGTAAGACGAAAAGGCAGCTCGATAATGATTTTCCGTCCAGTTAACCCAGGCTCGATAAGGGAGTGGTGGTTCGGCTGTTAGGCTCCTCTTTGGATTATCAGCTGTGGGCCTTCAAACTAATCACCAAGAAACTTACGCTTGACAAATTTGTATGTGACACCTTGGTATGTCTCGGACGACCAGGCCCATTGGCCGCGAGATTTTTCAGCCAGGTTTTCAGAGAAGGCAGGCCCAGATTGATCTGCCTCTGGCCCGAAGTAGACTGTGCCCAAAGCGCCATCGTTGAAATTTGAAGGATTTTCTCAGGGGTGATGTCGATATAGGTGGTTCTATCCTCGTTATTATATTCGCCCCCGAGCTGGGCAACGAGGCTTTGGCATTGTTGGATATCTGACATGCTGGTTGAGGAGTAGATGTTTCTGCAGTGTAGCTTTGAGAATAAAGGCCTTTTCCCAGAGGCTGGACTTGGCTGGGCAAGGCCAGGCTTAAATAAATGATACCACTGCACCCGTTGAACTCGGACTTGAAATAGCACGCAGAGGGCGGCAAAGGGAAACGTTTTATTGGTGGTTGGGAGGCTCCTCGAGAGATCCCTATTAACAAAACGGACCAGTGCGCATCCAAGCGCAAATGCCAGCAATATCTTGAAGCAGATATGGAACATTCGACCCCGTGCATTATACTGATGAATGTATTGCTCATATTCATTGCGCTGAATATTCCGCTATGTGACATCCAAAAAGCTCATCCATACCTTCATTAAAGATTTTGAGGCGCTAGCGGTTCATTTCCGGTGAGCCCTCTATTTGCCAGGAGAGCAGCCCGGTCCTCCATATATGCTTTGTAGGGCGCTTTCGGGACAGTCTTGTCTTCGTCCTCCCATACTTCATACCCAACCTCCTCCCAAACTTGAAGTTGACGAGTAAAATTCGGGCTCGGTTTAATTCTTTGCCTTGATTGAACAAATTCCAACACGTCTGCTTGGTGCATGCATAATTTGCGCATAAGATAGGCAATGATAATCGTTGGCGAGCGTGATATCCCAAGATCACAGTGGATTAATATGGCCTCTGGAGGCGATCCGCCTGGCTCATCTTTCGTATCGTGCTTGTGCTCGACGGGCAAGGATGACAGCGACGAAAGAGCCGGGGATGCCATCTGGTCGATAAAGTCGCAAATACTGCTCATATGAGCAAGGAGGTCTTGCGTCGACGAATCTGCACACTGAATCCATTTGTGACGATGTGCCGGAACTCCTGCCTCTCTTGTAGTGGTGTTCCACCACACCCACCGAGCATCAGTAAGAGAGACAATTGCGTTGATATGATTTTCTTGAAGCAATTCCCGTTTGTATGATGCTTCGACATTTCCAAGAAAGAGGCCAGGTACAATCTGCCTGACCCGCGCCGCGAACGCCATCTCCCACTTCTTGTTCCTAACCTTCTCCATATTCTCTCCTACTGTATTTTCGCCCATCGTAGCTTGTCAGGCCCTTCTCCTTCGTGGGATTTGTGAAAGACGAGTGGTGGTAGGACTGCGATCGCTAGTGGGGTTCAGGCGCATGGTAGTCACCCCAGCCCCCATTGGACCCTTTGTTTTGCTTAGTCATCGAAAAGCTCTCAGAGGAAGCCACGAAAATAAGCCTATGTCAGGCAATTGTATTTATAAATGCCGCAAAAACCTAGGAGGCATCGATATTCGGAAGAATGTGGCAGAATTTTTGCGGCGGGACCACCTTCAATTGTCGGCCTCAGCTGAATTCTGTTCAGCACCGAGTGAGTCACCCAACGCGTTTTGGACGCGACCGAAACCCTCACTCAATTCAACCACCCACCATGCCCCCAAAAGCGCGTCAAAATTCAAGAAATTCAATATGGCCATCACGTATGGTCATCACAATCACGTTCTTCGGCCCTGTTCCTCCTGAGCTGGTAGCACATATTAACGATGAAAGGTGGTGCAATATCTTAATGGAACTGTCAGATGCAACAGATGGAGATCCCAGCATGCGATTCAGCCAATGGAAGGAGGATGTTTTCCCAAATCTTGACACTGAGACAAAGAGAGTGATATCTAAGATGACAAAACTTAATCCTGCAGACAGAGCCGCTATGTCCCAAGTTTTGAAAGATCCTTGGTGGCATCACAATGGGAATTGAGGATCCAGTAGTGAATGATTCTGTTTTGTCTTTTGGCATACGGCATACGGATTTTGTCTGTTGTATAATTGCACGAATTCGCACTCCCCAACCTCAGGAATCCAGAAGCTAGAGCAGAGGAGAGGCGGGAGCAGGCAGAAGATGAAGGAAGACGAGAGAAAGAGAAGCAGAAGAGCGACGGAAGCAGGCCGGCCAGGCAGTCGATTAAGGATATCGTAGTATCTGCTGGAATGTCGACCAATTAGTAGACAGATCACGTTGATTGCCTCCATTCTAATGCAAACAGATGAACATGTTTCAAGAGTCTATCTTTTTTTCCTAATGGGAAAAAACTGTAGTTCTGACGAGACCTCCCTATCTGATTGGTAGGTTCACTGCGTAGTGCAGGACAGACTCCACTTGCTTAGCATGATCACGCGTGTACTATATTTGTATGAGACTCCTGGTCGTCCAGGAGTTATGTATTGCAAAGGACTGTAAACAAATCACAAATTAAGAGCATTACAGGAATAATCACAAGGATTTGCATCCATTTGTCAACATAATTGTGTTATTTCACATGGAAACAATCTTCAACACAAAAAGAGGTATGCATAAAAGAGGGATGCATTTAACCGGAGAAGCGATCCTTAGAGCATGGCACAAAAGCCTAGGTCTATCAAGGCAGTCACCACCATCATGGTATCGAGATCGCATCAGAGAAGAACTACAAGAACGTCGAAACGCAAAGACACATTGGCAGAAGCTGAGCGAGACGGCGGACGTGCTTTTCTCCATGAGCAGGGCGCGTTTTGATGGCTATTCCCTGCGGACGCCGCCGCGAGTTTTAAGTCGCCAGTTTATCTGGGCTTATGTATACATGCTGGCAAAATATACATTACGTTGGCAATTCTACAGGTTAGCTGCTACTCTTTGCAGAGCTCCTAACAATGACAAGATACGAGAAGTCGTCAACCCGGGCAAGGACAGCAAGCTCGCCGAGGTAGCCACCCGTCATGATATCGATCCACTCAAATTCGTATATGTTGCTAGCCGCTTACGTCGCATTTGGCCGCTTCTGCCATAGGTGTTCGTTTGAAAGATGTAGTCCCTCTTTGGCAGTTCTTTCTCTGGAAACAAACAGCAATGAGACAGAAGACAAGGAAGAATGCATGAGGGAAAGGAGTCAGCAAACAGTTTCAGCGAACGCTTTAAACATCGCCTGCATGAAATCTGCGAAATACATCCATCTATTCAGCGTGAAACTGCAGTCTGCAGGCTTAAAAGCCCCGAATTCCCCAATGCTAGCACCTCCTAATGCATAGCTTTCAACTTTGCGAACTCAAACCAAACCAATTTACATTGAATTGAATCAGGATTCATCCTCAGTACATGTCTACTTGTGAAGATGGAAAGTTTAGAAATATCGAAATCTCCCCAGGGAAAGCCCGTCGTGATCGGCATATACGGGCTGCCTGGATCTGGGAAGAGCTTTCTGCTAAAACAACTGAAAGAGAAAGCCGATCTGTCAGAGCGCTTTACTTTCTATGAAGGTTCGAAAATGATTGACTCTGTTGTTTCCGGTGGATTGGAGGCATTTCAAAAGCTGGAGGACCTCGAGAAGACTCAAGCTCGTCGACGTGCTATCGAGGCCATTCGACGAGAATGCATCAAAAATGGAAGGGCAGCCATAGTCACGGGACACTTTAGTTTCTGGAACGAAGGGGATACTGCTGGAGAAACGATATGCACCGAGTCAGACCTCAGGACGTACACTCATATCATCTATTTGGACGTGCCTGCCCCGGAGATTTTCTCGCGTCGCCTCAACGACAGTGAGCGAAAGAGGCCAAATATGTCCATACCGCACTTGATGGGTTGGCAAGATGCAGAGAAGTCCCAACTACGACATCTATGTTATCACCATCAGATTCTTTTTTTGCTCATGAAACCGCATCTGACAGAAGAAAGGCTTTTGGCTTTACTACTGGACTTCCACAGTCACACTGAGCCCTACAACCTATCTCAAGCAGAGAAAAGGTTAGATAAGGTGATCTCAAGCAACTGTGGTCAATTGGAGTCGATGATCGTTTTGGATGCCGACCGAACATTGACAGCACAAGATACGGGCGATACGTTTTGGAGAAAAGCTCTCAGCTCTGGGCAGCTAGATATTGGTGAAAGTCCACTGAAGCCCTTATTTAGCAGCCCCCTTCAATATTCATACACTGCTTTCCGTCAGGCCACTTTGCTCTATGAAGAGACAATGGATGATGCAGAATTTGAAAACTTGTGTCAACAGGTGGCATCAGCAACTGATATGCATCCCGAATTCGTTGCCTTATTGCGTCTGATCTCTAAGCATCCTCATCTTGGAGCAGTCGTACTGACCTGTGGGCTTCGTCGAGTCTGGGATATAGTACTAGAGAGGAACAATCTGTCCCAGAAAATACAGGCCATTGGCGGGTGTCGCTTGATGGACGGTTTTGTGATGACCCCTACACTTAAACGTGATTTGGTTGGCCGTTTACAAACTCACCACGCCTTATTCGTATGCGCGTTCGGAGACAGCCCCCTAGATTTGCCGATGCTTATCAAAGCCGATCGGGCAGTTGTCGTTGTTGGCGAGGAAGGGATGAGAAGTAAATCATGGACCAGGAACTAATGCATGCTATCAAAAACGATAACCTCCGGGCATACCAAACTCTAATACCGAACAGCGTGGCTCCTCGACTGGATATTGACAGGCTGCCAGTCATTCAAATTACCCAGAGGCACTTCATCGATTCTCTAATTTGGCCTCGTAGCCTCGAGGTACTTCATGCGACGAATAAGAAAGCCGCCAAGATACTCATGACCCGAATGCGTGATGCGCAAATCAGTGGGCCCTGTCTGAGAAAAGCTCATAAACAGACTGGCTCGTACCTGGCTACAGAATACTTGAGCGAGGTCATTGGTGTGCAAGAATATTCAATACAGCATGTTCAAGGCCATAAAACCGACGGATATCGACTCTTCTATGAGCATGAAACCATAATTGTAGCGCTAATGCGAGGAGGGGAACCCATGGCATTTGGAGTGAACGATATCTTTCCAACCGCCATGTTTCTTCATGCGAACAAACCAGAAGATATCAAAGAGGATCATATAAAACAAGCGATGAATCTGGTATTGGTGGACTCTGTGGTGAACACTGGAAAGACGATTTCACAATTTATTCGACACATTCGAAACCTTAATTCTACCGTTCGAATAGCCATTGTCACGGGTGTCGTCCAGGCCGAGGCTATAGACATTCTAAATCATGAATTGGCGCCATACGGCAGCTATGAAAAGATCAGCATGATTGCCCTCAGGCTCTCAAATAACAAGTACCAGGGGATCGGCACCACCGACACAGGAAACCGCCTTTTTAACACAATACACCTACAGTGAATTTGCAGAGAACGCAGGCCGGAAAAAATGAGGAAATACGGCTTTCATAACTGTCAAGGCGGCCATTTGAAATAAACAGTCTTCCACGTTGTTGACAGCGTTAGATTGATGGCAAAGGTGGGGAAGCTGGCAGATGTGGCTGAAGACCAAATTGTGTTACCGTGATAGTGTTGGGAAGGTATGGTTAGTTGGCATGGCGTGAGAATCTGGAGCCGACTATAAGCAATACTCGGGGCCTGTTTTGGTTAACCATCGCCGTTCAAAATGAAGTACATAGCTACATTACATCTAATAATGGATCTTCTGCTTTGATCTTGTCCGAGGCGGCAATGGGCCGCAGCACCACCACGGAACCCGGCAACCAGCGACAAATTCACCTACAGTGGGGTTGCAGAAGTATTTGGCCACCCACCATGAATCCAGTCGCGCTTTGATATGGAAAAGGTCACTGGTATGGCGGCTTGGCTCCCTCTCCAACCCCTGAGAATCCGAGCCCCTGATTATATGTAGAGACACAGAGATAGAACAGAATGGCATCCGTTCCTTAGTAGGCTACGTACGTGTAGTCGATACAGCTTCATTCTGCCTTTCTTCCCTGAGTTACATGCATATTCCACAACATATAGAGCGGAGCGAGGCTCCTTCGTCGTTGTGTTTCCTTTTATCGTTATATCGTTTTGCTAGATTGTTCAGTGTGTCCATTCCTGAGATCCCTCGATCACAACCCGGTTCCTGTCGCAGGGAACAACGCACGTACGCCCCCCTTTACACTACTACACGGGTAGTTACTAGAGCTGATTACTATGGGAGAGCCTGTCTCATACAGCCAAGCAATCAGGAATAGGTTACTTCAATTGAATGTACCAATTCTACTGGTTGGGCGCTTCCTCTATGCATTATCTTCAAAGGAAAGGTCCATATAGAGGGTTGATATCAAGATTTCAAGCTCCCATGTGATAGCAGAATTGAAGTTAGTCCTAATGGATGGACTACTGATGAGATAGGCCTTTGCTGGCTTAAAAATCTCTTTATTTCTGCTACTTCTAGCTGTACAACTATAATATTATTCCTATCTGCATGCCTGCGCATTCTTCCCACAAGCTTCAACCTCTGGATATAGGCTGCTTTTCGCCTTTAAAAAAGGCGTATGGGGGCTTAGTAGAGCAGAAAGCACGCTTAGGATATAATCATATTGATAAGCTTGATTTTCTAAAGGCCTTTCCAGAAGCTCACAAAAGCACTTTCCAAGCAGAAACTATTCGAAATAGCTTCGCAGGTGCTGGCCTAGTTCCATTTAATCCAGTGAGGGTACTTAGTCAGTTGGATATCCAGCTAAAGACCCCTACACCACCAGGCAGTAATCAACTAATTCAGCACTGTGCCCCCGGCACAATCTTCCAATCTTGCTTGGCCATGACCAGGTAGTGGTTCCAGCTCAATTCATATCCAATAAATACTCCTTCAACAGCTTATTGTGACGATCAGCTGTAATAGGATGGGAAGAGGGAAACAGCTCTCTATTTGGCCGTACTGTCTAGGAATATCGTACATGAGGAGGAGAAGAAGAAGAAGAAGAAAAGGAAAAAAGGTGAAAGACGTGGTGGGGGGAAATAGTGCGCCGTTAACATAATCCAGAACCAAGCGGGCCTCACGCGTTTGGTAATCGACCGTCCACCATACCTCCAACCCTCCAAAAGCAGATAAAGATTCAAAAGATTCACTTGAGCAAGAGGGGAAAAGATCTTACTTGCAAAATGTTCAATATTCAAAAGTGAAATGTAGTCAAAAAAAAAGAAAGAAAACATGCAACAGCCGGGATTCGCTGGTGGTCACCCACCCAACTACTAACCGGCCGGCGTGTGGCTTAAGTACGGCTGAGCGGACGGGAAGCCCTGTTTTCCACACCCTGTGGTCGCATGTACTAGGTAGTTTAAGTGAATGGTTTATATGCAAGGAATCCGCGGTAGAATAGACATTCACATATTCCCGTGTGTAGAGAGAAGCCGGACTACCGTCGACTTGACGAGAAACATAAGCCGACACCCCATAATTCACTCTCCTTCAGATGCGTTCTCGGCCGGATGCTATTTCTATTACCAAATAAATGCCGAAGCCTTTCGATATTTGAAATATTAAGCTATCTGGTTTGATGCTTGAAGACAGGAGAATTCACCGGGAATTCGGGTTCTCCTTCCTGATTCGGACAGCGGTTCTATTTGGATATTGATTTTCGGGGTCGATTGAGATCATCTTTATCAGATAGTGAGTGAGATAATCAGTTAATTACTTTAGTAATGATGATGGTTATCCAGGCGTTATTGCTGCGGTGTTTCGTATCTTAGGGTATCTGGTATTGCATCTAGTAGTTGTCCGTCTCGCAGAGCAGATTCCAGGGTCTTTGGATGCCTCTCTCGGACATTTTCATAGAAATATAGTTGAAAATTCACGTGTAATTGAGTACTGGGCAACATATCTATCCGGCAAATGAGTATGTCTTGCCGTATCCCGTTCACGGGGCATCCTGCATTGGAGAAAGACATGGTATATAGAAGCTAACTGTTACCGAGGGATGTGTAGGCTATCATCAAAGGCTGGCATTCTTGTCACATTAGAGATAAGAAAACCAGATACATGCGTTTTCCCTCATTCTCATTTCATAACCCTCGCAACCATCACAGCTTCGTCCCCATGTTGACATGAACGGCTTTGACCTGACTATACGCCTCCAGACCAGCTTCACCCAACTCCCGTCCAATGCCGCTCTGTTTGACACCACCAAAGGGAACCCGAGGATCGCAATCCTGGCTACTGTTAATCCAGACCATGCCGGATTCGATTTCCGCCGCCACGCGATGTGCCCGTTCAACATCACGAGTAAACACGGCAGCCCCAAGACCGTAGATAGTATCGTTGCTTCGCCGGACAGCTTCTTCCTCGGTTGAGAAGGACGAGATGACCACGACAGGACCGAAGATCTCCTCGCGGACAACACGCATCGAATCGTCCACGTCAATCAGCACGGTAGGTTCAACGAAATACCCATTCTTGATCTTGGCATCGGCTGGTGTATGAGCGGCGCCGCCGATGAGGATCTTTGCGCCTTCTTTCTTTGCGAGATCAATGTATGAAAGGACGCGCTCGTACTGCGACCGGGTTACCTGCGGCCCTTGGAAGGTTGACTCGTCCCACTGGCTGCCAATCTTGGAGGTTGTCTGGACGGCTTCTTTGAACATGGAAAGGAACTTTTCATAGACATCCCTGTGGACAAATATTCGCGACGTGGCAGTGCAAATCTGACCCTGATTCCCCATGATGCCAAAGTGTGACCACTTGACAGCCTGATCGAGGTCTGCATCTGGGAAGACCACCAGCGGTGACTTGCCGCCAGTCTCGAGGGTGATGTTTTTCAGGGTCCCAGCAGCCTGTTTCATGATCGCCTTTCCTGTTTCGGTTGACCCGGTAAAGGCAACTTTATCAACCAGAGGATGCGATACCAGAGCTGCGCCAGCCTCGCGGCCGTAGCCGTTGATAATATTCACAACCCCTGGAGGAAAGCCGGCCTCCTTGATCAGCGTTGCCAGCACAAGCACACTCAACGGAGTCTGCTCTGCTTGCTTGAGCACCACTGTGTTCCCGCAGGCCAACGCGGGACCCAGCTTCCAGCACGCCATGGAAAGAGGGTAGTTCCACGGGATGATCTGGCCAACGACCCCGATCGGTTGACGGATTGTGTAGGCAAACTTGGCCGGAGTCGTGCTGATAGTCTGACCGAACGTCTTATCCGCCCAGCCGCTGTAGTACCGGATTGTGCCAATGGCTTCGGGCAAGTCTTCATTCAAGGCGGTTTGGTATGGTTTTCCTGGTTCACGCATGAATATGAAGGCACGCACGCTTGACGTTGACCAACATACCGTTGTCCCACGCGTCAATGGTAGCAAAAAGCTCTTTATTCTTCTCGATTAAATCGGCCAATCTGGCCAGCATCTGGCCACGTTCAGTGGCGGCGAGCAGCTTCCACGAGGGATGCACGAGCGCAGCCTTGGCTGCTTGGACTGCATGGTCGACATCGTCGGCGCCGGCCGCATGAACAGTGGCAATGGGAGTGTCGGTGCTGTGGGGTCTACCCGTCAGTCGCCGGATCAGACAGAAGGGGAATACCCGCAAAATTCACATACGCCGGGTCAATCGAGGTGATCGCGCCTCCGCTCGAAGGCACAAATTCGTTGTTGATGAAGAGACCCGTGGGCTGCGTGTAGCGGTGCCCGTTGGGGGTGGTGAGCTCGACGGAGAGGCCGGACATGTTGGGAGAGGCTTGAATGATGGAAGTCTGTCTTGTTCATCGATCGACTGATCCTGATCCTGTTTATGAAGCCCGCCATGACGAAACGCGCGGGGAGAATCCGGTTTATCGCTGGGATTCGCATTCCCGAGGGAATTCCCGTTATCTGTCGCGCTTCAAACAGGAAGGCATTTCCGGGTGGTAAATACTTCAGAGCGTCTCGAAGTAGTACTAATTAATACTGATCTGCCCTTGTACAGGTATCCGGGAGTTCTCCGCTGTTGCGTTTCTTCTCGTGCTGTCGGCACTGCTCCAGCTTAGAAGAAAGCATCCTCGCAGTTCTACTCTCTTCTGCAGATCTCCAACGTTTAGTCCAATTTGAACGGGAAGAGCATTAGAAATCAAGAGCGTTTCTATGCCGTGTCTTGCCAACAGAGCCCGCGATGGTCGGCACAATCAGCTGTGCCTTTCGTTTCTCGATGCTGGGCCCGAGCATCCTGCTGTATAAAGTTGCAGAATGCATCCACGACACTGGAACTATCGCAACAGCGGCAACAACAGCAGCAGAAAACATAAAGACACAGCTATGGCATCCTACTTGATCACTGGCTCCTCCCGAGGCTTGGGCCTCACGATGGTCTCGCAGCTCTTGAGCCGGCCCACGTCCGAAGTGGGTACTATCTGAGCGTGTTTTCAACTGACAATTCTCACTCAAAAGACCATGTGCTTGTGAATCGATGGCATGATAGACAGCATTTTAGATCAAAGTCCACGTATGGACGTCATGGCTTAACCGCGGACGAACCACAACAGCCTCCCCATAAACATCAACATCATACCCATGGTCCTCCAAGTAAGCCATAAACCTAGATCTTCGGTCTCCAACTCCCTCGACATATCAGGAATCATAAAGCAAGAAATAACGCCGCCAACAACCGTAGATGCAGACCCAATCAAAAAAACCAGCCTGTTGACCCTTCTCGACAGAACCAAACGAGTTCTGAACAGGCCTGAACTCCTGCGTCCCGATGGAAGCACCGGCTTTACCCACCGCCGCGGCGAATTCAAGGAAATAGCCGCCAAGTTGGTTGGGATTGAAGCTGCTACACCGCGAGCACGGTCTTATTTGGATATGATCACAGCTCATCTGGCGAGCCAGGCTGGAGACATTGCTCACTCTATCTCAGCGCACGTCGGGAGAGGACCATGGACGTCGGCTGCGAAGGAGGGGAGTTAGACTGGGCCAGGGTCATGGTTGTCGCTGTGAGTGCAGCTTCTGAGGTGGCACAGGCAATAGATCAAAAAGCACCAAGTCGATGGTGGAGCCATGTGTTCAGATGTCCCTGTTCAGTACATTCTACAAATCAACCTACAACGTATCCAGTTCTACTCACTAACAGCAATCTCCTTCAACTCCCTCAACGGCGGAATCCCCCCCAACATATCCGGCTGCAAAAGCGGCCAAATAATCCCCGCCGTGGGCTTGTTCGCACCACCACCAACAACCTCCACCACCCTCGACGGCGTCACCACCACATCACAAACCGTATCAAACTCCTCGGGCTGCAACTCCTCCTCCAGAACCTGACAATCATGCACAACGCCCACAACCACAGTCCCCTGCTCCACGGCCCCAACGGACCAGAGCATCGCCCACTCCAGATCGAAAAACCCATGGCCCTTCCCGAACCGCACCCCGCGCAGATTAACGGCCCCGGTGCCCGTGACCATCAGCGGGATCTTCCATCCTCGGCTGCGGATATCGGCCAATGCCACCGGTTGAGCAACCTTTTCCATCCCGTCTAGTGTAGCGGCGTACCGGTAGTCTTCGACGGGGATGTGGTTGGGATCGAGGACCCAGAAGCCGCGGCGGATGCCGTATGTCGTCATGAGGATTGTTTTGCCATCACGTAGGGACTGGAGGCGGAGGTCCTCAAGGCAGTTGTCTGGGGTTATGAAGAGGATTGCGCTGTCCTGGTAGATGGGGAGGGCGGTTAGGCGGGAGATGGCTTGTTCGGAGCCTTGGAAGTCGGCGATGAAGCTGCTGAAGTCGTAGTGGTGGCGAGAGTCGGGGAGGGCGACTTTGCGGAGGGATTCCCAGACGCGGTTGCGAGTGTCGGATTTGCTCATATTGAAGGTTGTTGAGGAGGGAAGAAAGAGAAAAAGATTCTTACTTTGAAGGAAGAAATTAATCGTCTGATCAGAATTGATCAGGTGAAGCCGTGGAACGGGGCTTATCTGTGGAGAATATCCATTCCGTTCATTTGAAACCATGTTGGACCAAACCATGGATCTTTACGAGTTCTTATATACAATACACATTCCTGATAACATGCTACTATATTCATCCGGGTATGAGGTCTACTGGCATGCGCTAACGTGGTTGAAATAGAAAGTATGAGCATCAACATCCAATCCTGTCGGCGTACCATCATTGCCGGCAGTCGAGTCAATCCCCTCGATAACAGTAATGTCGGACGCCGTCACGGACTCGTTGGTAGGGGAAGTAATCCAGTACTCGGGGCTTGGCTGGCTGAATCCGAGATTCTTCGGGGGCAGCTTGGGAACAGGGTCATCGGTGTGAGTAACCCTGTATGTGGTGCCGCCAGACTGCGAAGTGAGGAACTCTGCAAATGCCTTGTTCCCGACTCGAGGGGATCCATACGTATACTGTCATCCGGTGTTAGTTTTTCCAGCTATCCCGAGTGGGAAACAAGGAACCATACCAGGTCAATTTCGTTCCCGGCATTCCGCAAGTCCACAGCTGCAAGGGTAGCCAGAGCACCACCCAGACTGTGGCCGGTAATGACAATCTTATAGCCCGGGTTGGCGGAAACAGCCTCAGACAGCTTGGACGAGAGCGTGTCGGACACAGACTCCCAGGACTCCAAGAAACCCCGGTGGGCCTTACAGCCGCTGCACAATGAGGAGGCATCCTTGGCCGCGAAGTCGAGGTTCGTAATCCAGTTCTCAAGGCTGCGCGAGCCGCGGAAGGACAAGACAATCAACTGGTTCGTGTTGTCGACAGCGAGGAGGCCGGCGACGTCGCCTTTACCAATACTGGTCAATGTGTTAACATCACACTCATGTTTTGGTTAGGATTTCCCGGAGACAGGGCTAGGACGCGCTCACTCGTCAAACGAGTAGTATGATGTAGCATCAGCATTCTGGACTAAAGGGCAATTCCCCGTTGAGCAGGCGATCTCTACACCGGAACCAGCCTCGTCATTCGAAGTGCAGTACGCGGCAGCCGAATACTGCTCGAAGAGGTTCAGGTTGGCGAATAGATCCGCCGAGACGTCTGTTCCACGTCAGTAGATGTATCAGTGAAGAGTTTCGGCAGAAGCGAAAGACAGTAACAGCAGCAGAATAGGCAATGGAAAGGTCCTACCGCGACGAAACGGAAGCGCAAGGACCGAGGACGAGAGTCCCAGGACAGCAAGTGCAAGATGAGACTGGAAGAACATGGTGTCGTCCGGGGCGAAGTAAAGGTCCCAAGTGAAGCAATATCAGCTGTTCGTCCAATGCGACTGACCAAACCCGACTGGAATCGGCTCTCAACCGATTGGTAATAATGGCTACTCCGCAGCGAAATGTGGCCTCGATTTTTTCTGTTTGTGTTGTGCGGAGTTACGTTGCAGCGAAGGTAGGATTCTTCTGCATACAGTCAGTAGACATTACGAGATACTCCGTCCGGAGCTCCGAAGATCAGTTATGGCCCAGCAACTCAATTGATATGGTCTTCACATCCTACTGGTCTAGTATATGCGAGCCAGAGCAAATGCATGATACCCTCGAATGATATCCGCGATGGATACCTAAGACAGTGGACAGTTCTGCAGATGATCGCCCAATGGGATTATCACCAGGTTCTTGGGAGCTGCAGAAACACTTCCGGGCTGAAGCGGACATAGTGGTATCGGGCCATTCCGTGGATGGTTACAAGATCGTCGTCGTCTGATGGGCGCTCGTCCCGTCTGGCTTGCATGAGCAGCCTGTTCAGATTAATTATAGAACGTATGTTCCACCACTAACGCGGTTATACCCGTGCCAAACGCATCTACATGCCTTCCCCCACGTCTTCCCTACACGGGGAAGACGTGTAGATGCGCTTGGCACGGGTATACAGGATTCCATTGGAGGGTTCATTAGAAAGTACTCATTTGTGGCCTTTTTAGTCCTCTTCAGGCTATTATATCAGAGACATTTTTGGTGGAACCACGTGTCTGGGTTCCTTGCTCTACTATGAGCACTGAATACATGCTCCTATTACTCATTAGACCTATCATATATTTGAATACGAGGAACAAACAGCGTGCTACATCTATACTCTCTGTTACTCCCTCACTGCTGTTCGGATATTGTTTGGAATAGCCTATTCCCAGCCCTGCTATTAGACAGGCCATTGCTTTTGCCGGTCATAAACCCGGGGATATGGGACATCTGTTAGGTTATAATGATAAACTCTATATGGATCCTTGGTCTTTGAAGGTTGGACTATTTTAATAATATATATATTGCAATAACATTATAACGATTTGTAGATGACATGCATGTCCAAGTCCCCACAGCTAGAAGGGATTCCCTTGCAACTTTGCTCTATTATATGTTTAGGAATGTCGACTTTCCCAGCAACACTGCTGTTCTGAACTGAACTAAACAAAGAATACAGCTGCGCATTTGAGGTTGCGTTGTCCTGGGGATAGAAGTGGGCGACAAGGCATGAAGTCTACCAGTGCTAAGAATTCAGAGATCCCCGGTCGTTAGAAATCCATCAAGAAAGATGCAGATTATTGCGAGAAAAATCTACGTATGCCTGTCCTGTTGCTCATACGAGCAGGTAGAACATCATGCGCTTTTATGTCGTATTAACGGACTACTAACCTCGTGGGTTCAGCTCTGTCTTCTCCTGCGTTCATGGTTGATATGTCTGTTCCAGGAATTCCCCGCTTGGTCCAGCGCTACCAAGGCTCTGCGTTTTTTGCAGTTTTTGTAAATACTTGAATATAGAATTCGTTGTATGCTAGATAGACGAAGAATTCATTGGGAGAAGGAAGGGAACAGGAGGTCTTTCGACAGGCAACGGCTTTGTAAACAAGGTGACGGGTTGGACGTGGTTGTATTCATAAAGGGGTCGGAGGGGTCGGTCCCTATCTAGCTGTTGGATCACGTGGGATTCTGCCGCATAGGTCCGCCCTCGCTGTCCCTTTTCACCACGTAGGCCTATCTAGCCAGTAACCAACCAACGATACACCTCCATTACTAGCTAATGGAGAGCACGTGACTACTCAACACAAGGATGTATAGTTAACTACAAGGAAATAGGCAGCCGGCAACAAACAGGACAAACAGTACAAACAGGACAAACAGGACAAACAGGACAAACAGGACAAACAGGACAAACAGGACAAACAGGACAAACAGGACAAACAGGACAAAGGGGACAAATGACAGAGTACTCAGGCGTTGGCCCTGAGTTTGCAATATGCCTGGGCGTAGCCCATGACAGGCTTTCGGTGTTCTTTGATTTCTACTTGTGGAGTCCTGTAGATATCTTCTGATGCCGTGCATTTGCCAGCGAGCTCATGTGCATTACTCGGGGGTGTTTGATGTGGATATCTTCGGTACCTGGTGAAGCGAAGAAGGAATATCAAACCAATGACCAGGCCAATATAATACACATGCTTCTATTCGTACAGGCGTGAATCCGAAAGCAATGCCAATATTTGAGACGTCGTCTCATGTTGCCGTATTCTGAAATCTTCAGAGCAGACTCGGGATACTTCCGCACCCACACAGGCCACGAAGTAAGGGCCATCGGCTTATCCGAGGGTTATAACTTAGGGTAGTAATTGCGAACATGCCACTCTGCGAGCGTAGACGTGTCTGTTGACGCTGTTCCGGTGCATGTGCATCATCCTAGCTTTGCATTGGACGAGGGTTGTAGCTGCGTGTGGATTGTCATTGCGGAGACGGAAATGGGGACGGTAATAAGTTATAACTGTCGATTAATTGGCTGCGATTCTTATCCGATCTTTAGAAGAAGATGAGAATGCTCCGAGAAGACCAATGGAAGAGGCTATAATCAGCATGAATGCCCCTGAATACGAGCAATGGAATTTCTCGAACCGGAATGCAGCGACTCGGCAATCTCGGGAGGCTTAAAAGCACGCTGTCTCAGGTCCTTTTGATGATTAATATCAGCCGGTTCCTAACGCTAAGCTTTAGCTTTTAATTCTATTTCCTGCTTCTCCCCACGTGCGTGTATTGAGCGCGCTTGTGGATTCGGTTAACCCTGAGGCATCACCGCGACGGGACAAGGGCATATCGCTCGCGTCCAGCTCGGCTGCATGATGCCACGGTGCTCGTACTGCCAATGGAGCTCTGTCGGTTTAATCTATACGGAAGCCACCTGTAGGATAGCTTTCTGCGCGCATGTGGCCGGACAAGCTGCGATTCATTTGCCCTGGTGGCTATACGCGATGCATTGGCGCGCTGCCAGGGACTGCGCGATGCAGCAGGGATAAATACCCCGATTCTTCTCGAAGACCGTGAGAAGAAACAGACTCGACAAGCACAGATCTTCAATTCAGATTCCTGTCCACGAGTCCTCACCATGAAGGCCAGCACTTTGGTGACTCTTCTCGGTCTCTCTGGCTCCAGCCTTGCTGCTGCCCTGCCCGGCTTCCATCCTCCCTTTGGCTACAAATCCGGCTCTCCCGAGTCCATTGCCAACTTGAAGAACAAGATCGAGAATGTCGTCTGGATTCTGCTGGAGAACCGCGCCTACGACAACATCCTCGGTGGTGTCCACCGTCCCGGTCTCGACAACGTCGTCAACAAGGGACCCTTCACCAACCCTGCCGACGTGACCAACCCTGACGGCAGCAAGTACTCCAGCTTCTACAAGGACTTCGACTCCGTCCTGCACGACCCTGACCACTCGGTCACCGGCAACAACTTCGAGTTCTACGGCACCTTCCACCCGGACCAGGAAGCCATTGCCAATGGCACTCTGAAGCCCAACCTCTCCGGCTTCGTTAACCGCCAGATCGCCAGGTATCCCAGTTCCGACCCCGAGACGTCTGCCCGCGAGGTCATCGGATATTACTCCGAGGATGAGATCCCGACTCTCGTCAACCTGGTCGACGAGTTCACCACCTTCAACTACTGGCACTCTTGTGTCCCGGGTGTAGGTTTACGTCCATACATCCCCAATTACTCTGTATACAAGCATCACTGATGATAATACAGCCCACCAACCCGAACCGTCTTTGCGCGGTCGCTGGCACAGCCGCAGGCCACGGCGAAAATGACGACGACTTCGACAACGGCACGATCAATGTCACGAGCATCTTCGAAGTCGCCAGCGACAAGGGCATCTCCTGGCGCAACTACGACGGCACCAACGGCGCCTTCCTGTCTGACGCCCTCTTCTTCGACTGGACCCAGAAGAACGCCAAGAAGAACGTCGTCCCCCTCGAGAACTTCTACCAGGACGCCTACCTCGGTGTCCTGCCTCAGCTCTCCTACATCAACCCTTCCTGCTGCGGCCTGAACACCAACTCCATGCATCCCTCTGGTAACGTCTCGTACGGCCAGGTCCTCGTCAAGCAGATCTACGACGCCCTCCGCTCCAGTCCCCAGTGGGATAAGACCCTCCTCCTGCTCACCTTCGACGAGACCGGTGGTTTCTTCGACCATGTCGCTCCCCCGCTCGCCGTTCGTCCGGATAACCTTACCTACACCGAGAAGGCGCCGGATGGCAAGGAGTACACGCTTCAGTATGATCGTCTCGGTGGCCGTATGCCTACTTGGCTTATCTCTCCCTATACCCCCGCTGGTTACATTGAGAATGAGGGTACCGATCCCGCTACCGGTGAAGCTTCCTATTACAGTGCTACCTCCGTCCTGAAGACACTGGGTTACCTCTGGGATCTCGAGGATCTTTCTCCTCGTGTCTCTCACTCGCCTGCCTTTGACCACCTTATCGGTCCTGTTGCCCGCTGGGATGCTCCTATTATCCTTGCTAACCCTCATCCTTTCCCGGAACTCTAAACGGATGCTTCTCCCCAGTAAGTGGACTCTGGCTTAGAGGGGCTTGACTTGGATCTTTCGTTCATGGCAGTGTTTTAGGTATATTGCTTCAAAACCCTGTCTTATATTTTTATTTGAGCCAATCAAAATTGCGCCACCTTGCGGATGTTGTACATATTTATTACTTGGATAAATTTTTCATACATAGATTTGTGCACTAAATGATAGACCTACTGTTCAGATTGTGCACAAGTTATGAAGGAAAATATAGGCGTATGACTACCGGATTATAGTGGCCCAATTGCAATAACTAGAATCTTTATTTTATATGCCTACCACTCAGTAATAATATCACCTAGAGCTCTGTGAGGGCATCCCCAAATAGCTTGTACGAGCTCCACGGGGATATCTCCTAGCTAGTTTGTACGAGCATTGTGAAATGTTTATTAGCAGTGTAAAGGGGGGCGTACGTGCGTTGTTTCCTGCGAAAGGAACCAGGGTGGTTCTTCGAAACTACCTATTAGGAGACTCGCCTTCAGTACCCTTCTGCCGCGGACTCCGCCATACCCGAGTATGGTGGATGCAATTGGGCTGCTATAATCAGCCGTATGTGACTTGGTCATCCATTGCCCCGCATATTTGACAATCAACCGTGGTCGTAACTCACAGCTGCTTTTTATTTAATACCTGCCAAGGACTGCACTTCTGAAGCATCAAGAAATGGGCTGTTGGGGTCATATGTACTGTGTACCAACAGCTATCTTCCAACATACACTATTTACATAACCATGTCCTCATTCACTTATCCAATGCTTTTGCCGGAGTCGAATTCGAATGATCCGCCTGTTGCCAGATGAGAACAAGGATGCTCCAATCAAGTTAAGTTCAAGCTCTTCAACTACGCTTTCTCAAGGAAAGGCAGTGGCAAGCACTTTTACGAAGCTCTGTCCTACGTCTGGGGAAGGGATGTTAAATCTGAATCTATCACAGTAAACAGCTGTGCTTTCTTCGTTACAAAGAACCTTCATACCGTGCTGTCGTACCTTCAAGACTATCAACTTGATAGGATATTATGGGTTGATGCAATCCAGGATTTAAAAATAAATTATACTGCATGCTTGACCTTGCTACAACAAGCTTGGTTCCGCCGTATCTGGGGAAGAAAATGGCTTGCAGTTTCTATAGCTTTCACTCATTAGCCAAAACAGGTGCTTCAAGAAGTTGGTGTCGCACGGTGTATTTTTGTTATGTCCGGCTCTGTCCAGATAAACAGGCACACATTTTGTGAAGGCCTTAGCAGATGGGAACTTCCTCCTCCTTTACTGAGGCTCATTCGTCCAGTCATTCGTCTCATGAGTGGGGCAATATTTCTCCCAAAATATGATGTCGAGTTACGTGGAACTCTTTCTATAGGTCAATTGATTGGCATGTATCATTCTCACCAGGCTACCAATAAGCATGACAAAGTGTATGCTTTACTAGGGCTAAGTGCTGATGACCCTAGTACACCTGCTCTGAAAGCAAACTATAACCTCCCATGGAATGAAGTCTACAAGCAGACTATTATATATATTTTCTCAGAGACATGTTCTGTGGAGACTTGGCCTAGCAGGGGGGCGGCAATTATTAGGGGTAAGGGATAGATTTTAGGTCAGATTGACTCTGTTAAAGAGGATACTGCTGGATATGACCGACAATGTATCAAGGTCCTCTATACTGACAACGTTCAGTCACGGAACTATCAATCTATATGGGGAAGCGAATGGATACTACAACCTTCGACAGTATCAATTCAGGAAGGTGATCTTATCTGTCTGCTGCAAGGCGCCTCATATCCGAGTATTATCAGAATATGCGGAGATCATTTTATAGCAGTCATGACAACAGTATCGCTTCTACAAAGCAGGGAGAGCGATAGCTTAATGCACTCAAAGCAAGGTCCCAGCTATAGCATTCTTCTTTCCTGGGATATCTTCCTGGACAATGCAGGAAACATGGATGGACCCCATGATCCAATGGAATTTGATATTAGGGTACCAGAATACCAAGAAAGGCCACAGGAGAGAGAGTCCCATATGGCACTTCAAGATATTTTCAAAGGAATATTGGAACTAGGAGGCTCCAAAATTCAAGCGATAGACCGTTTACTTTATCGAAGCGGAGCAAAAATGCCGATTACTGAAGGACTGGTTACAAGTGCAGCAGGGTATACTGGACTTGATGCATATACGATCATGGGACTTCTCTTTCGACACCGAGGTGGAAGCCTACCAGTCTCTGACGAGGTGGTCAAGGCAGCAGCAGGAAATACCGGTGCCTGTGCATATCAAATTATGAAGCTTCTGTTTCAGCTTAAAGAAGTGAGCCTACTTATTTCTGAACACGTTGTAAAAGCAGCGGCGGCGAATCGTGGACAAGGATATCAAATCTTAAAGCTTTTCTTTCAGCGCCAAGGTCCAAGTCTACCTACCAATCTCTGAAGAAGTTGTTAAGGCAGCGGCAGAGAATACTGGACCTTGGGGATATGTGGTTATGGAGGTTCTCTATCAACATCGAGGGGCAAGTCTGCCAATCTCTGAAGATGTAGTTATATAGTGACCACTTGCCCTAAATGCAATAACATCATAAGAACTCAGCAAGACAAAGTCTGTGAACCCTGCAGTTTGCCTACTCCAGGGTTGCACTAAGATAGACACACCACATTGGCTGGTTTGAAGCTCCCAACAAAGATGGCACTCAACCATACCTGCTGACAGTGACATAGGACATGCATGTGAAATCACCGTAGTAACGATGGGTTGCGTGGGTTGAGATATACTGGTGGTCCAGAGGTGTAATCTTCAAGGAAAGATGGGAGGCTATTTATACCGTTGTGGTTGTGAATTCGGGCAATATCATTATTCACACTGTTCCGCACTGGAGGCTTTGCTGCATATGCTTGCAATTCTTTGTGTAGCCGAACAATTGCAGCAGGAAGCTTGTTTTGCTCTGGTAATGTCCCATTTGGGGATCATAGGAAGTATTTGAGACGTCAAATACAAGGGACACGCAGATTCGGAGACGCCGCTGACCGCAAGCAGCGATGAAAAGGGGAATGCTGAGCTGGTCAAAAATGGTGGGTTAGATAGAGGTATTTCTTTGAAGCATCGTAGAGCAGAATGGGAGTATTGCCAAGAATCCTTTCAAGCGCGAAGTCTACATCAGATGAAGCATGCTTCTTTGATACTGCAGTGGTCCTGCATACTCATGAATGTGTCCGGAAACGTGCATTTTCCACAGACAAAGTGGTGATTGCCCAAAGGCAGTTCCCTCTTGCACTGCCCTGATCCTGACTGGTATAAGTATAAAACTCCATCTACACTATCATACAGATAAGTCGCCTAGCGACAGACTTAGACAACCCTCATCCAAGATGGTGAAGCATTCCCTGGATGATCTACCAATGGAACTCCTCACTTACGTGGTCCTCGAGGTATGCCGTCTATCATTCTATGCAATATCGGCAGAAATACTAAATGAACGCAATCTTGAACAGTTGCCGAAGAGAGACCTGAAAACCGTCTGCCTCCTTTCCAAACGCCTCTGTGCTTTCGCTAAGCCTCTTCTGTGGAACTCTGTAGCCGTTCATCTGGAGGAGGAGTATTTCAATGCAGTTAATACGGAAAAGCTGCGCAGTGCATCCCAGAATCAAAGGGGAAATCTTCTTCTCGGTACAAGAGAGTTCCATGTTGAAACGGAACTTCGCATGAATGCTATGACTGGACGATGCCGTCACCTGAATCAAGGCGATGAGGTTGAAGAGGATAGGAATGAAGTGCTACACGCCGTCTTGGACGGAATGCAGAATGACGTTGGAGATGTTGACTGTTGGGAGCATTCTCCACAACTAGATTTTCGCCGAGTCAACAACGAGGTGATGTCTGTGTTGCTGAAGTGTAAGCCTGGCCAGCTTAAGACATTCAAGTACGCCCAGTTGTTACTGCTACAGGAAAGTATCTGACAGCGCATATACTGATTGATGCCTCGATAGCTGGAATACAGGGCTGTGTGTGCCGCAGCCCATTCTGGGACCGAAGGGCTACCTCCCTCTCAAACAACAGAATCTCGAAACCCTCCGTCTCGTCTCCGACGGCTGGTGCTCGGCTCAGCGCCTTCACTTGGAAGCGTTCATCAAACTGAAGAGTCTATCGTGGACGGGATTGCGCTCCAGAAGGGAAATGGCAGCACTCCGCGACTGTTTCAAAGTCTCATCGCATCAACTGGTCCAGCTTCACCTTGATTTCCTTGAATGGGCACTAATCCGGCCTGATGGCCGTGATTCCATTCAACAGGCGCTCTTAGGCACCACACGCTGCGCGGGAGGATACATGTTCCCAGCACTTAAACACCTTTCCTTGGCTGGATATTCATTTGAGCGCGTGTCAAAGCAATTGGCTACGGCGTTCAACTGGCGCTCCATGCAGTCGCTGAGTATACGTTTCTGCCAAGACTGGGAAGCATTTCTGAAAGACATCCTATCGTTAAAAAAGGAGATCAACATCCGGTCTCTGCAGGTACAATATAGCCCGAAACGCAACCCGGGAGGCGGCGATGGATCTCCTGCAATCGAGTCGTTTCTCAATGCCTTCGAGGGCCTGGAGGAGCTCTTCATCGCTACGAACGATGCAACCAGGACCGACGTGATCTGGGAGGCGATTATCCACCACAAGTCGACTCTGAAGAGTCTTGTCTATCACCAACGATACAGGAATCGGGAGCGGACCATGGGCTTGAATTTCGTCGGCGATCGTGATCTGCATGTGTTGACCTCGCTCCCAAAGGACATCGACAAGGACAGTTCGCTGAACCCCTTGTCTCAGCTTGATTTGGAATTTCTCGGAATATGCTGCACTATAAATAATTTGGTAGGGCTAATCGCGGTTATTCATTTCCATTAGAACAATGTTTGCTGATCCTTTTGTCCAACAGAAACATATCGTCTCCCCCTTCATGAACAAAACCAGCTTGAAAGTTCTCCACGTCCGACTATCCGGCCACGACTTCGGCCCTCTGCTGCGTGTCTGGGACAACCAGCGCGGCACGTCTCCATTTCGACCGCCGCCATCCTATGAAGACCGCGTACGGCTATTCTGGCAATTCGCCGACTGGGTATTCGGGCCGGATGGAATACGGTCCCTGCATATCCTGGCATTCGGTGACTTTTCGTATAATGACTCGTATAAGGTATTTAATATTGTTCTGTGCAGGAATGATGAAGGGCAGGGCACTCGATCAAGAAAGCCGTATCGTGATGTGACGGAGAACGATCATGTTCCGCAGTTACGGCTCAAGAGGTTTTCTCGTGCCTTGCAGGCGTGTCCGAGTGATGTTATTATAATGAATCCGGCTGAGACTGATATGTAGTGAGGGAGAGGTAGGTATACATTGTTGTTACTATGTAAGACAGGCAGAGGAGGATGTCAGTTCTGTCCATCTACGGCCTATCCAGTAAATCCTCCTTGATCAAGTCACTCGCCTTCTCCGCAACAGCGTACACGGTACTACCCAGATGCCCACTAACCTGCAACGGTACGACACTGGCATCACAAACGCGGACATTGCTTGTTCCATAGACCCTAAGCCGACTATTGACCACGCCTCCCAGTTCTCGCGCCATCATCGCAGCGGTCCCCAGGGGGTGCAGACACCCTCCGTCTGATTCCGTCAGCTTCATATCTTCACAGTTGCATGTTCTAATGGGCTGTATGGGAAGCTTACTCGACGACCGCAGCCAATCGGCCCACTGCCCATCCGTTGCATTCAACGGAACTGTGTCATAACCCGGTGTAATCTCGACAGCCACCTCCGCCGCTGGGATGCCGAGGTACAGGGTACAGTCAACTGTACCCTAGGGCTGTAGTGGTCTTGGCGCCAACTAGTAATATTATGTAATCCGGCCTCGGCAACTAGTTACTATTTTTGGACTAGTCCCTAAAACATCATTCTTCTAGATACACGCACAAGAACTAGTTTACTCTCTCATGATGGCTGAACTTGATATTCAACTCCAGATTATATACCTAAATCTATCTAGGTGACTAGTTAATTTATGATTATGACTAATCTAGCAGACACAGCCCTTTTCGGCTGGGGCACACCGGACTGTGCGCACGCAATGTATATATATATATAATATATACATTAAAACCTTCATCTCTGAATGCTGCATCATACAGGACAAGAAAAGAAAATCCCCATCAAGCAAGGAAAATCCTTCAAGCTGCAAATTCCCTATTCCTACTTCCGGATTCTCCTTACATGTACAACCCTACTCGATGGGAGTAGGTGTGCATAAGATGAGATAGAGATATCGGACCTGCGTCCGCTTAGGCAGCGACCTGAGATGCCAAGTAAGCCAAAGCACCGAGGTCCTTAACACCGTCGATGGGAGACAGAACATCTGCCACGAGGATGACAATGGCTCCGACGAGGTGGAAGGCAGGGATGAGGATGTAAGCCAAGAGGGGCAGGACAGCAGCGAGAACGTCACCGAGGAGGAAGACGACGAGGGCAACAGCCTTGAGCAGGAGAGCGACAAGGTGGAGGACTGCACCGCTATCAGCACTTCACTATCTTTGAAGAGGGGAAATAACCAGGGCTAGGGTTCTACATACGACCAAGGACAGGCGAGAAGAGGATAGCGACAATGGAGACAAGAGCCTGGAAGATGGCAAGGACGTCGTTGACAAGATCGGCCGAGATCACGCCAACAAGGCTGATGGTCTTGTTCACCTTGAATCTTTCGACGTAGGCGTTCAAGAGGTTGGTCAGGTCGGTGGTCACCTCGGTGGCAACCGCGGTAGCGTTCTCAGCCTTGAGATCCAAGGCCTCTGTTAAACAGAGGTCAGTCACCGTGTCATGCGTGTCTATGCACACATCGATGAAGGGTGGCAAGGGAAAGGAAACCTACGGAGCTTCTCGGCAGAGGTGGTAGCATGGACCTTGATGTCGCTGACGAGACCGACAAGGGAGATGGAGCCTCCAATGCTGACAGAAGAGCCACTGGCGACATCAGTCCTGGCGTTCACGGTGGGGGCAGCAAAGACGCCGGAGACGAGACTGGAGAGGCCGGCCAGGGCGACGGTGGTAAACAGAGAGAACTTCTTTGTGGACGAGCTCTAATTGGAATGGCTAAATGAATGTAGTCAGGGTAGGGTTAGAGTCAGAACGAGTGACTTTGGTCAATGGATGACTGTAATGAGTGACTGGTATAGAGAACGACTGGGTTACGAAGGGTCAGACCGGAAAACAAGAAGAAGAGGAGGGAAAGGGGCGATTCAAGGTGCATTATATATGTGGAATTCTACAAGGATAATAATAATAGCAACAATAGCAACAATAGCAATAATAGCACGCCGGGCTGCTTCCTGGTTCCTGGTTTCCCGTGGCCCCGTTATCTGCATACAACCCACTGTATAGCTCCAAATAGATGGCGTTCATTGCAAACGTTCTAAGGTCCGTACTTTATTGTGTTTACCTTCGTCACATAATAGTGAATCGTCGCTGAATTGCCTGACTCCTGGAACAGCCACTACAGCCCTATCCCCTTTGCAGCAGGGGACTTGGCCCCCATATGATTGTCTGTTCAGCTACTGATGGCACTGCCCTAATAATGCGCATTTCCCTGTAGTTCACACGGTGCAGGGCACGCCGAGGTCATTATAAACCTGACGTATAGTCATCGTATGCGAGTCTCCCGTGTGGACTGAAGCCCATCCGGCCGGCCGACATACCGGATTCGAATTCTTTACGTGATAGCGTCTCCACCCGTTCAAGGTCCAATTTTTAATCAATTCAAATTGCTACTATTTGTCTACGAGAAATGGACCGACGAGACGCATGGCGTATGGCGGACTGCGGACTTCTCCGTTCGCCATCACCTGACGGCTCGGCGTGATATGTGCTTATGCTTATGCACCCTGCTACCGCTACCACATGGCGGTTAAAAAGCCGTGGGTATACAGCGCAGAGTGGACAGTATACTAAGCGGCCCGCGTCCATGCAGATTATATTAAGGGGCCACTGACAGAAACCAGAAATTCAGCACGCGATGGTCAATTGACCGTAATGCAAATTGGAGGTGGTCCTAGCTACCGGCTGCTGCAATCATCCATGATGTTTACTCTGCTTACTCTATAAGTCCAGGATCCGAAATCCGAACATGAATCTGACGGTCTGATCGAACGGGCCGCGGAAGGTGCCACACTGCCCCTCTTTCTATCGGATTCTGAGTCCGCAGTGGAGGTGGAGGGCAAATATACCCATTCACACCACTTCCTACGTATGGCAGTGGGCATATACCTGTTCCGGAATCTTTGCCACTCAATAGTTTCCACTCCGTAGGATGCCGACCTGCACAAAATCGCTCTGCCATTTCGCATGATCAGGTGTCTCTGAAAAAGACGCAGAACCCGTCAAAACTTCGCAACATCCCATGCCGGCTGGTCCTGGCAGAAGGCACTGCGTCCGCGTTTCACAAACTCCCCGTAGCCTTTCTTGCCCACGATGCCCCCATTGTCGCGGTCCCAGACGATCTCTCCCCGAACCAGCGTGTACCGCGGCCACTGCGTTACCATCCTTCCTTCGAACGGGGTATAGTCCGCACTATGGTGCAGGGAGGCGTTGGTGATGGGAAACGGCTCGAGAGAACGTGTCGGATACCAGATCGTCAGGTCGGCATCCGACACGCCTGGCATAAGGGCGCCCTTTTGCGGGTAAATGCCGTATAACTTGGCAGGGTTTGTGCTCGTTACCTCGACGAACTTTGTCGGGGGAAGACGATCGGCGCTCAGAACCGTCGCGAGGCGTGTCTCCACGCCCGGACAGCCGTTGGGGATGTATCGAAAGCGGCCCAGGGGCGCATCATCCGTGATAGCTGACTTCTTCCCAGTGACGGCATCGTCGTATAGGAATGGACAATGGTCAGATGAGAGGATGGTGAACGTCCCGTTCAGCAGTCCCGTCCAGATGCCCTCTAGATCCTCCTCCCCATCGCGCGGCGGGGGTGAGCAGACGCATTTTGCGCCCTCGAACCCGGGAAGATCGAGATCCTTCCGCGTCAGGAACAGGTACTGCGGACAGGTCTCGGCGTATATCGGGAGGCCCTTGGTCTGCGCATTGCGGATCGTGGCAGCTGCTAACGGGGAGGAAACGTGGACGATGAGAATCGGCGTTTCAATCAGCTGGCTTAGTGTAATGGCTCTGTTCGTCGCCTCGCCTTCCAGCATCTGCGGTCTGGAAGTTACATGGTATTTGGGCGCTAGGAGCATGCGACTTTCAAGTTGTTCCGTCATCCAGGTCAACATGTCCCCGTTCTCGGCGTGGATCATGGTAGTCACGCCATCCGTGCGTGCCTGCAGCAAGACATCAAGAATCTGGTTATCCCGTAACTGAAGCGCCTCGTATGTCATGTAGACCTTGACGGAGGAGACGCCGCGTTCACGGAGGATGGCAAACTCGTCGAGTGCCTGCCGGGTGGGATTCGACACGATAAGATGAAATGAGTAGTCACAGTATGCACTGCCAGATGCCTTCTCCTCGGCTTCCTCTAACGCACCCAACAGGGATGGGTTTGAACGATCCTGTGGCGCGAAAGTAATAATGGTCGTTGTGCCCCCGGCAATGGCAGACTGGGTTCCTACACACGGTCTTAGAAGGCATTCGGCATCGGAGAAAAAGTCGGAGTAACCAACCGCTGCTATAATCGTCTACCGACTTGCCTTTGCCGAAAAGCTGAGGTTCAGATAGGTGGACATGAGCATCAACTCCCCCTGGCTAGTTGCAGCATGTCAGAAGAGATTACCTAGAGCCGAGAGCCGCCTAGAATTCAGGGGACCACATTACCATGACATATGCCCCTTCTGCATCAATGACCCTGGCTGCTGATGTGCTTGCTAGAGAACGAGCGGGGGCCAGTAGAGCAATCTTCCCATCCTTGATGCCAATGTCATAGCGACCGATGTCAGCAGCTGTCGTGACTGTGCCATCCAGCACAATGCAGTCAAAGAGCCAGTCAGTCATGTCTAGTCCAGAGATGGCAGGGCGCGTTCAAAAACAGTCTTCTTCATGCAGCTGGAGCAGATACTTCAGATCTATCTCATATTCCGCACAGTTTCTTGAATTAAATGCCGGGGAAGACCGGCGCATATCTAGGGACATGCATGTTATCTTATCTCGTTCATCTTTTTATCTAAGTCTATCTCCCTTATCTTGTCTATTTTTTTTTTTTTTTTTTTTTTTTTTTTTCAATGCCGTTGGCCGTCAGCCGATGAGACGATACATGCTGTCGTACATCCTCGGATGTTCTTCTGCTGGTAGGTCTGCAGGTGCCCTGCCCTATGCCCTATGCCCTATCTTGATTGTTGAATAGGAATAACAGCACGATCCAAGAAGCGCAACAATTCTAACTTCTAATAAGAAGAGGATGACGCTCTCCGACAGCGCGATGGTGTGATTAAATCTTATCGCTTCAGATCCCGAGAAACCGCCGGGCTCTACTGGCGGAATACTTTATTAAAGGCTCGCGTCGGCCATTGAACTCTCCCAGTATCGTATCTGGATTGTCCCTGCAACTCTAAACATCAATTGACAAGGCAATGCCGGCTATCAAGTCTGTCGCCATCATCGGCGCGGGGCCCGCGGGCGCCATTGCCGTCGATGCCTTCGCGCAGGAGAAATCTTTCGACGTCATTCGCGTTTTTGAGCGCCGTGAAAAAGCGGGAGGATGCTGGTATGCAGCGGATTCGATTTGACACCTAGTCCAATACCTCGAGTCACGTCGCTAAGCAGGATGCTAGGGTGTACGACGAGGAAGCCCCCCCGCGACTGTCTGATTTCGACGACTTGTCCTCTCGCAAAGCCGGAGGACCAATTGAGATCCCGGAGAACCTCCCTCGGTATGTGCCGCGGTCATCCAAGCAGCGGTTCACGGATACCGCAACGTACGCAGCCATGGAGACGAACGTCGATGCCTCCGTCATGGAGTATTCCCAGGAACGCATTCCAGACATTAGATCGGAGTGGTCGGTCAATCTGCATGGCCCCGATACCCCGTTTCGGCACAATACGGTTATCAGGCAGTACATAGAGGACTTGCTCAATCGCAATGGCTACCAGGATTTAGTCGAGTATAGCACCACAGTCGAGAAGGCTGTCAAGGATCCTAAGTCGGGGAAATGGGTGCTCACACTCCGTCGGGCTGGGAAGACGGGCACGTATGATTACTGGTGGACGGAGCAGTTTGACGGGCTTGTCGTTGCCTCGGGGCATTACAGCGTCCCGTATGTCCCTGATATTAAGGGTCTGAAGGAATTCGCAGAAGCATACCCGGGTAGTGTTGAGCATACCAAGGGGTTCAGGAATCCTGAAAAGTATCGAGGAAAGGTAATGCTAAACAGTCACACAAAGACGCATGCCATGTCCTATTAACAGATACAACAGAAAGTTATCACTGTCGGCGCGTCAGTCTCCGCCGCCGACACAACAGTCTCCCTGCTCGACATCGCCCAAACACCCATCCATTCCGTGGTCCGGGGCAAATACAACCCTTACTTCGGGGATGAAGCGTTCAAGAACCCGAAAATCCAACGACACCCCCCTATCTCGCACATCTCCAGTGAAAACGGCGACAGAACAGTCTTCTTCGAGGACGGCACATCCGTCTCCAACGTCGACAACATCATCTTCGGCACGGGGTTCACATGGAGCCTCCCTTTCCTCCCCGATATCCCTACAAGAAACAACCGCGTTCCAGATATCTACCTTCACATCTTCCACCAGCGGGATCCGACCCTCTCATTCGTTGGAGCTGTACGCACCCAACCCCCTTCACGATGTATAAAGATATGGGTTATGCTGACAGAAAACCAGGTCGGCGCCGGCCTAACCTTCAAAGTCTTCGAGTGGCAAGCCGTTCTCGCCGCCCGCGTGTTTGCTGGAAAAGCACACCTCCCCCCGGTCTCTGAGCAGCGGAAATGGGAACAGGACCGCATCGCTGCCAAGGGGGATACGCCCGCCTTCTCGGTTATCAACCCGGATTTCGAAGAGTACTTCGAGACGGTGCGGCTGATCGCTGGGAATCCGCGTGAGGGAGAAACGGGGCGGGTACTGCCGCCGTTTGATAGGCGCTGGGTCGAGGCTTTTAATGAAGGGCATCAGAGACGGATTCGGATGTGGAAGAAGAAAAATGAGGATGCGAGGAGGGAGCTTGAGAAGGGGGAGAGAGAGGCGAAGCTGTAGTGATGAATAGAGCGATGTATATAACTCTTTCATCGTACAATTGGGCAACTCCTGCGCTTGGCCCTATGTATGCTCTGTTAGCAGAATGCTAATACCAGAAGCCACGATGACTCTGAAACAGCCAGGTCTAGATAATCCCAATTTCCGAGAAGAACAAGATCAACTTCCATCACGCAATCAAACCCGCTTCTGTAACCATTCTGCTGGTACAGTTTCGCTTCGCGGAGACTGCTAAAAGCCTTCAGAGCAGCTTACAAGGGACCGAATAACACTCTATATGGTTTAAGCACGTCAGATTGTCATATCCCGCATACGAAAGCAAATCCCGGTGTCTCGTATATGAGGAAATTATAGCCGTTGCTCGTTAGTAGAATTATCTATTTAGGGTTTATTTGCTATGTACCATATGGAATATTCTTAAGAACTTCGTCTATGTTCAATTCGAGTTCCTCCATCCCTAATAGATAAAAAAGGAAAAGACTCAGAGTACAGTCCAACGATGGGATACCCAGAAAGGACGCACACGACGCATTACAGAATGCATCCTCTCTCGAAATCAGCGACGATCAATCCTCTTGGGATCCTAAAGTGGAAAGAAAGGCACGCAGGAAGTGAGTCTTCAGTCTCCCTGGATTAATCCTCCTAGGGCTCTTGTTAGATAATAGCAAAGACAGAGCTAACTCTCGCAGAATCGACATGTCCGTCCTCCCACTCCTCTTCCTCGGCCTCAGTGTTCCAACTAGATCGGATGAACCTCGCAAGTGCATTAACAGGGGGCTTTATGAAGGCCATACATGTCAACCAGAGCACGATCAACGTGGGGAATCAGCTCATGTTCCTGGGTATTGTTGTGTTGGAGATTCCGTCGAATATGCTGTTGCAGCGGGTTGGTGTCTCTACTTCCTCCTAAGATCATCCCCTATTCGACATTAAAAGGTTAACCGGTGCTTATATCTTATAGATAGGTCTACGCAAATGGATCGCAGCGCAGGTCTTCATATTCGGCGTCATCGCCATCCTCCAAGGTCTCATTAAAAACAGGGCCGGATTCCTAGCAACACGCATGTTCCTTGGCCTTGCTGAGGCGGGATATAGTCCCGCCTCCATATACACCTTGTCTACATAGTACACGAAACGGGAGCTGGCCAGAAGGGTTGCCGTGCTGTTCTTTGGGATGTTTGGGGGCAATGCGATCTCTCCGCTTCTGGGGGCTGGTATACTACGGCTTGACGGGAAGAGGGGATTGTCGGCTTCACGCGCGTTCAAGCAAACGCCCTCGCGGCCATCGTCTTTTTCTTTGCATGGGTCAGCGATGGGACGAATAGACGTGGGTTCACCGTCATGGCTGCTATTGCCAGCTACCTTATTGTCCTGATCGTCGCGCGAACGGTGCATCCCCATGCCGGGAAATGGAGTCGGTTTGGGCTCTGGACGGCTGTCAATGGGCTGGCGGTTGGGTATCATCCTATTCATAGTACATGGGTGCAGCTGAATTGCACCGATCCGAGAGAACGGAGCATTGCCATTGCGTAAGGATTGTTATACCCGCTGGCTCAATCATATCTTGGCCGTCACTAACAGCGTGCACTGCCTCTCAAAGAAGAGTGATCACCGTATGGAGTAATGCCCCATTGGGATCAGCACCACTAGACTACCTCAGGAACCTGACCGGAGCAACTCTATGCTTCTTCCACGGCACATTAGAAAGTATCACCAGCCGGAATCTCCGAGGCTCCGAAAAGCTCAGATCATCGGCTATGCACTGTCATGCAGCCGTGACTGTGCATCTCCGCGTTGATCTCCGCTGATCTCCGCCAGTCTAATGCCTGGGAATCTCTGCAACCCAGCAAGCGCCTATTGGAGTTGGGATGTTGGAATTCTCAGGATGGTTCCTGAATCCGAAGGCAAAGTAACTCTAACCAAATGTCCACCGGTCGTACGAGAGGGTGGAGATACCGGCGTTAACGGACATACGTACTGGTTTCTATTTCAGGGGACTGTCTTGCTCTAATAGAGATATATATATATAGCTGCCTGGTTCTGAGCTATCAAAGCACCACTATATCTAGGAATATCAGTTCCTTGCGAGCCTCAATTTCATTAACCCAACTCACCTAACCAATTGAACAACCATGCCCCCCATAAAAAATAACAGCGTCCTCGTCATCGGAGGCTCCTCCGGCATTGGCTTCGCAGTCGCCAAACTCGCAGCCCAAGAAGGCGCCCGCGTCTTCATTGCTTCGTCGAACCCAGACCGCGTTGCAAACGCTGTCTCCCGCCTCAAAGAAGCAGTACCCGATGCCCCTTACATAGCCGGATATACCTGCGACATAGGCGGCGACGACGCAGAAGCCAACCTCCACAATCTCTTCAAGGAGGTCACGGCAGCCGGCGGCAGTCTGCTAGATCACATCGCCTACACGGCAGCAAAACTGGACCTGAAGCCCGTCTCGGAGGTCACGGTGCCTTATCTCCGACAGAGCCTGCAATTCGCACACGTCGTCCCATTGCTGCTTTCAAAACTGGCTCCTTCATTCATGAAAGAGAAATACACCTCCTCCATGACGTTCACGAGTGGAATGATTGGTGAGAAACCCGTGAAGGGGTATACGGTGATGTGTGGCGGCGCCGCTGGATTAGCTGGGCTCACGCGTGCTTTGGCGGTCGATTTGGCTCCGATTCGTGTCAACCTGGTCAGTCCAGGGTTGACGATTACGGAGCTGATGGGGAGTGAAGAGCGGAGGGCGCAGGTTGCAGAGATGGCGTCGAAGACGGCGTTGTTGGGGAAGCCTGGGATGCCGGAGGAGGTGGCAGAGGCGTATGTTTATTTGATGAAGGATTCGAATAATACGGGGACTAATGTGAATACGAGCGGAGGGGCTTTGCTTCAGTAGTTATTTCTATGACACGTTACATTTGGCTTTTTGAGCTGGACTTCCTGATTATTCTTCAAGTGAATGGCTGGAGGAAGTGAATCGTCAGGCAAATAGGCATCAACCTTCTATTCTTCCAGGCCTCTCACGAACACCTCCCACCTATGCACGCCTGAGCTAAAAAGATGCCATGGCCATAGTAACCTGAAATTGGCACAGTAACCTTAAATATGGTACCTGGTCAGTCCCCCAGAATCCGACAAGCAGCATGCGACTCTTATCGGCGCTCGAGGCCCCATTGCGCATCGTACAGACCATCGCAGGGGGCAAGATGAAAATGCTCAGAAACACTGTGAGTATCGCCTGGAAAGTCGCTATATTCCTAGAGCCTACAAAGAAGAAGATGCTATAAGAGGGGAAAATAGATATCTGGTCCATTCTATCAAGGCTCCGTGTTACTCACCCCTGCTCAGCCCCCGCTCAGGGCGTGCTCAGATCTATTCAGTGAGCAGGGGGTGAGCACCAAGACGGAAAGGGAAAGCCTTCAACGCATCTAGAATTCCAAGATATATGGATAAATATAGTAATGCCTGCGGCAAACGTCTGCATCCAGTAATTCCCGCCGCACCCTCCGCGGACATCGCCGCGGACATCAAACTATAGAAAAAGACATCCACGACCCACGATGAACCATCAATCGGCAGACAACGTCACAGTCCATTGCAACCAGAAAAACATGTCCGGCACAAGAAAGGTATGTCTTTCCGCAGATTACGCCTAGCATACCATATCTAACCAACCCAGGCAATCATCATCGGAGGCGGTCCAGCCGGCATCTCAGCAGCGCTGCGACTCCAGCAAACCACGAACATCAAATGCACCGTCTACGAACTGCGCCCGGAACCAACTACACTAGGAGGTGCCATCGGAATCATGCCAAACGGACTGCGCCTACTCCACCGCCTCGGTGTTTACGATGATCTCCGCGTACGCGGCAACAGTTGCAGCACGATGACCGTTCGTTCGCTTCAGGGTAGCATTCTGGCAAAGAAAGAGGATTACGTTAGCCAGGCGCGCTCGGAGACTGGATTTGGATATATGCGGATCAAGCGGACTGATCTGATGGACGTCCTCTTGGATGCGGCGCAGAAGGCGAAGATCCCGATCTATTTCAATAAGTGCCTTACTGCCATCGCGGACGAGAAGAAAGAGGTAAAGGTGATGTTCTCCGATGGTACCTCCGACACGGCGGATCTCCTGCTTGGATGTGATGGTATCCATTCTTCCGTGCGGCGACTCTATGTCGATCCGGGTCAGGTCCCCGAGTACTCTGGTTTCTCGGGAACCGGCTCGATCATACCCATATCGGGATTGCCGTCCAGCGCGTCGGCTCTGTTTACTGGGCTCTGCGCCACATTGACGGAAGAAGGAATGTTCATTTTGATGCCCTGCAACGCTGCCAACGATGAGTTGTTCTGGGGTTTTACTCGCGAAGTCCCGTTGCCGGAATCAGGAGATAGTCGTGATGGGTGGGAAGAGCATCACAACAAAGTGATCGAAAGCTTCAAGTCTAATTTCCATGAGATTCTGAAAAATGCAGGCGGCGAATGGGGCGACATGCTGAAACAGGTCGTCGATAACACCACTGTTATGAAATTCTATCCCGTGTACAGAATGCCTCTTGGAGGGACCTGGTCCAGGGGCCGGTGTTTGCTTCTTGGAGATGCAGCACATGCTATGCAGCCTCATGCCGGTCAGGGAGTGTCGATGGCACTTGAGGACGTGCATTTGCTCTCTAGACTACTGGAAGATCCTGCTCGGCAGCTCAGCGAGGCGTTTGAGAGATTTGACCAGATCAGGAGACCCCGCGTTAACGAGCTCTTTGAGATTTCTTCGCGCAATGCCGGGGTGAGAAGGAAGACTGGCCCGTGGCAACTATGGCTGAAGGAGGTCTTACTGAAGATGCATTATTGGGCTTCCTGGATTGTCGGGCAACATAATTTGGGAGTTGAGCAGAAAGATATGATTTATGATATTGACGAAGAGGTGCTGTGAGTTTCTGTGATGCAGGGAATATAGCATTCCTGTTAAGTACATTAATAGTTCAGGAAGAATCATCAAGTTTCTTTTTGATCGGGTATTTTGAAACTTGAGTTACACGTTTGACCCTGCAGCTAGGAGACACTCGGGTCAAAGCAAAAATCCATATTATCTAATAATGAATTCCACTGCGGTGCGCCCAATTCCGGTGCGGCAGCTAGAAAATCTGACCAAAGTTGAGCCACGTTTTCGTCTCCAACTTTCTCGGTACTCATCAAGCTGTAGCCCTGTAGCCATTCGTCAGCTGAGACTGGAATACTAGCCATTGAAGTGATTGGATCCCTGGAATTTCCTGAACTTTGACCGTTCGCCACTGTTTCCTCAGACGCAGCGTATGAGACATTGGTCCTCTGCGAATGCTGTCGATGAAGCGTTGACATGAGCGTTTGCATATTCCTCTGGATAACTTCCACAAGGCCACTAGATTCCTCCTTCGATTTCTCAAGAGTCCGGTAAGCAGCTAGGACCTTAGCCTTCCGGGCTTCAGCGTCCGGCGAGTTCGGGTTGAAAGAGACGTCCGTCGCCAGAATAAGCGCTGCCAGGAAAGAGTGCTGCGTGACCGTCCACGAACGTGTCGGTTTCACTGCGGTTTCTGCATCATCCATCAACCTTCGTAATTCCAGTACTGTCTGAGCGGACTGGACACATATTCTGTGGGAGTAGGCGTATTTTTGGTTCGTCATGCCTTCCAGGTGATAAGGCATGTGGAGTCGACAAATACGAGTATGAACGCTGAAGTTAATGCCGATTCGTTGCCAGATGATATTGGGACGCTCGCTGCATATAGCGTAGCTTTTCCGAATACTATTTCGATCAAGTCGGAGGAAGACTGGAAGGTCATCGAGGTAGTTCTGGAACTTCTCATCTAGGGCCAGTATGACGTGGTATTCCGGTTGTGATTCCAGTAAGATAGAGGGCATGGCGTCAACGACTTCGCGGCAGATTTCGGACAGCTTCACGCGTTCTATAAACGCGGACATGGTTGTGGGAGTTGACAGGGGCAAGCTATGTACCTCTGTGGGAGTAATAAACTCGTCGTCGACATTGCTCGGATAGTCCACATTCATATGTTTTGGTTGATGTATGTATGCTCCTTCTTGAGGGCCCCCCGAGAATGCATGTAGCCTGTGACTCTTAGCAAGGCTGTTGAAATACCGGAAATGGAATGTGAGTAGAATTACCAGTCGAAGGCCACCATGTTCCACCAGACTCTTCTCTGTACTTCGATTTCAATCAAATTGCATCCCTTATGCTTTCTTTCTTCACGGCTCTTTGCAGTGTCCAGACGGTGTATTTGCATGGCACGCGCCATCAAAAGACAGCGCATCCTGATTAAATGAATTTTGAGCGGAAAGCCGTCGCAATTGGTTATCACATGGGCCAGGGTCGATATGGCTGCGAGAGCGGTTGTGGACGAAGGAAGTGAGTGATAGCTATCCAAAATAGACGTGGCTAGATGGGTGTACGCTTTAAAAGCCGCCTGGGCCTCTGCTTGTGTAGTGCTCAGCTTCTCTAAAAGCTGGGCATTCCAGGCAAAGGCCGAGCCAGCAAATATGCTAAAAAGCAAAAGTAACTGGGCGACATCTGGCTCTCCTCTTGCAAGCATACTTTCATAAGCTTGTTCCACCAGGTCTCGGGCGGATGGTATATGAAGGACCCCGAAAGTCTGGTGCAAAGTAAGAGCGAAGTGGTTGAAAAGCTCCCTGGCTTGCCCTACGGGGGGAAGTTGGCTGGCTAGATATCTCAGGTCTAGGGAAGCATCGTCTGGCGAGGGTGATAGTATATGCAAGCCAAATGGAGTGAAATCACTAGGAGAAAATCCTTGACCCTGTAAGAGGAGATATTATCAGAAAGATCTATAGTCAAGGGTTACCGGCAGGATATCCACATGTAAATGAGAACACGTACCACACGTGCGATAGTCTTTTCTATGCCGAATCGTGGGGATGCTTGACTCGGCCTGTTGAAGACAGCTTGCTCCAGATTATTGAGTCTATTCAATACCTCCTCTGCATTTCTTTCCGTTAAGCATCAGCGAATGTCGTTCCGTAGCACAAGTGAACTAGGGAACAAAGAATATTCACAGTACAGCTCCTGGAGGCGTTGACAGAGTTGTAGACTTGCCGCTCGAACTAACGGTCCTTGCTGGTGAAGCCCTGGGACGTTCACAGAGCCCGTATTCGCATTGAATCTTCCTCAAGTTGCAGTTTGAGCACGGCTGGTTGCGGTCACACCGACGCTTCTTCTCACGACAAGGCCGACAGGACAGGGGAGGCCGACCCCAACGATGCACCATCATGTCTGGAATCCCTCAACTATCTCGTTTCATGCTTCTTTATCTGTGAGGAGGATGCCATCCGCATACCTTGGTAGGAGTATCGAAAGCCAAAAAGGAAAGGGGGAGATGGAATGAGAACGATGATGAGCGGGGAAGTCAGCGGCACATTTACCTAATAAGGTTAGTTCATCCGCGGAGAGTCGGAGAATCTGCGCTTAATTGTTGCATGGCCCTAATTGCCTAATTGGGAGACTCAATGGTAGGTAGATTGATACATTTTTAACACATGAAAATGCAGGAAGCCAAATATCGGATAGGCTGTGGTGGAGAATTTGATTCGACGAATGTGGATATCTATTTTTTACCATTCACTATGCCGGATATTCACTCTCTTTGACATTGATACATCCATGCATTTCCATCGCTATCTTCACAGCATTCAAATGTGCAAGAAAGGAGAGTTGGAGCAAACAACGGAGGTTACCTAGAAGACAGCTTATAACTTCTCTCCTCCTTCCAAACTCTTCGGCCTTTCCTTTCCTAAAAACGCCCTACAAGATATGGACATTCCCGCCACGCCAGAGATCAACTTGAGCAGAAAACACTGACCAGGCTGCTGCTATTGAATAAAAATATCCCTTCTGTTGAAATTATTACATTTTACTTGTTCGATTTATCTCCACAAGTTCCTGGGGTTATGGCTACACTACGGCATACGCCGTCTTCTCACGAGTCAACTCAATCTGCCCGGATAAAACCCAACTCACTCTCTATCTATACTGTATATTGAGAAAGTACTGGGACCTCGCGGAGATTCAGGTGCCTGTTGACGTCTTTGGTGCCATTGCAGCACTGCATGATCGCTACTGAGGATTAGTTCATTCTCATTTCAAGTGTGCCTGCTCTAACTGCACGTGGCACGGTCATCAAAGAGAATTAGCAAGCCAATAGACCTCAGGGGCAAAATATCCCGAGATCAAATTGTCCCGAATAATGCATGAGGATTTCGGTGGACCCAGTGCGACGTCAGGGTTAGGAGAGAAGCAAACAGGTAAGTATATGACATACATATAACAGTGGCCGCGAGTCTTCGGCTAATTTGGATAGCTTTTTCTTTCCTTCACGATGGATGCGGGCGCAGCGTAAAAAGAGCCTCATCTCGTCGGTGTAAATTGACTGTTAAAGCCACAAACCATCCGTGCAAGTGGCCGGTCAGCCACTGCTGCCTACTGGAATTCTCATTCCTCAGATGCTTGGCCGGCGAAGTGCAGAAGAACACACGAGCTCAATTCATACTTTCTTCTAGCAGTTTATTTTTCATGTCTTCACCTCTGTCTGTCTCGTACCGTTTCTTCGTTGGTGACGGTCCTCTGCCCTTGAACAAACCACCTGGATCTAACAAATATGGCATCTGTACTCAAACGACCTGTCTCCCCGTGTTGGTTGTCACACCTTCAGCCAAGGCACAGTAAGAACGGCATAACCATATTGTCACGGGCATCTGACTTCTGTGGCCATGGAGGTGATGATTATCCTGGTCTACGGTATTCACTCGAATACAGAACTCCTCGCCTTGCCTGAATCTGAATCGGCGATAAAATATCAGACAAGCAAGCCAAGTGATATGACTCTGGTTTTATTTGCTCCCACTCTGGGGCGGAACTCAGAGAAGCCTTCCCCAGACCCTTCGAACGGAGAGCTTAGGTTGAACCAGCGCAATATTGTCCATTGCGATGTACGCGGAGGAAGACTCGTTGGGGTTACTTCTTCAACTACTGGGCTTGGGCTTCCAGATTATCTGGTTCTTCCTGGGGCTAATTCGAATTGATTCGAATTTCTGCAGAGTACTTGAGGGTGAGGTTCTACGATAATGAGTTTAATGGTGAGGGTTTCTCTGGACACAAGCTGTGATTCTTCAGATTTTATCTACGCCGCACTCGTGGCTCATTGACATTGTTTGTATAAAACGAGGGCCTGTGAATTTCCCCTTCAAGTTAGTTTTGCCCCTTCAGGTTTAGCGGTCGTGGCGGTCTGGTAATGATATGGAAAAGGTCACGTGGTATGGCGGCTTGGCTAATGGAGGTGTATTGTTGGTTGGTCACTAGCTAGATAGGCCTACGTGGTGAAAAGGGTCAGCGAGGGCGGACCTATGCGGCAGAATCCCACGTGATCCAACATTGGCTCCCTCTCTAACCCATGAGAATCCGGGCCCCTGATTATATGTAGAGAAAGAGAGAGAGAGAGAGAGAGAGAGAGAGACAAGATCTGAATGGTATCCGTCCCTTAGTAGGCTACGTACGTGTAGTCGATACAGCTTCATTCTGCCCTTCTTCCCTGAGTTACATGCATATTCCACAACAGGTAATAATGCTTGTTGACTTAGAAGTCAAGAATACCACTCTACCAGCTCCCTGCGCGGCACCGCCAGGACCCTGTGATATAAGAATCTTGGGTTTTTTTCTGACCTGCAACCCATCTAGGTGCATGCAGTGGCCAGTGGGAAAACTCGCTGACGTTCTCTGATTCAATGAGCATTTCCAATTCAGCACGTACCCCTAGGGACAGTTGGGCTTATCAGAAATTCGGCATCCCTTGTATCAATACACTCCAAAATGCAAAGCCCGGGGACAGGTCTCTGTTCCAGATGCGAAGCGGTTGAGCTTGCTCTATATTTCCAAGAGGAACGGCACGTTATGCGACAGCCGTCAGGATTTGTTGGACCTTCTCGGGATGCAACAATGCTATGCTCTCTGACAGACCTTCACGCAACATCCGGTACCTGTGCTCTCTGTAAATTGGTAATGGAGGCCTTTCTGAGGAGGTGGGGTCCGGACCAGTGGTCGACTGCAGACGAGTATATCGAGTGGGCTGAGAGCGCGCCAGGTCTAGATGCGAAACCTCAAATCTACCTCTTCAGCTACCTCTTTGCAGATGACCGATACGAAGGAGCTAAGATGCTGCCAAAGGCGGCACTGAACCGACCAGCTCTTCGTTTAGGTATCGCACTGAGAGGACCGTCAGGCGAAAATAGACCATACCTTGACCACGCGGGAGACATTCAACTACTGTCGACCAACTCGCTTATTCATGGGCCTAGGGCAATCTTTCATGGAAGAATCGTTGATCCTGATCGCACAAACGTTCAGCTTGCCAGGGAATGGATTGATGAATGTGAGCAAGGCCACGGAGACCTTTGTGAGACGGCAGGTGGCAGAGACGACTTAGCCTACGCCAGACTGGCACCCCGGAACCTTCGCGTGATCGATGTTAACTCCATGTGCCTCGTCTTTCTCCCTGCGGAGGCCAGGTACGCTGCGCTGAGCTATTGCTGGGCTCAATCAACTCGCCACTTTACTACGACGATGTCAAATGTGGCACGTCTTCAAGCCTGCGGCGGCATTTCAAGTGTATGGGATGAGCTTCCAGGTACAATCCAGGACGCAATCGAATTTGTCCGAGAAATTGGCCGAGAGTTCCTATGGGTCGACGCCCTGTGCATGGTCCAAGACGATGACAAGGACAAAGAAGAGCAGGTATTACAGATGGATCGGGTATACGACAACGCGCTTTTGACAATCATATCGGCCCCTCCAAGCGCAGAAAGGCCTTCACAATACGATGGTCTGCCTGGGTACCGTCTGAACCGCCAGCCATTTCAAGCAACGGCCAGCATACAAGGTCTCGAGCTTTGCACTACGCAGCTTGATGTTGAGCAAGCAACACTTACGAGCCCTTGGAACACACGAGCTTGGACTTTTCAGGAGCATCTGCTCTCCAGAAGACGGTTGTTCTTCACCAACGTACAGCTCTACTTCCAATGTCCGTGCGGAGTCTTCTGTGAGGACGTCGTCGGCGAGGGAAAATCTCCTTCCGCATTTATATATCCTGGAACCAGCCTTTGGAATAGCAGCGGAATTCACAATGATGTATCAGAAGGCCAAAAGGGCAACGCCCTGGGGCTCTCTCGAAGCATGTTTTCGAATCCTTCGGCGGCTTTTAACTACTACGCTCACATAGTGGAACTATATACAGGGAGAGAAATGTCAGATCAAGGAGATGCGCTAGCGGCGCTAGAAGGAGTGATATCTATTCTGAGAGCCACTATGAACACCGAGTTCATTCATGGCCTTCCGGAGACCTTACTGGACGAGGCCCTTCTCTGGCACCTGCGGGAACCCCACCGGCGACGAACGGCACTGCTGACTGCGACTCGTGGCGTGGGCTTTCCGTCGTGGTCATGGGCTGGATGGGACGCTTTGGCAGATTATCGGGCACAGTTCTCCGGATACATTCGACGCGAAGTTGAGTGGTACCTTGTTAATAAAGACGGCACCGCATTCAGTCTGTCACCTCCCAATGGCTCGGAACCGCCGAAGCCGTACGATCCATCGAGCAGAGAAGATATTCGTCCAATAGGTCGTCCGCCAGCGACGTTTTTGAACGCCTTGCGACCGCGAGAAGAGCTGACAGCGCAAGATTCAAGATCTTGCTCCCTGTCCTGCTGGACAAGCATTGCGACCTTCCAGTTCCTGGGCGACACCCTCGATCTCGGCGAGGGCGACATAGACTGGAAATACCACAAAGCCTTTATTATATCTGACCAGAACTCGCAGCCTGTGGGGACCATATTCCTCGAAAATTCTTGGGAGAACATGATCAAGCAGAATCGGCATCAGAGGTTTGAATTCATGCTTCTATCCCGGTCCAGCACGGTAGATGACATGGTTGTCCTGGATGACATGTTTCCTATGAAGGAGTGGTGTTTTGTCAATGTCATGCTGATTCAGAGGGATGCTGATAAGGCAGAGAGGCTTGGGGTGGGTGTCGTGCATGAGTTGGCTTGGATAACTGCGGCGCCGGAGTCAGCACTACTGCATTTGCGGTAGCTACAGTGAGGTTTCAAGGGTTTTTAAAATGCAAAAATACGCCAAAAAACGCCAAAAAAACGCCTTTCATTCAGTACGAAATTGCGCTATTTGACCTCTCAGCCTAGTATTTGGTATACCAACCATCTGCAGATAGTATCGCCTGAGCACGATGTGGCATAGTGTGTGATAAATTCTGCAGAGCCCTCTCATCTATAGCATGCCAGGCCTCTTTTGCTGCCTCTATTAACCACTCCAATGTTTTCTGTGTATCAGGTGCCCGCTCAAGCTCGGGATGGCGCTCATAGATAGCCGCCTTCATATATGTGCCCAGAGGTTCTCAATAGGATTGAGATCAGGTGAATATGGAGGCCATACCATAACTTCAGTATTTATTTCATCAAGAAGATATCTAACAATACATGCAGTATGCATGGAAGCACCATCATACATAAAAACATCACCTGGTCCAACTAGCTCTGGGAGCCATGCCTCATATACATGAGATATAACCCATGCAGTAACTCCTCCATGTGCTACTTCAGGATCTCCCTCTAAGGGAACAAGGCCTGTATACTTATCAAACCCAAATCCAGCCAAGAACATATTCTTCACACCTTTTCCACGGTGTATTAACATGAACATCATACTCAATTGTTTGGTGACAAGGACTGTTGAAGGTGTATGTAGGTATATGAAGATCATGTGCCTTTACCACGTTCAACTGAGCATTCATCAGTCCATTTGACATGTTTCCAGTCTTCTGGTGTATAGCCAGTATACTAGAGAGCTCAAGCAAGGTGTTTAGCTGCATTTTCTTCTGTAATATGTTGGAGTGAGATAGTGACGGCTAGCCAGACCTATATCAAAACCCAGCACTAATATAGATGCCAATGGCTTACACAGTAATATGATCTCAACATAGACATCGCGGATGTCCCTATACTCTTGAAAAACGAACACGGAACCCCCATGGATTAATTCCCGGTTATAACACCCATATCCCCCTCCGTCCAGACAACCTTCAGCTTCCAATACTTCGCCTTCCACAGCCCATCCTTCTCGTCACGCACAGCATCGATATAATAATGCGCCCCCGTCAGGTACCGTGTTGCATCCGGCTTCGTGCCCTGGCCACTCCGATAATGCTGTGCCAGTGTGGTAGCACTGATAGCCGCCTTCGACGGTTCCGGCGCCTCGTGATCAATGATATTCACACGGACATTGGTGACGAAATGCGTCGTGTCAAGCTTAGCGACGACATCGAAACACTCGGCCTGGATTGCGGATCGGCCGCGCATAATCTTGCCGTTTAGGTCAAGGACGCCGTCTTCTGTTATGCTTGTGTTCAGGAGGGAGAGGTCATTTGTGTCGAAGGCATTGACGCAGCGGTAGACGCAGTCGGTTATTGCTTCACGGGTGGTCAGACCGGGGAGGGATGCTGGGAGTGACATTTTGTTGGTTTCTTCGCTTGTGGCTTGCTTTGCTTTGCTTTCGATGGATTTGATGCATCTCAACCACCATGGGTACCACTGGAAGGGTTTAATACTGCATACAGTCATACGGCATATTCGCTTTCATCCTCGCTTGATCGCTTAAATCCGACCGATCCAATTGCTCGGGAACGGCCGTAGCTTAAATCCGGTTATCTCCAATATAGACACTGAGCATTGATTGTTCGTTGCAGCATGCATGGCTTAAGCAGAGCTAAGATAGCTTCGGCGGTTCGGTCGGGGATAGCAATTGACGCAATTCGGTGTTTCCTACAAGCGCTGTTAGGATGTGTTGAATGAAATCAAGTCGACGGCAGTCGTAACTGAGCGAGGTCAAATATATATATATACTTTAGCCTTGTAAGGTAGTGGCAAAGCTTACCTCTACTTGGCACGTCCATTGTGTCTATAGTTACACTATTTTAGAAATGCGGATCGCCCGAATCTCGTCTGCATTTATCATAGCAGGAGGGAAAAAAAAAAGAGGAAGAGACATCAGGTACGGAGTAGTTATAATGCAGATAGGTTACTTTGGAGAAAAAAAAAAAAAAAAAAGAAAATGAGAAAAAAGAATACGACAGGAGCCAGATTCGAACTGACGACCCCAAAGGGACAAGATCACTCTAATCCAAGAGAAGATTAGATTCGAGTCTTGCGGATTAACCACTCTCCCATCCTGTCTTACTTGGTATTAACTTCCAATATGTCACTTTTGTACAGCATGTTCTTTGGAAATTCAACGCGCATTTCGAATCCACATCGAGCTGAAAAGCGAAACTCATTTTAATCCACTACCTGGAACTCAAGAGACAGCTAGTAATTATTATCACCGTTAATCCATTAAATTTAACTGATTCTGAGATTGTACTCTATTTCTATCATGTAAGGCTCGTCACCTCTACTTCCGTAAGTAAACATTTTCCACAGAAACTCGTGAAATAAGCACAACTCCCTACACCATACATAGACGACATGTGACGTAAAGCAGATAAGATCCGAAACTTTCCCAAACGCCGGAGTAAAAAAATATTACGTATTGTACACTGGAAGGTGCGCGCTAGTTGGGCTTTGCGCAGGTGAAAACACCCCTGACTGATCCGTCCCGGTAGTTGTTGATCTGTGTGATTACAATTAGCTATTGCAACGTGAAAAATGCCAGGGAAAGCACATACGATATCATCGACACTGGCGTATGTGCCAGCACCAAGCGTGATCATGCCAATGGCAAACACACAGGCATTGACGATACTCAAGGCGATGTTCTTGGGAGAAGTCCACGGGCCCTTGCGAAGCAGCATGAACCACATGAGAGCCGGGAAGTAGAAGGTGAAGCCGGAGATGAAGAGAGACGAGGAGATGGAGAGAAGATCGGAGAAGAAGGGGATGACTTCGGCAATGACCCAGGCGATCCAGGTGATGACGGTGATGAAGATCAACCAGGTGATCCAGCCCATCTTCGTGTTGATGAAACGGATAGGAGAGTTCTTGTAGATACGACCGTGCAGCAAACGGGCCAAGACAGTGGTGTTGATGGAACCGCTGATGAAGATGACGGGCAGGGCTATTCCGAAAGCGACTCTGCTCAGCACGTGGCCGGCAGAGAGCAGGGCAGGGCTCTTCACGTCCTGGCCGACGAATGCGTAGACAACGGCGCCAGTGATAGTATAGATGATGATCTCGATGATACCCAGGGACCAGATGGACTTGACGAAGTCCTTGGGAGTATGCATTTCATCCATGAAGGAGAACTGGCACATGGCGAAGCTGTAGGCGAAGATAATGTTGGAGATGGCGATGAAGGCATCGGTGAAGGTGATGTTCTCCTTGGGCCATGCGGACCAATTGACGGCGGAACGTCCACCAGGCGAATTGGTGGCCTCGACACCGGTACCGATGATGGTGATACCGATGGCAGCGATGATGGAGATGAAATCGATGTAGCCGAGAATGGCGACCTCAGCAAAGCTCGGGGGAACGGCGAGAAGCAGGAGAATGACAGCGGAGACGACGGAGAAGACGATGGAGCAGACGTTGCTCTCGGTGATGGTGGTCCAGGCAATGGTACCGGTCAGAGTGTGCGAACCGACGAGCAAGATGAGCTGCAGAATCAACATGATATTGATCACTTCGTATCCGACGCGACCCCACATGAGCGTGCCAGCATCTGCGTAACTGGCGACATTGGGGAAAGCCAATTTGACCTGACCGACGATGTAACTGGTGTAGATGGCGACCAGACCGAGTCCAACACAGCAGATTACACCAGCGACCATACCCAGCGTCGCGAAGGAGGAGGGGATGGAGAGAGAGCCTAGGGCGATGGCCTCGACGATGAGGATGACAGTGAGGCGTTTCCAGCCCAGGCGATGGAATTTATCACAGCCCTGGTCGTAGATATTCCTCTCCCTCTCGCTCATCTCACCGACGATGTCGCCGTCATACTGGGGGGGGTCGGCATAAAATTTTTCACCCGCGGGCTCCATGTCCATGGACTTTGGGGGGCCCATTGGAGATTTCCTGAGAGATGCCCATGATGAGGAGCGTTGAAGAGGGAGCTGACCAAGGGCGACGGTAGGGATTGAAGTGTGAAAGAGTGGAAGAGTGGAAGAGGAAGAAGGTCGCGTGTGTGAGACGAGGGGAGAGTGAGATGGAGAGAGGAGTAATATAAGAAGGCCGGAGGGGAAAGCCGCGCCTCGCCACTTCCAGGCTGGAAATGTTTGTCATGCTGGTTATTCACTGAATGGTCAATGCGGTTTTTGTTAGCTAAAGCTTATTCTCCGCAATGACCGATGCTTTTGCAACAGCCTATCATTTGTAGCAGGCATTATCTATCTATCTTGACCCTAGATTAGTATCATATTCCCCATGTTCACACCGTTATTCACTTCTCTTTTTGCACCGCTTCGTTGCCTGACATGTCCTCCGTACAAATGGATGGGCTGCAGCGCTGCTCGGCTGTGGCGCGCGGGATTGTTGCATTACGAAACTCTGTCGATCTGCGCCCGGCGAACTCCAGCCCTGCCAAGGCGCTGCCCATCCGCTACCGTAGTTGGGCGTCGCACAAACCGGCTACGCATCCCACGGTGATTTTTGCTGCTACCGTGCGATCCTTCAGGATCATTTCCAGGGGGGGGTTGAGCCATTTCCTCCCTTTTCCCGTGCAACCGCGCAGGGAATGCTGCCGAACTCCTGCAGATCTCTCAGAGCGCCCCAAACAAGCCAGATCGACATAAGCATGGGCGCCACCTGCGGGAGAACAAACATCGAATCACGCTAGAAAGACTGTAGGCCAATTATGTTTGGCTGAATACGGTAAAGTAATGCGCGATGTGCGCCGGATCAGCCCATTAGCCGATCCCGGCCCGGTTACAGTCACGTGAGATGGATTCCATACCGGGTTAGACGCTCATCCACTTCCAGACTCGGAAATTAGAGTACATACAGTAATTAGTCCTTATCTCAATATCGATCCCGTCTAGAAATCTGGAAATTCAGACGACAACCCTGGTGCCCTTGGTGCACTTGCTGCAAACTACAGACACTAGTCGTGATCGACACCCAAGGCAATGTATCGGAGATATCACCCGACATCTCATCCTACTCCTGTGAACTTTGAACAGCGGCATCCCCAAAATAAACGACGCATGGCCAGTGCAGATCTCATCTCAACCCATGGCACAGGGGTCTCATTACAATGCTTATGATCTGCTTGGCTTACTCCAGCTCCCAGCCACATGCCAGCTCATGCATCATGTCACGCATAGGATGCATGCGACAACACCTTCCAGAACCCCTCCCACGCCCACATTGATTTATTTTTAACATAGCTGTAGCTTTCGCTCGATCCCTCCATCGATGCAGTACATTCCGCTTCTAGCCGCGTTGAATCTCCCAAAACACACCTCTCTTTCACCGGATAGAACGGACAGATGTTCTTCAGAATCTAATGCCTGAATGTTGTGAGCGCATATCTCGCAGCATCGAGAATATCATGATGAAAGAAACACCCAAATCCACCACCATCCAGAACTCCTGCCGTTTCAACCCATCCACAAGCGCGTTCATATTCGGTGCCCTCCCCAGAAAATCCTCCAGCATCTTCAACAAATCCTGTTGACTCCCACCATACTCCCAAATCCCCCCGACGGTACTTATCCCACATCTCTTGATTGTACGGGTCATGCAAAAAGACGGACAGATCCTGCATCATGGCCGTGCAACTTTTTCTGTCAGTATCACCTACAGCTGGAGTCTTGTGTTTGGTGTTCTCGGTTTACACACCACAAGTAAGCATAGTAGCAAACATCGTAACCAGCTGCTAGATGACTCAACGTCCCAAACGCAAACCCATCTCTGCACTCCGAAAGTCCATTCCCTCTATCTCCTCGTGGAGGTCATACCACAGTTTCTGGATATCGAGATTGGCAAGCTCCTTCTCCGTACCTAGGCTGTGTATCTGTATATCGAAGCGAGATATTGACCTATCGACCCTCAGCATTGTAGCACGACAGTGATCGATTAACAACGATAAAAAAAAAAAAAAGGAAACGAACAGCTGGTACAAATGATACAGTCCCCTACTAAAGTATCGATGTTTAACAAGGTTCTCTACCAGCTCATCCGGAATTTCCTTGGGCGGATCCAGCTCTCCGGGGTGTTGCCTCCGCCAATCCGCTAGATAACTCCCATAAGCGTGGTATAATGGCAGCTAAGTCCCTTGAGGACATCTTTCATCCAGCACCAGTTCTTGAGCATGATACGGGGCATCTCACCAAAGTCCGAGGGTAACCGGTAGCCGTGGAAATGGACGTATTTGGTTCTCGCTAGGAAGTCATGGATGCCATGGCCCATTTCTACTGGCAGTTAGTTATATGCACGTCGAAGAGCACTGGGTAGCGAACTTTCCATGGAAGCGAGTCACGATCTGGTGATGCTTGAGCAGGGCACAGCTCGTCGGGGTTGGGGTCAGGAATGAACACATTAGAATCGTCGAGGGATACTGTCTGCTTCCGTCTGGTCGTAGATAGCCCTGTTTCGGTTCTTAGTATGAAGTACAAAAGGGAGAGAGAGAGAGAAAGAAGAAACAAACACATTGGATATCCACGCTCTGATTCCCCCGATACTTGTTCTCACGCCAGAGTAGGTCTAAATAGACATAGACAATGATTCCATCGCCCTTCATATTCCATACTGAGAACCCTCGCACGGTATCATGCCTGATGACATCGCCCGTCAGCTTCTCTGATGGAATGGGATCGAATCGAAGACCAAGCAGAGAGGCAAAAATATCCAACATGCCCAACGTGGTTCTCTCCAACGGGAAGAATTTGAGACCTTCAGCTGGTCGATTTCGAATTCTTGTTGCACGAGTTACTCGATGTATCGTTTATCCCACGGGGCAAATCCCTCCTCGACACGCTGAACATCATCCTGGCCTCTTGATTGCAGGTCCTGCAGCCGTCGACGCTGCAATACAGCAGTCTCCTCTCGACCACGAGAGCAAAGCGGCTGCCGCAGTTGATCCAAAAAGCCCCTCACCCATTTCGTGCTCTTGGCCATGCGCCTCTCAATTCTAAAATCCGCATGAGTCGAATATTTCAGGAATTGAGCCTGCTTAGCACGGCGCTTGACGATCTCTTCCAATAGCGGCTTGTTCGCCTTCAAATTCAGATTATCCGCTAGGAACATCCTCTTGCGAGTTTCCGGGCGGTGCGCATTCGTCAACACGGCCAGCGTACCCCCATTAGCAAAGGGCACGGATACCTTCTCTTGCTTATGCTGTTCATCAGCAGTTAACTGTCCTCCCTCTGAACTTCGGGCCATCCACTTCACCAACTCATCCCTCGGCACCCCATCCAACTCCAACGTAAACCAAACGCCACGATTCCCCCTAGCGAGGTTCTCCTGGAACCGCCTCTCTAACTCCACAATCTCCGTACCCCGCCTCAGGTACTCCTCCAACTCAGCACGGGCCAGAATCCCATGCCCCGCGTGCTTATACCCCAAAAGCTCCCTATCCAGCAAGTGCTGCGATTCTGCGTTCAGCGTCTGAAACTCCTCCTTCTCCTTCGCCGCTTGGAGGAGTCTGAAAATGACTCATCTACTGTCCATGATGCCGTGGCGGCAAGGTATAGCTTTCGGGCCTCGTTGAAGGCGTCCTGTGTCTCGAGGGATGGAGATCCATACTGGAGCATGTCGATCACGGCCAGTTCACCTTGGACGGTGTTTTAAACTTCGGCTTGGGGGCGCATAACGGTGCAGAAGGTTGCGGCGGTGGTGCTTTGGAGGATCCGGGCGCGGACGGTGTTGTATTCGTTTATTACGCGCTTCATTGTTGGGAGGATTTCTTCCGTGGCTAGGACTCGGGGGAGGGGTTGTGGGAGGGACATTTTTGATCTGATTCAGGGTTGGAAAAGAAGTCTTGGGTAGGTTAATGTGTGGGATTTATAGAGAGAAGGTAGGTGTATATTAACAGAACCCCCCCCCAAAATGGGGTCTCTCTAAAACACTAAAACCACCAGGGGTACTCATGTAGGCACTATGAGTGGCTGGTAGCTGTTCATTGTCAGCGGTCGGAGACAGGACTACATCATGCATCTACATCTACATCAAACAACCGCTACACAGCTAGTGCATATAGTATAAAAGCTATATGATTCCTCCAGCCTCCATAACTACCAGCTATGTATGAACAGTCGATGAATAGTCACACATCACACATCACATGTGCATCAACGAAACCAACCCCCCTTCCCAGACCATCCACTCTGTCCCTTGGCCATGGAGTCCTTCAGCCATCGGTGGCAGGAGAGTTCGGTGCTAAAAGACCATCATCAGTGAACATTGTCTTAGCTCATGCCTAGAATATCATGGCTTACGATCTCAGGCGCGGCAATAGCACATACGTGCAGAAAATGAAAACGCAAAGATACGGCATAAATGGCTTCTACAACTTCCACTATGACTCGGTGTTGACTTAGAGGTCACGTGCTCCTAGCACGCTTAGCTAGCTGCTGCTCCTGAGCCCCAGAGCTCAACCAACTACTCAATACACTCATTAAAGTCATTACTGAGACAGTCTCGTCACGAACGGAAACTGCGTGACGACCTTCATGGTCTACCTCATGGCTGGCTGTACTGGCGGGGGCACGAATTTCCCGTGGCTGCGGCGCCCCAATGATACGCGGTGATGCGGTATGATTGACCGTGAGGATGACGAGTATGAGGGTGTTACTTTCATGCTGCAGGAGATTAGACTAGCACTGCATTGACAATCTCACGTCTCACAAAAGCCCGCTGTGTATTACTTCCTTGCCGTGAATGTGCTGCTAGTCAGTCTTCTCCGCGTCGGGCAATGGTTCTCCAAGGCAGGGGTCATCTCCAGCACTGCATCACTGTGCGGCGCGGCGCTCATCGCCTCTGCTTCCAGACAGCTATGACTGCAAGCACGAGTACACCGTCGAACTCATGTCCTTCGACCCTTTGGCCATCTACGCCAATAACTTTGTCAGTGATGCAGAGATCAACCATCTGCTGGAAGTCACGTTAGTGTTTTGATTCTTGCTTTCTTTCCCTTCACTGAAAACAAGAAAGGCAGAGTGATAATGGTTAATAACAGCAAGAACAAATGGAACCACTCCCTCGTCTGCGGGAAACGCTTCCGCATGCACCAGGACTGGCTTGTTGCACCCAAGACACTCTTCAACTCCGATAACCCTGTGGGACCCTATAACCGCCTGTTCAGCAGCTTTGTGTACCTCGAGGATAACTGCTATCATTTTATCGCTCCCCCATACATCCGACTACTGTTCAACGGAGGACACTATGCAACGGTCACCCTGTTCGTCATCTCGGGCTACGTCGTATCTCGCCGGCCATTGGAACTGATAGAAACCGGGCGAATAGAATACCTCTCCGAGTACCTGTCTTCTGCCATCTTCAGACGATGGATGAGATTGCACCTTCCCCTCATCTCCACCGCATTTCTCTACATGACATCTTGGCATGTTTTCAGCCTCCGCATCCGCTGGATTCGGCCGGAACAGAGCTATGCAGATGAGTTTAGGAAGTGGTTGCGCGAAGTGATGGATTATGGCTTTCCATTCAGCAGGGCTGGGAGCTTATGGCTCAGCTATAACGACCATCTCCGGTCGATTCTGGGATCAGTTGAAGGGCTCGCCCGTTAATTATACCGTCGATGGATCTAGCATACGACCCAAAATGGCACTACCTCCTCCCAGCGGCCGTGCTTCTCGTGATTTCAATCCAGCGCATCCCGTGGCTGGCTAATTTCCTCGAAAGACCGTCCAGCCAGTAGTTAGGCTGCATCTCATACAGTCTATACTTGGTGCATGGGCCCGTCATGCGTGTCTTTGCTGACACGCTCTACGCAGCGGTCGGTTGGGATGAGAGGGGTTCCGTGGTACATAATTCTTTGGGACGTTTAGTGGATGCCTTCCCCTTGCAATTGGGGACCGTTGGGTTTGGAGATAGCAATTCTAGTTTGGCAGCTACTCCTGCTGCCTTTGACGCTTGGATTGGCAAGTATTGTGGCTTGGGGGGTGGATGAGACCTGTGCGAGGGTTTCTCAGTGGTTTTATCGACTCATGCTTGTTCCTGGACCGGAGCGTAAGTAGGGGTGTTATTGTTCGATGGTTTTTTGTAAAGCAATATACGGTACAGATAACCTGACCTCGCTAAGGACCCTACCTGACCCGGCCTTGGCATTAATAAGCTGCCAAGACCCAGTTGAACCTCAACTGATCTTGCTACCATTTCAGGTTTAGAGCATTTCAGTATTTAATACCATATTTTCTCTCAACATAGCCAGGTTATCTGTACGCATCTAAGTCAGGTGCCCTCCTAACTAGTTCTTAAACTGGTTTAAGGCTTGAGATTTGAATCCGCCATGTTTAATGGTAAAACTAGTTCTTAAGGTGCGTAGAAGTTAGAAAAAACGGCTGTGTGGAGTGAAAATATGGTATTAAATACTGAAATGCTCTAAACCTGAAATGGTAGCAAGATCAGTTGAGGTAGGGTCCTTAGCGAGATGGATGCTCCCTTTCGGGTTTAATGCGGAATGATTAACTATGCCAAGCTTTTTAGGTTTCTCCGACAGATTCCCGAGAAAGTCCCGGACAACAGTCAACCCCAAATTTTATCAATTGTTATTATTTTATAAGTGTCAATACCCACATTTACATCACGATCAGTAAATTCTGTTTCGGCGAGTTCCGGCGGGAATTCGCTTTGAGCCGCTAGGCTGCCTTGTATAAGCGTTGTATAAGCGTAAATGCCAGATGCATCTCTCGTACCACCGGGTCCGGAACTTCATGTAATAATTAATAATACATCTGGTTGGATCCCCACGGCTTTTCATTGCTGACTTATGAACTGAATCAATCCCCGTTAATCCACACTGGGCCACGCAGTGTCAAACCCCGTGTCGAACCCCGATGACCATGTCTCATCGATAAATGGCCATTGCAACATGTCCATCTCCTCCACTGTATATTGATCGCTGAATGGCACATACCCCTGCGCAGGAAAATCTGCCCTTATGATACTGTTAGTATTACTGGGCGGGATATCTGCTGTCCTTGTTTCTCTTTCTTGTTGGCGGATATTCGACGATAGCTCGTGGAGCGGATGAGAAGATCGAATGTCACCGTACTCATCCAGGGTTCCTGCCAGGTTGATATGACGGTCGCTGGAAGCGGCCAGCTCTTGGTTATTCTTTGCGTTTTCGTAGAATTTGTCTGCTTCCTGTACTGTCCGCCACTACTGGTTGTTAATTTGTTCATGGATAGAAACCCAGGACACGAGGATGGTAAATGAGAGTTTGCAAACATACCCAGTTATGCCCGACTGGCCAGAACTCGCACAGCCGCTCAAGATACGCGAAATTGGCCTTCTTTTCGGCTTCTGCACGCTCTTTCCCGCCTGGATAGCGTGGTGACACGGCGCCGTACATGTTTACATGGGCAGCAACAAAGACGCTGAACCCGGAATATGGGGTGATGACGGGCGTCGCGGAGGCTGAGAGGGCTGAGAGGATATCTCCAATGCTTTGTGCTGCTTCGAAAAGATGTTCAATGGCACCTTCGCACCAGGCAGAGCTATCTGAGCCAGTTGAGGTACGAGGGTCATGACGTGGATCATGCGTCTGTTTTAAAGAGGACAAAAGCTGATCTCGATAGAGGAAGAGAATGCTTGTGCAAGTTAGTTGCGTATCTATATGATTCTGTAAATGATGATACTCACCTCATGAAATATATCAGATTGATATAAGCAAATAGTTCCCCGTATCCAAAAGCAACATGCGCCTGGGCACTGGTAGCCGGATACCGCAAAGTCACGTCCTGCAGGGATCTCCATTCATCCAGCTCCCCCTTAAGATTCTGCCAGGTTGGACGCAGCGACGATGAACTCGTCGCCATAGTCGCGGAAGACGCCCGAGCTCGACGACTTTCATTAGCAAAACGCAGAATACGCACAAAGATGTCAAACCCACGTGTGACGACGGCGAGACCACGATCAATCGTCATCTTCACGCACGGAGGGGAGGATCGACTAAGACCCGCGGGCATCAACCTCGGTGATCCTCGACGGCCGAAGTTAAAATCATTATCGCTGATCGGCAGGGGCACGGAGATCTGGCGAAAGGACAGAGCGAAATGCTGGCGGGCTCCGGAGCTTAGCTCGCAGTCTTGCACGAAGCAACACCAGTATGTGCGAACGAGTTGCTCGTACTGTATCTGGGAGGCGTGGAACTCGTCTGGATTGTGCTCCATGCTGTCGTCTGCCGTCTTTAGCAGCGATTGGATCATATACGTCGCCATTCCTGGTAGTGGTTCAGCGGGGAATTTTCATATGAGGAGAGATAGATGACAGAAACCTACCGCTATACATCCATGCCCTATATGGATGACCTGACCCCCATTCATAGAACGTGATCATCACGAGAGATTGTGCCAGGTACAGTGAAGGCGCCTCAAAGGCCCTGCGCGCCAACTCGGTGCGTGCATAAGCCGCGTAGGTCTCACCAGCGTCCAGGCCATGTCCTGGAAGAAAGCGGACACAAAGGGAGAGCAATGAAGCCAGGAACACCGGATCCACGGAAGACGGATTGGAAGAGAGGTTGGCAATCAGCGATGGGTAGTGCAGGAAGTTTGCTACGGGGAATTTCTTCCGGTAGGTATCGCAGGCACTGATGAGGACGGATGGAGATAGCGAAGCAAGCGGGTTAGAAGGCGTGCATCGGAGGTCTTCATTTGAGTCGGGGGCATTATTGACAGTAGAAGGGATGATATTTTTCTCGGCAGTTCTGGGAGCAGATCTTGTCTCGCATTGGACTCGCTGCGAGACTCTTCTCTGTGGCCGGCCAGGCGTTGCTCTCGGATCAGTGAGCACACAAGCCTGTCGGTTTTGTCGCTGGCACCGACGGCAGGGAGGACGACCTTCATTCACGCACTTGACTTTGGACTGCCTGTGTTGATTTCAGCAGATGGAATAGGCCTAGGAGTGGCATCTCCTACCGACAAGCATTGCAGGATATAGAAAGGCGCATTTTCCGTAGTCAACCTCTCTCGGGAATGGACTCGGGAATGATCTCGGGAATGAAAGATGATATCAGTAGAGAGACCGGGAATGATTAAGAAATTGGTAATACTTTTTCCCGATTTACCGCGCATCTCCTGACTCAATTGACTCAATGTTTTGTTGAGTTGTTCTAGAATGTCATGCAACAAGAGTATTAATCATAGCAAAAATCCAGATCTAAATCTATCGCTGAAATGCACACAAAACGCCGAGTAGTCATGCCCCTTAGACGCTGCATTGCCGAACCCATGAATTAAACCCATCAACAGCCGCTGCATCTGTCGCCCAGGAAGTGACAATCCTCACCACGGCCTGCTGATTGTCCAAATACTCCCAGACATAGAAGCTGTACCGCTCTTGCAGACGTTCAATCAAGCTCTGCGGCAGCACCACAAACACCTGATTCGTCTCCGTCCTCGCTGACAGCTGATAGCCCAGCTCTTGGAAATTGTCCGCAATCAACCGAGCCGTCCTGTTTGCATTGGCGGCAAGTTCAAAGAAGAGGTTCTCGCGGAAGAGCTCCGCAAACTGGACGCCCATTACACGGCTCTTGGCCATCAAGGCACCGTGCTGTTTCAGGTGGAACACAAAGTCCTCGGCCAGGTGGTTTCGCACCACGATGGCCTCCCCTAGTAACGCGCCCATCTTGGTACCTCCGATCCAGAAGATGTCGATTAGATCCACCAGGTCTCGTAGTGTTACGTTGTTCGACGGCGCGCTCAGCGCTACTCCGATGCGGGCGCCGTCCATGTGAAGTAGCAGGTTCCACCGTTTGCACACAGCACTGATCGCCTCCAGTTCGCGTTTCGTATAGATCGTTCCCAGCTCCGTTGCGTTGGAAATGTAGACTAATCGCGGTTTGGCCGTGTGCGGGAAGAACTGGTTCTGGCGAACCGCCTTCTCCAGGTTCTCTGGCGTCATTTTACCTCTGACCCCGGGGACAATGATCATCTTGTGTCCGGTAGCTTCGATGGCGCCCGCTTCTTTGCTGGCAATATGGCCTGAGTCGACCGTTAAGACCGCTTCGTAGGGTCGTAGACAGCTCGCGATGCAGATGAGATTAGCAGATGTGCCCGTGGGCACGAAGTAGATGGACACCTCATCCTCGGTGGCGGATAGCTTTTCTCGGATCAATCTGCGGGCTTCGTTGCTGTACTCGTCGTTTCCGTAGGATACTTGTTGTGTTGAATTGGTTCGTAGGAGAGCCTCGAGAAGTTGAGGACATGCACCTTCGCTGTAGTCATCGCCGAAGCTGTATCGAGGCTGTGCCTCGCTTTCAGGCAAGGGGCCAGGCATTTTCTGTCACCTTTTCTATGGGGTATTAAGGATGGAAAAGGGAGACAGATAGAAAGATCAGTATGGAAATGAGCCGATAAATATATCTCATATATCGGGAATAACCGAGTTACTCATTCCCGGTTTCGGGAATGCACTCTTATCAATCATGATAAACATTCTGACATCGATTCAGAGGTAGATTTTACTTAGATGCCTATCGAGATTCCATATCATCTGTCAGAGAGGGGTGATATACAATGAAAGGACGATATAGCACCGTCCATACTCCGTATGGAGTGTATATATATTCTACACACGCCAGTTGCCCGCGTTTTATAACAGCCCTAGAAACCAATTGTCATTTGCCGTTCCAGTCGCATTTCCATTTCCATCGCCATCAAAAGGGAATAGCCCATATCCAAAAATTCTCTCGTCCACAATGCTGCCCAATGCATACAGGTTCTCAGGATCAATCAATCCTGGCGCATCAGGGTCGGAGATGAACCCCGTAGTCTGCATTGGTGGAGGGGGGATGGATGCCATTAGCAAGTTTCCAGGGGCACTTGTTACGCCATTTGCGTATCCTGATAGTTCTTGAACCTGTTCTTCTTGTTCTTGTTGTTGTTGCTGCTGCTGCTGTTGAGGGTTAAAATGAGGGTAGAACGAGCGTGAACCGGTAATGGAGTGGCTAGCAGTAAGAGGGGAAGAGAAGTGGATATATCCATCCGATTCCGAAGCTGCTGTTGGTGCAGAGGTTGAGGCGGATACTCGTTGCAGAAGGTGATCGGATGGTGCCGATGGAGCATCAGACACGCCCGTTGCGGGTAGGCAGAAGTTCGGCGGAGGGTTAGCTAATTGAGTCTGGCCCTGTCCGTCTGTCCGATTATTGGGTTCACCCATGGCTACCTCACTGAGAAGATGCAGTGGTGTCTGGTTCGTCGTCTGTAGAGTGTTATTAACATGGAACAAGACGGAGATTGATGGGAAAGGACTAACTCACCACCTTACCGCCCTCGTCATACGCAGCATCCACATCCTTCCCATTCGCTCTCGCCATGCACGGCATGTTCTCCTTAACCACAGTTCCCTGTTCCTTCCGCTTCATAAACCAATTGCGCAGCATGGACAGCACAATCGAGAACCTAGCCGGCGTTCGCCCACCCTCTAGTTCACCAGCCGCCTTGTAATGCTCGATGATCCTATCGAGATAATATTCTACCTTCAGGCTCGCTGGGTCAAGCACCTGCCCAATGCTCTCACGAGATGAGACATAAGAGTACAGCTTGATCAACGAAACTGCTGCATAGGATGTTCGGGCCAAGCTAACGGTCGGCAAGGAAAGCATACTTCTCATGTCAAGGGATATAGTGATCTCGAGAGCTGCGTGTATTGCTGTTAGACTGTTTGTCAAAGCGTTAATGTGGATTGCGCTGGTTGGACAGTTTTGGATATCTTCGTCGTTGGCATTGCTACTGTCGCCCTCAGACTCAATGTGCATAGCAACTTCATGGATGTGGATGCTCAGTATGTTTTCGAACTGGGCCAATAAAGCTGGATAAATACAAATTAGAAATCCAAAATAAAAACAGGAGCAAAGGATGAAAATGATAGGAGCTTACGAGAATACAACTGCGGTGGTAGTTCTTTCTTCCATTCATCCAACCGCTTCTCAAAGAATCGAAGTGCATATTGAATCTTCGGGTCGGACAACGATACTGAAGAGCATGGATAGTCTGCGAGAAACTGAGAACCAACGTCCTCCATTAAATGACAGAGTTTGACACAGTGGATTAGCATTCTATCCGACGGCAGTGCATCCTGGGAGCTCTCTAGAATCTCTATGCATTCATCCATGTATGGCTGCCACCGCACAAGAAGAACGCGACGCAAAGCCACAGATGACCTGCAAAGTTAAAAGATTAGCCCCACAGTAAACAAATTACTGGACGCAGGATTAAATAAACCTACATCACAGACGTGAAGTAACAAGACAGCCAGGTTCTTCGTGTCTCTGCAGCGTCGGGGTCGATTAGAAACGGCTTTCTCCCCATGATATCCTTACTGATGCTGAATTGCTTCCTGGTCTTCCCTGTCCGTCGACACATCCCGAGATCCATGGCAAGGATGACAGCCATGTGACTCAGCTGATAAAATTTGAGCTGCTCGAAACGGTCCGGCGGGTCATACCAAATGTATGTTATAAGCAGCGCCTGGACAAGCTCCAATGCCTTCTCAGCCTTGACGAATACACGCTCCGCCAGCAATTTGTAGAGCTCATGCATGAGGTCATGCTGCACGGAAGGTTTGATGGGGCCAATTGAGACAGCTATGATTGCATGGAATAGAGTCGGCTTAGCTCTGCGGATGTCTCCCACCATCGTCCCAGGCGGAAAGACCACCGCTGGCAGATGAGGGGCCATGTCATTCACATAGCGATTGAACGCCTTATCAGCCGTCTCCGCATCCACGACGCCTCGATCTATAACATCAGCAAACTGGTAACTGGGCTCTGCCTTCATGTCAACACCCGCAAGATAAGAAGGCTTGGCCAGCTGCGGCGGAGACGGGTTGCTGTGGACTCGTCTTAGAGATAGGGAGCTAGGATGGTGATACATAGGTGGCAAGTACTCGGACGCAGAGTCCTTAACCTCTCCTCCATAACCTCGTTTGTTCCCTGCCAAGCTCGCAGGCGATCCAGCGTTGTTGGAGATGCTGGGAGCACGCTGAGCTTGGTTCCCCAACCATCGTCTTCCAGGGTGTTCGACTGTAGACGAAGGTGAGACTTCAGCAGGGGGAACACGCGATGCCTGCAGATTTGCTGTTAAGGCATCAATCTTGCGCTCCAATTCCGCAACCCGACTGTCCGTCTTCTTCTGTCGCTTCCGAGTAGGCATGGTCACGACGCACACCCTCCCTGCCTTGGCGCACCGCTTACACGTTGGATTATCAGGATCCTGGTCCTGATCCTGCTCACACCGAACCTTCAATTGCCTACATGCTTCACATGCGCGCGGCCGTTTCATCTCCGCAAATGGATTATTGGGATCGGTCGAAAAGACGCTCTGCGTCCCACCCATGGTCGCGTCCCGCGTATATGTCTGCGCATTTGTCGCGTAATACCCTCGACCCCTAGACGATGCATCCGCTGTCCGACCATGGCGCGGTTGGTTCGATGATGATGATGATGATGCCACATGGAACGGAGGATCAGGATAATCAACCATCCCCGACGATGACGACATCGTCCGTCCCTGCTGCCGCGACGAGATGGATGGGTTCGCATTTCTAAACGTGTGCGTTCCTACCGCCTGTCCCTTTGAGGAATCTGTGTTGTTGTTGTTGTTGTTGTTGTTGCGACCATCCTCGGTAGCTGGCCGTAATCGCGGATCGATATCCATCATGTGCCAAATGGATCCGAGAAGGAGGTGAGCTGGAGGTTCCCCTGGGGATAGGAAATACGTTAGCAAGAAGACCACTACCGCGAGCCATGGCGACGATTTGTGAAGAGCCTCTGAAAGCACCGCAAGCGCAGCAAGAAAACAATAAACAAGCAAGAAGAGAATAGACAAAAGAAACGATGATGGATACCGCACCGGATTCCCAAGAAATGATGAAATGGATCTGGACCAGGGTCGGAGTCACGGTCGAGTCTGGCGCCGATGACTGACCTCGTTGTCGTCGCGATGCACGGGAGGGACAAAGGGCAGCATGGACTCAGCGCAGCGTGGATATAGAATTGGCGAGTTAAATTCGGTCGCCTAATTGCTGCATAATAGGTATGCAGAAAGTCGTTGATGGAGAGCAATAATAGGGGGAACTTGCAGAAAAATGAGATGAAAAAGCAGGCAGCCACTTGAGCCCGGGTGGGGTTTGCATTCGACTGCACCGACGAGAATAGAATATTTCTGCATAAGCAGCGACATCTTCGAGGCAGCGTTTATATCTGCCGATCTTTCTTTCGCTTGCTGCAGTAGAGATCGTCTCAGTTTGTGTCCTCTGCAAAGCCGTAAAGTCTTCATGATGTTCACTCCATCCACCGTTGTTGCCTACGCTGTATCGTCCAATTACCTCTCAACAACTGGAATATACCCAACGGACGTCCTGATAATGATATTCCAATTTCTCAATTGATTCTCTATTCCATATAGACCAGCTTGCATGGCTCAACTCCAGGTATATGGGTCAACAGCGTGATGTAGGTAATAAGCCCCTGATCATCATCCCATAAGTAGAGACCGAAGACAGGAATAAAAAAGCCAGAAAACTTGCAATGCCCACCGGATATACCTCATTTCAATCCATGACAGCAAAACAGACAAGCAAACAGGGTCGTGTCATGGGCGCCAACGCCAATCTCGAGATCAATCAAAACAACCCATAAGCAAAGCCTACCAACTCCAGGTACGAAGAAAGCCAAAACACACATCACGAATACGCATAGGAAAATATGACACGGAAAACCCTTTCAAAATAACCTGAATTTCCAAAAATCAAGATATCTTGTGCACTGGACACTCTTTCTTTCGCTCAAACCATTCCGCGATACACTGTTTATGGAACTTGCACAGACACTCTAATCTTACCAACTGCTGACCGACCTCGTACTCTTCCATGCAGATTGTGCATTCTGGGATCGCACCATCATGGGTGATGCAATCCTTCTCTGTGGCCGTGAAAGAGATCATCCGCACAGGGTGAGGGTGAGGGTGGTGCTGAGCGCTTGCGTCATGCGATGAAGAACGGGGGTGCGGCCCATGGCTCTCGATGCAATCGCGAATGTGTGCTTCACGCGCTGCTTCGTTCCCATCCTCGCCTACAGGAGGAAGCTGAAGGTTGCAGATGGGACATATGTCCCGCTCGTCGATATGAGGCCGGCGCCGGCCTGAATGAGCGCTTTGGACATGGGTACGCCGATGTGATTCCGGGTGGGATGATGAACCGCCAAATCCGAACCACAATCTGTGCGGCGATGATGAACTAGCTTCTGCGCCGGAGTGGTGGGATGGACGACCCTGCAATGTGGACTGGCTTATGATGGGTCGCGAGGATGACCCCAAAGGTAGGTGTGAATGATCTGAAGCTGACTGGCTTTCAAACGGCGTCAGATGACCAGGTACGAATGGATTTGCCACACCTCCCAAGCCTGAATAGTCGACCGATCCAGCGGTTCGTCCTCCCTCTTGAGACCCCGGAGTTGTGCTAGGCGGTAACTGTGATGTATTCTATAGCAGTTAGGCAAGGTAACTCCGAGTTTGTACGCTAAAGAGATCACTTACAAAGATATTACGAGGCCGTTGCCGTGACGGTACTGACATGGATTGATAAGGTCTGGTCTGGGACCGGTTGGACTGAACAACGAATCCTCTTGACTCGTCCCCGGCTCGAACGGCAGTGAATCCGCGAGGCGGATCAGGATTGGGGTCGGGAACACATGGATTACAAAGTCTTACTTCCTCCCCACCACCGAGAGCTGGATTGATCCTCGTAGGAGACAGCGTTGAGCTGTCATCCCCAGTAAGATCTACAAACTGCGCCGCGGGCACAATCGATGAGGGAGTAGAACGATTGTTTGGATCCGGCGGGCGAACGATAAACTGTCTGGGAATTGTGATCCGGTGAGGAGAGCATGATGCACAGACGACACGCCCACATTTGCGGCAATGGTGCTTTCTATACCAGAAACTGAACGGAGCCCCGCAGATAGGACACTTGGTCACTTCGGAATCTGGCTGCCACCGGGGCAGCATATAGCCCATGTAATCACCTTGCTGCTGTTGCTGTTGTCGTTGCTGCAACCATGGTAGAGGATGGCCATCGCCGGTCTGATGAGGAACAGGAGGCGAGGGTGCCCGAGGGGACGAAGATATTTCAATCGGAATAGAACGAGAGCTGCCAGCCATTGTAGGATCCTGCCAAGGCAGCCTTAATATCGATGGTCTGCTTTGGATATTTGCTCTAGTACTCCCATTCCCGTTCCCGCTTCCTGAACGTGAGACAGCCTCAGTCCTTGTCGCCGTTGCTGTTCCTGTTCCTATCCCAGGGGCGGCATACGAACTGGCAGTACGCCTTAACCACCCATCATCAGTCGAGTTAGTCCACCTTCTCTTGCGATCCGGCGCAGAAAGAGAAGAGGAAGACCGCCTACCAGCTGACAGTTGCTGCTGCTGCCGCCGTTGAAGTTCAGCAATATCGGCACCAGATCCAACACCGCGACGACCAGTATTGCCAATCCCGTCAAACGGATGTACGGATGAAAGATAATCAGATGCCGAGAATCCAGCTGCGGAAGCGTTCGTCCGTGTAGATGAAGCGGGGGTTATGGAACTCGATGGGAAGGAAGACATTAACCCTGGCGGGAAACGCGGGGAAGAGGAAAAGGCCGGGCCTGGGGATGAAGAAGGCAAAACCGGCGATGCAGACTGCCTGGCTACCGCAGGAGATGCAAATAATCTCCGCCGCTTGGACGACGGGCCGTCATTGACTGGGTTCCGCGGATATTCCAGATTGGTTGCAGGTTGGGCGAATTGAGCGGGATGGTTGGGCGCAAGGGGGGGTAGAATGAAGCCAGGATTCGAAGGGAAAGACCAGGAAAATAGGGATACAAAAGAAAGATGAAGTCCTCTATGGACTGCGGAACAATGGACTGTCTATTTCAAGGCTGGTAAAAGATAAAAATAATGGGATATGGATAGTAATCGCTGGCGGGAGGACAAAGAGGGAGTCGAGGAAGGTTGATTGCTTATCTGGGAGAAGTCAGTGATAGATCGCGTGACAGCCTCGGGCATGCGTGAACCGCCCGGCGACACCACACAGTATTGCGCTTCGTATTCAGCCATAATAGCAATGTCTTAATAATGCCGAGAATACTGTGGCAAGGAACGACAAAGAATAATAGAGAAAGCCATAGCTACAGCCTAGGTACAGTGTACGGAGGAGCATCCACGCTGATACGTCGAGTCACATGATCATACCGTGACCTGAGCAAGCGTTCATAGAGTTCGCGCAGGATATCCTGTCTATTGTCATCCCTGTCCAGAATCAAGCAGACGACAGTTGCTCGTCGAAGTATCAATATCCGGTTGATCACCGTCTCTAGTCGGCAGCAGGAATCTGTTGAAGGTCAAAGTCAAAACCAACTATTACTGCTGTACGAAGTCTCGCATCCTCTACACGCCTTGACAGTATCTGCAACATTCTATGTCTTCAAAGGTGAAGTTATAGCATCATGGTTACAATCTCAGCAGTCAGAGAATCCAACGAGCTCATCAAAACCGCTCTTCCTCCTGGCATTGTGGCTGTTTTCATCGGCGCAACCAGCGGCATCGGCAGGGCCACTCTCCTTCGATTCGCAAAATATGCTCGACAGCCCCGGATATACTTTGTTGGTCGCTCAGAGGAGGCGGCTGATAGATTCACAGATCAGCTTCGAGACATGAACCCAGATGGCGAATACATCTTCATCAAAGCGGATGTGAGTCTGCTCCATGGAGTAGACAAAGTGTGTGAACAGATCAAAGAGAGAGAACAGAGCATCAGCATCCTGTTTCAGAGTCAAGGAACCTTAGACTTTTACTCTGGTATGTTAAGCTTCTTTGAGCATTTGGCATGAGGGGAGCAATTCACACTACAGATTAGAAACGTCGGAGAAGCTGAGTCTCATCCTCGCTCTCACATACTACTCCCGCATGCGCTTTATTGTCAATCTTCTCCCACTCCTTCAACTATCTCCGTCGATTAGCCGAGTTGTGTCTGTCATGGCTGCAACCAAAGAAAAACAAATGGATCCCAATGATATTCCTGGGAACAAGATCTCTCCTTGGAGAGCTCGCGGACATCTTGCTTCGATGATGACGTTGAGTATGGAATGCCTAGCCGACAGGGCGCATCAAGTGAGCTTTATTCATGATTACCCGGGATTTGTGCATACCGGACTTGCGGATACGATGAAAGGGCTCTTCGGGGTGATTATGAGGGTACTCCTTCCCATCATCCGCCTTTTCATGTCAAAGGAATATATACCGATTGAAGAAAGTGGTGAACGACATGTCTTTCTAGCGACGAGCCCGAAATATCCGGCTAAGGAAGAGACAGAGAGTCAATCGCAGGATAGCACTGCCATGGCTGATCGCGTGGAAACGGCGGTAGGTAGTGATGGCCGGGTTGGGAGTGGTGTTTACACTGTGGGCGCGCTTGGTGAGAGCGCTGATGAAACAGTGCTGAGGGTTCTGGACGACTTGAGACAGGAGGGAATGAAAGAGAAGATTTGGCAGAACCTACAAGACGAGTTTGAACGGATTACGGGAAAGATCTCCGTTTGATGTTGACGTTGGGCTTCCTTTCCTTTTGATGTATGTTTTCTGCCAGCACCTTTGTCTTCTGTTCTAGCCAGCTACCAATAATAATATGTTTCTCCAGCCATAATCAATGCTTGAACATGGAAGAAATCGTTGAGATTATATTTCATGTAGTAGTTTGCGACGCGGTGTACGCTCCCTCTGCCTAATAGTAGGCAAGTAAGTTTTTCGTCACAGATCACTGAGTTAGACAGGAAGGAGGACGATGGTTATAGACTCCATCCATAGTCCTGTAAGGTCTTTGTAAAGTAGTAGTGAATGTCGAGTTCGCAAATCCTACTGACTTCCTAGTCAAAATTCGCCAAGACGCCCTAACGGCATGCCGACAACCCTACAAAGAATCTCCATTAAGCCAAGGTCCTTTCTAATGCACACTGCATATAGTACTTTAATGTCCAAGGGAAACCATACTCGAATCTCCGCGCCTCTTTTTCGCGTTTCAAATGGATTCCAAGACGAGAGCGCACATTCATTCAATTGAGAGATGAGATGAATCTCCAGAAGAAATCTTCAAGAAGAAAAAGTGCTATTTGATATTGTCCGAAATAAACTCGATAAACTCGAACGAGAGACGTGATGAAGGCATCAAGGTCATCAGAAAACACTTACCGATCAACTCATTGGTGAGATTCTTGGGAGAAATTACATTGAAAGGGCTGGCCTTGGTACATGAGCAGATAATTAGGATTTGTGAGAGGGGTTTTTTTTTTTAAAAAAAAGGTAAGATTGTCGATCCTGATGATATATCCTAGAAAGGAAGGTCAGTCATGCCTATTCCCGACTCTATAAGCATATTACTGACGCCCCTTTTTGCTTCAGGGAGCCTGAGCCATAAGATTAATTACATCAAGGTTCAACAAGCCAAATAGATACATACTATATGCATTATTATTTATTAGGCTATTCTGTCCTGGTCCCACTGCTCTTCGGCAGCAAACACTATCCAAAAGCGTGTTATATGGATCAAAAAACACCACGATATACAGTTAGAATACACAGGAGAAGCAAGAAGTGAAAGGTCAGGTGTCAACCAGAAGGACAATAGAAGATGAAGAGAGTCTGCAATGCAATGCGATGCCAAAAATAAAGCCAAGGGCGTGGACGAAGGAGAAAAGAAAGGTAGCGTAGGAGGAATTGACAACAGTCAGCATCAGAGCTGACGGACCGACTTTCAGAGAGGGAGAAATGACTAAAATTCTCCAGGTCGCAGTGGAGGTTTCCGGGTTAAAAAAAAGAGACAAGGAAATTCGTAACCCTGACGTGTCGAAATGCAAAAGATGCAACGCTGGTAGAAAAGCAGACAGAACACGCTAACAAATCAAAAAACATATAGTACTAGACGGAAGAATATGTGCTCTGATAGATTGCTGAGTATAATGACAATGCAAAATGCAATACCACGCTCAACTACTCTGTGTGATTAGTCGGGTGAAGAGGCACGTCCACCAGCTCAGCCGCACTTCCAGTGAAGGAAGGCTCGTCTGATGTTACCTCGTGTATATTTTCCGCAGCCCGATGGTGGGCGACATATCCCATTCCCGACGGCGGGTCAACGTGCTGGCCGTCGTGGACTTGGTGGCTTGATGATGTCGATCTGGTGGAAGCTAAAGAGAGGTTCCGGTCACCAGAGGCGGGGCTGCTAGAAAATGGGAGTCGGCCAGTTCCTGAAGCAGAAGGGCGAAGCCGATCGGAGATGTCGGCATGTTCGCTGCCCTCGACCAGTTGATGTTCGACATTGGCCTCCGCATTTCCTGAAGGAGTTGGACTACTCATGTTGCGGTTAGGGGAACCCCCAACGGACTGGCGTTTGGAACTCCTCCTCGGAACAGCAGGTGGCTCCAGCAAAATTGAAGGTATATTTGAGCTGGCGTTGGATCCCATCCGGCTGGGAAGTTCAATGCCGCCCCCAACGTCGATGGGAGGAAGGCTGGGTTTCCGAGATTCATGGGCTGCGGTGTTGTCTTCACCATCCGAATCATGGTACGGCCCTACCGAGGCTTCCGAGACATGGCGTGAATGAGTCCGGCTACCCGGAGCAGACGGATCATCTCGGTATGGCTCATTGAATGCCTCATCTTCCACAATGAGACCTGGTGGAGGCGCCCTCGTGCTTCGAACGACCTCAAATCCTTTACCCTTGTCCTTTGTCTTGCCCCGGAAAACGCTGCGAAACCAGCCGGTTGCTGAAGACACTGGCCCAGTAGGATCGGCCGGTCCTGTCTTCAACTTGCGAGTGCCAGCGTGAGAAAGTGGAGGACCACGGACCCCATAGTAAAAGTCCACTTCCCGAACAGCGTAGTCCTTTGGAGAATGCTGAGGATCATCGTTATCGAGATCATCCTTAGGAGCGGGCGTATAAGCCGGGGAAGGGGTGGAACCACCCGTAATCAGTGGAGCATCAACAATATCACCTTCCTCATCATCCGCAACATCTGCACCTTGACGTGTTCCCGATGATTTCCCCTGGGAATCAAGGGCGCCAGATGCCTCTAATGTCCTTCTCCTGGGGCGCGGAGGCCGATAATAAGGATCCTGCTGTTGTAGCGCCATCGCGCTGTTCCGGGGGGAATCGCCTCCTACCCCCTTGTTGCCAGCGACTATCCCAGCTGCACTTCCGCCCAATGTTGTCGGCGTGTACAGCCCACTACTGCCTGCTCTGCTATGAGTGCCAACGGCTGACTCCAATCCCATGCTAAGCCGACCGTCACTTGCAGTTCGACGCTGGAGAAGCATGGCCGAGCTGCCCGAAAGGCTCCTACCTCGGCCCACTTCGAACTGGGACGACATTCGATCGTCGGTATGTGCGAGCATAGCAGCATCAGAGGCCATGCTCTGACGTCCACCACGACCTCTTGTCCCTCGTCGTGCGAGCTGTCGCATACCGAGAACCTAGCGGTAAGATCACATTGTCAGTATGGAGGGTAGATTTGGATAGCAGTGGAAAAGAAAAAGGACGGCGTGGAAAGGGACATCGACAAACCTTCACCAGACCACCTCTTGTGGCTCCGCCGTCGAAGCCGCCTACACCCGCAAGCCGAGCGATGACCTCTATCAAGGTCTGAAGAGCGTTCAAGAAGAAGCCGAAAATGAGGACCACAGCATGAAGAACGAGAATGACATACCCTACCCAGCCGCGAGTGCCCTCGGAGACCGATAAGGAGGGGATAAAGGTCACGCTAAGAAGGACCGTCAAAAGCCGGATGATCGAAAGACAGGCGTGATATATGTTCATGGACGTTGGCGATGCGAATGGTCTGAAAGACACAAGCGACAGTAAAAAGATCAGTTCACAGATAACAAGCAAAATGATCTGCGCGATTCCTGATGCCTGGACTGCACCGATGGCGATGCCGCGAAGTATATCAACGGCAATGGGCACCGCAGCAAAAGCAGTCGCATCATCGCAGAATGTATTGTAGAGTGGCCCGTAGAGAAGTACTGTGGGAAGATCGTCGAAGAGATGGGACTTTGGGCGAGTCGTTACGATCAGACGGATCGCCCACAAAGAGAATGCCACTATGAAGAAGATGACGACGCAGGCCAGAGCAACAGAGTAAGCCGGCGAGTGACCGGCAATAGCCAATTGGAAGAATGAAATAGAGGTAATGGGAAGAAGCAAATAGTTGAATACAATCCGAACGACATTGCCAAAGGTGAACGGAAAGTTTTTGTGACGTCGATCCTCCTTTGCGATGTGCGCAACCTCGCGATGGACCCATTTGAGGCCAAACGCAAGCTCCGTGACAGCAGAGATTGCAGCAATGATGACCAGCGCCCAAACAATCATGCCCGGCCAGACATCTTTGTTTGACCCCATGCCAACTAACTGGCTCAGGCGATCAAAGCCAAATGTGCTATTTGTAACATAGATACCGTCGACAATTGGATCTCGACTATCCCCACTTACGAAACTTTGATTGAACATGAGGGCAGACCAGGCCGCTTCACTCACCACAGGTTGATAGTAGCCAGGATACTGCAATGACAACCCGCCCGTTAACACTACAAACTGGATGTAATGTAAGCAGTCCGCGAAGCCGGGGGTGATAAGACGGAGAAGGTCTTCATCCCGGCCATAGTTGGCAGTCCAATGGAAGGGGTTGGTGGATCCCCATGGACTATATGTGGCGGCTGCCGCCGTAGCGAGCCCCGCCAGCACAAGTATTGCAAGGGGGACGTATCTCATCGTATTCTTGATGGATTGACCCAAGTCCGGGGTAATGTGAACCGTTATACAACCGAGTTCGGCATCCGAGGCATCGCCTGATCTGATGACGAGCGTGGAAGACAAAGTAGAGAAAGCATAAGTGGAAAGCATGCTATGTTCAAAGGAGAAGGCATGGAGTTTCGTCAAGTCGGAACTGTACATATGTCTAGGTTAGACCAGCGTTGATGGCGAGGAGCAGATGAGGTGGAATTTACTCACGCGTTAACATAGAAGAGAGGTCCAAGTGGACACTGAGTTTGAGTGACAAAATCACAAAATCTCTCCGGAGAGCTGTAAGGGGTGAAACTCAGCATCTGAACGTCGATCATAAGAGTGGTGTACTTGTTGTTGGAAACGCTCAGATCAATAATCTTTCCCACCGTATTGTTCGGATCGTTCCAACTCGGGTCGTTTGGCGGCGGGTAAGTAGAGGACTGATCGGCAGTTCCAGAGACATTTCCATACACGGTCACATTCAGAGGATGGAGGGTGTCTTTCGTGTCGAAAGTAACGGTCACATCGAGCGGAACAAATTGTAGTGGCAATGGATCCGAGGCGCGAATGCTCTTCCCAAGACAGTTATCGAAGTTCACGCGAGCCGCGTGGGCTGGACACACGGCGGACACAACGACAAGTAACAGCGATGTTAGGAGAGACATGCTGCGGTTAATCATGCCGGATCGGTATCGATGTCTTCGCGGAGCGTCATAGCATCGTACCTCGTCAGATCGAGCTGTTCCCACGCCGGGGATGGAGAAGTCGGATCGTGGTGGAGCAGTCGAGCAGCCGGGTGCATCATAACACCTGACATCGTGGTCTGCATCCATCACGACCGACTCGTATAGTTGGGATGACCTCCCCAGAGAGGGTCAGTGCCCTCGCAGGTGGTTCAATCCACGTTGTCTCCAGAACGCAAAGCAACACCAAAGATACCACGCACTTGTCGTCTGCTATCTTTCCACGATTTGGGGAGGGGAACACCACCGGTGCCCAACCATTCGAGAAAACAAAAGAAAAGGCAGAGGTCGATAGACAAGGCAGAAGAAATTTCCAGGGTAATGGGTGGGAGGGAATAATAGATGCGAAGTATGAGATCGTAAAGATATCTTCAACCCAAGGACGACTTTTCCCGAGTTTCCCCCCTATTTTCCATATAGAGCTTCCCAACTGAGACACAGAGCAGGACAGATCCCCGAAACCGAGGGTTCTTAACTGGACGGGTGCACCCACCACTGCCACGGAGACGAGACTCGGGCAGCTGCGAGAAAGCGCGCGGAGGGTCGGCAGGGAAGCGTAACACAAAGCGTGTTGGCAACGATGCAGACACGGCGGAAACGGGGGCGACGACGGTAGGACAGGGAGCAGGCAGGACGCAGGATGGGCGAGTGGAAGGTTTCTGGAAAGGAGAGGAAGCGAGGAAGCAAAAAAGGCAAGGCCGACCATAATAATAATGTGCAGCGAACAGCAACACCGCAAAAGCAGCGCGGTATCTGGCCCGCCGTGGAACAGGTCGCCGGTGGGTCGATCGTATTCGGCCTGCACAAATTTAGCAGCTCGAGCCGCCCTAGTCTGTATGCGGCTAGCGCAGCCTTGAATAACACCAATCAGCAGGCGTAGCAACCCTGCGTCAGCTAAACATGGAACCCGCTAGGCTACGTTGGGCATGGCGTGCAAATAATCTTCTTATGTAATCCACACTATTATGCGAACGGTTCTAAAATCTCACACGAGCCTGCAGCTGGAATCGCCCATGAGGCAGCAGGGGGACGCAGCCAGTGCAGCGTCTCTGGCCATGCTCTCAAGGCCAAGAGAGTAATAAATGCCATTGTCTCATTGTTGTCGTCCCCGTCTCCTGAATGAGGTGTCCGCCGCAGGCACGACAGTATCTTATCTGCCGCCGTGACCTTGGAGGTAGCTATTAATATTTACCGGCCGGAGTTCCGTCCACGGTACCAACCGGGACTGAGGAGGCCCTAAAAATATATAGCAATGAAACAGAGAATGACATACTTTTAGGGCTAGCACCTGGAGAGACCGTTGTGTTCCGAGCATTCGCTCTCCGGAGGCTGTCTGCAGAGAAGAGGATCGGGAATCGGACCCCCAGTCAATCTTTATGGTTTGCTGCACCGAACTGCGCCATGCGTTCATGGCCGGTCTGCAGGATTCAGCTCAGGGTCCGCAGCTGTGAAAGCACAGCGCCGCCTGTAAAATGTAAATCGGGGGGGGGGTTTAGATTGTAACGAGGTCTCATCAGATCCAAATCTTTGATCCGGGTGAACAGGACGGCTTTTCGTATTTAATTCTGCCCGGATGGCGATTTACGTTGTCAGACGTAAGTCCGTTGGATGTACGACTCTTCATCGTCCTGGGGATTGTTTATGAGGAATCAATTGTTGAGACTTGAGAGGGCTTGCTTATCTATCATCTTCAATAGGTGCCGCCAACAAAACAAGGCCAATCCGGGCGATACCGAGGTTAAATCAGCTCCCATAACCTTAGGTAGATTACGACAACGGCGTGATGTGTCTGACATAGCCGTCAGGCCGCTATCTTTTCTGGAAACGAAACGTAGGTGGCAATAATTGGGGAGGCCGGGAGGAGCTTTGGCGCAGGGAAAAGGTAAAACAAAAACAAATTAAAAAAAAGCGGCAGGGCCAAGGGTGCCTGCCGCACCGCGGGTTCAGAGTTTAATTGGCTGTGTTTAACCTCGTCTGGGCGCCAGAAATCAGAAGCGGTTGCGGTGGTGGCGTGAGCGAGACGGCTGCAGATAAGACATTTTGTCTCAGCTGTTCGCAGCTGGAAGGGAGAGGATATCAGCATCGTTCCCCGAAGGTCCCAAGTGAAGACCTTTCTGGATAGAGCGTGGAAGAACACCAGGGACTTACCCTGTCACGGCACAGGAGCAGCAGCTCGATGGCACGAACCAGAGTGGGACTGTGCAACCTAACTTGGATGACAATCGCAACGGTAACAATATTAATGCGTTAATACGTTTAAACGGGTTAATCTACGTAACCTAATTACCCGGGAGCAACAGTGAGAGACATCGAGTGTCGAGGAGGCAGAATGGAGAAACCACAGGCTTTGTTTCATGACGCAGAGAGGCTGTGACGATTGACAAAAGGGGGTGGGGTTGTCCACGTACGCCTGCACGGGACTCTTCCTGGACAGAGAGACTCGAGAGTGATAGTCTGTCGATTAATCAATTATGATTTACTCAGTAGCGCATTAATTGACAGGAGAAGATTGAGAAGAGAAGAAGATACGCAGTAATTCCAGTCCGGAGAAAATGGACAGCGTAACGGCATATTAAACATGCAACGAAGATGGGAGATAAGCACATCTGAGGGCGGGTACGTGGCGTACTGGTGCGGAGAGCTTTGTCCCTCCGTCATTTCACTGCCGGAGGAGTAGGTTCTAACTGTAATACTTTTATTTTAGTAAATACTAAGAAGTAGTCGACGCAACTGAGCAAGTCCGGAAACCCGTCACGCCCATGGATCGCTGCTCTCCTTGCTGGGTCCGGACGCATTTGTCCTGCCTGCTCGTCCTGCTTGCTGCGTGGATTCCGTCTGCCTTGCGCGGTAGCCGTCATCGCCCTGTCAGAACGCAGCGGTACTGACTGTCCGTGGTTCCCCTGAATGCCCCTGCTCCCAGCGGTGGTCCTGTAACAACCGGCCTTACGTGTAGATCGCTCGCATACTGAACTCCACTGCCGCGCTTCCCCCTCAACCTCCATCTCCAGATTGCTACTTCTACTGCTTCTGCAGCCTCCTGTCTCTTCCTCCCTACCGTGAATTCCTTGTTTGCGACCCTCCCGCCTCCTGTTTTCCCACCCTCCTCCTCCGCCGCCGCCGCCTCTACCGCTGCCCCATCCCCGTCCTTCCTGTACTACAACGTCCTTGACGGATATTACCCAGTCAGATCCAGAGGGACTGGCCCGCACCTGGTGTTACTGCAAGGACACGACAAACGAACTTCCGCCTTCGAACTGGCTGCTCGCTCTTTCCTCCTCTCTCCCCGTTCCCTTCCTGCTTTTTTCATCGCCGCGGACGCATCCGTCCTGATCGCAAAGCGGCCTTCCCCATCGCCAATTGACTGGTTCAAAGGCATACGCGCCATCTCACAAGGGGCACGTTGCGTCGGAATCGTAGATGAGGACTGGTATCCTTGTCCACACTTGATTCTTTCCTCGTGCTTGCGTGGGGAGTATGCTTATGCGACTACTCTGGACAGTACACTCTTAGCTCCCCGCCGTCGACACCCGCAGAGCATGCCTGTCGATAATTCCGTCGCCTATGTGGCTGCAGAGCGCAGCAAGTCCATCCGGAAGCCGCATTGGCGAGAGAAATTGTTCTCCAAGGACAAGAACAAGGGCACCTCGGAAGCGCAGATCGAAGCCTTCCTGGGCACTGCTCGTGCTAGTCCGACGCCGACGGACGTCCCGCCGGCCGCTCCTAGTCTCCCCAAACCAGTCCCCGCACCGCGTCTTAACATTTCCACCCACAACTGGCCATCCTCGCACGATCTCTCGAGCCCGTCCCCCGTCTCCAACCCGTCGTCTGCCCCCGATCCGTATGCGCCGGTGAAGGCTCCGAACAAACCCAAATCCGGTCGTCGCAGAGGGTTGAGGGTCAGGTTCAGCAATCGGGGGCCGGACGTGATCGGCGAAGGTGGTGATGAAGCGGAAGACCCTCCACTTCATATATCCGTGTCCCACAATCGCTCACGCAGCTCCAGCTCCGACCAGTCTGAGTACCTGTCGCCGCAGCAGGAGCGCTTCTCCCCTCCCACACTGCCCCAGCTTCGGATTAACACCGTCGCATCGTCACGCGACCAAGGAAAGGATAACGCGAAAGGCCTTCATGCGGATGACTGGCGGCCTCTCCTTCACAACCCCCAGGATGCAGAGTTGCTCATGGCGTTGGGCTCTGGAAGAAGCGGATCGCGTCTGTCCTTCCGAGCTTCGCCCGAATCCAACTCGTTTGCCCAACGAGTACGGGCGAGGATGCAAGCGGAAGAAGGACGCGCTCTCCAGAAGGGGTACAACGAGCCATCCTCCCCTTCGAACGGGGAGGAGCCGGATTCCCATGAGTTCGTTACCGTTCCTACGAGTCCTAGTTCATTGTTTGGGACCTCTCCCGTCGCTGCCAAAACTGGCCCGTTCAACGTTTCCCATACCCCTCACCCGGCTCTTGCGATACATAAACAGAGCGACGCCAGTCCGGTCGAAAGCCCGATCGACCGCCGTCCGTCCCCGAACCGTTTCCCCGCGGCGTCTACTCCAAAGCACTCCCCTCCACAACCAGGCCCTGTACCTGCGGAACCGCCCACTTACAGCCGTCCATTAAATGCGGAGAATAGAAACAAGTCCACCTCGCGGAGTCCTCAACCGTTGCCTCAGCCGCCCTTCGAACCGTCCCCCAAGCCGGCACCCCAACCGGTATCGCAACCTCCGAAAGCATCCCTGCGTTCCATCGCCAATCAATTCGGCGAAATCGCGTTCGATGAGCTCGAGACGTACGTGGCAAGATACTCGGACATGTTCAAAATTGCGGCCGAACATTCCAAGCCATTGGCCGAAACTTCACTGCCCGAATGGATCAGAGCTGCCGTGTGGTGGTTCTTACGCGGAAAGAAAAGACTGGAATCGTATGCACGCACCCCATCGTCCAGTCCGGTCGGGGCGGAGCAGGCGGTACTCGACCTTGGGAAGGCCTTATGGATCAACCAACATGTTATCCCCCAGAACTCTGAATTGCAGCGGTACGGTGTGACCAGTGTGGATGCTCTGTTCGCGGTAGCGAACACGACTGGCGATACGAAAATATCCGAGATCCTGAGCCAGTATCAGGCCCTGATGAGTCACATACGCTCTCTGGCCATCTCAATCAAACGACACAGCATTCTGTCGACTATTTCTTCACACCCGACATCCACAGATCGTCTGGATACAAGTTTGTGGCTGGAATATCCCATGTTCGCTCCTGATGTCTCTGCCGTCCTGTCCGGTATGTCTTCCCGGTCGATGTTAGTGGAACGGGCCGGAAAGACCCCTAGCACGGCACATATGATGCCCGTCGGGGACACTTCCCGTTTTTTCAGCTATGGAAATATGTTTGTGGAGGTATACGTGAGCTCCAGGGACGATGACGATTCTCAATCGGACGCGATGCCATGTGCGCTATCCATCATCCGGGATCCTTCCGACTGGTACGTCTTCGCTGCAATCACGAGCCAGAGCCATCTGATCAATATCTTGATTCAATCCGACCGGAAGCAAGGACCTACCTGGGACGACGTGACCTGGCATGTTAGCAGGAACTCCATAGAAGTGAAGCTACCCCGTGGTTTTCAGTTGGATGTCATGTTCCAGGAAGATGACTTCAAGATGATCTGGAACATTGTTCAGTACACGCGAAGGACCGAAGCAAGTCTGCATCCCCGAGCTGGCGAAAACCTGATTTTCTCAAACACCCTGAAAACCTTTCAGTACATGGACCCGGGCCCGGTAAAAGCCTTCCCTGCGGAGCGGAGCGAGAGATGCAGGATTGCACTGTTCGAGCGGTCTGTGCAAGTGACCCAAGGCACCGGTACGCGCACTGCCCATCGAGGCTTCCGACTGGCCGTTGTCACAAGTCCCAAGACCAAAACCCTCAGTAATGTCCAGCATATTCTCGGATACGACGCCCCGATTGTCTTCGGTCTTTTAAGAGGGGAAGATGGCGTACCGGCACTCATGCTCAAAGTGACTGAAGATGGGCGGGCTCGTTCCATGGTACTGGGTTTCCATGAGGTTGAGGAGCGTACAACCATGCAGTCTCTCCTCCTGGCTATGGGCCCAGATGACATGGAATTTAGGAAGGTCACGGAGCTCTCAATCCGATCGTATACCATAGAACAGCCGCCCGACATGGAAAAGGGCCAGCCTGCTGTGACTCATCTTCAGTTGCCGAGTGGAAATGTGTCTGTAATCGACCTGGAACATGTCGTTCCAACGCACAGTTATGGACCGACGATCCTGTCCGAGCATCTGCGGGTTTTCGTGGCTTCGGAATTTGGATCAGTCACGGACCGTATCAATTTAGGTGAGCAGCAGTAATTTATCTACGATCTTCCGGACAATTTTGTCGGTGTGTTGACATACAGCCAGGCCCTGGAGAGCTGAAGTTGGGATTGGACGCCAACAAGAAGACGGGACTCAGTCTGTACCGGCCCGGGCAGGAAGACCTGACGGTTGCCGTGGCTGAGAACCTTGTTAATAAGGATACACCGGCTCAGTTGACTGCATTTGTCCAGAAAGCCAAAGTCACACCCATGATCCGGAAATTTGAATTTTCCTCATCGGAAGGTGAGCACGGCTTTTTCTTCGTATATGTCGGGCATCGTGCGGCGCGGTATACTAATTGATTCTGAAGATCTCCATGCGTTTGAGGAGGCAGTGACCGGGTTCAGAGTGCTGTTTGACGGGTAAGCTCCTCCGGTGTTGTGTTTTGCAATGGCCGGTGCAGAAGTACTGAACGACACCCTGCAGATTTTCTTCGTCTTTTACGATATCCCGACGCCGAATGGTCGTTCCTATTTACAAAAAGTGGGAAGCGACTCAAGTCCGAATCCAAGTGGTTCAGCAAGAGAAAGTCATCCAGCTGCTGGCTTTCTTCTCTGACTTCAGCCACGGTCAATGTATGAACTTTGTGCTCAAGGGCACGGACGTTTTGGAAGTGTTTAATCGGGCCGGTAAGTTCGGTATCAGGGTTGTCGACGCCAAGTTCGCACTGCCCAAGAACGACGGCGATCCTGCATCGGAGTTCCTCTGCTTGGACATGCCCGAGTACCCGATCGAGCATGACGATATCTCCATACTGTTTAATTCGGAGACAGGTACGATCCCTTTGCTTATCTGCCTCTCTTTGCATCTTCCGTGGAGCTAACAGCCTATTACTATTAAATGCAGACCGGGCAAGCTTCCAGGCCGCCGTACCGGGGTCGGTGCGCAAGCCATCGCGCATGGATTCCCTCAGGCGCTAGCGACGATCCCCAACTTCTATTTCCACGGCCAGCAACGAGAGTCATGACCTGATTTTGTGTGTGGGGTTTTTTTTTTTTTTTTCTTCTTTTTTTCTTTCTTGGCTGTAAGATATCTAGCAACAAACGGCGTTTTTTGGCGTTCCGGTTCTTCTCCGGCAATCGGCCCACGTGACCGTTTCGCATCGAAGAGGGGCTGGTGGATCCCCGAATGCGGTGCTTCTACGGAGTATGCCCTGTTGAAAACCATCCCCGCCGCAGACTCATCCATCTCCTAATTACTCAACCGGTTCATTCTTGGACCCATCCTGTCCTTCTCCTTTACTCTTGTCCATTATCAATCGTCTCAACGCATACACCACAATGGCTCCGTCCACCCAGGCAGCGGGCGCTTCTACGCGTGCTCTGCATGCTGATGATGTGCTAAACGTCGTGACTGACGTTGCGCCTCCACTGCATCTCTCTACGACATTCAGATACCCCGACAATCCGGATGAGCTTGTTCCTTGCTCTGCCGCTACTGTATGGTTCTCGATCGCGATTGCTCGTCTAATCTGTCACATTTGGAAGGAATCTGACTCGGTTTCAGTATGAACATAATGCGACGACCCATATCTACTCTCGCGACTCGGCCCCGAATTTCACGCGGTTTGAGAACATTCTTTCCTCCCTCTTGAATGGCCACGCTGTCAGCTACTCCTCTGGGCTGTCCGCCTTCCATGCTGCACTCGTGCTTCTCAATCCGCGTCGTATCGCTATTGGAGGCGGTTATCATGGCTGCCACGGTGTTATTGGTCTCTTCAACCGCTTGACGGGCCTTCAAAAATTGGACCTTGACTGCCCCGCGGAGCAACTGGAGGCCGGAGACGTGATTCATCTCGAGACCCCGGTCAACCCGTACGGTACCGCCTTTAATATTGAGGAGTACGCAAAGAAGGCCCATTCCCGGGGAGCATATCTTATTGTGGACGCCACATTTGCGCCCCCTAATCTACAGGACCCTTTCCTCTGGGGTGCAGACCTCGTGATGCATTCTGGTTCCAAGTATTTCGGTGGACACAGTGACCTTCTGTGTGGGGTCCTGGTAACCAAACGCGAAGATTGGGCAAAGCGATTGCGAAACGATCGCTTGTTCCTTGGCAGTATCCTGGGGAATATGGAGAGTTGGCTGGGAGTTCGGAGCTTGCGGACACTGGAGGTCCGGGTGCAACGGCAAAGTCAAAATGCAACGAAGCTTGTGAGCTGGCTGGATGGTGCATTGCATGCGAAAGACCCTGCTCCGGGGAGTGATGAAGCTGCAACTCAAGCGATTCTTCAGAAGATCTTCCACGCAAGTCTGCAGAAAGACGACGAGTCGTGGTTGCTGAAGCAGATGCCTAATGGCTTTGGGCCAGTTTTCTCGATACTCACCAAGGATGCTGATATGGCGCGCAAGCTGCCTAGCAAACTATCCTTCTTTCACCACGCGACAAGTTTAGGAGGTGTCGAGACGCTGATCGAATGGCGGAGCATGACGGATGTGCATGTGGATCGCCGGTTGTTAAGGATCAGTGTGGGGTTGGAGAACTGGGAAGACTTGAAAAACGATTTGGCCGAGGCTTTCAGAAGTTTGGCTGGCGGGGCGTGAGTCCACGGGTAGTTCCCTGCTGGACCTGGTTACTGCATTGTTGTTGCATTCTCTTCTTTATCCGTCTTATTTGTCCATGTCTTCGTCTCGGCGGATTAGGTACCCGTCCAGTAGCATTATAAAACGGACACACTGTTCCTTGCTGTTGATCACGTTCATCGTACTTTTGAAGGCCATACATATTGCAGCTGTAGAGAGCATGATGAGAGCCTGAATTTGCAGGTAACAGTTTATGTATTTTAGTTAACTAGCTATGCCTATCAGATGACTAATTATACATATAAATTAATACCGAGCTAACCGATTTAAGTAAGGCCGAGGCCATCGAAGATAACGCAATCCCCAACTAGTTAACTATCTACCTCTGGACAGCGTTGGAACTTCACATCTTAGACCTCTGTGAAGTTTGAACTATTCTTCTACATCAACCAGTCCATCATAGCACCATGACCTCTCAACCAGAACCCGAAAACAGCAAAAACAAATCCACCTCTCAGCCCGAGCAAGAGCATGAACATAATAAACATGAACAAACAAGCGGACACTTCCAAATCCACTACTTCGCAGCCGCGTCCGATTACGTTGGCAAACCAAGCGAATCCCTCCCCGCCCCTCTCACCTTGTCACAGCTCTTCCCTGTCCTCGAGACTAAATACCCCGGCATCCGGGAGAAGGTGTTGAAGAGCTGTGGGGTCAGTGTAGGGTTTGAATATGTTGATGTTGAGGATGACGGGGGGCGTGTTGTTATTGGGATTGGGGAGGAGGTGGCTATTATTCCACCTGTTAGTTCGGGGTGATCTTTTTCTCTCTTATTTCTTTTATCTGGGGTGCTTTTTGGTTGGTTTAAATATGGATGGGTTATGTGTATTGGTGTTTCTTGGGGGCGTTGGATCCGTAGGTCTCCTGTTTGTATAGATTCACTATACCCTCATATGAGAGTGCTAATCAGATGGTGTCAACGAGAATAGAACGAAGCGTGTGGATCAGATTATTGCTTTATCAAACAAGAAGGAAAGCAAGCAATGTAGAAAGCGGAAAGCAGAAAGCCGACAGCACGAACAGAAGACAAGACAACAAAAGCCAAATCGAATACTAATTAGTCCACCACATCCTTGAACAATCTTGCTAACATCATGACATGGACAAGAAAGAGAGAATTACTTCGTGTAAAAGGTTGTTGATACCGGCATGGCCTGGATATTGATCCATCAACCGTCCAGCTTCTGTGCCCCAGCCCTCTTCTTCTGCCTCCACAGACATATACTGCAGATGGCAGAAAAGAAGAACAAGATACTATATCAATCAGCACGCGTCCCGAGGAACTAAAGGAGCAAAATAGGGAGGGGAAAAGAATACTAACCACAAGGCAATAGTCAACCCCCAAATAGCCTTTGTCTCCAGACAAACCGCCCGCGACATCCCAATCCAATTCACATACTTCACCACCTTCCCCGAAATCTGATCAACAACGCTATCCAGATTCCTCGTGAACGCGTACGCACTCGTCTTGGAAGATGCCGCGGCTTCATTCCCGATCTCGCTGCATTTCAAATACGACAGGGGCTTGCCCACGATCACCGCCACCACAATGACGGCCACCAGACACAGTGTGTCCATGATTGCTGTCGCTAGGAACGGGAGAATGTCGTCTAGGTAGAGGATCGAGGTTATGATACAGTATATGATTACTGTGCAGGCCTTGTATTCTGTTAGCATTCGTTTATGTCGGGCGGTACCAACCGAGTATTTATGTGCGGACTTACAATGCTGATTGTCCCGATCAACACATCCGGGGGCGTCAGGTCATTCGACACGATCTCTGAGATGAAGTTGGCTGTCATGCCGATTATGGCGATGAGGGAGCACATCTGGAATACGCGGGCAAGTTGCAGGGCTGCGCCTAGGGCGCCGTATTGAGGGGTTTGCATCTTGGGCTTGTTATGAATACGGCGACTTGGTTGGACTGATCGTTGAGGTTGCCTGCGACGGGGATTTGCGTCGGTACAAAGAATGGGGCGATGCGATAGAGATATAGCCAGGTATGTAAACAAGGAAGAAATTGTTCTCGTTGTGATCGAGCTTGTGGACTCTGCATGAAGAACAAACAAAAGACGTCAAGACTGTCTTTAAATAATCGACAATGAAGTCCAGACTCCAGGCAGTAACAGCTCACCGTCTCTCCTACGGAATCCATATTTAGCAATTCCCATCTTCAAGTCTAGATTTTCGACCAAGTCTTCTTTTTTTCATTTTCTTCAGGTAGAGCCGCGCCGACAAGCGCTGTGTTCATCGAATGATATTGCGATGTTGCCAAAGTCCTGCTCGTCTTGCAGGCGGTTAGATCATGCCGTCTGCAAGAGCCTACTAGTAGGATATGCAGGCGGCAGATTAAGGTATTCGATTAAATTTCGAGAGGGGCTTCATACTGCAAGGGGCGCTTGTTGTTCACTTGCTGAATTCCCGGGAATATTTTTGGTGGGATTTTGCGGCAGCTGTCGTTATCCACCAGGCGCTTAGGATAGTCTGTTCTTATGCGAGTAAACACATCCACTAAGGAAATAAGGTCCTCCGTAATATCTCCATCGATTTAAGCTCTGAAGCCGTGTCTACCAATACATCCCGATGGGGCAAAGCGAGCAACGAAGATCCAACCCTATAAATAAGCCCTAGGAAAGAAAGTTACCGCCGCAATGCAGAACCTGCTGATTCCCAACCAATGACCCCCTAACTGAAATCCAATCTGACACGACAGCCAATTCAGTTATTCTTGCCTATAACACTCCGTATACTCCGTAGAAGACAGGCAATCTGATCCGTCTTCCCGGGAGCAGACTATTACGTGGCAGACAGACACGGCGGAAGATGATCCTATTTGTTGAATCTTACTGCTTCTGCATTGCAGTACCAACATAAGAGCTCCTTGGGCTATGCATGGCGGTAGCTAGAGCTATATGTGTATTCTATTCTACTGGCTGTTGTTGCAATTGTGGCGCAGTTGCATCTCGGTGTCTGCTCGCTTCAACCGGGATTACGGGAGACTGCATGAGGGAATGATTTGGACTCCATCCGTAGCCAATACATTCGTTTGCAGGAGTATTCGCTGAATAGAACGTAGAGTGATCCTGTTTAATCCCGCTCTAAAGGTATATATCTCCTCTTCGCAGCCCTTCGTTGCCTTGCCTCTTCTCCCGGAACGCTTGCTCGACTCGTCCTTGCTATTAAGTGGGTGGCTGGCGACGGGGATATATGATTTTTATATATTTTATTCTGAAGTTGTACATAGTGTCCTTTATATATGGGAGTCGGCTATATACCACTTCTTCAAGCGGGCATTGTGTCCTTTAGTCTTCCGGCGTTTCATCCCTCTCTCCCTCTGATATCGCCCACCGGCTCAAAATTGCTGCAACGCATATACAACAGCTGTGGAAGACCCATGCATCCTTGTGTCCTGGCTCTAGCTATCTCGATGAGTGCCAACGAGGCAGTTTTGTGAACGAGGTGCCATTTGCGATTTTCTGTGCAGCGGAACACGAAGACCGACTGTCGAGGCGGTTCCAGTTCATAATTCCTTTTCGACTATACTTATGCTTCCATTCACAGGGGGCTTCCCTGGCTGGAATATTTTATATGTTTGTTCCCTTCCTCTGTCTGCATGCATGAGATCTGTTAACCATCCGTACCAGGTTGCTAGACCGCGGGATCACCAAGGATCATACTGACCTGAAAAGATGACATGACACCTAATTAGTGTCTTCCCAGTGATGTTGCTCAGGTCAACACATCGGAATTGACGTATCCTTGGCGATACAGACTTGGACGAGCTGTGACGAACCCAGAACCTCTTTTGACTGGAAGCCACTGCTATGGGATCTACGACCCGAAGTCGTACAGGACTGACCGTCCCGGTAACACGCTTGCGCAGCAGATGGCCGGGCTTTACCAGGTTATCGAGAAAGTAGGACATCTCTTCCATCTGAACCTTCTTGCTGCCATGAAGATACACCCTGTGATTTCTCCAGACAAGCTAAGAAAGGCTGCCACTGATGCCCTCCCTGGGCAATACAATGGACCGCCGGAGTCCATCATTATCAATGATGAAGAAGAATGGGAGGCAGAGGAGATACTTACCAGCGGCATCTCTCGAGGACCACTGCAATACAAGGTTAAATCGACTTTACCTGGTCCTCAGCTTCGAATTTCAAAGGGTTCGCCGCAGCTCCACGGTAATCACTTGCCAGTACCCAGATCAGACAGCACCAAGAAGCCTTGACAAATGGATACATGCATGGGAATAAGGCGAAGAGGTTTATGATAGCGATAAATCAACCGCTCAGCTGAGGAGAGCTCAGGCCTTGGTGGGGAGTGATGTACGCGTCCCATGGGGCTACTGTGATGGTCTGAGTACTTTGTTGTTTCTGGAGGAATTCCTGTCTATGGTAGATCCCAGTGATGACTTTTCGCGCTTCTTGCCCATCCTTGTTTGCTTGGAGCCTTTTTCTCTGATTCTCTTCTTATCCCCTCTCTCATTCTGAAGCTTGTGATGATATGGTTGCTGAGCGGTTCCCATTATACCTTGAAGGAGGGTTCCTGTTGCTGTACGATGCTTTCTTTCATTAGGGGGTCTCCCCTACTGTTTGCTGCTTAACACTTCCTATATAAAGGAGCGCTGGTCCTCACTGTCTTCCCCCTTTCTCCCTTTCTTTCCCCAGTTCCAGTGTTCGTTGGAATAGATACTAAATAGCATAAGTTGCCTTTTCTTCCTATTCCTAGTATCGCCGTCACACCTCGACCATCTCCCAACCACTCTGCCATGGACGGCCAGAAGAAGCCTCATGATTGATGGAGTTGCTGTTGAACTATATGGCTATGCAGTTCCAATTATGCCATAATATCCTGGTTGCATAATAGTGCACTGGACATAGAACATCTTCACAGGCAGGCACATGTTACCGTGATTGATATGGAGGGCACTGTCCGTAACCAGAGAGAAGATAAAGCAAAAGCCCTAGTGGCAAAGGAAATGAAGTATGGAAACCAGACCCTGGGACTGGTGAGGCACTGCCCAAGGGACCTGCATCCTACGCATACAGAACTTGAGCTCTTGGAGGGCAAATTTCCTTCGAAGTGAAGCAGCAGTGCACATGCACTTGATGCGTACCTCCAGGGCCAAAGGAATCCGTGGCAGACATATCGTCACTCTCCATGCTCACCTCACCCCACATGACGGGCTTAAAGGCCGCATCCCTATCATCTTTCGGAGGATGACATGCAGCACTGATCACTGCGCTGCAATCCATGGACAATGGCATGGCAGTATAAAATCCCCTGGCGGCAAGAACAACCATCAAAATAACTAAAATGGCACCCATAATCTCTGAAACGACCAGTTCCAAGGGTGAGACGGCACAGGTGCTGGTCACTGCGGAATTGATGGGCTCGCCCCTGAAATTGTGAGGGATGATTCGCACAAAGTACACGCCTTCTGAGACGAGCCAATGCAGCACGACAAGCGTCACTAGGAACGGGACACTGAATCGATACGGGATGGTGAGGTAGTAGGTCGAGCGCTGCTGGCCTTGCGGGAAGAACACGCGTAGAGGTTTCCGGTTAATGCGGTAGTCTTGATACTCGGTAGCGAGGAGCATCCGCGTCAAACTGTCGTTGAGCAGGAAGTATAAGATAGATAGGATAACTTGAAACATGTTTGCAAAGAGCTGCAGCGCTACATGGTTTGAAGAGGGGTTAGTCATGAGATTGTCGGGCTGCAAGCTGCCCATGCCTGGGTTGAACACACGGTGCGATGAGTCTAGAGTGTTGACGTTCTTGCATAACCACCAGACGAGAACCAGCCATGCCACACTGATTGCGAAAACACCATCCAGACAAAGGGCTTTGTTGACCACCCCAACCTTGCAAAGCACAACGGAGCATGTCCCGGACGGACAGGGGTGGGTAGGGGCGGCTGACGTTTTCCAGCAGTGTGTACAGACAGCGTCCAAGGGTACGCAGGGTCCTTGCTTTTGTTCTCAATGGAGAGCATGTATTGGCCTGCAGTAGTGGGATCAGGGTTCTGCAGGAAAGAAGAGATGGCGTCACCCACCGTCAGCAGGAGGTTATCACGGCGGTCATGCATGGGAATCAACATGCAGATAATGTTGATGATGTTACAACCAATGACCACAATGGTGATGGGCAGACCGTACCGCAACTCGCAGTTTTCCTTTGTTTTCTGGCCAAGGCAGTAGTCCACGTACAATATGCGGCCGTGATGGACATATCGCGAGGGGAACACTGGAAGATGAACTCGGGATCATTTGCGAATCCCAGTGCGTGCCCCGGACTGCCCAAGTGCGGTTGTATTGCATGGTATCTTCAGGTTTGCAGGTCCTGCCTGTAAGATTGTAATATGCGCTGCACATCCATCCATATCCCCCGAGGACTTGTTCGGAAGAGAAGATGCTGTAGCTACCCCCCCCGGGAGAATCATTTCCTTCGACCTTCGACCATGGGAGGAGATCCATATCCAGCCCAGTACAACGGCTGTGCTGTACCTGTTCCCGTTCGATTGGTCGTCACAAGGACCAAGGTGCGTCGATCATGCAGATAGTCGACGCCATAGGCCGAGATGCAGTCCTCGTTTGAGGCCGCTCAAAGTTGCGGCTGGGATACTCGATCGAAGATGCCCTTGATCCCAGCTCGTGGCATTTTCAAAGCACTTACCTGTGGTGAAACTCTCTATAGCGTGGTCTGGCGCGACAAATCCCGGTGGCACAACGATAACGCCGTATGAGTTTGCCCCAGTAACGAAGCAGATGGCCGAGTTGTAACTGGAAACTGTAAGCCTCCATTGAGGGCGGCTGGCAATAGCCCTTACAGAAACTGGTTCAAAATTGAAGTCCCAACGAGAACCATCCAGAGAGCAATCTGCCTTCGACTTCGAAGGAAGACATTCCTGGTACTGAAAGGGCCGATGGGCACCCAACGACGATAGGAATGTGCTCGATCCACATTCTCCCGCGTTGGGGCTGCCACAACCTGACAACAGTAGCTGCTTGTGGCCATGAGGGTGATACTGAGGATGTTGATCAGTACATGGAGCCCGGCCGCGCTGGTTCGAGTTCTCTCACAGCTCCCCTTGTAGAGCGTTTGGGATTGAACACCAGCACGGGAAGCCGCAAGGCCCAGAGCTGCAATGGTCAAGATGAGATTGACGGCCAGTACTGCGATGTTTCCGTACAGGTACTACGAGACGCCTTTAGTCCACGATTTCTTCTTCCTCATCCGTGTTGGAGAGATGCCCAGCATAGGAAACTTCATGTGTTCCGGTCTGGGTGACGGATCATGGTCCTCGTTTTCCGGCCCATTTGCACATGATGTTCCTGGACTTGCCGCAGACGAGGATGAGTGTGAGCTAAGACAATATATCACCTAAATGTCTCTAATATGTCGTTGGCAATTAGACATATGCGTGCACCTCGGAATTATGCGGGCGGCGCCATACCTCAGTGCGTCTCAAGGGCTGTGTAATTAGCTCCACTTCCGGTACTACTTTCAGCCTCATGGAATGGCGTGTTATCTTGCCGTTTCTGTGTAGATCTTCTATTGTTAGTTTCAAGTATGTCCGCATTATTGGCATAGGACAGGAGAATGAATGCTTAGCCAGACACAAGCGTTATGTATGGCTTTTGATAGTGTCCCGTCTCCTGAATTCTCCTGGGTAGTATTCTGCACCCCTGCTGAACCCTCGATGGGGCAGGATGAGCAGGATGAACAGGATCAGGGCGAATTTGCTAAGCCTCATTATCCTGTGCTGCGCTCACATATCCCTGGCAGCCAGTCCTTTCCTTCCTTTCCCTCCCACCAGGCCACAGGGATCATAGTTGTCCACAGGGAGGGTTACGTTGTGAAATGCCGATCATCTTTATGTCTGACAAGTGTTTGTGTTTGGTTGGCTGACACACTGGATGAAAGGTGATGGCGGCATGCCGGTAGGATGGAAACAGTCCTTACAGGGTAGCTAGAAAATTGCTAGTGCTTTGAAAGATGGGTTTGGCATGCGGGTGACGGGTTCGACGTGGTTGTATTCATAAAGGGGTCGGCGGAGTTGGTCCCTATCTAGCTAATGGAGATCACGTGACTACTCAACAGCGGGTTGATATACGTATGGTACGTACTAAAAATAGTGTCAAATGTAATGATAATAAAATAATAAAGCTTATGTTGAACGGTCTATAGTTAGTTAACTAAAAAGTGCGGACCAGAGGCTTATGTCATGGCATTTCCCTTTTTGGCTGACTCGCCAACAGCTTATGAGGATATACTATTTTGGATAGGTGGATTATCTAATAATCCGGTCCCGGGTTACGGAGTATATATATTCCGCGGAAAAAGGCCACCATACATGTATCCTGGAAGTTGTATATAGCAAGCCATCGAGAGCTCAAGGAGGCGCATCGATTAGTGCTTCAAGATGTACTAGAGACGGCAGTATATCGATATAGAGCGTTCACCACGATCCCTACGAATCCTACGGCATCCTTCTAGTATCTGGTGTCCAGACGCCGCACGCCTGATCCACATCAGCTTACTAATGACACGTGACCTCTAAGTCAACAAGACCTAATGAGCCCTAAGTTGGCCATTTTGATCTGGCATATAATGGGAGCGACGGTCTAGAGATTGCTCTCTCCAACAACGGGAAAGTACGACAGCGAGGGGATAGGATCCGAGGCATCTTTTGTTCCTGTTCCTGTTCCTACTGTACAGGATGAAGTTCCTGACGTGGTAGTCATTGCAGGTACCAGACTCCAGCGCCTGCTTGGGAGTGATTGAGTTCGGGCTTGTGTGCACGGATGCGTGATCCTGGCCAAGAAGACCCTCATAACCGTGAAGTACAAAGATTGAGCATCGCAATGTTCTGCGCTCCTTCCGTACTATCAATACAACGTTCTCCGACCTAGACTTCGGAGAGAGCAACAAAGAGTTTGCTGTCACATTTTGTTTATCTTCACTAGTTTGTAATCGCGTTGCTAGTAATACGAAGAAGAAAAGGCAAAAAAAAAAAAAAAAAAAAAAAAAAAAAAAACACTGAATATGGGGAAAGAAAGGGGGAAAGGGGAAAGACCGCAAGCACCCTTTACCGTCCCATGCTTTGGATATGGGTCGGTGGGCGCCCCAACATTGCTCTGGTCAAACTACGATGATATACACACTGGATCAGTGAGCTCTTTGGAAACACGCTGGCCCCGGGACATTGCTTCAAACTGGATGGGTTTATATGAGCCGGTGAGACATGGATAGCCCGTCTACTGCATATATTGAGGGAACATGTGACCACTTATTCCTTTTGCATCCCAGGAGTGCTTCAAAGATATATATGCATGCCATATAGATTCAGATTGTATTGGATCTTACGCTGGACAGCTGGACAGCCCTCATATCTATATTCTTTCTATACATCATGTTCCCTGTAACGGCAGATTGCTGTATGTTATGAATTACACCAAGATGAGATGAATTAAGAATGCTTTATTTCAAAGATCAAGGATATCTCAACAGCTATATGTACAGAATCCTGCACAGGATATTAAAGTAAATGCAAAACACTAACTTCTTCCAAGAAATCATCACCGCCAGGCCAAAAGAGTATATAATTACCCCCTTCAGTGTTTAGCCTCGGGGGGTAGCATGTGCAATGCTCGTGATATCTCCTGTATCCAATTGGGAAATCCTCGAAGGAAGCTTCCAGCAATCCAGTACCGTTCTGGCAAGATTATCTGGCCACTCTCACCTTTGAGGACTTGCTTCACAACGGCATTTGCGACGGTCTCCGGCTCCAGAAGAGGCTGGAATGGTTTCTTCGGCAGACTATCGAGTAAGGGCGTGCGGGCCCAGAATGGTTGAACAACACTGGAATCTTGGTTAGTACTGATAGTCTTTTTCTACATCATCCTCACCGGAGGGAAGGGGTCTCCACTAACGTTGTCCGGATCTTCCTGGCTTTGTATCTCCAGGTGATTTCCTGCGCTAGACCCTCATGGAATGAAAGGGCCGCGGCCTTTGTGCATGAATAATCCACGTTGGATGCGACGGTAGCAAAGCTCGCCATACTAGCCAGCGTGACGATATGTCCGTGATTCTTTGCAATCATGGACGGTAGGAATGCCTTCACCAGCGGGAAGAAGGCGATGATGTTCACCTCGAAGGTGCGACGGATTCCTTCCATGGATCCCCCTAGAATGGTTTGTCCGGTGATGATGCCGGCGTTGTTGATCAAGACTGTTGGGTCACCGACCTCCTGTTTGATTTGCTTGGCTACTTGCTGGACCGCATCAGCGTCGGTGACATTGACGGCGTAGAAGTGGACGTTGGGCGGGAAAGGGTTGGCTGGCGGCTTCAGGTCCAGGACGACAATCTTGATATTCCGCTGGGAGAATTTGCGGACCATCAACTCTCCGAATCCGCCGCTGCCCCCTGTGATCACGATGATCTCTTTGCTCCAGTCCCATTTATCGCGTGTGAAGTTGTTGAGTACTGCGCGGTTGAGGAGCCGATTGAGCCTGTAGACAATGCCGAGCCCTACCAGGATTTTGAGGGTTTTCGTAAGGCGAGCAAGGTCGATTGTTTTCTTCGTGACTGACGCAATAAGCCGTTGCACCGTTTCAGGTGATTTGAGAACTGAAGCAAGGACAGCACCGGTTATGACGGGCTGCAGGAGCACCTTGTGTAAAGGAGCTGCGAGGTACTCGAGGGTCACGCCCTCAGCGGGTAGACGAAGTAGTCCGGCCATTTTCTTTCTTTTTTCCTTTTTTGCTGTTTATTCCTCGGGCTATTCAGGACGACTCCCTACATCTCGAATTATCCGGTGCTACCTTGTCCAACGCATAGCTTAAGTACGAGTAGGGATCGTGCGATGCTGGTAGATCAGCACAGAAAGCCCCGCACTGTCACGGACCAGCAATCCTTGTGAAGCTGCGCTGCCGAGGCCTCCTGAGGTTTTTATATATCCGCCAGCATGTGGTCCGCTCTTCTCCCTAGGAACTCTATTTGAGAATAGATTATTTGTGTTGCCCCGGTGAGCTTGTACTGCATAATTATGTACCAATCATGGCAGAGTTGACGCATCCTGGCGATTCCAACATCGATGCTTCCATCACGTGTCGACTGTTTCGTTCTAATCTCGGCTACGCATCATGAGCCTGTCTCCTTGCTCTCCTACTCGTCTAGTCTGTTTTCTCAAGTGATTCCCATAGCCTTTCAGGGGAACCTTCATAACTACTATGAAATAAAGGTTTCATAAATATCCCCGGGTTTAATTTCCCGTGATATTGCTCTTAGTCAGCAGGCCCACCACGAAAACTCTGTCCCGCTAACCTTATCCGGAGTAGTGGTTATTTATACCCCGCTAATCCGTAAATGGCAACGGACCTAAATCCAGGCGGTGAGGTTAACTGCTGGCAGAATTGCGACAATTTCTGTTGCCACCACACCGCTTTCCAACACTGCGCGTTTGCTCTCATCGCTGTCCTTCTTCACCTCAACCGGCGCTGTTCGGAATGTGTGTTGATTGAAAATGGCCCTGGGACTGCTACGGGCTTCATTTCTGCATAATGTATCAAACGTCCGCAGCACGAATACCGTCTCCATCCGCCGTGTGCTGACGCAGAAGCTGACGGCGGTTGCCACTGCCCGAGCTACCTACTCCCGACCAGGCCTACGCGGTAATGGTCGCTGGTCGGTATCTGCTTTTTCTTCTCGGCGAGAATTTAATACTGTTCACAAGTCACAGGTATGTTCTGGGGAGAATATGTGACTCCGGATATGCTGGTTATTGTGCTGTTTTCTTACGTCTTGCATTAGAATGCCAGTGCTGCCGCAGCCGCCGCAGCCGGGCTGGACCCGGCCACGTCTCCGGCGTCGGTTGAACAGATTCGTCTTCGAACGGAATTTATGGAAAATAATGACATAAGGGAGTATTTACGGAAATGGCAGGAACACCATTCAAACGCAGTCGATCCTGTTCGGGGACCGGGAACGTCCAATGCGTCATTGGAGCCGTCAAAACCGTGGGTAGGGAACATGCTGAACGATAATCGGGAGACACACGATGCTGGCAGTGATGTTCTGCGTCTGACAGATGCGGATACCTCGGGCTTCTCGAACGTTGCCGAGGAAGGCGAAGCTGAGGCTGACTACCTGCAACCTGGCGATCTGGTGGCACTAACAGGGTAATTTCTCATTTGGCTACTCTCGCCCTGAACCATGACTGATAGTCGCCTGTTTCGCAGTGTCGATGGTCTGTTGACCCTTGCTATCTACGTACGATCCGTTCAGAAACAGCAGCAATTTTATTCCGAACGAGGGAAATGGCGCGTGGCTTTCCCTAAAGATTTTGACTACGTGGTGAAAGATTTTGCTCCCGCAAATTTGGTAGCATCCCTCCATCCATATTTTCCCGATACTGCTGCAAAGCTTAGCAAGGAGATGCAGTCAGCCATCGAGGGTGGCGTGCCGAGATCTGCTGGTGGTCAGCTACTGCGACTCATGTATGATTTCAAAGAGAAGGTCGATGAGTTTTATAGACAAAATGCGTTCTGCCTGGATGATTTACACAATGTTGTGGCCGAGGAGGACACAACAACTGAGTATACGTTGGAGGAACTTGCCTCCAAGGCCTTTGAGATCGATGAAGGAGAACTAGACGTGGTCTTGTTTGCTACACACAAGGCTGTCCGCAGGAATGCTTTTCTAATTAACAACGATAAGAGTTCTCTTTTTTCCAACCATTATCTTGTGCAGCCCAAGACAGTTACCAAGATCGCTGAAACCGTCAATAACTGGGTACATGAACATCAGGAATACCTTCTCCGGACGGCAGCTGGCAAGAGAACTACCCAGTTCAACGACCATCCAATGGTTCAATTCTTGCAAAAAGCCCAGCAGCTCGTTCTGCTCAGTCGAAAAACCCGATCTCCCACAACAATGGCCAACGTAGGCCCTACGTCGGTACGATATCAACCTGGTCAGGACGGACAGCCGCTGGTGTACCGCGAGGTGCCCGCGGAAAAGTTCAATGAAAACGACATGAAGATTCTAAAATACCTCCTGCTCTATTGTATTCCACCGCGGCAGATGACAGGCTCGTTGAGGTCGGCTGGATCGTACATAATGCGAGCGACAGGAATGTACGGCTCAATGAGTCTCACTGCAGCGTCCATGCCGCTTTTTCTCCAGGAACTAGGCGTCATTTCTCCTTGGGAGAATCTGCAACTACTCGACCAAAATCTGGGCCTTCCCGGCCACTCTACCTCGGATCGTTCAGAACGGGCATGGGAAGAGGATCTTCGAACTGCTCAAGAGCTCTGTTTCAGTGGAGTTACTGATACCATGCAGGATCTGAGGACTGATTGGGGTGATTTGCCGATTTATTGTGTTGATGATCCCAGTGCCGAAGAAATCGATGACGGAATTTCCTTGGAACGGGTTCCGGGCTCAAATGACACCTTTTGGGTCCGTGTCCATATTGCAAACCCATCAGCATTTATTCCCCTAGAAAGCCCAATGATGCAGAATGCCCTTTCCCGGTGCCAGACTCTCTATGTCCCAGAGCGTACGTATCCAATTCTACCAAGTTCATTGACACAGAAATATTTCAGTTTGGCCTCTGGGCGCCCCACTCTCACCTTCAGTGCGAAAATGAACCTGAAGGGAGATGTTCTGGACACAAGCGTTACGAATGGTATCGCCAGGAATGTGATATATATCACTCATGACAAGCTACGGAGCATTTTTGACCCGCAAGCTGAAGATTCTCCAAAGACCCTTCGAGTCGGAGGGGATTTCACTGTGGACCATTCGAAACGTGGCTTACGGGACACTCTTTCTGAGGATGACCAGGAGACTTTCCGCACGTTGCGCAAACTCATGCTGGGCTTCCGCGAATGGAGACAGAAGAATGGTGCCATGGAATGGCCTCAATTGGCAAACACGTCTGTATCGGTTTCTTGGGGAAATAAAACAGTGGAGCCATACTCTATGAGTCTGCATCAGAGCCGTCATTTCCTGGGCGATCCGGTCATTCAGCTCCGGTCACAAGATATTGATCCCCACGAAGTACCTGACCAAAGCAAGCATAACCTTGTGTCACTGGTAATGAACCTCGCATGCTGGGTCGCGGCGAAATGGTGCGCAGAGCGTAATATCCCCACCATCTACAATGGAACCTGGTATCATCCCGAGTACCCGCAATTGACCAACAAGAACATCCATGAATACGGCGGAAGCAGCTGGTTGAATTATGCGGCGCCGATGAGCATCGCTGCATCTGAGCCTGTTCCCCATGCTCCGCTTGGACTCGATGCGTACGTCAAAGCCACTAGTCCACTACGCCGCGACACCGATCTGGTGGCCCATTACCAAATCGAAGCAGCCCTGAGATTCGAGAAACAAAACGGGCGACGCCTCGACGCTAGCTCCTCATCTGATGTCTCCGTGCTCCCCTTATCCAAGGATGCATTGGACACCCACATCTCCCGCACCCGCTGGAGGCGATCCAAGATCCGAGAATATGACGCAGGTTCTAAGCAATTCTGGGCTTGCTTACTCCTCTTCCGCGCCTTCTACTTCGCTGAGTGCGATCTCCCCGAGACTTTTACCTGTCTCCTCCATAAACCGTACAGCGATACTGCGCTGGCCAGCACCGAATTTGGTGAGGGATACATGGGCGTCATGACCTCGCTCGGGGTGAAGTGTCAGATTCTCATTCCCGAGGGATTTCATGATGTTGACATCCTCAGCGTCGTGAAGGGGAGGATTCTATCTGTTGATTTATCCCGGATGCTTGTTATTATAGAGGCCACGGAATTCGTGAAACATTTTGAACGGGTGGGCGAGTGGAAGTGAACGTGATTCTGGATATTGAAATTTTGAGGGTGGTTCGGTTCATGTCTAGGATCGTCATCCATGTATTATATATGAGTGTATTCATGACAACTCTGTAATATAGACATGCACATAATGACGGATATATAAGAAGCATTCGAAGAGTTCGATATATCCACTTTCTGAGTAGTTGAAGGGTATGTTGTTATCTATATAGATAGATGTCTTGGTTGATTCTCTGTGAGTGAGCAGATCACTTCCAAACTAGGAAGGACTGTTCCTACCCTGCTACAAGCCCTAATTTGGGAACTGCAGCTAGACAACAACACCGCAGAGTAACCTGCTGTTCCATAGATTGTAAGTTACATATCTATCTGTGTGGGGTCCTGGGCTGAAGAATATCGCCTTGATGACGAAGGGGAAAGAAAATGAAGCCATTTAAATATGTCCGCAGTATCAGCATTGGCATTTTCAGAGTCAACCTCACACGTACTTTTTATAAACAAACCCCAAAAACTGTATCAGAATCCCCATGCAAATTTCGAAGTCCCCCACCCCAAATGCAGTCGCCGACATTTCTATATGCAGATCATACCCCTGGTCCTATTCCATCGAGATACTCATCAAACGCCAAGAACGTCCTTTACAAGGCTTTTCTTATTCACTGTCCAGGGCCAGCGTTAGCAGAAGATCTATCGGGAAAATGGATCAAATTGGATTAAATCAATCAACCAAACAGAAAACTCACCCTTCCCCATTGCATTCCTCGGAATCTCCCGATCAATCACCTTCATCTCAACTGGGATTTTATACGGCGCTAATCTATCCTTCAGTGCGAGTCGCATGTCCCACGCATTCCAGGGTTTGCCATCTCGACCGGTCTTAGCGGCTACCTCTTGATTGAGCACGACGATGGCGACAACTTTTTGGCCCCATGTTTCTGAAGGTGCTCCGACGACCGCAGCTTCGGTGATTTGGGGTCTATTCCAGTTAGTCAAATGGATGAGGCATATGAAGGAAAGAAGAAAGTGAAACTTACAAAGATAACAATTCCCTCTCCACTTCTAATGCACTCACTTTCTCACCTGCCATCTTGATAATGTCGACGCTTTCCCGGCCCTTGATGAAATACATCGGTCCCCTAGCCCATGCACCGCTCGTGCCTTTTCCGGCTCCATCGACAGTCTTCCGCGTCGCGATATCACCGGTCTTAAACCAGCTTCCCTTTCCATCATTGTCATTCACAAACGATTGCTTCGTGGTAGTCTCGTTGGCCCAGTACTCACGGAACACGGTCGGACCGCGAACCTGGATCTCCCCGATCCGTTCACGGCCGGTGCTGGCGTCGAATTCTTCGCCTATTTTTATGACGTTACCCGTTTGGTTATCGACAAGTCGGACTTCTACTGATGGCAATGGCCAACCAACGCTTCCGTCAACGCGGTCTGCAGGGTCTAAGCCGCAGCTGATTGCCATGCCGATTTCAGTCATGCCGTATCGTTCCAGAAGGACATTTCCATTGCTGAGTTCTTCCCAGGCCTTCTTTGTTGGCGTCGGCAGTGCCGCGGAGCCGGAGATATTCAGGCGTAGATTCTCCGGTGAGATGGCTGTCCGGGCTGCTTCTTGGGTTTCCGGGGGTAAGCCCGAGAATCTGGCCATGAGACGGGTGTAGATTGTCGGGACGGCTGTGAGGAAGGTGATTTTATCTTTTGTTGCAGATTCCGGGAGGAACGGTGCAGCAAGTCTATTCCAGACGGAGGCCGGGTTGAAGGGGAACATGAACTCAATGGAAGATCCGGCGAGTATGGGTGTGAGTATGGCATTTACCGTGCCATGAATGTGATGGAGAGGGAGAAGATGAAGAAGATGGTCCTGGGGGGCATACTTCCATGCCTCAATGAGAGCGGAAGCTTGCGCTGTCAATGCCGAGTTGGGAATGAGGACTCCTTTCTGCGTGAATCAGCCCAATTCAAGTAGAGTGACAATTTTTTTTTCTTTTTTTTTTTTTTTTAAAAAAAAAAAAAAAAGAACTGACCGGCCTATTCGTAGTCCCAGAAGTATACAACATCATCCCCCCAATATCCGAGGCATGCCCAAGCTCTTCAAGCTTAACCTCCCCAACATCCTCCTTCCCACCGGCCAAAAGCCCCTTCCGAACAGCAAAAGCTGGCTCCAGAGCCAGACCGCTCTTCAAAAGATCCCGTGCCTTCTCTGAAAACCTCTCCGTGGCAAGAAGCACACTCGCCATAGAATTTTCCATAATATATTTCAATTCGGGGACGGGAAAAGCCGGAGAAAGGGGAACAGCAATGCCATTGCTAGCGAGGATGGAAAGAAGGATTACTGTATTCTTTCAATTAGCATTTATATTCACCTCTTAGTTCGCTATGGAAAAAAGGGAAACTTCTAGGATATGCCGAACACAAGAGAAGGAAAACAGTACCTACGTAATCATAACTATTCTCCGCCAAAAAAGCGATTCTCCTCCCCCCCAAATCGTCTGTGCCCGTGCCCTTAGCGACTCCTCCCGCGGCCGTACGGAGAAGCTCCTCCTTCGAGCGGATGACATCGGCGACGAGGTCTCCGTAGGTGAAGGTGTGGGCGGTCGCAGTGTGAACGACGGCTGTACTGGATCTGTCGTGGTCGCGGAGGGCGCGGAAGAGAGGGAGATTGGGGAGGGTGGAGAGGAGACGAGATGAGTGGTGGCCTGGTTGTAGTTGTAGTGGTGTGTACCGACATCGATATCGATATGATGGAGGTCGCGGTAGTGGCCGGGGTAGGCTCCTGTTGAGGAGGGATATGAGATTGCGGATTTGCATTTGGTGTGAGAATGTACAAATGAGTTAAATAGATAATGTGTATGTACCCTAGTAGGCTATGTCATTTCATCTTGTTGTTTTGTGGAAGAAATAATGAATGAATGGATCCCACGGAAGAAGAGAAGCTGGCTGATGTCATGAATTTCAATTCATCCACTTTCTTGATCGAAGATCGCCGAGGAACTTCGGAGCTTGAACTTCACTCCCATTCCTTTCCAACCTACTCAATCAACCAACCCTTTTCAACTCCTACAAAAACAAAAGCAAACTCCCATGTTCCCCCTCCGTCCCCGTCCAGCTCTCCTCCTCACCCGTCAGTTTCTGCCCAGACCAGTCACAGCGACAATAACAAGAGCAATGTCCGCGTCTACGACTCCAGTCGAAGACACCATCAGGGAGAAGGTAACCAGAGACACATGCTCTCTTCACTTTGATTACAGACACAGCTTCTAACTAATAATGATCAAATAGATCACATCCGCCCTCTCCCCTTCAACACTCTTGATCCGGAACGATTCGCACCTCCACGCGCACCATGCGCCCATGCAGGGTGTTGCTTCCAAGGAGACGCATTTTCAGTGAGTTCTTTCTTCTCTACACATACACATACACATCCATATCTATATCTATATATACGTCATGTAACAATTGATACTCATTCGAGTCAATCCAGTGTAACGATCACTTCGGCCGCGTTCAAGAGTAAGCCTCAGCCCGCACGGCATCGGATGGTCTACGCCCTTTTGAAGGAGGAAATGAGCCGTGAGGGTGGAATACATGCTCTCCAGTTGCGGACGAGGACACCGGAGGAGGAACAGAGGGACAAAGAGAGGGAGGCACAGGCACAGGCGTAGTCGTGATTACAAGCAGCTTGAGTTTGATACCCGTGACGTTCATGTACACATGTAACGAATGTCCACATGTATAGATGTTGTGCGATTGAAATGTGACTGGAATGCGACAGGCATCGAGCTATCCCGGAAATCCTTGGGTATAGGCTAATGTCATGACATCTGATTAAGCTGGTCGATTATTAAACACGTCTAGCACCAAAAAAGATCCTCGAAAGTAATAAACACGGTCTAATATGTTCACCTGCGACAGCATCATACGTACCCAAGCCCCAGATTGGCGACGCGGATATCCATCATGTCGCACCGAGAAGCAGAAAGAAATCGGAATAGCGGAATTGTACACATCAAGAAATTCAAAGTTGAAAAAAAAAGGAAAGGGAAAAAGAGAGCAAAGACAGAAAACAACAAAGAACAATCCACATGCTAGGCGGGGAGTGTTACTTTTCAAAACAATCCACGAAATAGCGCACACTGCCAGGTATGAAGACAAGGAAATCAACAAAGAAAATTACACATACAATGAATGAATGTAGGTCAAGCGACTCTGCCTGTCAGCTGGAGTAGTCGCAAAGTTGGGGATTGAGATTTTCACCGGTCGAAAAAGAAAAATCGGCATCGTTCCACTAAGAAAAGCAAATTGAAACACGCGAGACTAGGGAATATCGAAACGTCAAATATGCGGATAGGTAAACGAAAAAAAACGCAGAGGTGTGATGGTTAAAATCGGCCAATTGGAGCAGTTCCATATTATCATTAGGAGGAGTTCTTTCCAACACCGACACCAACACCGACAGCGACACCGATGATGATCACTGCAAAGATTCGGGTTAGTTCCAGGACTTGCACTCCAGAGGCATAAGAATACGTACAAACAATGATCAATGCAATCCACTTCCATTTCCTGGCTTTTCGTGCGCTAACGATAGCGCGAGAAATGTGAGTGTTCGCCTCTTGGATGTGAGTCTTCGTCTGCTCGGCATCTTCGGCGATTCGCTCAACAGGGACTTCCTGCTGCTCAACAAGTCTGGCGATTTCCTCAGACAATTGGCTGAGTTCGAGCATATCCCTCTCGATCTTGCGAATGGCCGTGGAACGCTCCAAAGCCGCCTGTCTGGCATCATTGGCCTGCTTGGTGCGGGTACCGGTGACCTAAAAAAAAAAAAGAGACTTGTTAAGAGATGAAACCTCGCAACCAACAGGGCAATCGGTCGTACCTGGAAGGTCTGGACCTGACCCATAAGGACCTGGTTGACACCCTGGTCCAATTCCTCTGGCGTCGCATCCGGGTTGGCAATCTCATATCGCCGACGGACTTGTTCCTTCAAGCGATTCTGGAAGTTGGCCTGAGCCTTCTTGTACTGGTCGATTTCGTTGCGCAGGTCCCTAATGGCCTTGTCGATCTGGGGCTGGACGCGCGGATCACCGGAACCGGGTGTCTTCTTGAGTCGCTCGATGTCATCACGGAGGCCGCGGAAACCGGTGTTGATGTCATCCTCAATGTAGTCGAGAGTCTGGCGCGTAGCCTGGTCCTCCTTGTCTGTGCTTGAGTCGATCAGGGCATTCTGCGCGGCGGATAGCTGGCCCTCCCTCTTCGATCGAAGTTCCTGAATAGCGTCGCTGATGTTTTTGCACTGGTCCAAGATGCTGGCTTGCCCGCCGGCGGGTTGATTTACAGATCCCATTTCTGTTGGAGCGAGTGCGTTAGTATATCCATGGGACAGGACAGGTCAGGACAGGACGGTGGTAAGATTGGACTCACCATAGCCGCCGGCGCCTTGCTCCATGGCATTGGCGCCAGTGTAAGCGGTCTGCTGGTTGGCATAAGGACCGGCGTTCCCGTAAGGGTTATATTCAGCGTAACCGCCTCCCTGGTTATTCTCGTCTAAGCTTTGGTACTTGTAGTTTTGGTTGAGCATTTTCTGGGGGGGGACGAAGACAGGGTCAGGGGACGAAGACACAGGAAACGGGCTATAGTAAAGGAGGGAGAACGCACATTCATGATTGCGGTTGAAGGCTAAAATAAGGCGAAACCAGCCACGAAGGAAAAGGTGTGGAAGGCGTTTTTGTTTTTTTTCTTATTCCGGTTGCGGTGGTCAGCAATGCGAGATTCGCGGGACGGACGGGATTTTTGGTCGACAGGATCGATGACGGAAGAAGCCAGAGAAAGGGGTCAGAGAGGCGCGGGGGACGGGACGACGACCCCAGAAGGACGCGGACGATGCGATTCGCAAAGAAAAGAAGAAAGAAAAGAATCAGGCCCGGTTAGCGGACGCAGGTAAGACGAGGCTGACGCGGGAGGAGAGTGGAAGGGAAAAGAGAGGGAGAGAGAATGGAGAGCAGTAGCCGTGTCGTGGGAGGAAAGGAAGGAAACTGGGCTGCCTGCAGGTGTGCTGACAGGTCCGTCAGTGTGGCGGTTGCTGCTAAGCCGCAAGAACTCAGCTGGAGTCCGAGTGCACAGGAGTCAACGGTCGAGGAGACGGGTCTGTTTCGCGCTTCTTGTTCTTGGTTCTTTTTGCCTGTAGCAGACAGTCTTTGGGGGTGTTTTGTTTTATTCTTTCCCCTGGCGACAGTTTCGGTGTTTCAGGGTCGCTGCATTATGCTGTATCATAGTACTGACTCCCTATCTCTACTAGCAGTATCTAGGTAATATTAGAGGTCTGGTACATTATGATACGTTAATTACACAAGCCGCCTCCCTTCCCTTGTTTACTCCGTAATATGCGTTAGTATTGCTGCTATTAATATTCCTAATAATAAGCCCGTGCAGAACCCCAAGTCTTTGCAGCTGCTGGGACTGATTATTGCCCTGCAGACATGTCGTTACTTTCATGATACTCTGTACAGTTAGTTACAATGTTTACTGATCAGCTGTTATTCTGTACCTGGTACATAGTACATACCACTCCTTATTAGACACTCGTTTTATTTTGTAATAATGTCCATCATTTCCTCTCCAGACCTTTTTCTTGGCTTTACGTTGCCTCCCAGTTCTTAATTTGAGCTTGATCTTGAGCCTGTCGGTCCGAGGCACTCCCCGGTCGCGCGAGTGTTTCTGTTCCTGCTAAATGCCAGGTATTCAATATAATCCCAGCGGACTCCGTGTCATTACAGCTGACCAAACCCACTCGGATCCCTGTAGTTACAGCGTATCTTATCCTTCCATGTTAGCCCATACAGCACAAAAGACGGGAAGCCTCTAAACGGATCTGACCTGCCAAGCTGGATTCAGAAAAACACTGCGAGTTCTTTACAGATATTATGTAAGCTCTAAAAAAAGAAAGAAAAAAAAAAGGAGAAAAAATCAACCAAACAAATAAGCATAAATTGTCATTTAATAATAGATATACAAAGTACGGTAAATGAGGTTAAAATTTTTCACCGTCAGAGATTAAGGGATTGGACAAGGACTCGGCAAACCCAAGGGTCAATCAATATTCCAGAAACCTTTCAAATGGCCTACCACGCCCATATTCCAATTCGCTACGACTTACGAGAGAGCAACACGTTCCACGGAATGTTGAGTTCTAGACTGCATTATCTAGGACCTAAACATTATTACAGTAGATGCTATCTTAATGCAAATTACGACTGAATGAATATGAATGCGAATGCACATCCATCCCACCAACGCCAAGCTGCAAACAAGTAAAAGAGAAGAGGATAAGAAGAAAACATAATCGTAAACAACCAATCACCTGTTCACTTCTTTTCCACCTGGCTATCCCCGTCCATTTCCACTTCCTCATTCGCATGCTCATAGTCTTCTGCATCGATCATGTTCAACTGTTCCTCCTTGGCGTTGAGACTGTGGTACACAACCCAGAAGATAATACCCGCCAGGAACGACGCGACGGCCAAGCCAACAAACATCCACATGATGGCCGGGTCGTATGCGGCGGGGGTCAGGGCCTCGGCTATGGCAGATCCGAATGCATTGGTGAGCAGGTACATTGATTGGACAAAGGATTTCATGGACGGGGGAGCCTTCGTGTAGGCGTATTCCAGACCAGAGACTGAGGCAAAGATTTCGGAGACGCCAATGAAAACGTACGCAGGGGTCTGGGCAGCGATGTGAACACGGTTCCCTTGTGCTTGGCCATTCACCTCAGAGGCAGAGCAGAGGGGCTTTCCGTAGCAGGGCGGGGATACATAGATGACATGTTGGATGATGGCAGCATACATCATGGCAAGGGAGGCGACGACGAAACCAAGGGAGATACGGGAGATGGGACGGAAGGAAATGTGGAAGCGGCGGAGAATGGGATAGACAATCATCTCCAGGAATGGGATGAGGACGATGATGGAGATGGGATCGAAGTTCTGCATGAGATCGTTGGGGACACCATGGCCATCCATCTGTTCAGCCTGGGTGACAAAGTTGCTCGAGAACTGGCCGTATACCACCCAGTAGACAGGGTAGAAGGCAAAGACCTTGCAAGCGACGAGGGCGCGTTTGAGTTCGTCAATGAAGTGGTCATCCCATGGCAGGTTTGTGCGACGGCCACCGTTAGCCTCCTGCCAGCTGGGCTTGGGGGCATCCAGGTTGCGGTTAATAATCATGATCCACAGGGCCTTGAAGGCGTCCGTGATGACAGAACCCTGCGGCGGACGAACGACGTAGAACTTGCGTCCCATGACAAGGACAATGATACCGATAACGAACATGCACAGGCACAGGAGATAAGCAGACCAGAAGCCGACATCTCTTTCCATGAACGGGGTGGCGAGCAGCGACAGGGAGCCAACATTGATGCAGCCATAGAAGATCATGTAGATACGCTGGATGGTCAGGGCGGGGTCAATGATGACACGCTCACCCTTTGCGGTGGTGGATACAGCCAACTTCTTGCGCTTGTACTGGTCGGCAATGAGAGGAGCGACGTTACTCTTGATACCTCCAGTACCCACACCGATGATCAAGATAGAAGCGATGAAGCCTCCCAAACCAGCACCATGCTGGAGGGAGACAGGGATCGAAGTGAGGACCAGGATAAGCAGACCAATCACGTAGATAAAAGCGAAAATAACAATGGTCTTGTATTTGCCCAGGTACTGGTCAGCGACGATGGCACCGAAGATTGGAGTGACTGTCGCGTGATCAGTTTCTGTTTCTTTCTTCCTCCGTCTGTGTGATGAGGGAACCAGAGGTCAATGCTTACCGTAACACCAGAATTGGAAGAAGGTGGTAAGGCCCGTGGCACCTTGATGGCCCATACCTAGGGCACCACGGCCCATGCTGCCGTCGAGAGGGTTGTTGACATAGTTCTGGAACAGACCCTGCATACCATAGTAGGTGAAACGCTCGCACAGTTCGATGATGGCGACGAGCCAGACGGAAAGAGGTAGGTTCTCAGCGACATGGCGCAGAGTAGCCTTTTCATCTTCGTTGGGCTCCTCGCCATCAGGAGTGACGGAAAGAGCCTTTTCGTTGGCCTCAAGAGCAGCAGACTTGTCATCCACGGCCGCCTCATACTCAGGGGCATGGCTGTTTAACGATGCACCGTTAGCAGTGTGCGATGGGGTGGGGTCTGAGCAACAGAGTAACATGCGAAGTGGAGGAACTTACGCAATATTATTGTCACCCTCCGGGGCAGACATTGTGACGATGAGGTCAACGCGGCGGGGGAAGCAGGGAAAGGGCGTCGGGGATGGGATTGACAGAGAGGAAAGAGGATGGGGAGGAGGAAAGAAGACAATATAAGTAGAAGGAGAAGCGAAGAGGGAACCCGCGATCCCTGCGAGCCCGGCAAACCCTAGGGATTTTACTCACGGTGGCCGCCGAAGGCACACCGCGGAGTCCGAGCATGGTGGGTGGTAGTAGATGAAGCTCTAGCGCTGCTACTGCGGAGTCGGCGTGCCATGCTGTAGGGCCAATGGGCCAGAGTACAGTTGAGACAGATGGAGCGCGGTGGAGGCAGTTAAGGCGAGCCAAGGAAAAAGAAGCCCCGAAGAAGCCTTGGCACGCCGCGAGCGCGTGACCTGACTGGTGGAAGGCACGTGAGTGTTCTTAAGGATGCAGGAACGGGAGATCCGCCTCGCCACGCTTCCCCCTTGCCATTGCATTGTTCATACAATGCTAATCCGCCATCAGCAGACTATTTATTATCTATCGATTATACATTATATATTATCATCACCAGATGCTTTTTGTTGTCGCTGATAACGCCCCTAGATACTTATACTTTGACTTCCCGTCTTGGCAATTTCATCTATGCCCCCGTCAGACGGGATCTGATCTTGGTCTTGGCATCATCGGTTACCCACGGCGTGTTTTCTGTCTCCGATTTGGCAGGAGAGCAAGATGCAACTGCGACCATCCGGTGCGACTGTCTGTGGCACGTGACTCGGAAATCTCGTGATCTTGACCATTATCGTAATGGATAGGCGCATGTATGGTCATATTACTAGGTAGGCCTGCCTGTGCCGTGAGATAGGTAGCGAGGGCGGTCTAGGACGGCAGAACCTCACGTGTACTAACACCCCCCCACGCACGAGCAGCCTACAAACTATGGAATCAATCTAAATACAGAAATCGGCCTCTATTCGGGCCTTCAAATGAGTGAATATATGCAAAAATAAACAGAGGAATGAAGGTTCTGCTTTAGCCAATCGAATGCCGTATATCAAAATAGAAAATATATCCAAAATGGGGGAGATATACGCGGCTTAGCTTATGCCAGTGAGTTGTAGGAAATGGTCAAATTGTTCAGTTCGGAGAGGTTTGGTCAGGCCGTCTGCTGCTTGTTCTTTGGTAGGGCAGGCCTGGAGTTTAACAATACCGTCTTGGATCTTCTCCCGAACGTAATGGTAACGTATATCGATGTGTTTGGATCTCTTGGTGGTGAGCTCAGCTTCAGCCATGGCGTGTGCACCTTGATTATCGATATGGAGAGTAATTGGTGGGCATTCAGTAGGGAGTACGTTGAGCTCGTTGATGAGGTTCCGGAGCCAAAGGGCATCTCGGCTGGCTTCACTTAGAGCCATATACTCAGCTTCGTTGGAGCTAAGTGCAACGGACGTTTGCTTGCGGCTTTTCCAGGCAATTGGGGCCCCGGCAAGCAGAAATATATATCCAGATACTGACCGGCGATTGCCTGTCAGTTGACCACCCCAATCAGAATCAGTATAACATCTGGGCATGAGGAGGTCAGATGTAATGGGTTCCGTGGCCTTATGGTAGGTGATTTGTCGGTTAATGGAGCCTTTAAGGTAGCGTATAGCGTGTATAAGGGCACGCCATGCCTTTTGGGTAGGTTTGGCGTGATATTGGGATAGTACGCCAACTGTCCGGCTAAGATCAGGTCGGGTTTTGGTGGCTAGCCAAGTAAGGCAGCCTACACCACGTTGATATTCTTTGATGTTCACTGTAGGGTCTGGGTCATCATCAATTATTAAACTAGGATCCATGGGGATCCCAACAGGGTGTGCTTGTGCTTGGCCAAAAGAGGCAACAACGTCTTCAGCATAATTGGCCTGGGAGAGAGTATATGTGGTCTTGGATTGAGAGGTGGCCATGCCAAGGTATTTGGTAGAGTTTCCAACTTCTTTTATGTCAAATTTAGCAGAAAGAGACTCCATAAACCAAGTGGCATCATTCTCATGCTTAGCATAGACTTTGAAGTCATCCACATGGGTAGTCACATAGAGTTGGGTCCGGGTGGTATGGATCCAGAGACCAGAGTCGTATTCGGAGCTTTTGAAGCCAATTTGTCGTAAGAAAGCATTTAGTGTATCATACCAGATACGGGCAGATGGGATCAGTCCATAGAGGGACTGGCGGAGTTCACAAACCAGGTCTCCAGAGCCTTCTTTGAATCCCTGAACTTGGGTCATAAAGACACGTTTATCTGTGGGCATTTTTCCATTTAGGAAAGCAAGGATGGCATCTGCCTTTCGAGTATGCCAGCCAAGTAGAGTGGCCAGTGCCGTAAGGGTTCTAGTGGTATTTTCATCTACCACTGGGGCGTATGATTCCATGAAGTCCTTGTCAAGTAGATTTCCACGGATCACCCAGCGAGCTTTAGCTTGGTAGTCCCTTGTAATAGGGGTACCAGGGATTTCTTTCTTTTTGTATACCCACCGGCCAGGGATGACCTTGGTCCCTGGTGGTAGGTCAGAGCGGCGGATAAGTTGCCAGCAGCCTTTTTCTTTGAGTTGGTTGACTTCTTTTTGCATGGCTGCTTGCCACTTGGTGGCATCAGGATGAGATATAGCCTGCTTATAGGAAGTAGGCGTGTCATCTTCAGACGAAGGAGTAGTTGAAGTGGTGAGATAGGCTAGGGACATGCCTTTGGCGGGTCGAAGCCATATTTCCTGGTCTTCATCTTCAACAGGTTGGTTTGTATCTTCTTTATTAGGAGTACTTGGATCTTCAGGAACAGTAGCTTGTGGAGGTGTAGTTGTGGGATCCTCATATTCTTCATCAAATATAGTGTCATTGGTTGAAAAAAATGGCGTCTGTTTTAGGGTCCCACACTCTGTATTGTTGGCTACTGATTTGGCCGATCATGAAGCAGCATTTAGAGTGGGAATCGAACTTGTTTATAGGCTTATCTGAGCCATGTCGATGAACCCAGACAGGGCAGCCCCAACGTCGGTATTTGTTGATACTAGTTGGTGAGTTGGTCCAGGCAGCCAGAGGCGATTTATATGGGCTTGGGCTGATTTTTGTGTTGGTATTGACCCCCAGGGATAGGTGAATTGAATAGGATTGTGGATGTTGGGAGGCGGTTTGTTATATCTGATGCATATTTTAAAGCATCAACCCAAAATCGCTGTGGTATATGGGGAGCGTCAAGCATTAATGTCCGAGCACGGTCAAAGAGTATGCGTATGCTGCGCTCACTGACACCGTTTTGCCAAGGGGAATATGGAGAACTTGGTTGCCATTCGATGCCTTCCTGACGGTAGGTTTTCTGCCATTCAGCTGAACAGAATTCATTGTCAGAGACAATATAGGCTGGGGCAGGGAAATGGTGATTCTTCATCTGTTGTAGCCAACCCCGAAATGCATCAATTGCAGCAGATCTTTCAGTTAGGTAGTGGATCCAACGGTAACGTGTAGCGTCATCAGTAATAAGCATCACATATTTGGCTCCTGTACGTGAAGGTAGAGGCATATCTAGCTTCTCTATATCTAGTGTTCGGCCGCCACCAGCAAGGTCTATGTGGACTCGGGCTAGTGGTGCAGTCATACGGGATCTTGGTGTTTTGCTGTATTGGCGAGTTTGCTTGCCCTGGATGCAGGCTTCACAAAGTGGTAGTTCTCTGGAACCTTTGATTTCAATGTCTGATGTAGGATCTGCGGCAAGGCGTAAAAGATCCTGCTGGTTTAAATGGCATAGACGGCGATGCCATGTCATAATTGGTAGAGCTGTTTTGGAGCTCTTAGTCTTTGGGGATGTTGTAGGTTTCTTTCTGGGAGGGTCCCCTGGTCGGTTGGCCTCTTTGCCAGACCGGGTGGTGACAAAGGCATAGGAGCTCTCGTTGGGAGAAATGCAATCTGATAGGATGAATACATTGTTGGTATTCAAAATGGCTTCAAATTCTGCACCAGAAGAGGTTGTGATTTGTGCTACTTGAGAGCTGGAAGGGAATTCGATACGAAAACCTTGTTTGAGAAGCATTCCCATGGAGATTAAGTTGGAATTGAAGGATGGAACATGTCGTACATCCCTAAGGATCAAGGATCCGGTTCCAATATCAATGACGACGGTGCCAATACCATGAGGTTTGGAAATCTTCCCTTGAGCATCTTCAATATAATCCGCTGGAGTAAGGTCCTCCTTTCTCAATGTTTTATAGGACGTGAAGAAAGCTTGGTGGGGTGTAACATGGAATGAAGCACAGCTATCAAGATACCATGAAGCTTGGAGAGATTGGGCTGATTTAGCAATGGCTGTTTTTGCAGCTGAAGAAGTCCATGGTACCAGTTCATTGGTTTCTGCTTCAGAGAATGAAGCAGTGGAAGATTCTTTAGCAGTGTGTAAAGCACGAATAGCTTCAATAGTATTTTTATTGGCTCGGTGCCAATGCTCAGAGGCTTTCTCAGGGTTCTTGTAGAGGCAAGGCATTGGGTGGAAATGACCACACCAATCACAACGGGTCTTTGGTTTGCGTGAGTCCTGGTCCTGAGGTTTATATTTAGTGTTGGAACTTGAGGCGGAAGAGCTAGCAATGGGGTTAGATGCTTGTTTGGAATAGCTTCGTCCGGATAGATTCTCTCGTCGTCCTCCGTGTTGGGAGCGGGATTCACGGGCTTGGGTGCCCATACGGATAGAGAGTTGAGCTTGAATGGTAGTTAGGTCCAGATTGATGACAGGGTCTTGTCCAGTTGAGTATACTTCATCAAGTTTACTCTTAATGAATGCTTTGTTCCATTCGCGGAGGCCTATAAAAAATAGGTCGTGAATAAGGTTGTCAAATGATGCTTCTTTTATAGCATGAAGGCGGTCTACTATCCTAGTAAACGCAGATTGGTAGGATAGGTAGTCATTGTCTTTTATATAGAGCTCCTTGAGCTCTTTTATGAGAAGCATTCGTTCTTCACCAGTAGAACGTCCGAAAAAGGTAGCAGTTCGGTCCCATAAACCATGGGCTGATAGGTCATATGTGTTGCCCAATTTGTCAATGGCTTGGGCAGTCATAGCATGAAGCATTCGGGCTCTCATGACAGTGGCTTTGCAATGCCATACTTCAGCATCATAAGCTGAGTATCCTGCTGGAGGTATATCCTGATGCAAGACTGTACTAGCGTTCAGGACATTGGCTTCTCTTTGAATGGCTGAACTCCAGGGGTCGTAATTATCATGAGACAGTGTGATTCGGCATCGGTCTGGTAAGAGCGCTTTAACTTGAGCTTGTACATGATCAAAAGGATCTTTTTGTACTGGATTTGAGGCTGGAATAGCTGTATTATTTTGAATATGATTGTAGGGAGTAGCGTTATGCCGGACTGTAGGAGTGGAGGATTGGGATTGATGGCGTTCAAGGGCATTAAAACGAGTCATGAACTGGTCCATCTGCTTCTGCATTTGCTCCTGCATCTGCTTCTGCATTTGTTCCTGCATCTGCTTCTGCATTTGTTCCTGCATCTGTTCCTGCATCTGCTGGAACAGAGCTGTGATGTCTGGTGTGGATGCCATGGTGTTGGCTGTAGTAGAGCTTTGAGCTCTAGGGGCAGTTGGGGTGTCCATTTCTTCAGAGATTACTGAGGAGGCGGAGGAGCCTATATCTGATGAAGGATCTGTGGATTCTGGCTGACGACGGTGACGTCTAGCGGTGGTAGGGGGCGTTCGAGGCACCACCATTTTGGATGGGATCGATCGAAGGATCCTGGGGTTCAGGGGCCGATTGTTGGCGGTCCTGGTGTTCAGAGTCGCTTAGAAGCGCTCGATTTCTGGTTTGACCAATGAGAGGTCACAATTTAGCCTATCTGAAAGGCTTTTTTTTAAGCTCAATATCGTAGAGCTAAAACGGGCTCATAACCTAATGGATAGGCGCATGTATGGTCATATTACTAGGTAGGCCTGCCTGTGCCGTGAGATAGGTAGCGAGGGCGGTCTAGGACGGCAGAACCTCACGTGTACTAACATATCGTTCTGTCAGCTCCTCCGATTTCGACGGGAGAATTACATTACCTAAAAATCGGGCCACAGAAGGCCACGATGTGGGACAGCGGAATCTCGTTTAACGGGTATGGAGTACTTCTAACGGAGTACTGCCGTAGGTAGTCCTACGGAGCTCTCCGCTGATGAATCATGGATAACACGTCTTAATTCTCGGTAGAATCTACCGGAAAAACTCCAAGATATTCTGCAACAGCTCCTGCGGGGCCTCCTCTGGAATGTAATGCCCGCAGTCCACCGCATGCCCATCCACCTCTTTCGTCGCAGAGACCTCCTTCCAGTCCTCAATCGCGTTGAAGCTCTTTTCAATCACCCCTTTCTTCCCCCAGAGAACCCGCAGCGGACACTGAATCTGTCTCCCAGCCGCAATGTCCGCCCGCGCATCATCCAAATCCACCGTTGCCGCAGCCCGGTAATCCTCGCAGGTTGAATGGATGGTCTCCGGTTCCTTCATGACCTCCAGGTACGCATCCAGACATCTCGGCTCGAAAACCCCCAATCCATCCCGTCGGCCCATGAATGCCCTGAAAAAAGCCACCGCATCCCCTCCGATCGCGACCTCGGGTAAAGGCGCGGCCTGAATGAGAAAGAACCAGTGGTAGTACGCTTTGGCGAATTCGAAATCTGTCTTCGAGTACATAGTCAGCGTCGGGCTAATGTCGAGTAACATCGCTTTCATCACCCGCTCCGGGTAGTCGATGCACAGCGTATGCGTCACCCGCGCTCCGCGGTCATGTCCGCACACGTAGTATCGTGAATGTCCCAATTTTCCCATCACCCGAGCGCAGTCCCGTGCCATCACGCGCTTGCTGTAGTTCGCGTGGTTTCCGTCGCCACGTGGTTTGGACGACGCTCCGTACCCGCGCAGGTCCAGTGCCACTATGGTGTATTTCTTCGCGAGATCGGTCACTACCAGGTGCCATATCAGGTACGTCTGGGGGTATCCGTGTAGCAGCAAAAGTGCAGGTCCTGACGTCGTACCCCCCTGCACACCGCGAATGGTAATATCGGGTTCAACCTCGAATTGGAACGGGGTATATCCCTCGAACATGTTTGCAAATGCAATCAACTCAAACTAGCTTGTAGATCGGTTCTGCTCTATTGTCTCTGGAATTGTTATCAAACGAAGAACCTGAACATTATTATCATTATCATCTTAAAAGCCCCTCCATAACGCGGGCATTGCTTAGAAATAGACATCAGAACTTTGCTTAGTAACATTGTTATCTGATATTCTACTATGAGGCATAACTATTAAGAGATAGTCGCCTTTTCGATTCATCCATCTCGATTTATAGATCCAAGGACTGGGAAGATCTGATAAGCGGTGCCTTTCCATGGCAATGACAGCACAGAGGGCGCCTCAAGGTACTAGTATATATTCACTGGGAGGCGATTGATACCTAGTATCACTGGATGGGCTATTTCCCGATTCATTTTAGAATACAAGATTAATTTCATTGGTCTTCTGTACGAGTAATAGATCTTCAATTTTTCTGGTGCTGTGGACTTAAGCTCCTGATGGTGTAAATAATCTAGATAGCTACAGCGTACAGCCTGATACAAAGACAATCCAAGCTGGAATATAATAACCTGAGTATCCGTTCGCTGTAATACACTAAAGACGAGAATACAATCATGGATAGAAGATGTATGAGAGTAGAGACATAGAAAAAACGAAAACGGGGAATAACAAAGAGTAGCTTCAGAAGACTCATAAGGGATAGGGTGTCTTTCGCTCAGGTAAAATACAGGTCGTGTGGAGAAACCTCCGATCACCTGAGGCTATCATTGCGAGAAGCAGTTAGAACCTATTAACTCCCTTGCCATCAGTATTCATTCGAATCAACCTATGATTTCATAATACTTTTGAACCGCCCCGGAAAAAGGATCTGTCCGTAAAATCGACGTTGAAGAAATGACACAATAAGTGCCCTTGTTTTTCACATATCGTCTAGTCCATTAGACAGTATATTTGGCCTTGGCTCTCGTGCTGCCACTGTGCGCACTGTCCGTATGTCCAGAAAACTCCACAACATCCGCATCTTTCAATCGCAAAACCTCCTTGAACCGTCGGCCGATGTTCTCGAGGACTTCCTTGCCCTGGGCTGGGGTGCGGCCGTTCTTTTCACCCGGGATGCTCTTGCCCACTGTCCGGGTCCAAAGACCGATACGGTAGAATCCCTTGCGCACGTTGACAACAACGCCCATAACCTCATTGTCACCATCATTCTCTAGCGTCTCGCCGATCGCTGCAAGTTGCGCATGTAGCCATAGCTCGTCGATCGGTACAGAACGCTTGTCTTTGAACGAATAGGACCATTTGCCACCGTGCTTGTTATTCAGGTCCTCCCACTCGGGCCTGATGCCCTTTTTAAACAAGTGATAGTCCGCCTTCAGGCCGAGCTCGGAAGTGGGCGTAATGTTGTTCTAATCAGATCAGCACCGGTTAGCACAGAGCCCAGGCGTGGATACCGGGAAGGCTTAAGACACATACATAAATACCCCAAAACTCTTCCACAGAGTCGAATGTGACAACTTCCTTCAATAGTTCAGTCCAGTTATCGCCCTAGACGCACATTAGCTTTCTGCGAACCCAGATAGGCGGGGTAGCAAAGAGAAAATCCTTACCTTTCCGCTGGGAGGCTTGGTGAACCAAAGAGTCCATTTATGCATAAGAGGATGCTTCACGTTGAAGTGCTCAGGGTCATGGAAGACTGTAACAGCATCTCCATTGCTCTGTTCGGTCTTCGTGGTTTGTTCTGTCTGCTCCTTCTGTTCAGTTGCTACCGAGTCATCGACAGCGACTTTATCATTGCTCACTGGTGGTATATTCTCCGCGACGGCAGCCATTATGTTCACAAGCAATCAAGACCGAGTTTGAGAGTAGGGGAAGTGAGAAAGAGGTAAGAAGCGTGCGAACGACGAGTTGAGAGTAGCGACGAGCGGTCAGGAGGGCGGGAGCGGACAAAGGAGAATTTTTTTTTCGAGGGTATGTCCAGAAGGAAAGAGCAACCGTCAACAACTTAGTAGAAGTCGGTATACAGGGAGCTGACGCCTATAATCTGTAGCAGGTTTAGCTGTCTGCTCCAGGCAGATTCAAGGTTGGAAGAGTGAGTTGGTGGTGGGTGAAGTCGGCAGAAGCAAACGAGTCTAATGAAGGCGGCCCTGATGGCGGCCTTTCCTGATTTGGCTACTCCCGGTGTCCCTAACAAATGACTGTGAATGGCTGTGTTGATTCAGAATGCAACGAACAATACCAAGCCAGCTTCTTCATCTATGATGGAAATGAGGACACAAATTGTATTAAAACTATTCATTCATAGACCTCGTGAAGCAAATAAATCAAAGCCGACAATCGAATGCCCCAACCGCCTCCGTTATCTCAGTCCGCGCCCGCGGTCTAGGTTACATCTCAAAGCACTTTTATGATCAAAAATTCGAAGTTCTTGCCATAATCACAGGTATGGATCTAGGGTATCTCAAAAGTAATTGCCCACCCCGAGCATTAGAATGCATGTAAATTATTTGTCGCCGCTATTGAGTAGACTCAAGATGCAATTCCAACCTACACACTAAGTGAGCAGATGGTCTCCTAAGGCGACGGACCGCATTATATTCGGTGCACTCACCCAAACTGATCACGTTCACAAAGAGGACGCGGTAATCCAGGGGCACGATGGAAAAGTTAATGCACTGGACGAGTGGCCAGATCATGAGGTTGGCCTTGTAGGTGGGAAGGAAAGCGGTCCGCAATCTTTCTTTCGGATCGGCACCCTCTAAATATGCCATAGAAGACAGGAACGCGGTCAGGTGAAGTGGGGCAAACACGGCCTGATCTAGGGTGACCCGAGTCGCCACCGTGCTGAAGTAGTTCTTAAAGGCGACATGGCGCTGGAGGATGACATACCAAGTGGTGGCAGCCGGTCCAAACACAGCTGATCCGCGCAGAAGAAAGGGCGAGGTTAGTTAGGGAGTCCGAAAGTTGAGACCGGTTTTTGAGGTTGCCATACCTCCACCGTAGGCGGCCATGCGAACAGTTCGTGCAACATCATGTTTGTCGAAGCCTTTCCGGTCGACAGCTTGCTGTGCTAAGATATCACCGCAACCAAAGAGAACCTGGATCGTGTCAACAGGGGGTTCCAAGAAGAAAGAAATTATCTTCAAGAGTATCATACAGCACTCGACACAGCAGATGTGAGGATTGGCTGTTTGGCCAACTTGGACTGATACCTGTTGAAAAACAAGCAGGAAAACTCAGCCTGCAGGCATTGCAAATAGTCAAGAATGGTCTAATGAGGACTCACCAACGCAACATGATGACGGGAAGGTTGACTAGCTGTAATTGGGAGTTATACGCAGGAAGAATTCTGTGAGGTCTGCTGTATGTGGGGAGAGGGGAAATTTATGGGGTAAAGACCACATTGGAGGAGCTGTAGGATCAGGCGTCAGCTGACCGACGTGCCTGCAGCGTGATACGAGATAAGGCACATCTCTTCGCTGACTTGCTGTGGCCTCCGACAGCCATTCCTCCCTAAAAACAACATTCGGTGAAGAAGCGCAACGGGCAGCCATCAATATCATCCCCGAAACGGAAGCTACAGCACGGGGAAATCGGCCCAGTCCGCGTCGAACAGCTGCGCATCACCTGACGCTTCTAGAACGGCAGCACGGGGAGCCCGGGAAGCCGCCCGAGCGCGGGCTCGGATCAGTCACATGATTTTATCAATATAGGGCTCAGGGCTTTTCCGCCCTAGGGCTCGGAACTCGCTTAGCACACCCCAGCCAAATTTCCCTTGAGCAACGCCCTGTGGATAGCGAGAACAGCAATCTCGACGTCAACACCCCTCCCGTCCGTCTCGCCCTTCATCTCTCAATCGCCAACTACAACAAAAATGGCTGACGCTCCCCGTGGACGTGGAGGATTTGGCTCTCGCGGCGGTGACCGTGGCCGTGGCCGTGGTCGTCGTGGCCGTCGCGGCGCAAAGGAGCAGGAGAAGGAATGGCAGCCCGTCACCAAGCTTGGTCGTCTCGTCAAGGCCGGCAAGATCACCAGCATCGAGCAGATCTACCTGCACTCCTTGCCCATCAAGGAGTACCAGATTGTCGACTTCTTCCTGCCCAAGCTCAAGGATGAGGTCATGAAGGTACGAATTTTAGCGATTTTCATTTTATCGGCAATATGCGCATGGCGGGCATTGTGGATAGGATTTTTACCGGAGGACAATGGAATAGAGTTTCTACCTCCACGGATTGCATCGGAGAAATTGGCGTGCGCGTGTGTTGGAATTGGCAATGGCTGACGGTGTTGAAATTACAGATCAAGCCCGTCCAGAAGCAGACCCGTGCCGGTCAGCGTACCCGCTTCAAGGCCGTTGTCGTTATTGGTGACTCTGAGGGCCACGTTGGTCTTGGTATCAAGACCTCAAAGGAAGTTGCTACTGCCATCCGTGCCGCCATTATCATCGCCAAGCTCAGCGTTCTCCCCGTCCGCAGAGGCTACTGGGGTACCAACCTCGGTGAGCCTCACTCTCTGCCCGTCAAGCAGAGTGGAAAGTGCGGTTCCGTCACAGTCAGGGTATGTTACATTCAGATCTCCTGTACCTAATAATTGTCCTTGCTTACAATACACCAGCTTATTCCCGCCCCCCGTGGTACCGGTCTCGTTGCCTCTCCTGCTGTTAAGCGTCTCCTCCAGCTCGCCGGTGTTGAGGACGCATACACCTCCTCTTCCGGTTCCACCAAGACCCTCGAGAACACTCTCAAGGCCACCTTCATTGCCGTCGGCAACGCCTACGGTTTCCTCACACCCAACCTCTGGAAGGAGACTAAGCTCATCCGCAGCCCTCTGGAGGAGTTCGGTGATGTTCTGCGCCAAGGAAAGAAGTACTAGATGCAGAAAGAGTCTTCTTTTTTTAGCATGATTTTAAATCAATAATTTTTTTACGGGCCTTTGACTGGAGACATCGGGGAAGCTTAATATGACTTCCTTACTTCATCACGCTCTACTAGTAACGCTACGCTATGAGTGCTTATGGTGTCCATGGATGTATTTATCACGGAAAGGAAAAAAAGGGAAAAATTTAGCGTGGAAACAATTAAGCACCCATTCACCGGTCAAGCTGTCGAGTCTTTTGAACATTCCACGGGTGTTGTCCTCTAAACACGTAGTATAGGCTGGTACCGTTGTCTGCAGCGCTGTATATCCTAAAGGTCAAGTCTGCTCCAATAGTATCTGTTTTGAAGGACGGCATCTCGACGCTTATTGTGCCAGAACTGTTTCTCCAAACCGAACCCCAAGGATAGGCAGAGTTCCAATCGTTGCGATGTCCACTCCGTGCGGCTTAGCCACTTACACATTGCATAGAGGATAGTGCATCTGCTTTTCTGTCTCTTCTCGTCTTTCCTTCGTCCGTTGTGCCTCCCGTCTTCTTCTCTAGTGACCTCTCTTGACTCTCCTGAGATGTAGCCGTGGATGATACTATATCATCATCGCCAGCAGCTTTGGTGAGAGACTGCGTGATAAAGTCTGGATACGTGGTGGATATTGCACAGACATAATCAGTTATCTTTAACTCCGTACTTGTTCCCGACAAACTCAGAATGGAATTGCTCAATTTCAACTGGAAATACGATTGATTGATTGATCCTGCTTGGGAAATCTCTTACCAAGAGTATTTCTCTGCGTCGTATCTGGTTCCTTGACCAGACCCTCCATGAGCCCTCCTAGGACCTCTCTCACCGTAACGGAGGTGCTTTCAGAACAAGTACTTTCCGAAGATACGGTGAACCTTTCATCCATAGCCATACGATCCTCCCGTAACGTCTTAAACTCCTCTCTCAGTCTCTGTGAAGTTAGGCTCTGATTCTCCGAAGAACGGTCCTCGTCTTCCAGGAGTGTGCATAACCTGTCATGTTCACTTCGCAGAGTTTCTATCCTTAGTTCAAGGGCTTCGATCCTGCTGACCGTAGCTATGATCATGGTCGAGTATTCTTGGTCTTGGAGAGCGTCGTGCTTGGCTTGGAGGGTACTGTATTTCCGTTGGAGGTCTTCGACTTTCCTGATCGCTTCCTGGAGGATGTTGGACGGGTGGTCTTCTGCGTCGATTTGGAGGTGTGAGGCTAGTTCTGTGAATAGGGTTCGGGTTATTTGGGGGTTAGGTGACATTTTTGTTAGGGGTATTGTGTTGTTTTCTGAGAGGATGAGGATCTAGATGTATTTTGGAAATAGTTGTTGAGGTTGTATGGATGGGAGTCTGGAATTTTTACTGGATATGGATATGGATATGGATATATATATATAATGCTGTTAACTGCAGTTCACTACAACTACAAAAAAAAAAAAAAAAAAAAAAAAAAAAAAAACACGCAATCAACACGACAAAAAGCATCGGACATATTAGATAATGAAGTTTGTCCATAACTAAAGACTTTGCATACATTACTGATGAAAACTGGCAGTCCCACATGGAGAGGTTGCGTTGCGCTGATGAAACAACTTTGGCAAGACAAGGCAGTGCAAATTGTGAAGGTGAAAGTAAAAGTAAAAGTGACAAAGAGTGACACCAGTATAATTGTACAAGTAACATAAATTTCTTTTCACATTTATATTCTAATACTTTTGCAAGAGGCTGTGGTCAGAAGCATGAAGTTATTGTACGGATCGACAACTGGTGGCTAGCCCTAACCCGAAACTCCATCTGGTACAATATTGATATCTTTGACAGCGTAGACATGACCTGGCCATAGAACTGATTGTATTTTTGGTTTTATCACTTGGAGGTTTGCAGTATAGCGATATCCACATTGGCAGTTACTGACGTATCCTTCACTATGTGCCCTGGAAGTAAGCCTGCAGTTGTATGAAGAAAACAAACAACACGGCAAGCAGAGGCAGCCCGATGTAATGATCCAGTCTTTCAGACGGAATTAGACATTAAATTATTTTATTGGAAGAAGAAAAGTGAGACATTTCTAGGACATCAGAAATAAGGGCAGCTCCATATATTTAAAGCCCACTTCGGACGCAGCTCTCATCAGTCTTCACCTACGCATTGTACGAGCTATCTGAGTCGAGAATTGTAGACTAAATGTAGATATTGAAGGTTTCTGTGTTCATGATCCAAATAATTATTCCAAGATTGTCATTCAAAATAGGACACTTGCTCTAACAAAATAGTTATCCTACCTCATTGTAGTAGAGAAGTGCAAATCCTAACAACCTAGATAGATATCTTTGATAAATTGAAGAAACTGGAAAACGATTCCATTTCTGATAGCTGGTGGAATTTCATGAGTCTAAAAGCCTTCTTTTATCCCACCTTGAGTGAATGTAGCAAGTCAGGCATCTTTTCCAACACTTGCCATCTCCATGGAGACCGTCTCAAACATCTCCCACTCGTCTTAAACAATGTGCCATGTCTCTCTCTCTGTGTGATCCCCCACTAAACCGAGTTTTAAAGAGGATTTCACGCAAACAGAAGAAAATTATCCACCTACTAGAAAATCGAGACGAGTCTTCACTGTATCAAGCCTTGTTCTCCGCGCTGTCGTAACGCGTCCTCCCTCGTCCGAGATGGACAGCGACGACTACAAAGCCCATTGGGAGAGTACCTTAATGGGACTTAACTTCTGGAGAGAGCAGCACAGAAAAAACAGTCACCAGCCAAATGACCTTTCTAGTCCAGGTGAGCGTGTGTTCCAATAGACCCGGGCGCGTCTGCATCTACTTACCAACCCGTCTTCACATAGTCCTGACGGGCAATCAGACTCAAACCACAGATCAGTCTTCTACTCTGAAATCTGGACAAAGCTCAATCACTATCAGCACTGAAACAAAAAGAAGTCGCCGTTTCAGCATGACTGATGTCTTGAACAGAACCACCTTCACAACAAACAGTGTCCGGAATACCAAGCTCCCAGGCTCATCTCATTCTTCCACTCGTTTGTTTGACTTCGGGAGACGTCCCAGATCGCAATCCAGAAGCAGGAACTATGCAGATCGTCCTAGAGGAAGTTCTCTCTTGCGTACCCCTTTTGGCATATCCAGTAGTAGGAGGAAGAGAGGGGACAGCGTTGACTCTATTCTATCCATGCCTCCGCCCCAAAGTCTCGGATCCCCAGACAGACCCTTTGCGTACTTTCGTGGCGGTGTGTCGTGGAAATGCTTGAGTACGGATACTGAAACCTTAGGGCTAGACCTGTTCTGGCCTATCAAGAAAGAGGAAGAGAACCGGAATGATCGTGGGAATGATATGCTTGCTATTGAAGAGCTGAGACCTCTCTGTGCCTTTCACAATCTACGCGTCCTGAAGATAACGGGTATGATGCAGTCGTACCAGAAGTATATCTGGCAGACTGCTTGGCTTAATCCTAATCTCGAGGAACTTGAGCTGGAAATGGCCCTCGAGCCATGTGTGAGGAAGAATGTTGTAGGTGGTTGGCCTCTCATCAAGGGGGGATGGCGACAACGTGACATACACCACGAGGAACCAGTTTACTAGTGAGTATCCCTCTCTCTTTCTTTCTTGCCATATTTTTTTTTCTCTGTGTGCAATTGCATTGCATCACACATGCCTCGACAAGACGACACAATGATAATTATCAGTGTAAACATACACGTACTAACACCGTCCCATGGCAGCGGCAACAATGGCACCGGAATTCTGAACCGCAGATTCGGCATCGGCGAGTATCTAGATAAATGCTCCATTGAACAAGCCAAGCTCCACGCCATGACTCAAGGACCGACCTTGTCTCATCTTACAGTTCGTCGTTTGACGTTGACGGGATTCGTCGTCGACGCCGACCCTTTCCTTCTCTGGTTTGACCCTGCTAGACTTCAACGCATCAACTTTCGGGACCACTGCGTGGATGCGGGATTCTATTTGCGAGCATCGATGAAGGGAAAGGTGACGGTTGTTTATCCTAGATTGATCCAGGAGAATGCTGTTGTTGGTCCTGGTCGACGGGTTGAGTTGAAAGACGAGTTGAAGATTGTCGAATTGAGAGGCGGAAAGAAAGTGAGCGAGAAGCCTTACCGAGCGAAACAGAATCCGAAATGGAAAGGCAGGGATTCAAAGAGGAAGAAAAAAGTGAACCATCCGCGGAGTGATGGGAGACTATTAACCGAGAAGATGAATCGGGACCGGTTCGAGGACAAACATGCACATGGTCTCCGTGAGAGTGATAGCAACCACATGGAGTCCAGTCAGCAATAGCATACCATCCAACAATTGAATTGATCATCAGTGACGGAAATGTCAACGGAAGCCCTATTGCTACCTCAAACCGCAACGCCTGCAATCAGAATGACAAATCCATTGGAAGAAATGAATATCCGGTACATTCAGCATTTAAAGATGTCAACAGAAGCTCATATCAGACACGAAGATAGACCACTACCTCCAGTTCCACATCCAGCTTTCAGTTTCACCATTCCTACCATACCTCGTGAGTACGCATCATCAGCAGGGTATGCTTCTTTGAACGGAAGTATGCCACACGGATCAGCATGAGTGCATTTGTCATGTACTTATTCTCATGTCTATCTACTCCATTGCTACTGGTAATTGTTTGGGTAGCCTTCATGTACATTACTTAAGTGCCATGAGGATCAGGCCAGCTTTAAAATACAAAAGCAAAAACATCATGTTGTCTTGACAACTTTTCAATGAAGTAATATTCGAGGAATCAACTGACTGAAATCGAAATTTCTATACAACTGGCAATGGATATCAATTTCGCTTTAGGAGCTACTGTATGAACTAGACATAAAAACTAGACATAAAACACCAAGATGGGGATTATGACCGATTATCATTGCAACTTGAACTTTTCTTCATGATTGCCAATGTACAGTGTTCCAAAATCCTATTACTATCACTCGGTAGAAATATTTTATTTCTCAACCGGACTTCCTGGTACTTTCGAGCCTGGTAGCATCGAAGGGGTGTCTTCTAAGTTGGTCTGCTCAGCTGCAACGGAGCAAAAAGGACCAGCTGCCGACTTTATCAGGGACAAAGATCAAGGCCCTTCTTCGGTAATACGAATAGATCCTTCGTTACCGATTCCGTTTGCCCAGAAACCGTCCACGTAGATAGTACTATAGTCGTTGTCAGTGTCTTTTTAGACTCAAAATTTGTTTCAATGTGTATCTTGACTGCGCTTACATTCCAGGCGCACTGTCATGAGAGATCAGTAGCCAGTATCCCAAGATTCCCTGGGAGAAGACATCGAAGATGGCGAATATGATGGTCTCCGTGTCGAGGCTCGTCTTCATGGCTAACCCGCCAGCTGCCAGGGTACTGTTAAACCATATATTAGCCAGTGACACACACTTGGGAGGGACAGAGTGTCTTAGGAAATAGAACCGAACAGGACAAGGAGAGGGGATATATCATACATAGGATACAGAATCTTAACCAACAAGGTAATTCCAGTGATAGAGGTGCAGAACCGCTTCGTCTGCGCATCCTTGTTGCTCGCAGACCTCGATCCATTGAAGCCCACTTGATGGATTACTACCAAATAGCCCAGACAACTTATAGCGAACCATACCCATCTGGCAGCAGAATCGCGGGCGAATGTCCCAAGTATTCCAGCACTGAACATGACGCAGTCTGCTGCGATCGCGACCAAAAGCTGCGCGCCTGGAAGCCCAGAAAGGAAGGCGAGACACGTCAAAAATAGCGGGGATGTCAGAAGCCAGTTGATATAACGGAGCCAGAACACCTGGCGGAAGTAGTACTGGTGCGTGTCGATGCCATGTTTGTGGGAATGCTTAACTGTCTCGTGTTTCCAGGTTATGCCTTCTCCTGTGGAAAGGGCGAGATAGGTTATGAAGGAGATGGTGGTTATAAGGGAGATGAGGGTGTGGAAGACGCGTTTTGACTAGTTACTATATATTAGTCGAGATGAAGTTCATCGAAGAATAGATGATGTTTCAAGCATACCAGTGACACTCGAGCTGCAATGATATAAAAGACCAGTGCCGAGATTCCCATCAACACAGTGACGACCCTATTCCCACTGTTAGCATCGTGTACCATATTCCGATCTTTATCCTCGACAATAACGAAGGAGTACCGACCATAGCGTCCGTTTCCCAACAGAGTGTAATTCCTGGAAGACCGGATCATAGCCGGGAATAATCGTCGGGATGGGACCAACCGAGCTCGTCGAAGTAGGTACAGGGAGACTCGGAGTATGCTTGTAGTCGATCATTATAATGAATATTTCCTTGACTCAAAGGGTATAACAATATAATAAATCAATCCTGCGGAGTTTTCCAAGATAAATATGGGGAAGACGAGAAATATACACGCCCGAGGCTTCGTAAATATAGCCTCATATTTGCAGGAATGTGAATCACGCTACCGGGTGTATTCGTCATGGTGACCTCGATTCTGTCGTCATGGCGTCTTCCTTGTTGATGGACGAATGTCATTCAGCACGAGAGCCGGAACCATGGAGAACAAGTGCCAGACTACAAATGAGAGCTGTTCCTTGCCACTGTGGATAGCTGGTGTGGCTAATGATTTCTTTGGTATGAGGATGTGGACATGCCCAATAGCTATTAGGAAAATACAGGAAGAAGATTATCCACCGGTAACATCAATTTTGGGCTATATCCTATACTATACAGGGTTATGAGAATGCAATTTTACATGTAGAAGACAGGAAAATGAAGAAAATAACGGAGCCACTTTATGCTGAGGTCCTATCGAGCTCCTGGACAACCTCCTCACAGCGATCACAAAGCGTGTTCTCAGTAGTTTCTGCCTCCGGAACAGCATACCGCCAGCAACGAGGGCATTTGGTCGCTTGCGGTGCGTAGACGTACACAGTTCCCGTGTGGTCATCGGGAAGCCGAACCTCGTCAGTGTATTGCCATTCTGAATTTGCAATTTCATCTGGGACCGGATCGCCATTCTCCCCGAGCGTAACAGATGAAACGACGAAAAGGTCGGGCAGTTCATGCAAGTAGCGATTGAAAACAGACACTTTCGAGGGAACAACGAGGTGGACGAATGATTGAAGGGATGATCCCATTTGCTTCTTCATCCGTGCACTTTCCTGCAGATTCTTGACCACCGAGTTCACTGCCGTGAGGTTACGGTAATCCCAATTAAGAGACTGATCTTGCCATTGAGGATCTGGGGAGGAGAAAACCCGCTTCAGTGGGTGTTCGCATGCGGATTTAATGGCCTCGGGTGTATGTTCCCAGGTCTCTTCGATGAGCATAGGTGTTATAGGGGCCAGAACCTCTTGGAGATAATGGTAGATATGGAACAGAGTTGTCTGCGCAGCGCGTCTGCTTGCGCTATTCTCACCGTGTGTGTAGAGTCTGTCCTTGATAGCCTCCATGTAGAATGCAGAGAACTCGAGATTGGCCCATCGGTTGATGGCATTGACAGCTTTGTAAAATTCAAACTTGTCAAAGGCACTCCGGCATGCTACGACTAGTTCAGATAGCTGCGCGAGTGCGATGTGATCAACCTTATGCAGACGCTTGTAAGGAACCGTATTATCCATGTTGAAATCTGACAGAGCACCCAATAGAAGTTTGAAAGTGACTCGATACTTGTGTAGGCTGATGTTAACTGTCTGGAGAACCTCCTTTCCGATCACAACATCCCGAGTATAGTCGCTACTGGCAACCCACATCCTTAGCGCATCAGGGCCCATAGCATCGTAGACTGGCCCCTGGCTCACCGGCTGCTTCCTTTTGCCCTTGCCTTTCTTTTGTTTCAGAGGAGGGAGGAGTGTTCCATCCATGATGGTTTGTGGATGGATCACGTTTCCGATGGACTTGCTCATTTTACGACCATCTTCATCTAGAGTAAAACCGTGTGTTATGAGGTTCTTAAAAGGCGCACAAGGACTACTGGACTGGCCAGAAGCAAGCTGATGCGCAACAAAAGTGAGAAGTCCAGATTGGAACCAGCCACGGTGTTGGTCTGTTCCCTCAAGATAGACATCAGCAGGGGGTTCATTCTTGCGGGCATCGAGAACAGCCCAGCTGGTACCACTGTCAAACCACACATCCATGGTATCTGTTCCGCGTCGGTAATCCGCTCCAGATGCTTCACGGAGTGACGGTGGAATCCATGCAGGGTCATTTGCGTCGTCTGTCCACCAGGCATCGATGCCGCGCTCTTCAATTACGTTCATGATATGAGACACGCTATCCCTTGTGAGCACTGCCTCACCAGTGCCACAATGGTAAAGAGCAGGAATTGGAACGCCCCAAGCACGTTGTCGTGAGATACACCATTCGCTACGGTTTTTCACAAAGTTCCCCAGACGAAGTTTTCCTGACTCAGGCACGAAGCGCACATTCTCCAAGGCGTTCACTGCACTGGAACGAATATCGCCAACATCCGCGAACCATTGCGCAGTTGCCCGGATGATGATAGGAAGCTTGGACCGCCAATCGTAGGGATACTTGTGTTCATATCGATGCTTGGCGAGTAGGTCGCCTTGCATTTCAACATAATCAAGAACGGCAGCATTTCCATCATCAAGGACCAGTTTCCCACTCAATCTTGCCGGGTCATCAGGCATTGCTTTGTCGGTGAACCTTCCTTCATCGTCGACAGGGGCGAATGCGGGAATACCACGTGCAAGGCAGGCCTCGTAGTCCTCCATACCATGACCGGGGGCGCAATGAACAAGACCTGATCCAGAGTCCGCTGTAACAAAATCGGCAGAAATGATCGGCTGCGGTGCTGCGTCCTGGCCTTTGAACAGTGGCCGATACGTTGTTTGGTCGGCCAATTCCGAGCCCAGGATAGATGGAACGACGACAGCTAGATCCTCCTTCAGCATGCTCTGGAGATATTCAAACCGAGATTGCGCAACCAGCAAGTGACCATGTTTCTCCGACTGGACTATAGTATATTCGAGTGACTTGTGAACAGCCATGGCAGCATTCGCAGGAAGAGTCCAAGGAGTTGTTGTCCAGATAACCGCAGAGATATTGTCAGCATTAAGCAACGGGTTCTCAGCCAGATGAGATGGAATTGTGACGAGAGAAAACTTGACCAAAGCCGCAGTCGACACATGGTCATCCTTGTATTCCAATTCAGCCTCTGCTAGAGCCGTTCGCGTCGATGGTGACCAATAAACAGGTTTGAATCTCCGGTAGACAAGTCCCTTCTCGACCATTTCACGAAACACACCCAATTGTCTTTTCTCAAAGTCCTTGTCCATCGTCTTCCAATGATTATCCCAATCCGCCATGACGGCGTAGCTCCGAAACCCCTTCATCTGCTCCCTAACCGTCCTCTCCGCCAACCTCCGCGCAGCCTTGCGGATTATGGCAGCACCCAGGCTTCCATTAATAGCCTTCGACAAATCCTGGCCTTGGAGTGCTTTCAGTTCAATGGGTAGGCCGTGGCAGTCCCATCCCGGCACGTAATGTACCCTCTTCCCGTTACCCAGTTGCACTCTGCAGACGATATCCTTCAGAATCTTGTTGAGAGCATGTCCAATATGTAGATCGCCATTCGCATACGGAGGACCATCATGGAGAATAAAGGTCTGATCAGCTGGCCGTTCCTGGCGTTGCCAGGCGTAGAGATCATCGGTGCATCGTCGCAGATATTTCGCCTGGTCCGCAGCCGACACTCGCGGAGGGAACGACGACTTGGGGAGTTTGAGCGTCGACGACCAGGACCGAGGGAGCCGCGGCAGTTCTGGCATGCTACCGCTGAAGCATATCCTGTTTCTATTATGGGTTGGACAGTGCCGTCGAGATTGACGTGTTCAATGGATTTACCCCAGGACTCTCGCCGAAAAAAAGAAAAGAAGTTGAGGTCGTTGGAAGTGTTACCTCCGATTACATCATTACGCACTGCGCCGCACTGTATATGAGGGAAACACCGTAATTTCGTAACGCCTATATATTACATCGCGAAGGGGAGTCGAGGAGTCGTAAATACCAGCATAAAATATGAATCTGTCTTAGATATCTAAATAGAATACACAAAATGGATAGTTGTAAAATTCGGCAGCCCAAACTCCACTTTGTCCCATGCCTTGTTCAATATACCGTTAAGCAGCTGACGGCGCCATTCTTCATCACTTCAAATAGAAGCCCAGGAAACCCAAATAACTCCGTATTACCCAATCCCTGGCTTGCATCGTGATCATCAGTTCCAGTTCTCTGTCTGCCACCTGCGCTTTCTTCCCAGCCCCCGAGGAACTCCACGCTGCTTTCTGGACTCTCACCCCAGCCCCGGTTCAACACCATCGGTCGTTGCGAGGATCGTTCCTCTGCAGCGTTAGCATACGATCCTTTCCATATCTCTTGAAGCTTCGCTGATATTTCCTGATAAGGTGTTTCCGACGACAGGAGACTGCCAGAGGGGCTGAATTGGATCGTCCAACGGCTACGCCGATGGCGGTTAAACGGATAGGACCCTGGTACATTCCCATGCAAAATAATCTTTGTCACGGTCAGCTGGGATGACAGAGGGGGACTCCGCGGACTAGACATTCCCGACTTGGGAAAAGCAGGACCTGGTGTGGTCGGGTACGAGATGAATGCATCGAAGCCGTGATGAAAATAATTAAAAAAGCACTCTGTTGGGAGTGACGAAGAATCTAATGCATTGGCTTGTAGAGCCTCGTCGTCCGAGTCATCAGTAACGCTGTTACTTGACGAGTGGTCGGTTTCGGGAATATCAATTCCTCTACCAGGAGGCGTGCCTATGTGAAGAGGATCTGTTATATCACCCATCACGCGGTGTATTGATATCCTCCGGTCATTCTTCCGGTAGATAGCATCAGGTGGCCCGAAATCTGCAACCAGATCCTGTGGTGTTGTTTCGGAAAGAATAATACGCGAGGGGGATGATGATCTTCGAATAACTTCCATCTTACCACCACCGAATATTCTGAATTCCTCAACCTCGTCGGGAACAGATTCCCTGTTCTTCCCGATAAGTGCTGGGGAGCGCGGATACTGCGGCTGTTGTGTGAAGAGTTTATGCCGGGCTTCTGGCCATGAACTACCGTGAAAGATTGCCATGCTCGTGGCCGGTAAGGCTGCAGAGGAGGATAAAAGTGCTACAAAGTCACATTGATCAGTCCAAGCAGTATCCTGTAACGGGAACGAAAAGGCGATGCCAGGGTACGACAACACATATGTCCCATATGGAGAGTGGGAAGCAGGAGGTATGTATTCTCCTGGATATGATGGACCAAACAGCCGGTTGTAGACTTGGCGGAAGGTAGGGCCTGGCTGTGTAGTGTGCTCATGGGGCTTTGACTTCATCACTTCCTGGTTCTTGTATACAAGAGCAGTTTTGGAAAAATCCAAAACTTCGATTAATCGTAGCCTCTGATCGGGGCCGTCAAATCGAAGACGGATACCATTCGACGGCAGCTGCAAGATCACCTGGCTCTGCAAAGGCTCCGTCGGGGAGTATGCGATATCTATCGCGGGGTAGGCTTGGGGATGCGATTTAATGCGAGTGAGGACATTATGCAGTGAAGCACCGAGTGCTATTCACAGTCAGTCATACTCTGGTAGAATAAACAAAAGCAACGAATAGACATGCTTATAAAGCCCAAGCCCTTCCCAGGAAACACCTGGGCCTGTGTAGAAGCTTTAGACGTTGTCATATTGATCTGCTGGTTATCAGGCGGGCCGGTGAGGGGTTGCAGAAGAGCCCCAGCAGTGATGGGAGGTAGCAGAGCGCAACGAACTACATGGACAAGCTGCGAGACCACAAGAATGCCCGGCTGAGAACACGGATCTGACTGAGGAGTGTCGAATATATAAGTAAGGCAAGAATCATGGACCGTGAGAGTCTTCAAAGAGCGCAAGATAAGCACGGCCGCTTCACCTGACCGTAACTGATCATGTGATGTATGACTTAGGCACGTGATACAGGCAGCCGATCGAAGGCGGTGAGAGCAGAACACGCGCACGTGAACAACACCCAGTTTGTTTACGTTTTCCCCAATCGGCCCAAATCAACAACCACTTGGATACTTGGCGCATCTCTCAACACACACACCTACCCCAGGTTAGATCCATATCGTTTAACGCGCATATTTTACTGTTGGTCTTTGGAAACGGGCTTTGAAACTGCTTTGCCTATCTGAACTGATCTCTAACCCCTCGTATCTCGTTCGTTACTATGGCTGGCCCGCAAAGGCCTGCCTCTGGCCTACCTACAAGGAAGACGGGCATCCGCCAACCCACTCGGCGAACTCGTTCTGCGATACCAGAAAAATCAGAATCAGCAGTAGGAGCTAAATCTTCAACTGCATTACGCGCACTGAAATCACCAGCACTGAAATCACCAGGAGAACAGTCTAACGCAGGCGCGAAAAGGAAAGAAAGGGACTTTGAACGTGAACTGGGCCAGGACACTAGTATCCATGTCGTGGTTCGATGTCGAGGACGCAGCGACCGTGAAATTAAAGAAAACAGCGGGGTGGCAGTTGTGACAGAAGGGGTCAAAGGGAAGACTGTGGAATTGTCGATGGGGCCCAATGCGATCTCCAACAAAACTTATAACTTTGACAAAGTTTTCTCACCGGCTGCAGACCAAGTCCTTGTCTACGAAGACGTTGTCGTTCCGATTTTAAATGAGGTAATTGACACTGCTTGGTTTTGGCTATTAAGTAATATCGCTAATTCGATCCTTAAGATGCTCGCCGGATATAACTGTACCATTTTCGCATATGGACAAACAGGGACTGGGAAGACATACACAATGTCCGGTGATATGACAGACACATTAGGAATTCTGTCTGACAACGCTGGTGTTGCCCCGCGCGTACTCTATTCCCTATTCCACAAGCTCGAAGACACTGAGAGCACTGTGAAATGCTCTTTTATTGAACTGTATAATGAAGAGCTAAAAGATCTGCTATCAGTAGAGGAAAATACGAAGCTGAAGATCTTCGATAATGAATCGAAAAAGAGCCAATCTAGCACGATGGTCCAAGGGGTGGAAGAAACATATATCGACTCTGCGTCTGCCGGTATCAAGCTGCTTCAAAAGGGCAACGTCAAGCGCCAGGTGGCTGCGACGAAATGCAATGACCTCAGTTCACGAAGTCACACAATATTTACAATTACTGTCCAAACAAAGCGCACGACGGAATCTGGAGAGGAGTACGTCAGTTCTGGGAAGCTAAATCTGGTTGATCTGGCTGGCAGTGAGAACATTCAGCGTAGTGGCGCTGAAAACAAACGAGCAGCTGAGGCTGGATTGATCAACAAGAGCTTGCTCACCTTAGGCCGAGTAATCAATGCCTTGGTTGACAAGAGTCAACATATTCCGTACAGGTACTGTGAAGATTTTCTGAAACCACCTGGTTCATGCCAATATGCTAATGATACTCAGAGAATCTAAGCTTACTCGGTTGCTCCAAGACTCTCTGGGAGGGCATACCAAAACTTGTATTATCGCCACAATCTCACCAGCCAGAACTAATTTGGAGGAAACGATGTCCACTTTGGATTATGCATTCAGGGCCAAGAATATCCGTAACAAACCACAAACTAATCCTTCTATTTCCAAGAAGACTCTCTTGCGGGAATTCACTACTGAAATCGAGAAGCTCAAAAGTGAATTGATTGCGACAAGACACCGCAATGGCGTGTATATGACGCCGGAGTCATACGAAGAGATGATCATGGAAAATGAATCTCGAAAAATTGTCAATGAGGAACAACGAGCAAAGATTGAGTCGATGGAAGCAAACCTTCGCCACAAGGTACAGGAGCTATTCACATTGACGAGCAAGTTCAACAACCTCAAGAAGGATAATGAAGAAACTCGGGCGGCTTTAGATGGAACAAATGATGTTCTTCGCCAGACTGAGATCGTCTTAACGAACACGAAGAAAGGCCTGGAACAAGAAGAAATGTTACGAAAGGCCCACGAAGAGACCGAATCGCAACTCTACGACATTGGCACCAATCTCTTATCTACCCTTGACACAACAGTCGGTGATGTCAATGGATTGCATGAGAAATTGGAGCGGAAAACCGAGCTTCATGCATTCAATCGACAGACGTGGCAAGCTTCCTCGACCGAAGTTGCTGACGTTACTAAGAAGATCGATGCCAGGGTGGCAAAGTTTCAGGAACAACATTTGGAGCTACTTGACCACATTTCAAATAAGATCAATGGATTTCTGGGTGATGAGCTGGGCTATGCTCAGACGAGTCGGTCGCAACTGCAAGAATTTGCTTCATCATTTCAAAGAATAGAATCTGAGGCCAGACGCCAGACATCCGGGGCTCACGATGAAATGAACAATGTTCTCGAGGAGATCAAGTTCTTGCGTGAAGAGGTCAAGACAAAAGTAGGAGAGGGGCTGAATGGTCTATCTGCAGCCGCGGCTCGCATTTCTAAAGAAGTCATTGGCGAGATTACGACCTTCCATAGCCAGGTGAGTTCAAGATTTCCGAAAGTGCTACGAACCTTGCTAAGAGAATCAGCTTCATGACTCCTACAGTTCTCTTGGTAAAGACCTCAAGTCAATATTTGAAAACATGGTTGGACATTTAGATTCCCAGAGGTCCGAAATTCATAAGCTTCGACAACAGTTACAAGCAACAAACCGTGATACTGTAGAAGCTAACCGGACGGCTTCTTTTCACCTGGCCCAAGTCCTTGAAGAGGAACATGCGGATGCTGAGGCTGAACATAACATCCTCCTGTCGCAAATAAAGGAGCTGATGGAGGAGTCTCGCAAAAAGCAGTTCAGGCGGTTAAAAGGCAAATATGACGGCATACGTACTGGTATCTTGTCCTCGACCGACTCCCTGGAGCAGGCAACGGCGCAGTACGATCGACAGGTTGATGAATGGGTTTTCAAGGATGAGCAATTTGCGAAGGACGTGACCGCGTCCAGGGATGAGATAAAAGCAAAGATGCAGGATGATTGGCAGGTAAGCTTTCATTTCGCTTACCATCATGTCAGAAATTGCGCTAATTATGTAGTTGTTTGATCAACGCAACGCGTCTATTCAACGGGCGACACAGTCTGTGCATGAGGAAACGGTCCGTATTGTCGATGCGCAAATGAAAGACATGTCGAAGCAAATGGGTGCCTTGGATGATTTTGTCACTAAGGCACGGTCTCGGAACGGCGTCTTCCATGAAGCACATTTGAATAGCTTGAATTCGCTATCCAGCAATGTCCGTCAATCGTATGGTACTTTCAACAATCAGTTGGATCAGTTCGGCGGTCGTATTTGCCAGTTGCGGGATACTTTTTCCGAACAGTCTGAAGCTGCCCGCGATTCGATTGCTCCTTTATCGGGTGAGGTTCGCGGACCGCTTTCAGACCTAGGCATCAGCATTACAAATCGAAGCATGAAAGAATACACAGCTACTGGGGAGACGCCCCAGAAGACACAATATCACTACCCCAAGACTTTGCCCCGGACTGAACAACATGAGAGTTTGATCGCCAGGATGAAGAATGCCGAAGAGCTCAGTCTTCTACCTTTCAGCGGGGTGGACCAATTCTCTCCCGTGAAGAAACCTCGTCATGTTTCCTCACCTTTAAAGCCATACGTGTACAATGATGGCGAGGAAGAGGTAGGGAAGCTTCCACCTCCCACCCCCATAGCCACTTCTTCCAACACGGGACTTAGGGAAATCGATGCAAACGTCGCCGGACCAATCGCGTCTAGTACGGCAGCTGATGTCTCCGTGGCTTTCCCACCGCTGTTGCCGACGGCGTCGGGCAGCCCGGAGGATGATCTCAGCAGACCTCCTCTAAAGCGCCATTGTTCCTCTACTGCCATGGCTGAAAGCAAGTTACCTCATAAAGCAGCCACGAGACGCCTGGCTGGTGTGTCGGGAGGCAGGGAAAATATTCCGATCCCGACTCCATCACGAGGGCAGAGAATACGGCACCGGCCCAGTGCTTAAACAGTCGACTATTGTGCTTCGCATGCTGTTCCCTTTTCTTGTTATTTGGCCCGACGGCCTTGGGGAGGGGGGCAGTGCAGATTATACTCATTAGTTCTTGTAATAATTATGGAGTACTGGTTTAGTTTTGGTGTTGAGGAGGGTTCTTAATAAGGATGGAGCAGGTTTACGTACGGGTTGTCCGAGTCTATTCTTGGACTATTGCTGTTTTTGTACATTCTCATTTATTCCTGGCGTATGTGGGTTGTCTTGTACTCGCTTTTCGGTTTTTGTACCTTGCGTATTTGCTGGATTTTCTCTGCCTCTGGGGCTTCGGTATAGTTCTGGAACTAATGCCAACTGTGGCGTGTATCGTACAGAATACCCTGTTTGCTTTTGCTAATACAATTCGTTGAAGGCGCATGAATTCTTTCCTTGGATAGCCGGACAGCATTTTGATGCGAGGCTCGCCAACATCTCTATTTCAAATTACGACTTTCAGGCACTCTGACCAGTATCTGCCACCATTACTACCCTATTTAGGGGCGCAGGACTCCCCCCAGCCTCTGCTTCCAACATTGCCGCCGGAGCTGGCGCTATTGTTGGTTCTCCGCGTCGTTCCACCCCCCCATCTTTTCACCCACCTCGATAACTCTTCTCAATTCTTTCATTCGCTTCGAGAACTGATCCATCATTTCCTCTAGTCTCTGGCTACCTTTATCTCTTCCCACAAGATTGCTCGGCGGCAAACCAGACGTACCGAGAATCTTGAGCATCAAGCCACGCTGGCCCTGTCCATGTTCCTGCCCTTGTGTTTCATCGGAGACGTTATTTTCAAACGTCGGCGCGGGAACGAGCTGTGTATCCAGGACTTGCCATTTGGGGGTGAGACTGTAGGCGGATGTCACTTTGAATTGTTGTTGCTGAGGCAGGGGATGGGCAGCTGACACTGCAGCTGGGGATGTAGATATGGATCTTGTTCCCCCTTGGTCTGCCGTACCAGCACTACCAGCACCAGGGACATTGTCAGTGGTTTCGGACGACACAGGCTCGACGTCAAGTATTACATAATTTTCCCTTACTCCCGGGATGGGCGGAGGGAGCAATGACTTCTTCATTGAATTTGATGATGCGGATCTGGAGTTTTCCTCGTCCATTTGTGTCCCGTCTAGGCCCACTTCATGATGCTGCTGATGTCGGTGCGTTCCCGTGTCTTTCGTGGAGGACTTTTGGCTGTCTGGTCGGCTCGTTTCAAGTGCCCGCAAGGCTGCCTCGGTGACGATTTCCGCGTCATCATCGGAGAATATGTAGTGGACTGTTGGATGGTAGTATTCGGAGCTATTCTCGTCTTCGATTAGGGTGAAGAACGGCTGGAATGATGAGGGAGGGTAGGTGTCGATATGATGATCGGTGGCATCGTGAGGATCCTCTATTATATCTTCTCTATTAGTGTTTTCTCTGTCGTTATCTGAATCGAAGTGGAAGATCTTGTGTTCCGCTGCATCCTCGTAGGAGTGTTGCTGCTGCGGTTGTAGTCTGTTGGTGTCCACGTCTGTCTGGGTGCGTCTGCTGATGTTCCGGGGAAGGGATCCAGATGGTGTTCCGGTTTGGGCCCTTCGAATGGGAGGTTTCAGAGATGAGGAGGAGGGAGCAGGGGTGAAGATAGGACGATTGGGAAGAGACATGTCAGTTGCGTGGATACATGGTTGTCGCTGGAAGGAAGACGATGACGATGACGATGTTTATCGATTGAATCAGGTGACCAACCTGGCAATCGATGCATTCATGGAATGAATACATACAAGGCAATTAGATCGGATCAGATCTGATCATAATTTATTCATTGAAAAGGAGCATGGAAGGAAAATAATTGATTCAAAGTAATTGCCATAGGGGTATCTATATAATTTATCCGTCTCCAATAAACGCCTTCACCATGCTGAATACCGGGGAAACATCACTCGTCGCTTTGCTTCCATTCGAACTCTGTCATTGAGGGATCGGAATTAGTATTACTAGAATAATTAGAGTCTGAGGAAGATGATTCAGAGCGCATACTTTGTCTGCACATGGGACACAGGCCCTTCGAGGACTCTTGTTGGATCCACGTCAAAAGGCAATGCTATTGGGATCAATCAGTATATTAACCTTCAATGAGGATATTTAACTCCACAAGCACACCATATGGAAGGAATGGCCGCATTTCCCGAGTACTGCAGGTGTCCCATATTAGTTTCGAATTAACTGCTAGAGAGAGGGAGAGAACGCACACAGAGAACAGTCGTCACCAGGGAATTTGCAGGTCGGACAGGTGCCGTCGAACTGCACGCGACAGATGCCGCAGACCTCGTCGTCGGGCATGTCCCAGCGCCAGGTAGCGACGGCGTTCCATTCCTTGATGGTGACCTTCATGCTGGTTGATAGGGGAGTAGTTGGACTCTGAAGGACGGAGGAGAAAAGGAACAGTAGGAGATCTTATCTCTCGCCAACTTCCGTCTCCGCATGGGCTGATATCAGCCTGCTCTTTCGTCCGTGCAGCAAAACAGCCCCATCACCTGGCGACTATTATACTTTCCTTCCCCTTGCCTTGTATTTATTTGTCATTCGACGCGGCGGTATGTAAACAGCCCTTTATCCGCCTCTAATTCCATTGTGACTATGGCCAGTGTTGTTCTTCGTGGCTCCCTCGGCGTTCCGTTGAATCGCTTGGTGCGCCCTACGATCATGTCCGTCTCGCAGCAGCTGCGACAGCAGTCGCAATCTCGCCAGATCTCTTCATCCCTCCCCTCCTATTTGGTCACGCCGAAACAGCTCAACGAAGCTCTAGAGAGCAGCAATTCGTCTACCCCTCCCTCCTCTCGCATCATCCCCCTCTGTGCCGCATGGTTCATGCCCAATGACCCCGAAGGTCGTAAGGGAATTGACGTCTTTCGCAAACATCGCATCCCACATGCACGATTCTTTGATTTAGACGAGGTCAAGGACCCGGATTCTCCTTATCCACATATGCTCCCGACCTGTGAGACGTTCGCAGAGGCGATGAGCAACATTGGCATTCGTCGTGACGATACAGTAGTGGTCTACGATACCGAAGAGCTTGGCATATTCAGTGCGCCTCGCGTCGGTTGGACTCTGAGGGTGTTCGGCCATCCCAAGGTTCATGTTCTGAACAACTACAGATTATGGGTGCGTGAAGGATATCCTACAGAAACTGGGGAGCCGGCACCAGTCGAAAAGACGGAGTACCCCATCCCCACGTTCCAATCAAAACTCGTCGTGCCTTTCCTGGAGATGAAGGAGATCGCCAAAGACTACGTGAATAAAGGCGAGGAGGAGATTGAGATCCTGGATGCACGATCGGCTGGCCGTTGGGCCGGAACTGATCCTGAGCCCCGTCCTGGCTTATCGTCGGGCCACATTCCCGGTTCGAAGAGCTTGCCCTTCCAGGAATTGCTGGACCCTGAGACAAAAACCTATCTTTCTAAACCGGAGCTCGAAAAGGTCTTCCAGGAGCACGAGGTGGATCCGTCAAAGACTATTATCAGCTCGTGCGGCACTGGTGTGACTGCTACTATTATCGAGACCGCATTGGCAGAGGCAGGATTTGGGGATGCTATTAACCATCGTGTGTATGATGGAAGCTGGACGTGAGTATTGATTGTTGAAAAGCGTTCGTAGTGGTGCTGTATGATTGTCACTAACCGGTTGTTTCATATAGGGAATGGGCACAGCGTGTGAAGGAATCGGATAATCTCATCAAAAAGAGTGTCTAGTCGGCGATAATCCTTTTTTTTGTTTCTTTCGTTATCTTGAGAGAGATGGAATTATAGAAGTTGGGCATTGCCATTGTTTATTCTCTGTGTCTAGAGACCATATTTCCCTTCCCATGCATATGTATCTAGTGAGCCACACACAAATAGCGGCAACTGCCGCCTGACGGGCATCAGACCAAGTGCTTTCTGCAAGCAGTAGCAGTGTTTCACCTGGTAAATAACATTGTCTTTTGGCATTCACTGTAGTGGCTGGTTCTGTGCAGGCAGTGACTGCTGAGTCATGTTGCCTTTGTCCCGCTGCCTTCATTTCCCACAGATTCCTCCCGCATCTCTCCATCACAGCGTCCATCCACTCTTTCATCATGCTTCTATTTTCTTCTGATTTGCTTAAAGATGGTCCTTATTGCTATTATTTCGCATGAATTGCTGAACTCTGATTGTAAGTTACCCATGTTACAGCACCCTGGTCCCTGGTTCTCAACATCCTCTACTTTCTGATGACATCCCGCCCACATTGCCGCCTGCGCCTCCGAACTATTCCATTCACCACCTGTTAACATCCCCTGGGGCGTAGTTGCAGCTGTCGAACCCCCAGCGCTCCCTGCATAGGGTAGCTCTCTCCAACTTCATCTCCAGAAACACTCTTTTGACCCCCTTCCTCTCTACGGATACAGCCTTAGTCATGGCGACAGGACGCAAGGTCTTCCACTGCGTTGTGGATGAAACGGCTTTGACGACGAACATCAGTGAAATCAAGAAATGGACTACTAATGGTGCCGTAACTCTTATTGTTCCTCTCTACAGTAAGTCACCTGTTTTATCGCTTTGAGACCTTTTTGTCAATCAGAATTGGCTCACGCAGTTCTCGTTTCAGCCCTTGAACGCCTCCATGCGCTGAAAAGAGCCGGATCGCAAATCGCCATCAATGCCCGTGAAGCTGTCCGTTTTCTCGACCGCGTAACCTCCGGAAAGGATAATCTCCCCGCCGATACTGTTGTTCTTCAGGGTCCGATGGAACAATACGAAAATTGGGAGGATGCTGAGAAGTTTTTCCTTCCGGAGTTCGAGGAAGAGCCGGAGGCTACCGGTGGTGTCATCAAGGAAAAGACACAATCGCCATCGAAGAACAAAGCGGACAAGAGGAAAGGCACTCTGAGTAATGGGGTGGCGCCCGATGATCTGTCGCAGATGCTTCTCAACAAACTGAACTTCAAGAAAGACCCCGATGCTATCTCGATTACTTCCATGGGCACTCATAGCGGGCCTGCTTCCCGCCCGTCGTCTAGAAGTTCCCGTACTAGCCCTGAATGCAGCGGTTCTCATCTCATTCCCAATGGAGATCACAAGGAAGGAAAAGAGACAAGGGTAAATGGACATAAGCGCTCCGCTTCGGGCTCGATCATTCCGACGGCTCCGCTGGTGCTGCGACCCTTGTTGAGTGCCATTCTTTGGCGCCTGCACAGCGGTCCGGATGCGCAGAACGCGGCGAAGAGCTGTATTCTGATTACAAACGACCGTACAACTCAGGTCTGGGCCCAGAAATTTGGCATTGGCACCAAAAACATCCACCAGCTGCGTACCGCTATTCAATATGAAGACCGAGAATACAAGAACCGTTGCAAGTATGTCGAAAAAACACAGGCTACTACCACCGTAGCGGAACCAAAAACCCTGCTTTCATACGACGACAACGATACCGATGAAGACGAGCTTGTCTTTGTCCCTCGTGGCCGTGGAAAGAGTACCGGGACAAAAAGTGGATCCGCTCGGACAAACAACAATTCGCGCAAGCCCACTGTCGCTAAGCCCGCGCCTCCTCCCATGGAGCCCACGATTGAAATTCCGACGCAGCCGATTGATCCAGATTCTTTCAGTCGATCTCTGGGGGTATCCAACAAGCAGCCCATTGACCTCAGCACGCAGTCTGGGGCAGCGCGTGGCCTTGCCGGTGCCTCTCGCCGGTATGCCTCCGGACGTCGTGGGGGCCCCCGTAACCCATCTCGCGGCAACGGCCGTGGTCGTGGTAAACTTTGGGTTCCTTGAAGGCATCTAGTGTTCGTTGGTCGGTAATTCCAACGAATTGACTCTCTCTTTTTCTTTTCTTGCAGTTTCCTGAACTAGGATGGCAAGCTCGTTTTCGAGCAGGAAAACGAGGTCTGTTTTCCCGGACTGCCTTGTTTATCGGACCTGTCTTGTTCGAATCAGTTGACGGCAACGGGTGAATTCGAATCGGCCCCTAGGACAAAAACGGGTTTGAATTTGCGAGTACTGGCAGACGGACCGTGACGAGCGTTTTGGAGCTCAGAGTTAATGCTAGGCGTGAAACATTCCCGATTTAACTATGACTGGCCTGTAATGAAATCCAAAGGACAACCCCGGAGGAAAACTCGGACATGCTCATTCCGATTGTTTGCAAGACTGCCCTCTCCTTTATGAGACTGAGGCGATTTTTCATTTCGATTTGACTTGTGCTCGAGGCGCTTTGGGGAGGACCGATGGTTTCAGGGAGCGATGCATGAGGACACCCTTCTGAAGGGAGCGAGAATGCTTTTGTTATCGACTATCCGTGTTTCCGCCACAAAAAGAAAAACCCAAAAAAAGACCACGAAAGAGAAAAAAAAAAGCAAAAGGAAATCGAAGAAATTACCTTCAATATCAATGATATTTTCCGTCCAGATTGCTTTACAGGATCGTGTCGTGTAATGCAAATGGGAAGGAGAGAGTTGACTATTTACCCAGAATGTATTTGCAGAACGAAGGGACATATTGCTAATATGATTGCTTTCTTACTACAATAATAAATCTGTCTGCATATTTAAATACTACCACCTATTACTGGGTTTATACGGAAAGCTTGGGTAAAGCTTATCCCCTACAGCCGTTGCTTGAGCTCCCAGGTCAGGCAACGCATGCATGCCAGTAGTCGTAAGTAGATCGATACCATCAGATAAGACCGCTGCAATCTATTATCCTGGAAAGGAAATTAAACCATTGGTACGGAGGATCCAGCATGCAAAAGAAGGTTAACAGCGGATACAGGAAGAGGACCCGTTCCTCCGCAAAGCCTGTTGTTTGTTGCATCTGCGTCATATGACTCCACCCGTCAATGCATCCTCCACGATGCTGAAGCAACCAACTATTTTGTCTCCTGATCATCCGTCGTCTTCCATTTCATCATCAGTCCTCTTATTTAAGGGCTTTTATTCTATTTAGTCGAGTTATACTTGCCATCCTGATAGACACAAAACAGAACAGAAACACCGCAAGCTGATTGATATCACCATGATCGACGAAACCCCGCTCTCCGCATCCCTGTCTGAACGCCGGAACTCGCTGGAGAAGCATCTGCAGACTCGTCCGGACCAGAGGGATCTCAAGGAGAGACATATTCTGCTAGATACAAACGTGGCGCCGTATGTATAACCATCACCAGATGTACACTACGCTCATTGCTAACCACTCGGATCATTCTTTATGAAATACGGTTTATAGATCCCTGCAAGCTGCTAGTCAGGGCCTTGCCCGTCAGAGCACGACGGATAGTCTAAAGAAACATCTCGAGAAACGTCCTGATAGGGAAGTTCTTATTGATCGTATGTCTTGTCTTTCTGCCTATACATCGTTTTATACGTTTATAACCCGACTGATCTTATCTGACTTTCGATCAAGGCAATATCCTCCCTGCTGTGAATGCGGCGCCAGCTCTCCAGGCTCATGCCCGCGAGCTCGAGAAGAATATGCGCGCGGATTCTCTGGAACAGAAGATTCAGCATCGGCCGCAGCCGGATGAGTTGATTAGCCATGGGATTTTGGGTGATGATCCGAGGACCCTGTGATTCATTCGGTTGATTTTGATATGATGGTATGGATATGATTGGTTGGAGTTATTTGATTGGATTTATTGGTTTTTGTTTTGGACAGAGATGGAATTTGAATAATGGGTCATGGAGGACTGAAATTGGATCAGAATGATGGAGTCTAGGAAAGTATGGTTATTCTGTTTTATCCTGAAGAATGAAATTATCGTCAATTGGCACATTCACTATCATCCCTACACCGTTAATCAATGCACCAAAACGCCATCCGACATCCATATTTCAGTCAATCAATAACTATCTACCTCAGCTGAATTAGACAAGTCAGGCATCCACCCACTCGGCCGCTCACTACCACGCACAAGAATCCCATACGCTGCTCTCTCAACCTTCTCCACACTACCCTGCATCACATCCAGCTTCTTCCCCATATCCCTCAGCATATTATGTCTCCGCGGAATAGTAAGAGACTCAAACAGCGACCGCATCTCCCGCAGATCAACCACAATCCCAGACTGCGCCGGAGGAAGTTTCGGACCATCCCTCGCATCGTCCTTACCACCAACCACGCCAGCCTCCTTTATCTGCTGCTGCTGCCGCGTCAACCCCCCAGTCGACAAAGATGTCACCGTAAACCGCATCATTTCACCAGTCAAATCGAACAGTCCCATCAGGTAATCCTCTTCCGTCACGAGAATCTCCGGGGGAAGTTGCGCGGTGACTTCCTCTAACGTGATGAGTTTCTGGTTCTGCACGTAGTGCTGGAAGGAGATTGCCTCGATGAATTCCTGAATTCCGGAACTGAGTTGGCGTTGGTACCGCCAGGAGTTTATGCCAGTGACGTCGGGGACGACTGATTGGAATAGTTGGCGGATTTGGTCGAGGCGGGATTTATTTTCGTTTGCGATTGAGGGGGGGAGGGGTTGGTTTAGTGTTCGGACTCTACGAACATGTCGTCAGTATAGTTCTTGGAGTGATATCTGGGTCTCATGCAAATAGTCACTCACCGTTGCAACGAGAAGATACTTTTCGAAAAATTAGACAATCAACATTCATCCCATGCTAGTCATATTGACTCTTCATCATCATCAATGATAAGATAATACTAACACCTTCTTACTCAGCGCCGTAATATCCCTCGACGCCTTAATAATCCTCTCCCTCCGATCATGATGCTGATCCAATTCGTCCCGGAACGTGGAGAAAATCGATTGTATCGCCGTTGGTGGTCGATCCGACTCCGCTGCTGCCATTGCTGTCGTCGAGGAATGTGCAGGTGCAGATTCTTTGGAGGAAGGGATTCTCAGCGGCTTTCCTTCCCAGGAGCGTTTTATTCCGGCCATCAGTGGCAGGGCGACGCGATGAGCAGAGAGAGAGACGGAAATCGGAAATTTGCGTCATTGTGAGGTTCAGGTCGAGTGGTGGGCTTGCCCTGACTGGGTTAGTGGGGTCCTTATCTGATCTGATAAGAATAAGATCTTACTGTATTGGAGGTGTAACTTGTGTTGTATTCCTGTCTAGGTGCTCGCTTCCTGAACCAGGCCCCCCCCTCTCTTTCATAATGGCCATTTTTGCATGACTCTGTCTATATTTAAATGCCTAGTGATGAAACCGTCTATCTCAACGGAGGCTCAAAGACTGACCACAAAGGATTCCCCTCCATACCCGGACACGGCCAAGAATCAATCGGAAGACTCATTATGCTCAGAAATATGGCTGATAATAATGACAAGCGGTTCTTAAACTTCTATAAATATGGTATGAAAGTACTCAATCCAGCGTAATGAAGACCATTATCTAACAGCTTGTTTCCATTCTCCATCCTACGACATTGGCATTCCCAAGTCAATAATCAGTATTTGTGAATTATGTCTTCCACTGAGGAAGATATGGCAGACGAAATGATTGATGAGAAGGTAAGACAGGAAAACAAGCTCCTTAGCCAACAAAGTAAGACATAGACACGCAGAACTAACCGATCCAATGGTCCCATCCGCGACCTCCAGGAAACAGTCATGCCCGAGATCTACACTAATGCAGCCATGGCTGCCTTATTCCCAAAAATCCACGTCTTCTACCGCGCTCCAGACAATGAAATTATTTCCCCGAACAAGCTGAAGCGCATGAAGTTGAAATACTTCAAATCAGGCGTCGCCCAAGTCCGTCCCAGGCTGGTCGTGAAGAGGGGATCCGGCGTGACTCTACTCGAGGCAAAGACCATGCTCTATCTGCAGGAACACTTTTCCGTCTCCGTTACGACGGTGTATGCTGTGTGTGCACATGGACACCATGCGCACTGGAGTGGTGACCGGGAGTACGATATTTATATCTTTATGGAAGAGGTATCGGGGCAGGATTTAGATACATGCTTGTTTACGCTACAGGTGAGGAGATGCCTAAAATTATGGATCAGTTAAAGGGGTATATGGAGCAGCTTCGCAATCTTCCTCCGCCGGGGTACATTGGGGGTGTGGATTCTGCGCCTTGTGCGGATTTGCTGGTTATGTGTGCTTTGTGGTGATGTAAATTGGGTAGAGGTTGGTTCCCCCAATCGAGCAATGTTTCAAGTGTGCTTATATATATGTTGATTACTTATACTATCTGCTGTTAGGCCCATTCGCCTCCGAAGCTGACTTCAATGCCATGCTAATCACTGCATACGACAAAATTGCCTCAGTGATCATACGTCCTCCAGGCCCAGTTGAACCCGTCCTAAACAAGCGTGTGCATCGTACAGTGTTTATGCATGGCAATTTCAGGCCTACTAATATTATGGTCCATAATGGCCAAGTTGTCTCTATTCTTGACTAGGAATTTGCCGGTTGGTATCCCAAGTATTGGGAGTTAAAGCTGTGACGACGTCTGGTAAATATTGGGATAATTTCTTAAGCAAGATACTGGCGTCTTAACTATGTAAACATGGAGAATATGCAACTTATAAGAAGTTGCATGCTGTCTTGTACTTTTGAGTTGAGTTGCTAGTTTCGTATGCAGACTCGATACTTTAAGAATTCAAGGAACTCTTTTGTTTGCTGCTGCAGATATAATATGATCGTTTCAAGCCTTAAATTCACCGATCCTGAACTACTGGCCAAGGAATTTCCATGCCAAAGGTTTTTCCTCCTCTCTCAGCCCGATCACTGTTACTATCTGCTCGTCCCCTGGTACAACATCCACAGCACTGTCACTAAGCGTTACGCCATCCCTTTCCTCAAAGACCAAACATTTTACCGGTTTCCTCGCAGTGATGGCCAGTCTCTGTTGTCCCGTGGGTTCGATTGTTCTCTTCACCTCGAGACCCCTGTCTGAGAAATCAAGATACTTCAGTGGCTGTGGCCAATCCACGTCGCGTGCAACAAGACGGTTATCAACCCATAGTCTTGCAGCCAAAACATGAGGTTCCGGGTATACAGTATGGTCAATAATACCGTCGACAACAATATCTGTCGTGCCATTGGGTACCACCCAGAGATTATCTCGGACGATGGGATCGCGAACTTCAAGACCGGTGTTGATGGAGATAAACCTCAGCTCGACTCTTCCAGTAAGATCTCTCTGTAAGCTGCTAGCGATCCATAGGCTGTATTTGCTTGTCTTCGGTGGCTGTGCATGTGCCACACTCCAATCGTGGTGTTCTCTGTAGACGCCGATAGCTAGGGGTCTAAGTACTCGCGCCACAGCGTAGTATGCCGGCTTCGGGCGAAGGAAGTAATCGACTATCGCCCAGGAGATTGTCGGCCAGCAGTCGTTGAGTTGCCATAGTAGAGCACCGCCACAATGTCTCTCATCTCCCCATTGGCGGCGCCAGCTGCGGTATCCATATGTCATTGTTTCGGCTTGGATGACTTGTGTTTGGTAGATATATGTCTGCATGTGTGTTAGTGTGTTCTATTCGTGGTTAGGGTTATGAATATTGTAAAGCCAGGATCAATCTACCTCCATATCGGCTGCTGTTCGAAGATTCTCGGCGAGATATGTTGCAAGCCTCCGCTCATGGCCTGCAGCTTTGTTGTGAAAGTCTATTACGTGTGACTCTGGATATCTGTCGGTCTCGTTCTCGACGAAGTAATCCACAGTAGACGTATGTGGGAATGCCTCCATGCCAAACTCGCTATTAAATCGGCCGCCTAGCGTGTTGAAAATTTGATATTTCTCCTGCGTTCCATGCCAAACTAGTTCGGTTGGTTAGCTAGATCTAGATATATAAGGCTATTGAGAACCCAGGATTTCTAGGACCTACCATTCCACTGGTGCAGATCACCAACGGTGGGATCAGAAGTTTGCTTTCCATCGCCCCAAGGACTCCCAGGGTGATAGAAGGTACTCGGAGAATGTTCCTTGACCACATCTGGTAGAAGTTTCTCGTAGATGTAGCGAGCTGGAAAATCCGTCTTGAGCCAGTTCTCTGGGTTTTTGTCTTCGTAGTTGTACGTGAGCTCTGACTGCTCCTGGACTTGATAATCTTCATTATTTCCAACATATATGGCAATCGAGGGATGATGTCGGAGCCTGCGTACGTTGTAAACGGCTTCGTCTCGGATTGATTGGAGCAAGGTCGGCCATGTCGGATAATTTCCGCAGGCGAACATGAAATCTTGCCATACCAGAATGCCTAGTTCGTCGCAGGCATCGTAGAAGCTGTCGTCTTCGTAGGTTCCACCGCCCCAGACTCTGTTTGTGGTTAATATTTACCGACAACAAAGTGCCAGAGGGAGAAGGGTAACGAACCTGACCATTACCTGGCTGCCAGCGACCATCAATGCAATCCACTTTCGATATCTTTCTGGTGTAATAGTCGGAAGGAGGCTATCGGCAGGAATCCAACAAGAACCACCGCAGAAAATGTCCACTCCGTTTATCCTGAAGAAGAATGATTTGCCATGTTTATCGGGCTGTTGGATGACTTCAGCCGTTCGAATACCAAATCTCTTTGTGACATGATAAAGTTCATCTTTGCCATTCGTCAAAGACACTGAGAGCTCATAGAGCGCTTGCTCCCCATACCCATGAGGCCACCAGAGAGATGGCTGTTTGAGATGGAACGATGCTTTGGCGGTCGAGTCTGTTACGAGTACTTTATCCTGGGCGACTTCCTTGCCATGCAGGCATAAAGTGAATTGCATCTTGTAAGAACCAGGAAGCACGGAATCGACTTCAGCAAAAATAGCGACCTCAGCAGTTTGATAATCCGCACCTAGAGTCGTGTTGATTCGCAAATCCGAGACCCGTCCTGAATACACCTCCAACCTAACATCCCTCCAGATACCTGCGGTCATTAACAGAGGACCCCAATCCCACCCCCAGTGGTACTGAGCCTTCCTCACACAAAGCCGGGAGGGATCACCATTGAAGCTCGCCCAATTGTGACCGGGATCTTGCTCCTGGATCCTCTTTGCTCGAAGGAAAGCAGAATCGAATTCGATTTCCAGAACATGTCGATCCTTCGATCGCAATTCATCAGTTACATCGATCCGATATGCAAGAAACATATTGTTGCTCTTTAATATGATCTTGTCATTAAGCTTGACCCTTGCAAAGGTGTCCAGTCCGTCGAATACCAATGCCACGGAGCATCCGCGAGGGATGGCGGGTTTCTGGAATTCGTTCCTGTATATCCAGGACTTTTCATTGATCCATCTGGCTTTTAGTTCGTTGAATCCGATAAGGACATTTTCTAGTCTGGATGATGGATGGATTGGTGGTATCGTTCGCGTTCGTCAGCGGACGTTACAGCAGCTTTGTTCTGATGCGAACGACGCACATACCGGTTGTTTGCTTCTAGGTCCTGATGGACGACGGATGGAATTCTGGGTGCAGACATCCATGCCTTCTCTATATGATCGTCTCTTTCCCTGAACTTCCAGCCTGTGGAGAGAGAATGCTGGGAGAACTTGGCCATGCTGTCTGGATCAAGACTCGTTCGGACAATGAAAGAATGGCATTTAAGGGAGGAGAGACGGGTAAGAGTCAGATCTATTGTTCAGAATATGCGTACATTCAAAAGAACGACCCTCTTCTTTGCGAGGCAATCATTCCGTCTGGAGGGATATTGGAGTAGATGTTCTTGTTTTTGAACTGCTACCCCGCAGTCAGACTTCATTCGACCAAGATTTCTATGAAACCAGTTTTGAGGCAATACTACTTTATCACTATTACTGCATTATATGGGTTCGGCCATATGCTCTTTTATCATACAGAGCAATAGCAGAGAATGAAAATCCTAAATGCACCGTACTCCCATTGCATCGAACGTAATACTGTCCTTACAAATGTAAAGATAGACATGGATTATCCAAAGCAATCCCAATTAAACAAATTGCTCTGCCTGATCTAAAAGAAAGTATTGAACAAGAGAGCAGCAAGCAGTGCCACTCCCACGCGGAGCAAATTGCGCGAGGACATAGATGGTGCGTCCTTCGAATCTTCAGTGATAACATTGAGACATGTCAACTGCGCGCTGGTGCCGTCAACCAGGCCGCCGTCCCTTTTACTAAAGAATACCGTGAGCACGGGTGTGATCTTGTAGACTTCCGCCAGGTTTCCCTCGAGTGTGTAGTTTCCCTGCCAGAGAGAACCGAGTTAGCACAATGGAGTCTATAGAATGATTACTCGGATGAGAGGAGGAAGATTAAGAGGGGCAAGTAAAAATTAACCACCCACCAAAGCAGTATCCATCCCAATCATAGCTAAATTGTGAGACTTGGGAAGAACAGGCCAGCAATCTGAAGACGAATTCTGCAACTCGCTGATTGGGGATATATCAAAAAGCGGAGTGAAAGCAAAGCCCCCCATCCCCTGATCCATGCCGGTTAGATCGCGGTATTCATCAACCTGGTTGTCGCCCAGTTCATGGTACAGCTGCACAGCGATACCTCATTTAACCACTGCTAGTGGCGTTTTGCGCCTGTGCGGTCAGCGCATCAATGCACTTCTGATCGATGACATTTGGACAGGTTCCAGTGGCTGTTTTGGAATATGTCATGGTTCGCTATGTGTATGTGCTGTAGAAAGGCTCTCCTGCAAACATTTTGCAAGGGCAGGACAGACCTTAAATAATGAATCTGTGATCGGTAAACCCAGCGCAAGAACATATCCAATAGCTGTGATATCAAGAGCAGTACGGATTTCTCGACTGTGTTTGTGTTGCAGCTGGAAGCGCCAGGCAGACCGGATGTTGGCTGAGAACGTCAAGGCTGGCAATATTTGACTAGTTCAGTCCATATGCAAGACGTTAAGATGTCATATTGCAAAATACTCCGTATGGCACCCAGAAATCAGATGATAGGAGTGCCACGGCCTGGCTCGAGGCTATGCTGCCCGATGTTAAGGCTCCAATACATCGCCACATATATCAAGCCTCTGTGACGGTTCATCCAGAACCCGGGAATGACCTTCATCAGCCCTAGATCTTTGATGATTAAATTCCTTTTTATATGTAACTAGTCAACAATCCATCTGTGCTCACCCTCCGCAATGTTCCACCGTTGCCTCCAATGGATACACCAAGTCATACAACACCCTTGATCAGATCGGCTCCTTTTTCGGCCGTGGCGTATACGCTGGTCTGGATATTCCCACGGGGGATGAGCGGGAAGATGCTAGCATCGCACACTCGCACGTTCTTCGTGCCGTACACCTTCAACCGGTCGTCAACCACTCCCCCAAGCTCCTGTGGGAGCATGGCACATGTACCCGCAGGATGGTAGTTCGACACTACGGTGTCACACACAAACTGCCTTGCCTCCTCGAGAGTGTGGAGGTGTGTATTGGGCGGAACCCGGCGGCCATCTCGCTTGATCAAGGATGCGAATGGTTCGGTCTTCACAATGGTTTCGATGAAGAGTACGTGGCGGGCTAAGAGTTCAAGGTCGAGCTTGTTGGAAAGGTACATCGGATCGATAGCTGGCTTTGCAGTTGGATCTGCTGATTTAATGTGGACGGACCCTCGAGAGAACGGATTTGTCAGGGAGGCGTCAATCACAGCGTAGCGGCCATCTTCTTTCATGCCAAACCAGTCTGTCGGCCTGGGCCCTGTATGCGGGCAGAGTTGGGTGTTTAGCATCCAATAGTGGATGGTGGAATCATTTGTGTCCTCGACAATGGCGCGCTGTAACTCGTATTGCTTCTGAAGAGCTGGGTGTCCGCCAGGTTTAACTTTCAATTCGGCATCTAGGATAGGTTGGAGCACCTTACGGTCCCCTAAAATCGATAAATCGTTCACTGGTATATACGCCGACGAGATACAGCTCGCTGTCAATGGACCGGAATGGGTATTTTGATATGCCTGAATAAGTTCGTCTAGTTTGCCCGGAATTTTAGTGTCTTCAATTGTTGATATACCATCAATGACCTCGAAGCTGATGCCGGCGCACGCATGATCCTGCAGATTCTCCCCCACATAGGGATTGTCAGCAACAGGGGTGATACCGAGTGCTTTAAGCCGTTTGGCATCTCCAATTCCTGACAGCTCCAAGAGTTGCGGCGACTGGACGGTGCCAGCACACACAATGACTTCTTTCCTTGCATGAGCCGTCTGTTGGTTTCCATCTACAGTCCGAAACAGTACACCCGTGGCCGTCTGTCGGTCAACGTCATCAAAATGGATCTTCTCTGCCAGGGTTTCGGTGAGAAACTGGAGATTGGGACGTTTAGCCACCTCGGGGTTATAGTAGGCGTTTCCTGCATAGCTCCGCATCTTGGACCTAGGGTCGACACAGCAGGGGTTGGTAAAGCCACCTTTCATCTTGCCCGTCGCTGGGTCACCCGTGTATCCCATGTCGAGGTTTTGAAAGGTCTGGGTCCAGGCCTTATGCAATGCTCCATAAAAGTCCTCGTTTGGGAAGGAGACTTGAATAGGTCCATTAGTACCTCGGATATTCTTGTCCAAATATGCCAGGGACAGGTCTTCAGCCGTTTTGGCAATCGGTTCGTTCAAGGTGTGAAATTTGCGATAGTAGCGGCCCATATCCTTCCATCCCCAGCCTCTATTACCCAGCTTTTCCCATGCATTTATTGTAGCCCGGGAAGGAAATACGATTACGCCATACGCCAAAGACGTAGATCCACCGACGCCCTTACCTCGAGGATGACTGATAATTCGTCCGTTCAGGTGTTTCTGGTCTTCATCAATGATTGCCCGCTTCGGAATGTCATTGATCAACTCGACTTACTTGAGGCTCAGTGAAGAAGCTCCAGTCGTATTCGGGCTTGTCATATAGCGAGGTCATCAAGCCAGGGGTGTTGATTTTTGGGTCATCGGGCCGGTAACTCCCAGCCTCAATCACCAAGACCGTGGTGTTGGGGTCCTCAGAAAGTCGATTCGCAATGACACATCCTGCTGTCCCTCCGCCGAGGATAATGTAGTCGTAGGCATTCTTCAGTTGCACACCCATGTCGAAAAAGCCTCAAAAAAGTTGTCGTGTCTAGTCGACTTGGAGCAAAGACCCCGATGCAAAAGATGGCAGATTAAAGCGCCCCTGTGAGAAGAAAAGAGGAGGATCAGAAACGCAGTTTCTTTTGTTCACCTTGAAGCATCCAAACAGGTACATCCTTCGTAACCCCTAGCCGCGAGCAGTCATACTCATTAAATATTGGTACTGACGTCAAAAGCATATATATACCTGGTCGATTTCTACGTCACAGACGGACGCTTCTCAACCCACGGAATGCAGCCGGGCTGCATTCAAACCGCATTTCATGTCTTGGGACTGCAATTCTTCGCCTGACGGGCGGAACACAATTCCGCTCACAAGGATAAGTGGTATTCACCCCTTGCGGGCGGCATTCCTAAAGGATAGAAGAGGAGGAGGCCCTGGCTCTAGCGGGTGAGGGAAGCATGGAATTGTGACTGAGCTTATGAATCCAGCGACCTGGAAGAGAGTGATATCATCTGCAGAGGCCATTACTTCTCCTAGTCAATAGGGGTTGGTGGCAAAATGGGTGCGATATATTCCAAATGCGAGATTCAAAGAGAGCTTCCGATGTTGCTTATTTGCGTTGAAGGACCTCTCCAATAAGCCACAGCGAAGCCCATCAAGGCGCAGGCACATCCTCGAGTTTCCATGCGTCATAGCAAGAATGGTCTATATTCCTCTCCCACAAAACCAGCTCCACCTACAAATATGAGCATATGTGTCATTCGATAAGTTTCATAAGGAATGTTGCGATCACGACAAGCTGGAAGCATTACAGCTTCGCAGTACTTCAACGCACTTGGGATCAGGACGGAGAAAGAAGTGTCTATCAACGCATCAGGCATGATGAAGTCAATTCCCTGTCATGAAGTTAGGCAGAAGAGGATCTTACATCGGGAAATACTGACGTCAACAATCGTGGGGACCCCTGTAGAGAAGACTGGGGAAACCGGCTTCATCGAGGAGGAAAGTGATCAATGCGACGAGTCATTATCGATAACTGTGGCCATAGAGACCGCAGGCAGCCATCATATACAGTGTGGCCATCCAGAAGTATGGAGAGAGTAAAAGCAGAAAACGGAAAACAGAAAACAGAGACGGCGTCTGGAGCAATCTGCGGATAGCGCTAAATATTTCCCCATTGGGAAAGGTATATCGTACCTCCAGAAACCTCACATCACAAGTATCTACTCCTCTTCCTCAACACAGGCCCGTAGATCCTAAACGTGAACGGAATCGGAATCATAACCACCGCCAGACAACCCAGCAATGTACCAGCCCATTGCACGCCCATATTCTGAAACATCTGTCTTGCGAAAAGTGGGAATCCCGCGGCAACCGCAGATCGAATGATGATGTTGGCTGCAACAGCTGAAGCGGCTCTTGGATTGATCATAAGTCAGCTAGTTAAATAAGGGTAGGAGGGGGCGTTCCATCTATTCCCGGGACTTACAAAGGCAGGTATGCATCAACGAGGTAAATAAAGCATGGTAAAAAGACACACAGGACTCCGAAGCCAACGAAGACGCCGGACACGGCCGGTGCTGCCCAGTGGATTTCGGGGGTGAATCCAGTCCAACCGAACCTGGTTATCAAAGTCATTTATTTGGACAGCTGGTGGCGTGATCATATTGTAAACTCACCAGAACAGCCCAATGGTGAATACTGGGGCACCGATCAAAGGTGGTGTCAATCGCCATTCAGGGACTGGGATATTCCCGTTTTCCTTGAGCTTCCTTGCATAGGTCCAATTTTGTGAAAGGATAAAGCTGAACGCCAGCAGCTGGCCGACTATAAGGCCTATGAAAGCTAGCCCTGCCACCCCAGGATGCATGCCGTGGATATCCTCAAAGACATAAGGGTAGGCCTCGAGAAGGGCATAGACAAGCCCATAGATAAACGACATGTAGATGGATATAAACAGGAGAATCGGCTCTGTGAACAACATCTTCAATGGTCTTGTAAAGTACTTTGTGAGAAGGTAGTGCAGGGTCATTTCAACTTCGTCGTGTTTGGCGTGGATGGCCCAATTGCCAGTTTTATGGCGGATATTAGCAGCTCGTGCCGAGAGCAGACATGGTGCATATGTCTCTTTCAGCGAGACAAGGAATAAGACGCCATGGGCGAAACTGAAGAATGCTGGAGTATAGAGCGTCCATCGCCATCCCAAGTAACTCGATGAGATGAAACCACCAATAAACGACGCTGTCAGCGGCCCGAAGAAAACAGGAAGAGCATAAACCGAAATAGCAGCACCGCGATGCGTATGCGTGAAGATATCCGCAAGCACACCAGGCACGACTGTCAGTGTACTGGTTCCGAACATGCCGGCGAAAAAGCGGCAGATAATCAACGTCTCGATATCCTTGGAGACGGCGGACCCGACGCTGAAGATACCGTTACCCAACATACCGATTGTCAATGGCCATTTTCTTCCTCGCCATTCGGAAAAGGGGGCCCATATCAGCGGGCCAGATGCGAATCCTAGGATGTATAGAGTTGTCCCGAGAGTTCCCACTTCCGTGCCAACTCCGAACGTCCTGCTTGCGCTTTCGGTTCCGGGGGCGAAGATTGCACTTGTGAGGGAGACAATGTATGTTCCTGAGCAGACTATTAGGGATGTATAGAGTCTTTTGAACAGTAGAACATCTATTAGCATGTCTTCCATTCACCATTGGGGCGTAGAGAAACATACTTCGTCGATAATTTCCAGTTATATGGGTGTGTGGGATCATCACTTCCGTCGAACTCAACAATATAGTCTTGGGGATCAGAAGGTGATGGTGGAAATGGCCTGCCAGCTCCCATTGAGAGACCCGGGATTTGTATGCTCGTGTAAGACGCCTTGTCTTTCACGGCACAGTTGCCCGTCATGTCTGGTAAGTCCGTACCTATTGCAGGCGCTTGGTCTAGTTGATTAGGTTGAGGGGGAGAAAGTGGTGGACAGGGCAGAACTTTGACCAGTCTGGAGAAACAATTAAATATGGTACATAAGGATATAACCACTCTTGATATATGAGAGTCCTTAGGAGTCATGCACAAGTAAATTTTTTTTTTTAAAAAAAAGAGAGAAAGTAAAGAAAAGAGTCACTGGGTTATGCTTGTCTGATTTAGGGCTTCGGAGATGGTGGACGGCTCCTGCGGGTGTTGCGGAGGGTTACAGACTATGCAAATGCCGGACTTCTTACAATCTTGCTCAGAAACACGCCGATGAAGCAGCATATCAGAATGAATGGCTCATAATATCCGTATTCAGAAACTGATCAAAATCAACCTTCTGCAAACCGGGCAGATCAGCAACCAAGGCACCAAGCCAAGAGTACTCCTCCGCACTGGGACTGGACAGCGACGGCAGAGTTTCGGCCTGGCCACTCTCATGTCGGCTATAGGTATCCAGTATGCCACTAAAGATAGCCAGGTCATCCCTTCTGCGCTGTTGGTGAAGCATGATCAACAAGTGGGCCGCCTTGCAAGCCTCCCTCATGGTTTCTGTGTCGTAGGTAGACGCAACGAGTTCCAGAGTCTGCACTGCCTCCGAAAGCATTGCTAGTGACGGGCGTGTATCCATCACCAGAAGAACGCAGATGATCTGGAACGGCACATTTGCTATATGCTGCCATGGAGAGCAATCTGCGACCATGCTGTGTGCACATGCGAGGGCTTTCTTGAGCAATGCAAGGACTCGCTCTGCGAGTGCATGTGAGATGTCGAAATTCTGAGTATGAAGACGGCGCAGCATACAGAGGACAAGATTACACTGCGCCATTACTGATGGTGGCTGTGTGTGAGTACGGTCCAGGACCGTCGAAAGCTTCGACTCAATGTCCAGGTTGTCTATCGGCTTCCCGGGATCGAGGCTGGCGGATATCGGCAGAAGGCTAAGTAATTCGTTCATGCATTCACCGGGTCTAGGTGACGGGAGGGAAAGAGGCTCTTGTTTCTGGAGAACGACTCGGGAGAGTCCCAGATCGAACGAAGTCCACATATTCAGGTGCTGCGCAACCCCAAAGATCCGTTTTGCGATTTCCGGATCGCAGTGCGTGATGAAGGGGAGAACAGGGTTTGACGAGCTGAGATGGAACCCTGCAGCTTCAACGAAATGCATTAATGTGGAGCTGGCTATCCACGTCGAGTGAGGCGAAGCCGTCATGCGCAAGTAGGCGACTCGAAGAACCCATCCGGTGACAAGAGCTAGGGGAGGCGCACCAGATAGAACATGCGTGTCCAAGATCGAACGAGCTGATTCCACGAAATGGAGCTCCGTGATTGTGATGTTCCGTTGGGAAAACAGACACCCCAGAGCAGCCACGCCGGCCAGCACGCTGTCATATAGACGATCGCTGGATAGAGGAGACTGCCACCGTTGCTCCAGCCGCTCAAAGAACGCATGTTGATCAAGAAATCCGTAGCACGGGTCTACCTTCTGGAAATACGTCGTCGCCAACAGCTTCATATGATCCAGAAAAGTGATCTCTGTGATGGGTAACGGCGAGCCTCGCGCCCCGGAAGACAATGGTCGTGCACCAATATTCCATCCGAAGAGATTCATTCTAGGAGCCTTCGTAGGGTCGACTCTGAGGCCTATCCTCCTCACGAAGGCCGCTCCCGAGTTAGCCTCCAGACGCCGAGTCAGGCCGTGAGTATCTGGCGGTGCAGTCTCCTGGGTCGGCGCCGCTTCCGGAGACGGCTCTATGCGAGATGGACGTCTCTTGTCTAGCTTTCGACGAGGTTGGGTCTCGTAGGAGCAATCGTAGCCCCATTCGGTGCAGGTGATACACGGGTTGCCGCCGTCGCATTTCCGCTTACGCTCCCGGCATGGCTTGCACGCTACCCTGGAGCGTTTCCGCTTGACGGCGTTCATGTCTGAAACGGAGTATAGTGCGTATTCGGCTAGGGCAGAAGGAATCGCGGGGGTTGAAGCCCAAAGCCGGAGGACGCGGGAATAGCGGCAGCAGATGGATGCAATGACGATGCGGGCTCTGTAGGAATGTCCGCAATAGCCGATGGGAGTCATGCCATCCGGAGATGTCATAACTAGTTAATGCTGGTGCAATTTGTCATCATGCTTACTTCTCACTCTGCTGTAGCCCCTCGCCAATTACTTATTTGAGACGTCTCATGCAAGAGGTATGGTTATTCCGATCCAATCTGCTCCGTACCTGTCCCAGGAAATACAGTGCACTCATCGGGTCCCAGACTCTTCCTGCGAGATGCCGGAACCGAGTTCGAAGACGTCCGCTATCCCTTCGATGATTCCTGGGCGGCAACCAGCGCATGGCTTCGAGAGAAAGGCATCTCCCGGACGGGCAGGGTGCCGGCGCTTGAGTACCATGGGACTATTTTGACTGAGGTTTGCAGTACATATTACTTGGCTATGCTATCTAACGGATGTCCAGCATATCCCGATCCTGCGGTATTTAGCCTGGGAACTGGGCGAATATGACGGACGGACGAGTCCAGAGAAATACATCGTCGACGCGGTGGCGGGTATCTACGTTGACTGGAGAGTGAGTCGGTTGTGTTTATAACTACTCCGTCATGCTGGATATAGATAGGAGACTGACCGAGGGCCAGGCGAAATTACCGGAGACCCTGAAGAAGTTTCGGGAGGCCTTTGAAAGCCGTCCTCGCGTAAAAGAGTACCTCCATGCGTCGTAGAGCAGCATTGGATCTGTGGTTACATGTGAACAGCTTATATGCAAGCGAAGGCTCCACCACGTAAATTGCTATGGAGACACTGATAATGCACGGGCTATTGCGAGATCCGGTCGACTGGTTTCCGATCTGTTGGTGTTCATGATCCATATAGCCATTGTCATGGTCGTCATCGAGCATCAAGCAATAATATGGATATAGGAATCAGAGTCCAGACATCGGCCAGCCACCAGCACCAGCATGCTCATCGTTATTATCCAGGACTTCCAGCAATCCCTGCTGCATCTTATCACACACTGCGTAGATCTAAACTGCCGATCTGAAACAGTGGCCGCTGCATCTCTGCTGATTGGACTTCAGCACTGATATGGCTCCGCGTTGCGTCCACTTGCAGTTGCACAGCCCCGAGGGGCGAAGTGGTGCTGCTGTTATTTTTCCTGCGCGCACCCCCGCTGCGATGTTTCTTCTTTTCAGGTTTTGTTTGTCTGGGTGAACGTCGCCTTTCCACGCGATAGCCGCGTTCTTTGCCCGCTCGACACGGTAAACCCCCGAAGATTTCGACTGTACCTATCTGTCTGGCAGGGAAAATAATATGGACCCAGAAACGCCTGGACGGCCAAGGGCGAGCGTGAGTCCAACCGACTAGTATTGTGTAGAACGGAGAGTTGCTGATGTCTCAACGACAGTCGGAAGAGGCTTCCCCTCGCGACCTCCGAGGCGCCGATGCTCGTTGGGAACGCCCAGTTTCACCTACGAGAGTGGACGATGAGTCCCGGACGACCGGTCGCGCAGACGTGCGGCCGGATAACTGGTCCATCCCAAGACAGAGAAGCACCAGCAGAGGCATACCAAGCCTTACTCGCCGACTGTCGCTGGCCGAGCGGACGGGAGGAAATTTCACCATCGGCGGCCCCGATGAGACCGCACAAGTGCGCCTGGCGCATGAGCCGTTCGTCCAGCCCGGTTACGCAGATCTCAATCCTTCGTACGAGCAGGCTACCAACGCCAAACCGGTATGGAGTTTGGCAAAACCGCTGCCGCGTGTCGTCAGGCTCGGCATGGTGCCGACGAAGGACGAATTGCTGAGGCATCGCACCAGGGCTGCTCAGCGATCTGCGGAGAATTCGAAGAAGATGGGACTGGACGTCGACCTGAACGAGCTCGAAAAGGGCCAGATCAAGAAGAGTGCTGACCCGCGGAAGATGGCGGCGCAGGTGGAAGATGCCCGGGTGCAGCGCGAGCATAACCTGATGAACAAGATTCTGAGTGGCAGTGGACTGCTGTCCTTGAGACCGTCTTCGTCTTCGCGCTGTTCGATCACTTCTGCAGACCGCATGAAGCGGGCGTCGACTTGGGGGATGCCATTGCCAACGGTTGACGAAGCAGAGCCCCAGACGGAGGGTGAAGCCCCCAGAGATAATGCTCTTGCTCGTGTTCCCACGGAGAACGATCCGCTGCTGGGCGATGATGAAATGCAGGAATTGACGGACCTGCCTCCCCTCGACGAGGCTGCTTGTCCCGATGACCTGCACCCGCTCGTGCAGGATCTCGTCGAGAACGAAGTGCACAACAACCACACAACCTGGTCGGTGATTCGTACTCACCACCGTGAAGCACTGGCAGAGTCCCTGGCGGTCTTTGTCCAGCTCACCGTCGGCTTCTGTGCCGATCTGGCCGTCACCCTGGCCAACGCAGGCAACCCCAACACAACCGGCTGGGCATGGGGAATGGCGACGATGATGGCCATCCACATCTCCGGAGGCGTGTCGGGTGCCCACCTCAACCCAGCAATCACCGTCATCCTCTGGTTCTACCGTGGCTTTCCCCAGCGCAAGATGCCAGGATACTTCGCTGCGCAGTTCGTCGGCGCCTTCTGTGCCGCCATCGTCGCCTACAGCGTCTACTACGAGCCCATCCAGGACTATATCAGCTCGAACAACACGGCTAAGGGCATAATCAACAGCTTCATAACCGGACCGCAGACGCCAGCGGTAGCTCCTACAACGGCCTTCTCCAACGAATTCGTCGGCACCGCCATCTTAACAATCACCATCCTGGCCCTGGGTGACGACCAGAACGCACCCCCGGGGCCAGGCATGAATGCTCTCATGGTCGGTCTTGTCATCACCTGTCTGGGTCTCACGTTTGCCTATCAGACCGGCGGTGCCCTCAGCCCGAGTCGTGACTTTGGTCCGCGACTTGCGCTGCTTGCACTGGGATACGGTCGCGAGCTGTTCACGGCGGACTCGTACTGGTGGTATGGGCCGTGGCTTGGTGCGCTTTCCGGTGCGTTCGTCGGCGGCTTCTTGTATGACTTTCTGGTTTTCACGGGCGGAGAGTCCCCGGTTAACTATCCGCTTGAGCGGACGCAGAGGGCTCTGAGGAAGAGTGTTATGAGGTGGAGGCGGACGTTGAGGCTGGCTTGAATTCGATTTCTGGCTTTGGCTTTTGGTTCAGTGATGGAGAGGTTTTCGTTTAGACTGATTTTTCGGGTGTCTGCTTGTCTCGCATGTATCTCTGCTCTTCTTTCTTTTGGATGTTGATGCCTTCTGTTCCCATGCAGGGCTAGGACAACAGTATAGCTTATGATATGCAATATTAACCATTGTTGTTTATGCTTGGTAAGAAGTATGCTCGCATATTGCGGCCCGCAATAACCGTTCCGTTTGCGTCATATCCAGAACTTCCAGCGTCTTATATAACTGCCAAACACTCATCCTTCAACTGAAACAAGCTATTCAACTATAATCTCACCATGTCCAAATTACTATTGCGCTATCCATGGGTATCCGCCCCGTTGATCGTGGGCGCCCCCATGCGTGTGTTCTCCGGGCCAGCCCTAGCAGTCTCCATCTCCCGCGCCGGCGGACTCGGATTCATAGGACCAGCCGCGAAGACGGAGGATACGATTACGGACCTTGAGCAAGCATTGTCTTTGGTCAGAGACGTTCGCTCCTCCAGCTCGCTAGACGCATTTAGCAGGATCCAGGAAAGTTCAAGTGCAACTTCAACTTCCGTACTTCCCATTGGAGTAGGCTTCCAGCTCTGGAAAGATGACCTCAACGTCGTCGTTACAGCGATGGAGAAATACCGACCTTGTGCGGCATGGTTATTCGCGCCACGCCAGGTCAAAGAATTCGACGACTGGTCTTCTCGGATTCGAAATGCATCCCCGCAAACACAGATATGGATTCAGATCGGGTCTGTCGGTGAAGCGCGATCCCTCCTGTCGAATTCCGAGAAACCAGATGTCCTCGTCATCCAGGGCTCGGAGGCAGGCGGACACGGCCGGGAGAAGGACGGAATCGGTCTCATCACTCTATTTCCCGAAGTTGCGGATATCCTCGCGAGTGGTAATCGAAACATTCCACTTGTCGCAGCCGGCGGAATCGTAGACGGACGAGGCGTTACCGCGGCCCTATCCCTCGGCGCATCCGGAGCGGCGATGGGGACGCGCTTCCTCGCCTCCACAGAGGCGCGGATTCAAAAGGGGTATCAGGATGAGATTGTGCGTGCATCTGACGGCGCTGTGTCGACGGTGCGGACGCTGCTCTATAATCACCTTCGCGGCATATATGGCTGGCCGGAGGGATATAGTCCTCGGACTATTGTGAACCAGTCGTACACCGAATATCTGGCGGGACGGCCGTTTGAGGAGTTGAAGCGGTTGCATGATGAGGAGAATGCCCGGTCAGGAGGTGGTGGTGGATGGGGCCCTGAGGGGAGACTTGGGACTTATGCGGGCGCGTCTGTTGGATTGATCCGTGAGGTGAAACCTGCTGTGGATATTGTCCATGAGGTGAGGGAAGATGTGTTGCGGAGGATTCGTGCTTTGCAGAGTCAGACTTCCGAGTAAATATAACGGGTTAGTAGCGGAATTGTACTTAGTATGGGATGATGCTGAGCACTATTGCCTTCGCTGAAAAAGAATCATTCAACACGAGAAATGTAGAATGCATTGAATTCATTACCGATATTGATAATAACAATCCTAACCACCCCCAGAGTATACCAGAGTCTTCAGGTAGACTAGGGCAGACCTCGTACAATCAGTTCATGTACATGTACCTCATGTTCATCGCTTTCATTCATTCCAACCAGGCTGCAGCTTGGCCTTACGACGCCCCAGAAAAATCATAGGGGAAACAGTGAGGATCAACATTCCCACAAGAACAGCCGCCTGAACCCCAAAGACGACCGCAGTGCCGTCCTTCGCGATCCAAGGCGGCTGGAAGTACCCAACGGAGAAACCACCGGCTGTCCGCCAGCCGTTGATGATGGCAGATACCAGCGTCGACTGATCGGGGTAATTCTCGATGACATGCAAAGTGATAGCCCTGGTCTACTCAGTAAGAAGATTCCCATTTGACAATTTTAATGGGTAGGAGAAGGAGGAAGAAGACTTACACCATGCTGAAGATCATGCCTCTTCCCTGGGCGCGAACTCAAGCACTGCATGCTGAAATTCCTAGCAGCGAGCAAGATAGTGCTCGGGATGTTGGTGATGATATGGGATACAATGGTGACAGCACTAGCTGTCCGGCAGCTGCCCGTGAAGAACGTAATAGTGCATGTAGTCAACGATATTGAATCTGTCATACATCACGGCAAGCGCGATGATATTGACTAGTAAGATCAAGCCTGCTGCCAGTGTTCCACTGGTGACGACAATGCCGCATGCCTTGGCCGTCCAGATTCGGGGAATCCTGATGCAACTGGCATGGATCCTGGGATGCGCTACCTTGCTTGTGTCCGACGATGCATATTAGGGGGTCTCAGTGCCGTGCATCTTGGCATGTTCACGCCCTCAAGAGAGCAAGCAACACATGGTCAAAAGTTTCAATCAGCGTCTAATAATCAATTCTGCCCTGGAAAGACCGAAAATAGGGCACGAGCAAGGCTGGGATGTGGCAATGATCTTGGTGAGCAATTTGGATGAGCGCGTCAACAGGATGCCCCTGTCAATCATGTTGAATCCCGAGCAAATCTGCGGGTAGTAACGTTTGAAATCTCCCATTCTTGTCCTTCTTTTTCTGAATAATGACCATAGCTCATCATGCATGGGCCCGGTCATGGTGGAACTCGCGTTTGCTTAAGGACTGTGAAAGGGATCATTTCAAGTTTACGGAAGATTCCTCCGTTGATCGCTCCCCATAGTCAGTCAAGGGATAGATGCTGAATAACTGTTATCTTCCACTTACTCGTTTCGCAGCTCTTATTTTGGTGAATCTGCCGGATTCGTTTGCTTGGATAATTATGATCGAGATACTACTGTTAGGTCTCGACAATGCAAGATGGAATGACCGGCCGGAAGTGATTATGTAAACTTGATGCCTGACTCGTTTAACTACTACGCAGGGATTGCTCCATGGAGACCCTTCATCGATTCCCTCTCAAGGTATCGCCTTCGGTAACACTCAATTGGCGAATACACGCTCCAAATGCAGGTAATGGATGGATGCTCTTTCTCGATTACGCGCCGAGTCTGACATGGTTGACTGCAGGCTCCCCATGCGCGTGGGACAGGCAGATCCGGCCCGCGACGGCGAACAGGTTGCATGACCTGTAGAGCTCGTAAAGTCAAATGCGGCGAGGAAAAACCAGTCTGTACCCACTGCACCCGTCTCCGATTGCGCTGCAAATACACACCAGCCATTGTTGGGTCCTCGCTGCGACGGCGCGATGAGAGACCGACCGTTTCCTCCGCCTCAGGCACCACTTCCCAGCGACCAGATGCCAATTTCTTCAACACGGTTCTGCGGTTTGACGAGCAGCAACTCCTTCCAGAGACATCGTTTCCATCCCTCGTGAATGGGAATGCTGGCCAGTCGTCGTCATCCGACTTGCCGGATTCCTTTGACATGCTCGGCTTGATCGGAGCGATCACGTCCGAATTGCAGCAAAAGCATTTCGATCTGTCCAATGGACGGTCGGATTTTATGACCCTCGCTGCGTTTCCATCGCTGACTGATGGATCTGATGCTGGTCCCAGTCAGCGACAGGCGATGTCGAATGTTGGTGGACCTTCGTCGACGGGCGACGCTTCTGCTGTCAGCAGCGTCCACAGGGATGCCGGTGCAGGGCCGTCGATAGTTGCCATATGGCCAGAAAGCAGGACCGCATACGAAGAGCAACTATTGCTGCATTTTACATCTATAGATGAGCCTCCGGTAATATTTAGTCCGTGCCGAATGGAGTGGAAGTACATGAAACAGGCCATGGTGGCCCTGTTATCAGAATCTGGGTCATTACTGAATGCCATCTACTGCTTTTCTGACATACACAAAGCCATCGCAGATGGAAATCGGTGGGAGGCAGCACATATGTACTATCAACTGGCGAGCTCGGAAATTCAGTCATGCGTTCTCGGTGATGTGACCACCCCCATGCTGAAAAAGATCTTCTCTGCTATGTTGCTACTCATGCTATCAGAGGTATGAGTGCAGAGGTTTCTGATTGTTGGATATTCAGTGCTAAACGAAGGGGATCAATACAGCTGCTGTCCTACCCAGAGCTCTGCCGGCTGGGGACATCCCATCTCCACTCGGCGTATCTGTTGCTCGATCGATTTTACAAACAAACCCAGTCTTGGACGGGGCTCTCCCGTCTGGTAATCTCTTGGGTTGCTCTTCTCGACGTGAAATCCCTGGTGGCTGGTCGGGAAGGTGATCCGTTGGTGGAACTCGGCAACGTGTCCGAGTCTGTGATCAGACATTTGGAGGGTGATGTATCGCAATCCGAGAGACCAGCTAGGGCGTCTGTAAATGGAAACAATTTCGATGATTGCTTTTCCAGCCCCAGCTTTCTGGTGTACGATGCCATTGTTGGGCCCGTGTTTAGATTCCACAGTCTAACGCAGCAGGTTATCCGGCGCATTGTGGACATGGACCTCCACCATCGGAGTCGTGGTACGTTGAACGACGAATTCGAAGTCCTCCAGATTGCACATAAAGTCGGCGCGGATTTGGAGATGCTATGGAACTTCCGGCCCCCGGTGATAGATGTCTACAATCGCCCCGACGAGTTGCTAGACACTCTAAACCCATCACTTGCAGTCGAGGTCTGTGGAACATTTCGACAGTACGTGGCAAATTTCTTGGCCATATTCATATACTTGCATCGCGTGGCATTTGCTATCTATCCGCGAACGGATCGTGTCAACGGCGCTGTCCGTAAGATCATTCAGCTGGCCACCATAGATTCTAAGGATGGTCGGCCCATAGCCTCTGGATTTCTCTGGCCGTTGTTTATTGCAGGTCTGGAAGCCTCACTTGAGCAAAGGCAATGGATAATGCGGGAGATTCGCCAGATGGTGGACCAGGACTGTGCAATTCTACGACATCCCAATGCGGAGAAACTGCTTCTGCTGCTGGACGAGATGACCAAGCGGCAAGACGCAACGCGTACATGGGCTGACTCTAAATGCGTCAGGAGGGAGCTATTTCCTGATTTCTTCGTTATGATATGATGGCTAAGTATATACATCGAATGACAAAACACATCAACCCATGTGCTCCAGATCTAGAATTGCTTCACGATTCGTTGGAAACGCTGGGGTTTGCGCATGAACTTCTCCGGCTCGTCTCTCGCACCCGTTTTCCAGTAATCATACTCCATCCATGCATTTTCTGGCATCTGTGCCTCAGTTGCCTCGATGAAGGCTCCGAGATCCGGGCTGAGTGGGATGGTGCCCGTTTCGATGACATACTGGTCCCATAACTTCAGCAGTTGGTTCAGCCGTTCTGACTCTGTTTCTACTAGGTCATGAATCTCGCCAGGGTCAGCATCGAGATTATAGAGCTGCCAACGCTCTGGACCCTTGGGCTTGGGAATGTAGACTATCTTCCAGTTCCCGAACCGCAGTGCCGCACGGCCGCACGTCTCCCAGCCCTGGACGAAGTCTTTCTCGTGTATCCTCTCCGCCTGACCTGTGACCCATGGATAGAAGCTCCTACCACGCATGGAAACAACTTCTCTTCCTTGATAAATTGGTGCGGGATGCTTCAAACCGGCCATCTCGAGAATAGACGGTGCCAGATCCATAACCGTGGAGAACTGGTCTGTGATTCCTTGGGCTTGATTGGCGACATGTACACTTTTAGGGAAACGGGCCAGACAGGGAACACGCACGCCACCTTCGGTTGTGTATGCTTTATAAAGCCGGGAAGGGGCAGTGGCAGCCTGGGCCCAACGAGGGCCATACCAGATGAATGAGTTCGCGTTTCCCAGATTCTCCAAGCTGTTGTCATAGTATTTCTGGAGATGCGGCATTACGCCGCTCTGGACCATAGGGTATGCTTCGTACGCTGCGCCCTCGGCTCCATTGTCAGACAAGAAGCAGACAAAGGTGTTATCCAATTCCCCAATGCTCTTCAGATAGTCGACGACCTTGCCCACGTTGGCATCAATACACTCGACCATTCCCGCATAGACCTCCATGGCTACACAAGATTTCTTTTTCTCTTCCGGCGAATAGTCGGCCCATTCCTTCACTTCGTCGGCCACAACAGGATGTGGCTGCACATCTTCGCGGACCATCCCCAGCTCTTTCAGTCTTTGCAGCCGTTTCTGTCGCAAGACATCGGGACCTTCATCATAGACCCCGCGATAGTGGTCAATGTACTGTCGTGGCGCCTGCAGCGGCCAATGCGGTGCTGTGAACGGCAGATACGCAAAAAATGGACGTTCGTCCTTCCTGCCCTTCCACTCCTGGAGATACTGGAGCATCTTGTTCCCATAACCGTCTGAGGAATACCAGCCATCTGGCAATTTCCGGACGTAGTGATCGTCTTCCATGTGGAGAGCAATATAGCTCGCCTCGAGAAAGGTCGGCGTCTCATCACCATTCTGAAGCTGCGGTTCATAGGCATAGTGATTCGAGCATGCCGGTAGATGAGAAAAGGAGCGCTCGAATCCCCTTTTGTGCGCGGATCGCTCCGGCGTCAGACCCAAGTGCCACTTTCCCGCCATCACGGTGTGGTAGCCCGCATCGTGCAGGAGCTCCGGAAGCGCTACCACACGCTCATTCAGGTATCCCTCGTACCCTGGCATTCCACGTTGCGGGGCCGTGCTCATCTGTGAGCCCTTTGGCCCGTTCTGCCCGGAGATATTGGTCCATTCGATTAGGTTTCCCAGACCAGCGATGTGGTGGTCTGTTCCAGTCATGATCATTGCGCGACTTGGACTAGCCAGACACATTGTTACTTAGCTGAATTCTGTGAATGTTTCGAGGTGGATGGTACTAACGAGCAGGCAGCGGCCGCATGGAAGTCAGTGAATCGAACCCCGCCGTCGAGGGCCAGCTTATCGATATTCGGAGTGCGAATCTCGCCTCCGAAGCAGCCCAGGTCGGAGAAGCCAAGGTCATCAGCGACAATGAGGAGGAAATTGGGTCTTTTTTCAACCATTGCGATTGGGAGTCAATGTATGACTACAGTTTGCTTCTCAAGTTCGATGGGATGAATTGAATTCAACAGGAAGGAGATGAACTGGCAAGAGTATTTGCCCACCTTATGGACTGCCCCCCTGCAATGGCTGCAATGCGTCGATTCGATAAGAAGGCCGTTTCTCCCCAAAAGGGTAATGCAGAAACGGCGCGTCGTCTGTCGGCTGTCGTCTGTCGGCTGTCGCTTATCGGCTTGATTGCCTATCTGGGACTGGCATGTCGCATGATGCCCCACCTGCAGAGCCCTAGCGTGTTTCTATTCTTGGCGTCCGCGGGAATCTGTCGCTTATATAATCATATACCCCGCGTTCCCCGGATTTCGTGCAGCCACCAACGAGCTAATTCCTGCGTGCCGCATGTTGCATATATGTTTTCCATAAGATATGAAGTTATTCCAATGCTAAATACGCGGGTCTCTTGCAGAATATTCCCCCAGATGACCCAATTAGGTAACCTCCCTCTACAGCGAAGGCTTCCTTCCTGTCCTATTGACCAGCCATGACACGATCCCGGTCTGCGATGGCGCAATCTGCAGACGTCCAGGAGCAACCGAACTGGCGTCATCCAAGCCCGAAATGGCATCGCTCGGCTGGCGGCTAGATAACCCTAACAGTCCATGTCAGGGCTTCGTTGTAACTTCGGTATCACAGTCTCACATGCTGACCTTGTCAGATACTGCGCACGGCTACTGCCAGGATGCTTGTTCTATATAACGGCATGGATCTCCTGGGAATTTGCAGAAAAGGCTGTCTGCTTGTTTCCTTCTTTGCCACACTATTGCTCGTTGGGATTCTTGCATAATGACTCTGTGATCTTCGTCTCACCTTCTCGACTTTGCAGGCCTAATTGTCAATATCAAAAGTACTATTCATGCTGTACACTGCCATATGAAGTTCATCAGTTTGGCTAGTCTACGGATCTACTGGCTTGCTGCTGTCGCATGCTGTGGGGGTGTCCTTTTTGGCTATGACTCGGGCGTCGTTGGTTAGAACTATCCTGGACTGCATGCTGTTTGTCCCTGCTGACTTCCTCCAGGTGGCGTGTTGACGCTCAAGGCCTTTAAACGTGATTTCCGCTACGGCTCCAAGGATGAAACCCGTGTCAGCTCTATCGCCGTTGGCATCCAACAGGCCGGTGCCTTTGTCGGCTGCTTTGCCATCTGGCCACTCACAAATCGATTAGGCCGTCGAATTGCCATGATGATTTGTGCCTTCATCTTCTGCATTGGCGTCGTCATCCAGGTCATCAATACCCATTCCACCTCATCGTTCTACGTCGGTCGCGTTGTGGCTGGTGTCGGTCTCGGGGGTTCGACTACCATCATCCCTATTTACATCTCTGAAATGAGCCCCAAGGAGATTCGTGGGAGACTGGGGAGCTGTTACCAGTTGGCCTATACCATCGGTATTCTAATCTCCTACTGGATCGACTACGGCGCCAAGTACATGTCCGTCTATCCGGGACAATGGCAGCTTCCGATCAGCCTGCAACTGGTCCCGGCCTTCATCATGGGTGCTGGTATGCTTACCCTGAAAGAAAGCGTGCGATGGTTACTACTTCGGCACGATGAAGACAAAGCCTGGGAAAGCCTCGTATGGGCCCGTGCCAGCGATTCAGAAGAAGTTGCACAGGAGTTGGCAGAGATGAAACAAGGCGTCGAAGACGAACGATGTGCCAGAGCCGGCTTGCGGCCGCAGGAACTGCTCGAATGGCCCAACATGCATCGGCTCCTCCTTGGCTTCGGCATCTTTCTCGCACAACAATCGACCGGCTCCACGGCCTTGGCATACTTCGGCCCGCAATTCTTTGCCCTCCTCGTCGGAAAGGGAAACGACAACCTCCTTCTAACCGGTATCTTCGGCGCGATCAAGGTCATTGCATGTTTCATCTTCGTAACGCTTATCTCGGAACGATTCGGCCGTCGCCCCCTCCTCCTCGGCGGTGCGCTCTTCATGTCCGCATGCATGATCACCACGGCGGCAGTGGTAAAAGACTGTCCCCCACCGGGTGACAAGACCGTGACGTCCGCCGGTATCGCTACTGTCGCACTGATATACCTCGACATCATCGCCTATAACCTCTCCTGGGGCCCGCTGCCCTGGCCCTGTGCGTCGGAGATCTTTCCCACGCGGACCCGTGAAATGGGCGTCGCAGTCGCTGTAGGTGCGCAGTGGCTGTTTAATTTCGTCTGGTCCTTCAGTACTCCGTACATGATGTCGGGAATTGGGTGGGGTACTTTTCTCCTCTTCGAATTGTTGGATGTGGTTAATGCGGTGTTTGTCTGGATCTGCGTTAAGGAGACGGCTGGAAAGACGTTGGAGGAGATTAATACTTTCTTCGAGCCGGTTTCTGTGTCCGTGTTTCCCGTGTCGTCGTGTGATGCTGGTCGGGGGGATGAGTGGAAACTTCCGCAGGGAGATGTTAGGGAGCGTGATGGGTTTATTTATACGGGGGAAGCTGGCAATGTTGGTAAATGATGCGTCTTATCAGTCCATTCAGCTCTCTCCGTTGAGGATTAACTGCACACTGAAGAAGAGTGACTAAGCTATAAAAAAGAGAAAACAACATCAAAACGCAGAACCATTGACAGTTGGCGTTGGATTCTCCACAAAGAGATTCTTTCCCAGCCAAGTTGTAGTTGTCAAGAAACTTATACTTCCAAGATGGCCCGTACCAGTCTTCCCTGCAAATCTGCAGACCCATGGCTGCAAAGATTGCATGTATTAGGATGAGGTAAACAAGCAATACTTCAGTTTCAGTTTCAATCATCTCAAAAAGTAGGCCTACCACGTATACCCCCCTTATCCGGAAGCGGATCCTTATTACCCAAGATCAAGCCGATGTTCCTCGCGAGATGATTAGACTGTCTCTCAGCATCTATAGCTTGTGGCAGTTTGAGATCGGACACGTCACCAATAGCCCATGCATGCTGGTTCTCAAGGCCCTTTTCCTGGAGATGGTGATCCAGTAAATGCGGTGCTGTTCCCGCCGTGATAGAGGATATGATATCAAGCCAGATGATTGCGCCGGTGAAGAATTGAACAGCGTAACCTCCTCCATAACTGCCGGGCCATCCTCTTCGGAAAGAAGGCGATCACCACACAGTATGCTCTTTGCTCTTGCATTCGGATCAAAATAGACCAGTTTATCTCGAAAGCCTTGTTGAGATATATTCGTTGCTGCACGGAGATGAATCTTCCCTTCACTGTCATGGCCTGTAAAGAACTTTTGCAGAGTAGGAAAATCTGTCAGCAAAAAAATCTAGGAGATAATCTAAACAGAAACATGGATAACCATACCTCGAAGAATATCAATTGAACGGCCGAGGCCATAGTGCCAAGCCCAAGACTTGCACAGCCTACCTTCTCGGGAGGCTTGTCAGCTGATCTCAGCACCTTTTGGAACCAGCAAGACAAATCCCAAGATGTTTCTCTTGCTCAACCAAAACATCTAGACGATACGGATGATTGTTGCTATCTATAGTGGCAACCTTTCGGCGGTGGTACGGCCAGCGTCGCATGATACAGAGGCTTCATTCGAAGCAGAAGGGCCAATAACCGGCCCCGTCCTCCGGTCAAAGTGCTGGGTTTGGACATCGGATTCTGCAGTGGGAAGACATCGTCGAGATAGTGCATTAAGGGGATGAACTCATCCGCCGAAGTAGGGAATAGGACTGGATCATTATGATGATGTTCCGGCAGCTGTTCCTGGTAATAGTATCCATGAGAATCTGTCACACTCCCAATATAAACAAACAATCTTACGGTTGATGATTCGCCATGAGGCATGTTAACTCCTCCATCTGCAGATGGGCCAGAACCATGCTGACGGATGCTCGATACAGGACTTGATGAAAAAGAAGCCCCATTTGGCTCCTTGTGTGCTACCCTTGCCAACTGGGCAGGGTTGTTTAAAGGCTTTGGGCCACTGCTTCTCGACGAATGCTTCACGATCTGTTTAAAGCTGTTCACCATTGCTTTCTTTTTTTCCCCTCATGGTCCATCCAACCTGATTTCGGACCGTATCCATAGCAAGTGATCGAAAGCGATTACATGTCGAGCAAGTAGGACAGACGCCATCGCATTTCTTCCTGTGCACACGGCAGGTCCAGCAGCCCCGCTTATTTCGAAAGGGCACGCTCATTTAATAGACGTGGCGTCTTGTTTGACTGTGTCCCTGTGCGATGTTGTCGTTGTCATTGATATTCGGCGGCATGTCACGGTCTAAGCATGTTTATGAAGTGGAAAATGCTGGAAACGGAGAACAAGAAAGAGAAAGGATACCAGGTTTGCAAATGGCATTTATGCGGCAGCAGGGATGAGAGTTATAGCTTATTTAGGCCGTTCTTGGTATATCAAGTCAAACCACTGAATCACTCCTGTTCCCATGCTTCCTCCACTGAACTAATAAAAACTCTGACCAACTCCTCAATTTCGCTTTCGTTTATGATAAAAGGTGGTGCAAACATAACAGCATCCACAAGTGACGAGCAGAGATATACAGCCAAGCCCTTGTGTAAACAGATCGATGCTACCCGGGCAGCCATTGGCTTGTTGCCCTGAGTCTGAAACTCGACCGTAAGAAAGAGTCCTAAGCCACGGACTTCTTTCACATTCGGCGTTAGATTTCCCAGTTTCGACCGCAGGAGAGCCCCCATTTCTCGGACATTTCGGAGCAGGTCACCCTCGATTATAGTCTTCTGTGTGGCTAACGCAGCAGCACACCCGATTGCATGGCCTTGATATGTATGTCCGCTCACGAAGGGATGAGTGTTATCTGCTGACTCGATGGCCTTGTGCACTGTTTTGCCCACTAGCACGGCTGATATAGGTTGATACCCGGCTCCAAGGCCTTTGCCAATTGTTTGTAGATCGGGTGGCTCAGCGCCCAGAGATTGCCAGGCATGGAGAGTCCCCACGCGGCCCATTCCGCACATCACTTCGTCGAAAATAACCAGCGCGCCATGCCGCCAAGCGACTTCCTGTAGGCGCTTGAGATAACCCGTCGCGGCGGGTGCAGAGCCGAGGGATGCACCAGAGACAGGTTCGACAATTACCGCTGCCACTGTCTCGGGTCCAAGTGAGATGAAAGTGGCCTCGAGTTCCGCAATGAGCCGGTCCACGTATGTCTTCTCGGATTCCTCTGGTTCCGCGTCATGGGAAAAGAAACATCGAGAGACATGGTGGAAGACCGGCGAGAGTAGAGGCGCAAACGGGGCTCGGCGAACAGGGTTGTCCCCCGCTGAAAGCGCTCCCAGAGTATTGCCATGATAAGAAGATTTTCTGGCAATAAAGTTCACTCTAGCCGGCTCGTTACGGGCGAGATAGTATTGTCTAGATAACTTGATGGCCGATTCCACTGCCTCGGAGCCTGCCAATGAAAGTTAGTTGAAGATAAATGCCAGTACAAACGACCGAAACTACCCGAGCTCAAATACAGGACTCTGGAAAAGGCTTGATCACTTCTCTCTATGAGAAGCTGCGCCAGCTCTTCCGCCGGATCGTTGGAAAAGAATGATGTATGGGCAAATGCCAGTCGTTGAGCCTGGTCGATTATTGCCTGAATCACGGCCTCATGGCCATGGCCCAAGCAGGATACGGCGGCACCACTGCTACCATCCAATATTCTGGTGCCATCACTGCTGTAAAGGTAGACTCCCTTCCCAGAAGTAGCTATGGGGTAGGTTTTCCGAAGGGAGCGATGGAAGATCTGGGATGACCTAGTGGAGGAAGACATGGTGAGCTGGTCAGTAAAAGTAGTTATTATTTGCTTTCTGATAATAGAAAGCAACCGAAGAGCCAGAGCAGGGGCATGATAGTATTTAAGTTGATTGCCAGGCAGAACTCGCCCTGTTGAGTGCAGCATCGACAGTCTTATCAATTCTCAGCGCGAGAACTCGCAGCGATCCTACTGGACCTGCGCCTGCAGCCATGATCAAACGCTGGATCCAACCTTAAGTACGAAAGACGAGGAGGAATGGTGCTCATGGTTCTCGTTCAGAAACAGAGTATCCCTAGACCGAAATATCCCCGAAGTCGTAGATGTAGTTAGTCTCCATGATAGCTGGAATGCGTAGTGACAGTACACATCCATCTGGATTGCTTCAAATGGATGATAGCGATGGAGGAACCTGCTATTTCAAGCGCGTTGGCCAAGACGACTGCTGCTGCGAACTGGAGAACGTCTTGGAGGAGCGGAGAAAACTGCCGGGAGCTACCACAAAAGCATCAACATCCACCGCCCGCCATCGACGTCGATTACACTCAGCATTGATCGCGATATTCAAACCATCGACAACTGGAAGCAATGAGCACAAAAGACACTCCGTGGATAGTACTATACCAATTATAAACGCACCCCGCATGTCCTTCTTCACCTCCCCGACGCGGGTGTATCTCACCGCGGCCGCGATGCGCCTTGTTTTCCTCGTCTACGGCGCCTGGCAAGATGCCCACTCGGCCATGAAATACACAGACATTGACTACAATGTCTTTACCGATGCAGCTCGGTATGTGTCGCGCGGTGCGTCCCCCTACGCGCGCGATACGTATCGCTACACGCCGCTGCTCGCATGGATGCTCCTTCCGACCACCTGGAAGGGTGTCTGGTGGTTTTCGTTCGGCAAGATTCTGTTTTCCCTGGCGGATATCCTGGCCGGGGCTCTTGTCGTCAAAGTCCTTGTGAATCCTGGTTCTGGTTCTAGTTCTCGGACGGGAATGAGCTCAGGTAGGGCCCTGCGATACGCGAGTCTCTGGCTGCTCAATCCCATGGTCGCCAATATCAGTACCCGGGGCAGTTCGGAGGCGTTACTTGCTGTCCTCATTTCAGCGCTGCTCTGGGCCGTGCTGAATAGGAAGATCACACTCGCTGGATTCCTGTTGGGATTTGGGGTGCATTTCAAAATTTATCCGTTCATATACGGTCTTTCCATTCTCTGGTGGCTCGACGAATCGTCTCCGAGGACGAAGGATAACAGTGGTAACCGGAATTCTGACGGTGAAAGGTCCTCCTCGGGGGTCATCGGGACCATCTCCTCCTTCTTCACCCCAGACCGTGTCCATTTGACGCTGACGTCCCTTTCGATCTTTTCCGCTCTCAATGTCTCCATGTACATCCTCTATGGCGTCCCGTTCGTCCAGCACACCTATCTACACCATCTGAGTCGCATTGATCATCGACATAACTTCTCCCCCTACAGCACGCTTCTGTATCTATCTGCTGCCGGTGGAACGGGGACAGGTCTCGGCTTTGAGTCCCTTGCTTTCGTGCCACAGTTGCTATTAAGTGTCGTTGCGATCCCCCTGGTTCTGGCGAAGAAGAATCTCCCCGGTGCAATGATGGCGCAGACTTTCGCCTTTGTCACTTTCAATAAAGTCTGTACCAGCCAGGTATGTGTTCTGCGTTTTCCCTCAAGATATACACCCAACAGGGGAGCATCATTCAACTGACATATCTCTCTCCCATAGTATTTTTTGTGGTACCTCATTTTCCTCCCTTTCTACCTTCCCACGTCGTCGTTGATGAAGAAGCCCCGTCTGGGTATTTCTGCTGCTTCCTTGTGGGTTTTGGCACAGGTAAGTCTGTATATTTTATTCCATGGCTTGTCCATATGCCATCCAATATATGATAACAGACGAACAGGCACTCTGGCTTCATCAAGCCTATAACCTCGAGTTTCTCGGTGTATCTACCTTTCTCCCAGGCCTGTTTCTCGCGTCGCTTTTCTTCTTCGGTGTGAATATTTGGATCCTGGGAATTGTTCTTTCAGATTTGGGTGGGCTTGAGCATCCGTCTGTATTGTCATCCTCAAAAGCAAAATAGTAGTCGGCCCCCTTGGGTGTACAGTGTAGTATACTAGGACTACAATATCAGGGAGCGAGTTGCTGCAATTATTATTATTCATTGGACACTGCCCTGCTACATACTTCTCCGTAACTAACGCGCAGCATGAGGCTTCAACAGCAGTCATTTGGGTATGTATGTTTCATAAACACCATGATATGGCAATGTGTGTTGCTGAGCACTCTGAACGTCCGATTGGAAAACATGAAGCAAAGCAGTAAATGGCAAACCAAAGTAAAATGTGATTCTATCCCACGCCTCACAGCGTGGAAGACAAACACACAAAGACGAAAGGCAATGACGCTTGCATGGCGAAGAAGGGAAAGAAATAGTCAACATCACTGAGCAAGGCTAAAAAAAGGAAGCAAACAAACGAGAATCACACAGCAAATAGTAAAGATAATAAGCTCATGTCCTGCATTTCTTTCCCTTTTCCCCTTCCACGACTCCATTTGATACAACACGATTTCCTGCTTCATTCTCAATATATGATGCTCTTGCTAGATGACACCAGCTCCAGCCACACATAAATGCAAATGCACAGGGTAAACATAAGAAACGGAACAAGATAGTATAATAAATTGGAGATTTCTTCAAATGATGTAAAGAGATGAGAATGATAACTTGAGATTCCCCATTCTTTCTAGATTTCTTCCCCGTCCCATTGATATTTTTAGATTTTCTGAAATATTTGTTCTGTTTGCTTTTGGGGGCTGCTTGTCTCGCAAGAGCATAATAAGCTAGGGGTCATTGCGCTGCAGTGACATCGGCGACCTGAGAGAAAAAAAGGGAAAAGCAAGAAAAAAAAAAAAAAAAAAGAAATCAAAATCGGAAACGACTAACTCCTCGCTTACTATTAGATGGCCGCAACAAGTTAACGATGGGTATCGCACGGAATGAAATGATGATTGCGATGAGCGCCGGGGCATGTTTAACAATGATGCAAAAAAATCGGAAAAGATCATAGAAGCCCAACGAGAACTCCGACGAAGATTCAGGAAATAAGAAAAGTGGTACCTAAGTTATTCACGGCTTAGTTGCGTCAGCAATAACCTTGTAGGTACTCGTTTGAATACTCAAAGGACGAGTGCGTGGATAGATGGCCCCAATGACATGACGGTTCGACCCGTGTTGAGGATAAATGCCATCTGACAGTTCCACGAAATGGGCCTCAGGGCGAGCTTCGTGGAGTACTTCCAAGATCTCTCCGCTCCACAGGCCTGTGCACGTGTTGTCAACTAGCTGAAAGTAGGGATTCAGAAGTGGGCAAATGGAGTCCAGATCGATGAAACGGATACGGATATAGTTGAGCTCCGTGAAGACGGCGAGGGATTGTATAGCAGCGATAACCAGACGCTCAAAGGACCTGATGAAGTTCAGGTTTGTAATGCCCGAGGCGTCATCGAAGAGTGGTACAGTTGCATCAGCCGGCTTCTCGCGGCAGCAGGTTTTCACCACTAGATCCAATGACTTGAGTCTGGGCACCGAAGTCATGCCCGACGCGCAGGCCAGAGCATCGGTAAACAGACAAGCACAGACTTTCCCAGTGAATGCCAGCGATTCTAGTCGGGGAGCAACTTGTCCAAGCAGAGTACACAGATGTGGTTCGGTTGACATGTCACCAAACCAACTAGATTGAGTGTTATCCTTGTTGTAGAACCCTTCCAGACTGATATTTAGATGCAGGAGCGACGTCGACAGCCTCGAAAGGATTCTCGACATCGTATTATAGCCTTCAATCTTGGGCTTCGCGTAGGCACAGTGCCATTCACGCAGATTCGGTAGGGCTTGGGAGATATTGCACCAGTGCTGGTAATTCCGCATGATATTCCAGGCCCCGCGCATGACGAATGTCTGAATGTTTGGCAGCAGTTCTAGACGCTCCCGTCCAGACCGACCAGATGGATCGTTCCGAAAATGTCGTATCATAGGAGGCTTCTTGCAATGACCGCCTTCGATTGTAAGGATGCGTGCTTCGGAAAAGAACGTCTTCACATGGCTGAAAAGATCCTCCAAGGAGGCATTGTAGCTGGAGTATGAATGGCTACTGCTGGAGGCGGAATTGGTATCAGAATCGTCCCATGCCATTGTCACTTGGAGTACAGCCGCCGCATTCGCCAACCCCGCATCCTCATTGTAGTTGTAGCGCCGTATCGGAGGTAGATGAGGAGTTCCGTTTTTACCCGTACGATTTCCCCAAACAGGCACCCAGAATTCAATATGACGGACATAGGGGGCTAAATGGGGATTGGCACAAAACCACTCGCTGCATTCTCGCAGGCCTTCGATAGTGCCCTTTACTTTGACTATCAGGCGAGTCACGGGTCAGCACAAGGAAGAGAGGCTAATTAACATCACAATTGGAATGAGAACTGACTATGTCTGTAAATACGACTCTGCACCAGTGGCCTCCAGACCGGTGAGATCAGAGCCAGATTGGAGAGAGCCTTCCGGCGCGGATGGCGGAAGGCCTTGGACCAGCTACATGCCGACAATTTCCCTGGAGCTGATGTCGTAAATGTCGATGCACGTTCCCCGAATAGATGGTCGATGATTGCATCGTGGATCTCTGGTGGGAGATCTTGGAAGCGTATATTGGAGCGACACGAAGACATGAGCTCGTTCGGTGGCGTAGGGGCGTCTTCCATCTCCATATCCACCGAAGTATCGTCTTCCACCTTGGCGGGGATCATTGAAGGGGGATTGTGGCCATCGGGTAATTCAATCCCAGTACTCGTGCTGCGGCTCGTTTTCTGATAGGGAACTGCGGATGGCGCTGGGGTTCTTGCCAAGGAATTGACTGAAACGGGGCGAGGAGGGGGAACAGCGGAGATCATGAAGGGCGATGAGTTGTGGGAGAGGGGATCAAGCGGCATGGAGGAAATGGATCGAGGGAATCGAGTTATTGATGGAGATGAATGATAACAACAGTTAAAAAGACGACCGGGAGGTAACAAAAAAGAAGAGTTCTGCTGCACGTCGTACGCCGTCCAATGTCAGCAGGCTTTATCCCAGAGAAGGCTGTGCCGGGAAAGGATGGGTTGGGCGAGGTTGGGCGCGTAAAGGGAGATAAAACACACCGACAGCAGATGAGAAGACAGATGATATGGTCTTCGAAATGCTGATATATCTGGTAGATGAGAGAGATCTTCCTGAAAATAGGAAACGAATAGCCCAACCGTCGAGGATTAATGGCAGCCAGCACCGCCCATGATGGGGTGCAGTATTGCGGTGGTTAGCTGTTCGAGGGCCGCCAGGAGAGATTGGACGGTGTAAACGGGAAGAGAGGGCAGGTAAGACGGGGGATCGACGAGCGAGCAACGGAGGATGAGGATGAAGATGGATGAAGGAAAAGAGATCTCGAAGACAGAACGGGAGAAGACACGCGACCAGGCGGAGAAGACAAAGCGAACGGGAGAAGCAGAAAGTGATGGAACAGAAGCAGGAAGAAGAGAAGCAAGGATGACGACGAGAAGGAAAAGAACAAGTCTGCGATGCCAATTTTAATTAATTTAATCTCATTGATTCCGTCAGCCCACCAGGCTTTGTCTCATCGTGGCATCTCGTTTCTATCTACACTGTACAACATGGAGGGCACCCGTGTATGCTGCTTGTTACAAGAAGATCTAATCTAACATTTTATTCCCTCTTCTTCCTCTTCTTCTTCTCCTCTCCACTAAATTAACCGGTTGCATGACAGACGCCTGGGCCTGCTCCCACGCGATCTCCGATGCATGGATGACCACACTTGCAGGTACAATCTCCAATCGCCGTGCAATGAGGAAGAATCGCTTCCTGTTTCCTGGTTCTTGATTCGTGCCATCCTTCCCCCATGGATTACTGTAATCAGTGCTAGCGACCGATGGATCATCCCCCACGGCCGGGTTCCTGGGATGTTGTGCTGCTCATGACATCACCGTGTTTCTCGGAGCACTGGCAGCGCCGGCCGAAAACCGATGGTGATCGTATGTAGCCATCAATTTCAATAGACCTTGTACGCCCAGAGGTGAGTCTCTATGCATTAAGATTCCACCACCATACCCTAAAATAACCTCATCCTACCTTCTCCGTCGGAACCGGAACCGGAAGCGGAGTTCATCGTCACTGTCCGAATCACGCACTTCGCGCAGTCTCTTAGCGCGTCTGGACACGGACGTTGCTTGAGATGCTTCCAGCATACTTTCAGTCGGAGCCAAGCGCTGAGACGAGGAGGCCATTCCTGGATCGAGACCCGCATCCTCCGGACTGTTCAAGGACTCCCGCTGGCTTTCCCTCAGGCTGTCATTCTGTGACGTTTTGTTTCCAACCCAGTATCGCTCGCCAACCCCGAAATCTTTCCGCCCGACTTCCTCCAGGGGAACGATGACAGCTTGCATACGCCGGTGTGGCAGATGTGACTCCCCTTTCCGCCGAAACTTTTTGAAGTTCTTCCGGCCATTCCATCGCTCGTCCCACCGGCCCTCGTCTTCCACCATCCGGGGTCGAGGCCCCCGAACTGGAACTTCTATTTCCTCGACCACCGCCAAAGCTTTCATCTCGTCGATACTCATGTCCTTGAGAGTTGCTTGCAATGCGGATTCCTCTTCCTGGCGTCGCTGCTGCTGGGCCTCCTCGTTTTCGTCGCGATGTTTTCGAGCTTCCTCTATCAGGTCCAGTTTCTGTCGTTTGGGCTTGGGGGGTTCTTCCGGCTCTGGTTGCACTTGCGAATCGCCACGTCGGTGCTGACCCATTTCTGCCCGGCGGCGTTTCATAGCATTGGCTCCAGGCAAGAGGTCAGATACCACGTCTTCTTCTTCCGCTATACGTGTCTCAGGTGCCGACTGGGTGTGATGTTCCAAAGCTGGCTCTATCTCCATAGGCCCCGGTTGATATTGTGAATTATGACCTGTCTCTACTGGATGTAGTGGTATTGAATCGAAATCGAACCCATCATCGAAGGCTTGAACTTTGCTCACGAAGTTGCGAGCCTTGGGGCGTCTACTGTGAGTTTGGGCAAGTTGACTAGGCTCTTGCTGCGACGACTTCGGCTGAGATGGCTCCAGTTGGGCTGGCTCTGGCTCACTCGGTTCAGCTAGATGCAACAACGACCTGGACTGCTGGGAATCTTGGTTAGTGAGACGCATAGGTTCTAGCGCTGGCACCGATTCGGAGACCTGGCTCGGTTCGGGTCGAGGGAGAGGCCGGCACAAGGGAGATGCATCATTTTCGAGGATAGCGTCAAGAAATTCACTTTGTTCGATAACACGTTGATCGGTGATTTGAGCAACCCCATCAGCCAGATCGATCTCCCAGGAGCCCCTTGCACGAAATCGAACAAGTACCACTCCCCCTTGTTCGTCTCTCTCACCACCTACTCCTTTCTGGCCAGCAGCATTTCGCATAAACTGTACAATGTCTTCGGCTGTAGTTACTCCTCTCTCGATTTCATAGAGCAATGCTTTGCCATGACCGTTGTTTATCGGGTCACGGAGAGTCTCGTATTGTGAAGCATCACCAAAAACAAAGGTATACCCCTCAAAGACATTAATCCTATCAGGATTCGGCGAGAATGCCTCTGCAGGCCTGGGAATCGGCTCCCTTCCAGGAGGCGGGAGGTAATCTGTCGGATCCGGCCAAGCAGAATCAAAGTCAGTCTCCAAGGGAGACAATGATTCCATGTTCTCCAGGTCGCTCGGTGTCGCTGCGTAGACGAGCGCATCCAAATACGAGTCCTGCACGATATATTTTCCATTTATCAGCGCCTGTAGTCCTTTGGCTGTATTTCGCTTCTTCTGGACAACGTGGGTGGTTTTGTCGACTATATATGGGATGACCGTCTTGATATCGAAATCTCCAAGGCGAGAAGAAACGTTGGCCAAAGGATCGCCCGCTTTGAGTTCCTTGCCTGTAAATGAGAAGCTAAGAACGACTGAATGCCAGTTGATCCTATTCAGGAAAAAAAAATACCAATAAGCCCGCCATTCAATCAATTTCTCGAAATAGCTTCCTCACCTCAATGGCTTCGCAAACCTTCCCAACATGAGCGTATGCTGCTCGCCACCCAACGTTCTGCTATCCCCATGGATGCGCTCTCCGTCGACTACCGTACCGCATTTTGAGTCTAGGTCAGTCACTCGAAGCTCGGATTTAGTATGGATATGACGCTAGTTATGTGAGCGGAGAAGAAGCCCAGTAAGATCTAGACGCTCTTACACAATCATCAGGTTTCACAGGGGAGACCTCGATTATCATGTGTTTCCTAGAAATCGATGAATGCTGAACCGCATGGCGTACTGTAGATTCAATGATATTAGCAGGCTTCTTATACTGAAGCAACGGCTCCTTGCTCACCTCCATCTTGATAAGTACGCCCGAACAGGTACTTCTTTCCCGGCCGTAGCCACACACGTTTCCCTTAAAATATGGTCAGCCATCATTATACCATATTCGGAGAAAAACAACTTGGTCGTACCTCCTAAAAAATCTCCGTCCGCGTCCAGGATCCACATGGGCGAGATCGAGCCAGATTTTTGTCTTTGACACCAGTAGTGGACGCAGCTTGGGCAGCAGCTTCAGCTCCACGTGAACTGCACGTGCCCGGAACACGTGATCACGTGATAGGGCGTCATTAATGACTTTCCGGCTTGGGCAAACACGAGTCCAGGCTTATTCATTGTAACTCCAATGGAGAAGACATGGAATCTACAGGCCAGAAGCCTGAAAATGAGCATCGGCTATCCCCTACGGCCTATTCAGGTGCTACCGATGGACACAGGACTTTAAAATATCACTTACTGGGACCATCTTTGACGAAGGCCGGCCAAGATGCAGTCAACCAGCAGAAGGTGAGACTCGAGCCAGTGCGTGCCTGTCGCCTTGCAATGACACCGGGAAATTCCTAGGTTTCTGAAATAATCTACAATGCATCCAAAGGGTCCAAATATTTTACCCACGAAGAGAGCCGTGATCGTGTCCTCACTGCCAAGATCGAGCGAATCTTGAAGGAGAAGGCCCGTCTGGAGAAACTAGATCTTTCCCACGATCTACGTCGAGCGGACGAATTAATATCCGAGTTAGAACTGACCAGAGACCTATCGCAGCATGTCGTTCATGTCGATTGTGATGCATTCTTTGCTGCTGTTGAAGAGCTGGACCGGCCCGAGCTGAAGACCGTGCCCATGGCCGTGGGCAAGGGAGTTTTGACTACTTGTAACTACGAAGCTAGGAAATACGGTTGTCGCAGCGGTATGGCAACCTTTGTGGCTAAGAAGCTCTGTCCGCAATTGATATGCCTGCCCCAGAATTTGGACAAGTACAATGCAAAAGCGAACGAGATTCGCGCTATCTTCGCGCAGTATGATCCGCTCTTCGAGAGCGCCAGTATCGACGAGGCTTATCTCAACATGACGGCGTTTTGTGTAGAGAACAATATGAGCCCCGAGGAGGCGGTACAGCGGATGCGAATGGAGGTACTGCAAAATACGAAGATATCAGTCTCTGCGGGAATCGCAGCGAATGCGAGACTAGCAAAGATCGCTTCTAATCGCAATAAACCGAACGGCCAATTCGTTGTTGCAAGTAACAGGGAAGCTATTATGGAATTCATGCGAAATCTGCCGGTGCGCAAGGTGAACGGCATTGGCCGTGTTTTTGAACGCGAACTTGAGGCGATCGGCATTGTGACATGCGGAGACATCTACCGCTACCGTGGGATTCTAGCAAAAGTGTTCGGTCAAAAGGCATTTCACTTCTTGATGCGATGCTACCTCGGCCTGGGAAGAACTAAGATCCAGCCGGTGGAAACTCATGAGCGCAAAAGTATTGGTAATGAAGCTACGTTCCATGAGATCGGAGACAAAGCACAAATCAGGGAAAAGCTCTGGTGGGCCGCGCAGGAGCTGGAGAATGATTTGGCCGGTGCGCAGTTCAAGGGCCGGACCCTTGTCTTGAAGGTGAAACTGCACACATTCGAAGTGCTAACCCGCCAGACGGCACCTCCGAGGGCAGTATGTCTTGCCAAAGACCTCTATAACTTTGCCCTTCCTATGTTGTCGAAACTGGAGAGTGATATACCGGATATGAAACTTCGACTCCTGGGACTCCGTTGCACAAATCTGGTGAGTACCAAAAAGGTCGGGATCGAATTCTTTGGTGTGACATCTCAGACGAAACTCATCGATCAGAGAGCTCCGGGCGGGAATCCAGAATCTGGGATTAGCGTGGAGGAGGCTTTCGAACAAGCCGCTCGCGAGGAACGGCAGGAAGAGATGGATGATCTTGAAAGACTAAGCCAGGAGATGTCTCTTTCAGCCCGGTTTAATGATGATGAAAATGTAAATGCCGTTTCTGCTGCGTCCTCGTCTCCTTCCTCCACGAAGAAACCTGAATCAAACCCCGTATACTGGGATTGTCCTATTTGCTCCAGGCCACAACCAGCCGACGATCGAACATTTAACGGTCATGTCGACTTCTGCTTATCCCGGCAGACAATCAAGGAGGCCGTACAAGGCGTTTCGCATGATGTACTAGAGACGCCGACGCAACCGCGCAAGCGGAAGCCTTTGTCGCGTACCTCGACGGCTTCTGATCCCCGACAGAAGCGGCTCTTCTTCGGCTGACATGGACTGGTTATAACCCAGGAGGTTTTCCTGTCTCGGGATTTTTCGGTAGAATTGTCATGAGTTGTAAGACAGTGGATGGGCGTCTTATACTCCGTACAGTGACTACTCCGTACTATGTACCTGCAATGAACCATGGAATGATGCCGGGTATGCCCGTATATGACGAAATAAAAGCCAGTAACAGGCACTGTTGTCAGGCAATGGGCGCCACCATACAAACACACGGGCCAGGCTCACAGCATAAACACAGTGCGGATGCACGGGAAACTTCAAACCTGACGCGGGACCAGCGCATCCGCGCATGACCAGCCCCTGCCGCGCTAGACCGCTTTTGGGTGTTTTGGTGCGTCGCCCAAATCTGCATCTGTTCGCCGTGTTCTTTCTTGCTGTCTCTGCTGTTGCCGTCGTGCATCGCTCTCCATCTCGCTCCATCTCGTCTGCCATCGCTACAGCCTGGGATGACCCCCGTGCTGGTTGTCGTTCTGTCCAATCCCGCTATGTCATCGTCAATCCGTCCGTCCACCCCCCTGTGAGTTGACTTCCCGACGGAACCACCGATTCATCATCCCGCCATGATGACTTCCCGTAAACAAAACAATGGCCAGAATCCACCCAAACCTCTCACCCCGGCGCTCAGTGCAGCTTTTCATCGTGCCAGCAAGCCTCTGACCCCCAGACTCGCCAATCCGGGAGGCTACCCCTCGAGGAAGCTAGCTGCCGACCATGTCCCTCCCAGCTCCCTCAAGGGGAGTCCCTCCGCATCTCCCGGCCCGTTCCTGAAATCCAATATCACCCCACGATCAGGTCCTCGATTGAAGAATGCTAAGCAAGATGAAAGATTCACCCCTCCAACGAGCCCACCAACACGCACTCTACACTCCCGACAGCCGTCTCTCAACTCCCAGATCAGTGCCGCTGGTACGGCTGCGAGTAATACTGTGAAGAGTCGCAAGGGTGGGAGCCCTGTCCGCTCGAATACGAAGCCGGACCTCTCGAAAATTGCCACTACCAAACCAATGGATATGCTTACACCGCCTCTCGGTCGCACCTCACGGCCAAGTTCCCTCGCCGAGGGCTCGGGCGAGTCATCGCCCATGTTTTTCCACGCCTCCAACGCACAGTCTGTTCTCTCCGACTCAGATGAAAAGCCTACTATTAATTTCAGACCCGTCACAACATTTGTATACGCCAATGGAGCCGTGGAACACCAAGCATCGCGAATGGTGGAGTCAAGTCCGATAATCCCTTCTTCCCGGCGCCCTGCACGTGCCATGCGTCCTTCGCTCCTCGGGATTCCTCAAGGCACTCCTTCTCCCCGACTGATGTCTCCTAGATTTCTGGATTCATCCTCTCGGTTCGGTGATGACGCCCGTTCAACAATCAGCTCACTTGCTGACGATGCGTCCGATGTTGGGTCGCAGGTGCGTTATCCCATGTCCAGGACTCTGAACGGAAGCCGGCCACCTTTATCACAAGGAGAACATGGGAAGTCGGCTAGTACAGACCTTACCCTTCGTCGCACTCCATCGCGCGACCTGCCACCGAATTCCGCAGTGATATCCCCTTCGGCTTCTCATACCAGCCATGATGCCATTCCCCCGGTTTCCGTCACAGGACGCCGTCCTCGTATCTTCAGCAACAGCTCCAATGCTTCTGCTGACACGCATGTGTCTCGATCACATAGCCCAGGAAAGCTGGACGCAGGGCTTGAACCCATTAAAGAAGTTAATTCTCGTATTGAGCGCAAAATCATGGATCTGGAGATCAGTAACTCATCTCTTCTCGCCATAAATCGCACATTGGAGCGCGAAATGCGTAAACAGAATGCCGAACTGCGAAGATTCCGACGCCTGAGCCGTGCAGGCCGCCTGTCTTTAATTCCCGCTCGTTCCCTGGAATCGCTTCAAGCTGCGGGTAAAGATAATGATCAAGAAGAGCCAGACCAAAAATCATCCGCTTCTGACTCAGATAATGACTCTGAACCCAGTGAGGAGGACTCTAACGCCGATGATTCGGGTCAGGGCCAGGAGTCAAACTCGGACAATGACACCCGTCTCAGGGTCGGGGATGAGAAGAAGGTGTATATCGATCTTGCTCGCCATCAGGAGCTCCTGGCTGGCAGTAGGAAAATGAATCACAGCCTCAAGCGTTGCCTGGCATGGACAGAGGATCTTATCAAGGAAGCCCGCAAAGCCCTTGAATACAAAGTCCGTGCCAATGATGCTTCACTTGGTGGAAGAGTACTCCCACCAGAAGAGTTGACAGATATCGAAGAGAGCAGTCATGGGCTACTGAGTCCAAGCGCTGGTATTGAATCAGTGATATCTCCCAACTACCGATGTGGTAGCGGTGATGATGAAGATGATAATTTAGACCACGACACATAGATCTGATCTCGATCAGTTCCATGTTGGGTCCTTCTCCCTAATTGTCGTTTTGTCTTTTTTCCTTTCTTTTCTTTTCTTTTCTTTTTTTTTTTTTTTTTTTTTTTCCTCATTGCGGTTCCACAGTACAAGTTCTTTTGACTGTTTTATATGGAGAGGTGACAGGATTTTCTCCATTCCGCTCTGATGTTTATTTTCTCCTTTTTTAGTATTGTCTCCGTCGCTTTGTCGGTTTTTGTCTATTACGCTTGCTTAATTATGGCCCATACCTTGCATTATCTGGCGTACTGAGGAGAGGGGTGACCGTATCGGTGTGCTTTCTATGTTCTTGCTCTCTTGATATACCGGGATGGTTGTCTGGGACTCTACATTTTGACTTTCAGGTTCGGTGTTTTCTTTGCGTGCTGGATCACAAATACCCCTTACCTGGCTTTTTTCTCTTTGTCTCTTGTTACCACCCTTTCAGCCATCAGATCATATCGTTATGTTATCCGCAATAGACATGATGCGGTCATTTCACGGCCTTGGTCCTCGGTGCGGAAGATGGATATGTCAGCTCGTGGGTTTGGGCTTTCCCGTCGTTGCATATGCAGGTCTTATTGTATATTAGTTAGTCATTGGAAGAAAGAATTAATAGATACCCAATGCTTGGGATTGGGTGTTTTGGTTGAACTTTTTGAACCGTCCGTCTGTCGCCCGTCACTGCCTGCCATCGTCAGGTATTCTATTGTCCCTTGCGGTATAGCGCTTACTGCTTTGGGGATCGGGCCATCTGCTTGCTGCTTTTATGGGCTTCCCTTGCCGTCTCAACACATCCGCTGCCTCTATTATAAGCCCAGCTTCTCTCCCTTGAGTGACCATGCATTTTCTCTTCCCTTTCCCCCCTTCATAGGATGCTGTGTTACCCAGAGATTTTCCTTTCCTAGAATGGTGCCATCCAACCGCCTCTCTTCACCCCCTCAGCTATGATGTTGCTGATGGGTCTTCTGGATGATGGAGAAATTGAGGCCCGGTTGCCATTGTTTATTGGTTTGTGCGTTGTCCACTGTGCCCCTGATGTTGTACTGCTGCTGATTATTGTGATCAGGGGGGCCACTTGCATGTTGTCCGCTATCTGGTTGTGACTCTGGAGTTTCTGACTGATGCCTGCGGCTGTGCCATTCACCTGGGCTTTCCCTGGGGGCTCCTGGACCCTCAACCATACTTCTGTAGTGTCCCATCTCAATGCCTTGATCCGCATCCTCAGCCAGGCTCCCAAAGTTTCATATGGGAACGGCAACCTGGTTATCCCACTACCCGGTCTGGCCTACGACGTGCCAGCTATGCCTGGGTGAACTGGGTTTCACCCTCCATGGTGGTCTTTAAACCCCATCAGGATTGCTTGTTTATGTATCTTTGCCTTCCTTACTAGCCAATGACAAAATTGCTACATCCTTTTCATTTATCATGTTTGATGTGCAAGGCTTGGAGCTGCAGCGCACAGATACAATTGGTGTAGGACACCAGATCCTAGCCCTTAGGTGGCTGTCACAGCCTCAGGTAGACACATCAGCAGACTCAATCAAGACACCAAGGGTGAAGAAGTTTGCGTTGGCACTTCCACCAACAAGAAAGGCAGAATGGTGGGCTACCAAATGACCAAGAGCAAATATAAAGAAGGTGATCAAGCCTGCAGAGGTTGCTGCTCAACTCAATTCTCATGCGACCTGCATTCTCCCCCAGCTTCCATCTTAAATCCTCTTTCTTCCCTCTTCTCAATCTACTGACTGCCACAATATGCCCTAGAAGATCCTTATTTCCCACAACATGCTCCCCACATTTCATATGAAGAACTTGAAGCTGTGGACTCCCCCTCACTGGAAGCCATTCTCACAACGAAAATCACCCAATTCATGCTCTCCAAGAACCCAATCTCCCTCGCCTTAAGACTTACCATAAATCCCTTCCAAAAATCTTACCACCTCCCAAGCGTCATCTTCCTGCGCGGCCACCGGCCGAAGTTTATATGCCTACCAATGCGGGCACCCAACCGTGTCCACCACCATCAAATTCCCAATCTCAAGCACGGGAAATAACTGTACCGGAACCGCATATATATCCAGAGTTTGCTAAAAATGGCATGACATCTTCAAAGAAGTCAGCGCTTCCTCGCATCTCAGAACCGAATATTATTTCCTGCTGCGATCTTCAAAACAGCACCGCCCCCCTTTCAGGGAGACTCTGCAGTGGATGGTTTATTGTCTCCAAGTATATCTAGCTCGGATGAAAGCCTGGAGGGGTTCTTGAGGCTTCCAGATGAACAGGACGACATCCCCATTGACCCAGTAATCCTAGCTAACTACAAATCTTGGGAGAACATGGATCTCTAGCTATCAGTTCCACAAGCCGTCAACAGCCTTCTCAATTCCAAGAAGACTTGTCCATCAACCTGTTCTTTACAGCCAACTATCAATAGTCCAGTGAGAGAGCTAGTGGTCAGAATGACAGCACTCAGACAAGTGTCCACCCTCACATCCATACAACAAGTGTGCCCCTCCCAGCAAGATACTGGTCCCAACGCGTCCTATGCTAACAATCATGTGGGAACCACCACATCTGTGGAGAGTTGCGAGACTTGCCGTCCGAAGGGCGCAGGTCAGGCGTTACAGATGCGGAGTAGCGCGGATACGGGCTGCGAAGGTGTCTAAGGTACGCGTAAAGGGATCAAAGGAAAGGGTAAACGTGCGTGTAGCCTTTGTGCAGAGCTAACCGCTGGTCTTCGTAGAGACTCCGGCGGTTAGGAGAACAAATAATGTACATGAGCCTAGTCGTGGCAATATGTGCCTGTTGCCAGAAACATCAACCTCTCAATAATTTGACAAAATAACTTATACCCGTGCTGCTGGGCTCAGGCAGGCAAATAAATTTTTGGAGGCATTCCCTTATATCCGGCGACTTGATATTGTGGATCAAGTCATGCTATCTTATCAGGAGGAATTTGAGATTGACAGTGAAATAGAAATATTCTAGAACTTGGTAAAGTCCTTCAGCATCTCTAAGCATCACTCATTTCTCCTTGAGCCATGCCTTCACGATCTCACGTGTGTACCCATCATAGATAAATCCATCCGCCCTCAGTTTCTCTAGACCCTCCAAAGCCCAGCCTTGACAATTCCACCCAGACAATTCCACAGTATCGATCCGGCACTCCTTCAGATGCTGATGAACCAGGCTGAGTTTGGATTCATCAACCTCTTCGATCAACAGTTCATCCTTGAGGGAACTGAACTTTGCAAGATCAATCTCTTCTGGACCCACGTAGTAGAATACTCCAGGCATGCCGCGAAGCTGATAGCTATTCCGAGGTTGACTCCATTATCCGTCTTCTTTTGGATGAAAAAAGACCAGTGGTATGGCTTTGGTCTTCCTGTATTCAAATAGGTGCCGCGGTGGTGGGTAACGATGTATAAGGAGTATCCCATGTCGTGGATAGGCAGAGAATTGATGAACCAGGAGCTGATACTGTTAGAATATATATGCTGTCGCTGCTCGCGAAAAAGGGCGTCTTGATTTCTGAGATTAAGACCTGAGACAATACTTGCCCATCTCTTAAGCGTTGCGAACTGCATTAAAATCACAGAAGTCGATACAACATGGCGTCAAAAGTGAAAGGTAGCAATGCTATAAGCGAAGAGGAAACAAGCCATTATTCCCTAGGTTGCCAAGAAAATATACCGATCTCAAAACACCAACTCCCGTCATCCCATTCGAGCTGATATTGTAGGCGGAAGCAAAATCGCCTATTAGAGACGTTTATTTAGCGCCAGCACATCCTAAGCGCCCGGTGAGGTTGGGTGTAATGTTTGTGGGACGGAGTTGCTTAAACAGAAAGCTGAGAGATCCAAGGTTTTATAGTGCCCCTAGCACATACTACCCCCTGTGACGATCAGCTATAATAGGATGAGAAGAGAAAAGCAACTCGCTATTTGGCCGTACTGTCTAGGAATATCGTACACGAGGAGAAGAAGAAGAAGGAAAGAGGCGAGGGCAGCTGCCTGCCCTCAGCCCTAGCCCTATGCCCTACTTGCTCACTCTGCTGGCACCTTCTAAGACGTGCCAGTGCCAGGGTCACATGCTGACGGTCATACCTCAGGTATGGTCGTCACAACTGTGGGCAGCAGAAAACTATGGGCAAAAGGAGACTCTGGACAAGAAGAGACTGCCGGGAAGAAAAGACTGCAGTACCCGTTCGACCGCGGATCCCATTTACCACAGTTCTCGCTTCGTCTGACTGCAAGCCTTCGGTCGCACCAACTCCAGCCGCATAGGATCACTCAAATAGCTTCTCATGATTCAAAAAGACCTATGTGCTGAGGCTACAATGATTGACTGCTAATATCTACCGTACAACACAATTATCCAGAGAGATATAATCGAACTGAAGTGCTGGTTCTCTATAGCCACTTCTTTTGGCGCAATTTCATGGAGGGCGCTTGTAGATTTTAACGTTTCTTTGGCGTTTCGGAGCACCTTTTCACATAAACCCTGTTCATAAACTAAGCACGCGCAAGTAATACTTCTTACCGTTACAGTTGTAATAAACTAAGAAAGCCATCTATTCTTGCCAACGTTAGTCAGTTACAATATTATGATGGTCATGGCACTCAGCTGATGTAAAAGATACTTCGCGATCCAAAGAACGCCAGTTGCTGAGCATGGTTTGGCATCCGGAGTAGTCCCGGACACAGTGCATGGTTGACAGTGCCTCATGGTGCGGATTTACCCATGCGACCAGTTCTTCTATGTACCTACGGACCTTGCTTGCCCCATTACGCCGATCTGTGGGGTTCTCCATAGCCGACCACTGTCTACTCCCAAGCATGCTCCGCAGTGCGCTCACATCCATCCATACTTTCGTAATCCTCACGACCTCATTCATATACTGCACGAGGTCGCTTTTGCTCACGCGCCTCTGTTCCACATGTATGGTTCCCATGTAAGTTCGCCCGCCTTTTCATGGGTCGGTAATTTAGTTTGGAGCAATGAAAGTCAATGATCAGGGCCCGTCCGAGCTCCGCGTTCCACAGAATATTGTCCGACCGGAGGTCCTGGTGCAAGACTCCCAGGGAGCAAATCTCCTTCTCAGGCCTCGCAATCTCACGTGTAATCGTCTTATCACGCTTCATCTTATGTATGGGCTCACCCCCCCAGGCCATGATGAGCATGTGGCAGATCTCGCCAGCTCCATGTACGAAGTAGGATTTGGCCAAATCGATTGGCCCCAGGAAAACAGGAACAGCAGATCCCTGTGCTTGGTCGAGTACACGGTATACGTCTTCCTCACGTTTGACCTCGTCCCACCGTCGGGAAGTCGTTCCTTTACCGACCATAGTATATCCATATGCCGTACAAGTGACTTTGAATGGGACTCCCGATGCGCCACAACCCCCCAGAGGTGTGCAGTCTCGGTCGATATTTTCATCTAGTTGTTGTTTGAGTTGCTGGGTCAGTGTTTTAGCATCGAAGGGGTGTTGGCTGCTGTTTTCTCCCCGTTGATGGAGCATGACATTCGGGCAATTATCATCCAGCTGACCACCTTGCTGCAGGCCGCGTAGACATTTCTGGGTGCAAAACTGTGCGGTATGCTGCTGACCTTGGCTGCCGCTCGCAGTATATCGAGATCCCGCCAGACGTGCTGATCGTTGAACAGATGGAGAAGAAGGAGATGAAGGAGATGATGTAGCCTGACTGAAACCACGCTTCCGTCCTCCTGGAGCTTGATCTGCGTCAGAATCAGAATCATCACGTGGTGTCAGGTTTGGCGAAGCGCAGCTAGCTCGAGACCGGGTGAGTATTCGACGGGCGTTAGCGGGGGATGGAGCAGGAGATGAAGACGGTACATATTCTGATGTAGTATGTTCAGAGCTCGTATACTCCGATGTCGTATATTCTGAGTCTGGCGGGCATTGTTGCAATTCCGATTCAGGGATCTGGGAACGTGTATGATCAAAACTTGTCTTCCACTCTGGCAGCTTCTTTGTGGCATTCCGCCACTCCTGGTCATGATATTGTGAGCGGAAACTCATGAGGCATAAGCACAATACCCGAGCAACGGCTGTTAGCGGCTGTTGTAGAGAATTCAGTTCATCATCCAGGTTAACTTCCATGTTGGGTTCACAGAGATAGTAGTATAAGGTGCCTGGATTATCATACGGGACCCACAGCAAAACCAATGCAATTCCATTAGTCAGATATGAGTACTCGAGCCCTTCCTCAAGCATGACATGATACTCCTGAACCACAGCCGAGCCGGTTAGCCGGGCTGCATTATATCTCAGTTTTTCAGGGCCCTCCGTGGGAACGGAGCCCGGTCTGACCACCTCATTCCAGAACCGCATTGGTCGCAAACCTGCTCGAAGATTCTCAACAGATAGCTTATGGGGCGGCTTGTACTCAACGGTCATAACAATCATACTATTATCGCCATCGACACGGTGGATGCAATACGATCTGGTCGAGAACGTCTGGAACTCGACGGTTTATCCGTTTGGGACTGGTCAGTGTCGACCGCATCGAGGGCGTTAGCATGATTATCGAACTGGAACTCCATCACCTAACCGAAATTCCTGTCGAGCAGCAGGTATCTTGCACAGCTCCGCGATAATATCACGAACATGGTTCTCCACCCCGAATCTCTCGTAGCTCTCCAGATCCTGCTCACTGCTTATAGCCCTTTTCCTGAACTCTTCCCCGAAACCCTCTAGGACAGTACGCGACGGGAATACTTGTGCAGCAGGCTGTCCTGGTGGTGCCAAATAGTTGCAAACAGAATGATAGATCTCTTGCTGTATGGCTGTGCACTCAGTCCAAAGCAGAAGCTGCAGCGGACAGCGCTTCCTCTTAGGCGCTGAAACCGTTCCTGTTGTGGAGCGAGACGGACTTTCGACTCTCAGAGATAGAGAAGTATAGTTGTGGCAGTATCGAATAAGCTCTGCAAAGGTGGTTTGTCGAGTTTGTTCTCTTTCCTGATCCCTTTCCTGCTCTGCTTGCCGTTGGCGTTCTTCTGCTTGCCGTTGGCGTTCTTCTGCTTGCCGTTGGCGTTCCTCTGCTTGTTGTTGGTGTTCCTCTGCTTGTTTCCTAAGCTCTGTTTCCCGCTGGCGTTCCTCCTCTGCCCTTAGAAAGAGCGCTTTGTAATCCGACGAACTGCTGTTGGCCATTTGCTTAATGTCTGTTAATTTAACAGAGTTGATTTCGATCGACGCTCATCTAGGCGGTGCGGAGAGGGGCTAGCAGCTCGGCCCACCCCGGAGAAACCTCGCGGTAGATACTGGTCCCCATCGTTTAGCTCCTTCCTAGTTAGAATTAGCTCACGTTAGTCAGCACAAGTGTAGATGTTCGCCTGACCTCCGGGCCCTAGCTAGATCAGCCAACTCAGTGAGTTTGACCCCAAGCACATACTGTCTACGCGACCTCCAGTCCTTCTTTTCTCCTTTCTCCTCTCATGTCTGGTATTCGTTGAAAATAGTACACCTATGTGATGAAAGAGTGACTTCAAAATAGCTCCTCGGGGACCACGTGGCTCGTAATATTCAACAGTACATGTTACTCTCGAGCACATGCTCCTCTGGTAGGTCCTCATCGACAATATCCTTAAATTCGGACCCTGCTTCCCAATTCGCTAGCCTTCCGCAAACCTCTTCAGGGGGCCAGGTTGGTCCGGCAAGGCTCTGTAGAGTGAGGAGGCCTCCATTTCAGCCATTGGGAACATCTTACTGGTCTCTGATTTCCTTGGATAGGTTTCAAAACTTTTGTTCCTTCTTCACCCGTCTCCCCATGTCACACTAGTGTTTCAGGCATGTTTGAGCCTGTAAAGAATAGAGACGTAAATGGAATATAAACCCCGTCAACCTTCTCCTGTAACCCAAGCCTCAATTTTCCAGATGCAGTAATTTGCCTTCACCGCAGTGTGCGCTGTATACGCGCCATCTACACGTCAACTCTATGCTACTCTTAGCCTACGCTTCCATCTTACCCTTTCAGAAATCTGCAAGGCGGATACACCTTCCACTTCCCTCATCGGCCACGTTGCATGCTTCACATGGAGAAGTATTAATGCCTATCTTCACCTCTTAACACTCTACACTAGTAAAACCGGATCAAACTCGAACCTTCCTGAAAACCACTCTGGGAACAATCTGTCACCTCTGACCAAGGAAGCTCTTGTTCCCTCTTTAGTTCCACCAAGAGCTTCCTTTCCTCGGGAATGCTCAGACATGCGAGGTCTACTGTATGAAAGGGCTTTCTCCCAGGTCTGATGCCTGGGTCGCTCAACCACCTGACCTCGACGCCTTCAATGTTCATACAAAAAAAGGACATATGCATGGTTAATTGATTCAGTTCATCAATGAATCAAGGCAAAGACAGGAAATACTCCAACATCTTCGGATAATTGGGCGTTCCCAATCCTGTCACCGGATCCCATCTGCAGCAAATAGTCAGTCAGTCAAGGACTTGGGATATTGTAATCGTATCATATCACCCGTTGTAATATCTGGGCTAGGGAAGACTTACCCCGGGGACGCAGAAAATCCCTTCGTATTACACCCCGGATTCGATCCACCCGTGACATCGTTCAGCATGGATGGATTCGCATATAGAGCGTGGTTGACGAAGCCGACTGTTCCCTTGCCGGCCGCTAGGCGTTCCTCGTTGATACGGTTGAGAATGGAGGCGAAGATTGGTGCGCCTTTGTTTTTAATTTCCTCGTTAGATGGGTTCTTTCTTCCCTTCTTCCATTTGGATGTTTATGTGCATGCATATGCGTATGTGATGGTAGAACTTACTGGCGCTAGTTCCCGCATTCGGCATGGATTCCCCGTATGTAAACGTGGCAATGTTATCGCCCAACGCAGATACGTCTGGGAATCCTCGTCCGTTGCGGTTGTAGAGGCCTCCATTTGCACCGAAAGAGTTGTTGTTGGTGCTGTCGTAGTAGGGGTAGGGTGGGGGGTAGTCCTTGAAGAACCTATTTTCAATCATTAGGATTCGTAATTGTGATCGGTATCGAGACCTAGACTCACTTTGCTACGGCGTCAGATTGGTAATCCGGGATCGGGTAGATATTGCTGAAGCCTCCACCAGATGGGAATGAGACGGTTGCGATCTCAGGCTGGGATTTCCCGATGGTGTCGTTGTAGATTCCCGTTGAACCGACCATGGTCAGCCATGGGCAGCTGTTTATTGAGTCAAGTTTAGCGGGGATCGTCACTGATATTACATTTATTTCTGGTTGATGTTGTTGACTTACGTTCCTGGGTAATCGGGATTGAATATTCTCTCTTGAGGTCCTATGCAGCCGAAGCGAGAAGCGACGCCCGAATCGCCCGATGCGACGACAATGGATATGCCCTGAAGACCTAGTTTCATGAACCTGCGTCGAAGCAGTTAGCAGCGGACAATTAATGAGTCTTTCTCAGACACAGGACATCCTCACTCATTGCATTGCCTTTGCTGATATGATGCGGGCAAGTCGCTTTCCGCCCTGCCATACGAGATGGAAACCACGTTTGTCGGCTTGTATACGCCGCACATCAGAGTGCTGTTGTATCCGTTCTCGGGATTTGGGTCGGGATAGCTGGGATCGATGTCTGGGTTGTCGCCGCATTCCCCGTATGCGCAGTATTTGCAGTATGACTGTTGATTTTCTTCAGATTAGTCTTCACGTATTGCTACGATTGGGTATAGACCCAGAACCAAGACTAACCCCGTCAATTGCGTCAAGGAAAGGGTTGAAAATCCCCTCCGGCATCTCCCAAGACCCATTGAGATTCCCCACTTGAGTCTGATAGAGCGTGATACTCTGCGGATAGACAATGGGGAAAGCCAGCTCGAAATCCAGTTCCGACTCAGCACCCGCATAGTAAGTAGGGACAGGCGCTTTACCACCGTCGATTGAATTTAGAATCGGGTGCGTTCCGTTTGGAATCCAGGGGCTGTATTTGGTGAAGAACAGATCCAGGTCTTCCTGGGAGTAGCTGTCTGATTGCTCGAAGATGCCCAGCTCGTTGCCAGGTTGTGCAGTCTTCGCCTCAGGGATCTGGTAGAGGTTGCTAATACAGTCGGGAGTGATGAGACTGCCACAGGACGGGTCTATTGATTGTGACCTTTTGCCTTCCTGGCGAGATTTGGGGACGGCACTCCTCGCCTTCGATGCCGGTACTGCTGACCGTTTCTTCGTGGCTGCTGGTCGTCTGTTCCCGGTCACTAATGGGGATTTCATGATGATCCCCGGCACCACGTAGTCGATGTCGCCCTGGACGGAGCTCGGGACACGGTACTGTTCGCACGCAATGACCTTGCTTCCGCTCGAATTGTCCTGGTACCGGTAGTACCTGGTCTGCAGGAGACTCTCGACCTGGCTAACTGGCGCAGAGAAACCAAGCCACACCTTGTTATCGGACTGGGCGATCCGCGACACGTCAATCCCGGACCTAACCAGCCAGTTCTTGACATTGGCGACGGTCTCCTCGGACGGTGCAAAGGCGTTCAGCACCTGTTCCGACGTCCAGTGTTTCCCGTAGTTGGGGGAATCAGGATGAGCACTGCAATTGGATATGCGTTAGCGAACATCTTTCCATGATATGACGAGGAAATCGAAGGAACCAACATGTCCCGCATGTACACATGCGCATTGTCGAGGTTACTCTGCTTCAGCCCAATGCGCACCGTCAGATCAGAATCTGCCGCGAGCCGGCCCAAGTTCGTCCATTTCGCAGCGGTCGAGGATAAATCGCGCTTCTCATGCACGACATAAGAATCGCGAGCAGAAATAGGAGTGGCCCTGCAGAGCGCAGCAAGGCCACTCGCAAGCACAGACAGAGGCAGTAGGGCTCTCATTTTTGATCTGTGAAGGCAATTGAGACCCACGATATGGGAAAAGGAGGACAGACAGTGCCTATTTATTTATTATATTTCCTCCATGTCTGAGGTTTTGGCCGACGCAAACAATGCCAAGCAGATGGCTATATTTATTAAAACACATGCATTTGTGACCCGCAGGATCGTCTCTCAGACTTCCACGTCCTCCGGGTCCCGCTGGTTGCCTGATGAACCGATCGGGTAGTGCAGTGTACGATCCCTTCTGCTCGTTAAGGGGTTGATGTGTAGTATGCTGGCCCGGTGTCATTGTTGATGGCTCATTATTGCAGTGGCCGTTGGGGCGGGCCATCGCTCCCCCAGACAGGAAATTAGAGGGAGAAATCCTTGGCGCAGTCAGGATGCATTGATCCATTAACCCCCTGCCAACGGGGCAACGTACCGGTATCTGGCAGGAAGACTATTGAACACTGCCCCGGGGATTGGCAGTTGTGGGGTGAAAGACAAGTGCCTGTTCTCAGTGTTCTTTTACCCAGGGAGGATCGCTTCGCCAAATAAAGGTGGGCCGTACCGTAAGCCATCCCGCGGACGATCCATTTGAAGTTTATTAGGGGGCCTTCTATGTTTGGATTGCGCTTTTATTGGGGCGTTTTGGGCCTCATTTTGAGTTACACTGTGCATTCGTTCTTACATCGTACATGATGGGAGATATCCAAAATAGAAGCCAAACGGCTCGAGCCGCATCTTCGGAGAATCGAGATGCAATGCCTACTTGCGCGCCGGACGGCCGTCTCCAACCTGAGCTCCCGTCGTATAATTGCCAAAACAGGCAAATTGGTACATCGCATCCTCCTTGAGCGTCGGGATACCGCTCAGGAATTTGGGAACCTCGCAGAATCCATTCGTGCTGTTTTCGCACCCCGGTAACCCTTCGAGGGGCAACGGGGCCTCGTTCAGCACGAACCGGATGTAGTCCTTTGTTCCCTCGGCCTTAGTCAGATCCGGGTTCTGGTAAACCACGGGTCGGAGGCTGTGGAAGTTGGTGTTCGACGGACAGGTCCAGATCTCCGAGAACAATCGGGCGCCGAATGGCGCAACCTCGTTGAGATGGAAGGTTCGCGGGGGAGCATGGCTGACGTTCCCCGGGAGTCCGTGGGGACCGTACTTGAAGAAATTAAGGCTCAGCGCGGTGATAACCGAGTGGATGATATCATCGTGCGACATGTCCATGTACAGAGGCTGTCCGAGAGGGAATGTGGCAGTGTTGTCGTCGTACGTGTCGTTGATGCTCGTGTCAGACGAGTAGATCAGCTTGGACTGCAGCCTCGCTGCGAGTTCGAGGAGATAGCCAATGCCCTGAGCGCGACCGGTGGGTGACCCAAAGCCGTAGTCTCCGTAGAATTGCAGATCGAGAGCGTATTCATAGTCCTTCCATTCCTGTTCAGTGAACAGGGTGCAGAACGAGGAGCTGCCGAGAGACGCATACTCATAAGGACAGAGGTTCTGCAGGGCCAACACGTCCATCGCGGTGAGGTTAAAGTCAGCCGGGAGATAGGCGGAGAGACGCCTCAAGGCATCCTTCATCATGCAACACAGAGTGGATGGCAAGCGGAGGAAACCGGCAGCTCAGGCGACGAGCTGAAACGAGCATTGCGTGGCACTATCGTTGAACTACCCCCATTGCAGAAGTCCAATATTATGATTGACCCTTTGCCCATCAGCAAGGAGAAGGAAAAGGTCCTGACCAGAACGCGCCCCAGCTGGCTTCCTCCCAAGGACCAAAAGGAGGAGAAGCGACACTTGAAAGAATATAAGAAGATGATGGCCCAGTCTCGTGAAATAGGTTCGCAAATCTATCCAGGCACGCTTCCCCTTCCCATCCGACTAACCCATTATTAGAAAAGCGCAAGGCCGCCAAAGCCGCTTCCGCTAAATGCGAGAAGGACGATACACGCGACGCGCTTAAACGTGTCTGGGATGAGTATGTGAATCCAAACTGGGATCGTGCCGTGACGGAAGCCCGAACTCGGGAGCTCTGGTGGCGTGGAGTTCCACCCCAGAGCAGGGGCACTATCTGGGGGCGGGCCATCGGCAACGAGCTCGCTTTGTCCGAAGATACATACACCAAGGCTTTGAAAAGGGCCAAGGAGGTTCGATCCAATTCTGAGGGGGATTCAGAAAACACCCCGAGAATAGGAGAGTGGTTCGCAGCGATTCATGAGGATGCGTCGAAGGCATTCCCCGAATTGCGTCTTTTCCAGGAAGGTGGCCCGTTACGGGAGACACTGATCGATGTGCTGGAAGCTTATTCCATGTATCGAAGCGATGTGGGATATATCTACGGCCTTCACGTGAGTGATTACTGCCCAGCGGAATATAGACAATGAAACTTAAGCTAACAAACTGTTGATGAAAGACCATCGCTGCTCTCCTCGTCCTGCAATTTCCCACACCTGCCTCTGCCTTTATTGCGATGGCGAACGCACTTAACCGACCGCTTCCCGTTGCCTTTCTCACCCTGGATCGAGGCGCCGTCAGCCGTACTTATTCCCTTGCGTCTGCGACACTGCGATATAAGTTTCCTCTCTTGGCTACACATCTTTACGAAACTCTCCGCCTCACGGACGAAGACATCTGGGAGCCAATGTTTCGTTCCCTTCTCACAAACGGGCTCGATCTAGAGCGTGTCTGTCGCGTCTGGGACTGCTGGGTCTTCGAAGGGGACAGGATGATTATTCGGTCCGCCGTCGCAGTTATGGGTTGCCTGCAGTCACAACTCTTTGTATTCAACAAGCCCGATGACCATAGCCGTATGGCTGTTATGAACATTCTCGGCTGGGGCCCGCGCCACCTGGGAGCCAAGCCCAGAGACCGGCACAGTGCTCCTGCAGCGACCGGGTTTGGCGGTGGGCAGTTTTCCAATGCCGGCGTTGGTGACTATTGGATCTTGACAGCCGCTGGTAATGAAGACGGCTTCATAAATGAGGTTAGAGAAGCGGGCAAAGTGCACGGTTAGGTTATGCCCGTGCACCTGGCCTTGAGACTGGGTTGCTCTCTCCGAGCTTCACTGGTTTTAGGGTTATTCTCGAGACTTCAATGTGTTATTACCATTTTCCATTCGCTGCTTTTTTTCTTGGACATACATGTCAAGCGGTTCTGGGAAACCATGACCTACTTATAATGTCTTCATTCCTGTTTCACTCTTTTGGTATTGTTGTCTTTTTCTCTTGGTCATGACGGGAGTTGTCTAAATTGGACGTTCATTTTTAGACTGGACTGGCGGTGGCATCAGGGGCTTTCCCTTTCTCTTTCCGGTGTACACGCTACACCACCTTTATGGCAACTGGTCCGCCGTCCATAAGTCAAATTGGGTGGGTGCTATTAGCAGCCCTGTATTCTTGAGCAGCGATGGAGTACGTGTTTCTTTCGTTTGGCACTGTGACGGTGGTTTGCATCTTGTTCTACTGTCCTGTTGGTTATCCCTTAATCTATGTCTACAACTTGATTCTTCTCCTTATATTGGGTAGTGGAGTATGTGGAGTATGTGATGCTGTCTGCAATAGATACACAGGTCCTATAGCTGCTGCAACACGGACAGTAAGTGTAATTCTTCTCCATGGTCTAACAAGAATCACATGAGCACATGGGCTTCACTTGCTAGCAGAGTGTCAACAAAGCATTCTTTTTTTTTCCCCAATTCCTCTACACTCACTATGGAGGACCTTCTAGGTGAGGATAAGTCCTTCCTGAGGATTTAGACCTCTCTTGCTCTCCCCATTCTCCCTTCTCTTTAGTCATGGATGATGAAACAGGAGGCCTCCTTAGGACACGGCGGTATCGTTGCGGACGAGCGTGGGCTCGGCAAGACATTCACCACACTGAGCCTAGTCTCAATATTTTCCCGGAGGACAACAGCACCTCAACACCATCCGCGACCTTGCCGTGATACTGCCACAGGCTCGCTTGGAGAGACCTATGCACCTGGCTGCGGATTGTGTGAAGCTCAGGTACCTGCTAAAATATCTGCAGGATGAAGGGGCGTTCGATCTGTCGCGCCAAAATCCGCCACGCTACATAATCTTCGTTCAATGGCTGTTGGTTCTCTGGCTGGTTGAGATGCTTATTGACGCGCTCAGTCTCAACTATGTAGCCATCCTTCACAGCCCTCAATGCACGCATTTTGCGGTTAACAAATTCAACAATCCAGAAAGCCGGTGCCAGGTGCTGCTTACCACATTCGACCCTGGTATCATTCCGTGTCCATGCGCAGTACGCACGCGCCGTTATTATGGAGCCACCTCTGAATATGTGCACGCTATTCCACGCAATTGGATGATTGCACCAATTACGTCAGAAGCAGATACAGAAGGTGTTTATGTGTGCTTTTTCAGCCGTATGTTTCAACGGAGCTCCGGGCCATAATCAAGCTTGGAATGGATGCGGCGAGGAGTGCGGGACAGGATGAGATAGGAATGCTAACTACCTGATGATTAAAACAGTCAAGTCATTTAGCTGGGAATGTTGTCTTCAATTGGGAAGGGAGGAGCGTCCCTTTTGGTGGAAAGTCAAATGTCACATGGTTTACTGGCTTCAGCAATCGCCGGTCGTCGGCATCTGCAGCAAATGAAGCATAAATTAGACCTCCCTCCCGGCTGTCTGCAACATAATCTGGTTAATTGTTATCTTCCAGTGTGTTCAATTCCAACATGGCAGGATTCACCGTTAAATCCCTAGACCACCTCATCCTGACTGTCCGCTCCATCCCAGAGACAGTGGCTTTCTACACGAACCATCTAGGCATGAGACATGAGATCTTCACGTCATCTGTTAACAGGAGTGTTCACAGGTGTGTTCAGTCTACATAAATCAAGCAATTCATCTACATACATACATAGAGATATGTATATTGTGTATGCATATTGAATACTAATGATAGTACAGACACGCCCTCATCTTTGGAGCCCAAAAGATAAACCTGCACCAACTCGGAAACGAATTCGAGCCAAAGGCCCAGACTGTCATGCCTGGGAGTGCCCATTTGTGTTTCCTGACTGATCGGGATGTGGGGGATGTTTTGAGGGTGTTTCAGGAGGCGAAGATTGAAGTAAGCTACTAACCTAGGTTTAGTACAACGAGAGCTAAGTTACGTGTGCTGATGCTGATGTCCTTGCAGGTCCTTGAGGGCTCTCAGGTAGTAGAGAGGACAGGGGCCATTGGGAAGATTAGGAGTGTCTATGTGAGGGATCCTGATGGGAATCTTGTGGAGTAAGTTATGTGTTGACTCTTTCTTGAAAGTGAGAGGCTGATCCATTCGCAGGGTGTCGAATTATGTTTGAAATGGACTAATTTAATACCTCATTATCATTAGAAGGAGAAATATATTATTATTCGCTCTAGCTACTATTGCCTTCATCAGCCTTGGCCAAGCATTGCATTCCTTATTACCATGAAATCCTCGCAATAATGCTCCTAGGATACGACCGAACCAACAACTTCCTGAACTCATCCATCATCAGGACTCCCGCAGCCAATCCCACGGGAATAAACCAGTACATCAATGGCACGGACATGGTGTTGAATAAACGCTGCAAGCCCGGTTCCTCCGTGACGAAGATAGCGATAGCCAACGACACCACCATGGACAGGGGTAACCAGGGGTTGCGTCTCTGCTTGCGGAACGGATCGGCCTGGAACAGGGACATGCGTCTGTTCCGGACGGAAAGCAGATTGCCCCATTGAATGATGACGAGCGTGACAAAGTACACGCACTGGCCCCTGTTGTTGAAGTCTGTGAGCTGCTGCTGCGTGTACCCGTAGAAACCGTCGGAGTATTTTTCAAAGCAGAGAGCCAGAGCGTGGAAGGGGATTCCGGCCTCGCGGTACATGAATAGAAAGAACATGCAGTGAGCACAAAAGGCCTCCATGACACCGATAAAGAGGTATGATTGTCCGTAGATTTTCATGTTGATCAAGTGGTCCCTGCGGTGGTCTCGTGGTGGGAGGCTGAGGAGGTCGAATTCTTCCTTCTCCATGATGAGGGAAAGGGAGCAGAGGAGGTCTGTGAAGACGCAGATGATGATCATGAGGAATGAGCTGAGCGGGAGTGGGAAGCCGAAGAATACGTTCAGGATCACCGGCCAGACTTCAGACCAGCTGCCTGCTGGGAGGAGGTAGGCGATAAGTTTCTGCAGGTTCTGGAAGACAAGGCGGCCCAGGCGGATTGCATCGATGATCATGTCAAAGGACTCCAGGAGGACGAGATCGGCCGCTTCGATCGCGACGTCGCTGCCGGATTTCACGGCGACACCGACGTGTGCTGCACGTAGAGCTGGGGCATCGTTGACCCCGTCGCCTGTCACGGCGACGATGTTGTGGCGGTCCTTGAACTCGTTCACGATGCGTAGCTTTTGTTCGGGGGTTGTTCGAGCGAAGACGATCTCCTCGTATCCGGAGATGAGTTCCCATTGCTCATCCGTGAGAGAGGACATCTGGGGGCCTTCGATGAGCAGGCTGTGTCGTGAGCGGAGATTATTCTCCTCCTTCTCGCTCTCATCAGAAGGAGAAGTGTCGAAAACGCTCAGGTCCTGCACGGTGTCTGGATCTGCGGATCCTGTGAAGATGCCGACATTCCTCGCGATCGCTGCAGCTGTCAATCCGAAATCACCTGTTACCATAAAGAACCGAATCCCTGCTCGTCGGCACTCGGCGACTGTTTGCGCTGTTTCTGGCCGCGGTGGGTCGATGATGCCAAAGATTCCAACCACAGTCAAGTCACGTACGCACTCGGCGAGGATTTCATCGGTGAAGTCATTCGATCCAACGGCTGCACGAGGGACGTAATGCCGCTGGCATAGCATAATCATACGTTCAGCCTGTTGTGACAGCTGGGTTTGATAATCGGTGATCATCTTCCGTGCTGGTTGATCTAGGGGCCGAATCTCGCCGTTGGCCGATAGATACGAGACACACTTGGGGAGGAGAATATCAGGAGCCCCCTTGACGTACACAAGGTATCCATTTTCATCTGCAGGATCTTTATGCATGGTGAGCATCCACTTGTTGTCCGAGTTGAACGGTACCTGATGGATCCTCTGATAAGATTGTGACAATTCGGTTCGGGTGTTAGGTTTGATGGTTTCTGCAAAGCGCAGGATAGCACAGTCAGTAGCATTACCACCGAGAGTACGTTTATCAACAGGCAGATTCATCGTTGTGGGATCGAAGAAAGCGTCATTACAGAGAAACGATCCCTGTACCAACCGATGCAGGGCTTCCGGAATAGAGATCGACTTGAGTGTCGCACCGTCGATGAGATCATCCACGCTATAGCTTCTGTCGGCAAGGCAGATAGACCTGACGAACATTTTGTTCTGGGTCAAGGTGCCCGTTTTATCGGAGCAGATGACGTTCACGCAACCCAGCGATTCGACGGTTGAGAGACCCTTGGGTAAGATGTTGCTCTTTTTCATGCAGTTGGCGATCATCATGAGAGTTAGGGCAACTCCCATTGGCATACCCTCAGGAATAAACGCGACAACGCAGCCCATTACGTCGTTCAGCATGGCCACCACATTCATGAAGGAATAATGATCTACGCGGATCCACCCGATCCAGGTGAAGAGAATCGCTCCGGCCAGGATGACGGTGAGGGCAATAACAATGAAAACGAACCGGTTGATTTCCTTCTGGATTAGTGTCAGGCCTTTGGCACCGTTCATCATCTTGGCGATTCGACCCATGACCGACCGGGAGCCAGTGAGGACCACGATGCCCACAGCGTTGCCATTGGTGACGCTGGTGCCCATCAGGGCGATGTTGTGGGTTTCGAGGAAATTGTCTTCGGTGCAGTCCACAGCGCCTTCAATTTCATCAGACTCGCCAGTGAGGATGGAACGGTCAAAGCGGACGTCACCAGAGCTTTGGAGGATGCGGATGTCGGCAGGAACCTTGTTGCCAACAGCGATGGATACGATGTCGCCCGCAACAAGGTCCCTGGAGGAGATGCGGACCTGGTTTCCATCGCGGAGGACGAGAGCTTCTGATGGGAGCAAGTCAAGGATGGAGTTCATCACCCTCTTGGTGGACCAGTCTTGAAAGGCAGAGAAGGAAGCTTGCAGGACAATGACAATGATGATCAGAATAGCCATGGCCAGGTTTGTAGGGGATGGTGGATTGCTCAGGGGTTGCCAGCAGATGAAGAAGACGATGACTCCAACCCACAGAATAGAGCAGAAGCCACCAAAGACATACAGAAGGATCTTTTTCAGGTAGTTCTCGCCGCGATTTTTGATGACGTTTGGGCCATCCCTCTGGAGACGTGTGGCAGCAGCCGACTGACTTAGGCCGGATTTGATGTCCACATTGAATCTCTGGCATAGCACATCAGGACTGACAATGTGAAAGTCCAGGCTTTCAAAATAGTCCTGGTTAGACTGGTTCTCCTTCTGCCTTCTCTCCTTGATGACTTCCTCGGGGGCGTTCTGGGATTCGGCGATCTGGAAGGAGAGGGTTCGAAATCCGATCGGAATATCTGCATGTGGAGGAGCCTGTGAGACACTCCTTGTACTTCTGATGGTCCCCCGACTCCTAGACCGGGCGTGTTTCGATTTGCGCTCTCGATCAGTTGGGCGTTGATCATCATCAAGTGAGTCCTCGAAGACGATACGGCTCTGTCGCCCAAGTTCATCGCCACCATCCTTGATCAAGTCACCCTCTGCTTCAACATCGACATCAGAGATGTCCTTTGAATCTGGGTGTTGTGCCATGAGGGAGAGGGTAGTAAGATGTGAAGGAAGATCTTGGAACAGAACAACCGACACGGGGGAGGGACCAAGACAGAAGGCAGGATGGAGAGGAAATTTTCAAAGACTCCATCCATGAAAGGACCCCGGTCTTTATATCCTCTCATGGTCAAGTCATAGCGTGCTATAGGCAAGAGTCAAAAGATTCCCCCGACAACGAAGATGGATATCTCCTGGTAAAATCTGACCACCAGTAACAGGTTGCGTGTATTCTTTCGCGTAATAGCAACACGGCAGACTCCATATATGACAATTCACCTGCCCTTTAAGGAAGCCAAGAAATGGAAAAGGCCGCATCGTCCATAGGGAGGGGGGAAGCTCCATGAGGACCAGGACGATGATATCATGTTCGGTGCGTCGCGATGTTGGAAACATTCCCAGTTGCTCCAATCATTTCCACCATAGCAGCCAGTGTCACAGGCCGTAAAGGTAAGCTAAAATTTGAGGGATTTATCTTGTCGAACGGTGGGTTGCAAGCAAGCAGGTGCTTTTGACTTCAATCGACTCGACTGGGGAAAACGAAGCCAGATTCGCCAGGTTAAATCCCGTGTAGTAGTGCAGTTAATATGCACTCAATATGTGGCGCTTAAGAAAAGCTTGGCGGTATATCCACCAATAGTCATTCATACAGTAAAATAAAGCCCTGAGCTAACCCAGTTAGCGTGGTGATTTTAGTTGAAATGTGGTCCAAGTTCCCATAATCCGGTGTAAAATACCAACCTACTTGGTTAGCAGCACTGCGTTGTGGCTGGGAAAAGGAAAAATCCCTTGTATATCTCCTTCCAAATAATAGGCACGGTCTTCTTCCTGCGTGCTTTATTGAACAAATAGAGCGTTGGCAAAGTATGTAAGGCCAAGGAGTCCGTCTTCCAGATCCTCATCGGAAGTTTCACGAGATTAAATTCTCGTAAACACATAAGTAGATGAGATCCCTACGTTCAGCTTGCTTGACCTCGTCTGACTGTAGGTTTAGACAGTGATGACAGTGGTGGTGTGGGAGACAGTAGAATAGCCACGGGTTGCAGCCATGCAAGACGACGCAGCTGTATCCCTTGTAATTTTTAAAGACTTCCATGATTCTAATCACCATGAAATTGATCTAGAAGATAAGAGTTTAGACCTCAGAGACACCAGAGCATATATTCGTACTGCAGGGCAGTCCTGCATAGAGAAAGCGCTGTCTCCTTCCACCACGCGGTCTCATTTTGCGACCTCCCTGGCATCCATATTTGTCGTATTTATACACGTTTCAATAGGAGATTCAGTTCACAGCTTTGCATTGGTTTCTTTTCCAATAGACTCGCACTCGGGGACAACTTCCACCATCATTTTCCCCGTATTTGCGCCTTCATAGAGGCTTACCAGCCCTTGTGGTGCAGCCTCGATGCCACCCTTGATGATATACTCTTTACGCCGGATCTTACCCTGAGCTAACCAACTTGCTAGGTCTTTTAGCGCTGCCGGGTATTGTTTGATGTAGTCGAAGACAATGAATCCTTTCATGGTCACACGTTGAGACTGCAGAAAGCGTCAGTTTTCCCTCTGCAGCAGTAATCCACAGCACCAGAGCTCACAATGACATTCATATAGCTTGAAGGGCCTCTCGGTTTAGCTGCATTATACTGGCTAATGGCGCCGCAGATGACGAATCGAGCATTCCTCGCCGCCCGCATCAGACACGCGTCCAACACCTCACCACCAACATTATCAAAGAACACATCAATATACTCTGGCGTGGCATGCTTGAGTTGCTTTTTCCAGTCCGCATCCTTGTAGTTCACAGCGGCATCAAATCCTAGCTCCTTCGTCAGGAACTCACACTTCCGGCTTCATCACCCGGGCAGGAGTCGTAGGATGCCAGAGTGTTGTTGAACGGATAAACCTCTGGAATAACCACCAGATCATACTGATCGTACGAACTATTGGCTCCAGTGTTTCCGAAAAAGCCGCCTACAAGCACCGGTCAGAGAGAGACAGACACAGACAGCCTCATATTGTCCAGAAGGAAGGGGTGCAACGCACTCAGCCACCACCGAGCGCTCTCCAGAATCCTGTCCTGCGACGTCGTGCGGAACACGGGCTTTGGGCGTGCAGTGCCATTCGGATACACATTCAACGACTCATCCCAGGTTGGAACACCTGCAGGAGCACGATAAAGCACTCTTCCATATTTCGTCCAAAAGTCCGCACCGGCAGTTGCCTCCGTCGCAGCACCGGTGACGAGCAAAAGATCCTCGCCCATCATATCCTTCCAGTCATCCAGGAATGATAGTGGCCCTCGCCCAACTGTCACGTTGGGATGTGCCTTGCTGTAATTCACGAGTTTCTCGCTGAAGCTCTCTATTCCACCCCCGTCGAGTGGGTAAGGGGTTGGATAGCGCTGTGCATGCCTATGCAGGACGTGAACCTGTGAGAGCTCACAGCCCTTGGGAAAGCCCTTGGAGACATTGAAGCCCGGAGCAGCCTTGTAGGGCGACAGGTTCCCCCAGCTAGTCATGATGTCGAATCCGGATGCATAAGTTGCCCCGGTTGGCGCAGCCCTTGGTACATACGAAGATGGACTCGCTGCAGCGAGTGCGATCACCGCAAGCACGGCGGTCGATGAGTGCAGGAATTGCGGCATTTTGACACGATATTGTCCCCGGCGAAAATGCAAAGGGAGGGAGTCAGTCAACCCATGGCCCGACCGATGAGGCCTGCAGGGGAATTTATTTATCTACAGGCGGTCTCTTAGATCAGATGATCGCCGTGCGAATTCCTTAGTTGGAACTTGGAGCGCAAGGTTACCGGTGTGAGGTACGGGTGCCATCGCCTCGAAATGGGTCCTGGACCGTCCTTCTGGCTGCAGCTGGGCCGTCGGTTCACCGTCGACGAGGTTGGGAAGGCCATGATATCTGGTTCCCACGACGACGTCGCTTCAACTGGGTACTTAGCAATCGGTACTCGTCTTCCTAATCCCAACAGTATCTGCTTTCTCTTCACCGAAGCGATGGAGCTGGGGCTGGGGGCCCTGTAAGGAGACGCACATATCGGTGGCTTGCAAATTTCAGACTATTATTATCTCCCGGCGCATCCGTAGCGTGCCTGAAAGTACGGAGTATGCAGGTTGATAATTCGGCAATCTCCGTCGGAAGCATCAAGATCAGCGATTGCGTGCGGTATTTGTATAGCCGTGGGACAGGAAAGTCAGCAGCAGCAATAGATTATTTAGAGATGAGCAAGTCGTTCATTCGATCGAAACATTACACCTTCCGGAGACAGGCTATACATAGGGTTCAACCAGAGAAAGATTGTCCGAATAAGATAACGTGACGTTATAATTTGGGAGCGACTCCAATGAGCATGGGAATGATGGCAGTAAGGGACGAGAGCAGGTAAAGCATGGATGATGTTGTAAGTACAATGAAGAGAAAGAAAGTAATTATGAAACAACAGGATAAATAATATAATGACAGGCTCATGCCGCTGAAACATTGTGTTCATGCTTCGACTTCTCCTTCTTCTTCTTCTTTTCGTCCTTGCCCTTCTTCGTCATGGCCTCCGCCATGAGCTGTTCAAAGGCCATGTAGTCTCCCTCTTCATCCGGGTCGCGTTCGGCCTGTAGAAGAGACAAGGACGTTAGTATTCGAGTCTCAAACAGCCGCAGAAGAAAATATATCGCCTCACCTTCTGGTAGATATTACCAGCAATCACAAGGGCATGAGCACGCTCAATGCGCTTCTCCAGCCTGATACGCTTGTCGCCCAGAACCTGATCGCAAACGTCACGGAGCACGCCTTGGATCTCGAACTTGCTACCACGCCATGCGGCCGCGAGGATCTTGCCCGTCACCTTCCGCTCGTATTCTACTTTCTTCTCATCGGTCCAATCCTCCCCACCCTTTTCTTCCAACTTGGCCATCTCTTCCATAGTCATCTTGGCATCGATCGCTGTGGAGATGGTAGTCCACGTCTCCTTCGCCAGCGTACCCTTGTCCTTTAACCGGGAGAAAAAGCCCGAAATACCAAGGAACTTTTGCGATTTGAGGAAAGAAGTGGCTTTCTGAACATAGGTAGCACCAACGGCATGGAGAATCTCGATACCAAAGGATTCCATTTTGAGGTTCTCGACTTCGTGGCGGATCTGTTCCTCGAAAGCACGCGTCACGTTGGGGCCTTTATCAGTCTCCGTCCAGATACTAATCCGATCAACAAGTTTGTTCGCAAGCGTGTTAACTCGTTCTTCGCGCGCGTGCTTCCGCTCCAGTTCGTACGCGGCTAAGCGATCCTGTTGCTCCTTGGTTAGTCCACCCTTCTTCTGCTCCTTCTTGCGCAATTCCTTCTCTTCCGAGGTCAGACCGGCTGCCTCCATCCGTGCTTCCTCTTCCGACCTATCCATAATGGCCTGTTGTCCCAGACGTCGCCGTGGCGCAGGTGTATATGGCTGGCCAGCAGCTTGCTCGGAGGTGCCTGCAGCAGCATCGTCATGGATGTTCAGCTTCTCCTCAGCCGATTCTGCCAATTCTGCCAATTCATCCTCCTCCGCCGCTTCCATTGTAATGTCCATCGTAGTAGTTAGGTCCTTCATAAGCGAAATTTCTCCGATAAGGTCGACAAAGGCACTCCCACCAAAGATCATGGAGAAGAACTCGGCCGGATCCTCTGTAGAAGGCCATTAGCAGTGGATTCAACCGAGTAGAGCGTCAAAGAGTACTGACCAAAGCCACCTCCCGGTACCGCATCTTCTTTACCGAACTTGTCATATCGCTTTCGTAGCTCCTGGTCGCTGAGAACCTGATAGGCCTCTCCAATCTGGGCGGGACAAGGACGTTAGTTATCGCAGACCGGGCCGGATCACCCGGAAGGAGTATTATATTCGAAATGAAAACAAGGATATGAGCGAGAGGAACATACAGCTTGGAACTTCTCATGTGCCGTTGCATCCCCGGGATTCTTGTCTGTCAACCGCGAAAGTTAGCACCGTCACACGGAGAAGTGAGTGAGGAAGAAGAGGCAACAAACCTGGATGAGTGACAATTGCGAGCTTGCGATATGCCTTTTTGATTTCGATTTCGGTCGCCGTGGGTGGCACCCCCAGGATATCATAGTAGGTGGTGTCTGCGACCATGCTGGATGCACAAGCTCAAACAGGCCACCAATAAAACGTCCGAAGGATTATGGGGTCAGGCACCAGGAGTGAATGATGCAGGCAAAGCCAACCAAGCCTTCCAAAATATGTGCAGGAGCGTCTCGAGGGCAGTCTGTTTTGGGTTTTTTTGTTGTTTTTTTTTCCCTTGACGCTTTTCCCTGCGCCGTGATTATGCCTGTTTCGTCATGGGCGGGGACGTACGGCCGGCAGTAAACACGTGATACTAGTACTGTAATGTAATATGTATGTATCGGTGCCCGCAGCTGGGTCCGTGTACTAGCAAACATGGAGTATTTTATGGTAATAGCGTGTAATAAACGATCTTGACAGCCGGACCGCCGAGCAGCTGACCAATAAGCGGCTCAAAATGATACCACTAAGCCTAACTGGGCAGTTTTCACAGCAGCGCACAGTTCTCTTTCCTTTCTTTCCTTTTCCACGGTGTTGCTTTCGTCTCTTTTTGTCTTCATCCCTTTCTCCCTCTATTCTTACTCTTCTTTGTCCTCTCCATCCCTCTCTCCCCCCTCCTCCTCCCCTTTTCATTCCCTCTGGCTCTGTTCAGAACAGAGCCTTGGAGCTCCAGGTCTACTGGTGCTGCTCAATATCCTCACATCTTCCACATTCTAAGCTAATTGTCTCTCTTTTCCTGCCACGAAACCCACCTTTGTTTATCCTTCTCCCCTATCCCATGTTGCTGTAGTGCCACAATGGGTATTGCATCAAATGCTTTATACTTCCTTTTCCACCCCTTCCAATTGCGGTCAATAATACAATGGTTTGTCTGACCCCCCGACCTCGATACCGACCCTGTCCTCATCTCGTCTTCCTTGCAGCATGTTCCACATTCATCCACTGACCAGTTGCCTTTTGCCATAGGAAAGTTTGGCACAATCCTGTTCATGAGCGAGATGAGAAAAATGAAACAGAAACGCTGAAGAAATGCTTCGAGTTTCTCGACCTTACGAGTCGAAGTTTCAGTGCAGTCATCAAAGAACTGCATCCGGAACTGCTCGTTCCCGTTTGCATCTTCTATCTGACTCTTCGGGGCTTGGACACCATCGAGGATGATACTTCCATCCCTCTGAAAACAAAGGAGCCCCTCCTCCGAAATTTCCAGGATTTCCTTGAGAAAGATGGCTGGACCTTCAATGGGAATAGACCGGAGGAAAAAGACCGTGAACTGCTGGTTCAGTTCAATAATGTCATTACTGAGTTCAAGAAGTTGAAACCGGCCTACAAGGCCATTATCAAGGATATCACGGAGAAGATGGGCAACGGGATGGCCGACTACTGTAGCAAAGCCGAGTCTGGGGATGCCTCCGTGAAGACTGTTGAGGCATATGACCTCTACTGTTATTACGTTGCTGGTCTGGTCGGTGATGGTCTGACACGCCTCTTTGTGGAGGCCAAGTTTGGAAACCCTGCCCTGCTCAAGCGCCCTGATCTGCACAAGTCCATGGGTCTCTTTCTGCAGAAGACAAACATCATTCGCGACGTCCGGGAAGACTTTGATGACAACCGTCGTTTCTGGCCCACGGAGATCTGGTCCAAGCATGTTGATCAGTTTGAGGATCTCTTTAAACCTGAACACCGCGAGGCTGCGTTGAATTGTAGTTCTGAGATGGTTTTGAACGCCCTCGAGCACGTGAATGAGTGTCTGTTCTATCTGGCTGGCCTCCGTGAGCAGAGCGTATTCAACTTCTGTGCTATTCCCCAGTCTATGGCCATTGCTACGTTGGAACTTTGCTTCCGCAATCCTGTCATGTTTGAGCGCAACATCAAGATCACTAAGGGTGATGCCTGCCAATTGATGATTGAATCAACCCAGAATTTGCAGGTCGTATCCGTTGCTTTTCGCCGGTACATCCGTCGGATCCATAAGAAGAATACCCCCAAGGATCCGAACTTCCTTCGGATCAGCATTGTCTGCGGCCAGGTCAGTGAGCAAATGTTTATTGTCGTATGGTAATGTGTATATTGACATCATATGCAGATTGAGAAGTGGATCGAGACATTGTTCCCCTCTCAGACAGCGGAAGAAGCGCAACGTCGCGTGAAGGGCCAGAAGTCTGAAGCTGACGAGGCTGCCGCAAAGGAGAGCGCTGAGGCGCGTAGCGATGTGTTTTTCGTCCTTTTTGTGAACTTGATCATCCTCGCCTTTATAACCTCAATAATGGTAAGTTCATGACTTGCCTCCCTTCCTTGGCCGCTACTGACACGTCGCGTATAGGTTGGTCTTGCTTGGTACATGGGTGCTCGCTTCGACCTTGTATGGCAGGAACTGAAGAACGGCCACTTCCTCCCCCCGAAGCAAATTGGGCATGAAGAACTCTAACCTGTTACGTCCACGGAGTTATGACCTTAACTGTCTCATCTAGTACATTGTTGTAATTATGCGCAGCGGGCCCTGATCCGGCATGTCTGCGGAGAATAATCTAATTTAATATGATTCCCCATCACACCGTCGGCCCCCGGTTCTCGTCGGATTCCTGTTCTAGCACGGATGTCAAATTGCAATCCAGCCTTTCCATGACTGTGGTTGTGCCGAAGAAGTGCTTATATTGAAACGAAGTTTCGACTTTTGACCAGCGACGTACTAGATGTGTGTCCTATCGTGTCCATCGGATGCGGAGGTGGCATACATCCATTGAAGACCTGGGACATGCTTTTTGGTAGTTATCAATCTATTTACATACACTGATCTTTTCGTCGTGTTCCTTTTTTAGAACCTAGGCTACTCTGTGTACCGCATATCCATATGACTGTATCTATTTTCTCTGCATAGTTACTGGCTGCATCCTTATTAATAACACCACAGCCAATAGAACAGGGCGCACAGCCCTTGCTTACGTACAAGCATGCGGTGAGGCCGAACCATGGCCCTTCAGCCTTCGACGTTTGGGGGACTTGAATCTGCTACATCTCTAGAATAATCAGTGAGACATAGTCAGAAAAATAGCCTGCTAACAGTTTCAGGAGAGTTCAATCTATCACCTCTCCTCCACGGATACAGCCTCTCCTATTATACCACCAGTCATGTTCGGCAATTCGTGCCGCGTCTTAGTTCTTCGCTCAGATGGGACGTCCAACCGGACGAATTCCCCCAAAGCTGCTGGGAGGGGCCCATTGCGTTGGCAGCGAAAGTGCTATGAGGGCGAGAATCGTTCGCTGTGATCCGAACGGCCTGATGTACTCATAATGAGAAGATCTGAAGAAAACAGATCAGAAACAACGGAGGAACTTCTCACCGAGAGTCATTATCTTATATTGTACCCACCGTTGCTCCAGTTCCCGAACTGTTAGGTCTTTGTAAGAAAGTTGCCAAGCGCTTGGCGTTTGGACAGACTCGAGGCTAATGTAAGCATAGTCTTATCCCGCTGTTCCAACGGATGGAGCAATTATAGCTGGATACCTGCTATGGCACATACCAGCTGCGATGGAATAGACGGATGTACCAACGGCAGCAGGCAGATTCTCGCACAGCCCTGGGCTCGCCATTGAAAGAACGCCAAAATGTGCCCTGGCTGAGTTACGAGAGCCCAGTAGCCCTACAGACCTCGCTCGGCCAACACTAGCAATCTGAGATAAGCGCTAACATGCTACATCGACCTGCTGCAATAGTAAGAATCATCCGGGATATTGTGGGAGGCCTTCAATCCAAGCGATCTTGACCCATTGTCTCTTCTCCCATTGCAGAATTGAAGGTCGCACAGAAACAGGCGCTGCCTTGGCTGGAGACTTGAAGCAGCCCTTCCGGAAGATCGTCTCGCCTCATAGGACTGCGATGAATCTGCTGCGTCAATTTACTAAGAAAAGGATCTGAGGCTGTCTGTGGGACTCGTTTCCAATGGTCCATCCGTAATTTGCGTCAAACTAGGTGTCTGGAAGGTATAATAATACACCTCACATCGTCCGTACACCAGAGTCGCCTTTCCCAGTCTCAGTCCATCGTGGTGATCCCGGAGAGCAGGTCTTCATTGCTGTATCCAATCCACCATGTTGTCTCGCTTTCCACCTGTTGCTTCGGCCGTGGCAGGTCTTTCTGTTCTTGCCTTGACTGCTACCGCTACTGCAGTACCCAGGCAGGATGCCGGAACATCGCCCTGTGCCCTTGTGAAAAGTCAGATTGAGTCAGCGTCGAATAATGACGGTATGAAATCCCTACCTATCCCTTTGACAGCCCAATAAATCAATTCCCCTAACTGGAAATGTTCTCTCTCAGCGTCTTCTCCTGTCGTGATACCTGGCCAGCTGGCGCAGGATTGCCTCCTGTCCATGCCATTCAACTCCACATTGGCCGTTGACTTTCTCCACGAAATTTGGAAGTACTTTGAGTTCCAGTCGACCCTCGAGCTTCTGAAAGATCCCCCACCCCAATATAATGCCGACCCGGTAGACTTCGTCGGGTGGTTCGAGAGCATCGGTGACCGGGCTTCGAAGGGTCAATTCGACAGCCAGTATGAATTCGATCTAGAACTTACCCACCTTGTCCGGTCAGCGAACGATGGCCACTTTTATATTCAACCGTGCTCGACAGCGATATTCTCTTTCACTGTGCCGGGTGCTTTGGTTTCGGTTTCGGATGATGGGACGACTATTCCCAAGATTTGGTTGCTCGGTATGTTGTCTCTCGGGCATGTTCAAACTATTGACGATGATGGTTCAGATTGCTGACCCCTTGGTTGAATATACTAGATGATCTTGTGCAAAAGGATTCGGGTGCCAAAGTATCTGCTGTAGCAAAGATTAATGGCCAGAATGCATCTGATTTCGTGCAGACACTTGCCCTGCTCCAGTCAAACCAGGACTATGATGCGCAGTATGGCATTCCTTTCGACGATTTTTTTAATTCATTTTTTCCCCACCAAGGCAGCAGGACTGACAGATTGATGCTCCATGAGCATAGGTACAATTCGATGTTTTACTCTCCTGCAAAGTATATTTTGCCCATGGATAAATTCAGCGACTCGTGGTCCACGCTTGGATATTGGCCCAATGCGTCCTCCTTCCAGTTTACGTTTGAGAATGGCTCACAGTGGCGGACAGATACTTTTGCCAAAGTCTCCGGGTCTAAGTTCTCGGCCACCGATGGTGATGAACTATTTGAACTCGTCTGCGTTAATCACGCCGCCTCCGGCGACGACTCTGAAGATACATCCGATGATTCATCTGTTATCGCAACAGAAGCCAGCGAAGGCCCCGCTGGATATCCTGAACCGGTCGTTCGAGATCCTTATAACTTTCTTGTGGGTTATTATCTTTCGGGTCCCGGTCTGGACGATGTTGCCGTTATGCAGATTCCCACCTTTGAGGTCGTGGGAGGCCTTGCCTATGGAGATGGAGCTCTACCTCTCGATGAGCCTGCGACTTTCGCCCAGAGTGCAGTTGACTTTATCAGGAATGCCACTCTCGATGGAAAGACGAAGATGGTCATCGACGTGTCTGCTAACGGTGGTGGTGATGTCCTGTCCGGCTATGATCTGTTCCATATCTTCTTCCCACAGACTCCTCTCTACTCTGCCACTCGCTTCCGTTCACACGACGCCATAAATTACATGGGACAAGCGCTGGCAACAGTGAATGAAAGCCAGCCTGAATTGTTCCAATTGAACATTGCCCTCGGTTCCCAGGTCAAGCCTGACCAGAAAACCCACTTCGCCACCTGGGAGGACATGTACGGACCATATCTGCTTCATGAAATCCCCTCCTCCGCATTGTATGCCACCTTCGACTTCAACTTGGTATCAGACGCTAATGAGCCCGTTGTCGGCTACGGCGGTGTCCCCCTTCCCTTTTCAAAGCCACCGTTTGCTGCCGAGGATATTGTGATCCTCACCGACGGATTCTGTGCCTCCACATGCACCGTATTCGTCGAGCTCATGAAGACGCAAGGTGTCCGATCCATTGCCTTTGGCGGCCAGCCGGAACTCGGCCCCATGCAGGCAATTGGTGGCGTCAAGGGAGGACAGTCCATTAGCCAGGGCTACATCGTCGAGATGACCGAAAGTGCATTTGAGATCATTGAGAACAGCTCCACCCCAATCCTTTCCGACAGTGACCTGGAACACTTCAAGTCTATCGCCCCAATCCCACCAACAGAATTCCCATTGAAGTTCTACGGTATGGGAGTCAATTTCCGCAGTGCCTTCCGCGAAGAAGATACCACCCTCCCTCTGCAATTTATCTATGAGGCGGCCGAGTTCCGTCGGTTCTACACGGCGGACAACATCCTAAAGCCCGAAACGACCTGGATCGACGCAGCCAATGTCGCTTTCAACGATGGCTTGCCTGTTCCCGGGTCCACGGATGGACCGGGCAGCTTGACTGACGTTGTAGCCAATTCGCGGAAACACAAGGGCCATTATCATAACGCTACCCACACCGGCAGTGCAGCATCTGGGCCTTCTGGGGGCCTAGAGAAATATTCTCTCTCTTTTATTGCTGGTCTTGCTGCTATCGTCACCTTCCTGTTGTAAAATAATGTTAGGAGCATACCTATGGAGTAGGGATAGTCTTTGGCCATTTATGCCATATTTTCATTTTATTTTTGATTATCTTGCCATGTTAAATTCTCTTGAATGTTTCCTACGCTGGTTAACTATGTATATATTACCATTGATGGCTTTTGTAATGCATCATAGTTCAACTTGAACATTGAAATGAGCATCAGAATTGGTTTAACTGAGGCAGCAGCAGATCCTGCTCTCCTACCAACACCGAATACCAATAACTGCCAACAAATATCTACATAAAATATCATACATATGAGCACTTGACTTAATATGACTCGCGGAGGACTCTTCACAGCAAATTCGTATAATATGCCATAGCCGATATGGCAATATCGTGGTTATGAGAATAGTGGTGACAGCAACAATGGCCACAGAAACAACACAGACGTAGCTGCTGTCTTTTTGCTGGCAAAGAAGAGCGACACTGGTGGGAAAGTGTACGGCAGATCTTATAATCAATAATAACTGCCATAGAGCCATAGGACGCATTTTTGGATGATGAGAAGGCGTTTTGATCCCCCCTCCAACCCCTGCATGCATGCAGCGGCAGACTTGGAGGAATCATCCTGAGTTAACTCTTCATAACCAGTTGACTGCTGACAAGAAAATATTAATGAATAGCCTCTCAAAAAATTTCAGCACTTACTCAAGGAACCTGCTAATCTAATTATCCTGGTTGTACCTCGTACTCAACACAAGATGGCAGAGTACACGCTCTACTCCTCCCCCTTCTCCTTCTACTCTATGATGGCCCGCCACACTATCCAACTCGGGCCCATAACGCGTGACGCGCGGCCTCCCCAGAAGATCACACTTAGCTTTGTCAACCACCGCAAGAACGAGAATCTAAAGGAGCATTACCTCCTCACGGTGAACCCCAACGGCCAGATTCCTGCGATGACTGGCAATGTCCTCGAGCAGCCACTTACCGATAGTCTCTCCATCTCACTATACCTGGCTGAGAAGCACTACCCAGCCATGCTGCCAGCAGAACATGCCACTATCATCAGGGACCTCCTTGAGAGGATCCATGCCATCCATGGCCCATCATACAGCAACAAGAACCCAACAGCAGAGATGAAGCAGCATAACCCTTCACCTGTGGAGGATATCCTCAGGAAGAATGGCCTCAGCCCGGAATACCGCACGGCTCTTGAGGCCAAGCTCAGATTGTATGTCACCCTTCTTCTCCTGTTTCCTCTGTCCTTCACTGCCAGTACTGAATCTCTCTCGATCATGTAGCCACAACAAGAACTACGGCGTAGCTTTCCGGCCAGCCGTTGTGGCCAAAGCCCACACCGACCTGAAGACCATCTTTGAAGAGATCATAGAGCACCGCAGGCAAAGCGGTGCTTCCGACACCGCGGCCGAATGGACCTTTGGCACCCAGGTGGGCCCCACTGTGCTTGACAGCCATCTCCTTCCGCTTGTGCTGCGCTGCATTGATGCGGGCAATGCTGAACTTGTTCCCCCGGAGCTGCAGCGCTGGGCTGGGGTTAAGGTAAAAAGCCCTGCGTGGCAAAAGGTTATGCATGGCAGGCCGACAGTGTGGAACCCTTCGATGGGTCCCATTGAGGATATGCAGGAGATGATGACCCTGTGAGACTCGTGACTAGGTAGCCAGGCTCATCTTATTGAAGAGCAAATTGAGTAAACATGGAGATATTCATGAGGCTCCCTGCTATGCTATGTCCCACATTTCAGCAAGATTCTTGATCGACTGAGATGCAGCCATATGTTTTTTTTTTTTTTTTTTTTTTTTTTTTTTTTTTTTTTTTTTTTTTTTTTTTTTTTTTTTTGGCCTACAAGCAGCATATATGAAATCATGTGCTTTACATTGGTGTAAATCCTCGAGTCCAAGCAATGCCCATCCTTTATGTGAAATCTTTCCTTGCTGGTCTTACTGCTATCATCGGCCTTTTGTAAATGCCGTTTAGCAGCTTTCTACTTGTATATTCAAAAATCTTCCTGCTTCGGTTTTGTATACAAGGCCAGCATCATCAATTAGTCTCGTGTTGGTTCGCTGCCCAGCAGCCTTTCTGCGCCTCTCTCCAGAATTCCAAATCCTCAGGCTCATTGACCCCCATCGGTTCCGGGAAAAACAAGGGAGCCAGAGACATGCCAACTCCGGGACACTGTCCCTCTGCCATCATCAGCACTTGTGACTTGTGCGACACTTGGTGCAGAGAGCGGGGTTCTCATTTCTCCGGTATGGACTCCAAGAGTGCTTGGGTATCGAGAAGATCCTGCCGCAATGACATTTCGGATCCTTCCTAAAGCCCCGATTCTGAAGATGTCTATATATCGTTTATTGTTGTTTTCATGGTTCAGCACAATTTCCCAAATGAGAGAAAAACTGACGAACAGGGACAGGATAGTCACACCATGTCTCAATTTCTAACCCGGAAGATGTAACGAGCAGTGCAATCCAAACAACTGCCAAAACAGCTATTGTCTGCTTGGTGAAGTGAGAGACTGCCTCCAGATTCAGCCCGACGCCATTTTCCCGAGAATCAACAGGGCATGACGACTGCCATTTCCTCGGGTGAGAATAAATGACCTTCCTCCCTTTTAGGAACAGGTCCATTCCCTTATTTCCACTGGGCAGGGAGTCTTGAAGCTGAGAAAGAAATTCCCACAGACGGTGATCAGGAACATGCCCCATACCTAAAGCCCCATTCACCGTCAAGCATCCATGGTGTGCCAGCAATCACCAATTGTACTATAATAATGGCTAACCCTGAGAACCAGATGCAGTTGAGGCTCGGAATACCATGCACATGCCTTAGTTCTTCTGCTGCTTCGTATATGGAAATGCGGTCCTTGAAACTCTGAAACTGGGGGTGGTCTGGAGACAGCGACCCTTGAGCACCGTCATGGCGAGCATCGACTTCAGCTGAAACAAACTGATAATGTGACGAGCTAACTGCTGGGTAGGATATGCTTTCAACCAGATTCTGGATGTACTCAAGGAATTGGACCTGAAATGAAATGTTACGTGGACGGCCTGTTTTTTTTTTTTTTTTTTTTTTTTCGAGCTTTCATACTCTTCCAAATATTATTCCCTCGACCAGGAAACAAAATTCGCATGGAAATGTCATGCAGGGCCTGATCGCTCTACTAAAGGAGCACCATATAGACCGAAGCTATATTGCCACAGCACTGTAGCACCAGGAAGGGCTTCATTCCGGAACTAATGAGAATTGTGGCGGAGTATGACGGTGGTATTCCAGGAATGACTGGTCTTTTGGAAGAACAAGCTGCTGAAAGAGTTTACCCTCTCCTCGAAGGTCTTGGGGATGACTATGCAGAACTCCTATACCTGTAGGATCTGGTCTGATGGAAGGAACGAAGGATGCCTCTATATTTATACGTGATAAGGTATTCTTCTACATTTCATCTGGGCTGAAATTCTTCCAGCCTCATGATCCAACACCCTTCATGCGGAAGCTCCAGTACGTGCAACAGAAAGCCGGTGTCTCAAATCTGTGAAGCGCAACGAATGCCCCTAGACAATGGAGCCTCTTGATGCATCCGTGGGTTTGTCGTGATCCTTTACTTCATCTGCTGAGTGAGTGGAAGTGCATTATAAAAACAAAAAAAAAAAAAAAAAAACCCTCGTGCGGTTGCATGTACAGTTCTAGGGCAATTTATTTGGCATTGTGTTCTGCATTTTCTGCATCTCCCGTGTGTCTCTACTTGAGAGGGAGAAGAGTTTGTGATCATGATCCCAGTCTGCTATAAATTTCTTCCATTTCTGTTCTTCTTCGCGAAAGAATAACCATTATGCATGGCATATTGCAACTGATTGCCACAGTGACAACGCTTCCGGTATATAAAATGTCTACAGATGCATACCAATTCAGAAATCATGCATAAAATAAGGTATGCCGCTAGGACTCACAGGCTCTCTCAAGCCTAGAAAGAGTCCAGATCCTTCTTGCTACAATGTAGCTATTCCTCTGGAAATGTCTGCTGTCTGCTTCATCTCGTTTCACTCCTTCCGTCACGCCCAATAATTTCTAACCGCTGTGTATTCTATATAGGGACGGTTACGAATCCTCCCCTGATAACTGTCAGGGTGTTCTCATTGCTTTCGTTCCTTCATTTGCTCCTAATTCACTAATGAATGCAGGCGCCCGATCCGTGCGATGCGTCGTCCGGGATTTGACACATGCAGGTCAGTTCATCTAGTGGCCTGAATCTCAAATGAAGGGCAAAGAGTTGGGCGGCAAAACCGTCTCCGGATCGAGTCTGTCCTGTATTCAAATGCCTTTTGCAGCATGCATTTCGTGGAACAACTGTGCTGAAGTTTCTGTGACGGGGCTCATTTCTCATGCTACCAGTGCGACAGTTGATTTGTTACTGTACAGCAATATCACCGCGATACTACTGCTTTGGGATGCAATGCAGCCAGTCCCTGTGCAGAACAAGCTGGCAGCAGGGTTCTACAAGGATAGATATCCTTGAAAGGGGCCTAGCTGTTTCAGACTGAAGCGACTGAGGTATACGTGTGCATTATAACGAATCCCATGTATTTATGGCCGTCGCGAATATCCCTGCATTCTTCGACCCCCCAAAATCATTCCTTTTAAAACTAAGTGCTGGCCAACTCAGCATTCTTCTGCTCTTTTAATTTCCTTCCTTTAATCTGTCATTCAATATTATTTGTTATGAAGTTCATTACCGGCATCTTTGCAGCCTCCCTGCTAGCAGGCAGCGCCCTGGCGGCGCCTAGAGGAAGTCAGGCCCAGCGCATCAAGACTCGCATGCCCAGCTTCTCCCATCTTACCCACGGTATAGAGAAGACGGGGGTCAACGAGTTTAAGAACCTTACTCACATCAACTCCAGCCAAGCAGAATACAGCAACAACTGGAGCGGAGCCGTTCTAGAGGAACCGCCATCTTCTCAAGCAACCTTCACGGCCGTATCTGCCACTTTCACTGTTCCCAAGCCTACGGCTGGAGTGGCCTTGGGTGGCAGTGAGGGCTATCAAGCTGCGTCCGCCTGGATTGGTATCGACGGGGATACATCCAGCAATGCCATCCTGCAAACGGGCGTGGATTTCATCCTGCAGAACGGTCAAGCGTCGTATCAAGCGTGGTACGAATGGCTACCAAATACAGCAGTTAACTTTGATCTCGACATCAACGCCGGCGATGTCATCGTCGCCTATGTACGAACATCGGATAACAGTCACGGCATCGCAGTCATCGAGAACCATACTTCTGGGAAAAACGCATCGAAGACGCTCAGTGCCCCGAGTGCCTCTGCGACCTTACAGGGTGTCAATGCGGAGTGGATCGTCGAGGACTTCGAAATGAGCGGCGGTCTTGTCCCGATGGTTGACTTTGGGAAGGTTACGTTCACCGGTGCTGTTGCTGAGACGAGTCAGGGGGCTGTTGGTCTGGATGGTGCTCATATCCTCGACATCAGACAGGATGGACTGGTTTTGACGGATGCGGATATCCTGAGCAGTTCAGAGGTTGTGGTTACGTATACTGGTGGCTCCGGCACGGGTGGTTTTCCTCCCTCCCGTGGAAGTGGATCTGGGGACAATGGTTCTGGGGAGGGTCTAAGCGGTCCATTAGATCCATTTGGCTTTGGTGATATTCCTGTTGTGGTTACCATCGCTGATGGCACCGGGGATGTGTCAATAGACGAATCGTTTGTTTGAAGGCGGTCGCTGGTTGATGCATGTCATAAATAGCATATATTAGCCTACGATATCCATGGAGGTAGATAATCCGGCTACCAGTAAATATGTTCAATCCCATCATGATTTCCCCGACGACTCCATTAAAGGAAGACAGCAGCTACAGCAATGACTTCGGTCCGCGGAACTTCCGCAACGGCACCTCCCCCCAATTATTAACATACACAAAGCCAGGCCTCTTCAAGCCCCCTGCCAATCCAAGCCTCTGAGGCTGGACTGCATTGGTATCCCGGAGAGGCTGTTGACCCGGCATCGGAGCCAAATGCCCCTTGGACCACCTCAGCAGAGCCCGCCGGATCTCGCTCATTCGAAAAGGCTTGCGCAGAAAATCGTCAAAGTGGCTCCCAGCGTACCAGTCCCTGGGCAGTTGTGCCAGAGAAGACACGCCCAAGCCGATGATTGGGGTGCAGTGGAGGACCGGGTCCATGGCGAAGGGGGGCTGCGTGCGCAGGATCTGGGTTGCGTTGATGCCATCTAGGACTGGCATGTTTGTCTGGTTTTACCTAGCAGTTAGCATTGTACACTGGTTCATTCTGTCGATAGGTGGCTCTCGGGGCACAAGACATACATCCATGAAGATTATGTCTGGCTTAGGCGAGCGTGGATCCGCGAGGTAACCAGGGCTTCCTGGCCATTCCCGAGAAAAGTTGCTTGGTAGCCAAATTTCGCGAGGACTTTTAGCATTACTTTTTGGGATATTTCGCTGGTTGTGGTTGTTATTGTTGTCAGTATGGACGAAGATGGAGATATATACAGAGTACACGATGGCAGACATACCTATCCTCGACTACCAGAGCATGCATTCTGGATATGCGCTGTGAATTTGAGATCGTGAGTTTGACAGAATGAGAATGGGGAGGGGATTCTCAGCAATTCAATGTAGCATCGTCACCAGACAGTATAGCCTGGAAGTTTGCCTAAAGTTTAACAATCAGCCTTGTCATTCTTCTGTAGTTACACCCAGTTACTTGCACTTGATATCCGATTAAGCAATCCCCACTCTGACGCCATTATCCCGCACACTTAAAGACCCCAAACCCACGGTGAACATGAGGAAACGGTTGACACGTATATCATGGACAACCTCCCCCTCCTCTTCCTAGACGGCGGCCTAGGAACAACCCTCGAAGCACCCCCGTACAACGTCCGCTTCACCTCCGAGACCCCCCTCTGGTCCTCACATCTCCTGCTCACAGACCCAAACACCCTCCGCGATGTCCACCGCGCCTTTGTCGACGCGGGCGCCGACATCGTCCTCACGGCCACCTACCAAACAAGCATAGAGGGCTTCATCCACACCGATCCCAAGTACACCCGCGAAGATGCCGTGAGGTACATGCGCTCCGCTATCCCGCTAGCGCGGGGCGCATTCTCCCCCAGCCGCGCCCACTCTCGTCCACTGGACGCAGGCAAGGTGGCGCTCGGCAAGGTGGCGCTCTCGCTAGGCCCGTACGGCGCAACCATGACGCCCGTCTCGACAGAATACACGGGTTTGTATTCGGCGGAGATGGATTCCGAGGATGCCCTGCGGAAATGGCATGCGGATCGGCTACGGCTGTTTACTGAAGACGATGCTTCCTGGGACGGGATTGTATATGTCGCCTTTGAAACGGTTAAGAGGGCTGATGAGGTTCGCGCGATTCGTGGAGCTGTACGAGACGTTATATCCGGAACGACCAGGAAGCCATGGTGGATATGCGGCGTTTTTCCGAGCGAGGAGGTCGATGAGAACGAAGTCCGGCAATGGGTGCGGGCAGCGCTGGGTCCGGCACGGGATCGGGATCAGAATCGGAATGATAATGCTTGTCTACCGCGGCCTTGGGGGATTGGATTGAACTGTACGCGGATCGGGAATGTGGAGCACATCGTCCGGGTGATGGAGGATGAGCTGGCTCTGCTTATTCGGGAGGATGGCTTTACGGATGAATGGGCAGCGACGCGGTCTGGTCGGCCATGGCTGGTTCTGTACCCTGATGGGACGAGAGGGGAGAGATATGATCCCGCTACGAAGCAGTGGGTGAAGACGGAGGGAGAGGAGCCTGTGCAGCCTTGGGAGGATATGTTCTGCGAGGTCGTTGAAGGGATCAAGAGACGGCAAAATGCTTGGGAAGGGCTGGTCCTTGGTGGCTGTTGTCGGACGGGGCCCAGGGAAATCGCTGCATTGGCAAGAAAAGTTGGTGTGAAATGATTCTTCAGGTACACAAAAGATAGATACACGCTATATGCCCTTGGCTCCATCCTTGGGAATCCTGCCACTCCATCTGCTCTTCTTGATCGTCGTTACTCTGAGTAACTTACTAAATGCCACCCAAGTGCCATGGCAATCCATTTCACTCAATAGATGCTGTCTACCGTGTATTAACATACCGACATCTGACTGGATGGTGGGACAGGGGGGAAATGAAGACTCGTCCATTTCATCCCAGAGCCTCTCAGTGGCGTGGATATCCTCTTTGGCAATGATTGAGTACGGACTCTCGTTAGGTAGATCTTTTTTTCTGTGCCCATTCTCACAAACTGGAAAGGGGTAGATGCTAACAGCCATCATAAGAATATCCATCCATAAGAGTGCTGAAATCTCCTGATAGACGCGAAATGGAACAGCTTGTTCATCGTCACCTTCAGAAGCAAAATAGAAGTGTGCTCCGATCAAGAATCCTAACGTATGGGATTTCGGATAAGGATTGAACATCAATCTAGTCTGTACTGTTGGTAGATGAGCTGGCAGGAAACTGCAAAATACGGGGAATTTTAACAATTCCTCACGACTCCATTGGTGATGCATGGACGGCTGCCGGGGACATGAGAGCAGACAGATAAGCGGTACTCATATCAGAACCATGGGAGAAAGATAAAATCCCTTGCAATTGTAATGATGTGAAGCGCTGATTGTCCACCCAGAGGCGAAAGAACCCACAGGAATAAACAGAGGCCCAAAAGATTGAATTCCCTAAGAGCAATATGCATCGAGGTGGTCCCAAGCACAGTGGAGCTCAATGCATCTCGCTCTAGTCTCCATGTCGCTGTAGCTCGAGCTAGGCGTCCAACAATAGCAGCGAAGACCAGACGGAAAGCAGTGACGGCCTTTATAGAACAGTGAGCTTCCTGTGGGACGCAACGTAATACTCAAAATCGCAACCTGCCACTTTCATTCCCGTTTCGAGGCGGTTCCATTCATCATCTACGATAAACAAGAAAGTGCTAGCAGCAGCAGGACGATGAAGGGAACCGAAGTAGCAATGGCCAGGGAATCTGTAACGAGACCCAGAATTCTTGACAGTGATGATTTCTTAACATGTCTCGGTTCATTGGGCCATTGAAGAACTGATCTGACAGAGTCGGTGGTGCACAATCCATGCTCAGAACTATTGGAACGAAAATAAGATAGTTGGAAGGGCTGTTGCAAATGCCAATTATGGGATCAATCATTTCAACGAAAAATAGGAAAGCTGGAAGAACAGAACCTTTCAGCAAAGCGACTCCAATAATACCATTCATAGGCGAAACTCGAGGTGTCGCATTTGGCGCCGGCCCTTCATCGATCGACTCTTCAACGCCCATGCCGAGTGGCTGTCTTCGGTGCTACAACGATAGCTGTAATTTGACAGAGCTGATAGCTAACTGACTGGTGCAAAACGATACACCTCGTTTCTGCAGTTTCTCTAGCAGCGGAGTTGGTTAAAAATAGACATCCATGTTGAGTTAGCTCTCCTGAAGAGCCATCGGAACTGTTACCCACAACAGCTATGCCACACAGGCCTGGATCAATCTCCTCAGTCACACTGGGAGTAAAGCTGGCTGCTGATCTGCTCGTTTATCTGCAGAAGTGTGGAAGCAAGACAATGCTCTGAGGGGTCCTGTCCCCTGTCCACGACACTGATGAGGCGAACTCTCTCCATGTTAATTAGTCCGCATGAGATGAAACAGTGGAAGCACGTCCCATTCCACTGATGGAATATAATGACATTCTTCTCAGGTATGGACAATAGCCCAAAGCACTGCAGTATTGTCCCAGCTGGTTGCACCGTGGAACGCAGAATAATAATGCCGGACAGACTGGTGTCACATGTAGTGCACGTGACATTTCACAAGACGCGAACATTTTGTCTTCTGCTCTTCCTCTTCTCTCTTGTCCACTTTCTTCTTATCAGGATGTCTCGCTCGACCAGAGACAGGGAAGTGAGACGATGAATGCTGAGAAGAGAACAGAAAAACCCGGTTGGCATTGATGCCTCCATTGGCCAATTGCGGTACAACAACAACCAAGGTTATCGACGAGCTCCTCCGCCGCCATCCGGGCAGGTAAATCGCTAATGCGATCATGATCCATTCATTATTGTCTCTGCCCGCCTCTCATTCCACCCCGAGCAGTTCGACCTCGTCCATCATGCACCCGTCCTGACACGGTTGTTGGTGAATTCTTGTCTTATTCTCCTCGTGCGATGTACGGCTACCCTGACACATCCGGAGCCAGGCGAAGACCAGTGTCGCCTGCTTCATTCTCCGTCAATACGACTCCAAATGTGAGTCCCTATGGCCAAACGTCCGGAGTTGTTACCAGAGAACCACCCGGCCCGCCTTCTCCGTTGTCCAGAGGAGGGCCATCGGCTCCAGCTGATCAACAGCATTTGTCCAGAGCCACCACTGATAGCTATTTCCTTCGCCCTCCTATCAATGCCGGGCCATCGTCCGCGCCGCTACCTTCTCCCTACGACTTCCAGAGATCCGCGACAGACTTCCCTGCGGCGACAGTCTCTACCTCCGCATCCCATCCTCAACAGCAGCCCCAGTCGTCTGTCCAAAAGGCTTTCGCCGACGCTCGCCACTTCTTAGGAGGGTTGATTGAACACCCCACCGAGAGTACCAAACATTTCACCATTTTACGACATTCTCATGGCATCGTCTTCTACCGTGGCATCACCACGACGGTGACTATCTCCGTCTTTGCCGATGCGCCCTTACCGCCCGATCGTACCTACTGGCTGCAGGACAAGGGATTCACGGGCAAAACGGGCATGAAAGCCAAGGCTCTCATGCGGTTGAATGATGATTGGCTTGATCTGACCCCAACCCTGGCTCTGCGTCCTGACCAGGTGAATCCCAACGATGAACGAGCATGGCAGCGAGACCTCTCTAAATTCCGCAAAAAGGCGCCATCCCGAATCAGAGATAAGCACATCCTGCGCGAGACCGTCGTGGCACGTGTCCCCGCAGAAGCCGAAGATGGATATTATTCGATTCTGCTCTGCCATGGCCCAAAGAAGAAGGTCTTATGCACTAGCCCTACTTTTAGGATAATGTCTACTTCCATGGATCCTAGTTCCATTCGGGGTGCGAGTCTCAGTACCCTCCCCTTAGAACTAGGGGCGATGGCTATCGGCGGCTATGCTCAAACTCTCAGTGAAAGGGTGCTCAACCCGGTTACAAGCGTGGTACAGCCATACCTACCCGGAGTTATTACACAGACGGCAGCAGAAACGGCATACGCCGTGAAGGAGGATGCATTTGCCGATGCGAATGATCAATATGCTCAAGTTCGCGGTGATAGTGAAGTCGATATCCAGCAGGGTCCTCTCCCACCATACCCGCTAAATTTCCGTTCCTTGGCCGAAATGCCTGGTGACCATGAACATATGAGGATGCCAAGGATGACTCTTGTCAAGCCCCCGGAACAGACTCTTCGACGACTCCACGGCTACTATTTTGGCTGGGCTCGACTGGAGAACAGCACTTCCAAGCAACAGCCTCCAGGTCGATGGATTCAAGTAGTTCTCTCCGTGCTGAAGATTGATCTCTCTCAATTGGCTCGCGTTAGTATGTCTGATGCTCTGAAACGAGTTGCGACGCTGCGTTTCTTGGATGATGTGAACCTTCCAGGACAGGCAAAGGTCGAAGTGCGCATCCTAGGATTTATTCGCCCCGACTCACATTCTCCTGATGCCTCAGGCCCAAAACCGGTATCAGCAGAGGATCAAATGATGGCCGAGGCGACAGACGCTTCCATTGCCCTCAATGTTTTAAACCACCCAGCCTGGGGCCCGGATTCTCGGCCACAGAATACGTCCTTAACGGACCGGTATGGGAGTCTGCAACTACGTGGACAACAGTTCTTTGAACGAGTCCCATTGCACAAAGTGGGAATTCGCAAGCCTGGAGATGACCTGAAGGACAAACAGTTGACAGTTAATGGATTTTACATAAAGCGAGGGTAGTAGATGGCGTTGTCATCCTTGAGAATTTTGCGAAGCATAGAATTGGTATTGCCACTCATCTATAAGAGGGCATATTTTCTGTACGGTACATCTTGGAATGTTTCAGAATTGAACAAGGCTCTTCTTTCACCTTGCTTCTCTTTGCTGAAACCCCCATTCTCAGACCAGATTCTGCTATGCATATCTTATCTTTTGCCAAGAAGGGCCTTCGGACTATCCCCAATGGAAAGCTTCCTTGACCCTTACCCAACACGGCCATTGTACCTACAATCAACCGCCATGGCACATAGCGCAAATTCATCAACGCCATCATGTAAAATGGAAACTTGTGATTCAAGGCAGGCAGTCGTGTCCGCTCTCATGGTGTTATCCATCTATCTCCGTTACATGTCTACCAGAGTCCATCAAGGTAACATTGACAGTATCATTAATAACCCCCTTCTTATCTTGACTCTGCTCGGAATTTTCTTGCTGATGTGGTGGATCTTATCAGGCACACACGGAGAAAGCTCATCAAAGCTTCCAATGAGGCAGGTATCTATATCTGTCATTCCCCCGCAGGATCTGACGGACAGACTCTTGAGCCGTGTAGATAAGGTACATACTCTCGTCTCGTCTCTTTCTCGATATCCCATGGCTATCTTCATCCTATCAGCAGCTTGCCCTGGTCGCCTATCATTCATCTCATTGTCATCTTGCGCCATGCGCCATCTACGCTAAGGATGTCTACAGGGAGAACGATTCCAGAACAATATCAATTACACGAACCCGGTCGATTTCTGAGCTCTCCGGGTGGTAGGACATACTTCTTTGGGCATATTCAGCCGATTGCATCGTCGCTTGGGCCTTGGCATATAGTGATTTCGTAGATAACAGCCCCGTTGTCGGGCAATTCCAAGCGATAATTTCTTCTGAACTGATTGAATATCTTAAGTGCCAAGCTAAAAGACGAGGAGAATCGAAATTACTAAGTGGTCGATATAAAGGGATGCTCTGTATTTTCCAGTTCTCAGTTAGGATATCCACCCGCAGAGCTACGGTGCAAGATGAGAATTTCCCCGGCATGCCTCTCACTCCCATCCTGCCTGCTGCTTGTCAGCTTGGCGGTTGATGTGGTTGCTAGTCCAAACCCTCTACCCAAGTCCAGATGGGTACGCCAGGGTCGAGGGCGTAAGCCTTCCACGCATAACCTGCAGACCCGGGATGCGGAATGCGTCGAGAACAATGCCACCCATATTGCAGCTCCGTTTCAGAATGTCTGGGACGAACTATCCAATGTTGAGGCAGCCTCGGTTGTGCAGTGGCTCTTTCAACAGCCAGAGCTCAACCTCACAGTCAGTGACGATGCTGGCCCCTGGGACAACACCATCCAGCTGGTTGAGTTGATGCGACCCAACAAAACCGATGTCCTACAGTATCTCGATCATTCAGGCTCTCCTCCAGCCCGCTATGCCCACGCAGTCCTTGCTCATCGCGCTTCTGAGGAGCCGTATTATGCTGATATTCTCGTTGGCCCTTTGCCCGTGAAGAATGGTACAACTACCTGGGAACCACTGGAATATCCCTATACCCGCAAGACACTTGGTCGTGTTCGTACCCTTGATGCAGACACAGAACTCCAGCAGGAATGGCTTTACAATATAAGTGCCACCATCGCTGACATCACCCTGGATCTCTGGAACGGCACCGCACTCGGCCTTGACAATGACACACTGGATATCTGGGGCATTGACCCCTATTGGCAGGATGATGGTCATATCGTCCGATGGGATGGCTTCTGGGGTATCCCTACCGACAAGTTTGACATGGAAACTTTGCTTCCCCTTGGACTTTACATAAAATCGGATGTGACTGGTCGTGATCCATCGAAGTGGAAGCACGAAGGTTGGCTGTACAATGACATCTACTATGAGACCACTGAGGAATTTCGCAAGGCGTACTATTCTCCAGGCTTTGTCAAGCTGGGTGCCAACATCGAAGGTGCTTGGGGTCAGACGGGTCGTGAAGGCCCCGTGCTCCCTCAGGATGCCAATTATCCACCAGTGGCTGTTGCTCCATCTGGAGCACGATATTCGGTTGATACGGAGCGGAAATATGTCACCTGGATGGACTTCTCCTTCTACGTTAGTTTCTCACGGGATACAGGTGTGTCTTTATATGATATCCGGTATAAGGGACAGCGAGTTCTGTATGAACTGGGACTCCAAGAAGCCCTAGCACACTATGCAGGTAAGACAGTGCTACGTTTCCAAGCGGGAATAATTAAACGCATGCTTACGACTATTAGGAAATGACCCTGTACAGTCTGGGACGTCATATCTCGATAGCTATTACGGGTTTGGACCGTATGCATTTCAACTACTCAAGGGATATGATTGTCCTGCCTATGCTACGTATCTTAACAGTTCTTTCTATGTATCCGAGACGACGCATACGCATGTTGATAGCATTTGCCTTTTTGAGTTTGATGCCGACTTCCCCATTCAACGCCACAGTACCTCGTGGTATGTGAGCAATACCAAGAATGTGTATTTCACTCTACGGTCGGTTTCCACTGTAGGTAACTATGACTACATGTTCAGGTAAGAGGCCCTAATAGCGTTCTACTATTTGTCCGGAAGCTGACCACAGCCAGCTATTCCTTCTACCTGGACGGCTCCATTGGCGTCGAAGTACGCGCCTCTGGTTATATCCAGTCCGCCTACTTTGCTAATAACCATGATTATGGCTATCATATCCATGACTTCCTATCAGGATCAATGCATGATCACGTTCTGAACTTCAAGGCAGACTTTGACATTTTGGGGCTCAACAATACGGTGGAATTAATGAAGCAGGTGCCCGTCACCAAGAACTATCCATGGTCAGGAGGAAAAGCCCGCAACACGATGATGCTGAAACGTTCCATTGTCGAGAACGAGGATGTAGGACGTTTCAACTGGGATGCCAACTCGGCTACGCAGGTCCGTGTGGTAAACATGGACGAGCGCAACAAGTATGGCGAGTACCGGGGGTACCGTATTCTCCCGGCAACTGGCACAGTGCACCTTACTGTCAAGGACTCGAGCAATCTCGTGAATGCCGCGCAATGGGCCGGATATGATGTTCAGGTGACCAAACAACATGACTACGAACCCCGAGCGGCCCATTCGTACAACACGCAGGATGTCTTCGACCCACCCATCAACTTTAACGAATTCTTCAACAGCGAAAACATCACGCAGACTGACCTCGTCCTGTGGCTCAACCTGGGAATGCATCACATTCCTCACACAGGCGATCTCCCCAACACTGTGTTCACGACGGCACACTCAGGCGTGCAGTTTATGCCACTTAATTATCTCCTCGGTGATCCCAGTCGCCAGAGCAGTAACCAAGTGCGCATCGACTACAGTGATGGCAACGTCACTGCCGTGGATCTGTTTGGACAGCATGCAGGGAGCTGCGATCTTGATTTCACCCCTGGTACGGCGGATCTGTGGAACTATCACGGAGATGTGGTTGTGCGAAAGTTCCCTTATGACCCGAATGATCCGTTTTATGAAACGGACAGCATTTTTTGAGGGAGGCCTGTATTTTCCTGGAGCATAGTTGCTTGGGCGCTGAGCAATCGTCTTTGTTCTAGAGGCTATAATTAGGAATCTGGATGAATAACATATTAATCAGCCAGGCTTTCCACGTCCACCTTGGAGTGTTCCGTAGAATGTCTCTCGGCTCTAGACCTGTTCTTAGATGGTTTAATAATATCCTTCATAGTGAGTCCGTAATAGTATCGAGACAACCACAGGTAGCTAGGGCTCCTGTCAGCCCTAGTCCCCAGGACTTCTTCCACACGTGACCACACAGACAAGCTTCTCCGGGATGGAAATGCAACGCTGACTCTACTAAGCAAGAATCTCTAGAGGACGGCTCTGAGTCCCGTCTTTCACGTTCAGCCGAAATAACGCCGGCTCGCACACAGCTGTGGGCCTATACATACAGTACTCGGACCGTTTGGGTTCCACGGCCCACAATCAGAGAATTGAGCAATTTTGCAGCAGTCGGACGAAAACAAGTTCCAATAGCACCACCCATGGTCTGGAGACAGACGGCTGACTATTCTGATGGCTAGGTTGCAGACTGGGGCGCGCCCTGCTGTCCAGTTACAACTTACCATCGACGATCGTCTTTTCTGGAACATCGCATATGCGGGTTCGAAGGGCGCTACATGATGGCTACTACTCTGCTGTTGCACCGGGGAACCACCGCAGTGCAACAGTAATCCGTAAGTGTCCAGAGTCGCAGTCTTGGCCTCGACGCGAGGCCCTGGTCTAATCGGCATGCGGATCCCAACCCATCGGGGAAGGAGCATCGCCACGGATCGGTTCAGGATTATGTGACTTGTACGGCAAGTCTTTGGGTGATCGGCTTGTTGGATGCAATCAGAATGCCGACCGTGGGCGGGTGCACCGGAACCCTGGCCCTGCACCAGTTTTATTATGAGTGACGACTGAAGGAAGAATAACGAGTGTTTTAGGAGAGTGGATTCGTCCTGCAACAACGTGAATTTCCCATGGGTTGCTATATGGAGTACAAGGTGCGTGGTACACAGTGCAGCATAGGCATCTGGAGCCTTCGCTGAGAATGGGCACTATGCTGTACAGGATGTGAAGGACTCTTTCGTCAAATCTTTCTTGCTATCCGTGAGAGTCCGCGAAAAAGCCGAAATAAGATGGATAGTGCGTCTTATCCATTTATGAACACATCTTGGCGGAATGATTCTCGGGCTTCCGTGTGGTGATTGATGGCCGCGATCTGAACATAGATGGATGCATATGATGATGATGACCTCTCCGCATTTCCCCATGGATCCCCTATGATATCTCCGTGCTGTCATGTCTTTACCGGTCAACGAATTTGGGAATCCTTCCCCCTTCTCCAGGTAGGGGAGACAACGCAACCGGGGCTCCCCACCACTCCATGTCGATCGGAATTTCGGAATTTCTGTTACGGGCCGACTGGGGATGCCGGGGTTTAGGACGCTGACTACTCGTGTGGAGTGGCGTTCGCAGTCAGCAGTCCCCAAGCAAAGTTTGATTTGCGTGGTGTACCGAGGGCTCCCATTATGGTCTGCCTATCATCCCTGCGCCCTCTTTGTCTTTGTCTGGAGTTGTCCTGCGGAACCATGAATTGCTTGGTCATGGAAACAAGCAGGATTGGCTCGTCCGCCCTCAATTTGTGGGCGTGGGTGGCGAGATTCTCCGCATACAGGGAATTCTTCTGGAATTCTTGTCGCGACTGGCACTTGTCGCTGTCCAGGACGATCACTGCTGCTTTGTCACTGGTTGCAGCCCGTCTCGCAGGACAGTAAGATTCTTCCTGTCCGCTCGGCATCGTTTGCCATAAGAAGGCTATGTCTTCTTCCCGGGATCCTGTCTGCATCTTTCTCCGCTCCTGCTGTCTATCTGGGAGACCTCCCATTCTTCTCTTCTACAGAAGTTTCCTCTCCTCCTCTTCCTCCTCTTCTCCATCGGCTCGCTAGTCATTTGCAACGTAACCGGTCACCATGGCCGAAAACTTTCCCAATTACCCTTCTTCCGGGGAACATGCCGATAATAGCTACTCATCACAGAAGCCGATACCCGACACCGTCGGGCCCGCTGGCACTGTCAACACTCGCGTCCCACTCTTGACACTACGCTCCGTGATCATGGGCGCCTTCGTTTCTATAGGAGGTTTTCTCTTCGGGTACGACACGGGTCAGATCTCGGGCTTCCAGGACATGTCTAATTACCTGGAACGCTACGGGCAAGTGGACTCGCACGGCACTTGGATGTTCTCGAATGTCCGCGCTGGCCTGATCGTCGGTCTGCTGTCGATTGGAACCCTCGTCGGTGCTCTTGTAGCTGCGCCGATTGCTGACCGCATCGGACGCAAGTGGTCCATCAGCATCTGGTCTGCTATTCTCATCGTTGGTGTAATCGTACAGATCACATCCCCGAATCGCCATTGGTGGCAGATGGTTGTAGGCCGTTGGGTCACTGGTCTAGGTGTTGGTGGATGCTCTCTCGTTGTCCCGATGTATCAGGGAGAGAGTGCGCCTCGGCAGGTCCGTGGTGCCTTGATCTGGTAAGTCGACACCGACTATACTCACTAACTCTCTGGACGGTGCTCACAATTCAATCAGTTGCTACCAGCTCTTCATTACCATGGGTATCTTTGTCGCATATCTGATCAACCTTGGCACAAATCATCTAGATGGTACTGCCCAGTGGAGAATCACTCTTGGTCTCACCGTAGTCTTTGCTCTCTTCCTAGGAGGTGGCATCGCTTTCTTCCCCGAGACTCCGCGGTATCAGTACCGCATGGGCCAAGTCGATTCGGCCCGTGCCACAATGGCCAAGTTCTATGGCGTGCCTGAGAACCACGTGCGGATCCTCGAAGAGTTGGAAGAGATCCAAGATCAAATAGCCAAGGAGACCGAGGATCAAGCATGGCACGAGATCTTCACAGCCCCCGCTATGGGATACCGCCTCGTCCTTGGGATGGTCCTGCAAGCCTTGCAACAGCTTACTGGCGCCAACTACTACTTCTACTTCGGTACGACAATATTCCAGGGTGCGGGCATTGACAACTCTTTTGCCACTCAGTGTATCCTTGGTGCCGTCAATTTCGGTTGCACTTTTGGCGGATTGTATGCCATTGAGAACTTTGGACGTCGGAAGTCCCTCATCACCGGCGGCATTCTCATGTTTATTTTCTTCATCATCTTCGCTACCGTCGGTCATTTTTCCTTGGACTATAACCACCCTAAGAACACGCCCAATTCGGGAAAGGGGATGATTGTTGTCGCTTGTCTTTTCATTGCGTCGTACGCCACTACCTGGGGCCCAATGGTTTGTTCCTCCTCTTCACCCCTTTTGTTATTGATTTTATTGCTAACTTCTGAATTAATAGATCTGGGCCCTCATCGCCGAAATTTATCCTATGAAATACCGCGCAAGGGGCATGGCTCTTGCTACGGCATCGAACTGGCTTTGGAATTTCTTGATCGGTTTCTTTACCCCATTCATTAGATCGGCCATCGATTTCAGATATGGTTATGTCTTCGCCGGGTGCCTGTTCCTTGCTGTCCTCGTGGTATACTTCTGTGTCATTGAGACCAAGGGACGTACATTGGAAGAGATTGATTTCATGTACTCCAACAAGGTTCTGGCGTGGAAGAGCAGCAAGTATGAGCTTCCCCCCGCGAATATCTGGGGACATACTCAGGAGTCTGGGCATGAGGAATCGTACGAGGATAAGGGAGCTTACCATGCTGAGCAGGCGTAAGAGCTGATTTGTATATGTGCTTCATTTAATACCTCATGTGTACTGTTGAATATAGATCTTTTTCTCAACGAGACTCGGTACATTACAACATCCACTCGATAAACTCCTACTCAATCATTGACGGAGGAACAAATACATCCTGCGGCAGCTTCGACCACCGACTTACCTGCACCCTCCCATCCTTCATCACAGCCAACAGGTTCGTCTCCGGGCTATCAAAAACAGTCACATCCTCCAAGGGATTTCTCGTAAGAATCAACAAATCCGCCGTAAATCCCTCCTTAACCAGTCCCAGTTTATCATTCTGCCTCAACCACCGTGCCGGATTAACCGTCGCACTCTGCAGGATCGCTAACGGCGACAGAACCTGCGATCGTAGCGCGAACTCCTTCGTCTGTGCGATTCCTAAGGGACCCAGTAGATCCGAACCATAGCACATAGTCACACCAGCTTTGGATGCAATCTGCAACGACTTCAGGCCCGCCCTCAATACAGCCTCATTCTTACTCGCGTTCTCGGGCGGCAGAAATCCTCCCCAGCGCGGATTCGCCATTTCCGAGTACGCAATCAACGTAGGCGTCAGGAAGATTTCTTTCTCAGCCATCAACGCGGCTGTTTCCTCGTCGAGCATGTTCCCATGCTCGATGCCCTTGACGCCGTTATCAATCGCCTGCCGGATGGATTCGACCGTGTACGCATGCGCAGTGACGAAGGTCTTATTATTCGCTGCGACGGTTGTTATGGCTTTGATCTCTTCCGCGGTGAACTGCACGTTCGCCAGCGCGTCTGTGGGACTGGCCACGCCTCCACCAGCCATGATCTTGAGGAAATCCGATCCGCTCCGTAACTGCTCTCGTGCGTTCTTGATACATTCTGGTACACCGTCGCAGAGGACACCTAGTTGCAGTCCACTCCCGCCCCCGCAGCAGCTGGAGCCGGAGCTATCGTGCGCCGAGCGGAGATCCGCATGTCCGCCCGTCTGGCTGAGTGCTTTCCCTGCCATGAAGATGCGAGGGCCGGGGAATACGCCCTCCGCGATGGCTTCTTTCAGGGCCAAGGATGCGCCGCCGCAGTCGCGTACTGTCGTGAACCCCCGACTCAGAATCTGTTCACAGACGTACGGCTGGCGCAGCTTGGATTGGTCCGGTGTTACCTTCCAGGATTCATTGAGCCCATTACCTCCCGGTACGGAGATGAGGTGCACATGGTGGTCGATCAAACCGGGGGTTATGTAGTATCTTCCTTCCAGGTCGAGGATTACTGTGTTTATGTTTGCCTTTGAACTTGTCTGTGGTTCCCCGGAGGTAGCACGATCAGCTGGCGTGACGGATTCGATGATCCCCCGTGCCGTTCGGACGGTGCATAATTCTATAGAACCGTTCGTAGGGTCGATGACATTGGCATTCTTGAAGATATATGTTTTCTGTGGTCCCGGCTTCCACGGATGGAGGAGTTTGTCGATATTCGGTACCTGCATGTTGTATTCTAGATGGAATAGCGAAACCCGTCAATCAAGAAACCATGCTATCCTTTTATTTATCCCTTCTATATCCCATGATAGATAATGGCACTTACCCCTCAGCGGCGCTTTTCCGAGCTCGTTTTGATAACTGTTCGGCTGGGAGTCCGAGCGGCTGGGGATCCGAAGATATTTGATTTCTGTTGATCATGACAAGCTGCAGTCTAGATAAGTGTAATTACGTAGAACCGTGCCTTTGGACTGTCAACACAGGCAGAGTAATATCCCTTGCGCGAGGACAGTTATACTGCAGCTCAGTATAAAGCCGATGTTTCTTGCCAGTACCGGATCGGGAACGATCAAAGCCCATGTTTGTTTCTTTTGCACACCAAATAGTCGACCGCCAAAGATTCAACTGACCCCCAGTTCATGAATACGTGAGAGGTTCATTGAGCCGAATTTCCCAGTTGCATAGGCCCTCATCAGCGACGGTTTTGAGAACCTGGTGGTGGAAATAGTGATACACAATGCGATGCATGACAGGTTCCCAATTATCCGCAACAGGAGTACCCTGACCAGAAGAAGAGACCGAGCGCCGGGAAAGCGTCAGGACAGGGATCTTCGGGGAACAAACCACCTGAGCATTTCTTGTATCATTGTCTCCTCCAGGTACAGAGCATGCTAAGGTGAAGAATACTTCTATCACCAGCGGAACAGCTGATGCGGTTGCAAGGATTCCAACGGCTTACGGACACCAGCGTATATCCAAAGACAAGCCTGCATACCCCCAGCAAACCTTCTGTTTTCCTCTGCGCCATGCCGTTGGACCATCGATTCCAGAGTCTATGAAGTTGAGCCTAATGGGTATCTGTTCAACCAGCTGCGCAGTGGGATATACCCGATCAATGCTGCCCCAGACCGGCATTCGTGCTGAGTGCGTCGACGCTGTCTATGCATGCAGGCACTGAATCCAGTCTGTGACCCAGTCACAGCTGCAAAGAAGATTGAAGACAGCTTGTTCTGGGAACACAGTCAAGATAGTGACAAGTCTCTATGCTGAAGACTTTCGTACCTGAAAGATCTCCACCAGTTGCCACGGTCCCTCCGCGAACCGAGATTTCCTGCCGGGACGATTAGTAATTTCAGTGAATATTTGCGACAGTAATAATAGCTTGATTTATAATGTCAGGGGTTGATATTCCGTACAAGTTTAAAAGCTTCACTGGATCAGACTGGAGGGACAATTGTACCTGAGACTTGCACTCCCCGAGTCAGATCCCCAAATCCAGAACGCAAGGTATGACATCCATAAATCCTACGGAAAACATGCCAGGATGAACTATTGCAACTGCTAATCGGCATTAGCAATGGCAAATCTCTTCGAGCCCCTCCGCATCGGCAATCTGAGCCTCAAACACCGCGTTGTCCTCGCGCCGCTAACTCGCTTCCGCGCAGACGACAACCATGTCCCCCTCGACATCGTCGCTGAACACTACGCCCAGCGAGCTTCCGTATCCGGAGGCTTGTTGATTAGCGAAGCCACCCTCATATCCCCGCGAGCAGGCGGCTACCCCAATGTCCCCGGGATCTACAACCAGGAGCAAATCACGAAATGGAAATCAGTCACCGATGCCGTGCATGCTAAGGGGAGTTACATCTTCTGCCAGCTCTGGGCTCTCGGACGTGCTGCGAACCCGAAGGTTCTGGCTCGTGATGGTTACGCCTTTGTGTCCAGTAGCAATATCCCCTTGGGCAACGACGGTCCTGCTCCTGAACCCCTGGATGAAGCCGGCATTGCAACCTTCACGGCAGACTACGTGCAGGCTGCCAAGAATGCGATTGCGGCCGGGTTCGATGGAGTCGAGATCCACGGCGCCAATGGGTACTTACTTGACCAATTCCTCCAGGATACCTGCAACACGCGGACAGATCGCTGGGGTGGAAGTATTGAGAATCGGTCCCGGTTCGGCGTGCAAGTCGCCAAGGCTGTCTCCGATGCTATCGGCCCGGAGAAGACTGGCTATCGTCTTAGTCCGTGGAGTACCTTCCAGGGAATGGGAATGGCTGATCCCAGGCCTCAGTTTGAACATATCGTCAGACAGCTCAAGGAGCTGAGGCTGGCTTATGTGCATATCGTCGAGTCGCGTGTTAATGGCAGTGCGGACAAGGAGGAGGGTCCTACAGCGTCGAACGACTTCTTGATCGATGCATTCGGGGATGCTGGCGCGGTTATCCTCGCGGGAAGATTCTCCCCCCAGTCTGCCAATGAGGCGGTTAAGGCGTACAAGGGCCATGATCGGGTGGCTATTGCATTTGGCCGGAGTTATATCTCGAATCCTGATCTGGCGTTTCGCGCGAAGAATGGACTGCAACTCACTCCATATAACAGGGAGACGTTTTACACCCCCAAGTCTCCTGTTGGTTACCTGGATTACCCTTTCAGTCCGGAGTTTGTTGCGCAGAATGGTGGTCAGAAGAGCAATATATAGACATAACAAGAGTAGATAAGTTCTCTATTACCATTATCCATGGTAATTATCAGGCCAACACCGACATTATTCCAAGTCCAAAGCTCATGGACGGGTATCATTCACAGTATCAACAAAAGCAGACCAAAATCAATTACTCAAGAAATAATTGCAAGCCAATATAGACCCCAATCCAATCTCCTCCTCCCACCCATCCAAATCATACCTCATCCGATGCCAGTTACCCAGTTTCTGCCCATTCGGAGGCGCATACTTCTCCCCCTTGAACCCCTCCGGCTGTTCATATAAGAAAAAGCAATACCGATGCGGAGAGCTAGGCGGGGGAGGCGCGGGACCGATATAATTCGCCACGAACGGGTCTGCGGATTTGAGCTTCGTTGTGCTGTTCTCGATTGAATCGACCTTGTACCCTGGTTGGATCCAGTGGAGGATGGGGCCTAGGACACCGAATGATGGGAAGGGTGCGTCGATATCGAGGGCTACTACCATGTAGGTCTTTGAGGGGTCTGGGACGGCGAAGCTTATGGAGGGGGGGGATTGGGCTTCTGTACAATTGGTTAATTAATCTACCCACTATTCTACGGGGTTGATTGATAGAAGGTACAGACCAGCCTTTGGGATGTATTTCCCCGGTTCAACATCGTGATCGCCTATTTTAACACCCAGGACTTTGGACTGGTCGTTCTGGATCAGAGCCAGGGCTGCCGTGACGCTCTTGTTAGCCGGCATGGTGGATTATTTCTTTCCCCACAGCAACTTCTCGTTCAATAAAGAAGCACACAGGAGTGAAGAAAAGAAGAAAGCCAATTCTCTTTCCCTTGGACTGCTTATAAGGCCCAAGCGTCATCAAGCTTCTACGCCGGAGATAACGGGGTTAGAGACTAACACCGTCTAAACTTCGTGAAAACCTCTGGATTTGAATCACTAGCTGTTGGCAATTGGGTGATTGAGCCATACCATGACTATGCCAAGAGGACGATAACTGTCAGATGTTGGACTTTGATGGATAGGACTAGAGTTGCGCACATATCGATGAAGTTCATTGATCCTTGGGAGAAAAGGGAGTTGAGATTTCCTTATCCCCAGTGAGAGAGCTAAAGAAAACGAGAAAATTGTACTAGGGCTATGCCCTTTTCAATTCCTTCTGGCAGACTATGGACCATCGCCACCGCAACCTCTTCCATCCTGCCATGTTTCGCATGATGAAGTGTCCCGTCTGGACCGGCACCAAATATCAGTGCCACACTGACAATCACGAACATGATCAAGGCCAGAATCCTCGAGATAGAGGTGCAAAACCATCCCCAAAAACTGTGTTGGGAAAGCTGGAAATACCGAGCGTGAGGACGAGGACGATGGTCACTATGAACCAAAGTCAGAGAGGCCTCGATGGAGAGAAAAGAAGGCAGAAACGTACACCAGACAGCCTCATTGACTCTATTTTGAGCTCACGACAACAGAGAAAAAAAGTAGCCTCAGCAATGAGGGCTGTCCACTGATCCACACGGAAAAGCATGGTCTGATTCACATCGGCATAGTAATTGCCGCAGAAAGCACGACATCTTGAATTATGATGAGATAGCCCTCTGGCACAAATGCCAGTCAGTCTCTTAAATACACTCAGAAAATGGGTGCCTCGGCGCACTGACGGGGCAGCATCATCCCTCACACAAAGCACAGACTCAGGGAGAAAGAGACGCTCGTATACTGTTGGTGATGCTGCAGTGTCTATTGGAGATAGGAAGTGGGAGCCTCATGGAATGGACGTCCCATATGAAAGAGCCCTTTCGATCATGAAATTCTACACCAAATCGAGTGGGACATGGAGTCGACCGGATTCTTTCATCCTGTCGGTCTTGGAGCTTGTCTATAACTTCTTCGCGTGAGTTGACACTTCTCTAACCACCACAGGCAATGGAAAGGAAGACTACGGCTATCTCCAGTGGTCTGCCCAGGTATAATCCATGTTCCCCTTTCCTAGAAACCTTGCCCTGAAGGCTCATCCGTGCATTGACTATCTCCATAGTTATTGCATTGATTGTGTTTATGTTGCATGTTGTCATCTATGTTAGCTCTTCTTATCCGTCCCAGACCCAGTCTGTCTTAGTGACATACATGCTGGATCTTCCACTAGACATTCCGTATACCCCTAAGTCCACCCAACCAATGCTCATTCGAACCTTCAAATAAAATCGTTCTTGACGATCTCATCCTTCCCATCAAAGACCGTCTCCATATCCCACGATATTGACTCTGTGACCATTCACGTTTCTCGCTGGGCAAGAACAGGATAGTGCCTGCACAAGGCCGTGGAGAGCCACCAAGGTCCTATAAAAATCGGTTAGCATAGGAGTCTATTTGATACTTGATCGGGGAAGTGAACTCACTAATCCAAGTATCCAACGCTAACACTACCTTCTCCCCCATATCCGTAGGAACTGTCCCAGGATTCACAGCAAAAGCCAAACTCCATACTAACCATATTCAAACTTGGCAAACTCAATAAGGCGCACATTTTCAAGCTTCGTCACAAGGCTCTCTGCACAGGTTCCTTCAAACTCCTATGTTTGTTCAAAACCTTCTATCCCCTTCGAGCTCTTAGGCTCCTTCAAACTCTCCTCATTCAGGCCCTTCGATCCATCAATCTTCACCAACACCATTGTCACTTTTGTCAATGTATTCATCAGGACTGCTTCCTTCATCCCATTCCAATTCGTCATCTTCAAAGTCCGACGCACTAGCTTCCAAAAGCTCCTCTGTCATTGCCCTGCACAACCGTTTCTCACTACTCTCTCTTCCTTTCAACATGTTACCTGCATCAGACCGGAAAAACGGATGATCAGATGTCAATATCTTTCCCTGACAAATATACCCGACAGGAGTATGAGTGAAATCCTGGCCCTTGCGTCGAATCGACAGCCACTGATGAAGAAACAGTAAGGGCTTCTCCGTGAACGATTTCGAGTCTCCTCCCCAGCTCTTGGCGCCGAGAAACTTGCAGAGCTCATTGTATTCCTTGAAATCGAAATATAACCGTCCCGAAAGAATCCCCAGTTCAATGGTGAGCCATGTCGGTGCTGTCCAGTACTTTGGTAAGGGTGGAACAGAGAAGTACTTCAAGCCGTTGAATTGCGACATTCTCCGAGTCACAGGAGCAGCGTATGCTATGAGATACGTATTTGACTGCTGCTTTTCCAGAAGTATTGGGAGGATGATCTCTATCTCCTCGGGGATGACGACAATTGCGGTATTTGTGACAGTGCTCCAAAGAAGCCAATTTAGTGGACGCTAGATGTTTGTACGTTAGTATCAGCATTGAGCAGTTTTGGGAAGAGTCTTTGGGGCCAAATACCAGAAAACTGTCATTCCGACGACCGGTAGGTACAGAAATCGTTCTCATATATTCCCTCGATACCAATAGTCTACCCGTGAAGGGAGCGCCGCTCACACCCATTTTCTGGCCCAAATCCGTCAATCGTAAGGCAACATGAGCATCCTCCCACGCGGTACTCCGTGAAGCAGCTACTCCAGTATGTACAAAGCCAAGAATATCCTTGTCGATTCCAGGGAAGGCCAACGGGGTATAGGATACAGGCTTCCGAACCTGCCGGACTGATTCGACTTCGAACGCTATTTCTCTCTCCTGTTCGACTTCTTGCAGAGCAAGACCGCTAACGGCATTCCCAAAGTCTTGAAATTGCTTTCGCTGCTTTCGTAGTTCCTGTAAAAGTGTATTAACCCGTGGGACGTCGGATTTATAGCGCCGAGACAATTTCACACACAGTTTCGGGCCGTAGAGCTCTTCCAGGGCCTGCTGCTCTGGCGTTCGCAAAACATCCAGATAGGCCTGTTTCTGTTTATTATCTGTGATATAATCCTTATTAAGAACTGCTGCTTCTATCCGGCGACAAAAATCCATTCCTTGAGAAAAGTAAAGTGGTTGGAGCTGTTCAATCCCGATACAGGTTTGCTTCAAGAGCCAACATATTACATCGTACGAGTCGATTGAGTCACCCTCCCGCTTCGATTGGAGATCAAGTATGCTCTGGTGGATCTCGGGAGGTGCCACCCATAGGATAGATTGAGTAGTTCCCAGCTGTCGTAGTCTCATGGCTGCTTGAACAGTGTGATCTTTCGTCTGACCCATGCCAAGAGTTAGGGCTCCCAGTGTATGTGCAGGCATGGGAAGATCTGTGCCACGAGTATGTGCTTCATCCAGATACACTAGACAATCTCCGAGATTATTGGCAAATGTCGACGCCACGAGAGGAACCTCTGACCCACCACGATGTAGAATATACGGTTTATTCTGGTCGTTAAAGTAAAGGGCGGCTGGAGCTTGGTGATCAATGCTCAGCCACGTGGAAACCAAACTGCGGTTGTCCAATTCTAGGATTTGAGCTCCCGCATCAATAAGCATTCGAATTCCCTTGCTGCAAAGCATCTGCAATAGTTCCTTCTCAGTAAATCTTCTTCCAGCATCTGCAGCCACTTCATAGCTTCTGTTTCGCGGCATGAGTAGATATGATAGCACCTCCGCATTTGTATGCCGGAGTCCTGGGAGGTCGTCCTGTTTGATGGTGAGTGGCAGCATTGAACGATTGTCATTTGTACCACTAAAGCCTGTCGAACGCGCTCCTTGTCCTTGAACTGAGAAGATAGGCAGGTCCCATCCTGATGTTTGGAGCTTGATACGGAACTGCTTTGCATGCGCAGGGAAGACAAAATGGTTTAAATAGTAATCAATCACAACCACATTGTACCGAAAGTGCTTCCATAGTTCTGCCAGTTGTAACTGGTCATCCACATTCAGGACGTTCCATTCACGCAAGGAGTCAGGCAGCTGGGCGCAATTATGTGTCCAGCGATCGTACCCGCTAGCTGGGTCATCAGTCTTGAGGAGATGTTCTAAACCTTGACGTAGCTGGCGTATCTCGAGACCACCAAAGTAGAAGGAGAGACATGTCAGCAGAATAGCAACATCAGGATGGCCCCATTCTGCTTGTTCAGAGGGAACACCCTTCGAATGGAACGGAACTGCGATGGGATCGCGCTTGGGATGAATACCGTACTGCACATTCCAGCGTTTCTTGAAGGACAGCAGCAGAATTCGATGAACCAGCAAGCCACGTAGCAGATAGAGAGTCTTTCGCGCAGTGAGATTGTCGTTAAACAATCCTTTTACTTCCTTGAGTACTCCTGGCCCCACGTTCTCAGTGGATATAAACTGTCGGATAGTTGTAAGCTCAGCAGCAGAGCATCCTCTCACAGGCAAGAGGAGTATTTGTCCGTTAAGAATATCTCCAATGAGCCGAGATATTAGAGATTCCTCTGCGTCTCGGCGGAGAAAGAATACAAGCGGAAAACTATCCCCTGATCGCTCCACAACTTCAATGCTCTGGGGGTAGTCCTTCGCGATGCTCCACAGATACCCATGGCACGCATGCAGAAGTGTCTCGGCTACTTCCCATCTATATGGGTGCCCGTCCACTGCTGCCTGCGTGCCAGTGGGGTATATCAACTGCGTTCTCGTGGAGAGAGTGTAATCGCACTCATCTAGGATATCGCGACAATTGTCTTGTTTCCACTGATATATCTGGAGCATTTTCGCGGCCTCACTATTGCGCTTGTCGGACAGTCGCTGGAGGCCACTTAATTTGAACGATAGAAGATGCTCTGGAAGCGCAATTATTACACCCGAGGATATTTTAATATCACGGTGAATCTTCCAATACGCCTCGATATTTCTCTGCGTGGTTGGGGTTTTTCTTGCAAATGGGACATGGCTCACATATCGCCCCAGTAGACCCCCAAGCCGCGTCTGCAACAGTTGCGCAGTTTGTAATAGTAAGGCTTTTGGTACAATAACTCGAACTAGCTGTGTGCTATTGGCAAGTTCCGAAGCAATCATTGGGATGATACACGAGGTTTTCCCTAGGAGATCGTAAGTCTACATAACGAATGTCAGAGATGGAGCGATGCTGTGCTTACCTTGGCCCATGTTCATCTGCAGTGCTGAATTAGACCCTGAGGTGGGAGACATCATCGCGTGCGCAACGTCTACTTGCTCTGCCCTGATGAGAATATTGCAGTCAATCTCAAGAAGGAGCCAGTTTAAATGCTCTTCCGGTCGCCAATTGGTATGACCCTGATTGTGTAACTCAGCCCAGAATCGAGCTGCATCCTTGTTGTGATAATCCTGCTCAATACGCATCAACTGTTGCAATCCTGTAATCGCGATAGCATATTCCACCAAGATTTCCTTCATCCTAGGTCCAAATTGAGGAGCGGAGGTTGAACGTAACTGTTCCAGGAGAGTTATCGGAGTGATACATGGCCATAGGTTGCCAAGCTTCAACCACTTTGCTTGAACTTCATCCTGTTCAAGTGCCACTGATATATTGTTAAAAGCATGAATTATGGCTTGCCTTGTACTATGAATCTCTGAAGAAAATCCAATAGAACCGGGAAGGGCTTTCTCCCTTGGGATAGTCCGCTTCACTTTGTTGAGGGCTTCCAAGCTTTTAAGAAGGTCCTCTCCATATTTCCTTTCCAGGGCACTGGGAGATGCTGTAAACTGATGGATTATAGTGTCGAGTTGATGACGTTCAGTCGAATCAGCTTGTATTCCCCTATCAACAGTCTGAGATCTGTTTGTAGACTCTGAAAAATCCAGGGAGATCAATTGGGAGTGAAAGGTATCCGCATTAGCATTTGAATGTCTGCTTTGAGCTCCATGGCCTGTAGTTGATGGGCCGGGCTTCCGCATGAGGTCTTTGGAGAGTGTTGGAATGCCACTATATCTTATTAAGACTCGAGGAGCTGGATCTGATGACGATGTAACAGCAGGAAGTCCGATACGCCTGTCTCTCTGAGAACAATCAAGAATTACTTTCACTTGAGAAAGGTAGTCAGAAAGCTGCAGGTTCTCGTACAATCGTAGCCACTCGGGCCGGATATGTTCGATAGCACTAGGAATGTCAACTAGAAGATCGCTCGCTAACTCTGTAGCGGATGGAGTAGGACATGGCCATTGGCTCTGAATATGCTTTATGAGTGTCTCACAGTCCTTTTCTACTTGCAGGTTGTACTTTCTCTCTTTCTCTTCCAGCTTCCTGCGCATCTTACTCGCAATCTGACCTGGGAATTCGGCACGTTCGTCTGGAGGATATGGAGTACAGAACGGCCTGATAAGCTGTTGGAGAAGGTCAGTAGTTGGGTACTGGTCTGGCACAAAGCGAGTATACTCAGATACTGCTGGCGGCTTCAACATTTTTAATTTGTCTGACATGGCGAATAGTATCAGGCTCTGAAGGAGTTGTGTTGGGATAGCGTTGTCTCCGAAAGAGATAATCGCGAAGATGAACATAAGTTTGAATTTCTCGTTTTTAGAAGACATGCGGCACAGGGCAGCCAGTGGGCCCCATTGGGCGCAGACGTCAATGCTCAGCAGGTCGCTCAGAGAGCCACGATGAAATGGCTTCTCAAATCCCACAATCACTGGCCTTTCTTGAAGGACATGAGCCAAGTTGACAGTACCATATACTTCTGGGAACCAGTCATGAATGATAATGCTCATCTCATAGACCTTTGTGCGCGCAATACTAGCCCTAGGACGGTCTCTGGAAGTGTACACCAGGTCTGCTAAGGCGTTCTTAGTCTCGATGTCTCCAATAGGACGCTGGTACTGTTGACGACGCCAGACACTGCGCTCATGAAGCTTGTGAGGAGTTTCTGGTATTTCCACCAGCAATTCGCAATGCTTTTCAAGTGCAAACATCGACAGCGTCCTAGATTTCTCGCATATTAACGATACCAGGGTACTGTATTCCTCGTGCTGCATTGTCACCGTGAGATCCTTGTCCCAATATATTCTTTGCATTATCGCAAGATGCGGTGGATAATATTCCCTTCTCGGCGACAACCTTGCAATATACTGCAAAATTGACTGTGGACCGGAATTTATGGGAATCCATGGCTGGCAAAAGCCAGACCGCAAAAAGCGCAATGCTTCTTCAGTTCCCGTAGTACCTGTTAACGGATCTGGTAGAGCGAAGGACGTATATGCGTGAAACATTGCCTTACAATAAGCCAGCCTCGGTTCTGCTGGGCAGTCTATGCGCCCTAGAAGATCATTAATCACGAACCGGCCATATGACCCATCATTTTCGACATATAATTGCACGTGGCATCCGTCTAGTTTGTATCGAATAGCCCCCATTGGAGCAATTATGCTCCGTTGACCTTTGTTTGCCCCATCGCGAAGAACGAGCATGCTCCGAAGCCCATACCAAGTCCCTGCATCCTGATTCCGGTCGATTCCACAGCGTAGCTGGCTGGAATACAAGAAACCACCCTTATTAACATAAAATGACAAATCCATTCTCCGGAGCTCAACGGATAGGTGTGCCTTCTTTGGCTGATACACGATGATCTGCTCTGGGTGCTCAAAGAATCGAAACACTCCAGTAATTTGTCGGAATAGATCACTATGCGGATCGACTAAACGACTATTACGCCGTATGGCCTGGCGCGTATTGATGTCGATCTTCCAGTTACTATGCCTTGACATCCAAATGTGCGGTTGTGTACGTATCTCAAGCACCCCCGTTTGGATATCAAGCCAATGGCAGCAATTGTCTATCAGCAATACTGGCAAGTCTGACGTGGAGTGTCCTCTGAAAACAGATGACGGAACGAGTTCTAACACTGTGCCCTTCCAATGAGCGCGGACTATGAGTTCGTTCTGGCGAAATCCGAAATGAATGTAATGGCCGTTGATTGCAAATGGGAGCATATAGGTCATTCCGGGCATAGAGGATGGGTATGCTGGCAAGGATTGGTCCCCAAATAACTTCTTCAGGATGATACACTGCTGGTATTTCGGTGGGAGTTTGCCTAGCGGTTGCCCATCAACCAACAGATATCCCTCTAGGATATGATACTGCATGAGTTGGGCGTTGAGTTCCCTTGTCGCATGCATTGTCCATTCCATCCACCATTCATCCGGGTCATTGAGAAATACAGGTTGCGAGTAGGCAGCGGCCATTGAGTTCTCCGCTGACGGCCAGATATTTTGAATAAACGAACTCAGAGCATGCGGAGACGATTGGAATGCCAATTTGAGCACACGGCGAAGACGATATATTGCCTTCGTGTCTGAGATGAGGGCGTTTCTCAGTGTGCGAGGTAGACTTGATAAATTGCTAGGAAGCGTTTCATGCAGCATTATGGAACTCTCGATATAGTTTTGCAGCTCTGTGGGACCAATGTCCCTTCCAGAATGGGCCGGGTCTGCATACACTGCAAACGTTTTTCTACACAGTAATGCAGCCCATAGTGCATATTTCGAAAATGTTGGAGAGCTGGCCGCATCAGTACAATCACGAATTTCCTGCCGGAGTGTCCGGACCCAGCCAGATGTGACACGTTGAGCTTTGAGAAGCAAGTCAAAGGCCTCATAGGCCACATTGTGTGCCACAGAGCAGAGTCTAAGAAGAATCACGAGCAGCATCAACATGCAGTTCACCTCCCGCCAACTAGATGATATGCCGTCCAATCGTTTGTTTATCTCTTCTAGCAATTTCGAACAGAAAGTGGGGTCTCTGAGGATGCTATGTGTCGATCGAAGGTGATCATTGGGCCTCGGAGGACCAGCTAAAAGCGTCAGCTGTGAAATTAGTATCGAAGTTGCTTCCGTACTGAGATTGAGGTTCGACGATCCAAGCTCGAGCAAAATGGTGGGCCATCGTTGAACGGTACCACATAAGAGACTCTGGAATGCCATGAACTCATGGACACCCAATCCAGGTGGGCAGTTAGTTTGGCTCGCAATAATTTCATACGACGATGGTCCAGCGGTGTCAAGCGCAAATTTTGGCGACTCCAGGAGCGGTGCAAACGGCGAATCGCTCGGAATCGCGAGTGCACAATGATGTGCAAAGCTCAATCTCTCTCTCCCACGCCCAGTCCAGGACTCTGTCTTTGTGTCAAAATACCTAAGACGCAACGTATTGTGCACACATACGTCATCCCAGCGGGCAGGGAGCGTAGCCTGGTTGAAGTGCATTGTAAGACGTGATTTTGAAATGGATGCTAGGCATACACCTTCAATTGACGTCGATGAAATAAAAGGTTTTACTTCTGAGTATTCCCTCAGAAGCAGCTTTGGTGGTTGGGATTTAATGGGTTCTGAGACAGCCAAGCTCCTGATAATCATCCAGGTAGTATTTCGATATGCAGAAAAGGCCTCTGGACAGTTCAACTCAAAGACCACGGCACGTGCTTGAGATGGATCGACCGGGAGAGGGTCTTCGTGAAGGCTGATCCTCATTCGGCCTGCTTTCCGTTCCAGAAAGCACTTCTTACAGTTCCTGGAATCATGGATTGGCTGATATCCCTCTTCCGTGTACGTATATACACAAGAGGCTGAGGCAATTTCCCTCTGGAGACTGTCGTATTCTGCGCTGAGGGACAACCATTGTTCACGTTTCTTCTCTCTGGCCTTTTCCGTTGCTGTCTGGATTCTTTTGTAGATGGACTGCAGCATTTCGGAATCCTTGGAACGCAGAAAGTATTGCTCTGCAAAGCACCCTTCCCTCGGATCATCAAATATCGTATGTCCGTTATATTGGCAGTTACTCTTCCGTTCTTCCAGATATCTCTGCACAGTCTGTAGATCAATCAGTCCTTTCTCGTCACCTATTTGCAAAACGTTAAGAATTGCAGGAGGAATTCCGGGGTCATATTTTCCAAGAAGGTTGAAAGCTTTTACAGCGCACTGATCCATCAAAGTCCACAGTTTCATGATCGTTAGAAGCATTACGCTCTTTTGTTCGGGATGGTGATTGTAAGTGTCCCGCACTGCATCCATGTAGGAGGCAATAGATCGTGCAAATTTGATACATGCCCGTTCATAGTCTCCATCATCTACTTTCAGATACAGGCCAGCACTGTCTTCTATATCAGCTAGGCTGTAGTAATGCTGTGCGAATTTCCGGAAAGCAGCCTGCATCACTGGGGTATGCAGCGCGTTGGATTGATGGGTGATCGTGGAAATTGTATCAAATCTTGCAGCAGAAAACCGCAGTTGGTTCAAGTATGAGAAGCTATTCGGCAGGGTCAAGATAAGGTCACGCTCCTGTGACCGTGGAGGCAGTAGAGGAATCCTCCTGAGAATACTTCTCTTATGCCTGTCCCACAGATTGAAGACATAGGCATTGGCATTCTCAATGGTACCCTCAAAGAAAAACCGCAGCTGTTCGAACAACATTCCATATATTTCCCCCGCCTTGGATGATGCCTTCAGTCGATTGTCTTCCAGCTTTGCCAGGCGGCGGCACAGTTTGGTGTTCAGGACTATGATCGATTCGTGATAGATGCCACTGCTCACCGCGTCCGCTAGAATGTGCGCTAGCACCACGCAAAGTAGAAATTTGTAGTAGACTCTGCCTATTTCCGCTCCGTGTATGCTTGCAAGATGGCGGGCCAGACTTACACGCAAGACTAGCCAGAAGGGAGAGCGCCTCCAGGGACAAGATCCAGCTCCTTCGTCCCAGCATACATCATCTCTGATCCGCTTACGGAGGAGGTCTGGCTCCATTCGGTATCCCACAGCCTCTATCAGAGTCATGAGCATTTGGCATATTATCGACGGGTCTACCGTATCGCGCGGTTCGGGGACAGTAGCCCCTTCTTTCGATGCCCGCGCTGCAAAGAGGGTGATTGATTCGGTACTAGCCTGCTGGAGAAAGTCGGCCAGGTTGTTCTGAAACTCGGGATCATGAAAAGTGGTCAACGGCATAGCGACGACTACACCAGGGAAATCCCACTGAAGGGCATTATCTGCCTCCATGACCTGTTGCGCTTGTGGAGAGGCTTCAAAGGCTTCGAAAACAATCATGTCTTCATCTCGTTTACTGCGCAGGAAAGGATGGTCAGACAGCGGCCAAAAGTTAGAAAAGCTAGCACGGGGTATACTAACTCACCTGTCGTGTCTCTTGGAGATCAATATCCCAGCATTCTGAGCGGTTATGTGAAGGATTAGTGGGGAAAAGGTATCCAGAGTCTCCAAAGCCATCAAGAATCTGGTACGGTCAATCGAGCGACCATGGTTGGCGTGGATGCACGTCTGAACAGCGCTACGAACTGAACCCCAGGTATAACTTAGATGCCCAGATAACTGGTCCCTGAGAGTGCGGCACGCGTCCGAGACGTATGAAGCTAGAGCCTCCTCGATCTGATCAAGAAACCTTTCGCGTTTAAAAGGAAGCTTTGGGGGTAGGCACACATGGGCCACAATGGCCTCCAACTCGACAGTCGCAGACGCAGACATGGTGTATCCTGTGCTTTGTCGTACGCGTGAATTCATCAAACCATGTCCAGGCAAATTCTGGATAGAGCTGTGATGGAAGACAAATCAGGATGGACGGTCAGCAGGTTACATATTAAGAATGGGGGGTTCTTATGCTAGAACAAGGAGTGTGGTTGTCTGTGGTTGTCTGTATGTCTATCTATCTATACAAGCAGTCAGGCTGCGAGGCAGCGCCAGTACTTACGTGGCACTTGCTGGCCTCAGGCACTACATGCGCTGCCAACCTAATCAGAGACCAAAGACAGCTAGACAGGCTACGTGGACTTGCCTTCATAGTATGTAGGATGCCTGATATAGCTCTGTATATTGGCTTCTTCATGCTGTCATTGGTCCTACATCCTTCCACCAAAACACTCCCTAGAGCTTCATGGGGATATCTTGTAATAGTTAGGTGGGTGCTTTGTTAATATTCATATACATACATTCGTCAAGTCCAATATATAGCTAGCAATATGTATCTTTCTGAAACTGTAACTAACTATTTACGTTAACTAGCTTATGACTAATAATACTAAGTTTTCCCAACGGGATTTAAATACTACGGCCCGCCCGTGTTCAAATCCATTTTTGATCTATAGTGCGGATCATAAATTACCGACTAGTTTAGCTTTGACGGTTGAGATCATCGTCTGGAGATTCCCGAAACCGCCTGGCTCTATGAAATTTACCATACTTTCCTTCCAGTTGCCTGTGTCATTATTGTATCCTTTAAGCCTTCTGAATATACGAGCTATATCGGTGACCTCCCATAATGAAGTCACCAATCCCTCAACAGCTCCAACAAATCCACCCTCGCGTCACTTCGGAGCATCAGCCAGGTCATCATTGAGATCCTTCCTCCGAGAATTCATATTCAGATTCACCGCAGGTTGGAGAAAGTCCCTACGGATGAAAAGGAAGGTATTATCGCTCAGACAACGTCGTCGGGAACCCCTTGTGCACTATATCTATATCACAGGTGGCATTGCTTCCTCGCATCCGCTGCCAGAAACAGCCTATGCAGTCCTTCCTGGATCTGAATTAGAGCACCTGCGAGTCCTCCGCCTGCATGGTCGAGACCGTCGTTTTAGTTTCAAGTGGTTCGGCATGTACTTTGAATTCGAAAACATTCTGAGCCTCATGCAGAGCGAGAAAACTCGAATCCTACGATGGCAGCTTATTCTGGCCTCACTGGAATCGTCTCCGCGGACACCGCTGGAGACTCGTCTGCTCCGTCAGGCGAGTACATCATGCCCAACGAGGTGCTTGTAATACATTTTAAAAGACAGAAAGAAACTGACAAGACAATACATATTGCTGGTAGACAACAATTCCCAGAAAGCAGACTCTGACTCTAACTAGATAAACCAAACTACTTAAATTTATTCACATCACAGATAAGTCCACCAAAATTCCACTGAATCACAGACCGGAAGGCAGACTGCTGCGTATCAAATCCCCAAATATACGCCCTCTCCATCAGCATACTGTACCGGTCAATATCATAGCTCCTGCATTCCCAGGAGAGTCCGTAGAACTCCTCTCGACCCCGAGAGAGACTGGGATCGAGTTTATCAAATCCACTTCAATTGTACAATGACCCAGTCGCAGTCTTCTGTGGGTATTGCGTGGTTTCTCGCAGCATCCACACTGACGTGCACAGCAGCCATCACGTCGGATGCAGTCCTCGCGTAACCAAGAAGAAAGATACCAATATTCGTCTTCTCGGAGAGTCTTGTATGCGCGCATTGCAATCTCGCTGGGCGCTGATACTTCCAGGTGGTATAGTTTCCGCTCGTATTCCCAGTATGCCTTGGCGAGTGTTTTGAGGTCCCGTTCCCAGTCTCTGCGGATGGCTCTTTCTCGGTCAGACATCGGTTCTGATGGGTCTGATTTACGGCGTGCTTCGAGTTCTTCAGTGATGTAGATCTCGCGTTGGACTGTTTCGCGAATTTTGAAGTCCAGCGTGATTATCTCGTGGCACCAGTTTCGCGCGGCGCGTCCGAGAGGGATTAGGCCGTATTTGTGGCGTGGCCGGAAATTTGCATATCGGGGGTGTCTAAAGTTGCCGTCTCTGATTATGGAGATGTTGACTCCCATGATGGTAGCAAGTACAGGATGCCATGAAGACGATGGAAGATGCTCGGTGGGATTTTGCGGGATCAGAATGGCTGCCCTGCACCTCGACGTCATTCTTGCTCGTCGACTGTAGTGATGCCGTTGAGTATGTCTATTTTTATATATTGACGTTGACTTTACTTTACACATTATCTGATAGTTTGGGTCAGGCACCGCCATCCACCGCTAGCAAGAGTGGCGATGGGATACCCTCAAAACGGTAGGCCATTAACCCTGGATCACAACGGATAGATGAAGTACTTATTCTCCAAGTCCGTCATGTCGAGCAGGGAGATATCCACCTCTACCTTGACCACCTGGCCATCTTCGGTCGTCTCCTCCACATAGCCCACTCCATACTTGCCCTGGGCAGCCTGCTCGGCAATCCACTGACGGCGTTCCTTGTTGCGACGGGACAGGATGAATCGAATAATCAAAAGAATAACCGGTGTCCCTACCCAACTGATAACGATTTGTACGATCCATGCCGGGTAATAGCGAGGTGCGTCCTTCGCGACCCAAATCTGAGGAGCGATGATATTGGCAATGCCATAGCCAGCCATGAAAATAACGTTGCGTGTCAACTTCTTTGTGTGACCGGAAGTGCTGGAGGTGGTCCATCCCAAGGCACAGATGTAGGTAATACCGAATGTGTTTCCGGCAATGATGATAGAGGCAAGCAGTCCGATCCTGTTATGCCACGGTACCGTGACCGTGGCAATCCCACCCGCCAGGGCTGGTATGCACCAGAAAACTCCCCAATATGCAGCGTTGTTTGGGAAGAGGCGTAGCAGCCCAGCTGCGACAATACTGCAGGCAACGGAAAACCCACCGCTCGCTGCACTTACCAAGGTAGAGCCGAGATTCGATACTCCCATCTGAACGAAAATGAGATTCTGCTGCAGGTTCAGGTTGTTTGCCATCATCAGAGTGAACGCCTGAAGGCCGAATAGCCAAGAGACGGGATCCCGGACCGTCTCCCAGAACTGGTGAGGCTTGAACACCTTCTGTTCGATGGAGCTTTTCGTCGATTCGTGAACTCGTCGGATGGTGTATACTTTCTCCTCTGTGGTCAGAAACCGGGCCTTGGAAGGATTGCTGGGGTAGAAGAAGAAATTCTAAATGGCTAAAAGCAGAGTAATGCCGCCGGTGACAATCATGAAAAATTTCCACGGAGGAATGCTGCTCTTGCTGTACAGCAGGCCATACGCGATGAAGCCCGCTGGGACCGGAGCCCCCAAACAGGATGTCCAGAACAAGGGCTGGAGAAGAGCCCGCTCGTCTGGAGGGAAAAACATGCCTAGAGTAATCTCCATTGCAGGGACGAGACTTGCTTCGATCGCCCCCAGAAGAAGTCGGAGTACGATCAGACCGCCATAGTTACTAGCCACACAGTGGAGAAAGACGATGACCGCCCAGAGAAAAACAGACACACCAACATATGGACCAAGTGGCAGCCGCTGCATGAGATAATGACCGGGACCCTGTGCCACAATATATCCTGCCACGAGATCAATTGGAACGTGTCCTTCGAGACAGGTATCAATCCCGGGTGTACTAACCGGTATAGAAGAGAGTGTTCAAGTTATTAAACTGGGTATTGTTGATGTGGGTGGACTCAAAGATCCCGAGAAGTGAACCATAGCTGAGTGTTGCTTTGTCGACCTATTTGTCACCGATGAGTAACGAATGTGCGGAATTCACTGATCCATAATGGGAAAACATACGAACAGCATCAAGTCAGTAATAATCAAAATCGCCAGGATATAGATATACAGCTTCCACTTCAACTTCTTCTCTTTCTCCGGAGTTATCAGCCCAAATTCATGGTCATGTTGCTCGAGGAACTTCAGCGTCACGTCGGCCTGCTTGTCTGAGACGACCTTCCCTTCAGCCAGAACCGGCGACGTATCAACGCCGCCAATGCTCTTCTTCTCGCCTTCAGTCATGGTTTGATGCGTCTAAGGGCTTCACAGAATCCGAGATGAGAAATAATATCTGGGCTGTCAGCCCGGAGAGTTATATACATTGTGCAGACGTTGATGGCGTGCGGCCGCGACAGGGATCATGATCATAAAATGATGATGCGAACCGCACCGGAAATGGCGAATGCAGGCTGACAGTGATGAGATCAAAATTGCCCAATGATGGCTCCAAGAGACAGCTGCTTATCTCAGTGCAGAATTGAAGTCTGGACTGATGCTCGTTGGCCCGTAAGCTGTGGCTGCACGCATCCAAGGATCCTTGGCCAGGCTTGTAGATGCTTATCCGAGCCGTCGATCTGCTATCCCCAAATCGGTAAGTTGTTGGGCGCAAAGAGACAAGAAAATTTTTGATATGAATTGACCCGAGTGAATCATAGCATGCATGGTGGATCGTTGTTTATCTTGCGTGCTGGATCCTGCATCCTTCGCGCCTCACCGTCGACACCCTTCTGGAAAGCTCTCGTCCGGATACGAGCACCCGACCGAAGCCATAATGATAATAATGCATCAATCAACCAACTGGTTAAGCTTCATCCCTCAGGATGATATCTCGGTTCTGATTGCATTATTTAACGTCTGTGGTAAAAAACTAATACAAACCATGCAACAGCATAAGTATGGTGGTGGTCACCAGGCACTTCAGGCCCCTGTTCACCCACCCGAATACTATACACCCGAGCTAGTAGGAAGTCACATTTGCGCAAATGAGACCAAGAAGCGGCAAAAAACCCCCTTCCCCGGTAAGCGTGAAAGTTTTGACATCTAGGTAGTCCATATTCTCTCTTGAAGCCCATACCGCTTTCTTGAGTTGTAAATTCACTGCATACTGAGACTTGGACAACATGGCAGGAAGAGCCGTGTCAACGTTCGACCCGACAATTAATCTGGACGACCATGACAACTCTGAAATAACTCGGGCTGTTCTCCCACGTACCAAAGGGAAGTACGATCGAGCTCTACGGAGATTTGGCAAGTTAGCTTGCAGAGCCCTAAGGACAAGTGGCAGATTTAGCTGCAACAACACTGCATCTATAATCAAAAGCAAAGTCTATACTTGGAAAAGCTGCATCAGATATAAAAGGCTCAACTGAGACAGTCCACAGACCAGCTAGGGACTGTCCACAAGCAGACATTTTTTCATTATGTCAGAAGAGTAATGCCAGAGCGGGACAGACTTGCTCAAATTCTTCCCCGAAGTGGGACGCTGCGGAGTGATACTAGCCGTGAGGCCCTTAAGGCTTTAGAAGCCCTTTGCACGTGTGAAGGCTCTGGTGCATACAGGTGTGGGATGAGACCCATCAATGGAAAATGTATCTGTGGAATGCTGATGCAATGGTAAGTGACTATTCACTGTGCTACAGCAAGTATTACTTATAGAATCAGACTTTGGCCACATTGTCAGTGGACGCATCTTTATAAATGCTATAAGCACCAGCTATCCCAAGTGGGCGAAAACTGTCATGCAGAATTATTGCTTCAAGTGCGACCTATGGATTCAAGGTGTTCAGGAATGGTCTTATCACTGTCAGTGTCATCTGGATAGGCCAGAGGACCTGCTTCGGTGCGATCTAATAGTTTTTCGGAATGCTCCAGCAAAAGCCGCGTACTGCCCATTCTGCCTCGGCGATAAACCGTGGAAACCACCAAAAAGGATGGAGCAGTTCTTGGATCGACCAGCGTGGTTTGCGCACGTGGGTTTGCATCTCTCCCCCAAAGCGTTTGACGGTAAATTTCATTGCCGCCACCCCGCTTGTGCTCTGGAACTGGGCAGTCTGGCCGAGTTAGAGGATCATCTGAAAGATGTTCACTGCTACACCGCACCGCGTGGCAAGAAGAGGGGTTGGGCAAAATGTCGTTGAAGGAGAACCTTTATATCTTTGTTCTATAATGGATAGCTCTTTGTTCGGCGTGTGTGGAAGTCAAACAGTGTCTGTAGGACCAATCGGTGGTAGTCCATCTCTGTAGGGCTACCTGGTATACGACTGCAACTGTAGGCCGATTCGGCCCACATTGCTATTCATTTGGTGGAATAATGTCAACCTGTCATGCCATCCATAATAGAGGCATGGGGTCTGCACATATGCATAGCCGAACCTTTGTCACCGTTCATCGCCGACGAATCCCGGGTTATAAACCAGACCATATCGCCGAGTCTCCTTTAGCCGCCGGGAGACACAGAAAGCTGTGACCCCATACAGTAATGAAGTTCCGGTTCCAGTTCACTATACCTAGCGTGTTCCATGCAGCTAAACCAAGCTACATTTAGTACTTGCTGGCGCAAAGATGGCCATGTAAGATACTGTGAGACAGTAAAGCCAAACGTCACGTTATAAAAGCGCACATCTTGTTTGGGGACATAGCCAGGAGCGATTGTTGGATCGAATAACGCTAACCAAACAAGTCACAAAGGAGGGTAGGCGGCCTCTTATTCGCACGTTGCGTTCTGCAGAGTACCCATAGAGGCAACACCTCTCATTCAAACCATACACTTGGAGCAAGCGACTTGGGACCTTAGTTGCTTGGAAGGTGGCCGTAGCCGATCTCCGGTACAACTTCAAGCTCACTCTCTGACGGCCATACAGTCTTTTTACCCTGCTGCCTTTGGGCCGTGTCCGGTTTTTCTCCCGCATGGGTTGCACGCACGAATCCAAGGTCGTCCTTCCCATGAACATAACCATGGCTCGAGACGTGAGTCCCACGGAGGAGCTGATCCTCATCTTTGTAGCAAAGAGTCACGTGTGGGCCCAAAGGATCCTTTTGATGTACGCCATTGATGCTGGCCGTATCATGAATTTCGGACCTACACGGTCGTCGGCATCAGTTACCACCCTTTACTTAGGGCATTGGAAAACGGGAACGCCATATGAGCGGTGTACGTTGCGCTCAAGGCCTGGTGCCTACCTTATAAGAACAGCCTTTGGATAGGGTTTTCTGTCTCTTGCTGTCTGATATGCCAAAGCCACGACTGGCGCAATCGATCCTGATCTTTCGGAATCATACCTTTGTAAAATAATATTTAACTATGTTGATCGTAGATATCTTGCTTGGATGGAATTTCTAACGCGCCTTGTCGGTTCGAAGATGATACCTTGGAGCCTTGAAGAAATGGGAAGTAGCTGTAGGATGAATTCAGCGCTTTTCATCGTAGATTTGTGTCTGCCTCTTATACCTTCGACTGATTGGAAAAGCCACAGTTCCTCTCCCTTGCAGGAGTTGTTACTAGCTAATCGCCAAGGCCTGGCATGGGCAATGCAATGCTAAGGGCGCGTAAATCTCATCGAGTAAAGATCTAAACATCTCAGAAATGACCGTAAGATCGGCCCTAAGCGCCACTGAAACCTCAGCAGAACACGCATCATGCATAAAACCGTGTGGTCAAATTCCTGGCGGTTATTAATGAGGAGCATCTTGTGCTGAATGTTGGCTTATCAGCCAAGGAATAAGCGCTGCGCTCCGGAGTCCGGAGTTTCTCACAAGCCGCCCTCAGCACAGGAGATGTATCTGCATCCTTGTTGAACTTGTGCATCCAACGTCACTGCATGGTAGGTGATGAATAGATTGCTACCTTCAGGCCTTCGAACGTTGCGCCCACATGGCCCATATTTCAGAGTTGGTTTTTCTGTCCGTCTTAGGGCGCCTCTACACGACACACCTCACCCCACGTTGACTATCGCCACATCCAGCTCAATGGCGACCAATGACGATATAAGCACCCGTTGCTTATACGAGCCTCTTGAGGGAGTCGAGACACTCGAGAACTATCGACCCGGCGGCTATCATCCCGTACAAATTGGAGATCATTTTCATGGTCGATATCGTGTTGTTCATAAGCTGGGTCATGGCACCTACTCAACGACATGGCTAGGCCGTGATGAACGGGCCAACAAATATGTTGCACTGAAAGTCTGTACAGCAAACACAAACCCAACGGAGGCGGATATTATATCCTCTCTCACCCGTTCACATTGCCCTCCTGGCAGCAGTCTAGGCGAGGCAATGCTCCCCTTCATCCTTGATAGATTCACCTTTCATGGCCCAAATGGTGAGCATACTTGCTACGTCACAGCACCGGCGAGGTCTAGCCTCTCCACGCTAAAGGATGGATCATGGATCCGATTATTTCAACTTGATGTAGCCCGGTCATTGGCGGCGCAGCTCGTTCTCGCTGTGGATTACGTACATGCCCAAGGGTTCGTCCATGGAGATCTTCACCTAGGCAACATTCTTCTGAAGGTCCCGTCTAGCTTTGACGAGCTCTCACCCGAACAATTATATGAAAGATACGGACCACCGGAATTAGACCCGGTTATTCATCTCGACGATAACCCGCTGCCTCCTGGTGTCCCATCGTACGGCGTTGCACCCATATGGATGGGGAAAGCAAGCGAGAATGTCACACTTGCAGAGGCCAAGATCCTGCTTTCTGACTTCGGTGAAGCTTTTTCCGTCTCAAAAGAACTCAAATACGCGTCCCGCACTCCCATGCCGTATAGAAGGAGGCTTCTTGAACGGCTCATACAATTTATGTCAGAGATTTATATTCGATGATGAAACGTCGTGGGTATTGCGCCTGCCGCGAGTCTCAAGCGTGAGCCCGAGATACGCCGATGAGAAGATTATCATGGAGGCAGAGGCTCTTCATTTGATTCGCCAGAGGACGTCTATACCTGTTCCAGTCGTCAAGGCCTGGGGATATTCAAAAGACAATCCGCTAGGGCTAGGCCCTTTTCTACTCATGGACTTTATCCGCGGCATGAGTCTTGACAACGTGTTCACGGATGATCAATCCGGACTGCTGAAAGAGAATCTTTGTGACGACGACATAGAGCGTGTCTATAGACAGATGGCCAAGTTCATGTTGGAGCTTTTCCAAATCAACTTCGACAAAATTGGCAGCATTCCAAACTAATCGAGTGCCGTGAGGCCATTTTCGGCGCCCTCGGGAAACGGCTGTTGCAGGCGCGACGGTGAAGCAGAAGGTGAGCCTCGTCGAAAGATGGAGAAGGGATGGAATCGCCCACGGTGGGGCCCGTGGACAGGGGTCCGGGGTCGAGGTGCGTGGTGGTAGCGGACGAGGTCGTGGTGAGAGGGAAAGGTCACGTGTTACCAAATGGCTGCCGAAAAAGGCGTCGAAATCCGAATTGCTATATAGGACGGGAGGCCCTGTTTTCCACACCCCGTGGTCGCATGTGTGATGATACTCTTCGGTAAGTGCTAGATTCCCTCTGGAGTCTCATTTCTTGTCGGGGCAGTCAGGCGACTAATTAGGGCTACCACTTCAAGCCCTAAAGCCTATCTTCACGTGATAACTACACACGTGCTTATTATCTTATCTTATCACATCGTATCTTATCCTCGGATAAACATCCGGCATCTATTAATATCACCGTCGCTGCACATTAGTTATGCTCGTGATCAGCGTTTTGCTCGGCTTGATTGCGCGTCCAGCGGCCCAGGAGATCCTCATTACTCTGCATTCCACCATGCTGAGCCTCTGTGTGCCGTAGGTATGGGAGCTGACCAGGTAAAGCCGGCGGTTTCGACTGCCTCACTGTATTCGGACGCCTCGTCATCCAGCAATCCATCCTCAACTTCCCCCGATGGCACCACCCCTGGGGAACGCGTTCTGAAGAAGATCGACTGGCGGTTCCTCCCGCTGTTGTTTCTAACCTATAGCCTGAATTTCATGGACAAGACGCTTCTGTCTAATGCATCGGTTTTTGGGTTGCGCGAGGACACGGTATATCTGCCCCCTCCCGAATCACCAGCGAGCCTCCCTAATCAGTTATCAGCATCTCAAAGGAGACGAATACAGCTGGGTTTCAAGTGTCTTCTATTTCGGCTATCTCTTCTGGGAATACCCAACGTCTTTTCTGATCCAGAAACTCCCTATTGGAAAATATGTAGGGATCAACACCCTGTTCTGGGGCACCGTCGTCGCAGTGACTGCGGCATGCACGAATTATGGTGGTCTTATCACCGTCCGATTCCTGCTGGGCGCAGCAGAGGCCACGATCTCGCCAGCATTCGTTCACATAACCTCCATGTGGTATACTCGCGACGAAATTCCCATCCGTATGGGAATTTGGTTTGCGGGGAATTCCTTCGGGGGCATTTTAGGCGGTTTTATTGCGTACGGTGTCGGTCACGTTGAGAGGCCTCTGTCGCCGTGGATGTGGCTCTTCATAGTGGGTTCCCAGTTTCCACTGCATATTCTGGCTTTTCTTGGACTGATGTGACCACTTTTCAGGTTCTCGGAGTGGCAACCTTTCTCTGGGGTGTTATCCTTTTTCGTTTCCTTCCCGACTCCATAGAGTCGGCTGAATTTCTCACGTCGGACGAGCGCAAAATTGCGGAACAACGCATCATCATTGCTGGAACGGGTAGTCCTAAACGTTCGTGGAAGCTCGAACAATGCGTGGAATGCTTTCTAGACCCGAAAACATGGTTCTTCTTCTGCATCTTGCTTTCGACACAGGTAAGTTCCCTGGTGAATTCTTTGTATAATTTATTGCTGATCTCCCCAGATCGCAGTTGGGGGAACTCAGAACTTCAAAAACCTTGTCCTAGAAGGCTTTGGTTTTACGTCGTTGCAAACAACTCTGGTCTCACTTCCGTCCTCTTTGATTTCTTGCTTGACAATGATTGGGACGTATGTCATAATTTCACTTCTGCTTTGTCCGTCCAACGATACTGATTAACCCTCTCAGCGGCTGGCTTTCTGGCCACTATGCAAATATCACTTCCCTACTTGTTTGCGGTGTTGTCGCTGTCCCACTCGCCGGAAGCGCAATCATCTATGTTGGGGGGAGCCAGGGCGTCAAGCTTTTCGCCTACTATTTATTATCCACAGGGCCATCCAATATGCCCCTGGTTCTGTCCATGGTCAATGTCAATTGTAAGGGATCGACCAAAAAGCTCACGATAACAGCCCTGCTGTTCATTGCTTACTGCGCCGGGAATATGTATGTCAATTGTCCACTACTTTCAGGTCATCGCTAACAACTTCCTAACAACTTCATCTACAGCATTGGCCCTCACCTCTTCCGCGCATCTGATGCACCCCAGTACTCTAGCTCGTTCAAGGGAGTCATGATTTCATATGCGCTGGCCATGGTCCTTGCGCTAGGACTTCGTTATTACCTGATCTGGTTCAACAGACGGCTTGACAGGAAACAAGTAGTCCAGGCCGGTCAAACTATCGTGATCAAGGAGCAGCACAATAGGATTCAATCTGTTGAAAAGCAGGTAACAAAGGAGAATGACGATATGACAGACCTGAAGACTGTTGGGTTTCGATATCGCGTGTAGTTTGAGCGCCGGAAGGGCCGGACATTGCAACCTCGCTGTGCCCTTTATCCATTTCAATGATCTTCCATGTATTATTATTATGCAAATAGCCATCTGAACTACCCCGTTTCAATCCAGGCTCCACGGATATTAATTGCTATGTACTCCGCGGAATGCCGACGAGCACAGCAATAAACCCAAGAGGAACAGAGCGCTGTTGGACTTTATATATAAAGCGCGAACATGAATGATTCGACCTCCCCAGCGCCAAGAACCACAGTGCCATCACGTCCACTTCGGCGGCATGGAAAGGTTACAATCGCGACCAAATTCAGGAACCTAGATTGTTACGAGATGCCCTGATATATACACAAAGGGGCAATGTTAATGCTGCTATCCCTGTTTAGATCTCCCAAGCCACGAACAATGCGCCGGAAGCCAACGGAGAGCAATGGGGGAAATGGATCTGATGATCTTTGAGCACTTCCAGTGCCCATGTTTCAGCCATCAGTTATGTTGCCGGGTATGAACTCTTAAAGCTGTAGCTATTTAAGCCTCGCTCGTTGCTATGGCTAAGTTCCGGATCAAAGTCTACTAATGCTTATTTTATGTCCTTCCGGATAGAATCACACCAGATCGAATCTTGTCTGATATTCAGCCCTAAAATATCCGTAGAATCATTGAATCAAGTCTACTCTATGACACATCTTCTTACAGGTTCCTGTTTTGAATATGCATTTACTCCCACTGACCGCCACTATATCGTGTTGCCTCTTGCCTAGCCCATGATCCTTCATCATCTCTCGTGGGACGTCGCAATCATCGGAGCAGGCCTGTCCGGCCTCAGTACAGCGAAGGACCTCACCAAGGCAGGGAAGTTCTTCGTCATCCTCGAAGCCCAGGAGCGCGTCGGCGGCCGTGTCCTTAATATCCATCTACCTAATGGAGGAATCACGGAAGCAGGTACCGAATTCGTCGGTCCCACGCAAGATCGTGTACTATTACTGGCCGAAGAGCTAGGTCTTCAGACATATCCGACATATACGGCTGGGAAGGACATCCTCTATCGCAATGGTACGGCATCACTCTTCTCCGGAGACCTTGCAAGTGGGGGTTACCGCCGCTTCAACCCACTGCTCTCCTCCAGCTCGGGTCGGCGGAGTCGAAGCTCGATAGCCTCGCCCATGAAATCGACGTCAATGCCCCATGGAACCATACAAACGTAGCCGAATGGGATAGCATAACCTTCAAAGAATGGGCGGATAAAGAGGCACCCCATCCCGACGCCAAATTTCTCCTCGGGCTAGCGAGCACATCGGTTCTCTCGACCGAGACATGGGAACCGTCGCTGCTGTATACGCTTGCCTATATCGCTACTGCGGGAAATGAGACGACGAAAGGCACGCTGGAACGACTGACAGGAGTACAAAACGCAGCGCAGGAGAAACGCATCGTCGGCGGTACGCAGCTGTTGGCAGTTCAGCTCGCGCAACGACTTGGACTGGAGAATATTGTCTTCAATTCACCGGTTCCTCTCATTAAACAGATAGGAGATCAGTACGTGGTGGTCGCTGATGGGGATCGTATGGGGCGATTATGGGCCTCATAGAAGCGGACGAAGCGAGAAGGGCAGATCTACTGTCCGAGAAGGAAATACAAGATGAAGTGATGAAGGACTACGTGAACTATTTTGGCCCCGAGGCTGCGAATGTCTCGTCGTGGGTCATACAGCAATGGGACTTGGAAGAGTTTTCCCGTGGAGGTCCTGTGGCATTTTCTCCGACGGGGATTATTAGCCAATACGGGGTAGCCTTGAAACAGCCAGTAGGTAGGATTCATTTTGCTGGAACAGAGACATCGCCGTATTGGACTGGGTACATGGATGGGGCTATTCGCTCTGGGGAGCGAGTTGCTGGGAAATCCTGCGTTCCCTGTAAGTAGTTCGCGAGAGAACATGGCCATGGTTGGGGTGCTGTTTTAGGCACTTCGGTTCTCTGTTCCTTCGGTGTTTCCCAGGCATGGGGCACCGGGCGTCAGCGGAGTTGACGATGAATAGAATGCTAGGCCCGCGTAGTAGTCTGACGGGTTCGACGTGGTTGTCTTCATAAAGGGGTCGGCGGAGTCGGTCCCTATCTAGCTAATGGATATCATGTGACTACTCAACATAGTCCTCCACCGGGGAGTGAGGAGGACATACTAACTTATTTCGGACAGGTGGATATCTACCAATCCAGCCCGGGATGCGGAGTATATATGTTCCGGAAAGGAGCCGAATCCCGCATACGAACTTCAAGCGTCAAACATGTCAATTAAGAGCTTCCCGATATACTAGAGACGGCAGTATATCGGATAGAGCGTTCACCACGAATCCTAGAATCCTATCGTATCCTTTTAGCATTTGATATCCGGACGCCGCACCCCTGATCCATGCCATCCTCCACTGGAGCGCGTTATCTTTTATCCAGGTCACGTGATCAGACACTGGCAGTAATGCTATGCCCAATACGAGACCGTTCGACGTCTTCCTACTCTCATTGGCCGGTTGGTGTAGTTGGTTATCACGCATCGCTCACACCGATGAGGTCGCCAGTTCGAACCTGGCATCGGTCATTGTTTTTTGATGAATGCTGGGAGAAAGTGTCAGCCCGACGATACAAGGCAAGACAGCCCAACATGGACCCAGAGGAAACCAGGGAAGCCCGAAAAGACCTCCGCCGGTGCCAAGCGGATGTATGTACTGGCAGAAGATAGACAACTTCACAAGCAGCCAGGATGTCTTCCAAGCTGTTACAATGAATAGGACAACTGGGCTCCCGTCACGGCTAACTAGTCCTCTATAATGGAAGTGTGTCGTGTGTTGTATTGGCCATCTATCTAGGTGCCAGAACCAGCTCTACTAGGTCAGGCAAGGGCGGTCTAACTGGGCAGAACCCACGTGACCTATAACATCTATGCTTATGCTGACTAATATGGGCTAAGCCTAACTAGGAAGTAGCTGAACCATGGTAACCACCAACAAAGAATGCAATCAATCAATCACTTCCTGCTCCAAGTCCCCTTTCTCGCGGCGGATTTGGGGCACTCCCCAAGATCCTTGTTGTGTTAGTGCCCTATGGGTTCTGTTATCTTAGACCGCTCTCGTCTAGGTCGCCCGCACTAGTCAGATAGTTAGCTAGCTGCCCTCATAGTCAGCAATACGAAGCTTACGGTGAGATCGCCCACGGCTGCAGAGAGGCCGCAGTCGGCTATGGGGTTATCATTGGACGACTCGTCTGACAACAGGGACTGCTCAGCTAAGAATGCTTGGTAAATCTAGATAGAATGTGGTGCTGAAATTTAAAGCCCGGCTTCAGTTTGAGACTCTACGCTGTGCTGGTATGCCATCCGTTTTGGCCCTTGGCCCTTTAGGAAAATGACACAGGATCGCTCAGCCACCACGGCAAAAGATACGGAACTATCGTAGAAAACCAGTAAAACCAGTTCCAAGTTCTTACACGCTTCGACAAGGCTGAGATAAACAATCCTTCTGGGGCCGTACTCTGTCTAAGGCTCTCGGGAAACTTGTTGATTTGCGTTGTTTCTGCAATGATTTGGCCCCAATTCATGGACTGGTCTTTATATGTTCGCATACATATATTTTCCACTACGGGGAATATGACGGCTACCTCGTACCATCGTCGATCCTGCAGAACCGGGTGTGGGTTCCCGTGGCATTGCAAGGTGACAGCTCAGCTCTGCTCCTGTGCCGGTGTATAAAGAACCTCGAATTCGCCGTGCTTTCTTTCTGTCAACGGTATAGCATACGCTGACAGTGATGGAGCTATACTGGAAGCTGTTATGCCTCTGGCTCTTCACCCGACAATGGGTGCTGGCCCAGGATCCTCGCCCAAACACCGTCCGGTTCGAACTCACACTGACATGGGAAGAATGGGCGCCAGCAGGCATTCCCCGGGAAATGATTCTATCGAACGGGCAGTTGCCCGCGCCAACCCTCGAGCTGAGGCAGGGAGATAACGTGGAATTCTTGGTCAACAACCAGCTTCCCTTCTCAACGACCGTTCACTTCCACGGTTCGCTTCCCTTGCGTCCGTCGGTATACTTCTGTTCGTGGCAGCTGACGTACGTGTCCAGGCATAAAACAGGCTGGCACACCATGGTCGGATGGAGTACCCGGCTTGTCACAGAGGCCAATTGAGCCTGGCTGTCAGTATCTGTATAAGTGGAAGGCCGACCAATACGGGAGCTACATGTACCACGCCCATAGACGCGGCCAGATCGATGATGGCCTGTACGGGGCAATCTATATCCATCCGGACGAGTCCGTGAAGAAACCGTTTCCTCTGATCACGTCTGACCCGGTGGAACTCGCAGCGATTGAGCTTGCTGAGTCTGCCACCACTCCACTTGTGCTCTCGGACTGGCGGAAACTCACTTCGGAGGAGCTATGGGCATCAGAGGAAGCTGATGGATACGATTCCTACTGTGTCAACGCCCTGCTGCTGAATGGCAAGGGATCAATCTCGTGTCTCAGTCAGGAAGTGTTGGAAGACGTTCTTCCGCCTGCCACGAAGGGCTTGATGGGTGACAACCACATGTCAGATATTGGGTGTGTTCTGTGCCTCATAACCATGAAATAAAATACTGCCCGGGGATAAAATGCTGACTGAGTGTAGATGTTTCCCCCCGTTGGAGCCGGTGCAAGGCAACTACTCTCATAACCCGAACGCTGTCCCTCCCAGCGTCTTTTCCGGCTGCACCCCGTCTCAAGGATCGCAGGAGGTGCTTGCTGTGCATTCAGCTACGCGCTACGTTAGCTACGATCTCATCAATGCGGCGGGAACGTTGGTACTCGCCTTCTCAATCGACGAACATCCCATGTACGTATATGCCGTAGATGGACGTTACGTTGAGCCTACCCTGGTCGATGCTATCCACCTCATCAACGGAGCCCGATACTCGGTTATGGTTCCGTTGGACAAGCCTGCAGGAGACTACACAGTGCGCTTGGCCGCTTACGGCCTCAGCCAGATAATCAATGGCACAGGGGTTCTGTCGTATAGCGATCCAATTCAGCGGCCAAGGAAACCGTCAACACCCAGCATTACTATCACCGGTTATAACACCACGGCAGATACCGTATTTCTGGACGAGTCGACCATCGTCCCATTCCCTGTCGAAGTGCCATCTTCAGACGTGGTGAACACGTACATCCTGAAACTCGACCACTACGGTGCCTCCTATCGATGGACACTGGGAAACTCGAGTTTCCCGTTATCCCTGGAAGATGACTTTCCTGTTCTCTTTGACGTCTCGTCTGCACCGCAGGGTCTCAGCGTGCAAACATTGAACGGAACCTGGGTAGATATAATTTTCCACGTCAGCAAGCCCTTGCAACCGCCCCATCCCATCCACAAACATTCCAACAAATACTTCGTTATCGGGCAGGGTCAAGGAGAGTGGAATTACTCGTCCGTTACAGATGCTCTTCAGTATATCCCCGAGAGCTTTAACCTGGAGAAGCCCCAGCTGAGGGACACGTTCGCCACTCCGGTAGCAGCAACGGGCCCCTCTTGGCTAGCGATCCGATACCAGGTGGTTAATCCAGGGCCGTTCTTGTTGCATTGCCATGTCCAGATCCATCTCAGTGGTGGGATGGCGCTGGCGTTAATTGATGGCGTCGATGCCTGGCCGGAGGTTCCTGATGAATACCTCTATGGGTCTGGATTCTAAGTGCGTGTACAGTCTTCTGTCGTAGACTTCTTCTTTAATGATATACGTGTTCTCATAGCCAAGTGATAAACGATCCAGTCTTAACTAGAGATATCTCTTCCTCGACCTCGATGACCTCCACGGAGAATTTGTCCGCGACCGGGGTGGTAACACGTTCCAGAACTTGGGAGGCATTGCGTCGTCGTGCGTATACCGGCAGCAGGATGCCCCCACGTACAGGCCGGCGCTTATCACGGTTGCTGGCTGCCAGTTTGGCTTCCTGATTCTCTGCGTGGCGTTACGGCACACGCACGCACGGCTGAATGCTCGACGGGCGTTGAAGGGCGCGACGGGAATGGCCTATATGCTGTAATAATTCGCCGGCAGAGGACCAAGGTTCCCAGGATGTGAATGCAACCGTTCTGCAGGGGGAAGTCCACCGATTATATGACTGCAGAAGCGCCCTAGACGACCGATCATGCCATGCCTGTTCGTACTGACGCCATGGACTGCCCCTCTTGAACTGCAGCCGGACGATATCGCTGGCGTAGTTGCCGATCGTTTATTCCTGGTGAATCCTGTGGCCCTTCATGAACCACCCGAGCTTCTCCTGACTCAGAGAGGACAGCCTGTCTCTATCCGTAGTCCCCGCCGGCTCCCTATATCAGTGTCGTTCTGAATCCTGCCCCGTCTCTTGATGGAGAGCCCCGAAGCGGCTGTGTGTGCCGAACCAGCGGCCGGCCAAGGCCGGAGAGCCAGCAAGGTCCGTTTCCTAATCCTTGGGACGTGGGACTGTTGCTCGGTCCTTGGCTGATCTGTTCGTGTCAGGCTTGCGAAACATGCCGTGCGAAAAAGATCAAATGCGATGAATCGCGGCCAACATGTCGGTACTGCAGGAAGCGCAAATTGCCGTGTCAGTATCGCCAGGAGAACCGGCCCGTGTAAGACAATCAGATCCCCGCTAGGGCTCTTGGGGCCGCCGAGACTGATTAACTGTGGATGCCCTGTGTAGCAGGGACCCTACGCTTTCGCTTATCTTCGACCGGTTGAACCAGCTCCAGGACTCGGTTCAGGCTGTTGAGGGCCGATTGATGAAGCTGGATGCCTCTTCTCCACGGCCTACGCGCCCGCCGACGAAATTCGTCCATGGAGTGCCTTCTCCGGATTCCACAAGAGATGACTATATCCGGCCGTCGACCGTCCCAGAGTCCAATGCTGAACAGTCTGACTTGCACCGGAGGAGCCCTCAGCCAGCATCAGACGTATTGCGATGGGATTGCTGCCGGAGATGCTTTCCACGGCTCTCCAGTAAATACCAGGACCCGGACCGCTTCTCCAACTATTCCGGCATCCCAAATTCCAATCTCTCGATCTCCCTCCTCTTACAGCCCGAACCGGCGGCGGAGACCGGACAGGTTTTCAGTCATGTCCGCAACTTCCTGGACCATGTGTACCCTTTGTATCCGATCGTCTGCGAGCAGGCCATATCCGACATGACAACCGAGTTTATACGCGAAGGACCGAGGACGAACATCCAATCGGCCCTCGTCCTGCTGATGGTGTGTCTGGCCAAATTGCTTGTCAGCGGGAATCCAAGCGACGAGTTGACGGCGGAGAACGACCTGGATGGCGCAGTGCAAATCCTGAACTGGGTGCCGTTGGAGAATAGCTTGGAGCATGCACAGGCTCAGTTCCTCGCTGCATTGTGCTTTTCGAAGTTCTCCATGCTCTCCACGTCGGTGGCTTTTCTTCAGCGGTCGTCTGCCGTTTTATACGAATTTCTTCTGCGGTAAGAGATCGGGGCATCCACCAGCTCTGTCCTGCCATGCGTAGTTATACTGAGTAGCAGCAGAAAGGTTCTTTCGTCCGCGCAGATTAAACTCACCACACGAACGACCAGCGTCCGTCTGTACTGGGTAGTGCTTAACCTGGAGAGAGACTTATGCTGGGAGACACCCCTCTACACACTTGGACCGCTGTCCCAGCTAGAAGATCGCCTGCCACTTCCCATGGAATGCATGGTTCAGAACGCTGCTTCTGCGAATACCGCCGGTCAGTCTGAGACGTACCACTCGGCCATCGATGCCTGCTACCCTCTTTTCCTGGCCGAGACAAGCCTGCGACAGATCTGCTGGCGGGTCAGCAGTGCTCCCGAGCTGCAGGAGGATTTTGCATCGGCCAAGGAAAGCCACGTATACTCTCCAGGCAGCTCTTCCTCGCCGAACGCAACACTCGTCTTGCCTGTGGTCACGGAACTCAGCTCGCAGGTGTCGAGGTGGCTGGAGTGCGTGCCTGCTGCTGCAAACTGGAGCCCGAAAGCAGAACCGGGACCAGTGACCCCATTGAGCACCCGGGTCAAGCTTCTGTACTGGATGTGCCGTTTTAACGTTCACAAGTCTGCTCTGCGCCACGTGTCGCTGTATAACGACTCTCTGGAAGTGGCCGATGGGCTGACTCAAGTCCGAGCCAAGGCTGCGCTGGAGGCTGCGGCTCGCAGTCTCTACGTCTTCTGCGAGGAAAACTTTGCAGCAGACGAGGTGCTAGCTCATAGGTACTCTTGTCGAACCCTCACACATTTACCTGGCACTATTAACAACGGTGATATAGGCTGTTGATGTTGCTTGTCGTCCTGTCCACTTCTTTGATGGTCCTGGGGGCGGAGGGAGTCAGGGCTTCATGCCCAGACCTGACCATTTCTCCGCACATGTTAGTGGAAAGGTGCGCTCGGCGACTGGATATCCTGGTACGCCGTACCGCCGGAGGATACAGTGAGAGACGATGGAAGAGTCGCTGGTTGTCTGAAGACCTTGATGTCTTTTTCATCGACGCCGGGTTGTCGAGACAGTAGACATCCGACCCGGTGAACCTCATGCCTCACGACTACCTGGCATGAATGGTCTTGGAAGTTCCTATGCTCTAAATACAAGAGCAAGCCTGCATGACCCAATCCGTACACGGTGGTTGTCTTCAATCTTCGTTGGCAGTGGATTCATTAGGGCTGGTCCGGAAGCCATAGGAGACATAGTTGAATGGGCACAGAATGTCTCTATCTATGAATAAGATAGACTGCCAGCCGATTAAAAAATAAAAGAAAAAATCCCAGTCTAATTCCAAGGTCAGCTGCACAGACTGATGAACGGACTGCCAGTGATCCAAATGAAATCCTAGGCACTGAATAAGGATGTTGATATGCCTGTGTGCATTTATTCCACGCATGCTGGAGGATGGCGTGGATGTGTTCTCCCATGCACCCTTCATTCCAGCAGCAATGCCATCTTGCTGCCCAGATGAACCTGAACTTACATGGAGAACAATGAGAAGCATCTGGTGTTTGCTTCAGCGGTCCTTGTGGTCCTTGTCGTTGCCAGGACGTTGCCAGGACGCAGCGTGGATCAATTTCTCTTTCACTCTGCTTCCCCTTCCCCTTCCCTTTCCCTTCTCCCTATATCGTCTCTCTCCCATGACTCTATCACCAGGCTGGCCTGTGTCTCTATCTTGAGTATGTACTCTTTCATCCCGTTGAGGACTCTTCTTCGGACTATCTAACTCTCCTTCCTATGTATGGTCCTTCATTGTGCTGTCTGTTCATGTACATGCCTCTGTAAAACGTGCAGAGTCCGCATAGGCCTCGCCAAGGGCTTCTTGGACATCCTGCATAGGGACTCGTCCTCACGCATCTCTGGGATGCTGCCATACAGCTGACCATTCCACAGGGCCTCAGCAAAGCAACTAATCTCCCACGATGAGCGCCTTGTTCAAATCCACTGACGGAACAAGCCAAGCTAACGGGATTACAGAGATGCCAGCCGTCGGATGGCACGAAAAGGACCACAAGCCTGACTGTAAGATACTTCGTGACACCGACATGGCTCGTATGTTTTCGGTCAAATGGGATTGCTGGGAGGGGTACTTCTGTTTCCCGCGGCCGCAAGCCTAAGCTGGACCTGGTCTTTGCTCCTGGGTGTGATATCTTCGGACGTTGTCGCTCCTTGCCAAAGTGGTTGGATGAAAGGAAACGAATCCTTCGAACATGTAAGCTAGACTGAATACTGGATTATCCTTGAGTCGGTCGGGAATAGGATACTCGGCTTTATGTTGTTGACTTTCTGACTGTGCTTATAGTCTATGCTGACTTCGGGCGTAAAGTCCACAACGGGAAAATAAACCCTACTTCCTGTCACTGACAGCATTGGCTTCGAGATGCTCATAATAGCCACCATAGCATAGAATACGATCTGAGGAAATGATCTGCTAGCCCGGACATGCACTTGAGGTCTACTTCGCGTTCCAGGGATCGTGAATAAACTCGTCTCAATCCGAGATCTGTGCCTCGGAGACCGAGGACCATACAATTCGCCGCGCATAGCGTTGAGAAGAATACCTATTGGCATCGTCAAAGGTTGACATAGAACGGTATAAATATGAGGGTAGACCTGTTGAATTGGCATCCATTGCATCCTCGTTCTCAACACTTGCATCTTCAATGATCTCTTCTGCCAGATTCCTCGCTTGATGCTCGGTTGGGACCTCCTCTTCAGACCATTCATGACAATCCGATCTTCCGCATCGACTATGTCTTCCTCCAACACTGCCGCCTGGCTCACTGCCGCCAAAGTCCACCCCTTCGAAGTCAAGGAAGCCCCCCTCTGGAAAGCCTCGGAGAACGAAATCCTCGTCAAGAACCACGCCGTCGCCATCAACCCCGTGGATGGCAGCCTGCAAAGCAAGGCCTGGTGGCCCATGAGCTACCCAGCCATCCTTGGCCAGGATGTCGCCGGTGTGGTGCATTCTGTTGGCCCAAATGTCTCTCGTTTCAAGCCCGGTGATCGCGTCGTCGGTCATGCCGTGGGCATGGCCACCAAGCGCAACCAGGATAACGCTTTCCAGGCGTACACGATTCTGCAGAGCCACATGGCTAGCCAACTTCCGGATCACATCACCTTCGAAAATGCGGCTGTTGTCCCATTTGAATTTGCAACTTCCCACTGAGCCCCGCCAGAAGCCGACTGGATCTACCCTGCTTGTGTGGGGAGGCGCGTCGAGTGTCGGTAGTAATGCGATCCAACTGGCTGCTGCGGCTGGTTATGGAGTTGTGACAACTGCTTCCGCGAAGAATTTCGAATACGTGAAAAAGCTAGGTGCGACGGAGGCATTCGATTACCACAGCCCCAATATCGTCGATGAACTCGTGCATGCTTTGAAGGGCAAGACGATCGCCGGTGCTATGGACTGTGTCGGCTTCTCCGCCACTACTCTCACCGCAGATGTCATTTCGAAGCTGGAGGGTCGCAAGTTCATCGCCTCTGTAAAGGGCTTTTCCGGGGAGTTGCCCAAGGATGTCACCGTGAAGAGTGTGTTTGCAACAACTCTCAAGGATAACCATGTCGGTAAGGCGATTTACGTCGACTTTCTACCCAACGCATTGGCAGCTGGGACTTTCGTGCCTGCCCCGAATCCCATGGTTGCTGGAAAGGGCCTGGAGAATGTTCAGGAGGCGGTTGATCTCCAGGCTAAGGGTGTGTCTGCTCGGAAAGTGGTTGTTGTTTTGTAGGACGATGAAGCAGTAGTTAGGGTTTGATACATTACCGTTTATTTTGACCACGGGATGAGTCCCAGTGGACCAACATTGCGCATAACGAAACAATGCTTTCAACGCAGCAGTTACTTATATATATCCGAAGACTTGGCACTAGTCATCCAATGCTATTCTTTTTAGTTGCACAGGGGCTAGTCATTCAGCGCAATATGATCAAAGATCCTCATCAATCTACCTGGATACACCAGATCTCCTTTCCGGGGCCCTGCGGGGTTGGCGTGTGTTCCGGAGAAGAAACCCAGTAAGACATTTCTAATGCATATTACAACCCGAACACAATACTTAGTCATAATAGACTGATGTAACATGCACACGAATGGGATTAACTGTAAGCATTAGGAGCCTCTCTCACTGTCATATCTGGAATTACTTCATGCGGGGAAACGAAGAATGCAGTCAGAGCCGGGATGCGAGGACACTGCCCATTAACATATCAACATCAACAAGGCCAGCGCTATTTGTTTCTCTCTCATATTCGAAACTCACGGTTGTTGGTACCTCTCATCAAGGTTAGCTCCTATACTGCAGAGAACACAATGACTACCACGTCGACTACGCCGCACATCTACAGGTCCAAAGACCCTGCCCCGGTGATCCCAACAGAGATGTCGATATGGCAGGTGTTTCTGGAATACAATCCAGATCTAGTCCCGGACAACAAGGTGGTTCTCTAGGAGCACGAGAACCGTAACGCGTCTCTCACGTACGGGGTCCTTGAGTCGGCCGTTTGCGCGAATAGGATGACGGCCAGGAAACAGAGGTTCCTCTGGCATACGTCAAGCTGAAGCCGCATATTGCCAAACACGGGATCCCTCAGACACTGCAGCATATTAGGGCCTTTATGGATGGCCGTGGGTCCTCGTATGAGAAACCACGCGGCGGTGTTCACCACCTTGAGGCCATTCCGAAGAATCCCACTGGCAAAGTCCTTCGGCGTCTCCTACCCGCTCGGATAGAGCTGGACGCCAAATATGCTCAGTTGAAGAGGAGAAAGGGGAAGGTGTGAGGCAAAGGAGCGGAGTGTTTGCATATCAGAGTATTGTTACTAGAGCCACTGCAGTAGACTTGTCGGTGGACACCCCTCGTACCAATTGCCATATTTGTTGACATGGGAATTTCAAGCAGAACATTTTCTCAACCGAAATATATCCCATGAATATCGTGGACAAACTCTTAACTGAGCTTGCCCCTTGCCAAAATCCGCAGTCTTCGACAGATAGGATAGGGTAGGGTATAGGGCATAGGGCACAGTCTGGTTACTGAATCGGGAATAGTTACAACGGTTATGCCTAATCCAATAACCGGGAGCCTCGGTTAATGTCACACGCGTTAGCTCCTTCCAATTTGGGTTAGCGTTGATTGCTCAGCGACTTGAGTGTCATCTCTTCAGGGGCTTCGAATGCTCTGAATGAAACAAACCAACGATTATCCTTCTTCTGTGTCTGGAAATATGCCCCAGCCACTATGATTATCGCTTGGTTCCGTGGCTCCAGACTCGTCGACTCTGACAGATGTGGCGAAGATATTCCTGTAGGTTGCTACTGTGAATGAAGCATGGCCCTGATCAATGCAGCGGCGCAGACAGTTTATCATTGCTATTATACCGCAATAATGACCGTAAAGCAGACTACCTGAATAGATTAAACGACATTCATGATTCATCTGTCCAATGCTAGATGATCGGGTGGTGTCTGATGTAACTGATGTAACTGTGGAGTGCTACTATAGCTAAGTCGTAACATAACCCGTCTCTGCGTCGTCCATGCTCTGACACGCGCATCTCCCCTCCCACCGGAGTACGCGATAATCAATATCCTCTGTTGGAGATGTTCATCAAATCCCTCCTTTTTACCGGTGCCATTGCAGCGGCAGTGGCAGCAGTCGACATACCACTGCCGTCGCTCCTCGTCCCCCAGTGTCCTGGACAGGGTACTGCGGTCGTCGATCGCACAGCGCCTGACAGGACAGCCTTTCCCTTGACCACCGTCTCGCTGTGCTACACGCAGACGACTCTTCAGCTCAATTTTACCGCGTTCCAGGAGACCAACTTCTACTACAACGCAAGCCAGGGCACCAATGGCGACATCTACAACTACGAAGTGATGGAAGCCTTCATCTACCACGGCCGCAACGACCCGCAGACCTACCTCGAGTTCGAAGTCAATCCCAACAACGTTACCTACCAGGCTGTCGTCTACAACCCGACCAAGGTGCGCGCTGCGAACGCTCCGTTCGATCACTTCTTCGTGACCGATCCGTCGACGGACGGCTTCTCGGCCAGCACGACCCTGGACAAGGCCGCGCAGACGTGGAGGTCATCTGTGCAGATTCCGTTGGCGCTCTTCAATCTGGATGGCCATGTACAGGGCTCGCAGTGGCGCATGAACTTCTTCCGGACCATCACCTCGCCCAGTATGTATCCCAATCAGACTCTGGGTGCCTGGAGCCCGCCGAACCAGCCGAGCTTCCATATCACGCCTTACTTTGGCCATGTTGCTTTTACTTAGTGCAGGGGCAAGCCATGCCTCCGAGGGTCTCATGCGTCACGACGGCTTCAGCATCCTTCAGCATCCTTCTGTATCGCATCAGCGTCCTCAATGGGCATTTCTCCGTCTATCATCGTTCCTACCATGCTCTACATGTCATTTTACTCGCGGAATGCATTTCTTATTCAAATGACACGATTGAGTCCGTGCCGCGTGCCTTCCCCTGATGTTTCGTAGCAAAGGAAGGAGCTGATGTCCGATTATTATAGCCTTTGGCCTCCTGTAAATAAGGCATTGGGTCTTGATGGCTTGCTCGTCTTCTTTCTTCGCCGATCACGTTGCCTGTGTCTGAGAACAGCCCCAAATGATATTGCAGTACCGCGGTGACTATTGTATGCTTGATAGACCATAGTAAGCTCGGCAGTTCCATGGTTCGCCGGCAACGTGAAGTCGTATTTGACTCTTCAAGTCGATGACGGGGCAGACCACTGTCAATGACCATGCGTGACGCAAACACGGATCTTTTGAAAAAAAGAAACAGGATGTCGCTTCATGTTCCGTCAAACCTGTGTCCAAGAAGCACCTACACATGCGTACGACGATGACCTGTTGTATCTGTTGGACTGGTGTCTGCTCTAGAATCTTACAATCCTTACTATGACAGTATCCGGGAAACAAGCGGTTACACCATGCTCCTATTTCTGTTGTTACATTCCCCTAATCGGTCGAGTCGGCCATACGATCAATACATCCCGCATAATGGCATGGCATTCAGTTAGCATGAGGTCTAAACTCAGCTCGACATTCGTGTTTCTGCAACCATATCAGTACCATCCTCTATCCGAGTCCTTGCACTGGTAGACGTACCCGCATTGCAGGGCAGCTCTCATCATAGAAGACCTCGTAGCAGGCAGTGATCCCCAGGGAGATAGACTCAAAACCCACGGCGAATGGTCGTGGTGTATGTGCGATATATAGATGCTTCAAGGGTGGTCACCAGCGAGCTTGATTCCTGGGACTTCGTGTATACAAGACAAGCCAAGAGACACAGAGGATTGCTCTCCTGGTCCCCGGTTGCTATTACGGTGATGTAGCATGTACAACGCTGCCGACCATACTTCCCTCCACCTTTCTATGCATAATCCCTCAATCCTGATTTCCGGGCATCAATGAGGCAATATGCAATAACAAGTAAACTAGAAACAGACTCGAAGAAGTTGATTGCACGGCCACTTCTGCTGACGAGCGTTTCGATCCCTCAGATCCGTTGCCTTTCCCACCCGCCAACTGACGTCTCCTCCAGCATGCTGTCCCTTCTCGAGCACATCCTTCACCCAATACGTTCAAATTGAGATTAAATGTAGAACTGAAATGGAGACGCTCTTTATAGTTCTCTCTTACTGGAACAGGAACGACAAGGGATGATATCATCTCATCTAATGGCTGTGTTGGAAGATCATTCCATCGTCATACTAAGCACACAATATAATAGCGTTTCCTTTGCACTGTGTATGCCAATCCAGATACCAGAGCCGGTTTCAAGCCTCACGTAGACACCATTTGAAATGCAAGAGTTCTCCCAAGGATTGAAATGTAAGATCTATCCAGCCCTGCTTGCTCTCGGACCTCATCTGAACTGGAATCTGGAATTGATAAGCCATAACAGGGGCACAGCCAGAACCCACATCTCCCGAGTACGAATACATAATCGTCGGCTCCGGTGCAGGCGGGGGACCCTTAGCAGCTAACCTCGCTCGACTCGGTCGGATCGTGCTCCTCCTCGAGGCGGGCGATGATCAAGGAGATAATCTAACTGCAAGTGTGCCGGCATTCCATGCCTTTGCCACGGAAGACGCGGCCCTCCGATGGGACTTTTTCGTTAAGCACTATGACGACGACGAACAGGCCGTCAAGGATCCGAAGATGACGTGGGAAACGCCCGATGGGAGCGTCTATATTGGCCTGCATCCTCCATCTGGATCGCAGCAGAAGGGTATCTATTACCCCCGGGCTGGAACGTTAGGTGGCTGTACCATGCATAATGCGCTGGTGGCCGTCTTGCCGCCGGATGCCGACTGGGAGTATATTGCCCAGATCACGAACGATCAGTCATGGAACCCGCAAGCGATGAGACGGTATTGGGAACGGCTTGAGAGGTGCCAATATCTCCCCGACGGGACCGCGGGCCACGGCTTTTCAGGCTGGTTGGAGACGGAGCATACCGATCCAGAGATGTTAACATCCCAGGAACCGTTTATCAAGGCTGCCATGAAGGTTGTATCTGCGCACGGGCCTGGGGATAGTCAAACCGAGATATATGACGATATAAACAGTCTGCATCCCAAGAGCTTGACCGGAGTGTACAAGATCCCCTTGTCGATGAGTAAACGAGGTAGACGCAGCAGTCCTCGAGACTACCTCGTTGCCACGGCCAGTGCGAGAAAAGAAGACGGATCGAAGAAGTACCACCTCCATATCCGCACGAAATCTCTCGTAACCAGGGTTCTCTTTAGTGAAAGTGCCGAAAAGCCACGGGCCGTCGGCGTGGAGTTTTTGGAAGGCAAGAGTCTCTACAAAGCGGACCCAAGGTATATTGAGCATCGACGTCCCCCCATGCATCGGGTGTATGCGTCGAGGGAAGTGATCCTAGCCGGAGGAGTTTTTAACACACCGCAGCTTCTCAAACTGAGTGGGATCGGTCCGAAGGAGGAGATTGAATATTTTGGGATTCCACCCGTGATGGATCTTCCCGGTGTTGGAACCAATCTCCAGGATAACTATGAATACGCCGTGATTATCCAGTCAGACAAGGTCATCTCTGCGTATAGGAAATCGCTGCTTGGCTACGCCGGGGACGCATTGTTGGAGCAATGGGTCTCCGAAGGTACTGGGCCATACAAGGCTAACGGCGACTCGATTGGGGATGAGGATGAAGTCCGAGGTCAGCGAGAATGGCGAGCTGGATATCTTCATCTTCGCAGGGACCAAGGCCTTCTCCGGCTTTTTTCCAGCCTGGTCGAGGTCATTTTCGGCCTCGATCAACAGGTTCTGTTGGAATATACTCAAGGTGCATCCTCGCAACTCCACCGCCGGGACGGTGAAGTTGCGCTCTGCGAATCCTCAAGACATGCCGGAGATAAATTTCCGATATTTCGACGGACGCCATGATTCAAATGACCCGGAACATGATCTGATTGCCATGGCCGATGCAGTCACGTTTGTCCGCGAATTATACGTGACAGCCTCACGGCCCGAACGGCCATTGATAGAAGAGAGCCCAGGTCCGTCCGTCCGGGGACGCCAGAATATCATGGCGGATATCAAGAACAACTGTTTTGGACATCATGCCAGCAGTACGTGTGCGATTGGGGCGGACGATGACCCGATGGCGTGTCTCAACTCGCGCTTCCAAGTGCGCGGCGTTGAAGGCCTCAGGGTTGTTGATGCCTCTGTCTTCCCGCGTGTGCCGGGTTCATTTCCCCAGCTGGCGACTTATATGATCAGTGAAAAGGCGACGGATGTTATTGTTGAAGATGAGGGATTGAACGTGGATCTTTCCGTACTGGAGGCAGGTCTAGGGGATCTGGCGTTGAGAGATGGATAGTATGAGTGATCGCATTATAAGATGGACCGTAACTAATAAATCTATCTATCCAGATGCTCAATAGTTTGGCCAATTCTCCCTTGCCATTTATGATAGAAGCATTCTTAGTTGGCTCCTCGAAACATCCTCTATGCATTCGAATAAGTCATTTTCCCACACCCCAATTCCCATCGTCTCTCGCAGTTCAAAGAGATGCTGGCTCGATCCTCGCGCCTGACTCGTCAAAGTACAGCTTCTTGCCTGTCCGGACAGCCTCCTGGAGGTACGATCCGATCTCCACAGCACGCAGAGCACCCGAAAGCTTCATGGGCAACTTGGTACCGTCGAGACAGGCCGCGGTCCACTCGTTCGCCTCCTGCACAAATGCATGCTCGAACCGCCCATAGTAATGCGGCGGAGCCTCCCTAGTAATGCCCGCCGACGTGTACATATTGACCAAGTTGGCCTGCGGGTTGCCGTTGACGGACAGCTTGCCCTCAGTGCCGATGACCTCGGTCGTGTCCTCTTGGCCATGCGCCATCATCCTAGAGCAGAAGAAGTATGCCACCTTGCCGCCATAGAATTCGACGATTCCGACCGCGTTGTCGTAGTCGCCATGCTGTTCTAGCCCTGGTGCCACTGCGCGAATCCCCGATGCTGCGACCGACTTGACGGCAGAGTCTTCGCCGAAGAACCAGAGGGCAAGGTCGATGTCGTGGACTATGGAACGAGATGAAGGGTCAGTTACACCATTTCGTCTTCTCTAAACGGACTGTTCACCTACCGGACATGTCGACAAAGCAGCCCCCCGAGTGCTTGGCGTACTCGACAAAGAAGCCCGACGGATCATGTTTGTCGCAGGTCTGAGAGCGGAACACCGATGGACGGCCAATGACACCATTCTCGACTTTCTCGTAGGCATCGCGGTAAGAAGCATCGAAGCGCCGGGAGAAACCACACATAACCTTGAGATGTGGCTTCTTGCGGGCGGCGTCTATCACTTTCCGGGACTGTTGAGGAAGCGCCGTGTCAGATTCGGTACTGTCTGCCTTGGAGTAGCGCGACGACTTACCACATCGACGCTCGTGGACAGCGGTTTCTCGCAGAGGACATGTAGATCCTTGTCGATCGCCTTGATGGCCTCTTCTGCGTGAACGGTGGTCACCGTGGCGATGACGATTGCCTGCAAGCCCTCCAACTTCAGCATTTCATCGTAGTCCGAGAATAGCGTCACGCCGAAGGGTTCGAGATTGGCACGTCCCCATTCGAGCTCGGCAGGATCTGGGGAAAATGCAGCGACCAAGTCTGCTCGGGGAGTGCGTGCGAGGATGTGCATAGCATGGCGCCGGCCCATACGACCCAGGCCAGCAACGGCAACTTGGAGCTTGGAGATGGCCATACTGGAAAGCAATGGAGATATTCAATATAGATATGAATCGGCAGCGTTGAGAGCTGCTGAACGACAACTCCCTGCTCGGAATCAGGCCTTTTAAACCCCCAGCTCAGACCGGAAACTGGCCAACGCAACAGCCGGAGATTGAAATCCGACATTTTAAAATGCGGGGACGATTGCCAGCTTCTCTCCACGCTTGGCGATACGCTCGCACAGATCGCCGGCGATGCTTTTGGTAGCTTTCTCCGTGGCAATCGGCTCTGATACGTTTGCTCTCTCTTCCCTGATTCCCGCAGAATGGCAGCGGGCTTGGGATTGCTCCAGAATGTCATCCACGCCACCCCCGCGTTGGAGAATGCGGGGATCTACGAATCCGGGGAAGCTTAATGGCGCCCGGCCGGTTTTTGGCTGTCAATTGCCGCCAACACGGTGCCATTGCACGCGTTTCTTCTTTTTGGCACATTGATTCTACGAGACCTTGTAGTCCTAATCAGGAGACAGCGTGGACGTAGTCGCGGGAACACGGACACGGCAGTATGAAGTCGATGTTTCTTCTTTAAGCCATGCTTTGCGCTCCAGATTCACTTCTGTCATGGAAGTCCCCTCATCCGCCTTCCAAATAACATCCTGCATATCGACCTCGCATACTCTGCCCAAATTCTACATTCCCAATGGCCCCTGATGCGCTGGCGAAGCCCGCAGATGCAATCCCCGCCAAATCAAAATCGGACCTCGAAGACCCAGTGGAGGTCGCGCATGTGGAGGAAACCCGCATCAGCGAGGGAAACAGCGATCTCATTGAGGAGACAGGCACCAGCAGGGTCACCTGGCTGGTTTCGGCCACGGTTTCGCTGGGTGGCTTTCTCTTTGGTACGCTTGTGTCCCCAGTTTGTGCCAACCGGGTGGAGAACCACAGCGCACACTGACGGACATCGGGATATTGCTTAGGCTACGACACAGGCGTGATATCGGCCGTGCTGACCTGTCTCAAGGACGATCTGGGCCATGAGCTGGACTCCTCTGATAAGGAACTGGTCACCTCCATCACCTCCGGGGGTGCGTTAGTCGGCGCAGTCGTCGCTGGCTTATTTGCAGACCACTTTGGACGAAAACTCCCTCTGTACGCAGGATGTCTCGTATTCTCCATCGGTGCTATTGTCCAAGCCGTGTCGTATGGCCTCGTGCAGATGATGATTGGGCGATTCACCGTAGGCCTTGGTGTCGGCAGCGCAGCCATGGTCATTCCGTTGTATATCAGTGAATTAGCCCCGGCCAAATACAGAGGTCGCATGATTGCCTTTGACAACATGAGTGTTACTCTTGGCCAGTTGGTTTCCTATGGCCTCGGTGCCGGTTTCACCTACATTCCCCATGGCTGGAGATACATGGTCGGTCTGGGAGCTCTGCCGGCCATCTTGCTCACTGGTCTGCTCCCGATGTGCCCAGAGTCGCCACGGCAGTTACTCGTGCATGGAAGATCCGAGCAGGCGCTGGGTATCCTCCGACGGACGTATCCGAATGCCACAGAGCAGCAGCTGACTGGGAAGCTGGACCTCATCCGCCAATCCGTCATCGACATGCAGTTAAGGATGGGCGAGAAGAGCGTACGGCGCCGCTTTCTGCAGCTCTTCACTGAAGGATCAACGCGCCGCGCTCTCATCTGCGCGTGCGTCGTCATGGCAGTCTCTCAGCTGTCTGGTTTTAACACTCTCATGTATTACTCGAGCACCTTGTTCGGTCTGGTGGGCTTTAACCAGCCGACAGTCGTCTCGATCGTCGTGGGCGCGACCAATTTCCTTTTCACCCTGTTCAATATGTTCATCATTGACCGTGTTGGCCGACGGCCCATCTTACTCTGGACCACTAGCGGCATGGTACGTATGCATAGTCTCTGGCTAGGAAACAGGCCAATCTAACCACCCGCATGGACAGCGACTCTGGTCCTCGTTGCCGTCGCATTCCATTGGATTCCCATCGATGAAGACCTCAATTTGACAGCCTCGGGTGTTAACTGGGCAGGGATAGCGGTCCTTGTCGCCATAATTGTCTTCATTGCCTTCTATGCTAGCGGCGTAGCGACCATCGGCTGGGTTGGCACCGAGCTACTCCCTCTGCAAGTGCGTGCCCTAGGCACCATGCTCAACACCGTGACATGCTGGGGCTGCAAGTACGTCGATCCTCTCTACCTGTCAAGTTGAAACTTTACTCACTGCTCCAGTATCATTATTGCCTCTACGTTCCTTACCATGATGAAGTCCATGACACCAAGCGGTGCTTTTGGGTTTTATGCGGGCATCTGCGCCCTGGGCTGGTCCTTCGTAGTCTTCTGCTACCCGGAAGTGAAAAACATGCCACTAGAGTCGGTACAGGACATCTTTGCACATGGATTTGGCGTGAGATATGCTGCGAACCTGCCAAAGGAGTTCCGGGCACCGCGGAGGCAAGTGGCGGGCTATGTGTAAATAGCAGGGCAATGTAGCGAGCATCACCGCTTGGGTGGTGGCTATATATGTATACACTGCTCGATTCGAGATTCCACAATTGATATGCGAAGATGGATTTCAAGCTAAACATCCGTTGGGAGCTTCATCTACATGGCATTTGTAACATAGGAACTACCCTCCGTATCGTCTTGAGTCTACAGTGGACTTCAGGGGACTCCAGGGATGCCTCGATGCTGCGAATGCATCCATCAACATCGATACGAGAATGTCTGTATCCGTATCTTCCCAGTGAGAAAGAGGGTTTAGATGGCCCGTTATGGCATTATGAAGAGATTCGAATTTGGAAATATTCCTTGTATGGTATTACAGTCCTCGAATGGCAATCTTCCCCGATCTCCCATGCCCTCACTCGGAAGTATGGCCATTTGCCGAAATTCAAAGACACAGAGACATGCGGAGTGTCCATATGTAAATAAGAAGGCTCCATGAGATATCCCATCTCATGCACAAATCATTCCAGCTACACCATGGCCATCGACATGGCAAGCAAGTACCACTCTCTGCATCTCCCTACTCACCATGGGGATTGGAGCTTATGGGATCGCATATACGACCAGCTAACTCTCGATGACTGTGTTGGTCTCCTTGTTATCCTGGTAGTTACCATTGCGTATCTTTCCCATGGCTACCTCTGGGACAAGCCAGATCCGTATCACCATCTCTGGTTTGAAAAACCTCAAGCACGCTCCATGGTGAACAATCTACCGGCGCAGACGCGGAATATTGCTACCAAGTTGGAAGAGAGGGTATGTCAACCTATCCCTATCGATTATATGATGCTGGCTAATATAGGTCTCGGCTGTAGAAGAAGGAAATGGTCATCTTCTGGGGCTCCCAGTCTGGCACGGCGGAAAGTCTGGCTGCGCGACTGTCGAGAGAAGTGAATCGGCGGTTTGGCATCGAGAGCCTTCTCGCCGACTTGTCGGACTACGATGCTGCCTCCATCACCGACATCCCTGTGACAAAAATAGCGGTTTTTATTCTTTCGACGTATGGGGAAGGGGATCCTCCGGATAATGCCAACGAGTTATGGTCTTGGGTCACGACGCAGAAAGATGTGAAATTAAATGATTTACGGTATGCTGCATTCGGTCTCGGAAACAGCAATTACAATGCTTTCAACCGCGCCATCGACATCGTGACCAAGTCCCTGGATGGCTTCGGTGCTCGGGCGCTTCTGCCTGTCGGCAAGGCCGACGATGCGAAGGGGTCGACCGTGGAGGACTTCTTGGCCTGGCAGGACGAACTGTTTGGCATGCTGAAGACGACACTAGGCTATCGTGAGCAGAATGTGGGCTACCAACCGACGCTTTCTGCAGTTTATAATGATTCAGTGAACCCTGCAGACATCCACCGGGGCATCCCTGTTGACCCCCGAGAAAGGAAGAAGGCAAGGGGTGGCCGTTTGAAAGTCTATGCACTCCCTCTTACAGAAGGCCGTGAACTGTTCTCCGGATCTGAACGCAGCTGTCTCCATCTTGAGTTTGATCTGAGCCAGCATGCACGGTTGAAATACAAGACCGGAGACCATCTTGCCGTGTGGCCGCAGAATCCTGTTCAAGAAGTCAACCGTCTCCTGCATATGCTAGGGCTACAATCCCAGAGGAGTGTGCCTGTTTCAATCGCCATCACAGAGCCAGGCATCGAATTGAAATATCCAACCCCTACAACTCTAGACGCTCTATTCGGGTATTACATGGATATCTGCGGGCCAATGTCCCGGGATTTGCTCCCTTCCCTCATCCAGTTTGCCCCATCCGAGTCCTCAGAGGCGCGTTTAGCACAGCTGTCTTCCGATCCAGCCGCGTGGACCGAATATCTGTCTGATAAACACATCAACCTTGGCCGATTGCTGGAGGATCTATCCGAAGATGGACAATCCTGGACCTCGATCCCCCTATCCTTCCTCTTGGAATACATCCCGCCGCTCAAGCCGCGATATTTCTCTATTTCTTCGTCTGCCGTTGTGCAGCCTCGCCGTGTCTCGATTACAGCGTTAGTATCACACACACCGATCAATGGCAACATTCAAAACCAGATCCCGGGGCTGGCAACAACCTATCTGGCGCGTTTAAAGGCGCAGTTGGCGGCACCTGGAGCCGCATCTGACACTACCTCCGCGGTACAAATCCTTCCACCGCATCATCTCCACGCTCATATCCAACGCTCGCCATTTAAGCTACCTGCCAACGCTGCTGTTCCACTGATTCTTGTGGCTTCTGGAACGGGAATTGCTCCATTACGGGCATTCCTCGCCGAACGGAGTCGCCTCCATCGTATGGATCGTCCGGTGGGACGGTGTCTGCTCTTCTACGGTGCCCGGAGCGCCCAGAACGAGTGGTTGTACAGGGAGGAGATGGAGGAGGTTCGTCGGGAGCTTGGTCAGGGACTCTTCGAAATCGAGACAGCCTTCTCCCGGGATCCGGCCAAAGATCCCGTCCGAAAATGCTACGTCCAGGACCGGGTAAGAGAGCGATTTGGAGATATAGCCACGACTTTGCTGAACGAGGGGGGGTATCTTTATGTTTGCGGGTCTGCGCGTATGGCTCGGGGCCTTGGGAAGATCATGGATGAGTGTTTCGCGGAGAAGATGGCATGGAGTAAGGAGCGTTACACTGAGTGGGCAGCACGGATGAAGAGGGAGAGGAAGTGGCAGGAGGATGTCTGGGGTTAGGAGTATTCATTTACACGGCGATAATAATATGAGTTTTAAGTAAATGGTGTAAACATCCGTATGCCTCTGTAGGGATACGCTACATCCAGGCCTCTGGATACTGTTCTATCTCGCAAGATCCCTGTCTCGTTCACTCCATTGATATTCAAGCGTGGATACCACACTCTGGTTCTGCCATCCGAGAGCCCTGGGCACATCCCTGAGAAGATCAAGTACCATGGCCCTTTCCTTCGGATGGCGCAGATAACAGCCACCTGCACCATGAAGCAGATATGGTTAGCATTCGACCTACATTATGCGGACGGCAGGATATCATTCTCACAACAGGCTAAGGTGTGACTGGTGGTCAACCATGCGCACGGCACTCTTGGGTTCCCTAGAGTGAGCCCGATGATTGCACGCAGGTGTTCAATGACGGAATCCTGTCGAGTGTCAGATGGGGCATATTTACTCCTCACACGAAATATACCTCCTTCTCTGCGTATGCTTTGAACATCTCAAATCCCGGCTTTGCCTGAAGAGGCTCATGTATCTTGATAAATATCTTGGCCACGTGAAAGTGCTGCATCGCAACAACTTCAATGTGGTGTTGATTAGCTTTATTGAGCAGTTCCTGCAGTCCCGAGAAGAGGAGTAAGTGCATACCCTGGCAAATACCCAGCATCCATATTTCAGGAAACGCATTCCGGCTTTCAAGTTTGCTCTGCCGCACGGTCAACGGCTTGAAGGTGTCCGGTTTGGAGGCGTCCCATTCATTAATCTCCGCATCTAATCGCCTCCAGTCTTCAGCGGAGATGTTGTCCTGTGGCGCAAATGCCATGCAGAGGACCTTTGTCAGCAAAAGCGTCATTATATTGCTCCAGGAGTACTCGTCTCTCTTGAGAAACGAACTGGATTGTTTGAAGTTTTCCAGCCGGATGGATATGGCTTCTTTGGAAACAAGGATGATATAGATCACTTGGCGGAGGACAACCCAGCTTGCTGCTTCTCCCAGACCACCGGATGATAGGAACTTCGTTACTGACTCAACGAGACGGGTTATTCCGAGGAGATGGCACCGGTTGTCTTCGACTACCGGACTGTTAGACTCCCATCCGGTATGTTAGACAACAATCGCTCAGGTAAGGCATACCGCTAAACTCCTCATACATGCGCAGTAGAATCGTGGCCACGAGCACGTTTTCATCCCCGCTCTCTTCAATTTGCGAGATGGCCGGGATCAAATGCGAAATGCACTCATCATAGTACTGGCTGCCGTCATCCCGATCGCACAGGGATAAGAGACTCATATGTTTGGAAGACACAGCCAATAGAGCAAGTCGGAGAGTCGAGTGGTACATAGCCCGCTGCGGCACCACGGTAGCGAAATGATTCCGAGGGTCTCCCGCATCCGCCTTGGAGGTCGTCGCATCAGTCTTGCAGATACATCAGTAGAGGGAATGTGGTCAAGTATACCCACGGTGACAGATTGTCAATCCAGTGACGGACAAGGCGAGCTTCGTGGTCTGATAGACATATCGGCGACGGGCTCTGTCCGAGCAACGGTGACTGCGTGGCATGGGAGTCAAAGGGTAAAGAAGACACGCTGCTGGCAAAATCTACCAAAGGACTCGACAGTACACCACAAGATTCAAACGTAAGGGCCTGATCAACATAAGGCTCGGTCTCTTGCTCTTCCATATGACGTGAGTCGTTCGGTTCGCAGCCCAGTGAAGTCTGCACACTGCAGCTCCAGTCACTTAAGCGAACGAGGCCCGAGATAGCTGTCTCTTCCGCCAGGCCTATTGATAAGCGACCAGAAGTATGACAAGGGACAGCATCAGCACCATCGAAAGAGTTAGACGGGCCGAAGGACAGAGATGGAGTGGAAGGGGAACATGGCAGCGTAGGCTCTGGAACAAGACTATCTTCACAATCTCCCGGTAAACCACATAAATCTGTAACGAAATCCACTATACCTCTGCCGGTAAATATTCGCTCTCTTGGGAAGATCAAAATTTCTTATGCCGAAATTAACATACCAGTCGCAGGCGTCGCAACCCAAGGCTGCGATGGACTGTAGACAAAGTAAACTTTGCTCCTGTCTCCGTATCGTCGTCGCGGAACAGATCGGACGACTTTGAACCTGTAATTACTACTTGGGATACATTCACGCTTCTTTTTCGCACAATATTCGCAGGACTGGGCCCCTTCTTTGGTGACACCTTCAGGCCACAAATTACTATGTTGAGACATGCCATGTCGACAGGATGAGACCACCTACAGCGTAAATGGAGATCTCGGCACCTCGTGCTGTAACCCTCAGTCAGCCACATGGAATGGAGTAGACAGAAGGGGAAGCAAACCAGCAAGACCGTGGCGTCATGCTCTATCACCCTAGTGTCTGATATTACCTGCTCTAGAATGGTCGTACGCGAAATCAAATTTGGGAAAGGAACAACAGCGAAAAGGGGGAAACCGTGGAAGACAATCGGGAATGTACTCTGCCAGTTGGGATGCATTCGCCGGACGCAATGATGCGCGTCAGCTAAAAATGCCAAAATCAGGATTGGCAGAGAAGTGGAGAATATCCCCCATGCTTCCCCACATTCGGGGCGATGAGAATCTGGGGAAGCGGGGAAGCTGTCCGGCAATTCACAGATCGGGAAGAATAGCCAGAATTGGACGTCCAAGTGATTGTCTGATAATTTCCATTTTGGACTCAAGGAATAATTTTTTTTTTCTCGATGCTATTGATGGTCTATTTGGGAAATTCCCTCCATCGGCACCTGCGCCTCCGTCTTTGTTTTATATATCAATCTCATGTCAATAACGCCGATGGCATGATGGTTCCGACGGCATCGTTACTGGTGTAATAGGTCATTAACCATGTTGGCATATATCGTCTGTGCTGTTGTAGCTTCCCTCATTATCACACGATTCGTGCTGCTCGGGGTCATTCAGTACTTCCATGATCCCAAAGGCCTCAGGCGCTTCCCACCCCTGGACACCTTCGCAGGTTTTACGAACCTCTCTTTCATGCTCGAGGCTCACCGGGGATTTCGTTCTAAGAGGCTGGAAGAACTGCACAAGATCCACCCGGTCATTCGGACTGGCCCTAACTCGCTGTCGTTTGGGAGTACACAGGCCATAAAGGTATATGGTGAAACCACGGGCGATTCTGTGCCTTTTTGAAACATGCTGATAGCACACGCAGGATATCTACGGCCACGGTACACCATGTCTAAAGGACGGCCAATACATCGAGACAGCAGGCACTCATTACCATCTTGCGGATGTAATTGACCGACAAGATCATGCGCGGAAACGCAAAGTCCTCTCATCCGCCTACGCTCTCAAAAATCTCGAGGAATGGGAGTTCAAAGTTGCAGATAAGACAGCTCGTATCATCAAACAATTCGACCGTGCGGCTGCTACACCTGGCAGTACGGTGGATTACCGCTTGTGGACGAATTTCTTCACCATCGATGCCATCGCGGACATTGGGCTGAGCCATCATCTGGGCTTTCTTGACACCGGAAACGATATATGTCTGTCAGAACGAACAGATGGGACCGTCACCGAGGTCAATTTCCGCGAAAGTCTCTACGCCGGAGCCCGCGCGCAGTCACGACTAGTCTGGACATACGACTGGTATAAAATCCTCGACAAAGTCGCCCGAATCGTCTCACCTTACTATGGCAGATTGGGGCGCCAGAATGACGCGTATAATGGCATTGTCTGGCATCTTGCCCGCGAGCGTTTGAAGCGCTACCATCGCGGAGAGGATCTTGATGACTTCTTCCAGGCACTCATGGAAGATAAAGCAGGAAAGCCGCACTCGCTGGAATGGGGAGAAATCGTAGCAGAAGTGAGCATTATGATGAATGCTGGATCCACAACAACAGCCATTGCCATGGCGAATGTGATGTTTCAGCTACTGAGGAACCCCCATTGTCTTGCCACACTGCGGGAAGAGATCGATGCAGTCGTTGATGACGATGAGGTAGTTGTACCTTATGAGAAAGTACGACATCTGCCCTATCTCCGGGCCTGTCTCGATGAGAGTTTGAGACTTTTCCCACCAACGTCGCATGGGTTGCCACGCATTACGCCGGATGAGGGTTGCACTATCAACGGAGACTATATCCCAGGGAACACAACGGTATCCATCAGCGCATATGTGGCCCACCACGACGAGAACGTATTTCCCGAACCAAACAAGTACCTACCGGAGAGATGGCTGGGGGAGGCTGGGAAGGCCCTGCAGCCGTATTTCGTGGCCTTCTCTGCGGGCGCACGAGGATGCATCGGGCGGAATATCTCATATCTGGAGCAGACAGTGCTGCTGGCGAGTATGGTGAGGCGTTACGAATTCCAGCTGCCCTATCCGGACTGGGAGCCTGAGAGGAGTGAAACGATGAACCTGCACATGGGCTCGTTGCCGCTCAAAATACGGAGGAGGAAGATTGACTTCGCTTCATGAGAATGCTTTGAGACGAGCTTAGGGCAAGCATTAGTGATAGCAGCTCACACTATGGTTCGAACAGAGTTTTATTCTGCAATATCCGGTCGTTTTTGATACAATGCTACGTAGGCCATCAGATAGAAGTACTTTTGGCATCGCTGCCTCAGTTACATTCGGCTATGAAATCGGAATGCATCGAAGGCGAGGAGACGCCCGGTCGAGCCCTATGCAAGGAGATGCACCCTGTTACTGGGATACATACCTGCATGGTGCAGGAACGAGTCAGAATGGCCGTTGCCTACTATCCTCCTACTATCCTCCATAGCATATTCTTATTCTCTGGGCAATGATCGCGGAACTCGGCATTGATCGAGGCTGCATATCGGTTGCGACGCTAATAAATCTTGCACGCCTTTCCCCTCTCTCTCCGGCTTTCCTCACCACTCCCAATTCCCAATTCCCGGGTACGAGGCTGTGGGATGCTCAATCATGTCCGCAAGCCAGCCAGAAATGGCCCAGACGGCCACGGGAGGCGTGCAAATCGCCTCCCCGTCGCCAGAGACTCGACAGATCATCAGACAAATGAACGCTGCATACGACTGGACTGGTCCAGACGATCCGGATAATCCCCGAAATTTCCCTTTGGCCGTGCGCGTCTTCAGCATCGCTGCGATTACATCGCTGGCCTTCGTGGCTACATTTGCGGGTGCGTTGTACGCGCCGGCGCAAGAAGCTGTGATGGACGCGTTCCATTGCGCCTCCGAGGTTGCCATGCTGCCTCTATCCCTGTACAATCTGGGACTGGCATTTGGACCGCTTGTGGGAGCTCCTCTCTCCGAGACGTACGGGAGAAAAGCAGTTTATCTGGTCACTACGCCTGTTTTCGCTGTGTTCATGTTGGGCGCTGGCTTTGCGCGGAATATCACCACTCTGTGCGTGTGTCGCTTTTTCGCAGCTATGTTTGCGTCGCCAAACATCAACAATGCTTCTGCGACTATCCTTGACTTCACCGCGGCGCACCACCGTGGTGTCAGTCTGGGTATCTACTACTCGCTGCCGTCGTTTGGCGCGTCGCTGGCTCCCCTTGTCGGGGGTTTCGTGATGAAGACCAACAACTGGCGATGGACGCAGTGGATTGCTGTCATTGTATCCATCGCCTTCTATATACCGGTCTTGTTTACCAAGGAGTCGTATAAGAAGGTCATTCTCCGTCGCCGCGCGATCAGGATGGGCGTGTCGGATTCTTCGTCTCAGCAGACATCCCCGATGAGAGCACTTCGATATTTCCTCACGACACTCATTCTGCGGCCGCTACATATGCTAGCCACCGAGCCGATAGTCACCTTCGTCAGTCTGTATAATGGCTTACTCTTTGGCCTTCTGTACGCCTTTGTGACGTCCATCCCGTGGATCTTCAGAACCTACTATGGCTTCGGTCAGACGGGCCAGTCGCTCTCCTACCTCGGCGTGACCCTTGGAACAATTCTCGCTTGTGTTCCGTTCGTCTTCATCGACCGGTCCCTCTACCAGAAACGCCTCCGCGAGTGGCGCCAGACGCACGACAATACTGAGCCCCTGCCGCCTGAGAACCGTCTCGTCCCTGCGATGGTTGGCTGCTTCCCATTACCGGCCAGTCTTCTTCTCGCAGGCTGGATGGCAGAGCATCGAGTGCAATGGATTGTACCCATACTCTTCCAAGGCATTGCGATGATGAGTTCCTTGCTCGTTTATGCCGGCGCAAATCTCTTCATGCTTGACACCTACGGCCCACTTCACGGTGCTTCAGCGTCTGGGGCGATGATGCTGAGCAGGTACTTGATGAGTTTTGCGTTTCCGATGTTCACGTTACAGATGTTTGAGGCGCTGGGCGCGGGTTGGGCGTTGAGTGTCCTAGCCCTCATGACCTTCTTGATGGCTCCCATACCCTGGTGTTTCTGGGTCTTTGGTGAACGGCTGAGGAGCAAGAGTAAATATGAGACGAGTGCCTGAGTTTGGGTTGTGTCTATCTTGCGCGGAATGAATCCACGGCATTTCCCCTTTCCTTGGCTTCATGTTGCCGCCGGCTTGAGCGGGGAGAGGAGGTGATCCTTTATATTAAAAGACGTTAGACAGCTTTGGTGATAAAGCGTTCTGTGTATTAGAGATATATGCCACTATATAAACTGGAATTTCTAGAACCGCATTGACTTTCCCTTTCTGGATGCCTGTGGTTTCTAGGAAAATTACCATCTCATGAACATACAAACAGGGCTTTTCTGTAGGATGATCACAGAGATTCTCAGAATAATTTACAAAAGCAGATCACCATCTTTCAGATTAGGGCTCGAGAGAGAATCAAGAGTATAGACGCTTCCACCAGTTTTGCAACCAGTTGTACTCTCGTATAACACAAAGATATCTACAGAATAAAACCCTGGAGAGCAGCGATCATGACGGCCATAACACCGCTTCCAACAGCCGGAAGAGTGAGGCCAGCCGCAGCACCCTTGCTGGAAGAAGGATGAGCAGGGCTCGAGCTTGAGGTGCCGTTAGCCGTGGTGGTCGAGGTAGAAGTGGTCGCATTGACACCAGAGACATAGGTAATTCCATCGCGGGAATAGGAGACGCCAATGTCGAGACCGGCAGACTCATCGTACGGGAAAGGTGCAGTGTAGTTATATGTGGGCTTCTGTCCCTTGTAAGTCTGGACGACCTGGGGCAGGATACCGTTGCCGGCAGAGCACTTCTCGTCTGTGGCAGGGACAGGCCAGCTAGATCGGTACTGGGAGTACTCCTTGGCAGACAGCGGGCCCGGAAGGGATTCGTTGAGGAGGAGCTTCGTTGGGTCGATCTTCCAGTTTGTGTAGCCCGTCTTGTTGGCGACGAACTCCCAAATGTTGGCACCGCAATCCCAACGGCCAAGAGACGGCAATCCCCAGTTGGCAGAGACGGAGGCAATGGAGGAATGGTGCGTGTAGACAGTGTCATCGGTGGTTCCGATTAGATCCTCGGGGACTGCGCCGCCAAGCAGGATGCTGAAGACACGGTTCTGGACTGAGTAGTGCTCACTCTCGTCAAAGGTGAGCAAGAGAAGGGTGTTGTTCCAGAAATAGTCGTTGTCCATCAACCCAGAGACAAAATCACGGAGCCAGGCAGAAGCAAAGGTGATGTTAGTGTCATGGGCGTCATTTGTCATGTTAGGGGTGATGAAGGCCCACTGGGGCAGCTTCTTGCTGTTCAGATCGTCATGGAAGTCGGTGAAGTTCTTGATCTGACGCAAGGCAGTATCATTGTTGGTGACGGTGTCGAAGAGAACCAGGGGATTGTGCTTGCGCATGTAGTCATTGGCGTATGTCTCCTGATTCGAATAGTTGTACCCCTGGAATCCGGGGAAGGGGAGGTGCTCCTGGTACTCGGCCCAGGAGATCCCCTTGGTATCCAACAGATCAGCAACGGTGGAGACGTTGCTAGGGATCTGGATGAATTGGTCGTTGTCCATGCCATAGTTATCACCGCTGGCTGCTGCGCAGTAGTTGGGCTCGGAGGTGTGGCCCACTGCGAAGTAGTTGGTCAAGGTGATGCCCTTGCTCGCGAGCCATTTCTGGTTGGGGTCGCCGGCGGCAGAGCTGTAGTCCTGCAATGCGGATTGAGTGGTTAGCAACACACGCTTGTATCATATACCCCGGATCGACTGCGTACGATGTTCTCGAGCCAGATCTGGTAGAAGCGGTCGAAGGCAACACCCCCCACATCCGAATTGGTCGTCTCGGGCAGCGTAGTCGCCTGGGCAGCTTGGATCTCAGGAAGAGAAGGCTCGCTGGTGGTAATTGTCGCGGCAGTGGCCACGTTAAGCACGGCGAGAATGGCAGGGAGGAGAGCCATTGTGGACATGAGGTTGGCAATGAAGGAGCGCACAGTTAGAGAGGGATGCAGGGCCGATAGTCCGGGTTACAGCGGCCTTCATATAGGCAGAAAAGAGGCTCAACCGTGCGTCTTCTCGAATACTCCGAGAACCATTCACAAGTATCGATCAACAGCACGTTCCTGAGTGTCTCACATCTCACGAAGGCCCATACCACTGTCCGGTGACAGTTCCGACATAGCCGTATTTCCCAGGCGGGGAGAAGCGCAATCGTATGAGATGCTCGTGTCCAGCAAGGCTTGACCATGCTAAGCTCCCCAAGCTGCATCGCAACCCGCCGATAAGCCCACGTTAAGCTTCCACTAGGATCCACTGCATGCTCGCAAATGAGACAGCCCGCGCACATGTCGAATCCGTGCATCCTGACTCGTCCAGCGCTTCTACGACGCTGGCCCGGGGACCGGCGCCACCGGTTCACGCGGTGTTCCCCTCGCATGCTTGTTTCGCAGTGCCCCGTACCTTTATCTGGCCCTCCGGCGGCGTCCTTGCCGCGCCCCGGTGTCGGAAAGGGCGTCAAGGGAAAACTTGAGCACTTCCAAGCTTGCTGTCATGTCGCGCATGGAAAAATCCGCGACACGGCCGTGGTGGAAGCGGCCGGTCATTGTTGTTGCGAGTGTCGCGTTGCTCGTCATTGCCCTGGGACTCGGTCTAGGGCTAGGGCTGGGGCTGGGCTTGAAGCATCACAAAAAGCACGACGCTGCCAGAGCAGAGAACTCGTCTTCCGCGCATAATCCACCGGCTGGCAACGAGTCGTGGAGACTGCCCGCGTCCGAGTATGTGCTTGACATGCAGAGCTGGGATCTGAATGCACTGCCGACCACGCGCATCTATAACTGGACGTTGTCGGAGATTGACGCCTATCCGGACGGTACGTAATGGACACTGCGAAAACAATATCATGAGCTGACTCTTCTGAAGGCGTCCTAAGAAAGGTCCTGGTGATCAATGGAAAGTATCCCGGTCCTATGGTGAGACTGAACCGCGGCGATCGTCTTTTGATCAATGTGACGAACAACATGCCCAATGCCACCACCATCCACTGCCATGGCCTGTTCCAGAATGGCACCAACTGGATGGACGGTGTGCCTGGCATTACCCAGTGTCCCATTCCCCCAGGACGGAGCTTTCTCTACAACTTCACCGTGGACAGCCAGTACGGGACGTACTGGTACCACTCGCATTCGGACACCCAGAGGATGGACGGTCTCTTCGGGCCATTGATCGTTCACGCTCCTGAGGAAGAGGAGTATCGGAAACGCTATGGATATTCCCAGGACCAGGTCATTCTACTCCAGGACTACTATCATGACTTGGCCGCTGCATACCTCCCAGACTACCTGGCGCCGAATAACGATAACACGGAGCCCGTGCCTGACAACGGATTGATCCAGGGCACAAACTAGTAAGTAGAACCATAAGCGGCGATCCTAGATGCGTAATAGTAGCAACTAAGCAAATCCCAGCTTCAACTGTTCCTTGTATGACGACGCTGGCAGTGGCTACACCTGCTACGACAACTCCACGCGCGCCCTCTTCCCTATCACACAAAACACCAGGACCAGGTTCCGAATTATTAACGTAGGGGGCTTTGCAACTTTTCAGTTCTCCATCGACAATCATACCATGACGATCATCGAAGGTGACAGCACCATGGTCGAGCCCTTGGAACTGCAGACATTCCAGATCGCCACGGCGCAGCGTTACTCATTCCTTATCAATGCCAACAAACCTGTCTCTAACTACTGGATGCGAGCTGAGATGGACACGGCGTGCTTCGGTGAGAATAACCCTGTCCTGAACACGACCGTGTTGGCGATTCTGGCCTACAATAACAGCACGGCATTGCCGGGAGGCGACTCGGCTTCCTGGAACGTCCCTACGGATCCTCTTTGTCAGGATCTGAATTCCTCGCTCCTTCTACCTTCCGTCCCTCAGCAAGCACCGCCTGCAGATAATCTGTTTATTATCCAGTTCTCATTTGAGACGGGCGCCTATGCACTGGACCGAGCGTACATAAACGGCACAACATGGACCCCGTCCTCGATCCCGACATTGAATCACATCGTCCCGCATCTGAAAGCCGGAAATACCACCTACAATCAGACTGGACAGGCACCTTCGTACGGACTTGAAAATCAGTATATTCTGGATATCCCGGACAACCAGGTGGTGGATATCTTGCTCCAGAATTTCGACGATGGCTCCCACCCCTTCCACCTTCATGGATATGTGTTCTGGGTCATGGCTAGCTCCCAGGATCAGTATTTCCCTTGGGATTCGTATGGGTCAATTAACACGACGAATCCCATGCGACGGGATACCGTGACTGTGGACTCGTACGGATGGACCCTTATCCGCATTCAGGCTGATAACCCGGGATTGTGGGCATTACACTGTCATATTGCCTGGCATTTATCCGCTGGGTTGTTGATGCAGCTTCAAACGCGCAATGACTTGATGAAGAACTGGGATTTGCCTGGTGATGTGTTGGATCTATGTGTAGCTTAGCGAGTTCATGTATATAATATCTACTCAACGAAGAATCGTACTGGCCTCATCTTAAGGTCGCGAGTGCCTAATAGGGTGAGTTACCTGGACGTCGTGTCTCCTACTCCACATTCTGCAGCGCCCGTCCACATCTAACTTCGACGAGAGGCACCTAGATATACTTTTCCCCTTGGCCAGGGCGTCGGTAATGCACCTGCCACATTGCCCACCCACGCCAACGATAGCGATGTTTTCCACGTGGTTTTTGAACCCTGCAGGCTGTTTGTTTGCAAACGAGGTTACTATATTGAGCCGCGCGCAGAACCGGATTATTGCAAGGTATCTGGAGATTACTCGCTGAGGCAAGTTAAAATAGAGAGCTCTATGGCTCGTTTGAAGCAATCAGAAAGTGGTGACTCTTATGGTGTTGTTTCTACCCAGGAAGCCTTGGCATTTTTTTTTTCTCATGTCCGCAATAACTCCATCAGGGTACCAGAAATAACATGACCTTATCCGATGACCGGAAGGGACAGTTGAATGCAGGACCACCTGGAATCGTGTCTGCAAGAAGACTAGGACTTTGGAGACGCCGGCCGAGACGGAGTGCGTCAAGAGAGTATAAACCATAGTGTCCTACCACGGACTGATATTCCACCGTCCGAGGGCGCTGTCAAACCATATTTTTCCGGCTTTCTGCATTCGTAGTAAAAGCTTGGCGATGGAACTAAATCGACGGAGGTACCGGTTTTGCAGTCACCTCTTCAATTATACGATCCAGATACGTATAAATGATGAGAGTGGTAATAATGCCACGTAGATTATGGAAATATCGATACTTCACTCAGGTTGAGGTAAGAAAAAGCACAAACCGTAACAGTTAGGACGTCATCACACCGGCATAGATGGACATCTTGTCCAGCAGGTCAGGGAAACTTTGGGGAACAGGCTTCTTGAATTCCACGTGAAAAGAATCTCCGCATGCACGATCAGCCGATGAGACTCCTCGGAGATGCCTTTTTTTGCGATGGTTTGGAAGGTTGATCTTGTTGAAGTTGCTATACGCGCGACTTTCCCTGCGTCGCATGGTCACGTGTATCACGTGATGCCAAGCCTCGGCTGGGAACGGCTCCGTCGGCCAACGCATTCGGCGTAAACAATACCAACAAGCCTGGAAGGTTGAAACTCTTTTCTTGCAGGGATTGTCCGTCCCCTATTAGTTTTATTATTATTGCAACTGTACGGCATCAGAGAACGATTAATAAGATGAGCACCATCCACATCCCTTCGACTGGCGGGAAAGAGCCCTTCTGGGGGCCGCAAACATCAAAGATGAAGTTCCGTCAACACGATCTTGTCCATTGACCGTGATAGCAATTGCTGACGAATCGTATTATAGCTTTTGCGAGGAGGTATGGGATTCATCTACATTCTCCTTTGTCATTTCCTCCTCGGGAAATCCCCAGTGTACTTGTTTTCACTGTTGTTTTTCTGAGGCCGGTTGAGGCGGAAGTCTCCGGAAGCTCGCTTTTGTGCCTGCTATTCCCCATGTATCAGTGTTTCGGAGAGTTGAGCGTCAATTGAAGTGATCAGAGCCTTCTTACTGATTGCTTGCTACTCAAAAGGACTACCATTTCAGCTCCTACACCGGGGAATTCATAAACACCGTAACGAGCTTCAGCTATGGTAAGGGTTCCAATCCCCATGTCGCTGTGATGATGCTAAGTCACTGCCGCGAGAGTAGTCTTTTTTGGTGGATATGGATTGTACCGTCAGTTCAAGACCGGGACTAGGGTGGAGATATCACATTGTCTGTCGTATATCTCTTTGATGATCGTCGGCATCGGGTCGACGCTGTTTCATGCATCGCTGAAGTATCCGCTCCAACTAGGTAGGCATCCGTAGCAATTTCTCATGATCATTAACACGAATAAACTGATCGTGTGAATGCAGTGGACGATCTATCTATGCTACTTGGAGGGGGTATCATGTTCCATTACTTCCTCACCATCAATAGCAGCACCAAAGTCCGCTTCGGCCTCTTTTCCCTTATCACCATCGTCCTCTCCTTGGCTGTCTGGGCCCATATCTCCTCTGGCGACTCGGCATTACATCAAGTCGTGTTTGGTAGCATGGTTGTTACCGTTGGTTTCCGGACATTTTCACTTCTCAACCGGTTGATCGTCGATGAAGCGTTGAAGTCGAAGTTGAAGCAGTTCGGTACAATCGGCTACCGTATGTAAACACCAGGATCCCAACTGCTACTAGCAATTCTGACCGCAGTCACTAGTTACATTGATCGCTGCGTATGTATTTTGGCTGGTCGATGTCTTTGCCTGTCAGCCTCTACGGTCATTGAGGCATACTATCGGCTTGCCTTCTGCATGGCTATTTGAGTTCCATGGCTGGTAAGTGCTTTACTATCACGTTATGATCAATATCAAATCAGAGAGCATTGCCAACATAAATAGGTGGCACATTCTCACTTGCATTGGCGTGTATATGTATATGGTCCTTGCCGAATTCCTGCAGCCGGCGTACTGGACGAGTGTTCTCAAACCAGGCCAGGGATTTATCGCCCTTATGAAGGGACCCGGGATATTGAAGAAGAGTGACACTGTGGAAAAGAAGCGCCGCTGAAGAGCTGGCCTGTTGACTAGGCAAGGCAGCTATTCTGGCTTCTTTCAGTCCATCGAAGCTGTGTGCAGCGATGAGTTTCCAAAGCTTAACGGGGATCGTGTCCGGGGGTTTATTACAGATGTGTACATCATATGCAATAGTTTAAACTCTGAAGTTCAACGTTGTTATATTTACTCTGCCTCCATGCCCCATTCAAGATCGGATCATCTCCAGCACTAGTGCGAAGTACTGCCCTATAGTGTCAGCTTCCCATCTGCTTGCTGGGATTGAAGAAACCCAAAACACCCCAATCTCAAATAATAGAGTTACAGTCTTCCATATTAACTGATACTTCGGAAATGACGCCAAGCAACAGGCAGCAGCATGCACGGGCCACCTCAATATCGACGATAACTTGGTTTTTTCCCTCCGAGATCTGAAGCTGATCTACGCCCTACCCGGAAAGCAGCATTGTGGAATTTGATCAATTCGCTATCGATCATCAGATGGGTCTTCATATCCTTTCGCGATGCTCTGTGGCAGTCGTTGTCACCTTGCTCCTCATTGTGTTTTGGCACATCCGGTCTGCGCCAGTCCGGAACCACTATGGGCTATCCACCATGGGCGATCTATCCCCTACACAGAAAGCTCGGTTACATGAAGTGGCAGACTTGATGCTTGAGATTTACCAGACGCTCGCAAAGATGCAGTACCTGGATCCTGCCGGGATCCAGCCGGGCCCGCATGACATTACTACCATCATTGATGTGTATCGAGATTACAACCTCGACCCATCCGTCATGTATCTCTATCGCATCCTACCGTACATCAATACTAAACTTGCTGGAAACTCGGATTTTTTTCATGGAGGCGAGTTTGCTGACTTTCGCAATGCAGATGACGTGGAACGGGGTCGCGACCCATTTTTCGCCAGCCCTGAGGAGGAGGACTTCGAAGACGAAGACGGCCCGTACATGCGCCCCTGGGTAACGCCGCTTTCGAATCTAGGTAATCACCAGAGCATTATCATCTATGATGCGCGGAAGCATCGGATTTGGATCATTGACCAGGAGGGCTGGTTGAGCACCGACCCCGCACTGAAAGGAGCCCCAGAAGGCAAGCAGACGAGCAAGAATCGCAACAGCTTCGAACACATTCCAAGTCGACCCGCCGGGGATGTCCTGCGGGACATTGTTCGGTGGTATCGCGAACTGGAGGAACTACCTGGCGGCGGCGAAAATAGTGGTCTCGAGTGGAATGATCCGGATCTGGACCTGAAGACATTATACCACAAACACGGCTGGCCGGATAATTTTGACGGGGATGGGTTCCTGGTGGACAAGGCCCGAGCCTACTCCGCTCGACAGGCCAAGTACAACGCGGAGGAGCCGTTGCGTGTGGTTAAACGGTTACAGGATTGGTCAAAGTATGCACATGAGGAAGCACGCACACTGCGACTGTCGCTAGCAACTGCAGAAAACCTCGACAAGGAGTGGCAGCTTCGATTTAAAATATGGCAGGCAGAACGAAGAGAGGCCAGAAATCTCCAGGAACTGGAGCAAGCGCGACGGGAAGCGGACGCCCTGTGTCCCGAGGGACAGTGCCAAGAGCTGGCAGACCTGCCACTGTGGGAATTCGAACAGGTCCAGAAGGAATACGGGTGGAAAAAGGATGCGGTTCAGAACTATCAGAACTGGGTTAATGAGTCTCAGGATTCTGACCCAGAGTTGTCAAAGGACTTTCAGAATGATCTCCATCGCGCACAGAAGGAAGCCGAGATCTATCGGAGAGCCTGTATAGCCTCCAAAGCTGACGCAGAACGTCTCTGTCCCGGTAAAACACTGAAATCTGCCACGGGGAAGGAACTGCTTCGACCAGAGACCACGACAGAGAGCATCCAGAGTAAGTCCAAGACTATTAAGTTTTTGCAGAAGGAGCTGGAAGATCTTCAACAGTGGGAGACTCAGATACCGGGCGGAGCGGTTGAGGCAAAGAAGATGGTTGAGGAGGAGATCCAGCAGTTCAAGCAGAGCCTTCGGGAGAGTGAAGAGTCTAAAAGTAAGGCTGAGGAACGGTTGGCAGTGCATGGGGATACAATGTAGTTATCTTCTGTGATGAAGCTATGCAGTGCCAAGACTGTATTTTTGTATGCAGTTCCCTGCTACGGCAAACCGTACGATCGATGGAAAGATCATACGGCTCCTGGCCATGACTACTCGGCTAGATAAAGCACGCACAACATTGAGGCAGTAAGGACTTCCCGATTAGGCAACTAGTTGGTTACATAAGGCGGTTAGATGGGTCGTAATCAAGTTGCTGTTCACTCCGCTCGCTTAGATTTTACATTCGAACCGAACAATGAGGATTTCACACAAAGACGAACGGTTAAACGACAGTTCAAGCTGTATGTAAACTTCCATCAAGAGGTCCAATTATGAGCCTCGTCAACTGTCTCAGTGAATACGATGAACTCTTGGTCCGTGGAAATCTGCTTGTCCTCCCGCTGGAGATCTTTGGCCAGATATCCAAGGCACGCAGCGTACATGATATTTACTTAAACAGGTACTGCGTGGAACGATAAGATCTGAGATGCGTACTTTAATGATGGGGATTGGAGAGTTCAGATTGTCTAAACATTGACCCCTTTGGAGATCACCCTCGCAACCTAGGTCAAATAGTACGCCAGATCGCCGTTCTCAGCTCTCTCAAAAGCAAGTTCCCCATTTGCTAGATAAGTGAACATACTAGGTCCCGTATAGCGGATGTCGAAGTGCTCACCGCGAATTGTCTTTAGGAAAGCTGCAGGATGTTATTAGCGAGATGGCCATGTCCTCCGCTTCAACCGGATGATGACACCGACCCTTGTAGTGAAGGGCACTTCCTGGATACATTGCAGTGACAGTGTTACCCTTCCCGTTGTCGTTTTTCTTGCTATACCAGGCATGGCAGCCCTTCGACCAAACACAACGCTTGAGGTTCTCCTGGGCATATATGTTGTAGTCTCGGACTACTGAGTCTTTGACGACAACCGATCTACGGGGAGTTAGTATCATAGCAGGCGGGCAGCGCGGAGCGGCACTCATACTTGATATCTTCGGTTGCTATCTTTTCCACCCAATCCAATGCGTAGTCGGCCGTCCAGGCAAGCATCTGCGGCACGGAGCCGTGGCCGATAGGACAGTTGGGACCAGCAAACATGAAATAGTTCGGCATTCCCGCGGCGCAGACAGAGAAGTATGCCTCTGGGATTTCATCCCATTCCACGTCCAGCCGTCTGCCATTGCGACCTACCTGCTCCCAGGGAGGAACAAATGTGTTGACGAAGCCCGTAGCGCATACGATAAGGTCAAACTCCTCCTCCCCTTCATCCGTCACGATTCCACTCGGGGTAATACGTCTGATCGGGCTGAAACATGGCCTTGCGTTGTTCGCCTGCAAGGCTTCCAGGTAGCCATCCCCGGGACTGAGACGCCGGCAACCAACTTCATAGTCGGGTATTAACAGTTTGACCAGCTCGGGGTCATTATTCAGTCGCTGTCGCATTATCCCGTCCACGAGATTAGCCAGGAAGGCGTTCTCTTCGGAGCCAGAAACCATCATGCGGAAAACGCTGTTAACACTGCTCCAGAGAGCTGAAGTTAGCGGGCTGTTCTGTTCTTGCAGACGAAGCAAAGAGACCACGTACGATCTTTCCACGACCTTTCGGTACTCGAGGAATGCCTCGGGGTCGTCTCGAAATTTTTGCTTCTCTTCTTCTGTGAACTCAAAGTTCGTTCCCATCCCGTCCTTTGTTAGATTTCCACATAGGTTCATGGAGACCCAAGTGGAATGACGGGCATAGTTGACCAGTTTGGCTGCTTTGGGCTGCAGGGCAGGGACAAGCTGGAGTCCAGATGATCCATTGCCAATGACTGCTACCCTCTTCCCTTCCCAATCATAATTTGGATCCCTATGAGCGCTGTCAGGCAAATGGGACCACTTGGTCACTCGAGGAGGCGTATGAACCTACCATTTCGCGCTGTGGAATATTTCCCCTTTGAAGGAATGGAGTCCTGGGATACGAGGCCAGTCCCAGTGGCTGAGAAGCTCAGTCAGTCTATCTTTAAAATGATCCAGGTGTATAGACGTACTTGAGAATGCCTTTTGCATCGATGAATACATCGGCCTCGTCGTACTTAATGGAAGTACCGGAGTCAAGCTGGAGTTTCCATTTGCCCTGTTCTTCGTGCCAGTTGGCCTTGATCAACTTCATGTTGAAGACGATATTCTTTCTCAGGTTATATTTGTCTGCCGTGTGGATCATGTACTGCTTGATCTCCTCTCCTCCAGCATAAAACTTGGACCACATCGGATTCGGTTCAAACGGGAACACGTAGCTTGCTGTATCGGGTCAGCATCGAGGTTGAGGTAAACACGAAGGCACAAAACGTACGAGCTGGAATATCACTAACAGTATGGGCCTCTTAGCAACGGGAAATACAGGGCTTTCCTGTATATTGGTGTCTACCTACCAGCCAACACCAGGGTAGACGTTCTCCCACCAGGCACCCCCAACCTCGGGATTCTTCTCATAGATCACCCAGTCCACATAGTCTAGCGGTCTCTCGTGCTGGAGCTTGTATGCAAGGGTGAGACCGGAAAAACCAGCTCCAATACAGACCACCCGAAGCCTTCGAGGTGTGAATGCAAAACGGCTGGCATCAACTCTAAATGGGTTCGATGCTGCGGTTTCCGCGGCCGCAGGTAAGTCGTTGGAGGACATTCTCGTCCAATGCATAAGTCGCGAGAGACGGCAAAGTTGGAAGAAAGCACACGATATTATAAAATAGATCTCCCTCTCCTCCCAGCGTCGGCCGTGGCCCAGAACGGCCTTATATCCTAGGAAAGAAGGGGGATCACTGATCAGATATGAAGCCCAGTTCGGCCTTTCTACCTGCACAGCCCTGCGGAAATATGTAGTCTGGGCATTTAGATGCACATCAGTGGAGTCTGACACGGTCAAGCTTGCGGCACAGCGTCCATCAAGAAGGTTGATACGAGGAAGCAATTCTCGCCGGCCGGCCGTGTGGGTCAGTTCAAGCTGTATCAACCAGAGGATTCCTCCTGGCCGTTCAGTGAAACGGCCTTGGGCCGTTAAAGTTTCCTGGAATGACAAGCCTAGGGCTATGAGTGGATAGTGGGAAGCCGTTCCTGCAAGCCACGCCGATCTCGATATTGTGGAATAGAATATCAATATTCCACAGGAAATTATGACAGACGGAATCAATGCAGAGGCCCATTGGAATGGGTTCTGTTCCTGGCAGACCGAAGCGCCGGAGATCTTCTCTGACAGGTTACAGCAAGGGTATTACTATATTCCTTCGAGGACTGAAGAATATAGAGCATCCGGCGACCCCTACTCCTTCAAACCTCTACGGAGCTAGTTGCATTGACAAGCAGAGATACACGCATAGCTAGCGTCTTTGGAGAATACCCAGCCGGTATCGACCTGTCACAGAACGAAACCGCGGAGAACAATGCTGCCGTGATTGCTGTGTGTGGTAGCTTCTGTCGCTGACCTTGACTCTTTGCGAAGATCAGAGTGCAGCCTTCTAGAGTGACTATGAATGACTGGTTTATTCTGGCATCGCTGGTATGTTCGGTGTTTTATTAACATCAACAGTTAGGGCATTGAAAGACGGTGAAGCAGCTGGGGGTTTATGCTACCTAGACTTGCACAGTCATGGGTGATATTGAACTGATGGAAGCTCCCACGGCACACAAGTCGCTGATGCACAGTATCTGGACGTAATAGTCTGGGTAAACACATCTGGAACGCTCCGCTGGACGACATGGTCGTTGTAATGCATGTAAGTAGGGCTACTAGCGGGTCCCTCCTGCAATCATGCAGGGTCTCTGACCGGTCTGTTCTAAATCAATGAACAGGTTCTATTTGCATATGTCCTCATCTACGTGACAACGGTTCGACTGATCAAGCTATCCATTATATCCTTCTATTCGCCGTGTCTTCGGGAAGAACTGGGCGTTGTCGATGTGCGTGTTCCTCACAGTGGGATACTTCGTAGCCTACTGGGTCTCCTGTCAACCACCGTCGTTCTACTGGACCCAATACAAGAACCCAAAGGGAGGGAAATAAAATGTATCTACGATCTCTACCCAATTTATATCGGTGATGCAGCCGCCAACGTGACGACCGACGTGGTGATTTTGATCGTCCCCATCCCCCTGGTTTGGACGCTACATATTCGAACGAGCGCGAAGATTATGGTTACATCCATTTTTATTCTGGGTGGATTGTATTTCTCCTCCTTTCTGTATCCCGGACCTGGCGTTTGACTGCGTCCAGTCATGACATCAACGGACGAAGACTAGACCATCCAGCAGGTCCAACCACCGGGTGGGAAATATGTCTTGAAGATGTAAACGAGATGGCATTGAATGCTTAAATATACACTTGGCACCAGGAAACAAGCTACGGTCCCTGACATTGTCACCGACGAGTCTGCAGACAGGATGGCCTCGGTACTAAGCCCTAGGATCATGCCCATGACGTCTCAGCAACCTCAGCGACGACAGCCAATTTACGATCCAGTTACACGCAATAAGGACACGAAACGGTCCTGTCCCGTGCCTGAGAAGAGCATGATTCGCTCTCTTTTTCACCCGACATCATCGCCGGCGATCAGCCGAGTGTATCCCGGGTGCTCGTAGCTATCGGCGGAGTGCTGTGCTTGTGCTATGCGTCGGTACGGACGCCCCGAACATGGCATGTTCAGAACCATCTTCCTACATACTACATACTATCACTTCACAAAAGGAAAAGGCCCGGAGACTGTTCGAGACGGCAATGGTCTTCTCTGAATAGCCGAGGGTATAGTTCTTCCCCGTCTTGGCGACGGGGATCGGCGACGAGCACATTGAATCTCCTACACTGGAATTCATTCTGATCATAAAAATAGAATCGAGAATAGATTGTACACATCCTCACAACTCTTCTGGTGTGTTTCTGCAATATCACTGCATTATTCCCGAACGAACCGGTGGCCAATGGTCCAGAGATGACATATCATCATGATGACGGGCACATTCCCCGTCTTACCCCGGTTGGCATACAGCACACTTCCAGAACAGGTCTATACTTGAGGGACGCCTTGATATACGCGTTAACCCGAGTCAATCCACCCGTCCCGGTAGCCATATGGCCTGTCCTCTCATGATATTGAGAGCCCGTCCACCTGAACTTGCCCGGATGGTATGACTGGTGATTTGCGAGTCAGTAACCAGTTTCCCAGGGTTTGGTGACGCAATTCTATTCCCGGGGAGAGCAAGCAGTGTGGGGAGGAGAGGGAACTCGTATGATACCTGTGGATGCCTGGAGAGTTGCACGGCCACGGCCGTTTTGCCCTAAGCTGCTCAGAGTGCTGTTCAACCCATAAATACAATGGACGCCTCCAATACCGGCAGAGATGTCTTCAGATTACCTACTGTTTACTTTCCATCAGGCTCAAGATACTACGCGAGCGAGCCTTTCGATTTGCAATACCTACTCGATTTTTTCGAACGTCAACGTACCATAATATCAACGTACCATAATATCCACGATTGAACGGCGGAATGGGCGGTGACAACGACCTTGTCCGTGACTTCGAGCATCTCTCACGCCGCGATGGAGCTATCGTCGGTGGGAAGAACTCGTCCCTGGGCGAGATGGTGTGCACCCTTGCGTCGAAAGGAGTCCCCGTGCCTCCGGGGTTCGCAACAACCTCGCATGCATACTGGGACTATGTAGACACGAACAACCTCCGGAAGAAGGTTGCAGAAAACATAGACGACTGGCAAGCGGGCAGGGCTACTCTTGCTGAGACCGGTGAGACTATACGCAAGCTCTTCCTGCGCGGGACCTGGCCGGCCGCTACAGCAACCGCCATCAAAACCGCATATCGTGAACTTTGTAACAAGGTGGGCATCAAGAACCTGGGCGTTGCCGTGCGGTCGAGTGCCACAGCAGAGGACCTGCCGGATGCTAGTTTCGCTGGCCAGCAGGAGTCGTATCTGAACATCTGTGGTGAGGATGCCCTGCTGGACGCCTGCCGACGCTGCTATGCCTCGCTATTCACAGACCGGGCCATCAGTTATCGCCAGGCCAGAGGATTCGACCACTTGAAGGTCGCCCTCTCTATTGGTATACAGCGTATGGCCCGCTCCGACTCCTGGGGATCTGGCGTCATGTTTTCCATCGACACCGAAAGCGGCTTCGACAAAGTTGTGCTCATCAACGCCGCGTGGGGGCTCGGGGAGAATATCGTACAGGGGACCGTCAACCCCGATGAGTACCAGGTCTTCAAACCTCTTCTCGGCCGGCCAGATCTAGTCCCGATAATCGAGAAGAAGCGAGGCGAGAAGGCAATCAAGATGATTTACGGCGGGCACCAGAATCCAACTCGCAACGTGCCCACCTCCAAGGCAGAACGCGCGGCGCTTGTGCTCAACGACAACGAAATCCTCCAGTTGGCGAGCTGGGCGTGCATTATCGAAAAGCACTACGGGTGCGCCATGGACATGGAATGGGCCAAGGACGGCATCACAGGCGAGCTGTTCATTGTCCAGGCTCGACCAGAGACGGTACAATCGCGCATGGACAACGCTGTCTTCAAAAACTACAAGGTCAGCAAGAAGGGCCGCACTCTGGCAACGGGCCTTTCGATCGGTGATGCGGCCGTGTCTGGCCATCTCTGTCTCATCGAGGACGCCAGAGATATCGACAAGTTCATCGACGGCTCGATCCTGGTAACGCAAGCCACGGACCCGGATTGGGTGCCCATCATGAAGCGGGCTGCCGCCATCATCACTGACCATGGTGGACGTACATCCCACGCAGCCATTGTCAGTCGTGAACTCGGATTGCCAGCCGTTGTGGGCACCAGCAATGCTACATACATACTGCATTCCGGTCAGGAAGTAACCGTCTCCTGCGCAGAGGGCACCACCGGTTTCGTCTACGAGGGCGACGCCGAGATCACCACCGAGACGATCGACCTCACTGGGCTTCCCAAAGTCAAGACGAATGTCATGATCAACCTTGCCAACCCGGCGGCTGCGTACAGATGGTGGCGACTACCAGCGGACGGCATTGGCCTCGCCCGGATGGAGTTCGTCGTCACCAACGCCATCCAGGTCCACCCCATGGCGCTTGTCCACTACGACAGTCTGAAGGATGAAAAGGCGAAGGAGGAAATTGCCCGACTGACCGTTGGATACAAGCACAAGCCAGACTATTTCGTCGATAAGTTGGCTCACGGCTTTGCAGCTCTGTGCGCCGCTGTATATCCCAAGCCGGCCATCATCCGCATGAGCGACTTCAAGACTAACGAGTACGCCAATCTGATCGGAGGCGCTGCGTTTGAGCCAAAGGAGGAGAACCCCATGATTGGATTCCGCGGGGCCTCGCGCTACTACTCGCCTCGTTACAAGGAGGGCTTCTCGCTCGAATGTCGCGCAATCAAACGTCTGCGTGAGCAGATGGGTTTCACGAATGCCATCGTCATGATCCCCTTCTGCCGGACAGTCCACGAGGCGAAGAAGGTGCTCGATGTCATGGCCGAGAATGGACTCGAGCGTGGCGTAAACGGCCTCCAGGTCTATGTGATGTGCGAGATACCGTCCAATGTCATTCTGGCTTCCCAATTCACGGACCACTTTGATGGCTTCTCCATCGGCTCGAATGACCTGACGCAGTTGACGCTTGGTGTCGACCGCGACTCTGGCGAGCTGGCCGACCTGTTTGACGAGCAGAACGAGGCAGTCAAGTGGATGATTGCACAGGTCATCTCCGTGGCCAACAAGAAAGGCTGCAAGATTGGCATCTGCGGACAGGCACCCAGCGACCATCCGGAATTCGCAAAGTTCCTGGTCGAAGCCGGCATTAATTCGATCTCCGTGAGCCCAGACAGCTTTGTGGCAGTGAAGAGGAATGTGGTTCTTGGAGAGAGGGCATGATCCGTGAAGCTTGATGACCTGGATGATGAGTTTCAATAATAATATCTCGCTCAGCCATTGTCTCTACATGTTCTATTAAATACAAATGTCAGCCTAATTATTTTCAAAGCATAGTTTTTCTCTTTCTACTGCAATATTCCACTTAGGAGAGACTGCAAACGCAAAAAAGAAAAAAGCCCAATCCCCTCTCGGTTCTACGAACAGGGAACAGTGTCCGGATGCTACAATGCTGGAGTACTCCCCGGTCATGCCAACCGGGAAGAAAAGAAAAACAGATTAGTCTTGTTTACTGGATTAGACGATGAATGATGGGGATGAATTTGAAAGTGTCATTATCGTAGAAGTATATGGAGAAGAATAAGACTCGCGACTCAATATACCGCTGCAATTCTACACACGATTCTCATGGATCCGATCAATGGACTCCTTGAGAGACTTCGCCGACTCGGCTATATCCTTCTTCTCACTAGAGCTCAGCAGCGGATCGATCTCCCTTACAATTCCTTGCCTGCCTAGGACCACGGGCAAGCTCAAACAGCATCCGTATTCAGGCCGGAAATGGCTGACAGGACGCACATTGCGCTTATCCAAGAGGATAGAAGAGCAGATGCTGGACACGACATAGCCGATTCCAAAAGGCGTTGACCCTTTAGCCCGGACAATGCTTCGTGATCTATTCTTGCACTCATTTTCCAGCTCCTTGTGGTCGATCGTGTCGGGGAGAGATTTGTCAACAGGGACGCCGCCAATTGTCGCGGTCGACCAGGAGACGACCTGTGAATCTCCATGGATGCCTAACACATAGAGGTCTATTGAACTGGCCGCAACCTAGGTTTCAATCAACATGACAGGAAAGGAGAGCAGAGACACCGATCGCACGTACCCCGGCTTTGTCTGCCAACATTCCGCGAAGCCGTACGGAATCAAGGAGGGTTCCGGAGCCCAGCACTTGCGATGGAGGAAGCCCGGACAGCTTCTGAGCAAAGGATGTGAGGAGGTCCACAGGGTTTGCTACCACGAGCAAGATGGTGTCTGGCTTGAAGGGCCGCATGGCGTTGATGACGCTCTGAATAATCCCCATTTTTCGGTACATATGTTGTATACTGGTTTCACCTGGAAAGACACACCCGATGAGTTTGCAGCCACGGGTCACAGACTAGGAAGTCTCCTATGCATTGAATTCTCACCTAGCGAATACTTTGATCCAGCGGTGATAACCACAATGTCGGACTGGCCTGCCTCATGGTACGTCGCGGCTCGCACACTGGTGCCGCTATTGCTGCCGTAGACGACGTCGGATAGATCGCGGACCTGGCTGTCCCTTGTGTCTGTCTTCATATCCACCAGGAGGAGTTCGCTCGTCACCGAGCCAAGGACAAGGGCATAGGCGGCAGCGGCGCCGACCTGGCCAACGCCGACAATAGCAACCCGGGAAGCTGGCTTGGGGGTTTCCGAGGACATTTTGTTATGATCAATTGGCTCGTGCACTCCCACAGTCTCCGAGATACTGAGATCGGTTCTATTTCAACAATCTGCGCAATCTTGGGGGTGGCGTGAGAAGGCCTCGACATGCTGCGGCGAGGCACATGTCTGCTGAGCAGTTGCAGGTGGAGTGATGGTTGACCTTGGGGGAAACCTGCAGCAGCGTCATAGATGATGTAAACGGACAGCTTGATCGACGAGACTCAATCCCATGAACAATGAATGCTTGGAGAGACAATGTCATGCCATCGTGCCAACCGCCAAGAAATGAGAACAGGGAATGACGACAAGATGGAGAGGAACAACCGGTAAGACGCACCACAGAAGAACCCACAGCCGAAGAATGGATCCAGGCCGGTAGACCTGGGGAGACAGAGACACGGGGGAGACACGGGGGAGACACGAAGCATGCATCGTCTAGACGGACATCTCCATCGAAAGGAATGCCAGCATCATGTGCCTGGATAGCCCTAGACACGGTTCAGCTGTCATTCCAGCCACAGATCGACCCGTCGATGCGTCGATTCTAAAAATACACCCTGTGAAGAAACTTCCAATGAAGCTCAGGCCGGTTGATAATCCTGTTGCCTATCTCCACCATCCTCACTCCAAGACACATTCCTGTGTCTTGATCGAGCCTGTGGAAAACAAGCGAAAACAACCTCTGATCAGCATCCAGAGCATCAGAAGGCTTGCGGCTACGCGGCAGGGTCGGGATGAGTCGCGTACCTTCGCAGTTGCAGTCACCAATGATGTATGAATTCCCTTCTTCCGAGTCTGTCTTGGTGGTGAAGCAATCTTGTCGGACGAAGAGGCCGCATACAAAGTCCCGCCACGGTTGTCTGAGTTGCAAAGCCCGGAGAGTCAAGGTAGCGCTGGTTACCCCGTGCTGTAATCATCTATTTGGGCTGACCTGGTCGTTCTACAGTGTCAAGAGACGCGGCCTCATCCTTGTGCGAACTGTGTGACGCGGAATACATCGTGTGTATATCCTCCACTGGACCAGCTGTTGCGCCGGCGACATGATGCACCCGACAAGCCTCAAGGAACGGAGAAAACGAGTCATCCATCCAGTGTGAACCCTTCTGCCCCCGCTCTGGACTCCTCGTCGTCCATGCGCCCGAGGACGCTCTCGGACAGATTCCCCGATACCTTTTCCTCCGACGATCTGCGGTTCTTCCATCACTTCTTGGCTGCTGCACATCCCCATCTTCCGTTTGGGAATGAAGACCTATGGAAGACATCTCTACCGGCATATGCATACGAGGTATACATACTCCCCTATTCGTTTATTTGTCTATTGTCGACATCGCGGCAGAAACCGAACGTATGCTCACCGGAAGCAGTGTCCTCACTTGATGCACGCGATTCTGAGCCTTGGCGCTTCCCATCTATCCTTGCTCTTACCGGACGGCTCCCGGTATGCCCATCTCGCTGTCGTACATCGAGGGAAAGCGCTTCGGTTGCTAGGTGATGCCTTGGTGGCTGGCGATCAATGTTCCCAAACGGAACTGGACTTGGTGCTGGCTACGGCCTATGCGCTTACGTTCCAAGCCAACTACATGACCGATGGCCTGGTTGATTTCCTCGTCATGGCCAGAGGCTGCGCGATCATAACTTGGCAAATTCTGAACAAGCATAAACGGAGCGAGGTGTTCGAATTACTTTCACTGGATGACATCTGCGGCGGCATCTGTTCTCGGCTTCCATCGACACCATGCTGCGATGGAGAAATGCTGCATATATGTATCGTCTCGCTGGAACGCATCGAACCCCTGCTGGAAAATAGCACTCAGAGACGCACCTACCATGTCATCTTGAATACGTACAGGGGATTGCAGAACTCTGCACGGGCTGGCTTTGTCGCTCTCGTCGACGTGTACACCAACTGGGAGCGGATGGCGCACCAGGAGTTCATGGAATTTCTTGATTCTCGCAACCACGTTGCGCGCCTGCTACTGCTGCATTTTGTTACGATCACTACCATTATGAGACCCGTGTTCTGTCTATTGAGACCGCGGATGCTTGATAGTCCTAAGGACGTGCTCGCCAATAACCAATGGGCCTTGGACATCTACGAGAGTCTTCCTTCCGAGATGCGTGGGTTGGTCGAATGGCAGGCTCGTTATATTGCTTTGGACAAGTCTTTGATCCAAGAAAGGGATGTTTGAACTATACAAGTGGTCTAACAAGAGGGAGCACGGAGATGTAATTCGGGATTGATGCTATCAGGACGAGGCATAAGAGACGCAAGGCGAACAGAAGCAAAACAACGATGGAAGAGAGAGACAAACAAAAACCAGTCGTTCGAGGCAGCAATCCTGCTTCCGAATGCCTGGGTAAGGAAACTGACAACACCCGATGTCACGAAGACTCGCGAGATCCGGACAGGTCGGATCCTCCCAGGGAGCAAAGAAAACTAAGTAGTTCTGGTAATCTCACAGTCGGGATCGGAAGATCATGAATGGGAACCAGGTATGTCGTATACGGCCAGAGACCGAAGGAAAAGAGCTCTCGATAGAGTCTGAATGAATAATGCCTGCATGCAATGATATTGATGAATTGATTTCGTATACTTCTGTTGGAAAACTGCGCTTGAGCGTTGGCCTTTGAAAAGGTCCATTACGAATGGACCGGGACAGTGCCAGTATCGTCGATGCCAGACTACAGCAACTCCATTTCTTTATAGGAGAAACTGGTTCACTCATCGCTGGTCTCCTTCTTGTCTTTCTCCAGCTACGGCTTCTGGCCATACACAAGATATCTAAGACACCAACTGCAGTCAGAGATGCGCAATAATGCAAATATCACCCAGCAGACTTACAGGGTTAAATAAGCATGAATATTAGGATTGTGGTAATCCTTCCGTGCCCGAGCAAGATGCACCTGCACTTGTTCTTGTGACCACCCAAGTACTCAACAGAACAGCGCCATGGTCCAGCCTTCTATGCCTTCCAAGGCCTGAAGCTGGTTCCAGGCTCCAATCTCTTTCTATACACAGATATCAGTCATACAAGTGAGGGTTTTGGGAATCCGCAGTACTCACCAATTGAGGATCCTTTGCCCAAGGCCCGTATGGGATTTTGAACACATGCTCTTTTATATTCACAAACCCAGTGCTTTCAGCCCATTCCTTCAACTTCGGCCCTGGTCTGGCAGTTTGGCCCATTTTATCTGCTGCCCGGACCCCCTCGACAGCGTTGATGCGTATGTCATGTGTTTCTTTCAGACTGCCATCATCAGAGGATACCAACAGGTCAAAGTCCACGAACTCAGCATAACCTCCCGGCTTAAGGTTTCTTATTCCCAGTCAGAATTTGGTGTGCAACATGAGATTCTTAGGGCCACCCACTCAAATGTCTGCCGGAACAGTCTAGGCCAATCGCGAATGGACATGGCCAAGAACCGAGCATGGATAAAGTCAAAGGGAGTCTTGTAGGTCCAATCACATTCTATGTCGTCAATTTCAAACTGGACGTTTGGGGGGACCCTTTTCAAAAACCGTTGATTAGCTAGCTCTCTTTCATGTGGCGGTCCACCTGCCCACCAGTATACACATACATTGTGGGTTGGATTGCACTAAGGTCATTTCCAATGACCTATGCGAGACCGTCAGACTTGTGTGAAGTAGCAATTAATTGAAGAGCCAAAGATAAAGAGACATTACCTGTGCAGAGGGATACAGATCACCCATTTCAATCGCCCACAACCCTGTCCCACATCCTAAATCCAGAATTCGCTGAGGGTGCTCGTCGATGGGAGCCAAGAATAACTTCCCATCAAGAATGAGCGAAAACATGTGTCCCAGGATATCCATGTGGTCTTGTTCCTTTTCATCATTGGGGAGGGGATATCTTCCTTCCTGGAAGGAGTGGTACCGACGGCCATTCTCAAAGTGATATTTGAGGATGCTAGATCTCAGGGAGGTAGTGTCACTTCCACTGTTTTACAGCGGACTGTCAGCCATGAAGCACCCAGAGATGTCCATAGTCCCCCAAGAGACAAAACATACCAATCACTGAAGGTTGAGTCCAGTTCAGAAACCTAGGAAGTTTGGTAAGTCAGTCACTTGGAGCAATGATGCAGGAGGGGCATGCACACAGTGTCATCAACCACAATTGAAGTATTCCTTGCTGGATCAGACGTGTGTCAGTTGTCATCTGTGGTCACAGATCTCAGATGTGAGCTGACTGACCGTTGTCAACTGCTATCTCGTTCTCGGCCATGTTTCTCCAGAGCTGAAGGGTTCCGAACTGACACCGGGGGTATTTGGATCGGATATGCGGGAGGGGTAGAAGCAACACGCAGTCTCCGTGTCGGGTATCATTATTATACCAGCGAGAAAGTGCCACAGATCTTATGACCGAGAACTTGCCAATTATCATCGTAGCAACGTGGTAATCAGACACAATTCCGTCCCTTGCCGTTGAATTCGCCTAATGCAGGCTGCATGCATCCGTCAGCCAACGTCCTCCAATGGACGATGCCGAATTCGAGCAGCTAGACAAAGGTTGGACCGTCGGCCGTGGGAATGATTCCCCGTTATCATTTATTTATGTTGCTAAAGCCATCCTCGGCCCGCATTGAAAGCCTTTTCACTCGCTTCTTTTCGCCCCGTCTTTCGAGGCACATGAAACGCTGCAGCTTCGATCACAGAACTGTTGGCGCAGTAATACAATCCGAAGCCAGCACCCTTAGATACTGTCAGGCCATGTTCCTACAAAAGGCTTATGCAAACCCCTAATTTCAGAGGAAGAGATGCGCTTGCGAGGCGCTGCCAAGAGCGATGACCGGTATTTAAGAATAGAAGCAAATGATACAGAGTAAATCTGGGTGACAATGGAACAGACACAGTTGTGCATGGTTTGTGGATCAGAAACGATGATGTTCCGTCACTGGGAGTTGTTACCTTAAGACACCAAGCAAGCCGCCTTCTCCGGGTTGTATAGGGTTATCTCAAGGTCTTCCCATGTGCCAGTGCGGTCCCAGGAAAAAGAAAAAAAAAAGACCAAGCAGGCCAAGACCAAAGAATAAACTGAAACTAACATAGAATCACTCCAAACACTCAGTAAATCGTTCCACTGGCTTGCTCCATGACTCTGGAGCCGCCAGCCACAACGAAATCTTCTTGATCTGCTCCGCAGTGCTATTGGCCCATGCTGTTGACATGTTCGGCAGGACACCGTGGAGAAGAACAGCGATTTCGCTCCCATCAGGTCCAAATGCCCCAGCATTAACCGACATCATCAGTCTGGGTTGAAAATATACTTCAGACATATTGATATTCGAATGCAAATTCTGGCCGGATGCTGCTTCACCCAAGCCAGGCATCCAGTTGAAAATGAGTGATTCCGCGACTGCTGGCAAGACTTCTTCGGCGGAGCAGTCTAGCTCGCGGAAGACCTCGTGCCAGGGAACGCAGGCATGTTTTGTCAAATTGACCTGATACTCCTTCACCCGTGAAAGATACTCAATGGCGTTCTCATTGGGCTGATAGGGAATGAGATTCAAGACACCCGTGAAGGTAGCCCCCGATACAGGAAAGTCCTCGAAATCTCCAAGAGCGGAATAGGATTCGGGAATAAAGGGGAAACGGGTCCGGTTCGCCTCAAGATTGAGGAATAGAGCGTGTGTGTGGTTTGTGTTATAGACTACAAAAAGAGCCAGCGCTGCTTTCAATATGATCGGAGATGAGAGCCCTGGATATTTGTCGCGCAGACGCAGGAAATCGGGCGCTGAATACGTGATCGTATAACCGTTCATATCCGCGTGTTCAGGGGGCATAGTTGACTGGTCAGCGGGATGCGGCCAGAGAACATTTTTATGATCTCGAAGACTCTTCAGATGAGAAACATGGTACTTCACTGCTAGTCTGGCCATTGGAGATGTGCGAAGGGTGTAGTAAGAGTCAGCCCAGGTCTTGAACGGTACATAGGCATTCAAAGGTCGACCGTCGAGGGCGCGATCAATGTCTTCAGTGAAAAATCCGAAGTACGTCGCGTCGACTACATAATGCGAAACTAGTTATATTGGTGAGTGATGTTTTTTCATCATAAGAAGTTCGGAATGTTAGGCACGTACTGTTCATGATGGCCGCCGCTGACTTGGTCTCGCGAACAAATACTATAAGTGCACGAAAAAGTGGGCCTGGAAGCATAGAATGATCCTTGAATGGGTAGTGCCTGGCAATTTTCCGAACGTCTTCGACTGTATCTACGGTTCCATAGTCCATGATGCACTTGTCAAGGATCTCCCGTGTCTGCCGCATCGTCACATAGAGTCCAAGCTCTGGCCCCAGGAGTGAATCATCACCGACAAGGAAGGAGAGAACCAAAGGGTTATTGAATAAAGCCACTTCGAGGGCTGATCTCAATTGCTGCTCAAATGTTAGCATTTCTCTCTGTTTCTCTGTTTCTCTGTCTCTCTGTCTCTCTGTCTCTCTGTCTCTCTGTCTCTCAAAAGGTGAGGCCCACCTTCACATCAGCATTATGGGTTTGGATCGAGGTGCACAACTTCCAGGTGTCGATAACCCGATGTTTACTAAGTATTTGAATAAAATCCGTACAAGGAGCGACATCTTGGACACTGTCCCAGGAGAGCCCAAATCCTGCAATCACGCTCCCGATTGCGGCTTTGGTGGTATCCAGCGCCTCAGGCTCGGCGTTTACATGAACGATCTCATGGACATCTGGGGGTCCTTCGCGATAGTTCAGGACAGGTTTGCGCACCGACTGAGGCACGTCCGCGGGAACTTGTTTGAGCAAGTGGATCTGATCTGCAATACAATCGACAGAGAGCCATTTAGACAGTGGGACGCGCCGTCCAGTTGCCTTTCGGATTTTGTCTCGCGCGCCCAACTGGACTAGGCTATCCGCCCATCGTGAGATAGAGGAGTTGATATCGATCTGGTCAGGTTGAAGACCTAGCACACGCGCCCAGGTTCCAACCACTGTCTTCTCTAGGCTTGACGAGTTCAGTTCTGTGTCATCCTCGTCTGCTTGTTTTCGAGATCGGTAAAGCTGGGCAACCTTTTCAGCCAGTTTAACCTTCTGGATCTTTCCTATGCCCGTACGAGGATAATCATCCAAACCTAATGCCTTGACGGGAAGAATCTCGCGGGGCACATAGATGTTTCCGAGCTGCGAGCGGATGACTGCCTGCAGCTTCTTAATGAGAAGCTCATCAGCGGTGCCCCGAATGACAGTAACAGGTACCTCCCCTGCAATGGGGTCAGGGGCCGCAACAACCTGAGGCTCAAGGGCTCTGAGATCAGGAACCTCAGCGAGAACAGCCTCAATCTTAGCAGGCGAAAGGTTCTCTCCTCCTCGGATAATCAGATCCTTGTATCTCCCAACAATGAACAGACGATTGTCAGAGTCGACGTAAGCCCGATCGCCGGTAACGAACCAGATCCGCCCGTCATCTTCATAAAAATCTTCATTTTCGCCTTTCATATAACCTTCAACCAGTGTGCAGCCGGAAAAGTGCAATTCTCCTGGGGTTCCTGTGGGCACAGTAGATTTTTCTCCAGAGTAGCAAATGCGAACCTGGGCTCCAGTCACCGGCTTGCCAATTGACACGTCATGTTCTCTGGTGATGAATTTGACATTCCCAATTGGTCCAGTGCAACAAAATACGCCTTCTGTCATTCCATAGAAATTCTCGATGGTTGCAACACCCATCATTATCTGACATTGTCGGAGGGTCTCCGGTGTCACTACCGAGCCAGCAAATAGCAATCCCTTGAGGTATTCCGGCCGGCAGTCCATGCCTTGTTGGGTTTGCAAGAGACTATGGGCCATCGAGGGCACCATGGCTGCGTAGGCACATCTTTCACGTCGCAGAGTCTCAAGCACAAGATGTGGGGAAAACTTGGATCCTGCAAACACAATAGTCGCTCCTCTCAGAAGTGGCAACATCAAGCAAATGTAACCGAAAGCGTGGTTATTTGGGACAGTCACTGCCACGGCCTCCCCAGGCTCTACAGAACCAATGCTGAGGGATGTCTCAAGCGCATCCATCCATCGCCCAGGCTTGGTAAGACAACCTTTTGGCCGCGATGTCGTCCCACTTGTGAAGAACACTGATCTTGCAGTGGGTTCTCTGTCACTGGGCACAGACAATGGACAGGGCTTTTCAATGGAGGTTGACACCATCAGAGTTTCAAACGGTATCCACCCATCAAGTGTTCCATCAATAACCACCTTCAGACAGTCGGTTCCAAGCCTCTTGACGATAGGGTCCAGTGCTCCTGCCACGCCTGCATCATTGGCAATCACAACAGCCGTTTCGGGTTTTTCATATTCCCGGACCAAAGTCAGCATATGCTCCACGTCTCCAATGTTGGACAGGCTATCCGGGCTAATCGGAACGTGGACAAGGTCAGAATAGTACGCGGATATCGTAGAAAGGACGTATTCCACTCTGTTCGGGCAAAACAAAAACAACGGCGAGCCAGACTTTATGCCATGGCCTGCCAGGGCGGCTGATAGACGTTGTACTCCTTGGTATAGGCCATTGTACGTCAATCGAAGGTAAGGGTCACCCTGAGACTTTCCACTATCAAGTCCATAAGTTCCCCATGGCTGGTGTGTGCAGACCAGAGCCAAGTTGCTCGGGAAGCTGGCCACTGATTTCAAAAAACGCTTAATGATGCTCGATTCGCCGAAGGAACCCATATCCGAAACAGTCGAACGAGAAGGATGATGCGGTCAAATAAGAGGGAGCCCAAGGGGGAGGGGGAAATAAAAATAAAAAATAAAAAGGAATTGGATTAGACAGAGCCATTGTGACTTATGTCGCATATTAATCGCTAGGCAATCAGTCGAGTTTCTCTTCCCACTTGAAATCGGTGATCCCAATGGTAGTGCTCCGTAATTCTGCTAGCAATATACGGATGGATACGGCAAGATAAGCCGAATCATATCACCGAAAAGAAAGACCCTGCTTCTGGCCGCTTCGGCTAAGGTCTGATCAATGAAGGGGGCTATTCTATTGCCTCGGAATGGGAATAAAGAGCTCGCGGGTGCCTGACAGTCCCGTGTGCTGTGAAACGAGAAGTTTGCAGAAGAGAAAGCACCGGATGAAGTGGATAGAAAGATATTGTAGTACACATGGCTACCTGAGTTCCGAGTCTTCTGATGGCTGAAATGAGGTCGGAATCGCCCATTCTACGATGGGTCGAGCTCGCTGAGTTGGTTGTTCTCGCTAGGAGTTAACCAACTAAGTCATCTACGCTAAGCCGACTGATTGGAGCTAAACCTAACTAGGAAGGAGTTAAACCATGGGAACCACGTGCGTACAATGCGCGTACAATTAGGTGTATACCAGCAGAAAGGGGGGGCCAGTTATTGGACGGGTGTGTTGTATTGTGTCTCTATCTAGGTGCGCACTTCCTAAACCGGCTGTGCTAGGCCAGGCGAGGGCGGTCTAACCGGGCAGAACCCACGTGATCTCTAACATACCACCCTAGATTAGTAATCAGGCTAAATTTCCGAACTAGGCTTAGGCATAATCTTTTTAATTAGTTAACTACCACCACCGCATCTGATGTCCAAAGTCAAGGCCAGCGTGAGTTATTAGAACTAGTAGCAAACCACGGAGTACACTCAACTGTATCCTGGGGAAACACCAACAAAACTTCTGATAGGTCCAATGCCTACCCAACAAGCACCGAAGTGCCGAAGTCGTTGATTAGATTCCCTGCTGGACCCCTCACTAGGGAGCACGCTAGCTTTAGTCTTGGACATCTCGCGATGGAGTCGGCCGTTTCTCATGGTCGTGCAACCCAATTGCCACCATTCCCGTAAGGTAACTGCCAAGGCATCTTTCTTTGGCCCGCCATTTGAGGTGAAACGTGCTCGCCTGCTAGTCATCCTGTTTTCGGAGCCGATGGACGTGGTCCCCGGGAAGAGGACTGGAATCCCTACGCGACCCTCAAACAATCAGGTGTCTTTGGAGCTTTGAACCAGATATCACGCCTGATTGCGGATGAAGAAATGCGAGACTCCATCCAGCGTGGACTTGGCAATGCGGGATTGATATCACCGGTCTGGGAGGAGCCGTCGAAAGGGCGAGACAGATCAAGTCAAAGAAGGAAGCGGTATTTTTCGGGCTGTGAAGGCAGGGACTGTCGAGGCTGGAGACAGATTGGAAAATACCAACCTTTTCACCTTGCAAGGAACTGGAGACTGTGTCTACTGTCATGTCCAACAAGCCTCTATCCTGGACTGATGGAGAGCCAAGTGGCATGTACATGCTCATGGGGCTGGTGACGCCGGGATTTCTTATACCACGTGAAATTACTGCATTCATGCCGTCTACCGGGGGATTCGTTCCCTATGCCACAAAATATGTCAAACCTGCATTGGATGCAGCGGCTGGTTGGGATTTCTGTGGCCCTCTCTGGAATAGCCGACTTAGCCTCTGCAATGACAAGCTGAGGGATAGTCCATGCTCCATGAGACCCATGCTGGGGGATAACTCCGGAGGTGCCACCGCATAGATAGTATCCATTTTCGTCGTAGGCTTATTCTGCGTAGTCCTATTCAACTATGACTGAAGGCTCTGAGGTGCGTGTTTCGGATCTAGTGCTAGGTCATCATCGGGGAGCACTGGCACACCAGGAAATACACTTGCTATCTTTCTCGCTTGTCAGTAGGTCACCAGTTTAATCATCTACTAACTTCCCAACAATAACTACCGAGAGTCAAGCAGAGTTAGGATGTGACTACTCCTGCACGATGACGTACTCGGTGTGATCCCGGCTGCATATCGGCGCCTCATATCTCTGAGCTGCACTTGCTGTTCCATTTTTCTCCCTGAGAACTGTAACTTCTATCAGTTGATCGTGTCAGCGTGTTCTATTCTACCTCATCTCCCTCGCCTAATTATGTCAGACTACAATGGCGAGAACCGGGACGATTGGGACTATGGCGTAAAGCGTGGCCGCCACTTCCCTGGCAACAGCTACGTTGATGACCCCTATATGGGCCACTGGGGTAGCAACAGCCACAGAAGAGATATCATCCGTCGCGGTAGCAGTGATGATTCTGTTATCGAGGAGGTGATGAGGGAACCGGGTGACTATAACCGTTACGATGACAACTACCATCGTAGCGATAGTAGTCGGCCTCATAGACCCAGACGCCACGACGGTAAAGTTCTCTGGTTTGCACCATGAATTTTTAGTTGGCATTATCATGTGTGGATGTGTTCTAAGTGACTGCCAGGCGGCCTTCATCGAAGACGCTCGTCTTACTCGTCTTCTTCTACTCCATCGCCCCGTCCTCACAGACGCAGATCTCTTGACGAGCAGACAAAGAGTGCTACCAGGGGAGCTCTTCGAGCTGCATCTGCTCATGACCGATACGAAGATCGTAACCACGCTCGCCGACATCGTTCTTATTCCGACACCCGCTCGTGGGAACGAGGTCGTCATTCCCTTAGCGAGTCCCGCATATCTCAAGTCATCAAGGCTGCCTTCACGGCTGGTGCCGCAGAAGCATTCTGTGATCGGAATGACCCTGGATCATGGTCGGGTGAAAAGGGAAAGCGAGCTTTAACCGCTGCAATCTCAGCCGGCGCTGTGGATGCCCTTATTGATCATGCTCCCAGCAAACACAGTGATCGCCATGTCATCGAGTCAGCGCTCGTCGGCATGGAAACCAGTCGCCTTCTGAATCCCGAGCACTCTAGATCCAGATCGAGAGACAGTCATCGAAGCCGCTCGGATTCTCGTGATGGCTATGATAATCTGCATCGCCGTGGCGGCAAGCACGGGAATGATTATCGGCAGCATCCGCTTTCGTCCTGTCCTGACTCCTCCAATTCCGATTACGACAGACCATACCGGTCATCCCGCCACCAAGGAAGGTCTTCCCATGACATTGAGGGTTATTATGATAGTGACACTGATCCCGACCTCGGGTCTAGTGACGACGAACACCACGCGATGAAGAAAATGTATCGCAAGGAGCTGATCACTTCCGGCCTAGCCGCAGTAGCGACAATCCATGCAGCACACAGCGTGATAAAGGGACTGGAGGCAAGAAAACAGCGTAAGCAAGCCGCAGAGGCCGGGGTCATTAGCAGAAGAGAGGAATCCAAGCTGCGGTTGAAGTCGGATCTAAAAGACGCGGCTTCTATCGGCTTGGCTGCGCTTGGTATCAAGGGGGCCATTTCTGAATGGAAGGAAGTGGACGAGCAGAGAGAGAGGGACAAAGAATTCGCCAGGGAATGCGAAGAACGACATGAGAAACGAATGATGAGACGACACCGGAGTCCTAATCATCACTCTTCGTGGCAGGCTAAATCAGCCAGTGCCAGCAGATATGACCACCACGATGAGGATGTATATCCAGGATCTGACTTTGAATATATATAAAGAAATAGGATGTATTGGAGGGTATAGAGAAATGATATTATCTCGGATTCTACTGCAGAGTACATGCACATAGGTCAGGAGATTTTCGTCACTGGCACAGTCAAAAGTGCCGGTATTCAACAGCTCACTGGCTTCAAATAAAAACGACGATGGATACTCCGCCCCGACCAACTACCATCAGTGACTCACCGGAAATCGTGTCTGCAAGTACTCTCCATACTTTGAAGAACAACCAGGGCACAGGCACAAAAGCCACGGCTTGAAAGCTTGGTGCTCAGCGCATCAGGGCTTCAAGAGGGGGGCCATTACAACGATCGTGGTCTCGGTGCTCTTGACGGTCAATATTACAGTTGTCCGGTAGCAAGACAGACGCACTGCAGGGAAGACCGTATCTCAGGTCGATCTGAGGTGAAGTGGAAGCAGGACAAGTGGATCTCAGCGGGAGGTGGACTCAGTGAGAGATGGGATGAAGATAGTAAAGACGCCACTGTCACGGTCGATGTGAAATGGCTAGGCTTATGGCATTATTAGCCGAGATGCAGTTTCCAACCAAAAGAAGACTGAGGATGGATTGGCGCTGAATTTGTGAGGGTCTGAAGAGAGGATCTGAAGAGAGGACTTGCGTGGTTACCAATTTTATCATGTGATGTCATTGCATCCTGAGGCATTAAGGTGACAAGGCGTGGAGAGCTGCTCTCTGGGCCGAATGTTAACACTCAACAAGCAAAAATATATAAACAGAGCCATAGGGATAGCTTATTCTATCTCCTTCCTTGCTTGGATACCATCTTCAGCAACAAGGTGGCGGGCAGGGCCGATCGAAAGGAATACGACGCGTCCCTTTCACCCCTCTTGGCCTTTACTCCGTACGGAGGGTGTCCGGCTTCTACGGAGTCTCTACGGAGTAAGCTCCGTAGAGAAACTTTGTCCCACCCGAAATAACGCTCGATTATTTTCTGTCGAGAACAATATTCATTTTTTGAAGGTGCGAGATTCATTTCAAATCGTCGTTCGGCCTCAATGCCATCATGGCCAGCTCTCAGTGCGGATATACTCATTCGAAGCCCTTCGATGAGGGCATGCTGACTGTCAGCGACATACACAAACTGCACTACGAGCAGTATGGCAAGGAAGATGGTAAACCAGGTACGATACTATGGAGCAAGTCCCTTGTCCCTGATTTTCTGCTCGGGCCTTTTCTGAGATCCTCGCAGTGTTGTTTCTCCACGGAGGCCCCGGTGGAAACACCTCCAAGGGCAACACCATATACTTCAACCCCTCTGTGTATCGGGTTGTTCTTTTCGACCAGCGAGGCGCTGGGAAATCCACGCCTCTAGCCGAACTGCGTGAAAATACCACGCAGCACCTTGTCTCGGATATTGAAATTTTGCGAAAGCGTTTAGCGATTCCTAAATGGCACCTTGTCTTCGGGGGTTCTTGGGGCTCCACTCTGGCACTCTTGTATGCGCAGGAATATCCACACGCCGTTGGATCGCTAGTTGTGCGGGGAATCTTTACAGTAAGACGCTCAGAGGTGGGATTCCACAGGGGCCCTGTTGGTGCTTCTCAGCTTTTTCCGGAGGCATACGAGGCCTTTGTCAATTATCTGCCGGAGGAAGACAGGAAGGAGCCGAATACAGCCTACTATAGGCTTCTCACGTCAGACGATGAATCGACCCGACTCAATGCAGCGAGAGAGTGGAATAGATGGGATCTCAGTACTGGGTCTCTGAAAACGGACCCAGATACGTTCAGGACGTTGGAGGATGACGATTGGTCCCTGCCGCATGCCCGACTCGAAGCGCACTATTTTATCCATGGGGCCTGGCTGGAAGAAGGTCATATTCTGAAGCCGCAGCGCATGGACCAAATTCGGCATATTCCGGGTTAGCACATTCTTTCTTCCACGTTTCATGCATTGAGCTCGAGCACTCTAATTGTTCCCATAACAGTCACGATCATCCAAGGGCGCTATGACGTTGTCTGCCCACCGCAAACGGCCTGGGACTTACATAAAGCCTTGCCTCATTCTCGATTATTCTGGATCCCAGATGCTGGCCATAGTGCAAAGGTGAGAGACGATCTGGTATCTCCACGAGTGACGATTAACCCTTTCCCAGGAGCCCGGCATCCAGAGGAAGTTGATCGAGGTGTGTGATGAGTATGCCAATCTGGAAATGTAGTCATTCAGGACGGATGTATACCGATTTCCCAGCTTTAATGGTCCAACGTATCCGATCGGAAGGGAATATGCGCAGGTAACAGCAGAGAAAGCTGATCTTGGTACGAGTAATGCAGGCAGTGTAGAAGATCTCTTGGATGTAAAAAATCTAGCAGGGTTAGTCGGGTCCCTTCAAGCATACTCGGCGCCAGACATAGAGAATTTTGGTGATGTGGTGGAACCGGAGTGTCCAGATATCTTCACCCAAGCCAGCGTTCCCAACTGATGCAGTTGTCAGCGTGAGTGTGCTGCTGCCAAAGAAACGGTTGCACTTACGCAAGATCGGGCTGAGGTTAACCGGTATTATGATGCGCTCCGACATTTGCTGGAGAGCTCAATGAAGGATGGAATTCAACTTACACCGAGCACAATGGCTGTCCAGTCATCCCAGTCGAGTTGCTGCTTCGTGACCACCAGGCGCGTATATAGCCTCGAAGGGAATGAATAGGAGAACAAAGAAGCCGCCCACTGGAATCCAAATACCCAGAGCCGTTTTGTCTCGCATTGGAGCATGATGTTCCGTGCTTATAGCACGAGTATGTGTCGTCTTATATCGCGAGGTGACGTTTGGTACAGTGGACCAGCCCATCCTCACAGGTTTCCGTGATTGATAGTTAGTACAGGTTCCGATTAAATAAACCCCTGACGCCACGAAGCCGTGCCACAGACACGGGAGATTTAAACTTCAGCGAAGGGCAACTGTCTGGTTTCATGACCGGCTGGGTTGACCTATTTCTGCATGTGTACGGTCCATAATGGCCGTATTCCATGGCCCCAGTGGACAAGCTTTTCCGTGGGCGGTTCCTGCAACACAAGAACTCTTATGGCATGGCAACAATAACAACGATAACAGCAGCATCCCAGCCCCAATTCACGGTCCTAACCATGCTTTCTTACCAGTCACCCGTTTTCCCCATCGACGATGTGGCCAATTTGTCCATTCCGCAGTTCATTACGCGTTACAACCCAGATGACGTACCGGCAGACAAGGTCGTCCATACGGATACCTTCTCCCAAGAGCCCCTGACATATGGCTCTCTTCGCGACCAAGCTGCGCGTGCTGCCTGGGGTCTGCGGCAATCGGGCCTGCAGCCCGGAGATGTCTTACTCGCGCTGGCAAACAACTCGGTAAGAGTAACTCGACGGTGTATGATGCACTTTGACACTGCGGTCTAATCGGAAATGCTTCTAGAATGGTTTTGTTCTCCTAGCGCATGCGACGTGGTGGGCAGGTGCTGTTTTCGCGTAAGTGTCACGCCTCCTGGACTGGTAGAAACGGTCTCAACTGAACCCTGACCATGCGTGCAGTCCTCTCAACACCGCTGCGACGCCCCACGATATTTCCCATATTCTCAAGATCGTCCGCCCAACCCATGTCGTCACGGTCGCGTCGAAGCTCAGCCATGTCCAGGATGCGTTATCCTCTTTGTCCATGAACAACACGAAGGTCTTGACGGTTCTCAGTAGGGTGGAGAATTTGCCCCAGGTCGGTATAACTCTTCCCAGGGATCAATTGAACGCGGACCCTGATTATACGATTCTTTGAGCAGTTCCCGAATGATATCATCGGCGGCAGCAGCGGCAGCAGCACCACGGAGAGTCTCCCGCCCTATGACCTTCAAGGCAGAAGCGCCAAGGATGTACCCAGCACCATCTGCTTTTCCTCCGGAACAACGGGAACGATCAAGGGCGTGCAGCTCTCTCATTACAACCTTGTCATGAACTCTATAATAATGCGTATCTCCCTGCCGGTCCGGTACAACTCCAGCGTCAGAGAAGTCTTCTTTGCGCCATGTACGCGAGTTCCTGAATCCCCTCTTTGAAGCAACTTCTGTTCTTCATCGTCCACCAGAATCGATCCGCTGACACCGTGAACTTCTAGATTGCCATATCTATGGCTTATCCATAGCGGTGGTCACTGGCATGTGGGTTGGAGCCCACTTCTGCGGTCTTCCGGCTTTCGACCTCGAGACCTTCTGTCGCAAGTCGAGTGAGGTCAAGGTTACCGACCTGCATATTGTTCCCCCGGTGGCGCTCCTCCTCGCAACGTCCCCCGTGGCTCAGAAATATGACCTTTCTTCTCTGCAGAGAATTGTCATATCCGCCGCCCCGTTGAAGGTAAAGCCTGCTGACGGACTCCCGAGTTGCCCGTCACCACATGTATGAGTGATGCTAAATGATATCTTTGCTTGCCAGAAATCCGTTCAGCTTCTGCTAAAGAAGCGGCTTCCGGGTATCAGCGTCTGCCAAGGTGTGTAGCGTCAAGTCAGTCATGTCAATGTTCAGGCCACTAATTACAAATACACAGGCTATGGACTCTCCGAGGCTACAGGCGGTATCATCCATCAGGTCGATGAAGATGAACGTGCTTTCGGAAGTGTTGGCAAGCTCTTTGCCGGGGTGTACGTCATGCCAACCCTTCTACACGTAGTCTTTCTGCTCCCTGCCGCACCCGTCGATGGGAGTCACAGGACACTAATAATGTTCACGATACAGGGAAGCTCGCCTTGTAGACCCGAAGACAGGAGCAGACTGCAAGCTAGATGAAGAAGGCGAACTATGGGTCCGTGGCCCAGTGGTCATGATGTAACTATCTGCCCCTGTAGAAGGTCGGTATGTACAAGCAATTGACTGAATTCGCAGGGGTTATGTCGGTGACAAGGAAGCAACCGAGCACACCTTCTCGGAAGGTTGGCTCAGAACAGGCGACATTCTAAAGGTGGACGAACATCAGAACTTCTGGGTCACTGACCGGCTGAAGGAGGTATATTTGTTCCCTATCATGCTTCGTACCTGCGACCGATACAGCTTTGACTAATCTTTTTATTCTTCAGATGATCAAGTACAAGGGGTATGTTGGGGATCAGATTATCAACCCTCTAGTTAGCAGATAACTAACACCACTCCCAGTTTCCAAGTTGCTCCTTCCGAGCTTGAGGATATGCTCTTGCACCATCCGGACGTCATCGACGCTGCAGTCTGTGCCGTCTACGACGATGCTCAAGCTACCGAAGTGCCCCTTGCCTATGTGAGCTTAACACCAGGAAAGGCAGAAGCGCCGGATCATGAGAAGCAGAAGGTTCTCAAAGCGATCCAGGACTGGATGGATGGCCAGCTGGCAGGCTATAAAAAGCTGAGGGGTGGTGTCTTTCATCTACAGTCTCTGCCCAAGACTCCGACTGGCAAGATCCTCAGACGGCTTTTACCGGCGAAACTGAACGAAAAAAGGGAAGCAAAGCTGTAGGTACAATTTTCTATAGAATCTATTTCTCTGTATACTCTGTCAGCTGCGACTAGATATATGTTAGCTGGCTTTACGAAATATATTTAGCAGGAGCAAATGGAACTGTATAAAGCGGTGCTTCAATACAACCAATTTATGAAAGTATGCTCTATGGGAGAAACTAGTGAGCTCCTAGGAGCGGTCATGGAGGCAGTGAGCGTAGAGGCAGGAAGGCCGCAGCACGCGCAGGTTGGGAATTGAAGGGAGCCGAAGAGGCTGTAGCGAGAAGAGAAAAAGACAGAAAGACCAAAACACACGCGAAGACCATAGCTTAGCCAATACCTAGGCCAATGCCACTGCATATAATACGAAGACCTTGATGCCGAATGTTCCTGTCGAAGAGCTATCTAATTATGCGGGCCTTGCTGAATCTGTTGATTGACTGCCTGGTGGTGTAGGGGTCTTTAGCTGGATATCCAACTGACTGAGCACCCTATCTGGATTGAATGGAACTAGGCCAGCACCTGCAAAGCTATTTTGAATAGTTTCTGCTTGAAAAGCACTGTCACGAGCTTGTGGAAAGGCCTCTAGGAAATCAAGTTTATCAATATGATTGATTCCTAAGTGTGCTTTCTGCTCCACTAAGCTCCCATATGCCTTTTTTAAAGGTGAAAAGCAGCCTATATCCAGAGGTTGAAGCTTGTGGGAAGAATGTGCAGGCATGCAGATAGGAATGATATTATTTTCACTGCATATTTGATTGAATTGAGGTGTAAGATGGCTGCTATGGCCATTGAGAACCAGAAGACAGTATTTCCCAGTTGTATGACTAGAAATAGCAGGAATAAAGAGATTTTTAAGCCAGCGAAGGCCTATCTCATCAGTAGTCCATCCATTAGGACTAACTTCAATCCTGCTATTGTGTGGGAGCTTGAAATCTTGATACCAATCCTCTAGATGGACCTTCCCCTTAAAGATAATGCATGGGGGAAGTGCTCAACCAGTAGAGTTGATACATTCAATTAAAGTAACCTATTCATGATTGCCTGGCTGTACAAGAGAGGCCTTCCTATAATAATCAGCTCTAGTAACCACTCGTGCAGTAGCTACTAGACCCATAGCAAAGCCAGTCTTATCAAAATTATAGATATCCTCCTGTGTGATCCCATACTGCATTATAGTGATTTGTACATGATCAAACCACTCCCTAATAACTTTAGGATCTTCACATTTAGCACATCGATAATCATATCATCTTAAGAATTGTATTTTCAACTGATCTTATTGATTAATAAAGTTGTATACCCATTTCTCTCCAACAGATTGAATTGGTGTAGTACCATGCTGAGCAAGTAGAATATTGGCCATTTCTTGTATATGCAAAGGTCAGGGAGGTGCTCCACGTCAACCCAGTGAGAGAATCCGTTGTATAAGTGATTCCTCTTCATTTTGAGTCATCTTATGGTTGTTAGCGCGTTTTTCTGCTTGAAAAATGTGGCTATTTAGTCATCTTCAAAGTGTTGTACGTGGAACATTATAAACACGTGCTGCTTCTGCAATGCTGCAGATTTCTTGCTTTTTTAAAGCAGATATTGCAAGTAGGACCCTTCCCTCCTGCTCCATTAAATCTTTTGAAATTTGATGTGCTTTTGGAGGCATGGTTGGTGGTTGAAATGAGTGAGGTTTTTGACCACAGTCAAAACGCGGAGAGGTGGCCGCTCGCTTACCTAAGTCATATTCCTTACATGTAAGGTCTCCTTACACATAGTAAAAAAAAACCCTAAAATGTGGGTTCTGGGACCTTACATAGAACTTCATGTAAGGTCCCTAACTCAAGAACTAGGCCATATTAGGAAGTAAGACTAGTATCATGGTGATACTAATCAGGTCTAGTTTCTGCTGGTGCAGTTGGATGGCTGACATAAGCCGTTTTAAATATACCCTATACCAAATAGGGTAATATTATGGCCAATGCTATTACAGGCTATGTAGTGGTCCAATTGCTCAGAATTAAATATGATGATATCATGGAGGTCTAGAAGGTGCACGTGACTTCAATTTCCTAATTAGGAAGGTGGTCATATCACCTATCTTTTCACTGCTCTCACTTAGCTCTAGGTGATGGTAGTACTCCCTAGATGATGGCACTATACCTAATTAGGAAGGTAGTCATATAATGGCTTAGATGAAAGTACTCATTGAGAGCATTACAATGAACATGGTCTGATATTCTGAAGTGGCCTAGAAAAGGAGATATAGAGGTTTAAAATTAGAAATTCCAATGTAGTAAAGTAGAAATGGTCTTTTATTATGATTATAATGCAATTACTGTAATTTAGGCATGGTAGTAGACATATATAATTGATGGTAGAAGTAATAATAAATAACTAGATAGGTATCTCAGCCTAGAATAAGATGATTCGAAATGAACAGCTGGTGTGATTAATAAGATGAGGGATTTTTCATGATCTGCAATTGTCGTGGTGGCGCAGCTAGATAGAGGGCATGGCATAGAGTGGGGGGATGGCTCAGCTGGACTTTGGGAACACTTCCTACCTAATGTTCCTCACGCCACCACTAGTATGATATCATCTTAAGAGACTGAATGAGATTGAATTTATAATATTGAATGTCTAGAACTCTTCATAATCTAATATAAATTAATGGTTGCTCCCCCTTCCCAGATTAGTTCCCTAGCCAAGTGCTACCAGCAACATTTCTTATTTCTTTTTATATTGCCTATCTCTCCATTTCTATACTATCTCTTCAGGTTTCTAAGCCCTCTGCTTAACTTCTCTTTTTCATATACGCTTCACTATGGCCACCAACCTTCCTGAATTTATTATGTATCATCCTATCTACCATCTGCTTCTTTGCAAAGAATGCAAGGTGGTGGTGCCAAAGGATCTTTTTGTTTCTCATCTTCAAGCTGATCATCTGTTTACCACACACCAAATCCAAGAAGGGAGCTATAAAGCTGCCCTTGAAGCTCTAGAGCTTCAAAGAATTCCTCAAGCCCATCAGCAGATATTATATGATCTGCCTATTCCTCCTATTCAAGGACTGGAGCTTCTCCAAGCCCATGAATGTAGTGAATGTGGGAAGGTCTTTCTTAGTGCCCAAAGTGGGCAACGCCATGCAAGTAAAATCCATGAGATGAAGACTCTAACTTCCCAAAATGCTTGCTTGACTCCCATATTGGCCCAATCTTTGTCCAAAAACAAATTCTATTTCAAAGTCACTGAGCCAGCCACTGAACCTGGCCCTTCACCAACTCCTGGCCCATCTCAGCCACATCAAGCCCAAAGACCTAGGTCAGGAAATATATCAAGCCCTTTATGCATTCCCTAACTGTCTCTTAGGGTGGTTGAGTCCAGTGACTCTGATATTGAGATGGTCTCTGCCAGGTGAGCATTCCCACTGCCCATTTTGAATATATATCTTGCTGATTCTCACTGTATAGGGATGTCAATACCTCTCTGAGAGCCTCTTCTGCCTTTGGACCCTCTGCCAGTCTTCCTACCAGGTGGGGTCTATATATTTATGTAGATATGTATCCTCTACGCCTTCACTAATATGTATTTCTAGGCCTGGTTCTTCGTCGCAGCCTGACTCTGGCATCACCCCAGATCTGGTGGATTCCCTGCTCCGTCAGTACCAGGAAATCCAGAAGCCCCAGCCAGAGCAAGCCAAGATCTATCTCTCTGGGTCTAGGGATGAGCTCAATGGATTTCAGCTCCACACCAGGTATCCAGAGTTCCTGCAGCAACGCTCCCTCCCAAAGCTAAGAAATCTCTTCTCTCTATCCCTAGAGCATTCTGGTGAGTTTAATTTCTTTTCTCTGAGGGATACCTCTACCACTCTAACCCATGTTTCTTTTGCCATATATTTTGTATGGGGAAATGAACAACCCTAACAATGCATGTATCCTTGTGTTTGATGTTCAAGAGTATTTAGAGCTTATATCTATATCTATCTACCTATTGATATATATATATATATATATGGCATGCACTAATTTTTTTCATATTTTTCTAGATCGAATCCATGATTTCCTGACTGCCTGCACCACCTATATATTCGCCAAAGGCCAGAAGATCATCCCTCTCCTTTCTCGCCATGTTCGATGCCTTCTCAATAGTTTTGACATTGAGCATGTGACTCTGCGCCCTTTCAAACCCCTCCAGGAGGCAGCCAGTGCCCAGAAATATGCCCGCGTGCTTCACAGCTTTCTCGTTTTTCTGTTGGAGAGCTATCCCTACCAGGTCACTAGGGGGCCTAGGGATAGGGACCTGAATCGACTCTATGCTATAGATCACATGGTCAAGGCGGGGATTCAGGAGCTCAAGGACCTGCTACTATCCCCCACCCTAGCGGAAGAGGATGAGGAGGCACCAAAGGCCTCAGGCCCCTTGCAGGCAGGCAGTGCCCGTGCCTATATTGGTGATGACCTTGATGGTGAGAATGATGAAGAGGATGAGATCGATCTGGCCCTGGACCTAGGGGGATGATGGTGAGGAAGATCTTGAGGACTCTGGTGTTCTCGAGAAGCTCGAGCGGCAGGCCTGGCAGGCCACCAGTGGTTTTCAATTCACTCAGGCGGCAGTGCACGAAGGGGTGGCTCTCATTGAAAAGCTCCTCATTGACCTGGTCACCAGGCATGAGTCATATGACATGAAGGGCCCTATCTACGCGTTCCTGGCCTGTTTCAGTATTCACTACCAGGAGGTGACCTTCAAGCGAATTGACCGCATCAGCCAGTCCTACTCTGCCGTTATCTACGCCATGCAGCTGGTCGCCATCAACCACCATTGGACCCCATGGATCCGGAGGATCCTTGAAGCGAAAGAGGATGGGCAGGACCAAGCGCTGGCTAATGCGGCCCCATTTCATGCTGTCTTCGGCCCCTGGCTGCAGACCTACTTCAAGCACCAGTCTCCTTACCCCCTTGGAGATCTTCTGTCCTTCAGAGCCTATGCTCTCTACTACAACACGATCTCCAGCGTGCAAGGCAACCAGGTGATTGAACAAGCACCCCACCACCTAAGATTCCACCATCTTAGTGTCAGCCGTCTGCAGCTCCAGGAATTTTTCCAGAAGTCTACCTTGGACCTGGCACACTCCCTAGTAGGCTCGCTGCTGATCTGGGAGGATGCCCAGCTTTTCAACCAGATCCAGCTGGGGGAGGCAGCTCGATTTGAGGATTTTGCCATGGAGGGGAATGGATTCAATTTCCTAACATTGAATGAGGACTACCAACACCACTACCAGCCCTATCTCGTGAAAAAAATCCTGGATGACCCTACATGAGCCAAAGAATGGTTCAAGCCAGTCAGTATCTCCCGTATATCATCTATCTGGCTGAATGGCATTCACATACTAATATATATATATATAAAATATCATATAGGCTGGAAATCGGCTCCATCTCATTCCCCTACCAGCAGAGCGATATTTATTTATGGCCAAGAAGTTCCTGCTCCATCTGCTTGTTCTGGTGCACATGACCAGTGGCGCCCCTGCCCGAGGCACTGAGATTATTCCACTCCTGGCATCCAATTCCATCATCAACCGCCGAAACCTCTTTCTGGACCCGAAATCGAAGCTCTTCCTCATTCGGCTGCGGTATAGTAAGGTGCTGGCGACCACTGGCATGGAGCGGAATGCTGTCCGAGCCATCCCCAGAGCTCCATCCCATATACTACTGGTCTATCTGGTGGTTGTGGAGCCATTCATTCACTATCTCCATCAGGCATTGAAGCTCCGAAACCGCCGCAGTCTTCTTTTTTCAATTCAGGGCGACCTCCCTACCAGCCGCCAGGTCAGTGACACGCTCCGCCATCGGACCAGCGCCCTGATCGGCCAGGGCATTCAGATCCATTCATGGCGCCATCTCGCCCAAGGCTTCATTCGATATGGCATGGGGGAACGGATGGAGGGGGACTCCATTGAAGCGCCAGAGCTGAGTGAGCTTGAGAATGAAGCTCTAGCAGCCGGCCAAGCACACCACAGCGTCCGCACGGCCATGCTGGTCTATGGCCGGCCACAGGTTCAATTTGGCAACCTCCCCATCAACCAGCAGGCCGCCTACATTGACTTCAGCCAGCGGTGGCATTCCTATATCGGCATGGGGCCTGATTTCGACTTTTTGAGCTTTCTCTATCAAGGGAGACCGCTGCCTCAGGCCCCCCAGGCCACAGCCAAGACCCCCCAGGGCCTATCTACCAGCTCCTTTCCTCTCAACCAGCCCTGCCTGCGCTTCTGGTGGCAGAGATCTGCCTCTTCACCATCCCCTAAGATCCCTATTGGTCAGTTCAATGCATTCATGGGCTCCACAACCCCCACATTCACTCCAATCGACCCCAATGTCACTGAAGGCATTCCCGATGGTGACCCGCGCCTGGCCGAGCTGGAACCAGGCCAGCGACTGCGACTGCTTGCACACCAGCCATTCCCTCAAACCCCTAGGGGCCTTCAAGCACCAGACCTCCTGCTTGGGCTCTTTCAAGAATTCATGGGAACGCCTCAGGCTGAATTTCGAAGCGCAGAACAGCGTGAGTGCCTCTACCATCTGCTGAAGCCAACCCCATTCCTTCTCATGGCATTACCAACTGCTGGAGGCAAGACCACCCTGTTTCTGCTTGCTGCAAGCCTTGCCTGGGCGCATACTACTGTCCTGGTGGTTCCCCTTGTTTCATTGAAGCTGAACCTGCAATCTAAGCTTCAAAACCTAGGTCTGCCATGGGTGAATTGGGAGGATCAGTAAGTACTATCTATCTATCTATCTATCTATCTTTATATATTTACTAATGCTCTATATAGGCATGAGGAGACCCCTCCTACCCGGCTAGTGCTAGTATCCATTGAGTCTGCTGTCAGCCAGGTCTTCATTAACTGGGCCATGCAGCTCTACCACCAAAACGCCCTGGACCGCATTATTTTTGATGAGGCCCATCTCATCCCCCTGGCCCGCAGCTATCGGGGGGTGATGAATGATGTAAACCGCCTGAGCCAGATCCCAGTCCCCAAAGTCTTTGCCTCGGCCACCATGACCCAGCCTGCCCTGGACCAGCTCCGCCACCAATTCCTCCTGCCAGCCCACCTTCCCCTGGTGGTCCGTGGTGATATCAACCGCCCTGACATTCACTATCTGGTCCAAGCACACCCCCCTAGGCTCTCTGGCGCCCGCCGCTTCCAATATCTTTTGAACCTGATCCGTGATGCACGCCAGGCCGGGCAGATCCCCCCTAGGGGTCAGGTGATCATCTACCTTCCCTATAAGGGCATGGTGGAGGAGTTCCATCAGGCCTATCCCCAGGAGACAGCCTATTTCCATGCCAGCATGCCAGAGGAAGACAAGACAAGGCAGGTGGAGAGCTTTGACCAAGGGCAGAAGCTCGTGCTCCTTGGGACAGCTGCCATCGGGGGAAGGATATGACTTTGCTCATACTGCCATGGTCATTCACTGGGGGACCAGGTGGGGCATCAGCCAGTTCCTTCAAGCTACAGGGCGTGCGGCGCGGGGTGCTGGGGAGATTGGCTGGTCATATGCCATCATCCCCCCTTGAGCCTGGGCAATTCCCAGAACCAGCAGATCTCGAAGAACAGCTCTTCCACGAGTATCTCCAACAACGGGTGTGCCGGCGGTCCCTGATCAATCGGGAGTTTAATGGTAGGGTCAGCCAGGGGTGTTTTCAGCATGAGAAGGCCTGTGACCTCTGTCAGGTCAGGCAGGAGGAGCTTCACATGGTCTCTGCTAGGGCTAGGGAGGCCCTTGGGGATGGGGAAGGCCTCAGGCTGAAGCTGAAGGCATACATTAAGTTTTTTGAGTATGGTATCTGCCTCTATTGCTTTCTGATGACCCAAAGTAAGTGCTTTCTCCATCTATCTCTTTATATATATATATATACTAATTGCCTTTGTTCCTAGTAAACCCATCCCAGCCAGGAATGGATTATCATCACCATCATCAGCAATGTACTCATGCCCAATCTCTAATTTCCAGCTTCAACAAGCATCGCCACCAGTTCCACTTTGAGCCTCATGGGGGATGCTTTCTCTGCCTACTTCCTACCAGAGCCTGTGGAAATAGCACTAGAGATGGAGATCAATGCTTTTTTCCCCCTGGAGTTCTTCTTGTCTGGTTTATACTGATTATAGCTTATCCTGATGTGATGACCCATCTTCAGCAAGAAGGCTTCATTCATGAAAAACCCCCTCATGAAAAGGCAATTGCCAATCTCCTTTTTAGTGTTGAGAGGGATCCTTTTCAGACAGAGGCATTTATGGGGGTGATCTATTTCTTTGAATGGTGTGAAAAGCATGTTCAACTACCTTAGAGCTGATATTTTAGATCTAGCATGATCATCTTATTTTCTTTAGCTAAGTTGTCACTATCCTTGTCATCCCTTAATATTTTATTTTAATCTATATCTTCTATCTTTTATTATACTATAGCAGTGCTAGAATAGAACTTCTGTGTAGCCCTATCCCACTATATTCATCTTTAGTCCAGTAGGATTCAATGCTATCTAGGGGTCTGCAGCCTATTCAATGCTTAGGGACCAGTCTGCCAGGGGTCTAGTCTAGCTCAGAATGGAATATGAGAATACCCTAATAGGCTAGATCAGCCACATCACCTTAATTTCCTAAGTTGGAAGGTAATTATACAAGAGCTCATATGAAAATCCTTATAGAGAGTATTACAGGTCTGACTTTCTAAAGTGGCCTAAACAAGGAGATATAGTAGGATTAAAGTTGGTGTTCTATACTAGTAGTATAATCTAAAGATTGTATTGGATATCTATAATATATAAAACTAGTATAGAAGAGAAATATAGAATCAAATCAAAGTGATATATAATATATAAATCAGGTCTAGTAAATCCATATGGAATAGATCTAAGGATCAGAAATATATAGAGAGAGATAAAATAAAGAATAAAGATATTTAATAGAGCTATACTATTATTTAATTCTCATTAAATAAATTAATTATACAAGATAGCAGAGAAATATATATGAAGCATAGCCTAACAACTAGTATCACTATTGATTAGGTTATATAAGAAACAAGCTATAGGAGACTCTAGGTTTAGATCCTTGAGCACCTACTAGGGTGATATATATAATCAATACTCCCAAAAAGAGAAGGATCAGGTAATATAGAGTGAGAATATAAGTTATAGTTCTAGAAATCAGTATAAGATTCTAAGGTCAAAATCTATCCTATTGACACTATGGGTTAATGGCATACTTACCTAGCCATCCCTAGCAGCCTAAGCTAACTCCAAACCTATTAAATATCTAACTAAGCCTACTGTTAAATAATATTATTTATATAATCTCCTATTGTATTGTAATTATAGCTACCTTAGGTATATAAATATATTATGAACCTATAGAGAAATAAGATTAAGCCTTATAATATTAGTAGAAGGACTATTAGATATTAAATATATATTATATATCTTCTATCTACAAGTGAATCTTATATCCAACTACTCAGATCCTAAGATTAAAATCTATTGTATTAAAGCTATAGATTAATGGCATCCTACTTATACTTTCAAGCTAGAGCTCACTCCTAAACTTTTTAATATCTATCTACACCTACTATCAAATAATACCACTTATACCTTATCCCTCTTTATTATATCAGAGCTATCCTACTCCTCATATCTCTATAGGCCTTTAGAAATTTAGTAGATGATATATATGAAAGAGATACAAGTAGATAGAAATAGCTCAATAGAAGCTAGGAAATAAAAATAAATATTTATCTAGATAAACAGGATATATAAATATATATAGTATTAGAGGTAAAGAAGGATGAAAGTAAGATATATATTGAAAAGATAGGTGTATATATGTAGTCTTATAGGTACAAGACAGGCTGTGATTCAGGAACTAAAAGAGAGCTTCAGGTAGAATTATATCAGATTAGTAGAGAAGAGAAAATAATAAATAGAATAATAAAAGGAAAAAAAAGTAATAATATTCTTTAACTATCAAAGATAAGTGGTCCTACTTTGACTAACTAAATGGAAATACTTCCTATATAGCAGAATAGAAGACTTAAACTAAGGGTCTTATATTATAGAGATATGCTTTGATTCTTCAAGAAAGAAAGGAAACTATCTAATAGGAAGGGATACTAATCTTAAATCTATAGTTAAATATAGAGAATTGGCCCTCTACTATACTAATAGTATTATAAAGGGGGGTGTATGTGTATTGTTCCCTGTGACAGGAACTAGGTTGTGATCAAGGGATCTCAAGGATAGATATACCAAGATGATGCTGCTATACCACATGGCACTGAATAATCTTAGCAAGAAAATGATACAACAATAAAAGGAAACACAATGATGAAGGGAGCCTCACTCTGCTCTATATAATGATAATGATACCAGTGAAGCAACCTAGAAACCAAAAGAATGCTTTATTTCTTGTAACTATCTGGGAGGGAACCCTCCAATAAGTACTCTCAAGCCACGGGATCCACTATATAATATTAGGAGTCAGCAGTTCTACAGTGTTCTAAGATAGGAAATATGAGAGATCTGGGGGTTTGCAATGCCCCCTGGCACAGTATGGTGGGAATTTGTATTTGCTATATCCCTGATACAATATTAGAAATAAAAGATGATAAATAAGATGATGAGACATAAAGAATAAGAAAAGAAGTATGTTAAGATTATCTATTCTAAAATATCCATTAAAATCTTTTAAAAATCCTCTAGTCCTTCTGTCCAACTTCTATCTTCCTAAAAGATTCTATCATATTCTATTCTAAAATCCTCTTTACCACTACTATGAGGGCCTATGTCTCCCTACTTTTGCCATTCTTTGATTTCAAAAGCAGACTATTTTAGAAAGGTTCAACTGTATTATAAATAGAGTCATCACTCTCTTTATATCCTAATTATTCTTTAATGTGAATAATCTCTTAACTTATCTGTGCCTTGACAACAGGCATAACAAATTTAACTAATTTTATATTTTCTTTTACTATTTCTTAAACTAGAAGAATGAGAGAGAATAAGATAAACAAGAAATAAAAAAAAAATTAAGAAGAAAAGAAGCCCAAAAAGAAAGAAACTAGAAAAGGGATATAAAAATAAGAGAGATAATTAAAAGAAGAATAAATCAAAATAGAAAAGTGATTACTAAGTTCATATTCCAAATATGGCGGTAGGTTACCTCCACATAGAAAAATAAGGTTTCAGAGTGGTGGGTCCAGGGACTTATCCCAACATCGATTTGGCCCTAGAGGTCTAGCTCCTAACTAGGCCATATTGGGAAGTGAGACTAGTATCCCATAGTGATCCTGATCCAAGTCTAGTTTCTGCTAGTGCTGTTGGATTGCTGACTAAGCAGTTTTTAAATATACCAAATACGGTAATATTATAGCCAATGCTATTACAGGCTATGTAGGGGTCCAATTGCTCAGGTGTAATAATTAAATATGATAACATGGGGTCTAGAGAGGTGCACGTGACTTCAATTTCCTATTCAGGAAGGAGTAGTGCATATAATCCTAAGCTTAGCAGACGAGAGTACTCATAGAGGCATTACAATGAACATGGTCTGATATTCTGAAGTGGCCTAGAAAGAAGGCGATATAGAGGTGTAAAATTAGAGGGAGATTCAATGTAGTAAAGAAGTAGAAATGGTCTTCCCCTATACTAATTTATAAGATCAGATAAGATCAATAAAGTATGTATGTCCCATAAACAAAATATATTAAGGATAGGCTAGAACAGCCTAAGAGAGAATAAGGTAAAAAAGCATATATAACAGAAGAAGTATGTAGAAATATAAAATATAAAAATAATTGGATATATCATTGTATATAGAATAACTAGATAGCTATTAGAAAGAGAGATAAGCCCCTAATCTTAGCTAAAAATAAAAACTCAAAATGAAAATATACTATGGAGTAAGATAGATCAGCTAAAAACAGCTGAAAATAAGATGAAATAATAGAGAAGATAATAGATATATAATGTTTAGAGAGAAATAAAGTAAGCTTAAATAGAAAGATAGTAAAAGAGAAATTTAAATAAAAGCAATGCATGTATA